GCATCAGCTGTAGAAAATCCGTAATCGACCATCAGAGAAGAAATATCATTTGGTGTGTGAGGGGCATAGAAACAGAAACACACAGAAAAATTCTTGACAGGAGTGTTAATCAGCATGAAAAAAAATGAAAACAAAATGTTCAAATATCTCAAAAATGTGTTTATATTGGTCTGTTAATTATTGCCGCTTATTTTCTGTTAAACCACATTTTCTCCTGACCATTTTATACAAATTTTTAGTTTGACCATATAGACCATTTACCCTTTATTGTTATAGTTGGGGTAAAAATGATGAAATACAATGACAAGATAAACTAAAATATAAAAAACAAAACTGATTTCCTTTCTAATGCAAAACTTATGAAACTTGCACTCAGTTATATTCTCTAAAAAATTAAAAGCCATACTTAGTTTTATTTATTTATTTAACCAGATGAAACACACTGAGATCAGGATCTCAAGCGTGATCTGGCCAAGAGGTCAGCAGCACATCATATAAAAAGTTGCAGAAAAGTAACAGCACAGATTAAAACATACAAACATACTAGAGACATGTACACCATTTCTCTACTGAAACAATTCCACAATGAAATGCTTCACCTTTTTTAGATATAGAAATAAAATTCATTTAGGACTGATGAGGCAACTTGATGATTGAAGTGCCTTTATCATTTCAATGCTCATTAAATGTTCAACCACTGAGTAGTAGAAAAATCTTAGTTTTTTGTTCAGGGGCCTCTCAAGTTTTTATTGAGAGAAAGAGGACAGTGGATGGAGTAGGAGGACAGGAACAGAGACTAGGAAATGACTTGTGCCAAAGAGCTTCAGGCTATAATCAAACCCTGGCCACCTGCTTGGAGGGCTGTAGCCTCTGTGCATGGAGCATGTGATTTATTTGCAAAGCTCAACTGGTGCCCCATTTATTTATTTAACTGTTAAGGCATTTTCACCAGATCGATGAATAGAACAAACCAGCTGATCACCTATCATGACTTTGTGATGGAGATGTTGATAATTCTTTGTTGGTTTTCTTCCTGAGCGCTGCACACTTCAAGAACAAGTGAGAAAAGCATTTAAAAAAGCATACATGCAAAAATATTGAAGCAAATAAAAAATGGTTTCAGGGGCCTAAAATGAAGACAATATGAACTCAGTGAGCAGTTGGAGATTCATTTATTTAAAAGCAATTCAAAACCTTCATAAACAGAAACAGCGAGTAACTTCTGTACAAACCAAAGTCTAGCCCTTGAAACAGAGACGCTGTTCACGGCGCCAAATGTGGACGGACTCAGAAGAGAGTTTTACATTCGTACACAAAGCCCCCTCGCCTCTGTCCTGGAGAAAGTCAAACTTTTAACAACAAGAACTTCTCCAACACTGTAAGTGCAATAACTTATTGCAATGGCACATAATATAAAGTCACAATCAGAAATACAAATACTGGATTAATATACAAAAAGCTGCTTAAAGCCATAAAGAAAATTTGAAAGCATTTTGAATCTGTAAAAGTTCAGAGCGCCTCCTCAAAATAAAAAAAACAACAACAACAGAACATTATCTTACATTTCTTGGCAATATTTCTGTAATACTTAATTGGTTTATCTCCAAAGGTCTATTGTTCAACAAATAAGCCAAACAAATGTACAAAGACAAAACACCTTTATATTGTTCATATTTACACAAAATGACATACGTATGGATTTCATTCGCTTTATTTCAGTAGTATCAACATGGACGGAGCTGCAGAGGAGGGGAGCGCTGAGGGAGAGAGTAGAAAAACACTACAAAGTAGGACTTGAGTCACTCATGTAGTCATGCATAAATTTCACCAGACCACATCCCGTTTTTATTTTGACATTTTGTTTTTGATTTCTCGTCCCAACATCCAGCAGAGCTGATATTGGTTCAAAATGTTTCTCTTTTGTTTTAGAGGCCTTTATCTTCTCATTCGATGCAGTTTGTTCAGGCTGCGGCCAACAAAACTCTCTGTGTGGAATATATTTACAGCAGGAACCCTCGTGTCATAATAATCGTCATATCATCAGCTAATTTACACCCTCTTCACAGAAATGAGATCAATTTGAGGGCAGCAGCCATGTGTTTTGTCACTGCTGGGATTTGGGTGTAATCTGGCTCTTTAAAATAGGTTTTTCTTGCAATGAAATGACTAAGGGGGCAGAGAAAAACCTCTAGATGCAACAATAGTTTACAGACACCAATGTTTCAGTACCATTTTTTTTAAAGCCATTCTGATACCAATTCTAATTCTCACACCTAAATATTGACTAATACCCTCCTAGTAACAGTAATATATCATGGGGTGAATACAGTATTGGTGGAAAAACACTTTAAAATTGACTTTTTGCGAGGTAACACTCTGTTACTTAGCAAAAAGTGTTTATTTTTATTCAGGTGCATTAATGAGAAATGTCCTTGACAACTTTTAACGCCACTTTTAAGCTCTTCAGAGGCCTGTACCAGCATCGGCATTAAAACAGCACTGAAACATGTAAGGTAGCAGCAGTTCCAAAACCATGCAAACATTTGACATGATGACACAGTTTAGTAGCCAACGCTCAACATTTGTACCACTGTGTCTAAAAATGGATGACGCGTCTTCACAGTCTTCCACTGTCCAATCGTGATGCTGAAGTACCTTTTGCAATGAGCGCTGAAATCTGGAGTCAGAGCCTGTGCTGTAACATTGGTGTCAACTCAGTAACCTACCAGTACAAAAGGCAAAGATCCCTCAGTATGGAAAGTTAAATGACTGTTTTGTTAGTGTTTGCTGAGGCTCACATGAATGCAGACATAGATGAACCACATTTGCAGAAGGAGCCAGCAACCTCATTTCATTAAACGTCAGATTATGAAAACTGAAGTTCTCAGAGAAATGCATGCTTGGATTTCAATGATAACAGCTAACCTGATGACAGAAACTAGAATCTAAATTTTGAGGATATCATAGACTTGATAACCTGTAGTGCAGCCGGTCAGTAAAGGGAGCACCTAATGCTTTGGCATCACTTACTATCATCCCTCTTTTTATATAACCTTATATTTTGAGCCTGTAACTTGAACTCCTGTCTCATGTTGTTATATTGGCATGACAGCAGGTTTGTAATGTTCCACATCCGCCATTTTGGATGTTATTGTAATAATTCAATCGTGTTTAAAAGTGCCCCATGTAGAAGATCGATTGTTGTGATTGCTCTTGTCCTGAATAAAAGATAACAGACATAAAGGAAAGGACTGAAGGCGTCTTCCATACAACATGAGCCCAGAGATTTATCTGGTTCTCAGGCTTCAGTTTGGAGCGAAGCAGTGAGACATTTTAAAAAGTCGCATTGATTTTATTTTGATGGTGATAAAATGTGATTATTTTTTCACCAGTTCTTCGCATGTATCGATACTGAAAACAGTTGTTAGTTGCAGTCCAACTCCCCAGAAGGAGGGTTGTAATGGGCGTACGTACACTACATTGAATGATCAGTTATGAGAAGTGGCAGAAACAAACTCTCATGCCATCATTCTCACAGGGAGAAAGAAAACAGATATGTAGCCCAGCGGGCGTCACAGAGAGATCAGCCAAAAGACTAATGAAGCCTGTCTCTAGCCTCAGCTGGCAGCCCAGCTCTGGTGACAGGCGTATTCTTGCAGGGTAACACACAGAGACACCCTCGCAATCACCGGACAGACTCACCACATTCCTGCAGTCCTGCTCTAATGTCATCACATTACCTAAACATTACAGAGCGCTCGGCTGGGGCCACTGATTTGGCTTGCAGTCTTTGGCGTGTAGCGGATTCTTTGAGCATGCTTCTAAATCCAGGAGTCATCTCTGCTGAGCCCTCGTCTATCAAACTGATTATTACAGCGTGTGGGGCAGTTTTTGCAGTATGTCCTCACTCTGGACACTGATGTAGTGTGAAGTTGCGGGCCAGGGCAGCTCACTTTGATGTTAATTAAGTGTGTCTATGCCTGTTGGTCGCTGATTGAAGCTGGCGTGGCTAGTTGGTGTTGAAGGCTGCTGCTGTGCATCGTTGCGCCTCGTCTGCCAGTGGAGACGGCGTTTCCTGTAACCTGAGGCCTAAGCCCTGCAGGGGTACCTGTGGGGGCAGCCCTGGGGGAGGAAATGACACGTTGGTTGGAAATTGCTGCCAATCCTATGGCTGCTCTCCTCCTCCTCCTCCTCCTCCAGGAGTATACTGGCACAGGCCGTGTCTGCTGTTTCTCAATTAGCCTCTGTTCACTAGTTGCATCCAACCTCTGTCCTTCTTTGTATAACCTGCCCGCTCCAGATCCAAGATGAAATGAATGCTTTCTTTCATGACCAATTATTGTGTGCTGAAGTTATACAGTTTGTGATGGAAGGTGACAGAAAAGAAACTCTCAGCACTTTGTTTGCCCCTGAGCTCACTCACACTGAGTACCCTCGGCTTTTAAAAGCTATAAACTGAATTATGAGGAGGTGTAATGAATCTTATTTATACAGTGTAAGAGTTTAGTTAGATGTTGCTCAGAACAGGGCGGGATTTATGGTATGAAGAATTAGTCCAAAACAAAATCTTAAACTGATGAACTGTAGGACAAAGTGTAATTTGGCACTGAATTCCTGTTTTCAAAGACAGTATTTTGTAAACTCATATTTATTATTTTGCTTATCTAACAGAAACCTGTCTCTATGGTGTATGATACAGTTTATCAGGGACTCAGTCCCATGTTTCAGTGAGACCTGAGAGATCAATGAATCAAAAATGAAGACAACATCTCCGTCTAGCACACCTCTGTAATTTTCTCATTTCAGCATCTGCTGATTGTCTCAGTCACAGCCGTTATCTTGGTTGTGTTGGCCGCTGTAACAGCCTCTGTTATCTCCACAGTCTCTCCCTGTTCTTTTGACCTGCATTATCATTAGTGCTCTCAGAAAAACTCCCTCCCGCCCCCATCAGCGCTGGCTGACAGGGCCTTATGGGGGCAGGGTAGAACCCGGCTGGGACATCATGTAGCCCAGGAGATGGCTGCACTGTGTTCCTTGGCCTTCATACGCAGCGCAGCTATGCTGGACGACTTGCGGTCTGGATCAACATTGAGATCATAGCCATTGATTCCCCCGCCCATCGCAGGACTTCCAAAAAGACTGCCCATGTGTGTCTGTCCCATGTGGCTGCTGCTCGGACTTGGCATGCCCAGGAAGTCAGAGACGCCTCCCGGACCGTGAGGGTGAGGAGGCATGCATGAGGGGACGGAGTCACAAGGCACAACGCAACCTGGCACCGGTGATGCTCCACTGCTGCTGCTGATCCATGAGGGGTTCTGGATCTGTGGGTAAACGACACTGGTTAGGGGTTCTCTTTACTTTTATGTCTGGGGTGAGCAGAGCTGTCCCCAAAGTGTTTTTAACAAAATAAAAACAACTTCACTCTCACTGCCATTCTTCGAAAAAAGAATAGTAAAAAACAACAACACATATTTAAAGAACATTTTTCATGTATATAGCAGTTTAAGAGTACAACGGAGTATTAGGACCATATTAAGAAAAAAAAATTAAGACTTCATAATTACTTGCGAAAGTAAAGTCATAATAAGATATTACTCATGAGAATAAAGTCGTGATAAAATCATTACTTACGAAAATAAAGTGATAATAAAATTATTACATACGGGAATAAAGTCGTAGCTAATAGTAACCTGTTGTTAGTTGTTTAAGTCAGCGCTGTGAAGCATTTAGATGAATTGAAATTTAGTCGCTAGATTTCACAAACAAGGAGTTTCAGCATCACATTGTTAAAGTATCAGGACTTATGCAAGAAATGTATCTTTTCCGCAGAAAGAACCAGGCAGACTTGTAGGGAATCACTGTTTTTGAGGAGGGGGAGATGGCTGGAAATTGCTGTGCAGAGGCTAAATCCCTCAGTGTATCCGTTTTTAGCAATAGCAAATGGCTTTAGTTTGTCGTATGAATCTATATGCCATAAGTTGTTGGTGCCTCTGTAGGTGTAGGTTGCTGCCGGAGTTGTGCCGGCATCAGAGTCAGATGTGCTGCTCATCGGAGCTCAACGCCCTCTGAATCATAAATGTTGATCATCAGTTGGTTTGTTTCTTGAGAAACCACAAAAGCTCTCTAAATGACCGTCTGATGCACCCACAGATAACTCTGCAGTTGACCAGTTCAGCCATTTCCTCCTCCACAAAAGCAGCTTCATGACTTCATTTGCTTTACAACTTTATTCTCGTAAATAATGATTTTATTACGACTTTATTCTCATTAGTAATGACTTTAATCTCAGTCATTTTTTTTTCTTAATGTGGCCCTGATACTCCGTCATATAAGAAAAAGATTTTTCTTTCAAAATTTAGTAAAGGCCAAAAATTAGAATTGAACTTTTTCTGCTGCTCCCCCTAGTGGCCAACAGTTAAATTGTAAATCATTACCAATGACCGGCTTAATTCTGCCTCCTATAACCCCGACTGGGCCATGTCAGGTTATATCCATAGCATAGTCAGTTAGTGGACTACTTCTTCCTATCGTTACCTGTGCATAGTTCTCAGGCCGAGTCAGTAGAGGCAGCTCATACGCAGTAGAGAAGTGTGTTCGGACCTGTTGCATCTGGCCAAAACGCTCTCTCTTCCTCCACTTGGCTCTACGATTCTGGAACCACACCTGGAAAGAAAACAGTATATCAGGGAAACACTTAAAAACAGGAAGGCCAAACCCCACCAAACAAAACTTGTATAATATTTTAAACCTAGCCTTCAATGCTCTCATGTTGGCAAAGTGAAGCATTTTACTGAAAAAGAGGCTATCCCTTCCTCTAAGCAAGATCAGGTAAAAAACTGAGCCACATAAAATGAAGATAGTGGAGCAAATAAATTCTGCAGCACATGAAAGTCCAGGCCCAGGTTTTAAGACTTGACGTGTCTTTAAAGTGCCGTCCACGCGGAGCTATTGATGTGAAAATGGTGAGTCTCCCCTGGTGCTGCACGTTTCAGCTCCTCCCTTTGATACACGGGCGTCTGCCTCCCTTCAGGCTGCCAGCGTCGACAGATCCACATCTGGACCTGCAGCCATTCATAAATCACTCTTGAGAGAGGTGCGCTCTCCCCCACATGTCAGCGCAGTGGGATACAGTGGGGAATCCCTCTGTATCATCCACAAAGCAAAAGTTCAACTTTCGACCAAGAGTATGCTCTCTCTCCTCGGCCCATCTTTAAGATGAAGTTTTGAATGCAGCATATAAATACGGTTCTACTGTGTGATTTCATCCAGTTATATGGATAGATATGCTACTTTTCAGACAGCTCTTACTCTCAGTACCTGTTGACAGACCAAGTCCAGGCTACTTGAGCCACCTCTCCCAGAGCTGAGGAAGGACTTAAAGGAGAACAGGACTGAAGACTTGAAGACAGTTTGTTATGAACAATAAGTGTAAAAATATTGTTGACATACACTGAATATTTTAGCAGAAGTCTGGGGATTTCACTTTGATTTACTAATCTCTCCAGTTGTTATTTATGGCGCTTTTTTTCTCCCCTTTTCGTCCTTGGAGAGATCGCTTTTCTACTCTGAAGCTTTTTCCTGTGGAGTTCTTCAAACTCAAATTCAGGGACTTCTGTTGAGAATTTCACATAATGTGAAATTCTTTTGAGGCAAGTTTAGTTTCATGTGATTTTAAACTCAATCAGTGAAATGAACTGGTTCTGCAGTTGGAGATAGAAGACAAACAACACAGACATTTGTAGCCTTTTAAAACACCTAACAGAGATTTACAGTTTATCACTATATACAGTATAGAAATGACAATGCATCGAATGTTATCAGTTTTACTTTGTGTCTTGAGACAAAAAAGCTATCATTATGGCAAATTCTAAAGAAACAAAGAAAAGCTGAATTTTAAATCCACAGAAAATCATGTTTGAATTTGAAGATTTCTGAGCACAGATGCCCAAACATTCAATACTTCCAGCTTATGAAATATAAGAATATACCCCGTGTTTTGAGCAGACACAGTTTTCTCTGATATTTAGAAATGACCAGATTTTTCTGGTTTTCTTGTATTTCATACACTGTCATTTGTCAATTGATAAAGATCAATAAATCTGCACACAGTGGTCAATTTTACCCCAGGACAATATAAAGATGCTATTAAAGAGGATTCTTATGGTGTGAAGTCAGACAAATTTGAGGAGAGAAACATTGGTATCAAACCCCAAATAACATCACTGAGAAATTTTTCATTATGAAGGACACTTTTTTTTCTTCACATTTTTCCAAATCCATTTTTTTATATGAGCTAGTGGTATCCGCCTCTGCTTTGCACCATGTTCCTCTTTTTAAATGATCTTTGTTGTTCACCGACTGTTTCTATGTTTCAACAACATAGTCTCTATGCAAGAGAAGAAGAAAAGTATTAACGTAGGCTGCTGGGAGTGGTCTCATGTTTTTCTGTATCTATTTGTTTGTTGTCTGCTGAATCTTCTGCTCCCAAGAGGAAAAGGGAAACTTCTTCAAAGAATGGAGGAACAGAGTGATCCTACTTCCACACGGGGTTTGACCTTGGATTGTGGGTTGATTCCCAGCCCAATCAGCTTGTGGTTTACACAGTCCCTGAAACGCAATTTTCCCTCAGTCACCCTCCTCATATCCCCCTCATGATTCGCTCTCACCATTTTCTTCATTTAACTTATCAAATGAGATAAACTATGATGCATATTCAAGCAAATCTGTGATTCCTCTTACAGGACAACACAAACATGTCTACATCATTGTCAAAGAGAGGATTGTTTGCCTGTGTATGTTTCTGTGAGAAGCTGACGTAAAGAAATGTCATCCGACTCCGACATTCCTCAGGTCAGCTGGTGAGATGAGAGGACAGCTCAGCCTCACAGAGGCGTAAACTGATATCTGAGGTTGTGGCTGAACCTAAATGTCAAGGTGAGGGGTTGTTGACCTTTTGAATTATCTCATATGTTTAGAGAGGAGCTCAGAGTCTCTGTTATGACCCCCAGAGGATTTAGAGTCTATTATTGTTGAGAGCTCTTCATGTCCTTTCTTTGGTTCTTCTTTGGTACTGTGAGCCCATAACATCAAGTCTCTAAATATAACCCCCATCACAACAGCATCTGGATGGACTTATGATCATGAATCTGACGTACTGTTTATGTTCACTTTATAGAAAGATGTGAAACTGGCTAATTTGTCTGGGTCTATGTGGACCCAGTCTGTACCTCTCATCCTCACCCAGCAGCATTTTAAAAGACCATAAGTTCATATAACAATGAATTGTCATTTGTGTAGTACAGCATTTTTTATTCATCAGCTCTTAACTTTTAACAGCTCTTTTTTTTCCCTTAACTATATATATATATATATATATATATATATATATATATATAATTTCTTAAACTTCAGAACAGCAGTTAGTGTTGTAAAACTACAGCTGCCAGCACTCATGCACATTTAAGGGAAAATAAAAATAACACATTATTTTTTAAAACGATGTGAAAGTCTGTCATCCTGCATCCTGCTGCCACCTAGATGGACTCAATGACCCCAACTCATTTTCAAAGAGTAAGTTTCACTTCAAAATAATGAAGTAATAATTTAAAGATGGAGTTCACCAGTGCTGTCATTACATCAAAATCTTGGATTTGATACAGATACCAAGTTTAGTATTGCAATACTGGATACTAAAATGATACTTGAACCTGAAATAATACTTGACACCTAAGAGAATAGAAACGGGATGTTTACGCTGGTTAATCACCTTAGTATTTATCAAAAAATCACGATTTTACCACCAGGCTAAACTAAACTAAATGGAAGAAATTCAAACAAAACACTGCAAATGCAAAGAACTGTTTTAAAACGCAAAATAGAAGAAATTGAAACATGTGATTAAAGATACTCTTAATTGCAGTTTAAGCTTCTGTAAGAAGTTTTTTTTATGTTTATGAAATGGGCTGAAATTCATGCTAATACCTTTTAACAACACATAAAAGAAAACCAGAGCATTAACGGTAGGATTGACTGCTTTTATATTGTAATTTTTGATGCCAGGGAGTAGACAGCAATGTCTATTACAATTTCCAAATCAAATATTCACAATAAATAATAGACTTCGCTGTCATAATTTAGCTGAATTTTTTTTGTTCTTTTTTTCAGAAAATACCACTTAAGCAAGCAGAGAACAAAATAAAAGAGATGGCTTTGTCCACAGGGGGCACCAACGTTGACACAAATCAAATATTTCTTATAGGAGCTTTAACTATTGAAATACAGCAATCACTTGTGATTAAAGATTTATATCTTGGCAGCCCTAATTAAAATTAAACTTTTATATAAACAGGCAGTTAAGCAAAGTAAGCCTTCAGAAAAAAAGAACTTTTAGCTCTTGCGAGATATTAAAGTTTAATAAGTCATGCCTCAGCCCTCTGTTGGCCGATACAGTGATAGTGCAAAGATAGTGAGAAGTCCAGTATCAACCAGGAGATAATTGTTCGTGTCCTGTGTGAAACCAGAAACAATGATGACTGACTTTCATGACTAATGTGAGATACTTCACTCACATGAAGAGAATTTACTTATGTAATACCGTAAGCCACATTTTTCTAACCCTTACCAAGCTGAGGTCATTTATTGACAGTATCCTTTATGTGTCATTCTGAGATCGGTCGTATACATTACTGTATTCTTTTAGAGTCATCGCCGCTCGGCATGTTCAGTCTTCAAGTCATGCAGACATGTCTGAGAAGCTCTGTGACTCAGATGTAACATAATAATATGGAACACATGAGAACCACAAACCGGGGCTCTTAAAATCTCGACTTTCTTTAAGAAATATAATCTTTTATCACTTATGGACCTATCATCTTTTTTGTTCAAGATAACCCACCTTTATCCTCTCCTCTTAATCTTTTTGTCGTTTTCCCAACCCGCTGCCAAAGTTCAGCCTCTCTCTCTCTCCAGCTACTCTCTCCCCTCACCCCTCTGCCGACCCTTCTCTCTCCCTCCATGTCTTTCTCTCCTCCCTCCTCCCTTTTAAGTCACCGAGGGGAAGTGGGGATATTGGAAAGTGAGATGGGAGAATGTTCAAACTGGAGCTTGTTTTCATTTCATGTTTAATTTCCTGACGCCTAAGCCCTTGGCTTTCCGCAGCTAACCCCTCTGACCTTTTGGAGGCGTGCAGACGATAGCAGTGGGCAGAGCATGCACATATGCACAGGGAAAATACACACATTTACATACCGTGTCATATACAAAATTCAAAGTCCGTTTGTTACAAATGTGTTCTGCTAACCTGGTGGTTCCTGCACACTCATGGGAACCTTTTACAATCCAGCAAACAACGCCTGAGCTCATATATGCCCCTTGCCTTGGTCTCTGAGAGCTGAGTGTGTCATGTTTCACAGAGGGTTTGTTCTCTGTAGCTTTGCCTTTGAACAGCAGTAGGAATGAGAGTGAAGCCAAATAGTTTGGCAGGGAGATCATTCGAGAACATTATGAAGTCAGATGTGTCCTTTGCTGCTCTGCGTCTCTTATTCCCAAACTTCTAAACTTCTAAGTTCATTAGAAAAGGAAAGCCAGTGATGTTTTTGCACAAGTCGAATTTTAATTCAATAAAAGAATTTTTATTGTCTTTCAGACTGATCAGAAGTGACCCATCCTCAATGAAACTCAAATAGGACCATATTTACCAACTGCAAACACTTACAACTCTTGTTGATTTCCCTGAGCAGACATCTGTGAAGAAGGTGGCTCCGAGTTCTCAGAGCTCAAAGTGCTTGGCGGTGATACAGTAATTGCTAAAGACGTTGACAGCAAAAGGCAGCTTACAGAGCCATTAAAGAGCTTTATTTATGCTCCAGAGCCAGCAGGCCGAGTGAGAGAGGAAGAGGGAGAGAGGGAGGGCAGAGTGCACAGCTCCAAATGCAGCTTTGAAGTCCAGCCGTCTCACCTCATCTCTGTCATCCAGGATGGCGGCGATTGATAGACTGCCGAGGCACTCACTCACACACTGACGCCTCCCCCATAAAAAAGGAGGCTGTATGCTGAGGTTCAAGTCTGAGGTTGAGAGCTAATTGTGCTAAATAAACTTAGTGGTAGCAGAAGTCGCAGATGGGATTGTGGAAAAGTGCAGCCCTGCTCGATGAAGACATTGATCATCGACTGAGGATGAAACTGTAGGACCCTGACTTTGGCTTTTTGGCAGAAAACATCTGTACTCTGGATCTCAATGGCTGTTGTTGTTCGGAGATGTAAAGGATTCTCTGCTTGCCAAGCCTGAAGTGCCCCTTGGTATTCAACAATTGGGTATCCCTGGACTTTGTCTTGATGGACCTTCAGATGAAATTGTGGGCTTTAGTCTTGATTGCATGCATATTTAGGGTCTGATTTAGAAGTAGGGGTCAAACCTCACAGTGACTCAACAGAGACTGTCAGATGAGGAGGGTAATTATATTCGTCTGGGGAATAGATGGTTCTGTGTGAACGCAACATGAATGTTCTTATTTCACTGTACCACCACATGGAGCAGACCAGGTTCTCTGTCCCTGACTGTGTCCTGGACTGTGTGTGGAAATTGAACCTGGCATCTCAAAGTGTTTTTTATATCCTCCCCAAACAGCTTTGATGACTACTCTCTCGTTCCCTTTGTGCATGCACAGTTGTGCAATGCAGCAGTATTTGAACATGGTAGTGTGAGGGAGAAACCCTTGACCTCCGACCCTTTTGCAGAGCCTGCAGCATGTAAGAGCTAAGAGCAGAGTATTCCCTCAGTCCCACCCATCCCACTCTGATCCAAACCTGGCAGGCAGAAAGAGGGATGGAGAACAATAGGCCTTGCTGTCTGCTGCTCTGAAACAATTTCTGTCAAACAGCCAGCCTGAACTCTCTCAGCCCTCTTTTTTTTACGTTCCCAGAGTGATTATTAACATGCAAACATGGATAAACGCAGCCAAACAACACTGCTCATAGAGACTGTCCTCCTAACAAGGAACGACCACAGCAAAACAATACAGGTCAGCACTGGAGGGGCAAAGCTTTCTTGTGGCGGGGAAGTGGAGTGAGTCAGGTGTCATGATTTTGAGTTATGAAGTCGTCAAAAGGAGGTGGTTAGGGGGTTGTATCTGTCAACAAGACCTCACATTTTCATCTCAGAGATATTTGTTCGCCCATTTCTTACCCCTACATGTTTACCGGTGTAACTATGAGATTAAGCCCACTTCACTTCACCAAAGTGGGTATTTTGACTTGAACCTGGTGTTTCTTCCAAGCTAGCCAAGTTATTTTGTACCCTACCCAAAGCAAACCATCACCATGAGAGCAGTTTATTGAGTATCAGTTATTTTTCTACGTTTTAAAGGTGAAGATAAATAATAGAATCCAGTCAAAAGGTCTTCAGAGCAGAACCTAAAAGACGAAAAGTTGAAGCTTCTGTGAGGAACTTTCAGTCTGTGCCTCCTTTGCCTGTCCTTTCCTCTACATGCTTACATCTCAGCCTGCTGACTTCTGACATTTAAATATATGATGTTTTTGGTGAATGTTTATGTTGAATATATTAACTCAGGGCTTTCTTACTGACACCTACCCCCTCATTGTGGTTTTTAAACATTAAAAGTTACAGTATGAAGATTGTCAGTCATGTTGCTGCTGATCTATTCCGATATAAAAGACATCATTAAAAATTTTATTCTATTTCATAAATGTCAAAGAACTTGTAGATGTCAGTCCTTTTTGGTAGCCATGACCTTTATAGTATATCTGTGTTGTGTGGTTATATACAGGGATGAGAGTCACGTGGTGGAGGTGGTGGAGGTGGTACGTCAGCACTGGTAGTAGTGAAGTCAGCTGTTCACCTGGTGGGTTTTGTGAATGATTGGAGAGGGAGTGAATGGGGAAGTCCTACTTTTTGCTGGGAGCTTATGTTTCGCCTTATATTGAACGCCTGCCCTCTTTTCATTTCATGTAAGTGCTTTGTCTTTTTTGCATCAGTAAAACTATAAAAGGAGATACAGCCTATTCATTGAACCATGTTTGCGTCGGGCAAGGTATCATTTTCCCTACTCAACCTCTCGGTGACTAAGTTGTTTGGGATAGTCCCCATACAGAGCTCATCACAGGAGCTTTAAATTGGAGCATTTGTTAGAATACAGGAATGATTGTTTGCCTCACCTGAACACGAGCCTCGGTCAGGTCTGTTCTCAGTGCCAGCTGCTCGCGGGCGTAAACATCTGGGTAATGTGTCTTCTGGAAGACTTTCTCCAGCTCTTCCAGCTGGTAGCTGGTGAATGTGGTGCGATTGCGCCTCTTCTTGCCTTTGTTGCTCTCAGCCTCGCTTTTGTCCAGGGGGCTGGAGAGGTCTGAGCCCGGACGCTCATTCGGCCCCTTTTCTCCTGGTACCTTGAGGTTCAGGTAGCTGCCTTCCATCCCTGGAGGATCAACACTCGAGGGCAGCTCAGACTCCGTCAGGCCACCATTGTCTTTTCCTAAAATTTATAAAAAGAAGACAGAAGAATGGACAGTTAGATTTGAGCTTTTTCAGCTGACGTGTCACAAGGATTACAACTCAGTTATTTTATTTTTAGGAAAAACAATTCAACACAAAACCTACATGAGTAACAGAAACAGACTTTTTAAAGAAGGGGGTCCAATGAAAGATGCTGCCTATTTTTATTTTCTGAAAATGTGGGATTGACGGATTATGGAGTTTGAATGAAAGTCAAGACATCTTGGTCTCTGTTGAATCAATTTAGTCTATTATTGTTTTGAACACGTCTTTCCTGAGTCCCTCTAGATCTCTGGAGTACAGCTACAGTGCTATGATGTGGATTGGCAGTGCTGCTCTAAGCGCTAATAAAACATAGTGGAGATTTTGTTTTAGGCGTTGCACTGTGGTTCTAATAAAACGCATTTAAGCAATTTGTTTTTGGTTGATGTGTTGTTTTGTTTTGTTTCGTTCAAATTTTGCAAGTGAAAATTTAAGAGAATCAAGCTCCATAATTTACTCTGGTGCGGTTTCACAGATAATATCAATCTTTATTTTTACTGTTTTGTTATTCTCAAGCAAGTTATTAAAAACAACTATTTCAGCATTTTAAAGCTGTTGACAGCAGATGTCCTATAATCACTATTACTGCTCTACAATTGTAATATTCACCAGGCTAACACTTAAAACTGTGGCTTATTAAAATGATGGTGCCTCATGTTCAACTCAGCGAGTGTGTCTGCTTATCATCATGTAAATAACGTTCACATCGAGTGACATTAACCTAAAGCTTACATCACCTCCGTAATGTTTTATTTTGAGGGTTCAAAGGCCTTGTCTGCATGCACCACGTCTCAAAGTAGCAGAGAAGAAATGTCATTTTCTGTTTGAAAGGTATGTCACTACACATTGGCTTGACCTGGGACACAACCCTTGAAGGCCTCTGCCTCATATCTCTCAATCACGCCACCTGAAATCTGAGCCATGCAGAAAACCTGCTTTTCTCTCCAGCCTGAGTAAGGCAGGCCTTGTGTACGAGGGCAACCACAGCTTTACCCCAGAGCTTTGCCCCCTCAGATGTAAACAACATTGTGTTTGTCACTTTCAATTTTAAGAGCGCCCATTTTGTGACAGACCGCGCTCTGTTCCTGCCAGCGCACGCTGGCTTTTTTGTTCCTTTTTAAGAGATGAAGAAAGCTGTCCCTTCTCCTCCAATAAACAAATAGCAGTGTGAATAAATAAGCTGAAGGGCTCTGGATGTAGACCAGTGAGAACAGTGCGCTCTGTCAGCTGCTCTGTTTGCCTTGCCTGCATATGAGCACGGGGAGCAATGCTGTCGTGACTGTTTTGGTCTGAAACCAGCTCTGAATGGTCTCCTCAATGCACAGAAACAAGTCTTCAAGCCTGCAACACAACACCAGCATTGCTTTTGTCCAACAACATTGAGTTCAAGTTAGATCACTTTCAGGACAATTAATTTAATAGCTATGTGCAAGCGTTTAGGACTGTCACTATACGTTTTTGTTATGGGTAATGTCAGTAAACAGCCGCCTGTCATTCTCAGTAACTCAGTGCAACATGGGGAAGAAAGTTGACTCCTTCTGGCACTGGTGAGTCACCAAGCCAAGTGTTTTAGTGGTAAGTAAGATGACTAAATAGTTTCAGAGTGATGAAGCTAGGCGGAGGCTGTCTGCAACATGCATGTTTGTTTTCATGGATTAGTGCTCCTCTGGCGAGTGGCTCCCACAATGAAATGTCAATAGTCATCCTCTCAGTGCTGCAGCAGCCCTCCCCTGCTCGTTGGCTCAGACTTGCCCCGACCGCGACGCTAATGGAACAGCACAGCTCGCCCAGCTGGAGTTCATGACCTCATATCTCTGCAGCCCACCTGTCAGACCCTCTTACAGTCTCCACACAGGCAGATGTTCTGACATCACCAACCCCTGCACCGGCCTCATGCTAAAGCACTATGCAATATTTTCATTCTAGCCCTGGGCTGCAATGTTAAGAAGTAAGACAGGTCAGCTCCAGGTTCCTGTTTGGCATCTGCATCAGGGAGAGAAAATGAAATTATTCCGCTGAACATTGCATATATCCGGTGAGGCACAGGGTGCAGCTGGGTGCACAGATGAGGGGAAGATGGTTGGTTTAGTGGATGGAAATGTTTAATACAGAACTGTATCACTTTCAATCAGGGATGTTTAGTGGACCAAACAATTGGAACACCATCTCCACAGGTCGACACCAGAATCATATGACAGTTAAATGTATTTTTGATACTGGCCGGAAATGCCAGTCATATGTTGTGTCTAAGCTGTAGTGGCGCCACCTACCACTAGCCAGGGCTGTGGCCTGAGCTCACGGTGACCGTACGTCCTCTTTTACCTGGACATGTCCTCTTTTCGGGGGGCTGTCCGGCCTTGTCTGGGGGAGTTTATAAAATCCTTCAAATGTCCGGGGTTTTGTATGGAAGTTTTGAGTTTGTGTCGAGTGGACTAACTGAGTTAGAAGCGCGTAAAAAACACTCGACCCGACCCATAAGACTCAAAATTTACTACGCACGACTCCATGACTCCGCCCCTTGTAGTGGTGTCCTCTTTTTGTGGATTCAGAATATGGTCACCCAACCTGAGCTCCACTTCATGGCCACTGCCAGAGGGATATAAAACTCTACTACCCAGATGCAAACAAGCACAGGTGACCTCAATGGTAAAGCTTTATGTAGAATGTGTCAAGTCAAGCTGATGAAGGTAAACCTGCAAGACGGACCGATGGCTAGTGGTGCTAGTACTGCTAACATTAACCACTCTCTGCAAACTAATTTGACTTCATTTACCAGCCGAATCTGAGCTCTTGTTCAGCTCTTGTTCAGTTCAGTATTGCGTTCAGTAATTGTGAACTTGATGTTGTCTTACCTTTCAGTCTGTGAGTCTAAATTTTCATTTAAAACATCTAGGAAGTTTGTTCCTTTTCAAACATTCCCAATAATTACAAGTGAATCTTTCTGCATCAGATTCCTCAGTTGGAAACTCTTGGTGTGACATTTTTTTGTTTTTATCCTGAAATATGTCAGCTGTCTCATCAGCACACTATATATGAAGCCACCTTAAGAAACCAGTCAGTGCAGCATTGAGAGATGTAAGGAAAATGCACTTCTAAAGGAGATTTATTGTCCAATCTGTCAGAAAATAAAATGTAAAACTTGCCATTATCTGGAACTGAGAGCAATTCGGGAATCCAAACCTCTTTTCTTGCCTTAAAGACCTTTTTGTGGGGATGCACAGTTTCATCTGTATTATTTCAGTATTGGTGAACAAAAGCTTCAACGTTTATTGTCAGTATCGGCAGATCTGAACATTTCTGCTAGTATATAAAGCATTGATTATACACAGAAGATGACCGCCTATGTTTGCCAACAGAAAGCTACAACATGTGGGCTGTATGAAAGTGTTTTTAAGCATCTAAACAAGACAGACGAATCGCTATTTGCAATGTCTGTAAAAGACAGATGATACCAGGAGAAAAACAACTCTGCTTTTACACTACAGATTTACTCATACATCCCAAGAATCATCATGGGGACCCTCTATCTAATGATATGTGATGTACAATGATTGATACACTAACTGGTCAAACATGAACCAATGTAGAACCGGCAGCCATTTTTTAAATGTTGTATAACGATTTCAGACTTAGGGCTCTAAAATGATCCAAAGGTGACGCCTAAATTCACGTCTCTTTGACTTCTCCACGATTATCATTGGTGGAGCCTTTTGTAGGGTTCACCTGTGTGGCGCTGTAGGGGGCGCAAAAAAGACTATTTAAGGTGCCCACTAATTGTTTTAGGTGTTGCGCACTAGAGGCTTTTGTTTTTTGATCGCAGGCTGGCGGCTGGTTTTTGGTTTTGATTTTTTGGTTTATTGTGCAAAAGGAATAAACAGATTGACATATCGAAGTGACGTTTTTTGCATACAGAAGTCTGATTGTTTAAACTTAATGGAACAAGTTATGGACACTCAGAGCAAGCCAAAACATCTAGCCGAGGCCGCGAGTGCATAAAGGTGCGTCACCAATCATGAAACCTATGACCCAGCAGGCCAATAGTTTTATTCCTCATTGTTATAATGAGACTCATCCTGGACCTCACAGATATGAGGCAGATTTTGTTACTCCAGTCAGCAGAGGGAGGCCATTCCCACTCTTTGCAGCCTTTGTGCGCAGTGAAACCAACCTGACAGTCCCAACGGCTTCATACAAACTAAATAGACATGGGTGACATCAGTCTGTCTTCTTATTCCCTTTAAAAACACTAAGTACTGTTGTCAGACTATTTGTTCCAGCTTCTCAGCTTGAAACAGACTTTTATCATCAGCAGAATCTGCACTAACCAACATCTTTCTCTTGTCTTGTGCTCCAAGCTCATCTATCTTTTCTCTGTCACGCTAACCACACAGAATCCTTTGCCACAAACATCTCAGAGTATTCCCGCATGCTGAGCTGTCTTTTCTGCACCAGCCCTGCAGAACACAACCATCACACACTGCTTTCTATTGGGAGCCAAGATTCCACTGCACTGGCTCCAGCTTTTCTGGCATTCGGAGGAATGTGTTTTTTGCCTCCTTCTCTTCTCAGCGTTCGTCGATGTGTGCGCACAAATGCGCCGAATATCACCAGTTGATCCCGCAATTTGCCAGAGTAAGTGTGTGACAAGCTGCAGACCTCTTCAGTTAGCCGAGGTCACATGTTTACTAGGGTCAGCAATTTAATCACTGCTGAAAACAGAGAGGAAACATCAAAGTGTAATTTAACTGGTTGTAAAGCAACAGGGCACCCCCTCGGTTTTTATGGAAAGGGACGAAGAGGGTCAAGTGAAGCCAAATAAAAGAAACACTATAAATTAGTAACCTGGGGAAGGGTTAATGACCAAACACTAAATAGAGAAGGGAATGCTTTTAAACAGAGTGCTCTGAAATGTTCCCCCGAAACCTGACAGGAGTCTGTTACAACTGCTCTCCACTTATCACACCTTATATGGGCCAAAAACAGTCAAATATTCCACTGGCTGTGGTGACTTCTGATTGTAGATTCATTTCTGGTCCACAGACATGCTTTAGGCCATTTTATTCTTCCTGCAGCTCAGTCTAAGACCTGATGTTGACTGTTGTTTCCTCAGAGGAAGGGAGGCTCCCAGATGTTCCCGAGGAGAGATGTATGCCAGCGGCTCACGCAGGAATTCAGATTCCCTGGGAAAGCAAAAAAATCTGTCTGCTCAGCCTCAGCGCCTGATAAATTGACACGATCATGACCTCACTACCGTCAGAAAACCTTCAGGTGCGGCTCTCACTCTCACTCTCTTATATCAGAGGACACAAAAACAGTTTTGGATTGAATTAAATTGAAGGGATTTCTGATTGTACAGGAGAGGAAGGGCGGAAAAAGTTTGGTAACACTTTAATTGACGCATATCTCTATAACGCATTATATGTATGATGTGTTATAATCGTGTTATAGCACTGTTATAAACACTCATAAATGATCATAATGCTTTATAGCAATAATCATAAAACATTATTAAGCATTTTATCATGACTTACAAGGTCAGGTATTATAATGTGTTATAACTGTGAACAACTCACTGATAATACCGACATTGATAATACAACTGTTGTTAACAGTTATAACACATTATAATACCTGACCTTGTAAGTCATGATAAAATGCTTCATAATATATTATGATTATTGCTATAAAGAATTATGATCATTCATGGGTGTTTATAACTATAGTTATACAGTGCTAAAACGTGATTATAATGCATTATAAATATATTCATAGTGCGTTATAGAGAGAGGCGTCAAATAAAGTGATATCAAAAGTTTTTCACAGCAAAAAAAACAGATTTTTAAAAAATGGTTTTCGAGGAATTAGCAAAGAAATGTGTCTTGTAAATGCTGTCATTCATGTTTTTTGTTTTACAGTTTTGTAATTAAATCTCATCTGGTAATAAACAGAAAAGCAGCAGCAAATAACAGAAATTAAGTGAGTGAGGGTCTTGGCTCACACTGTTTCTAACCTTCTAATCAAATTAAGTATATCATCTGTACTCCACTTGTTCAAACTAAATTACACTAACATTTATGCTGTTTGGATCAGAGTCAGATTATAGTTTAAGGAGGTGTTTTTCCTGGAGAAGTATGGGGACAGTTCGTGGTGCAGCCAGTATTAATCTCTGTTACTGTCCTCTCCTTGCATGAACAAGTGTCCTTTTTAACTGTGTAAAAAAGTCTCTTTCCCTTTTCTGACTGTGAGCCCAAGCCAAAAACAGTCCTCAGACTCCAATAATGTGTTTAGTCGACACAGAAGACGCTGATCAAAATGTGTAACAGATGGTTAAAGTTTCTTCATCATTGTTTTGTTGCGGCCTGCATGCAGGTTTAGTTTAGCGGATGAGAGTCACCTTTCCTAAGTGAGAGAGAGAGCTAGAAGCAGAGTTGATAGATGCTGTTTTAGCTTCACAAGAGCACGGACAAATACAAGCAGTGAGAGACATCCTCATAAGTAGAGTACCTCCAACTCTTTCAAAGTACAACACTGTCCTCAGAGTTACATTCTCATGTAATGGCAGGCAGACGGCTGCAGCTTTGTCTTTGTCTGCGTCACTTTGATTTAAATCTGAAATTCATCACTTAGTCTCACTTGTTCTGGTTCACAGACGCACTTCGGCACCATCGCAGGTGTCATCCTGGCACTTGCCATATTGTTAACATGAATACAATGTGTTAGTCATCAGCACATGCATATCCTGTGACATCACTTCCCACAGCCTTTTAACATATATTGGAGAGTTTTATTTTGACAGGATGCTTTTAAAACCATGCCAGGACTTTTTGTGGGGGGTGTGGGGAGCTGTTTTGGTTTTCATACAGGCTAGAAAAATGTTTAACATATCACAGGATGCTTCGATTTTCCACTGATGGAAGGAACAAAGAATTTTTAAGCTGTGTGCAATTTGCTTTAAACTGTTATTTTGTGGAAAAGACAAAGAGGATGCGGCACAAACAGCGGGTTCCAGCGTTCACATAAAAGCTCCACTGCATTGCAATGTTCGACCACAGTATCAACCACCAGCCTTTCCACAACAATGTCTCCGTTTTCAAAAAATGCCACATAGTTTCTCAGATTCAAAAGTAAGTCGTGATATCATTTTCTCTAGAAGTTTTTGGTCTTTCTATTGCAAAAATAAACTTTTATTAAGAAGGAAAACTAAAAAAGCTGTCCAGGTTTGGAATCCAAATTTCCACCGCAGAGTCTAATGAAGTATATGGATGTAAACAGTCATTCACACACGTGTAGCTTTCCCAGAATCCCTCCCACTCCCCTCCGAGTCCCTCAAATCATTACCCAATCTGGATGTCCATTTCTGACTCACTGCTTATTTGTACAAGGTATTGTGGAGATGGGGTTATGTAAACCAGTCCCACTCTGTCATCTCAGGGACTCTCTGCAGCTTTGAGAGTTGTGATGTTTGGGGAGTATGAATAATAACTATAGGAGCCAGTAATGCACATCTGCCTCAGATTAATGCCGACCTCTCCTGCAGCGCTGACCTGCATTCCTCAGCTCTCCATCAGCTCGGGGGGCTTTATTTCATTCATCGCTGTGTGAGCAGGTAGACGGCTCCATCCCAGCATCACTGTGGGACAGTCTCACAGCTTAACATGCAAACCCAGCCAAACCTGAGTATGCTCTTTTTAATTTAAATTTTTTAAATAATTGTATTGATTTAGAAATTTAGTTTAATTCACACAAAAGACAATTAACCTGCCAGATCATATATCATGTACCATGTCATGTAAATTGGTGAATTAAATCTTAAAATTATGCAAAAAATCTTGAGTTTGAAACTACTTTAAGCACTTTCGTTTTATTGAAGCTGCAAAATACTTCAGTAAAGATTAAAATATGAAGCATACTTCACAAATATTTCACATTAAGCCTAGATGCTTCTCTGTTTTCTACATGCTCGTTCATATAAGAGAAAAGGAGATATGTCTCCATTACTGGAGTTAAATTCTGGTTTGATGCCAACATAAATCTGAAAACATGTCATTCCTTTTGGGTTTCCAAGAAAATGGTTTGTAAAGCTATTTTTGAAGCGTATAAGTGCGATTAATTATCTATTGTTGTGGTTTCTTTGCTTTTCTGGAGGTCGGTAGCCTAAAAAGTTGACAATACAGGATGGGCTTTTATAAGCAGTCTGCTTCTGTTTCTGCCTTTTCAGTCAATATTCAACACATGATTCTTGATTTAGTGATTTAGTGTAAAATGTCAATATTGTGTAAAATATTTGGTGTTGTCATGACTGAATAAACTACTACTACTACTCTACTATAAATGTATGACTACAGTCAGTAGTTGAGCATAGACACACACAATGCCCACGTCTCCTGAGACATGTTTCTTCTTTCTTGTGCTTTTTTATGCACCCATGAATTTGTACATGTGACTTAAACACATTAACAAGAACGCAGTGTTGCCACCTAAACAGTTTTCTAGCTGGAGTTGCCACACAGAAAACTCCCTTTGGGTTCGAGATGACTTTTTGTGTCATCACGCCGGAGATAAAGCTTCAACATTGAGCAATATATCTCCCATTGAGGACCACACATTGGAGCACAAGCCTGTTGACGCCTGAGGCTTTGGCAGGACCCCAAAGTATCCTCCCCGGAGCCACGATGCCTTCATCTGGCAGCAACATTTTCAATAACAACAGTGCGCAGCTCCCCCTCAAGGGAGGCATGTTGCATTTAATGACGCTGTTTAAACGGCTCTGTCAATGCACGTGCCAAATCGATCCATACTCGAGCGCGCAGGGGTGCTCCAGTCTGTTCGGGCAAACTTTCAAACTCCAGGAAAAAAAAGTGACAGTTCAGCTTGGAATAAAGAGTGACTCCAGATTTTCTCAGGAAAACAGATTACTTTTCACTTTGTGGATGTTTTTTTGGCAACGTGTGTGGAGGCTACTGCGAAAAAACAAGTTCTCCTGCAGGCCGAGCTGTAATTGGTCCCTCAGAGCAGATTCAGAGCAGGTCACTTTTTTGTGAGCCTAAAACTAAAGCAAAAATTGAGTGAAGTAGATGAATTTTCTGCGGGACGGGGACATATTTCAGCACAGCGTTGAGTTTATTTTCTGCTTTCTCTTGTCGATTGAATTTTCGCTGAGAATAACCGGAGAAAATGGAAACTTGGGTTTGATTGTTGCTTGTAAATGTGGATGGAAATCCAAATTCATCTGTGATTATACAGATGTTTTCTTCTGTAATATCCGCATCATGATAAACATCTGGAGCTGAAACAACGAGGGCGCCCACCAGTCTACAGGCAGATAACTGGACTTAAAATTATTATTTTAAAACAATTCTTCGTGTTAGTGTTATATATGTGAGAACTAGTGTTTGATATTTATTTTACTTAACACATTTTAGGCAATCGGACAAGATTATAGCTCACCAAAACTTTTTATCTAAGCTCGACTTCATTTAGGCCCAAATGCACAACTTAAGATCCATGATGTGAAATTCAACTGACAGCCAAAGGGATTGTTTTCTGCTTACATTGACTTACCTGGTGACTCCAAAGCTTTAATTGTTTTTTGCAAAAATGAGGGCGACCAAACTGTCTCTCGATTATTTTTAAATTTGTCTCAAATATACTGTAAATATAAAAATTACGCAATTTTGGCCTGAAAGGGCGTCTATCCAAGGACTAAAGTTAAACACCCCTGTAGATGTGAACTTAAACTACTTATTTCAGCACTGACAAAATAACCTCTGCTAAATACGAAAATTGCTCAATATGTTAGAGAGAGTGCTTAAAATAGTCCACATAAGAATTTACTGTCTTCATTTTTTGCCATTACGCATGAATTTTTCATTTGTGCGTCTACGACCTGAAGATGTTCCTGAATTAAAACGGTTTATAGTTTATGTTTTAATTTAAGCAGAGATTGGGAAAGCTGCAAAATTTATCGATGTCAGATTGTTGATGCAGGCCGGGCTGATCAGTGACAGAGATGCTGCGGATCTATCCGGGTTAGAGTACAGAAATGTCCTAAAATCAGTCTGTGAAGATTGTATAATTAATCCAAACACGAAAAGAGAAATTTAGGGTTATATATTTTTTTCTAATTGCCCATTTACTCTTAAGTCAAAAGACAGGCTATGTATTTTTGTTTGTGCACTTGTATTTCTCTATGCAAGATTACAGATAGGAATCCACCTCCCCTGATACATAATTAAGAGTCATTCACAGCTGCATTAATAAAAACTCCCTAAATCAAGCCAACTTCATCTTCTGTTGTGTACTTTTTATCTTGACTTTTGCAGGATTGAAGTTACGCAGCCAAAGAGCCTTATACTTTCGTGCGTAAAAATGTTAAAATGTCTCTCGTCAAAGAGCAGTTTCGCTTGTCAGATTTGATGAGAAACTGTATTTCTTTGACTGTTTTTTTACTCTTATTTAAGAGGTAAACTAGAGTTTAAAAGTTTGTTGATGGGTGTCCTGCTGCTTCTCCCTTTTCTCCCCCTCTGCTCTTCGCTCACAGACTTACCAACTTTCAGATGCTGCTGCAGCCCATTACGCACAGGAACATTATTCCCTCTATTATTACTTACAAATGTTCCCTCTTGTCGTGCATTTCCGTTCAGCACAAAGCCGATACGTCGCCTAGTTTGTACCTCTCTCTCTCTCTCTTTTGTGCGCACTCACCATAGCAGGGCAGGAGCGTCCCGTTGAGCCCACTGTCCGGGTGCAGCTTGCCTCCCTCGGGCGGAGTTTTGCAGGTCGGTCTCTGCATGAAGAGCTGATACGACTTGTTGAAGGTGCCCTCCTCTGCGCCATCCAAAGACTGGCACTCGGGCTGGAAGGGACTCCGGGGCTTCTCTCCGTAAGGCTGCCCTTTACCCGGGATGAACGTGGGGCTGTATTTGGCGTCAGTGTTTGGGAAAGTCCTGAACGGGTTCGCCTGTTGGTCCCTACCCTGCGCAGTAGAGGTGCTATAATATGAATCCATCGATGTCATATCGCAGTATGAGACGCACGCTGCGTTCATACCTAAACAAGTGATATTAAAAAAATCCACACGCTTCTTTTTTTCCCTCCCCTTCCCTCTCTTAAGACAGCAGATATTCTCACGCGCTGACAAACTCACACTGACGCTCTCGTGCACACACACTCTCACATTCTGCGCAGCATCTGGGACTGCTTAAAAAATGAATCAGATGTTTTCCAGAGACTGCAGACTGAACAAATGCTAAAAGCCCCCTGAAGGTTTGTCGGGGTAAAGAGAAATGCCTCGTTCAAGCTGATGCCGCCTCAGTAGCCTGCAGTGTATCTGACACACACACACACACACACACACACTCACACGCACGCACACACACACACACACACATAACCCCCCCCCCCCACACACACTAACTAAAGTGAAGGCCAGCATCGAGCTGCAGCCTGTAGAAATGGGAGGTCAAAAGCTTTTTCTGTAAACACGCGGGAGTCACAACACATGACATTAATGTAATTAGAGATGAATGTGAGCGCCTTGATTCCTGCAGCTCCATGTCTGAACACATAACCTCTCGCTGCTCTCCATATCAACCTTTAAAGCCTGTTTTTTTTATTCCACTCACTCTGATAATCAATCAGACAATTTGCTCAGTTTCTTCCTTGGATTTTGGCAGTTCGTGTAAACAAAAAGATGAAGCAGGACTTTAAAACAATAACAGGCCTGAAGTTTTAACCAATTTAAGCCAAAAAGTATTACACAAATATTTTCTTTACACATTAAACTAAATGACGTTTGACCGGAGCCTCATGTGTGAAGTCTGTCAGATACATCCACTTAGAAAACTGAAGGTTTATTTCAGAATTAAATTTCCTTCTAATTATTATCCAACAGGAGGATGATGCCTGTAATGTTCGAGGAAATCATTGAACGTGGGTGCTATCATTACGCATGCGCAAAAAATGTGCCGTTTGTTTTAAGACTCAATTATGATATGCCTGATTTAGGGAACTTTGCACGTAGTTTTAAATGTTCTTTACTCATTTTCATTTAATTGTAATTTATATATTGTATTAATAATATATATTGTTATTAACATCAAGTCGTATTTTATCTTAATATGATATGACATACTTTTGACAGGAGAGGGCCAGACTTCTACTTCTTTAATTTATTTATATTTTATTATTTTTAGAATTATTTTCTAATTACTTTTTAAAAAGTATTATTATTATTATTGTTGTTGTTGTTGTTTTTATTATGATTGTTGTTGTTATTATTATCATCTTATTGTTGCTGTTGTTATTATTATGATTGTTGTTGTTGTTATAATTATTATTTTTTTATTTTTACTATTTGTAGTAGTATTAGTATTAGTGTTGTTGTTGTTGCTGTTGTTTATGAGCAAAAGCCTGGTTCAAGTGGTGATATTGATATTTCCAGTAGGCTATTATTTTTTAATGAATCGTTGCCTTAGAATCAGTCTAATTAATATTGTTAATATTAATTTATCGTATCACCAGTATTGTTGCTGTAACAGCTATAGTCGTTATTCTGCTTTTTTATCATCTTTTTAGTGACACTGCCTTATATTTGTAACAAAGAGATCTGTTTTTTCAAATACGAAGAAAATCATTTCGCCCTTCTCTTTTTCCTCTTTTTTTTCTCGTTATTATTCCCGCGATAATTGCCTAATTCTTCGGGACAGAGCTCGTGCCCTGTAACAACACGTCGGCTGCATCTGCAGTTTCCGAAGGAGGAAGGAAACATTCATTAAAAGTAGTAGAAACAAAACCACAGAGAGATTGAAATCACATTTAGGCTGGAGTTGACGCTGCTGTTTTTACGTCTCTTTTAAAGGCAGTAAATTTCTGGCATTCATTGTCGGTAAGGTCGTGACAGCTAACGTTTGAAAACCTCTGGAGTTAAACACCAATTTACTGGTTCGGGCCCAGCTCACGTGCAGCCTCTCTGCTGTAGTCTCGTTCACCACTGGCACCTCTCGTGCTGCGCAGGTATTCATTAACGAGATTTTGTCTCTATTTTTTCATGGGTTAATTAGAAAATATTTCCAGTAAAAAAAAAAAGAAATACTTTGAATATCGAGTCACGAGTTTACTTTTTCTTCTTTTATTCTACCTTTTTTTACACTTCAAATTTGGACCTGTATTTCCGGCCGTTTTCACACTCAGAGCTGCCGTTTAATGCTGTTTATTTACGTGATGTTATCTTGACTGTCTTTAAATAGAGGTCATTAATAGCATTAATCTTTTAGATTACATTATGTTTGACAGAAATAACAGAAACAAATTAGCTGTCTATGGTTTCCTGCTCCAGTCTTTTTATATTTTTCTCTTTTCAAAGGAGCCCATCCACTTCAACATCTGCCTTTGTTTGCTTACAAAGCAAATTGATGTTGCCTTTGAATTATAAATAATCTCTCTGAGTGTTGATGGATTTATTATATTTTTCAAGCATAACAGTGAAAACAGCTGTTGGATTTCTTTTAATTTCCTTTTTGAATCCTAATATGTATTTGCACTTGATTTAGATGTTATGTATTAGTGCACTGAGTTCAGCAAGCACTCATAATTAGAAGATATGTGCACCTTTTCATAGGTGCATGTTTGAGTCATACAGGGTGACAACAGGATGAGTTGGAATCTGCAGAGCTTTCAAAATAAATAAAAAAATGTGCAGAAAAGCTGAAAAACATTTACTGTTTTTCTTGAGCGAGTGAAAGTCAAGTAAAAAACTGAGGTCAACAGCCTTTATTTTTTAAGTACAGGTCTCCCTTAATATGAAACACCCCACTGCTACAGGCCAAAGTCTGAGCCGTCACAGATATCCATCACTCATGCGTGGCACTCTCTCTAAAAGCTTCCACTGAATGAGGACTCGTCTGTTTGAACCATGTCCAGGTATTATTGGCTGCAGTGGGAGGATGGGCTCCGCACTGATGCAACATCTCAAAGCCTCTGGGGGGTTTTTGTTGGCACAGGGCTTCATGAGGACCAGCAGCAGGGTCCCTGAAGCTCCTCGGGGTATTATCAGTGTGTAGAGTAAAAGGCGTGGAAGAGCGGGTAATGGGCTGGAGAAAGCGCTCCAGGTTAGACTTTTACGTCTTAGCGATGCCATGTTCAGCTCGGCTGTGGGAAAGGCCAGCAACAGGAGATGGGAAATACGTAGCCTGTGTGTTTCTGCTTTATGGGAACATTTTTCTTTTTGAAAATACAGATATGTTAAAAAAGGCACATGTGGAAACTTTCTAGAAACTCCATACTGATCTTTTCAGAGATTTTAATTTTATCCTGCAGATGTTCTCACGTCATTCAGCAGGAGTGACTCTGAAACTAGAGCTGGACTTAAACCCCTCTCCCCTCTAGTGCCCATTGTACTCATGGACAGAGATGTGAAATAATTAAAGGAATATTGAGAATTCATAATCCAGTAGAGGCTTCTCAACCAGGCCTGTCAGATTGTTCCTGCAGATCAGATATCACTCTGTCATTCGTCCCCAAATCGATCTTAAGATGGCGTTTCTCTAGTGCATTGTCTCTTCTGTGTATTTTTTACAAGAATGCATGTTGCAGCAGCATCCAATTTTTTCTTCTACGCTCTAATTTCCAACAGTTTTCGATTGCTTTAATTGTCCTTGGTTTCCACACTTGATGTAAATTAATTCTAACGCGCTTCCAGCTGGCATTCAGTCAGCCTCGTGTTCAAACAAAGCTACATTGTAGTTGGTGTTGCTGTTTTTCCATCTCAAGTCAGACAAAAACTGTGAGCAGAAATCCAATTTTTACCCCGTTAAGTATAAAAACGATTCTTGGATGCCTTTACGCTTAAATATTATTATCAAATTAGGACATTTTCAAAGTTGTCACTAGGAAACGGGCACATGAAGGTATTGGATTGGTTGGGAAAACTTCCTGCGCGCTAAAAAGATCAGCCAAGTCTTGAGAATGGTCTTTGTCGTCACCCCTGCTGAGGTAATGCAGTCCAGCCAGTAAAAATAAATAAAGGGATTGTCTGATTGTGGCCTAAGAGTGTGAAAAAAGTCAAATCCCTTGTTCTAAATGAAAAAGTTTGTGTAATTCAACCAAAGTCAGCAGTCTGTGTTGAATAAATCCACTGGAGAACTTACAAGGTGGATTTATTTTTATTATTATTTGAAGTGCCCCTTTTTGTTTTTCTGTGCAAAGTATTTTCTGCCAAGATGAAAGGATGGTACTGATAACCAGGAATACAAAACAACTAAGAAATATGTATGTTCAAAATGGTTAAAGACAGATACACAAAAAAGAAAGCACATAAGATCTAAAGGAGGCATAAAAAAAAGACAATAACAGTTAAAACACAAAAAAGAGGACAAGAAATAGCCGCAAACAACCAAACGGAGACACAAGATTTATCTTCATTAAAAAACAGAGAGCTTCTATTTCCTATTTAGTGACAGCTGCAATATCAACAATCTAACGGTTCAGTTTACTCAGCATAAGTTTTCACAGTTCACCACAAGGGAAAATATTTTACTCGACAGGTTTGAACTGATTACTCAACCATGCACCTTGTATTTGAAACGTAACTTTTCATTTGTAGAAACAGAAGCAGTTAATAATGACGTGCTGTTATGATTCCTGTAGTGAATTGTGCTTGTCTGTTGATATTGTGATGATCGTTTATTTATCCATCACAGCTCTAAAATCTCATTTGATTACATTGGTACACTCGTCCCATTATAACTCAAACTTTGTTTTCTGGAGCCTCTTGGAGAGGGTGATCTGTTCCTTTTTATATAAATTTTATAAATCATATCATTTCAGTCCTAAAAGAGGAAAACAGGCCAAAGCCTTTTTTGTAAGTGCATTCATGGCAGCTAAATTTAGGATACATTTCAAAATGAAGAGCTCAGAATAATAATATTTGACGCTTTGTTTTACAATCGGAGTAAAAAATAAAAAACAGGAGAAATAAAAGAGAAATAAGAGAAATGTGTAAATGTGAAGTCTGGATGTTGTTGTCTTTTTTGTTGATGTGTAATTTTACACACAGACAGAAGTGAAAAGTTGACACTGTGTTCCTATACATTCACATCTTCTTATCTTTGCTTGTGAACTGCTTGCTCCATCAGCTGCTGTTTTGCTGCCATGGCAACAAGACAACAAATTTTTGTGATGATGTATTTTTCCCTTTTTTAAATCTCTTGGTCAAACACAAAGAAATCCTTTAAACCACATACATTTTAAATCCATGGCTCTGCAGACTGCAGCTGTTGGTGTGTCTGTCCTCTCACCTGTGCCCAAACCATCAACACTTCCTGCTCAGATTTATACAAACATCAAAACTAAAAGAGAATCTCTGCACCTCATACAAACAGCACGGTACAACCTCAGTGTCAGTATGTGTGCGAGGGTAAAAGAGACACCAGATTTTTATGTGTAGCTTTAAATTGGTTTCACATGAGGCGGACACACACTGCATCAGCAGATTCTCTGATCAAATTAAACAGATGAGGGGAGAAAAAAAAAGGCAGTGGTTGTACTGAAGTTTAATTCAATAAACAGGACCAAGCAGGCGCAGACAGAGGGGATGCTGTGCTGCCTTCATCTCTCAGTTCTATATCTGGTTTAGTTAACAGTTAACCCATGAAGAGGTGCACCTCCATCCATCACAGCAGACACAGGCCTTCTGCATTCACCACAAAGATTCACAAGACAGAGGACAGAAAGAGTAATAATGTAATTCGCCTGTATTTAGACTACCTATTAAACTGTTTTTGTGTTATTTTGTGGTAAATACACCTTTATAGAACTGAAATTATCAACCAATAACTCAAAGAAATAATAATCCTTTACTCTTTAAATATGTTGTTTGAGGTATTTATAAAGCACCTACTCACAACAAATCTTATCTCAAGACGTTTAAGAAAAAAGAGCTGGTTTAGACCATTACTTTTCATGATATCTGCAAAGACCCAACATGAAGATGGAATAAAAATGAGTGACTCCCATCCTGTCTTCATCTACATGAATGTGACACTTGGTAGCATTTAGTAAATCACAGACACAATAAACTTCAAACAGGCAGAAACTCTGAGCAGAACCAGACTTAGGTTTTCAATTTTTTTATCTTTAGACTACTGTACTGTGAGTGATTTTGAGTCTGGTTCATGTTTGACCCATTTTGACATCTTGAGGGGTCTATCTTAGTAAATATGATTAATTCATTGTTGGGATTTGCGCTGCAGTAAAATATCAATTTAGTAATTTGAAGGTGTAGTTTGTAGAGTTAAGCGACCACTAGGTTGCAGCAACTGCAACTCATCCTCTCCTTTTAGTAGGAAGGGGGGCTGACTAAGACCTTGAAACACAAAATGCAAAAAAGCTAAAATAGTATGCTCAAAGACTAAGAGCACTGAGAGCATTATTATTGGGATGAGTTCATTCAGTTTAACATGTTTTTTTTAAACACAGACACGAGTTAATAGTAGTTAAAGACAGATTTTTTGAATACAGACCTTGAAAAAATGTAAATAATTTGAAGTATAATAAATAGTTTTATTATAATCACCAATATTTGAGAAAAAAATCCTCACATCAGTTTGCTCTGAAAATCACTGAAACCAATAATTGCAGTCAGCTGTAGTAGTAACACTCACAAACATCAGAGTAGTTCTCTTGCCTGTTAAATAGTACCTGCAGTGTCTACATTTTCCAGGATGCATTGGTTGTGAGCTGTTTTCTGCCTCATGTGATAACATCTGAATATTCCAGTCAGCTATAACACTGTGAAATGCTCAGTTCAATAACATCCATCTGTGCTCGTTCTTTAGCATTCTGGTTTTTATCGTCCAGTTTAGTTTAATGGCTGATTTGAAGAACAAGTAAAGGTGGATTGGAACAACTGCAGGTGTTTTTTTTTTTTGCTATACACCAAACCAGGAACATTAGAGATGAGGATGAACGCCTGTTAAACTGCCCCTCCATATAGAAAATCAAGTATTTGAGCGAACAATGGATCAAACATCCGTCCATGTGGAAACTTGAATGTGGTATTTTTTTTCCCCTCCACAGTGTTAACATATTCATGGAGGTGCCTCGCTCTAATCATTCGAAAATTGAAGCAGCACTCATGATCCTTCAAACACGGGACATGTGGGACACTTCAGAGGATGAGGTTTGAACAGTTGTGGACACATGTTGCAGATATCAGAGATCACACACACACACACACACACACACACACACACACTCAAACACACATGAGATGGGTATTCCAAAAGAGGAAACATCTCTGCCTGGGCGTAAAATGTCTTTAAATTGAGCACAAGCAGATGACAGCTGACTCTATCTTTGCCATGAGTTTGTCAAAGATCAGTCACTGAATCATATAGTACGTATAGTCGTATAATAACGACTTACTGTATTGATACCGGATGAATCTATTCCAATCAGGAAATCTCACATGAGCCACCTGTTTGGGAAAGATGAGACCGTATCCTCCTAGTTTAAGCTTTAGTGTCTTCTGAGCGGCTTGGTTTGAGCTGACTTTGGCACTTCTTGTTGAAAAAGCAATTTCTCTTGTCTCCTTGCTGATCTTGTGTCGTAAAATTTGTAATTCATTGGTGTTTTGTGAGTTTGAGCCTGCTAGTGGTTTAATGTTTTAATCACTGAGTCATTTTAGAGTTTTCTTAGCATGAAAAAAAAACAGCTTACTCTATTGCAGATATTATAAACACTAGCTTAATGGCAACCTGTTCTAGCTGCTGCCACACACTTAAGTAGTTTTATAGACAGGCTTACAGTTTTTATTTCCCCTCATTCTTGTTTGTATCGTTCCCTGTGGCAAAGATTCACTCTAGGTTGAATGTGCTGATTCATTTGTCTATTTACAGAAAGGCATAATTGAAGTCTGACGCACTTCAAACTCACTTTTCTTCAAATCATGATAAAATATGTTGTTGAAAATCATAATCCACTCTGTGAGTATCCGTGTGCTGAAGTCTAAATGATCATAATTGAGGCTAACAAGATCTGATATTTGGTGTACATGTTCAGACAGTATTTCTTGCCGGGGAAATTGCTGAGTTTGTTTACTTTGACCCAGTGCAGCTAGCACTGTTAATAAACAGAGCAATTACCCAACTACATTTGACTTGTGTTCGTGGGCCTTTGGAACCATAAAAGGATTGTGCTGTATCGTGTGTTTTTCTCTCTCCTACAGGTAAATTATTTTACTCAACTCTTTGAAAGTCCAGCATTAATGAAACTGTATTAGATCCAAACAAATATCAGCCATGTTGTCATCCAAAGTCTATGCTAGGTAAAAGCCAAAAATACTGCGTCGTTATTTTTTTACCCAGGTCTCGGCTGCCTGCTCGTTTGATACTGTTTTAGTGAGTGTTTGCATAGTAACGAAACACCATGTGTGTGCTGACCCAGCCTGATCTTCCCACAGCAGTGTCTGGACCTGGTGAGGCGATGTGCGCTGAGATGCTGCACCAAAACAAAACAAACCAGTCTGAGGGAACATGTCTCTGGATCCAGAGTTCAGCACAGCCACATAGGGCTCAAGGAGGACTCCTATCTCGATGGGGAAAGAGCCACATTCCCCTGAAATGAGCTTCTCAAGGATGAAAGCCTCATGTGAGCTTCCCAGATGACCCACGACCCTGTCTGTATTTTTGCAGGAGGGAGTCCTGATCCGTGGTTCTCTGCCTCCCTGCCGGGATCCTGGGGAGTCGAGTTGGGGTGGCCAGACAAGCCCACAATTCTGCCCTCGGGTGTTTTGATTTGGGGTAAAGAAAGACCCTCAACTGAGCCGGCACTGTCACAGCAGTAACCTTTCACCCTGGGAGTTTCAGAGGTAGGCCATAGGAGACTGATCCTGAAGTGCCGCACAATTCTACATCAGAGTTTGCACCACTCTTGTGTTTCCCAATTCATGAGATTTTTTTATCCTTTAAACACAGTTCAGCATCTCAGTGTTGGCTACAACTCATGGACATCCACGTTTATATTTGACGTCAGATCACAATAGTGTGATTCTTGGATATTGGAAAGGCAACAATATGAAAACTTGACGGCTATTGTCTTGCAACTATGTCTCACCGGGAACAATGGGCAACTTTCATGGTAGTTCTGGTGAAGCCAGCAGTTATTGTGCTGAATTGTTTACCATTCAGTTGGCAACTTTGGGCACAACCACGTGTTTAGATTTAAAGTGAATAGGGCTGTATCAACCAAAGAAATTCAGGGTTTTCGACCAAAAATCAGGGGATTTTTTCCAACTGACGGAAAACCCTTCTGCGGTGGTGGACGACGCGGCTTATTGGGGTGAAAATGTACTGATATCAGCACAAGACAGAAACCAAACACAAATATTATATTCAGCAAACCACTGGACATTGATTAACATGGACGCTCTTCAATCTTCCTGTCTCCAGCCGATCACCAGTTGGTTGGCTGAATCCGAAATGGTGAAAACAAGGGGGGTGTTCTGAGACAGCCCATACCTGTGAAATGGGGGTGCTCACTTGGTATGTTCCTCCTGACGAAATTAACCATAGACTGTAAATTGACGTAGAAAAAAATCGAGTCGACCAATCAGAATTTTTGTCGACTCAGCACATATCGACCAACAAGTCGAACAGTTGACTTGGACTTTACAGCCCTTTAGGTGAAGCACAATTTACAAAGAAATGCTGTCATTTCATTCTTCATTACTTCCCCTAGAGGAGCATACATCTGCTTATGACGAGTCTCAGTTTCACTGTAAGAAGTACACTGCCCAGAGGCTTTACTCAATCATACCTTAGCTGTATGAACCTGATTTTCCTTTGACTAACAAGTGATCTGCTAGTTGATTAAAGGTTGAGTCACTATCTTGCATAGACATGAAAGCTGAATAATCTGAGCCCTTGTTGGATTTCATTACAGAGTGTCGAGCAGATTCCTCCCTCAGGTTGAAACTCTTGGTCCAGAACAGATTGTTAGCTGCACTTGCATGCAGATACACAGTTAGAGATGAGTACGTTGTCATCCGATTACTACTACTACTGAAGGGTGGGATGTCTTTGCAATGGACTGTGTTCTGCCTACTTTTGCTCTCTGTATTGACCATTTTTTTCACCAGAACCTGCTGATGAGTGATTGGTCAATACTTGTTGGACTACAAAAACAGAAACCACTCTCCTGTTACGAGAGTCTATGTTTTTAAGTTGAATCTGTTGATAGAGATGGTGGAAGGAGCCATGCTTTGGTGTCCAGTAGTTAGAAAGAACCTGTCCTGTTGCAGAAAGTTTGAGGAGTGAAGCTTTTTACTTCTTTGACCTCTGCCTGCGATATTGTGACATCATCTCACCCAACAACCTCACTGGACGGATGAGAGAGAAGCGAAAGAAAACAATCATATCAGTACCTGGTGGTTACACGCTTGAAAAGAAAGGATGTTTAGAGTTCAACAGCAGTGGTCAATATGTATCTTCAGGCATGAGCAGTGTGTACATCAGGACTACGCTGGCTAACCTCTGCCCTGCCCCTCAGGCTTTTCAGGATGTCAGAGTCAGCCCCAAACACGCTGAATTACAAACAAACACAGATGCCCCAAATTCCACTTTCACTTGAAACAGTTGGCTGACCCCGTTTTCCCCTCTGTTCAGGTTACCTTTGCCCACTCTCACCCTCAGGCCAATGGTAATCCAATAGAGACTCAGTTTTTAAAGAGCAGGGTGAACAGGAAGACATTGTGTGTGACTGGTTGACCAGTGCAGGCCCCACCTCCTGCCCCATCGACCAAATGGGGGTAATAGAGACTTGAGTGCATGTTGACTAAATTGTAATTGTTTCAGTGACTTATGCCAGGTTACCCTAACTTCCTGTCAGCTCTGTAAGACAGGGACTCAACATCTCAACATCTTACCATGTAGGAACAGGGCTCCTCTTTTTCAGGTACACAACCTCAGCGTAGAAGCTCCTAGCGATGGGAATTCAGGCTCTTTTAAGTGAACCAGATCATTTGGCTCAGAAAGAACCAGCTTATTCAGCTCTCAAACCGCATGTATACCCTTGTGTGCCTTGGACTAGCGATATTGGCTTAGACCTCTGCATCTCAGTTGCTTTTATCCATCACTGTGGCATGTTTGCCAGTCAGTTGAAAACAAAACTGATTAAAGTCTTGTGTCTTTGCTCCTTCCTTCTCCTAAACTCAAACTCTCTTTCACTCAATCCACTTTGATTATCTCTCGTTTTTCATCTGTCACTACATCGCTCACTTTAGTTGTCTCACCTCCAGAGCCAGACGTTGGCTCCTCTGAATTCTCATGTCTCCAGAAGCAATATCCGGATTTGGTTTTGTGGTTGCACCATTAAATATCCTGAACAAAAGACATTCCCTTTGTGCAGCGGGGCATAGCCCTCCACCCCCAGCTTCAGTCAGATTGCAGGTTACATTCGCTCAAGAAAAAAAGTCGGTCATGAAGAGGTTGGAGGTAAAAATCCTAAAAGTTCTTCTTTTTTTACTCTCTTAAGGAGTCCCATGTGTTTCTTGTGTTTCTTTGCTGCCTGTCGTCTGTAGCTAAATAAGCAATAATTACAGTAAAATAATGTAATTGCTGTAATTTTACCAGAGAATAGCACTTCACCTGCTATTTGTTAACACTCTTCCAGTAGAGCTGCAAGCAGATGGATCACATGGTTCATGTCCATCTTAGACTTCTAGGCAGTCACTGAGCCAACAGACAAGGTCGCCTCCAAGAAACAAACAAAGCTGCACTCATCCTCTTAATTTTCAGGAATGTCCTCATTGAGACAAGAAAGACACTCATTCACATGGCGCTTAATCAGAGTCATACTCCCTGCACTAAATTTTGGAGAGCACTTGTTAAACAACCGTCTTGTGCTCGTACAAGAGACTCTATGTCCTCTTTAACCCACAGAACCACCACAGGACAATATTAGTTCACAGTCCTGACAGTGTCCCAGTCCAAGGCCACATCCGCTCACTGCTGCTTCAAACTGTGTGTCACCTTTTACGCTGAGAGTGATGAAGAAAAAAATACAGATCTTAAAAAAGTTTTGAGGTGAAATCCAACTAGGCTGTGTCTTGAGATAACATTTGTTTTGATTTGGCTCCATAAGAATAAAGAATGATCTTTTATACTAAATATGTACATTATCTGTTGCTATAAATACAGACCTTGATGATGAGTTTTTTGCAAACAGGCATATCACAAAAGATCAAAGAAGTTGCATTGTATTGTGTAGCTCTCCAGACTTTAAAGTCAGAACCCCTGTGGACAAAGTGTTGTTTGCTAATCTTGCCCTCAACATGCTTCAGCTGTGCTTTTGACAAAAACATCTCATGCTTTCACCTTTTGATAGATGAACGTATCATTTATTGTTAGTCTTTTATTAGGAAATTGTAAAAACAGGGTTGTTTTTTCAGCTGTTTGACTGACACCTACCCCTCACACTGGGTTCAGGCAAAAAAAAAATAGGATTTAGAAATTGTCGATCTTGTTTCCTGATGGTCTTGTTTGCTTTTTGATCTCATGGGAGCCATTAATATAGGATTTTTTCCATTACATAAATGTGGAAAAAAAACTGCACAGGAGCTTAAAAAAGTTCAACAACAGCTACAGTGTACCCACCTTGAAGTCAAGCCAACCCTTTTTTTTAATTCTGCAAAACTTGTGACCTTATTATCTTCAAAGCTAGTGAGTTATAAAACCCCAAACCCCAAACAATGTGTGCGGTACAGAAATTAGTCATTTGGGCCAATTTTTCATCTTTTTGTGCCAAGCTGTTAACATGTATATATTGCTTTAAAGATGGGCTATTTTAAATGACTTTCCATTCGTCTTCAGCTGCTTTTGGAGCCACCCTCCAGTGGACACTCGAGGTATTGCAGTTTCTAGCACCGCTTTATTTCTCAAGATCTGAGATTTCTGCACGATCAAAACATAATCAGTCTTTTTTGTGTGTGTACTAATTAATATTGAAAACCTAAAGCTGTGTATTGTAACCTAACAGTGTTTGAAGTAGCAGTGTAAGGACGTGCATTTTCATACTACATCTAATCAACAAAAAGCTCACGTGGCTGATACTCAAAATTAACTGTGTAGTCACATTATTGAAAGAATCTATATTCCCCCCCTTTGCTGTCCCATTTATACTCTGCATATGGGCTCAGATGAGTCAGCCGCAGTAGTCGTCTTCACATCCAGGAGTCTGTAACAATTATAGAAACAAAGCTTGACAACATTTGAGTAGAGAGTGGGGCCTCTGGCTGTCCTGCAGGTCTCTGCTCTCACCATTGTGCCGTCGGGTTTTACTGTAAATCTATGGGCCTCTTTGGCACAAGTCAAGCGGGTGTAGTCTATCTTTAACAATGTGACAGTTGGCAAGTGGGCTGACCCAGCATTAAAGACATATGTTGGGTAATACACTTGTCTACACACACATTTGCCAGAATTGCTCCCAGAAGTCCGCTCATCGAATGGTGGTGAGAATTTTTTGACGTTTCCACAATCCCGGATTTAAGATTAATATTTTCTTTTATATCTTATAACAAGCCCTGACTTTCTAATCCTACCGAGAGCCTGTGTCCCTTTCAGTTAAGTAATGAGCCTTACTTTACAGTCTGCAGCTTCTCCGGGGACTTTGATTTACTCTGAGAATTAGCAGACTTGAAGTAATTTATGTATCTGTTTCAGTGCATCATAGTAAAGCTATGGAGTGGGATGATTTGATTTTCTCTATTATAATGCCAGCTATTTCCTGCCAAATTTGCATGAGCTTGTGCAGAGTGACAGTAAACAGCCATGTGATTGTGGGCCTAATGGCACCACACACAAGAGTAATATTTCAAGTTTGGTGTCACAATTTGGAATAATTTCACAATACTGTGTCTCTGATGTTCTTCAATTTGAAGCTGTCTTCTACCAGTTGTTGAAAGCAGTTAGATCTCTTTTGACTGAGTATTGGCATAAGCAGACCTAGCTAACGGATCCCAAAGATTGATGTGTCGCAGCATAGGATTTGTGGAAAGTTTGCTGGAAGACTATAATAATTGGGATGTTTTTGTGAGCTGAGATTCCAGTCTAAAGATAGTTCCTCACATGGCAAACACAAGACTGAGCACGAAACCTGCAAACTGCGTGGCTCCTGGAATGGTGGCCTGGACAATTAGAGCAGAGGGGTCCACTCAGGGGTGCTGACCAGAAGCCAAGCAGGGCGCGTGATTCGGCCTGAAAGGTAGCAGCGATGATGTAGGGTCATGGACAAAGGCTCCACTCAGTGTTGCTCTTTTGCTTTACGCCTCACACTCACGCGCACTGGCCTTGGATTGCTTATTGAATTACGTCTAATCACTCAATTAAAGTCACATGGAGGAGCAGCATACGTTGTCCCAGCACAGCTACTGGGCACTGGATAACGGGTGCTGTGTTGGTATTCGTGGGAAGTTTTCAAAACAAGATGTCTGAAATGTTCGTACTGTGACAAGCGTCTCAATCTCTGACTGCGATCGTTGAGGTTTGACGACAGCTCTGGGAAAGCACCATCATAAATGTAGATCAAACAGACATATCCTGAACTGCTTCCTATTCATATGAGAGTGTAAATGTCATGATCAGATGTCACATGATTTTTAATGAATACTGAAGCGCTTCAGAAAAAGTGAAAGTAATCACCAACATGTAATAACTGACTGTGGGGTTAAAATACGGTATCAGTTTGGGTCGTATACATGCAAGAGAAAATCGGTCTTCAACGAATCATCCAGGTTTGTCAGTCCAACTATGAGAAGTTCGATTTCAGTGCAGTTTCAGTCAGATTTGAGGGTTAACATGCATTTAAAAAGTCCACTTTCAGTCAAACTATTGCAATAAAACCGAGGAAGAACAGCACTCTGTATGTATGTGTGTGTATGTATGTGTGGCTCCCACTGTGTGTTTACACGCTCTGCCTCTTTCAATTAGGTAATGCCATAATGTAGAGCAAAGTCTTGAGCATTAATATTAGACCCCTGCGTTCTACAGTAAGTGAACATGAAAGGGACAATTTTGTGCAAACTGCTGTTGCCATCAGTTGACCTGAATTTTTTTTTTCTCATGTCAGACCATTAAGAGGTTCAGTGCGTAGAAATAGTCAAATTAAGCATAATCTAGCAGTCATTTTTCAGAATTGAAGTGCTCCCTTACTCATCCCTCCTGTTGGCGAGGTGATGGTGGCCTTTGAAGACAAAAAGTTCCTCCATTCATCAAGTTTGTACTTCCAGAAAACGTCTATGAATGTAAATTCTTGTTTGCACATCAACCACTCTTTCCTTCTTCATCCTCTAACTGGTGCATTATGGACACTATCACTCACTTGATACAAAAATGCTGCTAGGTTGCCCAGACTGTGTTATGGTAGAAACATGGAGGAAAGATGGCAGCCTCAAAGAAGGGGACCCGCTCCCGTGTTGATATAAAAGGCTCATTTAAAGTTAATGATAGGAAAACTATTTTTGTCCTCAGGTGATTATACAAATATGATAACACAATAACAGATATTCTGTTTCTACCAAGTCTGCTCTGCTAAATGCCACTAAATACCACACTCTGCACCTCTAAAGGTCCCCTCCTGTAGTTGGTGTATTTCCATGACAGTGACATATTCAAAAAATACATGAGTCACTGCGGAAAAAAGACGTTTCTACCAAATAAGTGTAGTTCTTCGATCAATTGTGGTAAGACGGACAATAGTATGAATGATTTCAGACCCTTTTTTCTTGATCTAGTACAGCTGTTAACTTGATAAAGATTTGAGTCATTTTCCAAAGTATGAGATAATAAGTATATTTAGCTAACTCATTTGGTCTTATCTTAGCTCGCAAGCCCAGTCCCTTTTAGTAAAACAAACAAAGCTGCAAATTTTCCCATTTAGGATGTTAATTTCATTTACTTTTTCGTTTTCTTTGCCTGAAAATTGAGATTTATGACAAACTGATTTTTTTACAGGGTTATTCAGTTGACAAATTTAAAAATCATTTCATCTCTAGTTGAAATAATAGTAACAAATTTGGACATTTTTCTTTCTAAAACACCAGTTGACATCATTAATATACAAAACGAACCTTTTTTTTATTAACACAACATAATGATAATTATTGAAAAAACTGTGATCATTTGGAGTTATATTTTCATAATTTCAAATCATGTTTGATAGAGGCTGTTTATTTATTTAGATAGTTCTATGTATATGTCGGAGACCTCACGCAGGGTCAATCCCAAGGTCTCTTCCTGCTCCATGTGGAGATGAAGTGTGTCTGCTGCTGGCCGGGTGTTGAGTGGCAGCAGTGAGTGAGGAGGAAATGGGGTCTGGCATGTTGACTCAGGAGTAAATCCCCCTGGACTTCTCAAGAGGCTGCCATTAGAGTTTAATCACCCTGTGATCCTGGACACACTCTGGAGCTGAGAGGGAGAACTGATGAGCATGCGGCGCGCCAACTGTGAGCATCCTCTCATCCAGAAGCTGCAATCAATGCTGTGGATGGATGAGTGCAATCCAATGATGAGGACACACCATAAGCTCTGAAGAGAGTAATGATGCTCTCTTCTTTCCACGTTTGATGCCTCCTGTTTTATTAGAAACTTTCTCTCATCTGTGTTTGGACAATTGCTTTGTGAAGCCCGTATTATACTTGTAAATGATACTTGAGTGTGTTATTCTTCTTCCTAGTTCTACTTTATTACCTCCAATTTTCTCAAGGCCTTCAGAAAGTACTTCCAATGTCTCAACAAGCCAGCTCTTACTTTTCATTATTCACAGCTTATTTTTAGACAAAGGGCCCATTCTGTTGTCTGTGAAAGCAAAAAGGCAGAGCAGCAGTGAATTGTTTCAGGGACATTTACATAATACCGAGTGACTGAGTCCCTATTTTAGGCGGAATTCTTTCCAGACATCGCTGTTTGAGCTACCAGAGAGAAGAACAAGTGTGGAGAGAGAGGGACTATCAAAGGAGAGGAACCGAGCTTTCATGTTAGGACACTTTGATTGTGTTACAGATTGGTTCCAGGTGAGGTAACTTAAAAAAGAAAAGGAATCCCAAGGGAAGAGAGAAAGTTGTAACTAAGGATGGCATTGGCGGGATTTAGGCATTATGAGAAGATTTAGAACAGCAGGTGGAAAGAATCGATGAGTCTCAAATATTGTGTTTTGTGGTGGGTGGCATTCAGGGGGGCCTCAGCAGCTTGGGGAACTGTCTTTGTTTAAACATAGACAAAGTTTTCTTAGATGAAAGAAAATGGTGGGAAGCAATATGTTCAGCCAACACTGTACTTAAAGGCGCTGACTTTGAATCTCACTCTTATAGTAATATGACCTTCATGACCTTCTGAGTTACATTATCAGCCATAAGATTAGTTATTGCTTTGTACTTCAAGTTTATGCCGGAGTTTGAAAAGAAATAGTTGACAATTGTGCAAAGTTTGGACATTTATTTAAAGACTGGAACACATCATGACACTGGGGCTATGACAGGTAATGTTATATCAGTACTTTTGGACCCTACTCTTAAGTTTCTAGGTGTAAATCACAGTTTGTCATTAAAATGTTAGCATTAATAATTTTACTTACCTGAAAATATATAACATCAACACTCTGCATCCGGCAGATTGTGTTCTTGAACTAGGAAAAGTGTGTAAAAGAAGACATGTATTCCTGTCATTAGATGCACACTTCAATAGGAGAAACATCTTTATGACAGCAGGTGATAACACTCATGGGAAATGCAGTCTCTAGTCCAGAAAATCACACCAGTATTAACCCAGAGAGGCTTCAGGCACAATCTAAACATCTTAGGACTTTCTTTTACTCCTACTTTTAGAGCTGCAACTATAAAAGTTATTTTTACTTTTGATAAACCTAACTTATGTGCCTTATGGATCTTTTTTTCAGCCTCACAATATCCCAGAGCTGGTTAACTGTATTAAAGCTCTTAACCAACACAACACCAAAATCCCAAGTTTTAGCTATCACTTAAGCCTGGATTTATAGTTATTTATTTTACCACTTGTACAACATAAAAACAAAAAAGCTCAAAATCTTCTCTCTTCAAATACCAAGAATGTCAAAACTTTCAAAGCCCCTGTACAGACAGCATCAGAATCCACTAATTGGCCAAGTATGTGTACACAAGGCATCAGGTTGCAGTTTACAAGGCTTTCTAAACACATATACCAACATGCGCACACAAATACACACTGAAGCAGTAACGCACAAAGAGGCAAAATGGTGCCTTTATGTCTTTTTCAGTTGAGCCACAGAGCAATGCTTATTTCTTTTTTTAAATAGTCGTGTGTAAAAATCAGCCCCAAGAGGTTTCTGCATTTGTATTTGTAAAACTAGAGCAACAGAGAGAAAGTCCTGTAATTTATCCATGTGAACCAAAACTCCAGTAAAGCACAACTGAATGCATGAATTTCACTTGAAATTGAGTCATTTCTATTTCCAATTAAATATAATCCATTTCAAAAGTCTTTGGATGTGATGTTAAAACCCCGTAGTCAACTTTCTGTGCCGAGGTTCTTCGCAATCCGTCCAGCTTTGGTCAACCATCTTACCACTGTGCTTTATGCAATGATTGGAAGCAGGCATTGTGTGGGAAGTCCAATTAGAAACGGGAAATTGCTCTGAGCTCTGCGCTGTGTAGCCAAACTTTGCCGCATGGTCACTTACCTGCACATCTGCACTGGTTTTGTAAAAGCAGTAGCCACCTTTTTCCAGCACCTTAATTGGAGTTTCCATTGCTGATTGCCTGAAAGAGAGGTGTATTGCTACGGTCTGCTTCCTGGTAATGGTCTCTGGCTTTTCACTGATGTCTGATGAGAAGGAGGTGGAAGTCAGGTTTAGATTTATGCCAGGAAGTCTTTTTTTGCTTATCTAAATAAAAAACTTTTGAGGTCCCTGAGATGTGTGGTGCAAAATGTCACCCACTGCTGCCAAAACAAAGCCTTTTGTGAAGTCTCATTAACAGGAGGGTGTTGTGTTGTAATTAGAAAAAGAGAAAATACATTGGCATGAAAAGAAACCACAGGGAACGCTCACTTAACTGTTAATTGAAAAAGCAAATTCATTCACCGTAGATAAATCTTAAACATCATGTAAGATCCTCAGTTATGAAAATAATTTTTCTGCTTCTCTGGACAGATTTTAAAATGAGCCGCTCTCTTTGCTTGCCTTCACTTTTGACCTGTAACACCATATCCACTCGATCACTTTCATACCCAACCCCGCGAGAATGTTTTCATGTGTCATGTTGGCTAATTTTCTCGTTTATTCGTCCGTGAAAGCACAAGGAGTCTGTGGTTTTGGAGTTATAAAGCACGTAACATGATTGAACTTTCTAATCCATATTGTGTGGTCTTGACATACAGCTACATTTATTACTGCGCAATATTGTGAGTCAGTGTGAGAGAAAAATGGTTCACCCAACACCTCGCCCAGCCCTTAAGGGCAGCACTTTTTCCCCGATATGTTTGATGCAGGTCGTGGGACAAACGTGGATTTGGTTTATCAGAAGCCAGAAACACAGCTCAACATATGGGGATCATTTTAGGAGGGAAACATGACTTATAGCCAAAGAAACATATTCAAGAAGAAAAAAAACACAAGAGGTATATGGGCTCAAAACAGATTTACTGCACTGACATCACATATTTTTTTTCTACTATTAAGAATTTCAGCTGTGATAAAAGCAGTGATAACCTCGCACATTTACTGAACTACCCCACTTAAAGGGAAAGCGTAAATTTGAGGAAACTAGCTTTTTAACCCAGAGTTAGATAAGTGGATATATCTGATCTCCTGTCGTACAGTAGAATTCAAGCTAGGACCTCCAGCTTAGCTTACGCAAGGAGTAGAGCTGTAAACAGCCAGGAGGCACGATTATGACAATAAGAAAGTCTGTCAGTCAAATTTTCACCCACAACTTTTTGGACTGAGAAATCGTCCTTTTTGCACCTTTTTTAAGGAATCATTTCATTTACCTTTATACGACAGGAAACACAGGGAGAAGAGACTCAAGGTTGCGGCCATTAGTTTAACTAGCAACTTCTGCAACAAAGACCAACCACAGTACTGCACATGCATACAAGGCCATCAGCGCCCCCTTTTTACACTTAATGTATAGTTTTGATTTGAGATTTTCTAAAATAAAAATCTGTTCATACTTGTTTTTTGTTACTTTTGGATGGAGCAAAGCTAGCAGCTCTCCTCTGAGCTAACGGACCACTTGAGCTTCAGATTCCCTGCACAGATACGAAAAGGGCTTAAATCTCTCGACTCTAGCTGCTCTAAAGTTCAGTCAGTTTTAAAAAACTGTTCTGTCTGGATGGGAAGAGAAGAAACTGCTCCTGGTTAACTTAGCCAAGCATTGAAAATCTAATGGCCATCATTTGGCAGTCAGTAACAAAATCCGCAATCCAATCCTCCATTGGCCAGCCTTACAATATAATCTAATAAATACTGAGTTTGAGAGCTACAGAAATTTTAACTTTTAGCCAAAGCCCCTCTGTAGAGTTGCTCTCCCCCTGTCCAGTCTTTGCTAAGTTAAGCTCGCTGACTGCTCTACTATCTTTCTTTTTGCTGTCGGGATATAAAAGTAGTATCAATTTATTCTTTTTATGTCTGAGAAAGTAAACATATCTTGCAAAAAATCAAACAAACCTTATCATCTGAAACTGTGAAGTTCAGAAGATGTAGCTATGTGCCCTTGATTGTGCCGTAAAAAGGGTGCTACATCCTGTAGGGGGTTAGCTTAGCATGAGTATGCTAATCAGTGACAAAACCAGTTAAATGCTACATTAAGATTTTTCACAGATATTATTAATTCAAAGTGTGATGCATACAAGTAAAATACTCATTTGTGCATTAATTTTTTTTTTTTTTAATTTGGAGTATATTTTTCTTTCATTTTGCGACAGATTTATCGTTGGAGTATTTTTCATATTTTAGTCAACGCTGCAGTGTAGCACCCCATACAGTCACAGAATCCATCACATCACACTTCTTTACACCCGGTCCAATGAGAGGACAGTGTGGGAGAGTATTTCTTAGTCTAAAATACAAAGACTCATGCAGGCAGTTGTAGATAAGATATGGAGGGTAGATACAAATAGGTGAGAGGGAGTGTGTGAGGTAAGAAAACAGAAGGAGGGAAAACAGTGGAGGTGGAGGAAGCTCAGTCCTGGAGTTTTTCTTGGGCCCCAAAGGTCCTACCTAATAAATCTTCAGCACATATTTAATCCAGTCCGAGGACATGCTAGGGGAGAGTAAGAGGATGCACGCTTATTACTCACCTATTCCCCTCTGCTTGCATGAGCAACCCCCACTCCTCAAACTTCACCCCCCTGTCCTCCATGTAGACTGCAGGCGCTCCGACTATCAGAGCATCGGAGCAGGAATGTGACTCCTGACAGGCACATCTCTCAGGACCACAGACTGAATATGTTCCCAATTAGCTGCATCTGATAAAGTGTGAGTGCAAGTGAAACCCAAGGCGGGCATGATCAATAGCACTTGACTCATTGTGTCACATGGGTTTGACATTGACAGGCCGCACTGTGATTAATCACTGTGGTGCTGCAGATAATTGCCTGACCACGTCTTCCTTTGTAGGTGTTATTGAACTCTGACTGTCATGTCTGTTTCTGGAAAAAGGCTTTCACTTTCAGATGAGCTCTGATTAATCTTTTTTTCAAGCTGGTATCCTTACTGCACCCAGTTTTTCTCAACCTGTCCATCACTTATTTAATACACACACATCTGGCCCTTTTTAGCCTTGTGTATCCTCACAAGTTCCTTTACCTGGACAAGAACTGCCATCTGCTGTCCACTCAGCAGACTGCAACAGATAAATGCTGATGTGTGGTTGTTGTTTCAGTTTGATAGAAACAAGCTGCACGCTGCTGTGGTTACATCCCCTGAAAGTCTCCTTGGTTTTTCCATGCACACACAGCTGGATGTTTTTATGTTTTTTACCCGTACGGGATGGCTGTGACATGGGCACTGGAGATGAAACAGGCCTGCCTCGGCACACAAACACAGCACTACACTCGTGGCCTTGTGTACAGCTGCTGGGGATGACACAAGAGGCACAGGGCTTTATTGAGTCCTGCTGAGGCTGCTGTGAGAAGCAGGCAGGGTGGTGCTCTGGCAAAACTCAGCCTGCAGGGCAACCAACACAGGAGACCGAGGCCGAGATGGATTGCAGGCCGCTTGGCTGATGCGGAGGGACTCTGCAGGCGAGTGTGTTGTTGAGATGAGACCTGGACTACCCTAAGGTCTGGACTTACTACACTCTGTAAACTTTCTTTAGGGAGAAAGCAGCAGTTAAACACTGCAACACCCTTTTTTAAAATGAGGGGACTATACTGAACAGCTGCAAATACTCAAATATTGATCTAAGGGCTTGAAATTTGATTTATTTCCTTTTTGTTTGGGAATTTCACATTGTCAGAACAGAAAATAATGCATCACCTCTGTTTAAGACTGCAGCTATAAAGATGAGTCTACCGCCATGCTCGCAGCTCTGTGAAGCTGAACGCATGTCAGATCTGATTGTCATTTGTTAATAATTTTGCAACACAGCTGTCAATTTAGTCTACAACTGAGACTCTTGGGAGCATTTTGCAAGAATCTGGTAATAAACCAAAGTATTAGACGATTTTAAAGTCTCACATGAATCAAGCACAAAAAGTACAAAATCAAAGTTTTGCAATTCGTCCTCAGAAGATCTTGAAAGTCTTGACGTCAACAGAATTCTTTGTCTCAAAGACTCAAAGCTTCAAATCAGTATGATGACACAGGATCAGCAGATTCATTCAAACTCAACCTGTTTTTTTTTTAGATATTTCTCAGGGGAAAAAAGGACACTTTGATCTTCCACAAGAGTTGATTCGGTTTCTCTCAAAGGGTACAAAGAGTATCCTGTACCAAATCTAACCAAAAACTCCCCAAGATAAGTCACCAAGAGTGAAAAGTGCTTGTCTAACAGTATGTTTATACAAGGTTAGAGAGGGGACAAGAGTGAACTACCCTCACAAAAAGTGTCAGTGTGTAACTTTTTTGCTTGGGAGTGACTTATTTCATAAAGAACATTAAATAAAAGAGATCTGTCTATACTTACCGACAAAAACGACATAAATCACATGAAATACCTGTTTATTCAGAGTAGCAACAACACTTGATGGTTGTTTCTGTGAGTCTCCCCTGACCACTAAATTCCCAGTGTGTGGCATTACAAGGACCATTCTGAACCAGCTGTATTTCACACAGAGAATAATCATATCACACAATCCCACACTGTAAGAAATGAATTGTGTATTCATCAGGGTGTTTACATGCAGCTTTGAGCTCTCAGACCCAAACACCTCAAACAGAGCGTACCACCAACCACAGACTAAGGTTACCAGTCCTGTGTCACCAGCAGAGAATTCAGCAGACCTCTGAGCTGTTGCCAACTCTCTATACATTCATGTCTTTGATACGTGATTTATCGACTCATGTTTTTTTTGCCTGGTGTTCAGTGTGGAGCTCATTTGTTGCTGAGATCACCATGTGGTAGTTTTTTCTTCTACACAGCCATTCCTCAGACGTTGCTTAATGCCGCACTGACGACTCTTCTTCAATCTGCAAACCTCCACATGAGTGAAAGCGAAGCAACCCTCTGTGTGATTGCACTGTTGACTCCCATCTCTAATGTGGGAAAACTTGTAGGGATCCCCATGAGAATCTTTGTCAGCGACAGCATCGTCTCAGCTTGGGTGGGTTTTAACATGCCGTTTTCCTAAATATCTCCATCTCTAAAAACCCTGTTCCTCCACATTTTACAAACTTACCTCGTCCAAATCGATGAAATTAATTAGGAGATGTTCCTCTGGTTATTTTACTTTATTTTTTTAGCATTACACAACTTGTTCAGCAGTTTAAACTTTTTTTAAACATGTTGCTGGCATCATTTAAAACTGTGAATCCTTTTACTTTCAACATTTGCGGTCCGAGCTCTATATTCAACTAAATATTGGTTTCAAATGATTTTTAAATCATCGAATTCTGTTTTTATCCACATTTTACACCGCGTCCTAACTCATATGGAATCAGGGTTTTACTTCTACATTCTTCCTTTTTGCAAATTGTTTCATGATCATACTTGCAAGGCTGCTTAACTCTCTGTGGTCAGGCACCCTCATTCTCAACCTCACACAGAAGAGCGGCTCATGGGTTCAATTATTGCTGTTATGTCTGTAAAGATAACTGAGGATGGCAGGAGGTGGTGGGATGGCACTGCAGGAGCATGCCTTGTGGTTGCTTCAGAGAGAGCTGACAGATGGCAGACATAAAGAAGAGAGAAGAAACACTCTGAAGCCCACCAGCTTTGACAAAATCAGAGAGAGCAAACGTGTGTGAACATCATGACTTCATTAATGCCAATTTCTGCTGTTTCTTTAGCTTCATTTCTTTCGGTCTTCTAACCACAAGAGTTTAGTATGAGACAGAGATGAATTCTCAGTAGAACTGCATCAATCAGCAGCACAATATTCAGCAGCTCACTGGACAAAACCCAATACCGGCCTCATCTAGCAGATGGTTATTGTGATTTCTTTGCTTATAGTGACCTCTTGTGTCCAGAAGAGAATTACATCAATCAATTGCTGATTTCTTTGTTACTCAAGCAAGAAGAATCGTCATTTCTTTAAATTGTATTTTATTCAACGAGCTGACAAGTAAATATACAAAAATGTTCCAAGGATTCTGTCCAAAGAGTTGTAGCATTTGCAAAAGAGATACTGGAAAGACCTTCAAAGAGTCGGTACATTAGTATTGCAAGAGTTCCCTCAATCACTAGAGGGCACACCAGTTCAACCTGGTAATACAGTACAGTCATTCAGGTGATGACAAGTGGAAACAAATATTTGAATTAACTTGAGAATCTAGTTCAGATTTATTTAATTGCTCTATGAGTTCTCATTAATACCTCCTTAAATTTATGTGGAGTTTTTCTGGTGATGAGTCGGTAGTTACTCTTATAATCATCTGTCAAAAGTCTTTGGGTCTGTGCAGCAGGGAGGCTGAACATGCAAATTTTAATTAAAAATAAATTAAAAATTAAGCAGTCCATTAAACAATTCCATACTATCAGCATTAAATTCTGTAACTTTGAGACCCATTTCCCCCCAACTGACAAATTATCATAAGCAGAGAGAGTAACAAAAGAAACTGATCCACACAATAAATTATTACTGAAATTCTTATTGAACTTTTTCAGACCAGACTGAGGTGATCCAAAGATTGGGTTTTAGATTGTTAAAAAAAAAAAAAAAAAAACTCAAAAATTCCAGTGTGTTTTTTTCAAACAATAATGGCATGTTTGAGTTTTATCAGTATTTAAGAAAAAAATGGGTTATTTTTGCATTTATAAAGCCTTAAATGACAAGCTTTCTGTTATTGCTGGTGCATTCTTTATTTGACATCAGCAGGAAGCAGTGCAGAGGTGTAGTCTCTCCTTTTTAAGTTCAAATGATCAACACCTGACTCGTGTGTCAAATCCTGCTGAGCATCGTGGAAAACTGGGAGAAAGGCAGGGGGACGCTCCTTCATGCTGAACGAGAGATTTTCTTCTAAACCATGCTGCTGTTGTTGCTGTTGAGTTTGGTCCACTCAAAGATGTCCTGCTCACACACAATGTCGGAGTTGATGAGGAGGTAGCGGTCACCCACGCAGAAGTGTTTCTGGCAGGCAGCACACTTGAAGCACTCCAGATGGTAAACCTTGTCTCGCACACGCATTGTCATTTCAAATGCTCGAATCCTCTTCTCACAGGACGCACAGAGACCATCCTGACCAAACAGTCTGCATGAGGAGAAGAGATAAACAAAATATATAATGGAATGCTGTACTGTACATTAAGCACTAGTTGGTGCCAATGTTCCTGAGTTACAGCAGAATAAAGTTCTAAAATAAAGTGAAATACATTAGCACTGTGAAACTTAAAGCTCTTGTAAAAAGTTTTTTTTTTTTTTTTTCATGAAAAAAGTGGAAATCTATATTTGTGCCTTTTCATGACAGCTAAGGGCAAAAAAGACCAACAGCTTCAAGACTGACCATTTAGTTGCTGTTTTTTTATGACTGAGCCTGGTGTGGAAGGGTTGGTATCAGCAGAGCATTTTAAAATACAGCACTGTTTTTGTTTACTCATATTTGACTATCAAAACTCAGCAAGAAAAGATTTTTGTTAAATATTACTGCTCAAGAATGAGTTTGACAAGATGAACTAAAACTGTTTTGTCTACAGGGGACATCAAAAATTGACACAAACTGAAAGATTCTCACAGGAGCTTAAAAAATATCTTCAATATTATAACACATGGCTTATTGATAAGACAGGGCTGCAGTGTATAATGTCTTTTATTCATATGCCACAAGAGGATCATGAATGTGGTACTGTCAGTATGTGTGTATAATCTGTGTCTACAGCTTTCTTGACAATATTCTGATCTTACTACTGGTCTGACCTACAAGATCACCTCAGACTGGATTTATTAGTCAGGAGGACTTTAAAACTTGGATTAAGGATCATCTGAAGAGTGAATACACATACTGAGGTTTACTAAGGAAATCTGATAATCTATTGATCATTGTATTTGGTTTACGCTACTGTTTGACATTTGTCTTTCACAATGAGTGAAACTTTTTCATTCTGTTATCTCGACCAGGACTCCATTAAAAAGAGATTTTCTATATCAATTAAAATATTTATGATAAATATAGTTTAAATAAAAATAAACTTTAACAAAATCCAGATGTTACAACATCACACCAACCTAAGGTAGTCTCTCCGACATAATTTCCTCCCCAGTTTGTAGTAGAGCCGACGGCCCACCTCCCCGAGCCGACACCCACACAGGTCACAGCTCAGACAGTCCTCATGCCAGTACTGCTCAATGGCCTTTAGGAAGAATCTGTCACCGATGCTCTGCTGACACCCACCACATGTCAGCAGAGATGGAGGCATCTGCAGGACTTCATCCACCGGCTCCCTGCAGGAAAAATAAACTTTTTAGAAACATCATATATTCACACAGTAATCTGTATTCTGTAAAAAGAGAAGGGATTGTGAAAATGTACCAATTCTTGAAGCCAACAGTGGCTCCCTTGTTGATTTATGAAGCCAAGCCTTTAAACCAAAAAGTTTTGAGTTTTTGCTGTTGCAGAGAACAGAAAAGTTAAGACAGGGCTTTTGGCATGTATGCTGCATAATAATGATTCAAGATCAACTGTTTAACCTCTTAAATATCAATTCAATTACCTTGTTTTTTTTAGATGGAATACGGATTAAGCTAATTATTTTTTTTGACCTGGCTCTATTTTAGGTCCTCTGATTATCTTCTTGAAATATGAAAAATTGAAGCATTTGATGCCGGCCACCTGAGGGACCCACTGAATACACACTACAAAACAAACAAACTTCAGTAATCCCATCATAGTTCAGTTTTTTACTTTTCTTTCCCAATCAAAGTTTACAGCTTTTCACAGCCTGGATAACAACTCTTGTACATTTGGTATTTTCCTCAAATCAGCTCTTCATACTTACCATAAAATATGTTCAGTGAAATATCTGAGCTCAAATCATGTGTCATTTTTTAAAGACGGTGCATCTTAATGAAAATGAGACTAGAACAAGTCTGTGCATGATTCCATACCCCAAAATTTAGTTTTGTTTTCAAATATCTAATACAGGTTAAATAAGGCGGATGTGGTTTGAACAATGTTTGGATGCACAGATGTAGTTTTGTAATTGCTGACAGTCTTTTGAGAAGAGGAAAAACTCCAAACACAGAAAATAGTTTTATCCCTATAAAACACACATGAAATACACAACAAAATCAAGACAGATGGGATATGTCACTTGTTAAGAGTTTTTAAAAAATCATTTCAATTTTTATTTATTGGCCAAGAACCAATTTAACTCTCTTTTTACACACAAATAACAATATGATGTCTGACCTCTGACCTCATGTTATTATGCATATGAGATAGTTTGGCTGTCACAACGAAAGTGCGCCATTAAAGTTTTATTTTTATAAACATATCCTACATAGTATCATCGCCACAAAGTAGAGAAGATACTTACTCGTTTGTTTCTAGTGTTTTTCTCTCTATGGTGGATGTCATCTCGAGTATCTGCGGTCCAGTCTGATCTAGAGAAAAGGTTTCAGAGTCACATCCAGACCAGCGGCTGCCTGTCAAGCTGCCTGCGGGGACACTGGAGCCCAAAGCCGCTGCACCTGCTCCCACAGCCTCCGAGGCGCCTCTTACCTCCGGATTTCAGCTTTTTTCTCCCCTGTTAAACTGTCAGACAGCAGCGTCTTGTGGAAATGGCCGCAAAACAAGAAAATATCGCTCTAAGCAGCTAAGCGATGATGGAGGACGCTGTCATCATTTCCTGAGGCAATAACCCGCCGTGACACCTCCATGCCTGTGAAGTGTGGGTTACGGTTTCCTTAAAAAGACACTCTGAAGACACATTTTTATAATTCGACACCAGCAGACTTAGAAAAACGCTGTTACTCCGTGTCCTCGTGCAGGTTTGTTTAGGCGAGTGGACCGTTCACGCGCTCAGCAGCAGCAGCACGAGCAGCAGTATCGTATTTAAATCCACCAGCCCCCCCTGCTGCTGCTCTCTGCTTTCGTTTCCCTCTTCCTGCTCACGACTGTTTGACAATGGGGGGAAATGGGTCTTAAAGCGACAGCTAAACACGACTCCAGCTGCTCAGTCAGGCGCGCTGGAAGGTCGTGACTGGGACTGATGGGCCCATTATATCTGAGCTTTGTTTGAGCAAAGACTCCACAAGATACAAAGAAACAACGTGATATCGTTATCACGAGGCGTGTGATTTTTCTGAGGTCAAAATGCGCCACATTAGCCTGCTTTATGTGAGCATAAACAACGAGGTTTATCATAAATGTGCAACATGATTTAAGCTTTTTCAGGTAGGGGAGAGTGGGGTAAGTTGAACCACCCCCTGTTGCTTTGAGATGGTCAAAGAAATTGATCATATGACCAAATATTTAGGAGATGTGCATCAATTCATGGAGTCTGTGAAGGTTAGAAGCACATGGGTGAAGAGGTTAGACATTTATTTACAAAAAAAATCATTTTTCACTCTTGAAAGTGAATTTAGTCTGTCATAAGTTTTATTAGAATTGTGTTCAGACCAAAAAAGATCATTTTAATTTTCTTGAAATATATGCAGATACAGTAGTTAGAGACAAAACTATGATTGACTTGATGTAGTGATCTGAAATATGAAACATGGCTCATCTTACCCCACTCTCCCCAATATTTTTTATCAAAGAAAGTTTCATTGAGCATTTGTTGGTTCTCAGTAAATTACTAAAATTACTCATTCATGAGGTCAATTGGCTTAAGACCCACACCAGCAGTAACAGCTTTTGTTGATGACTTTTGAAACATATTTCTAACTAGACTTGGTATGAGTGGTGAAACTGATAGTGTACTTTAGAAGCCTATATTTTTCTTTTCAGTCTTTTTAACCTTTTTTTTTTTAAACAAGTCAGGGAAAAGATTGTGCCAGGTCTATTTCTTCCACAGTTGTTGTAGAGCTACTTTGATTTGCACACAAAACATACAATAATCTTTCAAAATCTCAATGACTGTTTTATTATTTATTGAAAGCCCTAAATTATGTGGGGGATTAAACTGGCTTTGACCAAAGCTCTGATGGGGTTTACATGGATTCTGATGTTTGATAAAGGAACAGTAAAGGCACAGAGGTCTGAAAAACATGCACTCTGTCCACCTTTAAGTTCTGAAATAGGCAGGTTGGCAGTTTGGGATGAGCACTTTTGTCTGGACACTCTGCCAGTAACAGGGGCAGAGTTTTGACTATAGCACTCATAATCTGTGAGGAATGACTCAAGATTTTCTCACTATGTAAGCCTTGAAATAATCCTTGAAATAAGCAATAAGTAGAGATAGTCATGTAAGTACTGCACAATCACCTCCTTCATCTCTTTCTGTTTGTTAGTCAACCATAAATACTGATTTCATAACATCTGAGAGGCTTTTCTATGTTGCATTTGGTAGGGTTGGGGCTCATTCAGAATTCCCTTTTCATACATTTGAAGACTCAACATTGTAAAGTGATTATATGTTTGTTTTTCTGCCTTCATAAGAAGCAGCTGCAGTTTTATGTAAATTTAGTGATGCTGAAATATAATTTCTTTCACGTATGGGTTTGCAAATTGGGATGAAAAAACACCCCTATATTTGCCTTAAGTTCTCAAGTTATTTCCACTGCAATGCTCATTTATAAAATCCAGATTTTCTTTTTCACAAACTTTGCTGGTACATTAGACTTTTCACCATGATTCCTCTTGTTGTTATTTGTCTGCTTTCCTCCCAGCTCTTGGATTATAAAGTGGACCTGCTCACTTAAAAAAACTGTCATCCAAAAACAAGATGCTTTAAAATATCATTGGAAAAATCTCCTGATCAAGTTGTGATAAATTGATGCCATGATATTTCTGCAATGTCGATGTCCTTGCAGCCTTTGCTTTTAAACCAGAGCCGCTGCAAGCCCTTCTTCTTATCTACTGCCAGAGCCTCAGGTCTGCCTGCAGGAGGGAGGGACACACGCAGCAGTTGGACTGGGCAGAGAGATAAAGCATTTTGACTCCAGCAGCTTCACACAGCTCCTCAGACAGATGCAACCAAAGGACAATCGCAGTTTAACTCTAAATTCAGGCTAAATGTATCCCGGGGCAAGACAGTAGTTGGGTTGTGGAGGCTTGTTGGATAAACACCAGGCTGAGAAGGCCCAGGAGCCACTATGTGGTGCCAGATGTACAGAAAGCAGCCTGACAGGGATAAAACTTAAAACTGCATGTCCTTCATAGAAAAACATTTTGGCGATTTTTTTTTATACCAACTTTCTTTGAACATCACACATTTAGTTACAATCACATGTGTTCATACTTAAGCCATGAATATCACCTTTTAACCTTTATTTCATGGCTGATAAGATCTTTATCACCAGAAGGGCCACTCTGGAGGTGAGGCTTAAAGGTAAACCACATAACCAGATCATGTCAGCCTGATGGGTTTTACATGCTGTCGCAGAAATGTAGCTTTTATTTTATTTTTATTCATCCTTGACTTTAAAATGAGGTACTAAAGTTGATTCTCAGTGATCCAGTGGTCATCCAGAATCTGGTCTGAAATATAGTCTGTTTAATAGCTGCTTTTGTCTATAGCACATATCTACTTAAAACAAACCAGCAGTTCTCAGAAATATGGGAAACACGATTTTTATATTACAAAAAATCATTCAACTGCTGAGGAAGAAACTTAGAAACTTTTGTTTTGGACTTTGTTATTGTTTTCAAGGTAAATAAGAACTCTCAGTCTGAGTATATTCAACATATTTATAATATCATACAGTGTTTTATGAGTGTTCATCTTACACAACAAATTTTATGCCAGGTGAAATTTTTAATAGCTTGCATTACTAAATACATGCTCTCTTGCTAAAGTTTCCTTTGATAATAGCTTGTCATATTTGTTGTATGAAATTCTTGGCATCTCATCAGAAATATCAAGAATTTTAAATAAAGTCAAGCAGGTTTAGATAGTCTAAAGTGTGCAAAAAAGTATTTTTTTGTTAAACTCTGGTGTAACTGTGCAGTGTTTGGAGAGCTTTATTAAAACCCATGACTTGATCCACGCAAATGTCACTGCAGAGCTTAGGAGCAAATTTATGACAATTAAGAAACATGATCCACACAATGTCACTGCAGAGCTCAGGAGCAAATTTATGACAATTAAGAAACAAGCAGAGAAAGTCAGTTCTGATATGACAAAGCCCCCCCACCCCCCACCCCCCTTTCCTGTGGAGTTGACAGAGACAGCCCAGAGGATGTGCAACTGGCATGCAGAGCAGAGATGAGGCTTTCCTGGAGGGTACTGCACACAGTGTTCACTTCCTACCCTTTCCCCATGCATGATGGCACCCCGCTCATGGCCTCCCAGATAGACAGGTCGGGTCCAGATGGTTTTGTATGATAGGAGTAACAAAGCTTCTAGCATAACAGAAACTGTAGCTTGTTGTCATTTGGCAGTAAGACCTTTATCTGTGACTTGTGCCCTCCTGAAAGTCACTAAACCCAAGAAAGCTGCAAACCTCATGACTCAATCTTATGCTGTGGGTTTTAATTGCTATAAGTTCTCAGCCTTTATTTTTTCAAAGGGTCAAATTTGGAAAGCAAATAGTTAAGTTTGTAGTCAACCTTTTGGGAGGTGGTGTCACTCATGTCCAGCTTCCTGTTTTTTTCCATTTGGTACGGAGAGTTCAATGGAGTTGAAAGCAGCATGGAGTTTTAGGGCTGCTAGAAACACAAGTGTCACCAGAATGCAAAAAGTGATTATAATAATATTAGTAATAAAATAATGCTAAATATTTAGTGCTCCTTCATTTCTATCCTTTAGTAAATATGATGATCTGTAGCAGAGAATAGCAGGGATTACATGCACCGTCCCCCCATCATGCTAAAACATATGAATGACAATGGTTAAACATACTGTACATTCATGTTTAATGGACACTAGCCTGCCGGCTCATTTACCAAAATAAGAGAACTATAGACATGTTGTTGACTCTGTGATAGCATGAACTCTGTACCAGCAAAACCGTTTACTTCCTGCCTAATCTGATGTAATGTGATGGTTGGCTATTGTTTGAAATCAGCCTTTTGAAACGGTCACAGGTCTATAAAAAAGACTTTCTTTTAATCACATTGTTACAATAGTCGTATAAGTTTGATCAACCAGAAGTTAAAACAAGTTCAACTGTTAAAAAAGTGAAGGTCAGAGGTTAGAAGAGGAGCCACCCTGGAGTTCTTTGTGCACATGACTGATTGACTGTGTTTAATGTTGTTGTTTAATTGAGACACAGCAGGCGGCGGAAATGACTCATTCGTTGAAAGGGAGCTTCACTCACCCTGGGAATCCTCCCGTAATCAGTGTTATCCCTGAACGAAAACACTTTCAATGGAACAGTGCAATCAAAAGGCTGTGCAGCCATGTTAACTGCTTCCTGTATTTGGCAAAACAAAAGAAAGCTGGTTTCACATTCCTTCTGTCAATTTGTTCCCCTTTAGTCATGGTGGTAAAATGCTCACAGAAGAAGTAAAAACAGGACAAAAACAAACAAAAATCAGCTTCTCTTAACATTTAATGGCAATAAAAAACACGATAGCCTACTTTAAATATTCAGCAAATTAAATAATTTTGATTTGGGATCATTTTCAGCATGTATTCAGTGTGTAATAATCCAGACTGTATGTTATAATCACAAATTATATTTGATTTATATGTGTTTAGACAGCATGTAGGCTAAATCTCTACAGTTTTACTTCTCAGAGCTGTTGTTTTGTGAAGTATTAATTGCTGAGCTTTACTGCCACCTACTGTGCAACTAAAAAAAAACAGACATAACAAGTTGAAGCAGCTGACCTCACACTGTAACCAGTCCTGATCCAGTCATCTACATGTTTTTATATCTATTACATTCTTAGTTATCAATATGTGATCGTAGATTTTTAAATTAGTGTCAAATCTTAGCAGTTTTATAGTTTGTACTTTAAAGACTTGCCTGTGTAATCCATCAAACTTTCACTTTCAGTTTACTTGTAAAGTATCAGTATCTTATTCAGAAATGTAAAATAGCTTGAATTTTGTATTGCTGTCATCATAGCGGTCATCATCATCATTGTGATAGACAGATTACATTTTTATTTTGACAGATTAATATTTTAATTTTCTCTCTTTATGTTTGTGTGTTTCTTGTTTCAAGATATGTGATTCCAGTTTTGACTTGAATCACAAAACTTTAACTAAGAATAAGAATAACTTCATTAATCCCCGAAGGGAAATTCAATTGTCTGTTGTCTCACATAATATGTCTCAAACAGTTATCTATTATTTACACAAGAGTTATAAAGCCTGATGGCTGTTGGTACAAAAGATCTTGTGAATCTTTCTGTCCTGCAGCGAAGAGAGAGGAGCCGTCCACCACCAATAGCCCTTTGGTCCATCAAGGTGTTGTGAAGTGGGTGATCCATGTTCTTTAGAATAGTCTCCACCTTCCTCAGTGAAGATCTCTCCACCACATCCTCCACTGAGTCCAACCACAGAGCCAGACTTTGTCACCAGTTTGTTCAGACGTCTTGCATCTTGTGTTTGATGCTTCCTCCCTAAGACCACAATGTGCAAATAATTGGAACTCTTAATTAAACTAGAAAAATTGCATTTCCTCGCTGAAAATGTGTGAAAATGCTGAGTACTGAAAGCCGAAAAAGGAATTCTAAAGTGCTAATAAAAAATGGAGGAAGGTATAAATGTATAAGCTGTTTAAGGGGTTAAAAAGAAATAGAAGTTGGATGATTGTGAAAATGGCTGAAGGACAAAAAGTATGAATATGCTCCATAAATTGAAGTTTTGTTCATGCTGGAGGAGGCAAGAAAAATGTCTGAAATTGCACAAAGTTTGAATGAAGAAGGAAATTTCCTTGAAAGGCAGGAAGGTGAGAAGTGGCAGAAGTTTAAGTTGTACTTCTAGTAGTAGTATGATAGTAGTGATATTAGTAGTCATGTAATTAGTCAAGATATTTGTAGTTCCAGTTTTGACTCGAATAACAAAACTTTATAAGCCATAGTGTGTACATAATTAGAACTCTTAATTAAATTTTTGGTGAAAATCAAACTTTATTGTGGCTGTATTGTTGTGATTCTTGAATTCTGTTCTCCCAAGTTGTTGGCTGATAAATAGCTCTTAAAGTGTTGTAATAACTGATGAATTGCAGTGAAAGACAGCTGCAGACCAGCACATGCCGGTGATTTGAGTGGGATGGGACAGCTGCTTCGGGAAAATGTATATTACATAGGATAGCCTGATCGAAGCTAATGATTGTGCAGATTTTCTACATGGGGGTTGTAAATTATTTTGCCTGACCAGAAGAGGCTGCAAGATTATTATTATTTGTGAGTAGCTTTATTTTTGGTTCAAGAGTCAGTATGACTATTGTTTTTTAGAATATATAGTTCCTTTAATGCAAAGAAAAATCCAATTTAATTGTTTGTTTTGTGCTTTATTTATTCAGGCATACGTGCGACAGCTAAAAGCGGACCTTCGCCTTTATAAAGAGTTTCTCCGTCTCTCGAACCGTCTCAGTTGTCGGTGAGGCCGGCGGGGCGGATCCCACACAAGAGTGAAAGAGAATATAAAGCAACACAACAACAATAACAACTTGGCTGTTTCCTACATATCGCTAGCAAGCTCCCTTGTGGATTTAAAACATCAAGGTGGGTAAACCAGGGGCCTTCCTGTCCGGAGAGAGAGAGAGAGAGGCTCCCTCCCTCCCGGCCGGCTGCTGGTTAGCACGCGCCGCAGTAGCTACCGCACAGCCAGGCTAGCAGCGCGTGAAGATGATGCTAACGGTGTGTGCTAACGCGGCCAAGGCCATCTTTACCAAAGCTTAGAGGAAACACCGGCGAGCTGACCGCCCTGCCGGGGCCGAGGAGCAGGCTGACCAGGGTCCAGCTGTGTAGACTGAGGTTTATGGGACCGTTAAGATGAAAAATGCAGAGATTACAAGAGTCATCTGCTCAGTTTACACTTAGTTTGGACTCAAGTTAGCCAGCTGCTAGAATAATGAAGTAGTTTAGGGACAACTTAAGTCTGACGGCCTCATTTTGTGATAAAGCTATTCTCATCAGTTATTATTCTGTAGGTTACGTGGTGATTTACCAAGTTACGTGTTCAGACGTGAGTGCCTTCTAGTTTTTGACAATTTCAATCCTGGTTTATCATCTGAGGCCGGCTTGATTCCTCACACAGTTTAAGGAAATTTAACTGAACCATTTCGTGTAAGCGTACATTAGGAAAGGGACTGTTGTGGTGCAATAAGCTGGGTCGATGGGGTCTGCGATTGCGAGATTTTTGTGAAGAAGAATAATAATAGCTACGATTCTATTTGTGACTGAGGACTATATGGCCTTTTTAACAAAGAAAATACCTGCCATGTTCATAAATTATGTAAATATCTGCGTCAATAATCCCACGATGCCATACTGTAATGTCATCACTCAGTCATGACTGGTTTACTGTAGTTAGGGCTGGGCGATATGGGAAAAAGTTTATCACGATCAATTTTTTTCATATCGGTCTCTATTGATATATGTGATGATGATACAAAAAATGACATGTAACAGTGCTTACTGATAGTATGTCTTTTGCAATACAATAAGCTAGTGCATCTGTAAGGTCATTGTGTCTCTTCGACGTTTTGTCGTAAGGCGTTGCGCTAGAGAAAGTGGACTGAATGGTCGGCTGATTCGGCTGCACAGATGCCATGGACGCCTTGCTCCGCTCAGGGTTTGTAACATTTTTCAGGTGGTGACAAATATTTGAGGTATATCCCAACTTTGCGAGAATAATTACTTGACATAATTTTCAGTGCACATTACTCTGCTTTGTGTCCGACCTCAAAAAACCAAAATCCCTCCACACCACCGACATTTTCGTGCCAGTGTTGTCAACAATGTCATCATCTGTTGAGCCTTTATCTGCATTTCTGCCAGGGGTAGCACTCATTTTCTTTTTTTCTCACTGACAGTACTGTCGGCTTCACATGTTAAAGTGCTATGGTTGTGTGTAGCTGCAACCTGCTACTATGTAGTTGTTTGTTACTTGGTCCTGATTCAGCACATGATTGGTTCAGTGCGAAGCGGACCCGGAGAAACTCCCCTTTTCATTGGCTATTATAGTCTACCAAAACATGGCAGAATGCCAACTATCAAAAAGCATATTGACCATGTTTTATATTGATAATTTTCAATATATATCATTATCCTTTTATCGCCCAGCCCTACCCATAATACTAATGAATGCTGTTTTCAAGTAATGTTAGTCTTTGAGTTTAAAAGTCTTGATATTGATTTAAGCACCTCTTCATTGTCTCCACACTTTTCCTCTCTAGATGCCCTCAGTGATGAATGCAAATGGGACAATGCAGTCTGTCAGCCCAGATGTGGGATCCGCTCCAGGGTCAATGGGTAGTTTTTCTTTCAGTGGGCAGTCCGAAGTCTTGAAGCAAGTGCTGGGTGTCATCGACAAGAAGGCCCGCAATATGGAGAAGAAAAAAGTGAGTACTGACGTTTGTTCCAGATCCTTCCTCAGAACAGCATCCAGCCACATCCCTGTTGTTTGAAATACAAGCTTTAAACAGACCATGCAAAGAAAAATGCATTTGTGTATTTTGTTACAGAGTAAACTGGATGATTATCAAGTCAGGAAGAATAGTGGGGAGCGTCTCAACCAGGACCAGCTGGTGGGTGCACTAAAGCCTTTAATCTTTGTATCTTAGGTGTAGTGCTGACAAAATTTACAACCTAGTAATGTGTGTACATTTTCTCTTCTCTGTGTTTTAGGAGGCCCTCTGCAAGTACCAGGAAGTTGTGAATAACTTGGAATTTGCCCGAGAGTTGCACAAAACGTTTATCGGGATGGGACAAGACGTAAGGGGCTACTCTGTGTCCTCTCAGTAATACCTTCCTGGGAGCTGAGCATCTAAACACAACATGGTTGACCTTTTTTATTTTTGTATGACTCTTAGATCCAAAAAGTGGTGAAGAAGTCTGCACGGCGTGAGCAGTTGCAGAGGGAGGAGGCAGAGCAGAAGAGACTGAAAACGGTTCTTGAGCTGCAGTTTCTCTTAGACCGGCTGGGTGATGAGACTGTGCGGCAGGACCTGAAACAAGGAGTCAGCGGCTCACCGCTGCTGACAGATGTGGACCTCACAGCTTTTGACGAGTTCTACAAGTTAGTGGGGCCAGACCGTGACCAAAACATCAGGTTGGTCCAAGGCAATTATGTTTGGGTTGATTACAGATGCGATAACTCTTTTTCTGCTCCTTCACCCCAAACAAGGAAATTCTTCAACTGATGTTGAATCTTGCAGGTTGGCTGACCAGTATGAAGAAGCATCTGTGCACCTCTGGGACCTGCTTGAGGGAAAGGACAAGGCGGTTGTCGGGACAACATGTGAGTTTAAGTTTGTTGAAAGCCCTGACGTGGGGCACAAGCAGACAAGCTTAATATTTGAAAGGATTATCTGGTCAAATATTTCCAATACAGTTAGGGATGCTGATCGACAAAGTTGTTGCAATTTCCTGGTCGTCTCACCCTTCCAAGATAGTTGATATTCATCAGTTCTGGAGTGTGTGAAAAAGCCATTACAGGTGACTTTCCCAGCTCTAGAAAAATCTTTTTTTTTTTTTTAATTGACATTTTATAAATCAAGTACCAGCTGATTAATTGAGGAAGCAGCTGTTGGATCAATCAGTACTGACTAGTATTGCGTGAACACATTTAGTTTCCTGTAGACAAGTGCTTGGGAAATAAACATCCTGATCCTGGAGGAGAGAAGGCTCTTGTAAGCCGTTTGTCCACTGCAAATAAAAGGACTGTTTGCCAAAAAAAAGTAATCAGTATTGAAATAACAAGCTCCAGCCCGGCTGTAATCTAAAGCAAACTTTTTTTTATTTAAGAAAAAGTAAGTGGTTTCATTTATATGCCCAGCTGGTGGTGAGGATTGTTGGCAGGACATTTAGTCAGATGGACGGTGACACAGCAATCATCAACAAGCATTTTATTGTTTGGAAGTTGGCAATAGTTAACGTGTCATATAATTTTGTGTGACCCAAAAGCACAATAGATAAATATGGATAGATCTCTAAACAAACCTCGCTCTGTATTCTTGGTATTCTGAGCCATTAACCAGTCTTAATATGTTAATGTAGCATGTGCATTGTATTGTGTTAATGCAGCGTGTGTGCAGTGCTCTGATGTGAATAATCAGGGCTTGGGGATATTGGAGTACTGCATTCTCAGCGATCTGGCCTCAGGACTCGCGCTGCTGCATTCTGCTTGGGGGTGAGCGCTGTGGGCTTATCCTGACTCAGCAGCAGGGAAGGGTGCCAGTGGCTCTGTCGCCTGTGACTCCACTGGTCAGATCTTTGGAGCTACACTATGATACTAGTGGTGATGACCCAGTTCTCTGTAATGACACCAGCCCGACCACATTACCTCAGTTAAAAGGTCTTGCTTGGTGACTGGAGGTGATATCTATTCAGGCAGCAGCAGACTTCTGGTCGCAGGGCAAAAGGCAGTAAAGGAAATCACTTTGATCTGTTTTGCATGAAGAGCCAAAGTGGAAATGCCTGAGTGAGCTTGGAGGCTCCTCTGAAGTGAAGTTGTGGTTGTTTTACACACATTTTTATAATGTAGTTGGCAGTACTGACCAATAAATGATCATGCCTTAGTGTGAACATCAAGGCCCCCTATCATTAAGATTTACCTACTTTAATAACTTGTAATGGATCAAGGCTATTGACAACCAGGCTTTGCATGTTGATGATATGCACAGATCTAATTCAGCTCTTCAGCTGAGATGTGGTGCTGCTGGATAAAACGGGCGTTTAGTGCACTCAGTGCAGCGAAAACAAACCAGTCAGCTCTCAGATTTACTGCTGTCAATATGATGAAGGTAGTCAGTATAACGGCTGAGCAATGAAAGGTGGGAAGAAACTGCGACTGAGGAAGAGCTCTTGTGACGGAGAAAAACAGTGATGATTTAAAACGGTTTAAGATTCAGTTTAAATAATTATCAATGGGAAAATCATGTTAATACAGAACAGTCGATGGCTGTTAGAGCAGGAAGACATGGGTATTTCATCTTACTGCCAACAGGCTGGTGTCTGTATGTATTCATGCCGAGTCACCACCAAATTTTCTGGAAGCTTCATATCAGAGTCGTTCCACAGTTTCAGCAGACCTGAAAGGCAGTCAAGGTTTTGGTACATTGAAGCCCTTAGAGCACTCTGAGGTAATGGAAATGGTTTCAGTTCACCATGTGACTGACTGATACATTTTGGTATTTTGGCATTTATGTGTCCCCAAACAATAGGAAAGGAGAGGATTCAGGAATGGTGATGTCAAATGTCCTGCACACTGATCAGGATGAAGGGATTTTTCAAAGAGAGTGTTCTGGGTGTTGGTTGTTGTTTCACTTTATGTCGTTAATCAGTCTAGAGATTCCTACTGAACGGCGTCACTTCATTTCTGCCCGTTGTTGGGTATCAAGCCAAAAAACTGCCTCCAACTGCTGACACATCATGCTGGTGCATCCACGGCGTGCACAGAGGCAACCTCACTCATAGAGTCGCAGGACTGACGTCACACCGTCCTCACTGACCAAAACACATATTTAATTTTGCCAATAAAACAAAATAAATAAAGCCTGTGTCTGGTTTTGGTTGTTACTGTGCGTGTAACCTGCCGAGCCAATAAAACCTGTTTCGATGGACACTTGACCTCGTTGACCTTGCTGCATCGGTGTACCCTGTCAGCTGCATCTGACTGACGTAACATAAGAATTTGATGTTTTCATTTCACCAACTTTTACATCTAGAAATGAAAAGATAACTACTGTTTTTCATTGAGATACCTGCAGCTTATAATACGTAGGGGTCGGCGTGAGTACTTCAGGGATTGTTTTGTAGAAGAGGTGGACCTATTTATGGATCGGCTGATGAATCAGGCTGACCGTTGGCTATTTTAAATAGCCCACATTTGCCAAGGCTGATTAAATAAAGTAAATAAATCCTAATAATGATGATTACAGATGGCTGGATGGAAGTCCATAAATCCTTTTGTGGCAATGTTTTATCGAGCCAACACCAGAGAAGGCCAGGAATAAAAAGATGTCCATTCAAGTTCAGCATTTTTCCTCTCATCTGTTGTTTTATCAAAAAAATTTTATCAAACCCAAAAAATATACTCTATACTGAAGCCATCAGCCAACCTGCTCTCTCTTTATGCCAGCATCAAGTCTACATTTTTGGAGGGGGTACTGGGTGATTTCTTTGGATGCTGGAGCAGATCCAAATAGCAAAGTGATAAGTAAATGCTGATATCATTGACAAACATCAACCTAATCTGCTGTGGTAGACAGAATGTTAATCAGCTGAGATAAGAGCAGTGTCAGGATGTATTTTCACAAAGTAAATAAAGTGAGTGTAGTGAGTAAATGTAACTTCTTTTTAATCAGCTTCATATCAATTGAACAGATCAGATTGTTTTCACAGAGGAAGCTAAAAAAACAACAACGTCTAATTACTCTCACTTCCTGAAACATGATTTACCTTGACTTTCCAATAAAATGCTTTCTTTATATCCCCACATCTAGACAAAGCACTGAAAGAGACTTTGGACCAGGTTCTGCTGAGCGGGTACTTTGACCGGGTCCCGTCTCACCAAAATGGTGTGTGTGAGGAGGAGGAGGAAGTGGAAGAGCAGCCCTCGGCGGCGGCGGCGGCGGCAGCAGCAGCAGTGGCAGCAGTGGCAGCAGTAGCTGAATCGTCAGAAGCAGAAGAGCAGACTGTTGATCCAGGTCCTGACTGTTCTCTTTAGTCTGTAGCCAGCTCCCTGTTTCTAAAATGCTAATGTAATCAATAAGCAATGAAGCTGGCCCTGCACCGTCTGAGAAGTTTTTCTTTTTACAGAAACTGAAATAATCGAGGAGTTCACAGAGCCAATTGCGGTTGAAACAACAGAGGTGAGATGGAGTTTTCTCTTTCCAGCGCTGCCTTGAAGCTGAGATTATATGTACATTTTGCACCGTGCTGATCTTTGCTTTTTTCTCTCTCTAGTTTGTAAACAGACAGTTCATTCCAGACGGCACTTACAGCGGCAGTGAGAAGGAGCAGGGAGATGAGTGGTCTTCGGAAACAGAGGTAGAGGATCCCTCTTTGGTGTAGCAGATCATTAACCTGCTGTCTCCTGACTCTAGCTCCTGTTAAACCTTTAAGTGTTGTGGCCTTAAATGATCTGTGGTCTGTTCTGAAAGGGTGAAGTTCCCTTTGTTGACATCTACTTTAATGACAGCAAAAGAGATTTATGTCCAATTTAATCACTCATGCAACAAATGACGGTCAGTTTCTGTCTTTGTGAAAGAAAATCTGGTCGTTCATTTTCCAGCTGGATTTGTTAAGGTTGATGTGTTTGCCATCGTTTGGCAGCACTACTCTCCCGGCTCTCGTTGGCTGTAGTCGTCCTGCCTGGAAAGTTCTGACCTAATCCTGCAGATATTGAATCCTAAATATCCAACGCGTTCAGGGGATCAAAACTGATTCGTGAACTTCTCCCTCATGACCAGATGAGTTTGGTCCATAATCTCTGCCAGCAAAGCACCAAAACAAAGATTTGACCACTCAGTCATTTTGTAGTCCGGTTTGGCCTCAAAGGTTTTTGTCGACATCAAAAATGATATTTGTTAAACCTGTCTTTAATTATCACATCTTTCTAATCATCCATGTGTTCTGCTTGTCCACTCTTAGGCTATCAGTGCGATGCAGCAGCAGCCTGTGCAGCCTGCAGCCTCCCCTGTTGCACTGGAGACCCATCCCATGAGCTTAGCGTCTCCTGCACCACCTAGTGACCCCATGGCCAGAAAGCAGGTGGTGCAGGACTTGATGGCACAGATGCAGGGAACATATAACTTTATGCAGGTGAGGTCCTGGTGAGCGCTGTGATCTGTGAACTCTGAATTGTTGATTTTCACTGCGGTACTCATCACTCTTCTGTACTCAGGACTCCATGCTGGAGTTTGACGGACAGCCCATCGACCCCGCTATCGTCTCAGCACAGCCTATGAAACCCACCCAAAACATGGACTTACCACAGATGGTGTGTCCTCCAGGTGCGTTTATTTAGAGAATCGCCGCTCTGATGATATTTTTTTTTGTGTGAAATGACACTCAGCCGAATTTTCTCCTCAAATCCTCTCAGTTCACCCAGAGTCCCGGCTATCACAACCCAACACTGTTCCTGTCCAACCTGAGCCCACACAAGTGAGTATTCAAACCTGGACAGGTATCGACTGTGCAGACGCCCCGATAGAAAGAACAGATTTAATCCTTTTCCTGTTTCTTTTTAGGTTCCTATTGTCTCACCAACTCCGCCCCCCATGTTCCAGACTTCACACACGGCAGATCCTCGACCCCCAACAGAATCAATCGAACCCATTCAGGTAAACCATCTGCGGCCGGGCCCTTTTTATAATGACTGGATTAAACAACATAGTAATGAGTTCACAGTGATCACACACCACCATCTGTTTGTCCTGCACAGTTTCAACAACATCAGATTTGTATTAAACAGCTTCACAGGCCATCTCTGTACAGTTTGCTCCAGTTTTTTTTTTCATTTTGTTGAGACTGAAGTTACAGAAAACTGTCAGCATCTCCACACCAGGTCAAAGTTCTGCTCCATGAGTTTGTATCCTGATGGCACAAAATTCTGTCCACTTATGGACCATAATGAACTGGATGGAGAGGAAAAGTCCTTTAACATTTTATTGTGGAGTTCATTCATGACAGATGTTTCAAATTTCACAGTTTATGACCATCTTTCTCTCTGGAATGAGCGGGCAAAAAGCATCTTTTTCCAAAGATAAATCATCTGCCACGTGTAATAGCAGTGTAACAACACCTCCTGGGTTTGCCTAACTGCATTAACTTAATGAGGAAATCATAAACAGTACATCAATGAATATGTTTGTGCAGACTACAGCCACAACAATCACTTTACAGCAGCTGATGGTGGCTTTCTGGGGACGCATGTTTAAAAAAAAAATAAATCCCAGACAGGAGAATCTGTAACAGCACAGTCTGTTTGTGGGGGATTCAGCCACAGATTGACACAGTCGGATTTAACTCCTGACAGGTTGTAATATTAACATTTTTAATGACAGAATCTGCCTCATATAACGACCTGGTACCTAAGGCGGTACAGGTAAATAAAAGATCTTTACCACTGTTAAGGATTTATGGTATGACCTTCTGAAGAAAAATATTTTCTCTTTCAAAATCTGCAGTTTGTGCAGACACACACACACACTTCTACACCCTGCAGCACTACAATACATTTCCTTATGCCACTAGTGTCGTCTCCTCTCTTCCACAGACCTCCATATCCTTGTCGTCAGAGCAGCCTCCACCCTCCACAGCTCTCCCACCTGCCTCTCAAACGCAGGTTTTCCAGCCTGTTTCCAAAGCTCCTCACAGCAGTGGCATCAATGTCAACGCAGCACCATTCCAGTCAATGCAGACAGTAAGGCCCTTGTGTTGACAGTCATTCCCCTCTAAAGAATTGCCATGTCATTGTCCTAGGCCTCTTCAGAAGACTTGTATCTGAGCCTCTTGTCTGTAAAGTACAGTTGTAATCATAATGCAGTAACAACAAACTCCATCGGGTATTAGTTTTAGAGTTCTGCTGTGCGCTCTCATCATATTGCATTTGAAAACGTTTGTATCCAGGAACTAGTGAGTAATGGACTTTACTCCTAATGAGCCTGTGACCTTTCCTCTGGTTTTGGCTTCGCAACAATGTGTTCCTTGTTCGCCCTTCAGGTGTTCAACCTCAACGCCCCGGTCCCGCCAGCGAGTGAGACAGAGGCTTTGAACCCGGCCAGCCAATACCAGAACAGCTACAACCAAGCCTTCAACAGCCAGTCGCAGCATCCTGTGGAGCAGACAGAGATGCAGTCAGAGCAACTGCAGTCTGGTGGGCAGATTTTCTGTGTTTTTTCATTATTTTCTGACCAAAATGAAAGTCAACAACGACATTCTTCCCTGATTCAATTGTTTTATTTAACCTGCATCCTCAACCGTCACTAGATATTGACTTGCGTCTGTTTTGGGGGAACGCAACCCCTTGTCTTTTTTAGTAGTTGGTGCCTTTCATTCCCAAGACCAATCAGGAGGCCATCAACAGCCTTCCCAGCAGGGCCCGGGCTTCGGCAGGCAGCCTCAGTCATTCTACAACAGCAGAGGCATGTCACGTGGTGGACCTCGCAACGCTAGAGGCATGATCAACGGCTACAGAGGTTCATCGAATGGATTTAGAGGTCAGTTCTCGACGTACAGTAAACAGTGACGTCAGTTCATTTCAGCTCAGCAAGAAACAGCACATTAGCGGCTTTACCTGTCTGATGAAGCATTAACGCTATGATATGGCTCAGTCACAGTAGAGCCTGTACAGAGAGGAATGCTAAATTTCAAGAGAAGTATTTTGAGTTAAATGGTCTCTTGACTTTCAGGTGGTTATGACGGTTATCGTCCTCCTTTTGCCAACACTCCAAATTCTGGTTATGGACCGACTCAGTTCAACACACCTCGGGACTACTCAAATGGGAATTACCAGAGGGTAAGACTGCCTCACACTGTCTTTACGTCATCTTTTGCTGTCTGTAACACATTTTTAATACAGCTTTTTTTCCCTCTCTTGCTACAGGATGGTTACCAACAGAACTACAAGCGTGGGACAGGTCAAGGATCTAGAGGAGTGTCAAGAGGCAGCACTCAGGCGATAAGATCCTGAAAAAAGCCTTTCTTATTGACTGTGACTGACTAACTTGCACCACACTGAAAATTCAAATTTCAAGAATGCATTTGCCCCAGCTCACTCACTTTTTTTTTCTTTGTTCTTCATCAGTGGTATTTTTCCCTGTCTGTAAATCAAAGTAATGCCTGCTTTGATATTTGAAATTTAAATCATTTTAATTTGAAACCACAAGCCAAGCTGTAAATCCAATCATTGATTTACATGAGCAATGTGTGACAATATTCCTGTAAACTTGAAAGATTTCATAAGTTATTTTTTGTATAAAAAAATGCACCTGCCACTGCTGGTCCAATTCTTGGGAGTTTAATCCCTCTCTCAGTTCTTTTCTGTCATTTTGGTTCAAATAAGGATTTTATGTTCGAAGAGCTCCCGTCTCCTTGTTTGTAAATTGATGTTGCTTCAAGAGTTTCAATAAAGTTGTGTTGCATACCCATGCTTCAGTAGTACAGTTAATTACTTTCAAAGAAACTAGGAGGGAAAAAAAGAATCTGACCTTTTTGTGTTTTCAACCATTTTAAAGATCAGGCTGTTTTGGCATATGTTTATACAGCGCCACCTCATGGTCAATTAATTGTAGCATCTCATGATGTCAGAAAATGGTGAATTATTTCCCATGTATTGTATTTTTTTATTGTTATTATTACTATTAGATTGAGTCAGCAAGTGTATCTTTTTCTCTGTCCAGACTGAATTTTAGTTTAATTTGATTTTCATATTGTAATCCAGAAGACAGGAAATGTGAAGCTTACTCATAGATGTCTATCCCAGTTTAACACTGTGATAAAAATTAAACTGAATTTAAAAGAATGGTTATGTCTTGGTTTATAATATTGATGTTTTTTTAATGGAAAAGTAGTAAATGCAGGGGTATTGACAGCCAAAAAAAATGAAAACTTTAAGTTTCACGGTGTGCGAGTAGTAAGTTTGCATCAGATGACTTTTTTTTTTTAAATTATGATTATCAAGAAAAGAAACAAAGGAAACATTCAGGGGTTTTGTTTTTTTGTTTGTTTTTTATTGTCATTATTACGTTTTACAATATACCAATGACGTTTTACATGGGATCAAGAAAACAAACTAACTAAAGCAAACATCAACAAGACAAACAAAATAAACACCAGCAACAAATACAAACAAATAATATAAAATAAATATTGTAGTTTTCCGTATAAAGCCCAAAGATTTGACTTGTCGCCCTCATAAGGTGTTATGAAGACAAGTTACCTCTTTACATTATAAAGGCTGATTCGTGATCAACCAAGTACCTGATAAAAATAAATCAACCTAAAACTTGTAATGTTACCGTAAAGGCCACATATTATCATAAAACCCTGTATCAGTTCTCAGATCGCTACAACTCTGAATACCCGGTACCTCGCCTGTGAGACCAAACTCAGGGCGCATGTCTGAATTTATTTACGCGAGAACGTCGCACCCTTTCTACGTCACGCCGGGGGTCCTCCATCAACGGGTGTCTCCACGTGAGAGTATCAACAGCATGACGGCTGGCGTGTGAATTCATCTTCAACTTGTTGCTGTTTCGTGGAGATTAATCAACAACCAGTGTGTGTATCAGGAGGTAATGGTGGACAGTGTGTGTTCGTAGAGACTTGTAGACATTAGAGTTTTTAGAAAGCGCTGCGCCATCAGTCCTGTTTACATGTGAGAGGTGTTGTAGTGTGTTTAATGTGGTTTGTGTGACTGTTCTGTGTGGCGGTAGGACGATGGCAACAGTACGCAAGAAGGTGGACAACCGGATCCGTGTTCAGATCGAGAATGGAGTCGCCCTGCAGCACCGGACCATGTTTGTGGTGGTGGGAGATCGTGGAAGAGATCAGGTAATCTGCCACCACCCCACGGACCCCCCCTCCATTAGGCTACCTCTGATTTTGACAATGTTACTATCTTACAGTTGGGGTTGCAAAGGGGCAGAAAATTTCCAGAAACTTACCATGGGAAGTTAGACCTGGGAATTTTAGAAATACTCCAAATTAGAAACTTTCCATGGGAATTATTGGGAATTTATGGGAATTAACTGTAATTATATAATAACAGAAACTGACCGTCATTGTTAATTATATTGACCCTATAATATTATCAAACTTAATTGACTTTATATTGTCTGTGGGCTCAAATGTCTTGTCTTTTGGGCTCAAAAGTGTGGCCTCCAGGGTTCAAGAAATCATTTGTACATGTGATGGAGGAAAGCACACTGCATGTAGAGGGTGTAGCCTCAATAGCCCTGGACGATGCAGTGTGCTGTGTGCGTGTGATGGAGGAGTGTACTTATATTAAATCTGGTTGTTTTAGTGAAGATTATGCTACAGTATATTTTCCTCAACTATATTTAAGTTTCCTGTTGAGGGCCAACCTTCAGTTTTGTAAATTTCAGATGTATTCCCGTTAATTCCCATGGAAAGTTTCCAACTTTGAAAATTCCTGGAATTTTGCAACCCTACGTAGAGTAAAGTTTGTTGTCAAATACCACCTACTAATAAACCTGCCTCTGATCAAGGTGGTAATCCTGCATCACATGCTGTCTAAAGCCACCGTCAGGGCGAGACCCTCGGTACTCTGGTGTTACAAGAAAGACTTGGGATTCAGCAGGTGAGTGCATACTCTCCTTAGAGATTTAGTCAGAAATATGGTCTGAAAAGAGAGACATAACTTATCAAAACTATCTGAAACAGCAATCGCAAGAAGCGCATGAGACAGCTGCAGAAGAAGATCAAAACTGGAACACTGAACCTGAACCAGGATGATCCATTCGAACTATTCATCGCTGCAACCAACATCCGCTACTGTTACTACAACGAGACACACAAAATCCTGGGAAACACCTTTGGCATGTGTGTCTTACAGGTACGGTATTCCTTTTCTTAGCCATGCATTTTCAAAGGAATCATGGATAATTTTATCAGGGCATTATCTACAAAAGACTGGGACCCACTGATTGAGCCAAGTCTCTATAAAGTCTTTCATATTTTTTCTCATACAGGATTTTGAGGCTCTCACTCCCAATCTCTTAGCCAGGACAGTTGAGACTGTGGAAGGTGGAGGAATAGTGGTGTTACTGCTGAGGACAATGAACTCTCTGAAGCAGCTGTACACAATGGCTATGGATGTTCACTCTCGATATCGGACTGAGGCTCATCAGGATGTGGTGGGAAGGTTTAATGAGAGGTTAGTTCCCTTCTAGTGGTTTTCAATTCCTGGAGCTTTGACTCTGTGGACGGACATTTTAGTAATATGATAAGTAATACATATTTGTGTGTATTTTTTAGGTTCATTCTGTCTCTAGTGTCCTGCAAAAACTGTGTTGTCATCGATGACCAACTCAACATCCTGCCGATCTCCAGCCACATGGCAAACATCAAACCTGTCCCTCCAAAGACTCAGGTAACTACATAAGAATGAAGAATACAAACTACTTTTTATAAACGAAGAATATTTTAAAGTATGTGAGAGAAGCTGAGCCGTCCTTGCTCTCACTAGCTATATGCTTTATGAATATTCACATCAATAAATGCTTATTTGTATCAAACAGACCAAATATTAACCTTTATCAGCACCTTCTCATTAGTCTGTTTCTTTAGAGACCGATTAGATTTTTTTGTTCCCCTCATTCAAACCCTTACCTGCATCAGCCGACTCTTTATTACTTTTTTTCTCTTCTAGATCTAGGTAAAGGAGTTAGGTAGTGCATTCAAATGTGTGCCTGTTTGTTGGCCACTGATTTCTGACCAGCTGTGATCCTTGCAGGAGGACGGTTTGTCTCCCCGAGACCAGGAGCTAAAAGATCTGAAAGAGTCTCTGCAGGACACTCAGCCTGTGGGTGTGTTGGTGGACTGCTGCAAGACCATGGACCAGGTCAGGAAATGTCTTTAAAACTGACACATAACAAATTCACAGAGTATCATTTCTGCTGAACGCACCAATAAAATCTACAAAAACCAGCACTTTAGAGCAGTGGTTCCTAAACTTCTTTTCCCCAAGGCACAACAAAGGACAAGTGAAAATCTCAGGGCACACCTATTGTGCAAAAAAGCCTTTATAATGCGTGTTATCACTCATATCATGTAATATATCGTTGAATATTGCATAATTATTGACTGATGCCAAATTAAATGTGACAGAGCTCAATTTTCCCTCTCAAACATTTCTCTGTTTTAATGTTGTTTTATAATTCCCGCCTGCGCAAACAGCAAAACATTTGGTAATTTTTTTTGAATGTTTATTTTAGGTATAGAGTTTGCCTGTTTGTATGTAATGAGTGCATACAAAGTACTGATATAGTAAATAAAAGGTTTTTGTTTTTGTGTAGTTATATATTGCAGTAATGTTGGTTATGCCGCGGTACACAGTTTGAGAGCCAATGAGTACAGAGATCATATCAGTATTTCCAAAAAATGACTCCTCAGAGGGGGTTTTGTTTTCTAAAATCCTGACAAATCTAAACCTCAGCTGCGTGTTGTCTTCCAGGCTAAAGGAGTGCTGAAGTTCATCGAGGCCATCTCTGAGAAGACTCTGAGGAGCACCGTGGCTCTGACTGCTGCCCGTGGCCGAGGAAAGTCTGCAGCTCTGGGGCTGGCTGTGGCCGGAGCTGTGGCCTTTGGGTACGCTTTCATGATGTCATGATAAAAGTTTTATCTATTTGATCCTAATTTTGTGAAATTTTATTCAACGAATGCCTGGCTTTCTCCACAGCTACTCCAACATCTTTGTAACCTCACCGAGCCCGGACAACCTGCACACCATGTTTGAATTTATATTCAAAGGTTTCGATGCTTTACAGTATCAGGTATGTTGCCCGAGAGAGAAGCAGCAACATTTTAACCATTCTTTCAGCAAAAACAGACAACCTCACATCTCTCCTCTCTGAATTCAAAGGAGCACCTCGACTATGAAATCATCCAGTCTTTGAATCCAGAGTTCAACAAAGCTGTGGTGCGAGTGAACATCTTCAAAGAGCACCGACAGACCATCCAGGTAAACGAGACATCACAGCCCATCACTCGATGTCGATGTCGGCTCTAAGTGATCATTTCTGACCTTTCCGTCTATGTGGCTCACAGTACATTCACCCGGGTGATGCAGTGAAGCTTGGACAGGCTGAGCTGCTGGTCATTGATGAGGCTGCTGCCATCCCTCTGCCTCTGGTGAAGAACCTGCTGGGGCCTTATCTGGTTTTTATGGCGTCCACCATCAACGGGTCAGTTCCTGCATAATGATGTTTGCATCACCAAGCCCCACTTTTCTTTTGCCCTAACAATATTTCAGAAATGGTCAACTAGTTTGAGCAATATTGTTAGGTGAGGAATAAAAATTCTGTGTTTTGGGGCATGTTTAATGAGAAGAAGAAAAAAAAAGTAGATAATACCCAGACTAATAAGTTCTGTTACTTGTGCAGGTATGAAGGCACTGGGCGCTCCCTCTCCCTCAAACTGATCCAGCAGTTGAGGCAGCAGAGTGCAGACAGTCAACAGAGCATGTCTGCAGAGAACAGGACCTCAAACACAGCGAGACTATCTGCAGGTAAACATCCCAGAGTTCTGCTCTAAGTGTTCATTGTGATCAGATCATCAAGACTGACTCATCTTTCCCTGTTTCCCAACTCAGCTCGCTCTCTCCACGAGGTCTCGCTCCATGAGTCTATCCGATACGCTCCTGGAGATGCTGTAGAAAAATGGCTGAATGACCTTCTCTGTCTGGACTGCCTGAACATCCCCAGACTCATTTCTGGCTGCCCTCTCCCTCAGACCTGTGACCTGTATCCTTGTTGCACCTGAAAGGACTAAACATGACTGCTGGTGCTTCAGATTAAGCCTGTTGAATATTCAGAAAAAAACACCAAGGTTATCTGTCTTATGAAGGTGGAGGGTCGGCATTAACATTGAGAACCGTGAAAATGAAATGTGATATTGTGACCCCCTTTACAGATTTATCACCTCAACCAAACATTCAGTCTGAATACACAGATATGCCGTCTTAAAGGTCTGAAGTCTTACAGTCACATCAGCTTGTTTTGTTGGATAAACTGTCGAAAACCTAAAGACCTAAAAATAAAATAAATTCACCTTTAGATGCTGCCAGACTGAAACAGGAAATGTGTCACACAGTTTCATAGTCCAGAGGCTTCATTTTCTTCTTCTTAGCCCCACTGACCAGATATTACGTGAACAGAGACACGCTGTTCTGTTATCACAAAGCATCTGAAGCTTTCCTGCAGAGGCTGATGGCTCTCTATGTGGCGTCGCATTACAAGGTGAATTTATCAGTTTCTCTCTCGATGAGCACCATGTCCCACCTTCACTCCGCTGTTAATCCTTGTGTTTAATATTTGCTGGATTTTGTGTTTCATGACATCCAGAATTCACCAAACGATCTGCAGATGTTGTCCGACGCTCCAGCCCATCACCTCTTCTGCCTGCTGCCTCCTGTTCCTCCCACACAGAACTCTCTGCCCGAGGTGCTCGCTGTGGTGCAGGTAAAATCAGATTCATCCCCTGTTATCGGAAAGACTGCTGCAAAAATCTTTTTAGCTTTTCCTGATTTCTTTAGCAAAGAGACTAAACACAACTCACCTACTCTCTTCCAGCAGCCGCTTGTTTGTAGTGAAACCTCAGGCAAGTCTATTACGGACTGCTGTGGGGTGACGCAGCTCAAGGAAGAACATTTATGATCATTTCTTTATCATTTCCTTGAAGTAATAATCACCATTTTAATCATTTTGCACTGCAGACGCGGTAGTTCTTCTGCCTTAGCATCTCGATCTGATTGCATTTCAATAAAAAAACGATCATAAATGTTCTTCCTTGAGCTGTGTCACCCCGCTGCAGTTTGTGAAGGACTAGTCCGAGGTCTTCCTACAAATAAGCAGCTGCTGGAAGAGTGGGTGAGTTATGTTTTGTCTTTGTGCTAAAGAAATCAGGCAAAGTTAAAAAGATGTTTGGTGGCTAGTACTATGGCTGGGACCCTATCTGTCCTGTTGATGAAGTTAGGTGCTGTTCTGAGCATTATTTGTGGCTATAGAGTGGCGTTTTAAATTAATTTTATGCCGGAATATCCCTTTAAAGCTAATGGTTTGGGCAAGAAGTTTGATGCAAATCGATCTTTTTAGAAATTCTGTATTTACTCTAAAAAGCAGGACCATGGAGTGCTGCAGGGTGTAAAAAATAAAGATAAGTTTGAAAAAGTGTGGCTCTGGTGTGGGCTCCTTCTAAAGATCTAGCATGTGTAACTTTGACTGAATATTGAGTTGTTCCTTCTTGGTGCTGTAGGTGTGTCTGGAGGGTGAAATCTCTCGGCAGTCCATCCTCAACAGTCTGTCCAGAGGAAAGAAGGCCTCCGGTGACCTCATCCCCTGGACTGTGTCAGAACAGGTACACACCATCTTCAACACGTCTCCTTTTCAAAAGCCCAACAGCTCACACGTCTACAGCCCAACATAAATCTTCTGCTTTTATTTCTAGTTTCAAGACCCAGAGTTTGGCAGCCTCTCTGGAGGCAGAGTGGTGCGGATTGCTGTCAATCCAGACTACCAGGGGGTAAGAGCGATCAAAATCCTCAACATGTTTTTTTCTCTGCTTTTTAATTTTTCTGAGAGCTCTGTCTGTAACTGTTTTTTTAACCGATCCACCAGATGGGCTACGGCTCCAGAGCTCTCCAGCTGCTGCAGATGTACTATGAGGGCAAGTTTCCCACCATGGATGAGAGCACACAATCCAATAACAATGAGATTACCTCAGTCAGCAATGAGGTAACATGAAATCATCAGCTGAGAGATATCAAACAAAGTGTCACCAGAACAAATAAACAACAGAGCAGACAGATTAAACACTCTTATCTAACAGTAGCTCTGCTGTTGTTGTTGTGTCTGGTTTTCCAGGCTGTCGGTCTGTTGGAGGAGGTGATCAGTCCACGGAAGGAGCTCCCTCCTCTGCTGCTGAAGCTGAGTGAGAGGAGAGCAGAGAGACTCGACTATCTGGGAGTGTCTTATGGCCTGACTGTGCAGCTTCTCAAGTGAGTCTGCCTGAATGTGGAGGAAAGAAGGTTGTTGTAAAGTTTTCAGAGTTCTGGAAATGTCACAAGTTGTTTTTTCATCCTGACAGGTTCTGGAAGAAAGCAGGTTATACTCCGGTGTACCTCAGACAAACCCCTGTGAGTGTAATAAACGAGTCATTCTTTAGTTTTGTTGGAGTACATACTGCTGCCTCATGTTGTTATCATTAACCCACGTGTGTGTCTATATTTATATCTAGAATGACCTGACAGGAGAGCACTCGTGTGTGATGCTGAAGGAGTTGAATACAGATGAAACTCCGGAGCAGAGCCAGTGGCTGTCTGCATTCTGGAAAGGTGAACACATTTTTCTAAAAGCATCTGGAGATCTGTTTTCTCGACTTTGAAGTGACTACATTTTTTGTGTCTTTCCTCAGATTTCCGTCGACGTTTCCTGTCTCTTCTCTCCTACCAGTTCAGCAGCTTCCACCCAAGCCTGGCACTCAGCATCCTACAGAATAGGAAGTCCAAAGAGGAGACCAGTAGTAAGACTTCTCTCCTGATTTTACTCCATCGGCTCAGTGATTTTTTTTCTTTCTTTTAAAAGATGTCTAAAAGGTGTCTTAACAATTATTCATGACCGATAAAACTGGTTCAGAAGGGATTTTTTACTGCCTATGTACAGATCTTGATTTAACATGTATGTTAAGACCAGACACTCCTAGTAAGTCGCACTTTTTACACCGAACTGACAGCAGTTTTCAAGTTGCATCATATATTTTGCAGAATTAGAGAGAGCTCAGAGTAGAGCCGCTGCTCCTTTGCAGGATAAGGAGTCAGTTAAGGTGGCTCAGCCCCTAGAGAAGGAATTTTTTTAAGTCTTTTTCGGACGCCATAGGGACGTCCAACTCTGACCTGTCTACAATCCTTAATTGCATGTAGAACTGTTCCTGTTTCTGTCCAGCAAAGATTATTGAAAAATCAATTCTGTTCAACTAAAATTCAGTGTTGAAATTCCAGTTTGAGATTACTCTGAGATCTAACCTGACTCATCTTTCACCTTCCCAGCTCTCACCAGCTCTGAGCTGGCGACCCATTTCAGCCCCTACGACCTCAAACGTCTGGAGCTGTACTCCAGGAGCATGGTGGACTACCACCTCATCATGGACCTGGTCCCAACTGTGGCGCGCATGTTTTTCCTCAAGCAACTTGGTGACCTCTCTCTTTCAGCTGCACAGTGTGTAAGTTTTTCGTCTTCTGTTTTGCTCTGTTTGATTTAAGTTTTATTTTTCTCGTATTAAAACCATCTTTTCTTTTTTAGGCGTTACTCCTGGGTATTGGCTTACAGCACAAATCTGTGGAGCAGCTAGAAAAAGAAATTGAGCTCCCGAGCTCGCAGCTCATGGGTCTCTTCAACCGTCTGATTCGTAAATTTGTGCAAGTATGTCCCTTCTTCTGATGTAACCTGATATAGATAATTTAAAGTGAAAAACAAAATGTAAATGTATTTAGTTTACTCATGTTGTGGTCTTGAACTCTCCCAGGTCTTCACAAGCATCCAAGAAAAAGCGATTGAGGCAGAGATGGCTGCTGAAAAAGATGTTTCCATGGAGCCAACATTCAAAAGCCTCACTGAGGATCTGGTATGTGATCAGCACTTTCTAAGAAACCTTTTTAAAATACTATGATATTCTGAATAAAATAGGTTTTTGATACATGGGGAAAAATGAGTCTGAAAATGTCAATGTGCCCTAGAGAAACTGTATTAGGTGTCAGTCATTCAGTTTTTTGTGGACCTGATTTACTCAAAAAACTGTGATTTGAGGAAATTCTGTCAAAAATGTTAATTCTGCTTCCAGAACGAAGCTGCTAAGGAGTTTGAGGAGAGACACATGCAGGATGTAGAGAAAGTGAAGGAAATGGACCTGGAAGAGTGAGTATGATCCTTGCGTAGAATTAATGAGTATGAGTCACGTTGTACTCTGAAATTTGTGATCGTAACAGCGCTGATTTCTTTTATATTTACAGGTACAAGATCCGTGGGGATGATGAGGAATGGAACCAGGTTTTAAAGAAAGCCGGGAACACGGCTATCGTCAGCATCAAGAGGTGAACTGACAATCCTTATCTCTACCAACTGTGTGTGTGGTTGTTTTGTCGATGCAGAAACCTTTTTGTTAACGTATTTTACCTTCAACAGTGACAAAAAGAGGAAGCTGGATGGAGGAAATGCCAATCCGGGCAACGGGACTCCACACCACGGGAAGTTAAAAAAGAAGGAAATGCAGCATGGGAAATTCAAGAAAAAAGACAAACACAGCAAATTTGGAAAGAAAGTGTGATGTAAGAGTGCCGCTCAGACAGGACAGTGTGTGTGCACTCAAGCTGCTGCAGCATGAAAACTTTGGACATGGCTGATGGACTTGGGGACCCAGAAGAGAACCCAAAAGACTGACAGAAAAAATTCATACACAGTCTGAATGAAAGAGGTATTTTTTAAAGTGGTTTTCACATACAGTTGTAGACTTCCCTTTTTAGTTAATTATACATGGTTCCTAGACAGACATGTACAAAGATACTGAAAAAGATTTTGTAAACTATAACCTGAGGTTCACGCGGTGTTTAAATCCTACTGTGCAATCATTTGAACACCTGAGGCTTCATATCAACCCATTTTTGTTTGAGTTGTTGTATCATGTCATCTGGTGCAAAAATACAGTCTATGGCTTGCTGGGAGAGCTTCCAGACATCCTCATGACTGAGACCAAACGTGGAAGCTGCCAGTTGATATTCCTGAGATAAGTCTGTGCTGAAGACTCCTTTATCGTCAGTCTGTAATAGGACAAAAAAATAAATTCATTCAAGAGGAACTTGAATTTTTTCACCAGTAAGCATCACCTCTGGCTCATATTTCTGTAGTGGTGCTCCATCAGTTTAGCAGTTAGTCTGTTAAGAAGTTGCATTAAAGCAAGTGTACAAAGTGATTGTTTTTAGGGTTGGCTGACATGATGTGTGTGTATATAAAGAAACTACAGTATTTAATCAAGAGTTAGGGCTTGGTTTTCCTAAACTAAACTTAATGAAGTTAAAGTGTAGGTTTAATATTTTATGTGAAAGGTTTTAAGTAAAATTGCTCAAACTGATTTGTTCTACATCAAAGTAAAACAAATAATGCAGAGTTTGGCTCTCCTGTGTAGCCTCAGATGGAAATGTTTCAAAGGAAATTAGATGTTGAAAATGCTTAACGGAGTGAAAAAAGGACACTTACACAAATCACACTGGGATGACCCAGCTGGTACCAGTAATTGAAATGGTGTTTGGAGTAAGATGGCACAGTTTGTCCCTTGACATTGGAGGTCAGGCAAAGCTCTAAGTTAAAAAAAAAAAAAAGAAGGAAAATTAGAAAGCCAAGTCACTTCACAGTGCAAACACAGAAAATATATCATTTTATTTCAGTCTTACCCAGAGGTATGTTGTTTTTACGGACTTTGTCAACAAGACTTTGAGATCCACCGACTTCTGGATGCAAGAAGGTTCCATGACCAATCCTGTCTGGAGGAAGATTCAACAGCAGGTCTGTCTCTTCTTGCTGAGTGGGTACCTGTGGGCACATACTGAGATGTTACACTTCTCACAAGTAATTTAACTACAGTGAACCCTCGGATTGTGGTGGTCATACTTCTGAAAGGTGCAGCGACAACTTGAGTCCACAGTTCTTTGCTTTCTGCAGGGCAGGCAGAAGGTCTTTTCCATGGCCAACCTAGAAACAAAACCACTTATTTTATGGCAACAACAATAGCAGAGCCTCTCTCATCTGAAAGAACATAACTGACAGCTGACAACATTTTTCCCCATTTATGAAAATCTGAAACAACTATTCAAGGAGGGAGACCTCACCTTTGCCCTAGAACCAAAATCATGACAGAATTTACACAACAAAGACCCTGTTATCAGACATTATTCCTTTGGTTGTTTATAGAGATTTATAGATAATTAATTTTGAGCCTGTTGTGACCTGTAAAAAGTACTCTAGTGTAACAGCTCGTCTAAATAGAATCTGCTCTGGTGGGTATTTTGAGAGAAACCTTCTTTTCCGAAAGCTCTAAACTCTCATACTGACCGTTGGATCACCACTGAGGTCAAGTCCCACCACCAGACCATCAGAGGACAGCATGAACTCCTCTGCTAACTTCACAGTCTCCATCGCAACTTCAGTCCCATTCCTTCGGTCAATTGCAACCAGAAACCTACAGAACAAATAAGCGCACAATTATCAACCAAAGCCAGTGCTCTGGTTAATGGATCCATCAAAATTATACCTCTCAGCTTGTAAACTGTAAGAATAGCATCTATGCCCACCTGACATCTATATCCACACCATCGATTTTACATTGTTGGATGGCTTTTATGACAGTTTCAATGTAACTCTTTTTTGTCAGTCCTAGGGGGAAAGTAAAAAAGACATTTCAAACTAAAGCCAGAGTAAAACTGTTCGGAGGGTTTTACCCTGCAATCGGATTTGGATGTCTTTACCTGTTTTTGTCTCCTCCCTTGGTGTACTTCTAAGCTCTAAATATTTGACACCATCTGCTGCAAACTCCTTGATAACATCTGTGGCCACCTGGAAAGTAAGAAAAGAAACACCTACTGTTGACATCCCTGAAAAGAACAGCAAACAAATGATTGATGTTTAAAGGGATATTCTGGCGTAAAATTTAGGGTCAAACACAACATCGAGTTAGACACCCCCTCCAGAGATGAATATTGCCGACCGCTTGCTTCTCTAGTTAACTTTAGTAACGACCGCAGATAGCAATACACAGCGGTCTGAGGAGCCATAAACAAACCTCGACCAAAAAGCCACTCTATAGCCACAAATAATGCTCAGAACAGCACCTAACTTCATCAACAGGACATATAGAGTCCTAGCCACAGCACTAGCCACCAAACATCTTTTTAACTTTGTCTAATATCTTTGGCAAAGAGACTAAACACAACTCACCTACTCTCTTCCAGCAGCAGCTTGTTTGTGGCGAGATCTCAGGCCAGTCCATTACGGATAAAGAAATGATCATAAATGTTCTTCCTTGAGCTGTGTCACCCCGCTGCAGTCCGTAATGGACTCGCCTGAGGTCTCGCTACAAAAAAGCTGCTGCTGGAAGAGAGTCGGTGACTTGTGTTTAGTCTCTTTGCTAAAGATATTAGGCAAAGTTAAAAAGATGTTTGGTGGCTAGTGCTGTGGCTAGGACCCTATATGTACTGTTGATGAAGTTAGATGCTGTTCTGAGCATTATTTGTGGCTATAGAGTGGAATTTTGGTTGAGGTTTGTTTATGGCTCCTCAGACTGCTGTGTATTGCTATTCTGCGGTCGTTACTAAAGTTGGTATAACTAGAGAAGCAAGCGGTCAGCAACATTCATCTCTGGAGGGGGTGTCTCACTCGGTGTTATGGTGTGTTTTACCCTAAACTAAATTTACGCCGGAATATCCCTGTATGTAAGAGACAGTCCTCACCATCAGAATATCCTCCTCCGAGTCCACCAGCTGATGAATGACTTTGAAGACCTGAAAACACCTGCAGACATGCGCACCACGCACTTGAAACACTCACGCCAAAAAAGGACCTCCCTTCACTTCTCAATGTCGTTAGCTTACCATTTGCCTAACTATGCTTAAAAAACCCCACAATAAGCACGATGATATGAATATAAAGTGTGGTGTTTAAACTTAGACTTGACAGTGTTTCGACTCACTCATCCAGAGTCCTCCGCTGCCCTTTGCCGATGGCAGTCATGTTTTGCTCGATGTTAAGATGAGGCTTTCTGCTGATGACTTTCTCGATGGTTTGGACGCTGACGGATCCATTGAGGTGAGCATGAAGCTCCTGGAGACAGTTACAGGCTGGGGTTAGTATGTAATCTTTGCACAAGTGTTACCAGTTTCTCGTTTATTTCGTTAAAAGTTCCATCTCGTCAAATTTACTGTTAGACATTTGTAGCTCTACTCACCACTTTGGGCAGCTCCTTGTAAAAGATGTCAGTCTCACTTTCCATCGCAAAGTAAACCAAAAACCTCCAAGCAACCGATTTTCAGCGTCTGTTTTCAGGATACATTTAAGTGTAGGACCAGGAAGTGCAACAAAGATTAGGTCCGCCGTTCCCTCTTAACGTTCCGCTGGCTTTGCTCTTGTGACAAGGAAGAATGAAACGTTTCTCTTGAACTTCGAGTCTAAATCAGCGATATTACAGCGATAAAATTGTAATATTAAACGAGAATAAAAATATAAAAAAAGGATAGTCTAAAATTTCTAAAATTTCTAAAATGAATGGTTAATATTGTGAGAATAATTAAAGCTGTGTGACAAACTCTAATTCGTAATGGCAGTTTCTCTTAATAATGATATTTTGATAATAAAAATAATATGTGAATTTATCAAATTTAAAAAATGTATTTAATTCTCACTTCATTTATGTTAAATTCTATCAGCAAAGTTTGTTTTTGGATCCTTTGCTCAGAAAGAAAAAATACACTTAACTGTTACTATGAATTTCTTAAACTTTAATTTAAAAAAATGTCTTTATTGAGGTAAAACAGATACTAAATCAACTGTTTTTCAAAATGAAATACACAAATATGGATTCTGTGACGAAACAGGATTTTTTTTCTTTTTTATTATTTGTTGAAAACATGAACGTAATAAATTTAAAAACATTCTCTTTTCCTCATCACATACAAAATCCAAACAGCTTAGTCAAAGCCAAACATTCCCAAATTTAACATTTATTGGTGTTGGAATATTCTGGCCATGTAATTACTCCATGTATGTCCAGGATGGTATGTTAATATTATCAGTAGTTAAGGCGACATTTGTCCAAACTTGTGCTTTTTTGACTTACGGAGGAATAAAAAAAGTAGGCATGTAACATTTAAAATTATAAAACAATTAAAAAATAAAGCTGCATAATTAAAAACATTTTAACTTAGTTGTTTAAACGAAATAATTCAAGACTCATGCACAATGGTGTACCTGGAAACAGTCAAGATTAAAACAGCCAGAAATTATGTATCAAATATGTATTTCTACTGAGGAAGCATTTCTTTTCCTTTAACAGATACAGTGGATTTCAAATGAAATGATGCCAACTAAAACGGCCGCAGAAATCATGTAAAGGATGTAAAACCTTTTTAAAAACTTTTAAAAAAGGGTCAAGGCACTGTGGCTCTGAGGCAGCACTGTGTTTCGAGGACTTTTTTAGGACAGCACATAACATTTTATCGAGAACTGACAAAAAAAGGTTTGCAATCTGAATTTTTATCCCATGTTGTACAGGTTGTGTCCAAGTGGTCTGAATGAAGGGGGAGGAAAGTCAGTTTTTGTGTCTGTTCCACTCAGATCTCTCATTGCCTTTTTCCCATCCCTTGGATAATATGTTGTAGCCACTCCTTTAACATCTGAAAACTTGGCCGAGCAGCAGGATCCAGGTTCCAGCACTGTTTCATGATATTATACACCACTTCAGGACAGCCATCTGGACAGTCCATTTTGTATCCTTTCTCCACCCTGGGCACGACGTCTTTTAAAGGCTTCAGGACAGAAAAGACAAAAGTTGTTCATGGAAAAAGTCAGGACACATTAAGGATTATATTAGACAAACTGTGTTTAAAATTTTGGTTCAGGTCAGTGCAATTTTGTTTCACTTCATCAGGTTACATTGTTTGGAAGAATACTAGTTGTAATGAAATACAAATTCTACACTGCTATTTCCCATAAAAGCCACAAGCTATACCAAAGTTGTACCCCCAATAAACTGTTGAAAGAATTACTCCAGAGTGGAGATTCATAACTGTCTGACCTCCCTCTGAAGCTATATTGAAAACTCCCAGTTTGCCTCTTTCCAAAAAGAATTTGATACTCACAATTCTCGGGTAAGGCACTCGACCAAAAGAGTAAATTTCCCAAAGCAATATACCGTAGCTCCAAACGTCTGATTTTGTGGAAAATTTCTGTTGATTAAAAAAAACATACTTGTCAGATAATTACTTAATTTAGCGGAAAGTACATAATCACTCAACATATTAACTTCACTGCACCTTTTCTCTGAGAGCCTCTGGAGATGTCCACTTTACAGGGAGCTTAGCTGTGTCCTGAGTGGAGGAAGCCTCCTTGGTCAGCCCAAAGTCACTGACTTTGGCGATGTTGTCATCTGACACAAGAACATTGCGGGCGGCTAAGTCTCTGTGGACAAAGTTATTGGCCTCCAGGTACGCCATGGCTTCACAGACATCACTGTAAAGGAGAAGTAAAGACACTGCAAAGATTTTTTCTTTTTTTTTTTAAATACATGCATTTTCAACTTCCTACACCTTCAGCAAAGCTTTCTCCTTTTTTTCGACATGATGGTATCTCACTGTCCTTACTGCTCATGACTGCTGCTATTAAAATGCACCTTTTCCACAAAAATGTTCATCTTAAACAGTTTTGACCATTTTAAACATTTGCACTAATGTAAGATTCAGGTGAGATTTTTGCTTCAAGATACTAAGTGAAGGCAGTCAGGATACTGCAATAAATATATGTTTTGGTACATGTTTAAAAATACAAGATCTATCTAGCAGCGAGTACAAACTGTGATTTCATGTCATTTGCAAGTTTAAATACATTAGAGGCCCACTAAAAGTATCCAAACATGCTCCACAGCACCCACAGTGGTGTAGCACTCCATAGTCTACTCTTGATATGATATATATGTGGATTTGTTGTTGATTCATGTCAACTCACAGTGCAAAATGTAGGAGAGCATCCCCCCCAAGTACTGTCCGACCTCTGGATCTTAAGTAGTCGACCAAACAGCCCTGAAAAACACAAACAAATATAAGACCTCTTTGTAACAGTACTCTGGCTGCTAAAGAACCAGGCGGACGGATTACCACCTACCTTGGCCATGTACTCAGTTACTATAAACAGACTGCCGTTCTCCTCTACAATCACTCCAAGAAGCTGCACCAGGTTGTTGTGTCGTAGTTGCCTTAGGAAAGAGCAGCACAGACAAATGTTGATTGAGTGAATTATCTCTTGTGAAGTATTTTTCAGGAGAAAATTCCTCCGGGGCAGAGGGTGTAGGTTTCCTTACGTCATGACAGAAGCCTCTGCGATAAAGGCCTGAGCTGTGGCGTCATGTTTTATACACTTCACAGCTACTTTGGTCCCTCTGTAGTCTCCCACCATCACATCTGTAATGATGAACAAATAACATTGAGTTGTTAATGATTAATGAAAAAACAGCCTGACCAGAAATAAACACAAATTCATGAGTAAATACACCAGGCGTGTTGAGGTTCAGCTATCTCCTGTTAAATATTTTCCATTAATATCTAACCTACTTCCTGATCCTAAAATAGCAAAACTTTACTGAAACCATACACGGTATGAAGAAATATCAAACAATGTTCTTATATCTGAATAGTTAATATTAAAAATGCTTTTAAGCAGAACAACAACGATTTTTTTTTTTTAAATGAGTAAATACTGACATTTTGCCTTTTTTAATTGCCAACTTCTTTGTTTTCCACATTTAAAAGCTCACATACAGTATATGTCTGATCTTTGCCTCATGTACTCAATGTTAATAACAGGACCCCATCTTACTTGCAAAGTAGATTGAGAGTTATGACTGTAAATGTGAAGCTGCTTACCTCCAAACTCTCCCTTTCCGATAACCTGCTGCAGCTTAAGGTCCTTTCTGTTCATGGACCATCCACCTGTAGGCCATTGAAAGAGGAAAAGCTTAAACATAACAGACAGAAACACAAAAGCCAAAGTGATAAAGACGCATTGATTGAAAAGGATTACACACCCCTGGAAAACTCATCCTGAGCTGCCACAGTCCCCTCCTCCACCTTTGGCTGTATTAGTTTGGTACACAGACCGTCTGCATCTTTGGTATAGTGCTGCAAATAAAACAAAAGCTTCACCCTTATCTTTGGTGCTCATATTATTTAAATTAAGTATGTAAGTATACAATAAAAGAGAGGCAAAAAACTACACAAGCAGCACCTCAATATCACCAAAAGAGGGCAGTATATTCAAATATGCAAAGGATTAAATGAATAACTGAGGAGGTTTGGCCTTAAATAGGTCACTCAGAACTTAAACTTTCTCTCCTGTTTTGTTCCCATGAGTTTTGAGTGAGCTCGTATTTGACATTTTGTACATGAAAAATGAAAAAGAGAGTTTTTGAGAGTAAAAGTCACAGTGTCTCTTTGAGGTTAAGAACTCTGAACTTCAGCAGACTGCTCACTCTTCCTCTTTGACACTTCCTGTTCATTATTTGTTCCAGGAACTGTAAGCAGTCTATGAGGTGGTTGAGAGACAAATTAACTCTAAAACAGGAAACTACATCTTATATACAGTAGACACAAGCTCAGTTTAGCACCAACTGAAACTACTTTTTATAAAAGTCAAACTTATTTTATGTCTCACCTCAACCAGCTGCATGAGGTTTTCAAAGAAGGCCTCGTCATCGATAGTCAGCTTGCCGTTGTTGTAGATGATGCGGTAGTGCTCTACTTTGCCTTCACAGCTCACACATAGGGTGTAGTCGCCGGGGAAGTTGGTGCTCTCCCGCACCAAGAAGAGGCCTGTTTCAGGGGGGTTCAGCAAGCGCTCTGCCTGGTCCCGAGTTATCTTTCCATGAAACCATCTGTGAGTGAAGAACCAGAGAGAGAACCACAACTCTGTCAGACTAAAGTGACTGAAAACTCGTACAAGTACAACACTCGTACATCTTCCCTGACCGTGTCTACAACTGTCATTCTGTCTGCATCACTTACTTGGCTTTAATTCATGGTGACTTTACAGTTATTGTACTGTGAAGTCAGAATGTCTTATCCTGCAAAATACTATGTCAGTGATGGTGCTCTAAGTATCTTAAACACCTCAATAGCAAGAAAAACTACAGCCTCAAAATTGTCTTTCAAGTTGGATCAACTCCCCTTAAAACTGCTGTTACACTCTAATAATTTGATAAATGATAATCTGCAGTAGGATCAGTAAGTCATACTGTATTACTTTTGATTTCTTCACTATAAAGGGGGCTCTTTCTCCAACTAGTGTAATAATAAAACTGGTCTTTCCTTTCTTTCTCTTTGTTGTTGTGCAATGAGTAGGTCTACATCGTTTTTTTTTTCAACTGCTATTTATAAATCAACTTTTTTCCGCAGTGGGGGCTGGTTTGTTGCGTGTGAGCACTTTTAAGTAGGGTTTCTGTTCACTTTTTTATGAATGAAACACCATACCAGCTTCTTCCAGCTACACAGGGGCTACTGTTGAGATCTATTTTGGTCCTGTGTTAGTGATTGTTTTCCATTAGCCACTAACTTGGAGTTTATCTACCCTTATTCAGCACTTCATCATGTTGTAATTACCCTTAAATGAGCTCATAATGCAAATAATACAAACACTGTTCTTGAGATCCAGGGGAATAGATTATGGTGATTTGCTTATCTACTGTAGCTATTTATATTATAAAGAGGGTCACAGAATGTACAGTTAATTTATTTGCATGTGGCTCCATGAAGACACTTACTGCTCAGAAAACCTCGTTGAAAAGCTGCGATCGTTTTAATTTCCACAGAGATACAAGCAAGGAAGAGGGCGGTTCAAAGTCAGAAGTTGCCTTACTATTAACCTTTAACAACAAGCATACACACTTCATACTGACTTGTGTTAAATTCAGGTTGATTGACAAAAGAGTAGCTCAAGTAGCGCACTAACAGTTTGTTTTACAATGTTTTGAAGGTGCTTTTTATCACCAGCAGTTTGAAGCAGAATTCTGTTATCAAAGTCTCTATAAATAAACCGTTCATTCATGTGCCGAAACATACCTGCACACGGAAATCTGTCATGCGGACAAACGGGGAGATTTTACAGATTACTTCAGTCTGTCTCAGACAGAAAAAGAAACAACAGGAAACTGCAGCGTTCACGCAAAGTTGAGCTGGAAACCGACACAAGTGCTCTGCAATTACAAAACAGCCCGACCCAACTGTGGTCGCCATTCACATAACTGAAGCGTCACAGCCACAACAAATAAGCTGTGTGCACTTAGGAACCATGAGAGCCACGAGAAGAGGGAAAACACAGGCTATTTTAGCAGTTGGCCACAAAGCTGGTGTGAAGGCAACTTAGATTTAGTCAGCAGATGGATAAATCTTTTCATTGACTTAAGTATAAGACTACAGTAGGATGTGAGGCTCATTAAACTTTATACTTACGGCATAAGGCTCAGCTTGCCTCCTTGTCTCACACCCTCCCTTTTCTGAACATAGTTGGCAGGAATTGTTCCCTCGCGACCTGCAGCATTTTTAGCTCTGTACCAGTTTGGATCCTAAAACACAGAAGAAAAATGAAAAGTTATCCTCCTTAAGTTGTATATTCATTAAATTATTATATGTGGGTTGTTTTCTCTAATCACTAACTGTATAAGAAGATGGATAGCACACCCGTACTCTGAAAACAAATCCAAAACATTGCAGTTCCCACCGGTCACTGGCTGGTTTAAAATGATGCTTATTTTTGCAAAAGTTTAGCTTCAATCAGTTTTTCAAGGCTAAAATGAGGGTTTGTGACATTATGATTGACAGCTCTGTGGACAAATGCAGGCCCTGTTTACCAGATCAAAGGACGGATGACGAAAACACATTAAACTTTCCGTTGTGATGAGCGTTTGCTTCAGATCAACAAAAACATCTGTTCTGGTGTGGGCTGTAATAACCTGAGGGGTCTTTGATGTTTTTTTCAGTCAGTTAAGATATGTGTTTTTGTTAGCGGAAGAGGTGGGATGCCAATCTCAAAGATACACCAGCCACATCATTTCTGCACACACCTTGTTTCCAAAAATAAAGGAGACATTTTATGAATGACTAACTGAAGGTCAGAAAACACTCAGAGGTGAGCACACGGTTGAACACAGATCACAAAACCTGCAGGTAAAAAACGCCATGTTGGGTAACAAGGACAATGCCGAACAGCACCAGCCAGAGTAGCATCTTGTCTTTGCTGGTTAAATGTTGCTCTCTCTGAGAATAACCGGATGATACTCACAACTTTATCGCTGTTTTCTGATGCTGATCAGAAAAGCACTGGGCACTTTCTATGCACTAAGCACCTTCCACCAGTGGTCTACTTTGCCTCTGTTTTTATATTTGTCGTGTTTGTCGTCTGCTACTGTATTGTTGTCTGTTTGTTTTTTTTGTTTTGTTTGTTTGTTTTTTCCTCCTGTTTTTTTTTTTTGTTTGTTTGTTTGTTTTGTTTTTTGTTTTTTGTTTTTTGTTGCTTTTCTGTTTGAGGACAACGGATGAAAATTAGCCTTAGCTAACTCCGGCTGGTTTACAATGAGAACAGACTTCTTGTATCATGTCTTCTTCTCCTTGTCCATGAACTGGTACTGTCCTGTCTAAATAAATGAATAAATAAAAATAAATCAATCAATCTGCACTTGCTTACTAATAGTGGTGGTCACTAACCAGGCCTACCGCTCTCACTAGTGGCTGACATTTTGGACCAACAGTTATAAATATAAGTATTTCGATAAACCAGCTAACACTTTTGATTGTTTATTTGACTAAATACGACCCACAGAGATCTATTTTGGCTTCATTCTTTCAAAAGGAGGAGATGGAGGCACAACTTCCTGTTCACAAACAGTCTTCAGTTTCAGGGTCCACAAACAAAGAGTGCCAGGGATCCAGAAATGAAGCGTGTGATACCTTACCTTTGTGACAATAATAATTGTCAACACGTCTCCTTTGCTGAAGGGCAGGTCCTGCTCTGATGTGCCTTTGAAGTTGTACCTGGCCACACACTCTGTGCCCTGTGGCCATGGAGTCTAAGGAAACACAGGCAGATCGCTCATTCTAAAATAACACACTCAGCAGACATGTTGTATTGTGTATTCGTACTCTAGATCCTCCTCTTACCTGGACCTCTGTCATGGTGAGGCGGTGGGTTCCTGTCACAGGTGACCTTTTCTAGCTGCTACCATTAGAGCTGGTAAACACACCCACCCACGCACACGCACAGTACCTGTGACAGAAGTGAATCTGAATTAAGTCGGTACATTACGCCTGCTTCAAACACATTCACTCAAACACTTAGACATTCTCAGGAAGACAGTCAATTTGTGGTTTTGCTATGCAGAGTAAAACCCTAATTCACAGCATACAAGTCAGCATACGGCAGACGAGTCACTTCACAGCCGTCAGTGTCGGCAAAAATAACACAGTGATACAGAAAGCAGAACTAACAAGTTTTCTTTTTTGAATACTACTTTCACAACCGAAGACCAATGTTTCCATGACGCAGGGTAACAGTTTTAACACGAAAAAAAGACTTCAGACCAAGGAAAGATCCAGAACTCTGCTATAAAACCCAGCATGGAGTTTTATTTTCTCTCTTAAACAAAAGGGCTCAAACTCCTATGTATTGAATATGTTAGCGCAGTTCTCTTTGACCAAAAATGGACAAACTCTGCGTCTCCCACTTTGTCCCACAACATGGAGCCTCGTAGGAATCAAGATAGCTCTCCTCAACCCTGGAATGCAAACTTGTGGTGAGATCTGACCAGGCCTGAGGGACTCATCCAGCCCAGTGTCTCTTTACGTCAATAAAGCAGCCAGTGTGACAGCAACCTAAGGCCTTAGTCACCCACACACAGTGTTTCCATGATCCACTGACAACAACCCAGGCAGAGGCGTTACAGTAAATTAATGACCTATGGTTAAAGTCATCCTCAAAGAAACCCCTAAACTCGCTTCTTCACAAAACGCCACTTCCTCTCCCCCTCTCTTCCGGCATCAGTTCCCATGAAGAAGTGGTGGGACTCAGGAAAATCTCGGCTTTGATACATCTGTTATTTGACATGAGATCACATCCTCTGACAGGAGTTATTGCTCTGCTCTCCTTCCTGTATGAAACTCAGGTTTTACATAAACCAGTCTGAGGGCGGGAATCTAAGAACATCAAACTTACAACAGATCCTTCGCTGTTATCCGTCTTTAAGCCTCTTTTAATGAGTATGTCTCCTCCATTTAGAAAATATTGCATATCAGAATGAATAACCGCCCTCTTCCCAGACACCCAATGTGAAACGAAAAACTCTCACAGTCCCAGAAGAGGACTGTCATCGCTCCTGTGATGAGGATGTGGTGGATGTTGTCCCCTGTGGAGCATCGCAGCTGTCTTTCTGTATTTGAGGGACACATTTCCCACCCTCATTCTTCCTCTGTACATCTCGGTGTATCTTTTCTGCTGCACTTACATTTCCCACCATGACAGAAGCTCTTTGAGACGTGAATCACTCATCTGAAATTAAAACAAATCAAAATCTCCAAGAAAGAAATGCATCTTTTCTTTTCATACTCATACCCTCAGGTGCATCTTGTGACGCATATAAAACACCTCAAGTTCTGGGTTACCAATGTCTTTTTTATTCACTTCTAGCTTACTCTTTACTCCGCAGTTGGCTGCTACTTTTTGTTACAAGTTACTTTGCAGAGAAAGTTCTTTGGAGCTCCCACTGCTGATTGCCTGCAGTAAAGGTCATAAACCGCACCTTTTTCTGTGTTGAGCAGGGGTCAAAGTAGAAAATGAAGACACACATCAATAATTTTCTTGGGTGGATTTCTCTCATGATGATCTAGTGGCAACACTGTCACACTTCTATGTGGTTTGGTTTGGTTTAGTTTAGTTTGGTTTGGTTGGGTTCATGTTCACGCAGCACTTGGACAGACAAATTAAAGAGCCGCTCGCTCGTCTGTCTCAAACAAAAACTAGTGAAGACGAAAAAGAATAGCAGACGAAGATGGTCATCTATTAGTCAGAACTGAAGATGGAAATCTTCCCCCTTTAACTGGTTTATTAACCGCATTAAATATGGAGCAGCTCCAAATTTCTGCTTTTACTTTGATGTTCATGTGTGAGAAACAGGTGAGGCAGCAAACCGCTGAGTACTTTTTTTCTTCATGTGAGACGAATGAATCAGCACAGAAGAAAAAAGGCAAACCCTGATGAGAGCAAGAGTATGACATGTTACCATGGTTACACAGACGCTGACCCCCAATCCACTGCGGTTTATGACATTTTACGCCCCCACTCTATTAATTAATCCACTTGGCTTTCACACCGCGAACGCATCACATCTTCAAAATGCAACCCTAATCTGAATTTAAGTAGAAGCAGGATATCATGGCGGTTTTCTGTAGAAACAGAGAACTGCATTTCTCCACAAAGTCTTTGGTGAATGAGAAAAGTGATCTCATCAAGAGCAGAATGAAGCAACAGACTCAGGGCTGACGTGCAACAGCTCTTTTTAACTTTTCTCTTTTCCAGGCAGTGAATGTATCTCAGCAGCAGGCCACCAGCTGCTGACTGAATGGTACTGAACTCGGTCTCTGGTGGTGTCACATTGCTGTTTCCAGAGAGCTCTACATGGAGGCACAGCCTGCTCTTTTCAGGAGAAAGACAAGGCTGTTATTGTGAGCTGGAGGAGTTTCTCCTGACCCCTGTCTCATTGAGAAGTCCATTATCAGTCTGTCCAGTGAGAAGCCCTGAGGTCAGCGATGCTTCATATTTTTAGGTCTGTAGATCTGACTTGTACTTCACAGTTTATTCTGGGAATACAATCAGTTCATGTCTACTCCTCTGTTATTTTAATTATTAAAACCCTCATCCTGACAAATCAATTCCATGATGAAGAAACATCTAATTTAGAGATAGTCTGTTACAGAAGTGATGATATGAGTAACTAACTGCCAAAGGAAATCACCAAACTCAGTCAGAAACAACTGAAATAGAATCTAGACAGCACATCACACTCTATCGCTATTTAGAGAGGTGTTATATTCATGCAAACAAAGCTTGATGAGATAAGACGATTAAAGAAACTAATTCAATATAATTATCAGCACCCACAACAATCTCATTGTTCAAACCAGTTTATCAACATTTGTCTCTTATGTGATGAAAGTCAGTCGTAGTCTGAACTGTAAAAATGAGGGGCAGTCTGACTACACAAAGCAAGACAGGACAGGAATGTAGAAATATCTTCTCCAGCCTTGTTTGGATCTGCCACTCCCTCCTATTCCTGCAGACAAGATCTGAGGTGAAACCACCGATCACGTCTGCTGTTGCAAAATCTGCTATGATGCAGCGAAGAGAGGAGGCCTGGAGGTTCTGTGTGCCGATTAGAAAACCTGTCACCCAAATGCATCATGCACAAATCTTGGCAACAACATCTTATCGAATAACGTGGCATGTTTCAAATAGATATCCACAATAAGTGGGTAAAATTTCCACATTGATAAGTAGAACAACTTTATGAAGAGTATCAGTAACTCTGACATTTTCAGGCTTTAAAGAGAAACAGTCTTCCTGCTTGGGCTTTCACGTCACATACTAGATGTCTGAGCTGATATCACCTCAAAGAACGAGATATTTCTCCTCTTGACATTTCAGACAGTTTCTTTTGAATAACTGCTGAAAGAAGAGGTTAATTTAAACAGTATTTTACTGTTGTACCAATAATATTCAGTTAAATGTTTCTTTGCATTCCTGAAACTATAAAAAGCTAAACCAACAAACCTCCTGCCTTTTGGATTTCAATAGCTGGACATCTTAAAACTTTTCAAAAAGACATGATGCCTTCTTTAAATGACAAGTTTTGATATCCTGTACTACATTGTACTAGTAATACTTGAGGAAGTTTGCATGTCTATGATATAATATGTAGAAAAGAGAATACTTAGTGATATCTAGCAGTCAGACTGAGGTGCTTCCTTGCTCACCCTTCCCATGGAGAAAGCAATCATGGCCTTTTGAGTTTAAGAGGCTCCTGCCATGTTTTTTAAGTGTGCACTTAAAAAATGTCCATCAATACAAATTATTTTTCACTCAATAACAACCACGTTCTTCTTCTTTTTCCAACAGGTGCATTTTGTCCATTCTGTACCACTGTACAAATATGGCAGTGCAAGAAGGGGACGTACCCTTTCTGTTGTTAAAAAAGGTTCATTTCAAGGAAAAATTTTGAACCAATTTTACTCTCAGGTGATGAGACATGAATTAAAACATCCTCTCAAACATTATTTTCCATTTCTACCAAGTCGTCTTTGCTAAATTTTACACACTGCACCTTTAATTTATGGTATTTATTTTCACTTTCACACACTTTGATATTTCACCAATAAGAAATTAAAGTTAAAAACAATCAAAAGTAAAATGTACTGTATGTGTGAGAATCATTTCTAATGCTCCTACTCTCTTTATTTTATGATATTAATTGAATTATTCTGGCACATCCTGTAGACAAAACAATAAGTGCGTCTAATTTCTTGACTTTTCTTGTCCTGCACAAGGGTAGGTGGTGTTTTCTGACAACAATCTAATCCCGATTTCTGTAAAACATCAAATATATTGTTTGTTTTAAGTGTTTGCAGTGAAAATGTAAAATATACTTCGAGCTTTTTCGTCAGTGTGCTGCACATTATCTCATTTGACACCCACCCTGAGGCAATAGTAACAGGCATAGAAACTCCAACATAGAAATGATCTGTTTAGTTACTCATATTTTTTTGTTAATGTAAATTTCATGACCAGCAAAAATTCCTTATAGCACCTTTAAATTCATTACGTTAAAGCGCCTGTGAAGAACTTTTGTTTGTGAATAGACAAAGCTGTACCTCTAATTTATTTAGTATTTTCAGCTAATTTATTGATTTTGTCCTGTGAATGTAGGTCATGGATTTGGTTGTATTTTGATGCTCAAATGTGTAACTTATCCAAAAAAAATTGCCATTTTCACGGTGTGAAATTCATCACATCAGCCGACACCTAACCCCATGACAATATCTAGAAATTGCTCTTCTTTATGTGGATGGTCTTGTTTGCTCTTAGAGTAACATTTTTATCAATTTTAGTCTGTTTCACCACCAACTTAAAACTCCTGACAAGAGCTTTAACTGTAATATTATAATATACCAGAAAAAACATTTCCCATTTGATGCTTAAATCTTCAAAAATATATATAGTTGTCTTTACAAATAATACTTCTGTAACTTTACTGACTTGTTATGTTGAATGCAGAAAATTACTTGCATTAGATAGTCTTTCATTCATATTACACGAGTGGCGGATCTGAATATTTCACCATATTCCGTAGTAAGAGTGTCACAGTGAGCGGCATGTCAGTGCTGTTCAAACGTGCTTCTGCATCCTTCCTCTTCATGCCTCTGAGCAGCAGGGGGTTCTGGGTGATCTACCCTTCACGCTGACCATCCTGCCCTAGATCCGCTCAAGCTGCTTTGATGCTGCTGCCCTGTTATCATCACATAGCAGCATGTTCACCAGGCTGGCAGAACAAAGCGTATAAAGAGAACAAGTATATCTATCAAGGTCCACTGAGCTTCAATCTGGCAGGTTAACAAACAAACAGACAAGGGAGTGTGAAGTGCACAAATAGAAGACAGAGCACATGCCAGCAGCTCAGCCAGTCGAGTCTGACAGCCTGCAGGTGTTCTTGAGGAGCCTTAAAAGAGGAAATCACCTCTGCCTCTGGGCAAACAGCTGGACTCTGCAGTAGCAATGCTCAGTGAAACCGCTGCCTGCAAGAGAGCGGAAGTACATGTGCAGGGGTGAACTCTGCAGCACAAGCTATCATTGTACCACTTTAATGGCTGTCAGCTTTGCCTGTCAGACTCAATATTGGTGTCATTAAAACAAATGACAGCATATACATCAGGTATATCATCCTCTCGCCATCATAAATACACACAAAACCTAATGCTGAAAAACAAAGACGTTTCAGAGTAACAGGAAGAGGGAAGAAATTCCTGTCAGTCAGGGGAAAATCCCACTGAATTCACCTTCAAAGTTCAACACAGAGGTGACACTTGTGACACTTTGGAGAGTTTATGATTTCACAAAGCAGACCCATCAATAAACAAAGAGATCAATAATAAGCAAGGCAACGCAGTCGTGCATGAGCGGAGGATGAATACTTCCTTGTTGAAATGCTAAGCATATTCATGCAGTGCAAAGTTGCTCTGCTGATGCAGCCACCACGCTCCGTACATGACAGAACAGCAGCAGCTGTGTTTGCTCTGTTTTCATGAACTCTTGTCATCTTGTCTCACCAGCTTTATCCCTCATAATAGTTCTGCCACACTGGACCAAAATAATCCGCTATGAACCAAGCTCTGAAGCCGAGGCAGCACCAGACTGGCTGCAGAATGTATTTGATAGGTCTATTTCACTTTATTCCAGTGCATTGGTTGCTTTTTCAGGGTTTTCATGTTTAACCCTTTAATGCATTTATTTGATACTTCTATCAAACCAATATGATCAACAAATTACAATAAAACACCTGAATACAGTCAGATAAATGATAAAAAATGTCCTCTTGTAGTATCAAACGAGATAAATAAATATATTTGTTAAATTTTAAGGATATTTTGATTTTTGGGGTTTTTAGTAAGAAGTGAAATAAACATTACAGCTCCAAAAAAATGTGAATTTTCTGTCCATAATTGGTGGTGTCAGGCATTAAAGGGCTGCAAATGAAAAAAAGAAAGGAGGCTACCAAATTGAGATGCGTTTCACACTGATCTTCACACGTTTCTGTAAGTGCAAAGACTCATACATTCAAGGCTCTGACAGGTTTGGTGCATGCACTGTGTTCTGTCTCAGATGAATATCATGATCATCTCTGTCAATACTTTAATCCACCATGTTGGGACGGAGAATAAGAGAGAGCTGCATGATGCAACTGCTGCACCCCAGAAGCAAAAGGAAGTGGCAAAAGTTTGAGGAAGGAGGTTTTAGGAGTCTACCTCTCACATTTTCATGGAGGCTATTTTTACTTCATAGTTTCAGTGTAAATTGCACTGAGCTCCACTCATTTTACATCAAGAAGTAGGGGTGAATTCTTGACTACAATGTTCCTGCCAATGGTTCAAGCCCAAAGTTGAGTTTAGTGCTCAGGTGTAAGCTGTATTTACCAGATAAAACTTACCTGTTAGAGGCTGAAAAAGCGAGAGATTGCGTCAAAAACAGGTGATTCCTTCACTGTTCCGCACCCCTTTTCATCAGTGACAGGAAGACAATCCCCATTCACGAAATAAACAAGACAGTCTAATGTCGAAGCGCAAAAACAACAGATCAAGTCCCGATGAGGAAGTGAAATGTGCCTCAGGTGACACGGAGCCTCAGCAGTCCAAAAGTAGCTCAATAAAAACAAGCCTGACTCTTATCAGTCCGTCTCCTGTCAACATCATCTGGGGAAGTGCTCTTATTTATACAATTATTGATCCTTTTCTTCAAATGTCTGACTTTGGTGTCCGCGAAGCTTCTCTGAGAAAAACGTACCAGGAGTGAAAACAGACGTGAGAACCCAGCTGTGTACAAACTACCGCAGTAAAATTACCCCGATACAGACCATAATTAGCGTCAACTTCACACAGCCCCACTCCTTTTCCCCGTCAGACATTCAAGTTTTGCCCCACCTTGATTTTGTATTGCACATGCGCGTTTCTGTCAAACTAGTCCGCCTATAAATGGATCACCGGACCCACTTCAGTGCAGTTTAGTGAAGGGATTTGCTAATCAATAATGAACTCCACAAGTCCACAGAGGAGAGATTGCTTTTCTTTTATTTTGTTATTCTGCAGACATGACACACACCAGGGCTGTAACAGTGGACTTTGCTCCCCAAAGGAAACATTTGTGCTGTCTAGACAAAACCTCCAACGCGGATGTCTGAGCAGCAAACTGGCCTCATATTTGTGCATTTCTTGTGTATTTCTTATTCTCAAAAGAATAACATTAACTTTTCAACTGCTCACATTGAGAGAAATAACACAACTCTCTAAAGAAACTGTGTTAGGCATTTCAAAGTTGACATTACAGCAGAGCAAGAAAAGCCCATTTGAGTGTGATTTTGTGGCCCCCTGGTGGTCACAGACAAACGGAAGTCATCTTTAGTTCACATTCAGTGAGGCTGGCTGACGTTTCCAGACCAGACTTGTCTCAACAGCTGAGACTTTACACATCAGGCCAAAGGAATGTTGGGGAAAGGACAAAACCTGTGTGAATGACAGTGATTTTCTAGATTTAAAGAGCTTACACCTCATCCAAGGATCCAGGATTTTCAGACCCTTTATGTGCTCAATATGCACACTGTGCACTTAAAGGGATATTCCGGCGTAAAATTAAGTTGGGGTCAAACACACCGTAACACCGAGTTAGACACCCCCTCAAGAGATGAATGTTGCCGACCGCTTGCTTCTCTAGTTATACCAACTTTAACAACCACATGATAGCAATACACAGCAGTCTAAGGAGCCATAAACAAACCTCAACCAAAACGCCACTCTATAGCCATAAATGATGCTCAGAACAGCACCTAACTTCATCAACAGGACATATAGGGTCCTAGCCACCAAACATCTTTTTAACTTTGCCTTATTTCTTTTGCAAAGAGACTAAACACAACTCACCGACTCTCCTCCAGCAGCCGCTTGTTTGTAGAGAGACCTCAGGCCAGTCCATCACCGACAGCAGCGGGGTGACGCAGCTCAAGGAAGAACATTTATGATCATTTCTTTATCATTTCCTTGAACTAATAATCATCATATTAATCATTTTGCACTGCAGGCATAGAAGTTCTTCTGCCTTAGCGTCTCGGTCTGATTGCATTTTCATGAAGAAATGATCATAAATGTTCTTCCTTGAGCTGTGTCACCCCGCTGTCCGTAATGGACTGGCCTAAGGTCTCGCTACAAACAAGCAGCAGCTGGAAGAGAGTAGGTGAGTTGTGTTTAGTCTCTTTGCTAAACACAACTCACTCAAATTAGGCAAAGTTAAAAAGATGTTTGGTGGCTAGTGCTGTGGCTAGGACCCTAGCTGGACTCAGGTCCTGTTGATGAAGTTAGGTGCTGTTCTGAGCATTTTTGTGGTTATAGAGTGGCGTTTTAGTTGAGGTTTGTTTATGGCTCCTCAGACCTCTGTGTATTGCTATCATGCAGTCGTTACTAAAGTTGGTATAACTAGAGAAGCAAGTGCTCAGCAACATTCATCTCTCGAAGGGGTGTCTAACTCGGTGTTACGGTGCGTTTGACCCTAAATTAATTCTACGCTGGAATATCTTCATCTTCTCTCTTTCTAGCATCTTCTCTTGTCACATAAAACATAGGCAGCAGAAATACTGACACCTTCCACACACAAAGCTTTTCTTAAGCTGGATTCACAGTCTGTGCTTTAGAGTCCCATGGCTGAGGACACAAACAGACTTACTACACAACAAAGGCCCAATCTAAATGAATTATAGAGAGCGCTCAGTGCAAATGAGACAGAGCATCAACAGTCTGACAATCAAGTTGTTCTCAAACTGACCAAAGCTTGAAAAAAAGGGGGAAAAAAGCAGTTGACATTCAAACCTGTATGTTTAAAACTCTGTCATGTGATTTGACATTTAAAAGGACCATACCAGTGGTTTTCAGTGAATGCACTACAAATCCCATGCGGCCATTCAGTGTACTGCACTGATGACTTTTAAATCTCAGGTATTAGCTACATCATACATGGCACAAAACTTCTGCAAGTGTAATTTTCACAGCAACTTTTCTGGAAATACTGTAATATTGGCAGCAAACAGGAGAAAATGTTTCAACCATGACAAAACTTTGCTGGTGATTTTCTTCTTCTTCTTCTTTTTTTTTTTGATTCCCTTTCAATTTCAGTTGAATGAGCCCCAAACCCATCAACAGTCTATTATGGTCCTTCAACCAAAACAGAATCAAAATGAAACCAGAACAGTCAACATCTGTTCCACATGAAGACTGCATTCAAAGTCACTGTTCCTGTTTTCCACAGTACTTATGGTAAACCAAAAAAAGGAAGAGGGGGCAGCATTAAACTTTGATTAGACAAGAATAGCAAAATTCAACAATCCAGTTTTTTGTTCAATGTGCAGCTTTGAATCAGCTGCATTTCGGATTATCCCCTTTCTAAAGGTTACTCAATTGGAGAAAAACAAGTAATGATAAAAACATTCCCTGAAAGTTCTTTTCCATGAGAACTTGAGTTTTTCTGAGCTCCAAGTATTTTCCTTTGTTGCAGGGATTCAATTTTCTCATAGCAGTAACTGCAGTATCTTGTATAACCCTTTAGGTTTCAGGAAAACTGAAGAGTGGGCGGACCTGGAGATCGCCTTGATTAACAAATTCAAGTGGAAAAGAAATTGGCACTGATAGGACATTGTGTCTTCAGCTCTAAACTGTCTGTAAACCTTTTTTTTGACTTACATGCTGTGTCATCTTAACAAAGCCCTTATCATCACAACTTATTCAACATGGAATAACAACTTCTGGTCTCTGGATTCTCTCTAGCAGCTGCCCGCTTCAACACTGGCTCAGTTTCAAAGTGTAGCTGTCTCACATAAATGCCAAATATTCAACAGTTGGCTGGATGACACGCCTACTGTATAGAAAGACACGGCAACATATGAGTTGGACAGAGTTTGGCCAGCTATAGGTCAAGGCATTAGCAATGATACCAAGAGTAACAGCTGGATGTGTCTCTTTAAGATAACTGTAATCATATTGCGTTTGCAGGTCTTTTGTGATGGGTCCATTCAAGGATGTGGAATGAGAGGAGATTGGAGACATTCAGAAATGTCTGATTTAAGGTAAGATTGTCTTAATCATTCTAAATTGAATGATGTGTTATAATTCATGACACCTAAACTGTATTTATGAACACCTTTCTCACAAGTAGCCTTGAAATATTATGATAGAACGCAATGTAAATACGATGGTATCTACACGACTGCTGAAGCTTGTGATGGTGGGTAAAGCTCTTTTCTCTCAGATTCGAGCACTTAATCCATGTAGGACTAATGTACCACACAGTGGTCGTCCGTTATGAGGAACAAGTCCCGTTCACATGCTAAAGGGCTTAAAAACTGAATGGATGGACAGAAAAATAACTGAAGCTCTGGGATAAACAGTAAGGCGCCAAAACCCACATGGTCATGGAGGGTGAAAGATACAATCTGTCATATGTTGACCACTGGTCCCATTATGCAGAGTGCAAGGGAATGACGAATTTGCAGCCAAAAGGAGAATGGTACTTAATTCCCACTTCCTGGAACACTTGGCGAGGGACACCGATGTCACACAGGTAAATACTGCCAGCCCCTTCAGCCAAGGGGAGGGGAAGGCAGAGAGAGAGGGACCACTTGGCCTCCACTGCTTGCCCCTGTCCGCTGCCAGGAGGGTCTAAGCTGAGCACTGGAGCTCGGTTCTGATTAGCCCAGTCTGCAGCTGCTCGATACCAAGGCTGATCCATCAGGAATGTGTTCTCATGGCAGTCCAGGCAGTTAATGATCAGGTCCACCGGGGTGTCTGGGAGGTCTGAGGAGAAAAAGTTTCAGAAACTTGATGTTTATCGCTTGAACCACCTCTGATACAAAATCTGAAAGAAGAAGAAGAAAAATAGTCCCACCTTTGATACTTGACACCTGTTTGCCACCAGTTTTGTTAAAGAGTGTAAGCTCACTGGTCACTGAATCCAACATCTTGACAAAATTGGGAAGAAAAAGGATGACCTCCACTTCATGATTAGCAAGGTGACGACCACAGCTGATGCCCTGAGCTCCCTGAACATGAGGGCCACACAGCAGAGCCACAGTGGGGCGCTGGTGTAAGTTTTTTGGAGTAAATCTTCAAGAGAGAAAAACAGATAAACTCAGTTCAGGTGTTAAATACAGAGATTGACAGTGCGACCATTTCACTCCCATTAACGACTAAAAAGAGATGCGTGCGAATTGTAAAATGTATTTAGGAGCACAAGTTAGGTTGGATATTCGACAGTCATTCACTGCTACTCTACGGGTGTCTTCTCACTCTCCATAAGCAGGAATAGCAACAGCAGCGGTTAAATCAACACGGCATCCTCGCTGTCAATGTTGGGAGTTGAATAAGGGACCATCAATAAATTATCGGTTGATGCTCTCAAAAAAGGCTGTTTTCCTTCAATAGCTTTCATGTCACGCGACCAATTGACCTAAAATTGATTTAAAATTATATTACTAAGGTCAGACAATAAGACACATCTCTATATTTCCCTGATGTGTCCCCTAAAAATTATCTGTGTTAAATTTAAAGGCAAATTTTGAACATTTTCTTCGACAGCCTCCATGTCATGTGACTGAAAGACCTAAAATTGATTTCAAATAATAATAATCAATAAAACACACATGATTTGATCAATTTTCATTGTGCCCCTAGAGTTCTTTGTGTGCTCCTTAATTTTTCAACTTAGGACCACATGTGCTCCTTGTGAGAAAGGTTAGTGTCAAGCCCTGTAAATATGATGTGTAGCATAATGGAATTTCATCTGACATACTTATCAGCCATGCTCTGAAATCTAAAGAAGAACCCTGCTGCTTTTTCTGTTTCATGAATTGGTGCCAAACTATCTCAAACATGTTACTGGTGAAGACAACCATGTTTTTAGATTGTTGTGAGCCAGGAATTATGGATTTTAATAAACTGTCATGACTCATAGAATTCATAAAACAACAATAATAGTATAGCAGTCATCAGCTGACCTTCTATGTCATTAGCATTGGTATTAGTTGTTGAAATAACAATATCTGTTGACCACTATCTAATGTCATCACCACTGTCTTACCGGTTGGGCCCTCCTAGCAATGTAAGTGCCATCTGACTTGCACAAACTCCAGTCATCTCAAGTCTTCGCTCAAGTGAGAGACCATGACGCTCAGCGACTGACAGCAGACGCTTGTGCAGTTCATAGGTTATACTGGGTACAACAAGCCCCGAGTCTGTTTGGAGTAAAAGGAAACATAAATGTCAGTGTCTACTTCAGATTACTTTCCGCCCTTACTTCTTCTATGATATTACAATGTGACCTTACCAGTGCAGTATTCCTTAGCCCCAGGCTGTGGTACAGTAATCTGTCTGTAGACAACAGGTTTTGACTCCAGAATATTTTCATCATGACGATATTTGGAGGGTGTCTGCTCTTGAGGCGTCCCACGTGACCTTGCACCATTGCGGCGCTCTGTTGTGTCGATTTCTGAAAAAACTGCTGCTTTGTCAAAAAGAGCCAAGTTTCCCTCAAAATCAAAGTCTGTGTCCAGCCCTTCCTCCATGCCATCCCCAAAACACTCGTCGTCTCTGTGCTTCTGACCATTCTTCACTCCATTCTTCTTCGGGGTCACTTGGTTTCCACCTCGACTACTGGACGACCCTGTAATCACAACAAACACATGTAATGGCGATACTTTGATTATCCGAGGTTAGGGCTGGGCGATATGGGAAAAAGTTTATCGAGATATATTTTTTACATATCAGTCGATATTGATATATATCACAATATCAAAAAAAATGAAAATTAACAGTGCTTATTGGTAGCATGTCTTTTGCAATACAATAAGTTACTGCATCTATGAGGTCTTTGTGTCTCTTTGACGTTTTGTCGTAAGGCGTTGCGCTAGAGAAAACAGAATGGTTTGTAACCTTTGGCATTGTGCGTGCTCTGCTGCGTTGCACTGCTTCAGGTGGTGAAAAAGATTTGAGGTATTCTCAGACTTTGTGAGAACATATATGACATAATTTGCAGTGCACATTACTCTGCTTCATATCCAACCTTAAAAAAAACAAAATATCTCCACACCACTGACATTTTCGTGACAGTGTTGTTGACATTGTCGTCATCTGTTGAGCCTTCATCTGCATTTCTGCCAGGGGTAGCGCTCATTTTATTTTTTTCTCACCAACAGTGCGGTCGGCTTCACGTGTTAAAGTACTATGGCTGCGTTTAGCTGCAGCCTGATACTACGCAGTTGTTTGCTACTTGGTTCGAATTCAGCACGATTGGTTCAACGCGAAGCAGACCTGGAACAACTTCCCTTTTCAGTGGCTATTAGAGTCTACCAAAACATGGCAGAATGCTGACTATCAAAAAGCATATTGATCATATTTTATATTGATATTGAGGGAAATTAATTTTCAATATATATGGTTATCGTTTTATCGCCCAGCCCTATCAGAGGTGTTAATTCTGCCTAAGCTGTAACTACATCACACTTACAGGAGTTGTGTCTTCGTCTAAATGCTTTTGGCTGTCCAGGTACTTCCAGGTGACGCTCTCCGTAGCTTTTGGAGCAGTGCTGGGGGGAGTTTAGTTTCTCAACAGACCTGGGGTCAACCTTTGGGACAGCAACTGGAGCACTGCTGACTTTTGCGGATGCAGAGGAGTTGTTTCGAGCGTTTCCGTTTCTGATCTCTAATATCTTCAGTTCTTTTATGTCAATGGCACTGCAGACAGAAAGCAAAATACATTACATAACAATAGTACATTTTTTTGTTGGTGAGTTTAACTTGTACAAAAAAAGATGGTGATCAAGTTAGATTTGGTTTACTCACCTAAATGTGACCTCAGGAACGGGGCACTTGACTCCATTATGGAAAGGTTGTCTTAAAGAGATGGTCTGACTGGTCTGGTCCACAGAAACCACCTCTCCCTGATAGACTCCCAGTGTTGGCCCACAGTTGATTGACACGAAACTACCTAACCAATCCGCTGCCATGGCTACAAGAAAAGGATGAAAATTATTTATATATAGCGAAAAAGACTTTTCTGAAGAATCATGACAGTAACTATGAAACCTTTAATGAATATTAAAACAGCCTCATGGAAATGCAGGACCAGGGAAACTCATGCTTCGGTGTTAGCATACAGTTATGTTAGCTGAGCAGCGTCCGCCAGGAAAACGAAGCTAGTCAAGTTAGCATCAAAAGACAAACATGATATTTTAACAATAATAGCCGAGTATTTCACCTTCAGGGATCACTGCGGGGAACACTCTTTACTATATCTCAGAGTTAAGTGCTGTGAGGAAAATCTTACTCTCGTAAACTGTTAGCTTTTCGTGTCTTGAATGGTCAAAACCTGCTGCTGCGGCGAGCTTCTAAATGACCACTTCCGGCTTCCGCTAAGAGGACTTTTCAAAATAAGAGCAAGGCAAGGAAATTAGCACAAACGACGGCAAAATTCACGCCTGGTGAGTGAAGACAGTAGACTGTAAAATTAAGCGTAGTAGACTGGGGATGTTTGTTGCTGCCCACTGTCTGTTCACCAGGCGTGTGCCGGTCGTTGCTCATGTAGGGGAGAGTGTGGTAAGTTGAGTCAAACGGTAAGTTGAGCCACCCCCTGTTGCTTAGAAATGGTTAAAGAAATTGATCATGTGACCAAATATTTAGGAGATGGGCATTAATTCATGGAGTCTGTGAAGTTTAGAAGCACATGGGTGAAGGGGTTAGACATTTATTTAAAAAAGAAACATTTTTCACTCTTGAAAGTGAATTTAGTCTGTCATAAGTTTTATTAGATTTGTGTTCAGACCAAAAAAGATCATTTTAAATTTGTTTTATACATCAATTGTTGTTTCTATGAGTTACAACATGAGGTCAAAAACCAGCATAAAACTCCACCATTTTAGCTTAGAGGACTGATAAAGTCATAATAGTAGTTCTGGGGTAAATTGAGCCAGTGGATCAACTGAGAAAGTAAAGGAGTCTGATGAGAGGATCAGAGTTTCAGTTCAGATTGTTGAAATGTTTTACTTTTTCTTTTCAAAAATACAGCTGTGAATGTTCTGAATCACTTAAAGACACTCATATTAAAATGGCTTTTTACAAAACAGTTTTTTAGCAGTTATATGCAATAATAATAAAAAGAATTATTGTACCAGCTGGATAGCCAAAAACAGATAAAAATACACATGAATGTGAAGAAGTGACTGTTATTTATTGACTTTATGGTCAACTTACCCCATACACAGGGTAAGTTGACCATAGAAGACCAGTTTTTTTGGCATGCTATATTATCAAGACAGTTATGTTTACGTTCATTTTGTTGGTTTGCAGGGATGCACAACATCTTGAAATATATGCAGATACACTAGTTAGAGACAAAACTATGATTGCCTTGATGTAGTGATCCAAAATATAAAAAATGGCTCATCTTCTCCCACTCTCCCCTACGCAGTGCTCACCATAGGGGTAGAGTGCTTCACTTTACACATGGAGACCAGGATGGGGTCACAATTTTGAAAATATTAATAGGGCTGGTTGTAAAAAATCATTTCTGTGATTGCTGAAGGAAATGTTTTATTCGACACTGTTTGAACTTCAATTGAAATTACAGTATTCTTTTAAAATGTGATCAGAAATGGTGTCGGCAAAGTAACAGCTTTGAATTTAGTCAGCGACATGCAGTATTTCACACCGAGCTGTTGAATATCATCATGCTTACATAGCCATGATGATACAACCTGCCATCACATGGCTCCTTATACCTGGATATGAAATCAATCCCTACATAATCATTGTAAAATAATGGAAACAAAACATTTTACCTCTGTGTTCCCACAAGAAATAATAATCCAGTTAGACTTTGGTTACTGTAGAGAATGACTCATAGATAACCTATTCTTGTTAGGACCATTGTTTTAGGAATAACAGCTCATGTCAACAAACAGCCAGGCGGTGAGATCATGTGGAGACTATCCCAGAAGAGTAGGCACATGACCCACCCACCCACTGTGTATATGGGTTGCCATGGAAACCCAGTCCAAGGAGTGCACTGAAAAGCTTGCAATCAGAGCTGTTTAAGGCTTAAGAGCAGATTAAGTGGGCATTGACTGTGGATAAGAGAGGTTCTCAACAGCAAGGTACCGTAAAACCAAGTGTAAGACTTACTATAACTATTAAATGACATTAGGATATTTAATCAAGTATTGAAAAATGGGAGAGGTCGTATTTAACACATTTAAAATAAGAATTACTGATGATTTAGTTCGCACACACTCTGTAATGATCAGACAGTGTTAAAACTAGTTGTTTATCATCAAGCAAGCGATGGAAAAATCAAGACACAGGATCCAAGAATAGCCACACACGCCAGCAGCCACCTCTGTGTGAAAATCTACCCCTGTCGCCTGAGCAGATATGTGTGGGAGATGAAGACTGAAACATCCTCCATACAAAGGGAGGTGATCGCTCGAATCGAAGAAGAAGCTCCAACATGTTCAGAAGTTCAAGTCCGTTTTCTCTAACAGACCTCGACATGTGGGATACGAGGTCTCGTTTTTCAGCCCAGGTGGGATTCTCATTCGGTTTTAATTTGGAGTTTAACAAGATCACAACTGGTTGGTTTTTTTAAGTAACATACTTTTGTCTCTCAGACCTCAGCGTGGTGTGGTATGGCAGCTGTTTCTGGTACAGGGTTTCTGTCCAAAGTCAGCACAAGGTAAGATGGAAAATATTTACTTTTTGAAAGTGACAGAGGCATCTCTGTATTCTCTTCTCAGTAAAGGGTGTAATAAATTCTATCTGATTATAGCACATGTGGGAGCACTGGTGGCTTCAGACAAAGTGATCCAGGTCTTCGGAGGTGGCAGTCATTGTCCCATCTGGAGCATGAGGCTGCAACACGGTCCTTTTCTCCATCTCCAGGGGCTGAACTAAGGGCTGCCAGAGGAGAACGCAGCTTTAAACCGACTGAAGTGGGACGGTGGATGCAGGATGCTCATGAGCGTCTGGACTGTCAGCTAAATGGGCTGAGTAACAGGAAATCACAGCTGAGTTACGACAAATCCACTGCACACCTCCATGACATGAAACACCAGGTGAGTTCTACGATCTACCTTTGTGGGTTTTTGTCTTTCTTTGTCCAAAGTTTGGTTTACGAGACTGAGATAGTTTCATAGCTTTTTTTCATGTGTTGTTTCTTAATATCATGTACTGGCTGCTCTTGATCAGGAGGTGTTAGCTGAACTTTCCAAATCTGAAATCAGCAGGCAGCAAGGCGAGCTTCATGAAAAGTAAGTGGAGGGAAAGATGTGATAAAGAGGGAGACGGACATTTGAATAGCTGTAAACAGGATTGAAATTCCTTCTCCTGTTAAATTCACTTTCAAGGGTCATACAGATGGAGAAGGAGCTGTTCCAAATGAAGTCTAGCTTAGGCAAAAGAAACAATGATCACACAGCAGAGAAAACTCCTGCCTCACTCAACATGAACTTATCACAGAGTCAAGAAGACTTAAACAGGCAGGTGGGTAAACTTTAAATGTTAATTTGTTATCCATAAACTGTAGGACTGTGTTTGACAATCGCAGCTTTTACACTTTGATTTTTTTATTATTCAGAAGAGTGAGGAAGTTCAGTCAGAGCTGCATAAACTTAGAGAGGCTCTGAAAGAAGCAGAGGCAAAGGCGAAGACACAAGAGCAAACTCTCCCGAAGCTCCAGCCTTCAACAGAGGTCAGCGGAAAATAACATGAGGGAAATGTCAACATTTTCTGTCAATTTCTTTGATTCAAGATCCTAAAGTTGTATTGTCTGCCATCCACTGTAGACACAGACGATGCTGTTGAATCAAATTGAGGAGATGAACCAAAGACTCAGCAACACGAAACAGAATCACTCTAAAATTCAAGAACAGCTCACTGAAGCTAACAACAGGATTAGCCAAGCATGCCTGGTCAGTTTCTTTTCTAATCTGATATTACAAAGCTTTGTGACGAGAATTATAGTTTAAATTTGTCATTCCTCCTTAGGAAAAAGCCACGCTGTCAACCCAAGTGCTAAAGCTGGAGGATAATATCAAAGACCTTCAGAGCAAACTAGCAGGGGATCAATCTGAGAAAGACAAACTCATCAAGGTATTATATTGACACCTTTAACAGCAAGCCCCCTGCAGTATCCGAGATAAATATCAACTGAATATAAAATAAAGTTTCTGCATGTAGGAAAAGACAGATCTACACCAGAGGAACCAGAACCTGGAGCTGCAGCTGAAGCAGATCCTACAGGGCTCAGAGGGACGTGAGCACCCTGAGTCCAATAATGCCAAACAGGATCAGAAAGCAGTTCAGATGAGAGAGGAATCCAAAGCTCTTAAAGAGGTGAATCACTTGTTTATTTTGCTAAATGTGACTTTTTTTCCTGGAGTCTTTATCTAATGGTCTCTGATGTTTCCTACCAGGTAAATGAAAAACTGACACATGAGCTTGAAATGACGAAACAGAAACTGACGAACTCACAGTCTGAGTTGGAGGAGATGACAGCAGAGAGAGATACTGTCTCCAAACAGGTCACAGAACTAAAGTCAGAGTGCTCTCAGCTCATCAGAGAGAAAGACAAACTGCTCAGTAAAAAGAGTGAAAGTGAAAAAGAAGAGCTAACAGAGATGACAGAAAAGTGCTGCAAGCTTAGGTAACTATTCTTGATATGTCAAAAGTCAGCATCAGATAACATCATTTTTAGTTAAGTACTCTCAAACTGTTTTCCAGAAAATTGGTGGAAGCATTGGAATCAGAAAAACTGAAATTGCAGGATCAGTGCTTGTGCCTGGAAGCAAAGGTCCTTGAGAAAGAGGAGAAGCTGCACGTGCAGGAGGAAGAGTACAAGAAAAAAGATGCACTGAGGGTCCGGGCGATTGAGGAGCAGAAAGCTGTGGCCTCACACTGGACTGAGAAATGGCAGAAGGTGGCTTTGACTCTGCAGGCCACACAGGAGGAGCTGAAGGAACTTAAAAAGAACAACGTTAGAAATGGGGTGAGCTTCTTTGACTTCTGGAGAAATTATGTGTTCATTTGAAATTCAACATAAGTTTACGTGCTCATATCTGTGTTTTCCCACATATAGGAAAAAAATACACAAATATTGAACACATGCAATCCAAACACTAGTAAACCTGTCCCCCAGACATTTATTTGTGTTGATTAAGCTTTAAGCGACATGTTTTAGGCCAGAAATATTTAAATAATCAGAGATTGGGGTTTGGAGTTGCATTAAAAAGATAAATAAACATGGATCTATGGTTGAAAGTATCAATATCAGTGTTTATGTTTCATTTTATTCTTAAAATTAAAGGAACCTGACTCTCTGCTGAGGGTTCAGCTTGACGCTTGTAAGCAAGAGCTGGAACTGGAAAAAAGCAGGAATTTGGTTCGTCCTCACAGATTTAAAGGTAATGATGACTTTTCAGAGATAATATTCAAACAAAGCAGGCGACAAGGAGAAGTGTTGTTGTTGTTGTTTTATTCTTTGAACACAAGGGGGCATAAAACAGCTTTATTGTGTTTTTTTACAGATGGCCCAGCCCTGCAGACTCAGGATACAGAGACAGTGACAGAGTGAGCAGATTTCAATGAGAATTTCATTTTCAAAATGCACCATCAGAAAAACTCTGCCCCCCCCCCCCCCCCAAATGAAATTCCTCATCTCTTATTGTGTACTCTGTCTGTTGATCAGCTTATCAGAATCCTCTTTGTTTCGGGAGCCCCCATCAGACACCCAGGCCGGCCAAAACCAAAACCAAACCTCTCAGGTAACGAAGAGCGGCTGCCTCATCAAGCATTTATGCAGCGTAACCTTGTATTAAAAGTGTTAGCAGATCCAAGGTGGTGTGTTGGTGTGATGATAAAAATCATTAAAGGCTGTTTGTTTACAGGTCAAAGATGAGAAATCACCTGAGGAAAGCAGGAAGGATAAAATGGTCTGTACAAGTAATTCAGAGACTGACCAGCAGAGGAGGCTGGTAACAGAGCAGGTAGCTATGAGTGGGTTGAGTGCAATTAAAAAAAATCTGTTTTTGTTCAGTGGTAAGACTCAAGGTCCTCTGGGGGACACTGTGTTGGTCTGCATGTGAACTGTATGGAGTTAAAACATCCAAGTAAATACTGGATAGATGGATACAGTTAAACTGAATACAACTTTTATGACAAACCTTCAAAAATTAGTGAACAACCTAATAAAATTTTTTAATTATTATTTTATTATTTCCTTAAACTCTTGCTCATACTGGAGGACTTCAATTCAGAGGTAAATATGGGACATTTACTTCTCAACGTAAAGATCGAAATAAAGTTACCTGTGTCTTTACAAGATCAGTAAAACTGTAAAACTACAGACCAGAATACCTTTTTATACATTTCTTTTGTTGCATTAACTTCCATCTTTGTTTGAAAAACTAGACAACGGTCAGCATGCTAGCTTAATGAATCCTAAAACTACAACACTTTTAGTTTGGTCATAAGTTAAGTTGTGACCGTAACACTTTAAATGAAGTTTAATTGGGAAACAGGATTTTTTTTTTTTTTAAAGAGTTTTCCTTTTCCTCTGTAGTCTCTGTACAAATCTGTGATTTAACAGCTGAGCTAAGATGGTTGCCAGAAGCCTTTTACTAATTTAGTCAAATTTGCCTTTGGGGTGGAAGAAGGTTAGATGGAAAAGCATAAATGTTTTACACTGGTAATCACTTTTTTAACCACTGATCACATGCTAACACAGCAAACTTAGTGTCAATGGTAGCCTGGCTATATGAATGACCTCGTGTTAGTAAATGTTATCAGATTATAGTCTTATAGAGCACTAGTTTGGCCGATCCAACAGGGTATGTTTTTCTCATTTTGTTTGAAGTTAAAGAGTCTGTTTAAGGAGCGAGAAGGAAAGGAGGAGCGAGCAGTCGACAGCAGCTCAGGAGGAGCTCAGGCAGATGCCTCATCACCAGATCAGTCTGAAACATATAAAGCCTTGAGGGTAAGAAGACACAGTCTGAGTATTATCTTGGATGGTTGAAAATGATTGTGTCTATAATAAACATGTCTTTTTTTTCAATGTTCATTCAGAAAGGAGGGGACAGGAGGATCTGGCAGCATGGCTCAGGTTTGATGCCAGTGTTTGAGGAGGATGAGGAGAGCTGTGAAAGCTCAGGAGAGGAGGACAGGGAGCCATCAGATCTGTCCACTGAGGTAAAATCTCTGCTTGATTTTAAGCCAAAATTCATACACAAAGAACCTTAAAGAGCGTGTGAATCTGTGTGGTTAACTTCTTCGTGTGGCGTCTCACTGACTTGGCTGTCAAAAGCAAAAGCTAAACATCTTCACAAAATGACCAGCCACAACACGGCTCAAAAGACAGTCTGCAGATTAACATTTCAGTGCTCATATGGGGTCACAGATGCTGATGTTGTATCTGCAGTACAGATGAATAACATCAATGGCATAATCTTTGCATGAAGGTTATGTCATAAAATTAACAGCACTGCTCCCATGTTTAGTCATTACATATACCCACATACCATATGTGCAGACTAATCCCAGCTTCAGCCTCCATGAAAGAGCATACAGCACACAGAGAGGGGTTTCTCTCCACTGTACACAGAGTTCAGCTATAATCTGTCGTTTAACTCTTTCCACTCTGTAAATAATCTGATTTGGATCTGGGGGGTGAACCCCTTAGCTGGGACACATCTGACTCAACTATAAGAGGATATTAGAGATACAGAGATGACAACAGAGAAATAGGGAAAGCCTAAAGTCTAATATTTGCGGGTATTGTGGGCCTTTAGTTTTTAGATTACATCTGGAAATTTCAGAAAAAATGCAAAATTCCTGAATTCAAAAGCTACATAGTGTGTGACGACAGCTCAAGGTCTCAAATGTTGTTCCTCTTATTTGTCTAAATTAGAAAAGAGCAATCACGCCTTTACTGTAATAAGCAAAAAAAAAGTCATTTTGAAAGCATTTGAATAGATACTGAAGATATTAAGAAGGCTGTTAGTTCCTGATTTGAAGATGCAATGTGAGATTTGAAACTATTCTTTCCTCTGCCAGATGTTTGGTCACAGTGTGAGGACAGGAATCAACAATCTGAAAGCAAAAGATGAGAATCTGCTGCAAGGTGAAGATGTGTCGATATGTGATGTGCTCTGTGCTGTTGATAGTTTCTCTTGGAAGCCTAACAATTCTGAACTATGTGAAGCAGCTTGATTCACTAAACAATATGCTCTGAACCACTGATGGATAAGTTCATGATCACAGACATTTTCCTCCCAACTTTCTTTGGCTCTCTACATGTTGAATTTTGTCCAAATATATTTGAAATTTTTCATAATAACTTTTATAAATGTTCCCTCCTTCTCAGCGGCAGTAAAATACAAGCAGCCAGCCTGTGCTTGTCCCCAGACTGAGGATGTGTCCTCTGACATGAAAGTGACAAGGACATCAAGTTATTCAGCTGAGGAGAACCTGCAGAAGAAGAGACCTCCTCCATACCCTGATGGAATATTTTTGGCTGAACTTGTCGATATCTACAGCCCCGACGAAGATGAAGAGGAGGGAGTAGATAAATGAGATTTTCCATCCAGATTTGTCTTACGGCCTGCTCCTTCCTTTAATGCTTTATCATCACTACTTTTTGTCTTTACTCGAATAAAAAGAGAATAATTATTTCCTTCAACAAATAAAATTTGAGATTCCTCTTTTGCGATGCTTAGCAGATGTTTTATAAATCTAAGTTACATGATTGTGATATTTTTGTGAGGTACAGTATATCTAACATGAAATCAGAGAGAAAACAAGTAAAAGAGACCATCAAAAATGGGAATTTATATATCAGACAACAACGTTAATAAAAGTGACTTTTATTTATCTAACATGATATGAAATGGTTTTTCCATCACACAAAATACACATTGCATTACGTTACACAACAACTCAATAACAAGGTGGTTTAGAATGCTGTCAGCAACTCTTTGTAATTTCTAGATATGATACTGTTTTGTCTCATTTCCTTTATCTTTGACTTAAATTTAATAAGACTTAAAAATTGCTTTTCAAAATATCGACACTATTATTATATTTATATTAATATATATATATTTTTTATTATTAAGATTTTCCTGACCTGTCATGGTGCTGTTCTGAGGTCTTCTTTTGCATTCACAGTAATTTCCTGTGAGGAGAAATCGCAGGCTGGTACATTCAAATAAGGCCATGGAAAAGATAAAGGTCCTCACTATCCATCCATTTTGCCTGCAGAGTCACTGAAAACATAATTTGATGCACATCAGGAACATTTACTGTGATCACTTCATGGCAGGAGTGATCACTGAAGGTACTTTCGGCACAGGTTTGTCAGACGTCTGGCTGTACGGTGTGCCAGCGGGCCTGCTCCACCTGCAGGCTGCACATGTCCCTCCAGTGAGCTTGTCCTGCATCTGTGGCCTCTGGGCCGATCCGCACACGACCGAGGACTTTACCTTCTGAAAAGACCTGACTCTGTCATGAGAGAGAGGAGTGGGTTCATGAAATTCACATCGTGTAGAAACACATTAAATAAGTGTTTTGTCATGTGCTTTTGAGCTTGTAAGGCGATATTTACCTGCATGATTACAAACTCCAACATGAGCGGCAGCTGACGGATATCTCCTGAAGGCAAGTCAAAGAGGAAAAAAGCGTTCCACACAGTACAGGAGGTCGCTTTAGTTTTTCTGCTGCTGATCACAACTCCTTCATGATGCAGATTAATCACCACCTGGTACTCTATTTAGAAAGAAAACAAAAATGTTCAAAAATAAACATAAATAATAAACTTAAAAACAAGATGTGAATGATGGTCTTTACAGATTTCACTGTCATCTTTACTGTATCATCATAGGACTGGTATCAGATCAGCCAAATTACACTTTCTTAGTTCTTGAGGGTTTAATCTTTCTCATCAACATAGAAGTAGCTGCCAACCTCACAGCTGAAAACAAGTTTACATTTTCTAACCCACTAGAGTTCAGTTTTTAATGATTAAGATCTAAATTATGGGATCATAATACTGAACACTGTCCTGATACAAACAATGAAATAAAAGTCAAAATAACCAAAAACGTATGCTAATACCTCCTTTTCTCTGGTAAATATAAACTTGCAGCTTGTAAAACTAGTACTTATGATCTCCAGTTGCTCAAACATTGATAACAAAGTATAATATACTCAGAAAAAAAGTGAGGTCATCTAAACGGATGTATGTGGCATATTGTGAATGAAATAGATATCGTAAAAGGATATGGCACTGTATGCGAATGTGTTTTTTTCTGATATATAAAACAGCCCCCAGACAGACAGACAGACAGACAGACAGACAGACAGACAGACAGACAGACAGACAGACAGACCAATGCAAACAAAGATTTGATTTGTCAGATCAGAGATTCAGAGGAGATTAGAACATTTTCCTGAGGATTGTGAGTGGAGGAGGATTAAAGCACAATGTCATTACAAAAGGGATGATCTCTTGCTGCATTCGGGTCCTGTAAGACATTGTTTAATCCCCTAAACATTAAAAGCAAACATAGGGAATTATTTTACCTCTGCCCTTGTGGGACAAATGTCCCACACATGCTTACATAATACCTCTGTGCACGGTGCCTTGGTGGGATCTCCTCCTGGTGAACTTAAATCACGATTAACACGAGTTTTACCTGTTTCTGCAGATGTGTGCGTGAGGTCGCCCAGGTTGTCGGCTCGGAGGACTGTGGCTTTAATGCGATGGGCTAGAGTCTGATACTGAAGCACGATGAAGATCTGTGGAGGACAGCTAAGCCCCTTACACACCAGTGCATCCTGGGAGATCTGACTCTGGAGTCAGGGCAAGAGTTCAAAGAGCAGTGAGTGAAACCCTCATCAGTTTGAGACAGAGCTTAAATCTTTTGTAAACATTGAAAAATAAAACATGAATAATCATAGGGAAAGCATGTTGCATGACTGTGTGAAACAGAAAATAATCTATAAATAAAACAATACAAGACAGAAGAGATTTCAGGTTTGTTTTTAGCTGCATTTATCCGTCCTTTTACTTACATCAGCTAACACTCTCAACCAACCTCCATACAAAACCCAACTCAACTTTATTTATAGAGCACTCTAAATACAACCAAAGCTGACACAAAGTGCTGTACATAATAACATAAAATCATAAAACAACAATAAATAGATGTTTTAAAATATAATAAAAAGCAATAAAACAAGTGCTGGCTCAAAAGCCAAGGAACAAAAGTTGGTTTTTAAACGGGTTTTAAAATCTGACCCCTTCAAAAGGTGAACTCTGTTTCAGATTCCCATGAATTTTCGTCTTCTAGGAGCTCATAATTTGTGCCTAAAGTTTAGGTTCAATCAATGAGGGACCAAGAACAGATGCTAGTTCGATTTCTGTGTGGCTGAACAAAAACTACTTTGATAAACTCTTACCTTTCTCAGGCTCCACTTGTGTGGATTAAGTTTTTTGGTGAAGTGTAACGGATTCTCTGCTCTCCAGTCTTTTCCTTTACATTCCACCTCCACTTCCCCCAGTGTGCTGCCCCTCAGGCTGGGGGGCTCCCGTGTGTATACAGCTATTCTGAGCATACACCTTTGGAGCTCCTTCTCTGAGCTCACCTTCAGCAGCAGCAGCAGGCTGAGGCTCTCGGGGCTGAGACCCCTATGGATGGAGGCCTGCATGGGACATGGGTACAGAGGCTGCAGGCTGCCCAGTACAGATAAGTCCTCCAGTCTGTGGGGGGTCCCTGTCAGGCTCAGGATGGAGACCGCTAGGGTTTGCTGCTCTGTAGAGAAGACCATGGTGAATTCAAGGCAGGGTTTTGATAATCGTGGCTGTTGGCAGCCGGCGTTGGAGCCATAGTTCAGAGGAGCCAGTGGGATCGGTTCAGGCATAGATGGAGACACAGCTCCTGAGCTGGTGAGGCTGCTGTGTTCATCACAAGATAAACTTCCAGTCACCGTGCAGCGTCTCTGGAGAGCCTTACGGGTTTTGGCCAACAGCCCTAGTTTGGGAAACGTCGGCAGGGAAGCATGGCTGTGATCTATGGGTTTGTAAAGAGGAGCCGTCAGTGAAGGTGTGCTGAGGCGCCGCAGTGAAAAATAAGACTTTTGCTGCCCCCTCTGATCAGAAACAGCTTGAGCTTGGTTAGGAAGTTGCAGAGAGGGAAATTCAACCTGAGAAAAGGCAGGGCTTGTGAAGGTGGAGGGGTACTCAGGCACATCTCCATCCAGCTCGTCATACTGCTGCCTGGATGCTGTTGTCATAGCGGAGGGAGGCGGGGTCTGAGCAAAGGTCAGAGGTCCAGCAGGAGTCGATGCTGACGACACAGGATCTTTCTGTTTCAGACTGCAAATCTGACTGTTCCTCAAGCAAAGAAAACATCCCAGGAGCATACACAGGCAGAAAACAATCAGTCCAACTAAGAGGAGGATTTGGAGGTGAACTGTGAACATAAAAACAGAAGATTAATTAGATCCGAGAAATGATAAGAGGAGTTTTAAAGCCTACAGGAAAAGATTCTCTCAGTTTGGCAACATATTGTCGAATCTGCCTGTAAGCAACATTTACACACAGAATCTGAGAAATGGTTTCCTGCTGTAAGAATTACTCCTCTAAGTGTGTCAGCCAGGAAAACCACAAACTTAATCTGTTCAAAGATGTTTTTTTTAATGTGATTCAGCTGGGAGAGGTTCACAGAAACATGAAGTTTGAAATCCCACATCTTCAACGCCAATCATCATCAGCCAGAGTGCAGCAGATAAATCATTATAATTGGCCCATTTACAGGCAATGTCAACTATGAGCACATGTGTTGTATATGATATGAATTTTTTCTTCAAAGCCGTACCTTCTAGCTGCTTGGTGAAAAGGACCTGCACCAGAAGCCAGAAGAAGAGGATGACCATGATGCCTTCAATCATCCCCTTACAGCAAAAGAGCAGCACAGACTGCCACAGAGGCTGATCCGGATCCTCTTCGTCTGGGTAAGACATGGCGATAATCAAGCGCTGAGGGTTTGTCCAAACCTACTTCAAAAGATCTGCAAGTACAAGCTCAGTGATTCCATTGAAGAAGGTCATTTCTTATGCTTCAGAAAACACATCCTGGCTTTCAGTCCTCAAAATATCTTCCAATAAATTCCCGCATCAGAGGACCAATCAAAGCTGCTGTTGCTGTCATTTGTATCCCGCTGAAGCATATTAGACGTATGTAATCACAGCTCACAGGTCTAGGCCACAAAATGAGTGATAAAATCTGCACATGACATTATATCCATTTTCATAAAGGATAGACCTCCTTTGGGAAGTTAAAGTTTAGCAAAAAAAAAAAAAAGAAGTTTCTTTGCAGGTAAAAAGTTCAATATACATATACCAACAGGCATCCTTCACTTGCTGCATATAGTTTACTCCAATCCTTGTCCCAGGACAGTGATTTCCTCATCTGTAAAGTGATGTGACCAGTATTATTCCTCCCTGACGGGTGGGACCGTGGGCGGAGAAACCCGCCTCGTAATTCCTTTCAAATGCGGTATCTTTCTTGGTCCAGATGCCTATCCGGCAGTGACCGTAGAAAACGACTTAAATCCCCCGTGTCCATGCGATGACCCATGAGTACTTATCTCCATTAGCGTGGCTTCTGTTACCAGTCTGCAGCACAGTTCAGGAATTAACTAATGAACACAGATGTTTTCTATGCTTTCTTTTTTCATGCAAATAACCCCATTTTTTTCACCTGACAGATGTTGTAAGAATTGAAATGCATTCGGAGAAAACAAAGGAACAATTTGTCAGCTGGAAAAAAAATACTAAACTAAATGACCCGGGACAGGAACAGTTTCAAATCAAATATCAACATGTAATGGTTTAGATTCTTTGGGATGATGATCAAATGAACGTGTTTTGGCTCCAAATACTCCTCCCATCTGGTCATCCGCACACACTCATTGACCATGTATTCATTTAGTCTGTGCTTTTCAGCTTCGGTTTTAGTTGAGACTGAAAAACTCCAAAAACTGAAGTCCACTCATCTGGAAAATAAGGTCTTTTGAGCGTGGTCTAACTCCTCATGAGCATGCATCCAACTTGTTTCTGTCCTGGTTCATGTGACCCATCAAAATGAGATTTTTTCCCTGAAACAGGAAGTCGCTTTAACTCAACCAGGGCATGCCCTAAACTGACCCAAACTGTATAGAGTCTAGTCCTGAACACATCCCCATGGTGTTAAAAACAGTCACAGCTCTCTCTAGTGGCAACAGGAAATGCCACATTGCCAGACCATTAAACATACCCACACCAAATCTCTTCATAAGCCCTTCATCAGTGTTGGTTTTGATGTGTACCAGAATCTGGGAGCTTTGCTTTGTAGATGTGATTATGGTAGTGCAGCAAATTACAATTTCATCCGTTTACCATGAACAGGAGGTGGTTGTTTCAGCTGCTGACTATACTTACAGAGTCATTAGTCATCAAAATTTTAACTATTTCAGTGTTTTTACTCTGAATCATCTTTATGTAATGATTTCATTTTTAATCAAAACCCCGTCTACTCTGCACGTAAGCAGCATGAGGACTTGTGTGACAAGATTAAGTCGGATTTCAGTGTTGATTGACACTTGCCGCCTCCATTTCATTTGTATCTGAAGCAGTCTAGACTTTGTAATCTTCTAACCCATTCACCTCTCCATCAGCAACGTGCTTGGGGATAATCAGTGGTTAGCGCCAGTCAGGCCTTTATTTCTGTGCACAGATCACTTTAGAGTCTAACTACCAACCCAAGAATTGGATTGTTGGCTTCACATGCACAGAGATGTCTTTTTATGAGAATAATCAGACAAATAGTAGTCCTCTTGAGATTTCCTGATTTGTGTTTTGGCTTGGTGTTCTCCGAGTGTTTTTTATTTGTTGACATGTCTAAAAATGATGACTCCACCTGCTTTAGTTTTTGTTCTGTCCACTCTTTCACATCATCAATAGTGAAATTTGCAAATTTAACATTGACTTTCTACAGTATAAAAGAAAAACAGTCTTTCTACTGCGCACAAGATTGGTTTATTACTCATGGTCACATGTTCAAAAACTTTTTAATCAAAGACCAAGTAGTTTTTTTTACAGTGACGGTTGTTTCCAATGATATGTCCACTTGATTGTCCACATACAGTATATTTCAGCGTAAAGCTTCATACACACATGCTGCATTGAGTATTGCATATTTCTCAAGAAAGAGTGAGGTAGCACTGTTTCAGTGTTAACTTGTCAAAAGCTTGAGGTCATTAATGTTACATTCTCCTTGTCTATAGAAACAACAACACAGCGTTACATTAGAGGATACAGGTTTACAGTGATGAGTCATTCCTGAGTGCAGAGGAAAGTCCAGAGAAACTTACTGACTTGGAAAGTGTACTGAGGTATGTTTTTTTTTTTTTTATCACTTACAGTTTACATAAACCTTCTCTCACATTTTGTCTTTGATTCACAGCTAGAAAGAAATAAATGTTTTGTAATCCTGAAACAATTAAATAAAAACATAAAATTAAACACAATAGAAAAAAAAACATAAAAAATTAAAAGAAAAAACTCCATCATGTTTCTTCTAAGTTCTGCTTGTTGTAAATCTCTGCTGACTGCTGCAAGAGAGTTACAGACAAGAGCTGTGATGCTGAACTAAGGCTTTTTTGGTCTTCAATGGCTGCTCTTTGGCAACCACAATGTTTTACTATTGAGAAAGGCAGCTACAGAACAGATAGTTAGCTGAAAATGTTGGTTTTCATTTCCAGCTTCTAACAGGCACTAAAGGTCAACAGAAATATGAATCTACATTAAATTCAATTTGGGAGACTCTGAAGTCAGAGGTCAATGTCCTCTTTTACAAGACTCAATGTGTACAATTATACAGCAAAAAAATAAAATAAAATAAAATAAAAAACTTAACAGCTTCAAGGGTTACAGTTGATTTTTCCATACAGTACTTGTCAAAATGAGAGGTATATAGTGTCATCAATTCAACACCAGCAAACCTTAATTTGGTCCCTTGGAAGAGGTGGATGAAGAAGACGAGGGACTGTGTGAGGAGGAGAGGGCACTGAAACCGCTGGTTCCTGCCACTGTTACAGCCTGAGACGCCACAGGAGCAGATGACTTCTGAGCAAACAGCTTTCCTGCAATGCAAAAAAGAAGTTATCAAATAATAAACTTTAAGTTAAGATAGCATTTCCACAGTCATCTGTGGCAAGTTGAAGAGTCCTCACCTGGTCTTTTGCGTATGCATCTGTGTGTGTGAGCGTGGGAATGCTGTATGTGTTGAATGGGGGTTGGGAGGATGGGTGGGGTTTGGTATTTGTATTTGTATTTATTTTATTTCATTGTTTTTAATATCTTGCTTGAATGGACATCACTTTATGCTACATTATATGTATAAAAAGTGCTTTAAAAATAAAGTTTGATTGATTGATTGAATTATGTATGCTTATTAGAGAACACTGCAAATTTGAATATTCAATCGAATTTCACGCCATTCAGTGCCATTAAGCACTTAAATACAGAGGAGTAAATGACTACAATTAAAATGAGTGAGAAAAAGAAATAAATAAGGGAGGACCAAATCGAGGAAAATTCTAATTTACAGCCTTCAGACCGGATGTACTTTAAAACACCTACTGGCTCAATCCGAAAGTGACAAATCCGCCTACAAGCACCTCTAATCTCATTAATTGACATGCTATTTCCTGTTTGTTTGCAACAACATGTCACTGCTGCGAGCCAAGAAACAGTCCTGCCCATAATCCCTCTAACACCCAAAGCTGTTGTTTCCACTGTTAAGTTTCTAGAAGTACAAACATCACTTAGTATGTTGATGAGTAAGATTAAGAAGTGTTGGGGGAACGTTTTTAAAAAGGACAAACCCCTGCCAACTTTTAATCAAAGAACTCACCTGAGTAAATAGTGCCATTGACCTCCACTGATACACTGATGCTGGCCGCTCCATTGGTGGAGATGCTCAGAGACAAATCCTGCTTGGTTTCTGTGTGAAAACAAGAAGATAACTCGTTAAACTGACTTCACTTAGATCATTTGATTTAAAAGAAAAGTACTGTGTGAACAGTAGAGGTAGCTCACCCTGTCCATTGTTGAGTTTGAGGTTCATCGGGTTGAACTGAGAGGCCAAAGCCAGCAGGTTTTGTTGGAGAGCCTGTTGCATCAGGCGCTGCTGCTCCTCTGCCAGCTGCAACATTTTCTTCTCCGGACCATCAGCTGCAGCTCCTGCTGCTGCTCCGCCTGTTCCTCCTGCTCTGCGCTCTCTCCTCTCTTTCAGATGCTCCAGCGCAGCAGCTTGAGCCAGCTGCTGCTGCTGCTGCAACGCCAGAGCCATGGGCAGCCGGCTGGGTAAGACAGGAGTTGAAGTCTCATCTGAGCAGAAGGATGAGAAACACGAAACCATTTTAAGGATGTTTTTCATATCCGCAGAGAAACAGTCGATAGAAGGAGCCAAGACAAGTTTTCCTGGAACTATCTCTAGTAAACACGATGCAGCAGGGAAGCCTTTTATATTTACAGTCGCCTAAGTGAGAAGAAAAAGGAAAAAATGTACCACTAGAGGTCACAAGTTCATTTATTTCCAGATTTATCAACTGCCACACTAAACAGAGGTAGGGTTTCAACTTATCCCTGACTAACAACGACTGAGGAGGTAGAAAAGTTAAATAGTAAAATTGTTGAAGCTTAACCAAGAAATAAAGGTGGTCAAAGATTTTGAAAAGTTTAACATCCCCTGAAAATCATTTGGATTTTAAGCCTTCAGTCAGTAAATGTGTTTTCCCACTGAGCATTTTTCGGTCTAAAAGAGGTCTAATGAGACGTCTAAATGTAGCCTAGACGGCTGGTCTAAAATCAGGCTACCACAGGTCTAAAAATGAAAGTTTTTTAGACGTCTAAATTTAGACTAAGTTTAGACCAAATCTAAATCTGCACTAAATCTGCTTTTTGAAATAAATAGTTGGGTTAAATGTGTTGAAGTGCAACATCTAAATTCTGTCTAAAAATTTACAGAATCTAGATGGTTGAAATAAGGTCTAAACAAACCTAGATGTCTAATAGCCGTCTATTGCTCAGTGGGTTGTTTAGGGTAACAAACAAACAAACTGTCATCGTACCTGTGTTTCTCTTCAGATTTGGACTAGCTGCCGCTGTCAGGCCATTGTGTCCAGTCGGGGTGGCCTGCATGGAGGGTGAGGAGAGGAGGGGGTGTGGGGCAGCGCTTGGGGAGGGGGTGTAGCGGTACAGGCTGCTCGTATAGCTAGGACGTCGGCCTTCTCTGCGGTTGCTGTCGATGGCAGCCTGCAGCTCACCTGGAGAACTCAGTCCCTTCTTCTCACACTCAAATGAGTACAGATACTTCATGTACCTGCCGAGGAAAGATTCACACGAGTCAGACATTGTGATTTCAGGGGACATGCAGATGATTAACAGTAATTGCTAAAAATTTCAGTTTGTTGCATAACCATCAAAAAACTCTCAAAGGAGCTTTAATAACTGAGCATTTCAGGCATTTGATGTTTTTTATACTTTCTATAACCAATTTCAAACAAAGAGAGACCTTTTCACCTTTAATATTTTGGACCTAAAACATTCATAATCATATCGGTAAGCTGCTTCAAATGCTTCAGTGAGGGCTGAAAACACACACAAATAAAAACTTAAAGAAACCAAAGAGGGACACGTACTGGGTGCGGAGTGTGAAGGCTGCACTAGTGATGGATGTTGGGAGGTTGAGACCTTTAGTGATCTCCCTCCAGATCTTCTTGTTGATCACCTCCACCAGGCCCCCCTTCTCTGTCACAAGCTTGTAGAGCCGGTATAAGTCCAGCACCTGCTTGGCCATGATGGGAATGCGGTTTACAGGAGTTCCTAAACAAATGTGAAGCAAAAATGTAAGAGATTCATTTAATTACTCTGAATTGTGCTCCAGGAAAACTCTTCTGGGATCAGAAAGAGGAGGTTCAAAAACTGTGGGAGAGATAGTCTGACTGACCCACCAAAGGGCGTGAGTTTGGTTTAGTGTTAGATTAGACATGCGAAGACCTGTTACCCATGTGGACCTCTAATAAAGCTTATTTCAGATGGATGGGGGTGGGGCTAAGTCATCAACTCCAGTGCCGCATTGATTTGACTGTAAGGGGGAGGGGTGGTTTTAGAGCCAGCAGTGCCTGCCAATCAAGGGATTGACAGCTCACCCTCTCAATCCCTATTTGGAGTAAAGGCAATTAATGAAGGAGGGTAAAAAGGCAGTTGGAGCAATAAGATTACTTTGTGATTAAGATTAACACACAACACCGACACGCACACAGACACTCACACACTGACATTTCGCATGGCTTTGATCACTTCACACAGGAGTAAAGATTACTGATGTTTACTATAAGGCTAAGTACATTTTAGTGGATAACTGGAACTGGGAAAAGGTGTTGTTTATATTTAAAGTCTAAAAGTGTGCAAGATTGAATAAAAGACTTTAGATTTACAAATTTAAAGACCTTATCTTCAATTTTAAAAGGAAGCTCTTTCAGCACATACACACTTCTTATTTGAAACACTATTTTACTGTACAAATTACGAGTTTTATTCCACGATTTAATGAGCTGCTTTAGGATCCTTTCTTTAAACAAATACAGAATATGCAAACAGTGAATATAGTTTACATAGTTTAGCCAACTTATGAGATAATACAGAAAACAGTTCATACATAACATTTTAAAGTATCCTTTAGAGGTAGAACAACATGAAAAACTACTAAAGTATTAATGCATTCATTTGTAGCATTTCATGACAAAAGTACCAGTCGGTACAATTTCAGATATTCTACAAACATATAAGAGATACCATATAATCATCTAAATATTTATCATTTAATGCTTAAATATAAGTCACCCAGACCTAGGCTGAAAAAACAAGAAAACCACATTTTTAAATCCTACATTTTTAAATCCAAAAACTTTGAATCTCACCTCGTTTTTGCATGAAGACAAACAGCTCATCAAGAAACTCTTTCCTTTGTGGATCATTGTCCAGTTCATACAGCTGCAAGTTAGACAGTAAAACAAACATTAAAAACAAGATTTCAAACTGTTCAGTAAACCTTTGAGGGGATGACAAGAGGTGGAAGTCAAACTGTAACCTCTGTACGAAGGAAACATGATTTCTTCCCACTGAGCTAAACCCCTGTCTGGTTTGAATGTCTCCTCTTAATCTACAGACCTTGGCAAAGTCCCTGGATGGTTCTCCTCTGACTTTTCCTCCATCATTGTCCTCGGCCCAGATGGCACTTCCTCTCTGTAAAACAGCGAAAAAAGAGAGATCAGTGAACAGATTGTCCTCAATTTTGTCAGCTTTATATTTAAGATTTAATGAGGGTTTTTATTCAAAGTCTGTTGGGAAAACTGAATAGCAATACATGGTTAAAACAGTATCAAAAGGTATAACAGATATGTCCCTTCTTTCTGCGTTTGATACCTTTCCTTTTGGAATTTGCCCCCTGTCTCTTTCCCTCCCTCCTGTAGATGGTTGCTCCCTGTTAGCATCCATTTGCCTGTACAGCTACGGCGTTCTCTACACATTAAAGGACATTTTTCTAAAGGGAGTATCAATTCAAAGCTCGCCACAGTTTAAGAGAGATTTATGTAAGGCCCCATTGCTCATTAGGTAGTTTAATAAGACATGTTATTCCTCCACGGCCTCCCCCTGAACATGACAGTTAGAGGTTAAAAATGTGAGAGAAGGGCAGCGTGTGTGCAACTGTGTGGAAAAACCCGCTGAGGGGTTATTGTCCCGCTAACGCGGACAAAGAGCCGCAGGATGCTGTTTGTCTTAAGAACTCTCTGTCAGCACGATTACATTACGGAGATGACTTTTCAAAATCTATTACCCCTCCTAACTTCACATCAAACCTGGCGTTTAAGTGGAAACTTTATTACTTTTGTTCACTGAGTTGCTGATTGTGAGAAGTCACAGTTTTTTTTTTAACATGTTGTTGTTTTGGGTTTATGGGGGACGGTTGCCCACATGGTAACTCTAGCCTACTTATCAAGACAACAAAAGCTGTTTTGTGTTTGTAATTAGTATTCTTGTGGTTTATCAAATAGATCACCTTCATCATCTTAAATAACCTCTCTTCATAACAGTTTTGTTTGATGTCTGCATTTCACTGACTCAGTCTGCACTTGAGGTACGCTATCATGCTGACTGATGGCATGGCAGATGTTTCTGTACTCGGTCCAACAACAAACAAAATGTCACTCTGAGCTTTTAAAATACATGGGAACTAATAATCTGCTGGCTTCCACTCCTACAGTAGCCCTCCTCATGTTTACAATGACAACAAAATTCAATCTGCTGACACGTACACAAAGCTGCGTGATAGTACCTCCCTGAGACGCCGTGGTTAACGCCTAAATGATCAAAAACTGGATTTCTTCAGCTTTCATAATGCAGAAAATTTGATGTTTTTGGGGGAAATCTTATTAATAATATTCAGATTAATCTGGTCATAGTTCAAATCCAACTATGTCACCATAGTTACCACTGATTTGTTATTTAAACTTTACAATCTCAACCAATTTTCTATTAATTCAAGCTATTCAAACTTTGCCACTTCTGCTATTTTTGCCATAATCTGACTAATGTGACTCTATTTTATTACTCTGACTGGCTACAGAAACATTTGCTGTTTTTTTTAACTGAGTTTGTTACTCCAACCTTAGTGTTACTGTTTAAACCACCTCTTTTATCAACAAATTTAGCCAATTATTAGCTACAACTGCATGGTACTTAAAGCCAAATACATCAAACATTTGACCATTGAAAAATGCATTTTCTATTTTAAAACTTAATTTGTTAATTCAACATTTACATGTTTTGGTCTTTAGTTTTTACTTTACGTGAATACTTTTAGCTTACTTTGAGCCATCTTACTCAATATCTTTAGCTAACTTCACCAAAAATGTATCCAGTATTCCTGTAGCCACTTGTTAACCTTGCTATACTTATTGATTATAGAACTGTTTTTATTTTTCATCATAACTTTATCCACCTCCGAGTCTTCCTTCACCCTGTAATATAACCCTTTTGTGTTAAAAGTCCCCCTGGTAAGTAATCACTACTAAATGGACCCCTGTGAAAACAGGCTGCTCTCAGGTGATATAATAACCTACTCCTCTGTTTTTTCTCTGGTTAAAGGAGGAAAATGTTGCTGTATAAGATCCACTTTCTACCCCAGACTCTGCCCCTGTGATGACTGAGCCGTGACACATCAGATGGCCTTAGCCTAAAGGACCTTTACTCCCCCACCAGAAGCTTATTGATGCAGAGGTAGATAAACATCCAAGTCTTTTCACCATCAAATGGAAATAAAACCCCTCCCCCTCTTGTTGATGAGCAAGTGAGACCTACTGTGGATCCATTAACAAAGAGCTTTCAGTTAATTGCTCACAGTTTTCACACATGCAGCCGTGGGAATCCAGATAGCATTCACTATGTAGGTCAGGAAAAGGTTTCTTTTGTTTCCTTCAAAAAGGCTCTCTTTTATTAGGCATTGAGATTATTTGAAATATTTAAATTACAAATGATAATGTTAATGTTTAGGGCTTGCACTGCAGAAATGTGTCCAGCTAGCCGAGATTAAAGACATCTCACTCACTTAAAAAAGCCCTAAACATTTACATTAACACCAAGCAGGAGTTTCCTTTGGATAATGAGCTTCATTAATTTAATCCAGCCGCTCCAGCAGAGCAGCAGTGAAAACTTATCCCTCCTAAACTTCAATGTAACTGCAGGGGGGGCAAAATTTTTAATCCAAATCAAATTATTGAGCCGAACAAGTCAAGATCACTTATCTGGCCCCACGCTGTGCTTTGAGCTGGGCCCGGGGACAACGTGGGGGCTTTTTATGTCCACCAATGCCACATTTAAAGGGGTACAGTAACAAAGTACACAAAGGGATCATAGTAGCGTGGATTATTTGGCGTGTCCAGATTTTTTAAGATGTTTGGTGAAATAATGCAAATGAAAGGCTGCGGCTGAGGGAAAGAAAAGGGTTTAGAGGGGAACATAAGAATACTACAACAACAACAACTAACACCAGCCATTAATAATCACGCGTAAGATTCCACTTTCAAAAGCATGTTAATGATTGTTTCTGCTTTTATAAAGACCAATATTTTCCTCCAACATGCTGGGTTTTTTTATGCTCCTACTAGCAAATAAGCAAACCCTAAAGACACCCCCTACTAGAATATTCGATTGATTTAACTGAGTATTAGATCACAGTAAATGCCCCATATGTCGTTCATCGTTCTGCTTTAAACCACAAAAAACACACTTTTAACAGTGTCACACACAGGCTACAACTGCAGCCGAGTTATTCTCCAACTTTCCATGAACTCATCACTATGTTTTGACTAAAACAGAAGAAATGTTCTCCATTGTTCCCCTGTGTTGTTTTGTGCTAGTCTTAGAACAGGAAACGCTTTCTCACTGCAGTGGCCATATAATGTATTGATTGGCTGCAGCTGAATTAAGCCGCCATTTAGCGTTGCATAGCGACCGCTAAATAATGCAAAGCTATCCACTGAGTCTGAGCTAGGTCAGCAGTGATTTTTTTTAGAGCCTGTTAAGGTTTGAGAAGAGGTTAATGGACAAATAACTCTGATGGATCTTATGCTTATGAAGAGAAACGCTAACTTTAGTCTCCACTTGAAAACAACTTTTATAAAGACTCTGGCAGTAATGGTAAAATAAATAAGAGATATCTATAAACTAGAGTCAACATTTCAAGAATCTGACAAAAAAGCTAATTCTGCCCCCCTGAAACTACAGTTAGTCCCGTTTATGGGTATTTGCTTGATGGTATGCCGTGAGGCGCAAACCCAGCTGTCCCTTTGCCTATAGGCCCCATTAATCATAATGTATTGTACTGAATGGGGCCTTTTTGAGGGTAATGTACACACAGAGGGGCCAATCAGATTGGGCGTCATAGGAAAGAGAAAAAAAATGAGGGGACCCTCTGTTACCAAGAAGGAGTCAAACATATCTGCTGGAGGAAATCTGGCTCTTACAATAGGAGAAAAGTCCGACTGCCTCACACAAAAGTACCTTACAGTAAAAGCAGGAGAGCAGGAGCGTAAAAAAAAACACTTGTGGCCGTTCCATTAATCCTCTGCTCTCATTTTAACTCCATGTCTGTCAGGTTACTTTGAACCGTTAGGATTGGACACAGGCCAAGACCAATTAGCTCTGCTGGTGGTGGTAAGAATGTGTTTTCTTAAAGCGCCAGACATGAGGTGAGGTATGGCAGGAGGAGAGATCTCTGGCCTGGCCAGTAATTAAACTCTATCAAGATTGGGCATCTTGCCAAAAGGGACACGCTCCTTTATACTCTTTACTTGACGTGTGAGAAAACAGGAGGCAAACCAGGGAGCAGCGCGCCTGACTCTCAGCAGGAACAAGTCAGCAATTACTTGAAAGAGAGTAACACATGGCAGCTCAGAAAAAGGGATACAGATGTTCATTTTTTCTCCCACAGCCTAGTTTTCTGGTCCACCATTTATACTATTTTCTGGAAAGGCTAAAACTGAAATTTATAAGACGCCAAGAAGCACTTCAGGTTTCTCTTTCAGACCTGAAAAGTCATAAATTGAAATGTGGTGACAATACAGCTGTTAATCCTGGAGGATAAGCTGATTTATCAAACAATACAAGTACTTGATATGTCCCCAAAGGGAAATTCGATAAACAATGACCTATTGAACCTCTCCTCTCTGTGTTTTTTTTTATTTTACTCTTCTGAATTTTCTCTTTTGTCAAACACAGACTTGTCTAAAAGATAAAAAGTTAACTCCCTCATGAGCCAAAATTAAAATATAATATTCCCACAATAAATCAACATTCAAACAGCTCTGTATCGCTGTATAAACAGTTTAAACGATCTCTCTCTGGAGTAAGATCTACCAAATGTTTACCACTTTTATTTATGATCCTACTTCTTCATTAACTATTAAAAGGGGCAGATTAGATTTAATGTCTCCAATTTGTGAGGAAAAAAACAGAAAACAGCACTGCTTGCAAGTTAACGTACCTGTTTGAATGATTCCTCAAAGCTCCAGTCTGAGAAGCCGTTGGGTGATGTGAAGGCTTGTTGGCCTGCAGGAGACAGCACCTCCTTCTCCTCATGCTCCTGTTTTATTGCTAAAGGTGGTGATTCAGACATCTTCTTCACAGCTGAAGCCTGGGGTGATGAATACATAGGAAAGGGGAACCCTGCATCCTGCTTGAGCCTGGGCTTCTTCGCCTGCTGAAGAGGCTCTTTCTCATCTTCCTCATCCTCCTCTATGTCTTCCTCCAACTCATCATTCTCCTCAGGCTCCATTTCCAGCTCCTCTTCGTCTGAATTTCCATCTCCCTCATCTGGATTTGCTCGACTGAAGTGGCTGTTGAAAGCTTTTTGAGCCGCTTGAAAAATCTGTCCATCTGTTTTGTAGAGTAATGCTGGTTCCAGTCTGGATCCGGAGGCCCTGGCTGCTGCCGCCGCTGCTGCATGTTGAGCAAACAGAAACTGGGCCTGGAGATGTTGATTCTCCTGCAGGTTCATCCCCACTTTGGCCTCTTGTTGTCTCTGCAGCTGCTCCATCATGGCCTCCAGCTTCACCCCAGCAGCAGTGAACTGAGGACCTCCAGCTGAACTGCCTTCTTTGGATAAGCTTGACTGAAAAAGGAGAAACAAAGTGTTAATGAAGGAAATTGCAAGTCAGGAATAAACAGTTTTAGATGAAAAAATAGTGTCAATCTAGGTTACTATAATCAGAAAAGTCTATCAACACTGGTGCTGGTTTTACATTGACTGTAGTTTGATTTTGAAGTAGTAGTTAATGGTAAACGTGCTTCAAAGAGATACAGTGGGGGCCTCGGAAATGATTTAAGAGAAACATAGCTTGACGGTTTGAGGACAATTATTAACAGAAATCACATGAATTCACCGCAGTTTTTGAGACACACACAGATGTTTCTCGTTATTACATTTTCTTCGTTCCAGTAAATCGAGGAAAAGTCAATCTTTCATATTTACTCGGTTTCATTCATGAGGAATAAACTTATATCAACTGGCCTACAAATGAAAGCGAATTCGTGGCCAACATTGACGAAAAGCAGCCAACGTGTTCAGTAAGTAATCGAGGAACTGTTTTGTTGGAGTTAAACGGTTCCTGCTCATGTCTTCATTAAGTGATTCGCTTTGTTACTGTAACAAACACGAGTGCTCGTCGTCGACACTCACCATTTGCGCCTTCGAGTAATCCATCATCACCAACAGGTCTTGTCTAGTTTTTCCTTCTTTCCGTCCGGAGAAGTAAATCACATCGCATGACCAGATTGTTTTTTTAAAGCAGAAACGAATATTTTTGTCAAATCTATGCCTTAAAAACCTCTGTCGAGCTGAGGCTGGAGGAGGGGTAGTGTTGCTCTGCGTTTTACCTCCCTGGTCACCGCGCACGGAAACTCAAACATCTTTGATTGTCTTTGGCTGAGTGGCCTACACCCCCAACTTGGATGAATGAAGGGCCCGCCCCGTGCGTAAAGCTCGTAAAGTGGGCCTTTCTTGCCTGCATCTGTGGAACTACCTACCCTCTTCAGCAGGAAATCCCACCCACTGATATTACCCAATACAGTGAAAGCAAATCCACCTCAACTAAAAATAAACCAAAATACATTTTGGACTGAACTGCTTCAAACATCACACCTCGATGATTTCTTCCCTTCCACGTTAAATTAGTTTCATCATCTGTCCGTTTAGAAAAGTGCTAAATACTTATCAGAATGTCAATGTTTTGATTTATATTCAACATTTTATATGACATGTAATTTTAGGATTAAACGTTCATTCATGGATTTTTAATTTGGATTTAAAATTTAGTATTAGCAGTAGTAGTAGGAGTGGTTTATTTAGTCATGACAACACCAAATAATGTACACACTATTGACATTTCACACAAAATCACTAAATCAAGACTCGTGTGTTGAATATTGACTGAAAAGGCATAGGCAGAAGCAGACTGCTTATAAAAGCCCATCCTGTATTGTCAACTTTTTAGGCTACCGACCCCCAGAAAAGCAAAGAAACCACAACAATAGATAATTAATTGCGCTTTTAAGCTTTAAAATTAGAATTTCCCAGTTTGGGATCAATAAAGTCTATCTATCTATCTATCTATCTATCTACCTATTTATCTATCTAAAATAGCTTTACAAACCATTTTCTTGAAAACCAGAAAAGAATGACATGTTTTTAATTTTATGTTGGCATCATACAAGAATTGAATTCCAGTAACAGAGACACATCTCCTTTTCATACCTTTTTTAGCTTTTTGTACAGTAAATTTGCAAGCACCTCTGAGATTATACAGACCGTCCTGAATTGAAAAGAACCTCTGTATTGAGTCAGGGAGCATTTCTGATTTTGCTCTAAACATAATTTGCATTATTTTATAATAAAACGGATCATAAATTTTTTAAGAGAATTTAGAAAAAGTGGTTTAGATTAAAACTTGGATCAGAATAAACATTAGGATTTAACATTCAAACTTGACATATAACATTTAAGTTGTGCTGCAACACTCAAGGGATATTTAACATATTAATGCTTACAAAGACCTGAGATGCATATACTGCTCAGTTCCCCCAGAAAAAACATACTTGTTATCTAAGATTACATATTGAGTGACATAACTATGTTTTGTGATCAATATTGCGAAGTACTTTTTAAAAAGTATTTACAAAATTACTACCACAACCACTTTTAAAAAAGCAAATAGTACTATAAATTTTAAACAATTTTAAGCAGATTTTAAGTTTTGCGTTGATAATAACATACACCAATCTCCATTTGAAAAGTTTATTCAACCAGCATGAAAATTTTCCCTGAAATAAAAACAGATGTAATGTTGATTGAAAACAGAACGCTTTGTACATTCACATGAAAACGCTGCTCCCTTGTGGCGAAAAATGAGGCGCACACAAAAAAAAGGTCCAGACACACTTTTGACAACATGCACAGTTAAGTGACACTCTGCGCTATTGCTCCATTAAGCATTCAAACAGCTTCAAATATCTCAAAATATTTGTGACTCTCAATAAGCATACAGTTTCCTTTATTAGGTTCATCAATATTTTACAAGCAAAAGAACTTAATAAAGGCCAAATTAAATATCACACGTATTAGATGAGGCAAACATTAAAAGTACAAGGGTTCTCTGTCCTGGGGATGTCCACCGTTTGGATCTGAAACACACACAAAAATTACTGTCAGATTTCAGTTTTACAAAAAACACACATGTGACTGAGGAAAGTCTTTGATACCTGCTTCTCTACACTTTGTCAATTCCCAGCTCTTCAGGTGTAGAAATACCGAGTTCATCTAATGTTGGCTTAAGCTCCTGAATCAGGTATGGGTAGATTTCTTTGTGGGGACCACTTTTGTCCTAAGGAAAACAGATATTAAAACACATAAATTAATAACTTGTGAAAAAAGCAGCAAATATGGTGACAGATTCTCTTCTCTCCTTACCTTCACAGCTTCCAAAATCCTGATGGCGCTGGCCAGGTCATTTAACCTTCGACAGGCTCTCAGTGCTGCCTCAAGAATCTTTGGCTCAGGTACCAGATCATACCCAATCAGTGTGTTCATTCCTGGAATATGAAAACACATTTGTAGATAGAGTACAAACAGCATTTCACTCACACAACAACATGTAGCCATAAAGACCCTGGAGCATGCATGCAGATGGAAAAAAAACTATTTCATTTCATCTTCTGTTTGGTGTTTTTAACAGAAAATTTCAGATTGTGCTTTTTCATAGGTTTCTGAATGGATTTCGGCAAATCAAAATTAGGGCCCAACTGATTTATCGGCAAGCCAATTAAATCTGCCAATTTTAGCCCGTTTGAGACTAATCGGTAATCGGCCAAAACTCGCCGATATTTTCAGAAATAAAATGCGGAGAATAAGATTTGGTTCAAACGCTTTTCTGGTCTTCCTGTTGGCGTGAAGAGCAGTAGCCTACAGTATGTAGATATCTACAGTATATATATATTTTTATAACTTCATAAAAATTTTTTTTTTAAATTGGCCAATTAATCGGTAATAGGATTTTTTTCCCCCCTAATAATCGGCCCCAAAAAATCCATATCGGTCAGGCCCTAATCAAAATCCAATCCTCTTGCATGAGCCCTTTGTGTTCACACTCTTTAGGCAATGAAAAAGAGTTTTAATTGACTTAATGAGCTAGGAGCATTTTCCTTATGTCTTTTAAAAGTTTACCTTGTCTGTATTTCTACCTTTATTGGAGATATATGACATGCTGCAAGAAACAACTGCCTTAAAGTGGTAACCCTAACATTATGCACTGCTCAGAGTGGAAGGTGCCCAACAAAGTGAAATATTTTTAGATAGGGGATTGATTTTGTCACGCTGATGGTATGATGACATTGAAAATGAATATTTATAGCAATCAAACCGCATAATTACAGTAACAATCATACCAAGGCTTGTTTTTTACTTAAATAATAGCTATTTACTCGTTATTCTGTTGTTTCACCTCCAACTGTGGCTTCATCGTATGACTTCACAATGTTGCAGATACTTCTCATTTTGGCACTTAACACAACTGAGATGTTTCTTTAACATCATCCACAAACCTACCTTTTCTCAGCTCCCATGCATCGATGTCTGGCTTGTTAAAATAGGTGACCCAGTGAGCGTCAAACTCCTCGTCTGTCTCTTGCTTCCCATGTGAGTAACACCTTGAGGTCAAAACAGCTGCAATAATAGAAACAAAAACAACTTTTAGTGAGGCAATCAATCATCACTTAAATGCATTTACAGTGTGAGAGTGTCAGACAATACAGACATGCAAACTCGCTCAAGGATTTCTCCCCTGATAGAAGTAGACAGAGGACAAATGCTGCTGCTGTCTAGTAATGTAATACAACTGGCTCTCTGCCGACGGCCTAAAATGACCTACCTACTGCACCTATCAGGCTCAGTACACCCTGACAAACAAACCTGGAATCTCACCTTAAAGACCTTGGGGGTGTGGGTGTCAAACATGCACAATATGTTGACATAAGTGGCAATAATCAGACATCTAACAACTCGATTAATTCAGTTTCCTGATCAAAAGGAACGACTACAGTATGCAGGGTTTGAGCCAAAAGCTCATCACAATAACACACTGAGGCGTTTCCTACTTTATTTTGGTATGTAACCACACCTTAAGGTCAAGACTTCTAACGACTAGTTGGCTGAGAACTTAACTATCCAACTAGCATGTTAGCGTTTAGCTGCAGCAGAACCACAGCAGGGCCGCAGACACAGCCTTCAAACTGGGTCACGACAAGGACACGGACACCTCCACGCTGAACACCGAGACCATTTTAGTACAGCACACAACAAGGTCGTGAGTTTAATAACAGCTTTGAATAACGGAGCATACTAGGTGCTGAAAAAATGACACCTTAAACACACCGGTGTGTCAATAAAATGATGGTTACACCGACTGGGCTCATATAAGCTAGTTAGCTTAGCCGCGCAGACGCCGCAATGTGTCGATACACTTGATTTCCGTTACAACCTTTTAGAGACTTTTATAAGCCAAATAATCACACAAACACACAAAAATCAGACGTGACAATGAAAGAGGGAATATACCTTGGCACCGTGGTTGCGTCCGAGTTAAACTCCGGACACCGGAGACTGAAAGTCGGACGGCGGCTCTGAACATGTTGCGGACAGCCAGCTACACGAACCGGTAAGATTGTGTTCCGGAGGAAGCTAGCTGCTAACTCTAGCCCGGTCACGTACGCGAGAGGCTGGAGATCGGGCTGCGCATGTGCAAACTGCTCATTGATACTTTTACTGCTTGTCGTTGTGCAAGTGTCATGAGGGTGCTAACCACAGATTTTATTTTTATACAGTTTGTGGTGCTGACTATGATGTTTAAGTCACGCAGTTTGGTGCTCGATAGTTTTTTTATATGCTGCTTTTCTTCTGAAACTAAGTTAGCCATGAATGGAACAAAGAAGTGCCTATGAACACTTTTATTTTACACTAAAAACTAATATGTTTGTTTATGTTGTTGAAGGACCCAACCTTGTCACCCTCCCTATCAGTTATGGGGAAAAATGCTATATAACACTGACATATCACATCGTACAAGGCAGTACAACGTGATAATAACACTGAGCTCACACTATGAAATGAATGCATAAACTCTTAATACAGAAAAGGTAAAGGTAGGACTAAGATTTCAATTTAAACTTCACAACTAAAGTCATGCTTTACATTTTGTTGAAATCTAACCTTTAGCTTAGTATGAGACATTAAGATGCAAATTCAACATTTCGCTTTGAACGTTACATTTAGATTTAGATTTGATATTTAGGTAACGCTTGTTATCTAAATGTCAATGTTTTGATTTATATTCAACAATTTATTTGACATATAATTTTAGGATTTAACATTCATGCATAGATTTATGTCCTGGATTTAAAATTCAGATTAAAAACTTGGATCAGAATAAACATTAGGATTTAACATTCAAACTTGACATATAACATTTAACTTGTGATTCAAAACTAAAGGGATATTTAACATATTGATTTTTATTTAACATTCAAATTTGACATGTAACATTTAGATTTAACATCCACATCATTTCATATATTTCTGCCAACAAAATAAACATTAGTTAGTGACATATCTTTTGTTCTTTTCCCTAGCTCACCTGCTTTTTGTTCCTAGATAATGAGATAAATAAGTTAAGATCTTGAGAGAAAAAGTGATGGACTTGTTATTGCAGGTAAGGGAAAATAAAATGAATGAATGCAAATGTGGTTTCGGAGGTCTTCCCTGCTTAATTTTAATTAAAGAAATCATACACTTGAATCCTTTAAACCTTTGCAAATTGTCAAAGTCTGTTTACTTACACAAAAATACAAAAAATACAACTTTTATTTTTATTGGTGATACACAGGCAATGGTATAGGACAACATCATTATAAAATGACTTTGTGAAAAATATTCTGGTCCCAAAAATGAAAAGAAAAAAAAATCCCTTCAAATATACTGTATATATACATATATTTGAGATTGTCAATGAAACCTTGAAGTGAATTTACGATGATGCTGTTTCATTTACTTTTGAAATACTTTTGAAATACTTTGTTGCGCATGTGCTTTCATATTACATCATATATTATTTTAATAATTATATTATTTTTTAGATATATTATATATTATTTACCTATCATAAAAAAGTTACCAAGCATTGCAAAACACAAATATCAGCATGCACTTCATTCTTCATACAAACATCTCATAGATCAGTCTCTTCATCAGTTTTTGCTGAAGCTGCTCCAGTGCATGATGTGATTTTGAAGTGAAATACTGCTCTTCACTTGAGCCACATGTATACACATCCAAAAGGTTTCAATTCAATGTGATGTGATATTTTAGGCAAACCTAAAGCATAGAGAAACTCTGATCTTGCAGATGTTAGTTTTCTGATATTTCATGTGATATGGTCAAGTCTTTGGATGATTGATGCTCAAGTCATGCAGATTCTCTTGGCTGTGTATGTGGAGGGACTTTCAGCTGGCCTTAGCAGAGCTCTGTGTCTCTTTTCTTCTTCACTCAGAGTTTCAGGGGGTTGGTACCCAGGCTCCTGGGGATCCAGAGGGTCTTTGGAGAGCAGAATACAGATAGCAGGTAGTGTCCTTTGCTTGGAGCACTCTGCTCCTTTTTGTGGACTCTCCCAGACCTCATTCACTGTCATGTAGTACAGCTTAGAGACTTGGTGGAGCCCTCCCATTTTTCGTTTCAGAATCTCCACGCAGGTGATGGTCTTGGTGACTCCTCTACCTGAGCCAGTGAAGACCACCTGTCTCAGTGAAGTCCCATTGCTGCCTTTCCCCTCTCCTTGCATGCGAGCTGTTACAAACCGGAGCAAATTACGAATCTTGCTTCCTTCTTTCACTTGCATGTGCAGGACGTCAGCTGCCAGGCCAGGGATGGGAAAGGGGCGGCCATCCACTGTACGTCTGACTCTTTTGAAGTCACCCTGGCTAAAGTTCTGAGGGTGAGATGTAGATGGGGCACCCAGGTTGACTGCAGCACCCTGCAGTTCCATTCTGGTGCTGCATGCAGCTTTTGAACTCTGCAAATGACCCCTGAGTTCATCCATTGCTTAGATTGTATTGAAAGAAAAGAGCAGGATGCTTTTTCTTAGCCTGCAGCCTCAGATTACTTGCATGCTTCCCTTGAGGTTGGACCCACGTTTCTTCTTCATTCGGTGTAGAAGTCCAGAAAGTGATCTGCTTTGTAATCCAAACTTGTGACTTATCTTGATCTTGTTTGTGTCCTTACTTCACGATTCTTCTCCAGTCAGTCCCTGAGCCCTGAGATGACAGGCAGCAGTATGAAGAGGGTGTTTCTTCCTCTAATCCCATTGAAGTGAAGGAAAAGATGTCCTTGCTCTATTCAGCACAGAGGACAGCTGATGCCAACAAACACATATGAGGCTCAGAGAGAGACATGTAGAGTGGGACATAGTGCTCTTAAAGGCACACGCAACATTTAGTAATGTTACATTATAGTTAGTTTCGGAGGGAAGCTTTAGTGAAACCCTTGAGGGCTGAGAGCTTTTATTCATCCATGTGGCTGCTTGAATTATATGGATGAATAAACAAGAGTAAATGAGATTTAAAAAGGCATGCAGTTGAAACAATGCTTTGTTTTGGATGAATTGTTTATCCACTGACATACTTAATGTGTCTTTTTGCAGATATTGCAGCATACTACAGTCTAACTGGTGCAAAGATATTATGAAAAACTATTTTTCCAACAGATGCTATGGTTTTCAAGACATTTTCCCCTCTGCACTATCATCAGAGAGCCACATGGTTCGAGCAAAAGTCTTTTCTCAGGGCTAAATAGCAACTTCACATTTCTCCTCCCCTCAGTCCATCGCCTGCTGGTCTGACCCAGAAAATGCTGCTACTTCATCTGTTCCCGCTTTGAATCAATGACATTTTTGAGGACAATCACACCTTGGGGCTGCAGGGTTAAAGCCAAACCTGCATGAAAATGTAAAAACAGAGCCCGCTGAATGAACTAGATCTGCGTCCAGATGCAAACAGAGGTGTGAAGTTGGTTTGTTAAAAGGAGGTGGGTCTCAGAAGGAGCTCAAGAGGCAGCTGTGGGGCTCATATGGAACCAGTATACTGTTATAATAGTGTATTTCTGCTTCACAGGGTCGGTTGTAACCCATGAAATTCACTGACTGGAGCAATGGGCACAAAGGTGTGGCTTTTGTCTTGATGGTGATGATTCAGTTTAGAAAAATAATTAATCCCTGCAACTTGAAACATAAACTCTCAATGTCCCCTCCGGCTGTGTCACATGGAGAACGGCCACTGAATGTAATGAATGCACTGTAACTATCTAGTTTTACACCTCATTTTCACTTAATTTTATTGAAAACACCCAAAGCATTCTCCTCTAACTGGTTTTAAGAGTCATACCCTTAATAACTCAACAATAAGAGGGTTTCATTGGCTCTGTTCGCACATGTCATTGCTTAGACTCCCCCTTGTGGTACAACTTGATTACTACATAAATAGCAATGAGGACCTTTGAATTTTGTTCAATCTGCACATCGGAGTTGAAGGGAAAATATTAAATCCATTGAGAAAAATAAGCAAATATCATAAAACTTTATTTTGAAAATGTGCAAAAGGTGTTTTTACAGTACAAAGTTACAGGACAAAATCACAGCACACTGAATATTATCATATAAGGCAAAACTGTAACAGTTCCATGAAATAGCGAGCAAGTTTCACCCAGTTTACTGCATTAATACAAACTAGAAGACGAGTCTATCTTGGTTTGTGATGTTGTTACTTTTCTGTGTGTCTTCTACTCAAACAAAAGCTGAATCATGTTATAAAAACAGCTTATTATTTACACTCATCTGTCAGTCAAACAAAGTCTAAGTGATTTTAAAATGAAAGCTACACTAAATAACTGTGTGGAAATGTGTGAGTGCATGTTCGTTTCCTCAGCAAGGCTTTGAAGCAATTACTTGAATAATTTCCCTATGGATCTTGGCTTCCTGCGTATCGATTTCCACATCTCCCACTTGGCCATTCTCATACCTGAGAAAGAGAAAGGCATAACATTGTAGGAATTTGAATAAATTCTGGGAATCATCTTATTACACTGACAGACAGACATATTTTCTGGGCAGCTGTGTCTTTACTGTCTCGCGTTTTACTCACACAAAGAGGAACCGTGTGCACACATGGTCAGATATCGGACACACCCAGATGTTGCCGTGTTTTTGAAGCTCCTTTGAGGTTATTACTGTGAAGAAATACAGACTGTGTTTTAATAAAAACACAAACACCATGATCTCTTGTAATCCAGCCTGTGTGAGATATGGATTGTTTGAGGATCACCTTCACAGAGAGCTATGCAGTTTAAATTTGTGTTCTGAAGAAACCTGGCCTGTACCGACTTTTCCTAAGACAAGACAAGAAAACAGAGTTAGGAAAAAAAAAGAAGCACTACCATGGTATCAGATGTTCTTTGTGGCTTTTTTTACCTGTTGGATTTTGTGTAATTGATTGTATTTTTTCAGGAGTTCTCCCTTTGGTGGCATTTCGTGTCGCCCTTTACCCATCTCTGAAAGACAGGTTTAAAAACACATTTACTAAGTTACATGTGTGGTTTTATTTGCAGAACTTTATTAAAGTAAGTTCAGTTTTCGTTCATACCAGAATATCCAAATGATATGCCAGAGATTGGACTCAGGTATATGCCTTTCCCATATGCAGCTCCATGAAGCTTCAAGAAACAGAACAAAAATATGACACGGTCAGTAGATCGGTTTATTGAAACTTGGTGTAACTCCTCATCATATAAGTCTAAAAAAGCATACTGTATATTTAGCAGTCTGTTGAACTCTTGTTACATTTAAAAGCTTTCGTTTATTTAGTTTAAAGAATGCAAAATAGGTGACTGTCTTGTTCTCTACCTGTAGTTTTGTGCAGGAGGCATTGACCAGCCCATTTCTTAGAATAGAGTGCCAGTTTTCAATGTGGGAACCACTACATGAAGAGAAAATAGGATTTGAGTCAACATACCAGGGATCATATTTAGTATTTAGTGATATATCATGATATCAAGGTTAACACTGCTATGATTTTACTCACTGGAAAGCAAAGGTGCTACCATAAAGTTTCTTGGCAGTTTGGAAGCGAGCCTCTTTGGAAGGAGGGCTGCTGATCAGCAGGAACTGATGGGGTGTTTGCATGAACTTGAGTTGCTATTGAGCACAGAGAAATAGAAAATATAGATCATTAACGATTACTTTCTTAAAACATGTATAAAAACATTATGTGATGCAACAATACTGAAGTAAAATAATAATTTGGCTGCATATTACAAACTACCTCAGCAGTAAAATAAAACTTGCAGCCGCCACATTAAGACACCAAACTCTAGCTATGAACTACTGAATCATACCCTGTTCAGTGGAAGCTTGACAATGTGTGATCTGTTGCTTGCTAAAATCCTGTTATCAGACATGCAAACACACACCTGGATATCAGTCTTACAGATAACTGGAATTGACAAAATGTGAAGGTTATAGAATACAATAGAAGTATTAATGCAATAGCATTTCAATCACATCTCTCACCATTGCAGTAAAGGATGAGCCAGGGGGTCTATCTGATCCATCTGCTTCTTTATTTCAGAATATGGACCCTGGATGTTATGAGACAAAACAAATCAGTCCAACAAACCTCCAATATATTTAAATCATTCAAAGTGCATGGATGTGAATCTTAAATACGGTTTCATAAAGATTCAGCTTTAGATTAATTACTTGTGCCATCCTTCGGATTAGCAAGACGCTGTCAAGAGCTTTCTGTAGCCGGTCATAGCTCTTTTTCTGCAGCAACACAACAAAGATGATTTCTTTAGAATTACAAAGGTAATTATGGATAATCTAATTATAATTGAAGTCAATAATAAAATGGATTAGTTAAAAAGATACCTTTGGGCTAAAGGCCAGTATTTTGGGGTTCTGTGGATCAACAACAGAGGGGTACGGTTCGAATATGATGCTCTTGCGTGAAGACTGGAGAGCAGCTCTACACATGGCCACCAGCAGGTCAGCTACCTGAAGATCAGAGATGAGTGATATACACCAAACTCTCTCTGTCACCATCCAGAGTACCTTTTTAAAGAAGTGCATATGTGTGTTACAGACCTCTGCACCGGTGGCAACTTCTTCTGTTGCTCCAGACATGACACCCAGCGTATAGAAAGAAAACACACACAGCTCCCTGCTGCAAACTGCTGGCTTTAAACACACAGAGCAGAACAGGGACACTTTAATGACATTCAGCTGTACTTTTAGTTTTGATGAAGTATACTGGCCAGTTGTTTTCTTTTCAATGTACCTTTAACATGGGGCCGTTCTGAAACACATGTCGCTCATCGCAGACCACACAGTATTCATTCAGAGTGGGGAGTCTCTGCTCAGCATACCTCATAATCTGCACATAAAATGAAGTATAAAGATTGCTTTCATTACGTCTCACTTTGTGCTTTGATTGATTGATGGATTAGATAGCTGGTTGATTGATTGATGGCATCATTTTGTACATGTAAAATAAAATTAAATAACAGTTGATAAAAAGAAAAGGAAAAGCAAGAAAAGGCAAAAATCTTCTATCATCAAACACTGAAGCATTTTTTATATGTAGGAAAATGAGCACGAAGCGGTGATAAGTACTAAAAAACATCAATTTAAATATCGGAAATACTTTGTTCATAACTGTTTTGGATTGCATTACATTTGCCCTCTTTTACAAGATAAACAAATCACAGCATTGTGACGATGATGGCGTAAAGAGATCATGTGGTCACCACTTCACGTCTGCATCAACTGATCAACTTGATTGTGAGCAGTGACTCTTAAATTTCACCAAATTTCAAGAATCTCTGACAGAAGTTTTCCTACCTGTGCTAGGAAGCCATGCTGCAGAGTGGGGGTGGTCTTACAGTGCCCGATGGCCTGTGAGGAGAAAAGCAGCTCGATCAGCTGTTTGGTGCTGAGCTGTGCTGAAGACTTGACCGCTGACACCATCACCCTCTGCGGAAGAAAAGACGCAAAGTCTGATTTAAGTATTGAGGAAATCCTTAAGCACTAACAGTAAGTTAACTCAGACAGAGGGGTTACCTTTCCACTGGGTGTGTAGGTGAAGAGCTCTCCAGTGGGATTCTTGATGGTGTAGGACTTTGTGTGATTTGTGAAACGGTTCGGTTTCATTGGTGGTATAATGACTCTTCCTCCTACTGTGGGTTCCTGGAGATTATTTAACCTGATCACAACAGGAGAGAGAAACCAGTTAGAAAAGAATCAAGAATCGTTTGAATCAGTGTTTAAGCTTTTTGTTGCGTACTTTGATGGTGGGAGCCAGATGCTGAATCGAGCTCGAAATTTCTTGATGGTTCCACTCGGCCTGAACCAGCTTTGCCTGCTCTTCCGTCGCACCATGATGTTCTCATTGGTTAGGTGTTTCCACTCCCGAGAGAGGAAGATTGTGAGAATACTGGGTGACACAAATTAGGAGTTTGTCACTGAATGATCTTTAACTGCAACGAGTGAAACGTAAAGAATGAACACCCACTTCTGGAGCTGCTTCCCAAGGCTGAAATCATCGGTGTTGGATGGCTGAAAGACTTCGACTGAAGGTGCTGTGGTAAGAAAAATCAGATAAAGAGGAATCATTCAATGTCATGTTGAAGCTCCTGTGAGGAACTTCTGATTTTTTGACAGGAAACAAGCTGTACCTCATTTCTCTTTGCTGTTTTTTTTAACAGTTATTCAGTGTCACTCTTGTGTCAGTGGCTATATACGATTTTCTTTTTTAAATTTTTCCACTTTTTCATTCATTATTGGCTCTGATTTGCAAGGAATGGGGTAGGACTTGATAAGCTCTCTGCTTCATTCTGTTCTTTCTTAAACTGTTTGTTGTTGACATACATATGTTAGTGTAAATCTATCTTTGACATGTATAGTTGTTTGGTGTACATATGTATTATTTTGCTCAATGTTTTCATTTTTAGTAGTTTTTTCTGTTCTCAAAGTTTGAGATTAATTAGAGAAAGAAAGAAAGAAAAGGAAGAAAGACTCTTTGCGGTGAAAAAGGTTTTGAAAAACACATATTGGTAGCTTCAATAACTTCAATTACCGTGTGGCAGTGGTTAAAAACATTAAAAGTTAGTACAGAGAAAATACTAGTCTCACTGCTGATGGTCTTATTTGCTTTTATAGGTCACTTATAGGTGTTATAATGGTTTTCTGTGTATTTTAAAGCTGTCTTAAATTTTTTTAATTTAAGTAAGTTTGTGGCTGTGTTGCTGTTTTTACTCACCAGGTCCATCCAGATACTGGGACAGGGAAAAATGTAGACGGATAACAATGGACTCTGATGGATTAATCCTCCAGGCCTTGGCCACTTCATGCTGTAGACACCAAACAATTTAATCACATTACACAAAGCAGGAAGCCACAATAGAAAACATAGCAGTGCACTGTATTAAATAAGTGTGTAACAGATTCAACTCACACCCAAAAACTCTGCACTCATGTTAAGGTCGATGTCCACTTCATCAATTGACCCATACTCCCTAAAATATGACATTTTGCGGATGAAAACCTGCAGAAGTAATTTTATTTCAAGACTGTATAACAACAACAAAAATATTTTCTTACGTTATAGAGACGACAGAGTCTGTATATAAAGTTCTGACTGCCTCAATGTCTGTGTCCAGCTGAGGGTGGTGATACCAGTCAGTGGCACAGCTCTCCTGCAGAGACAAACACGACACTGTTACCTTATGGAGAGAACAGCTGAGCACGAGAGGAGGCCAAAGATTAACCTTCTCACAGATACTGTTTATACAACAGTGACTGAGAAGCTCTGACAAGATAGGCTATATAAAATGTAGGTTACAAAACCCCCGCCACTACCACCATTTTCTACTAGTTAGAACTTAAAAGATCTAATCTATCATGTTCCTTATTGTATAATTGTCATCATAAGCTAATTTCAAGTAGGCTCTATAATTCTAGGGTTATTATTTGTTACCTATTGATACTACAATTACAGATGCTTTAGAAAAAAAATTCATTTGTTGACCTTTACATGATAGGAATGATTGAATATCTTGATAACATTAAAGCTCCTATGAGGAGTTTTTTGACTTGAATGAAATGAAATCAAAATCATATTGATGCCTTTTTATGATAACCAGGAGCAATCAAAACCATCAGGGACAAGATTGGTAATTTGCATATTGTCATTTTGATGCCTGAAACTGGTGTGAAAAGGAAGGTGTCAACTGAGCAGTAGAGGAAAAGCCCGCTTTTTGCAATTTCAACACAAAATATTTACAATAAATTACACATTTGACCATCAAAAGTCAGCAGATATTATTTTAGCATGTAGAGAGCCAGATAAAGACAAGCTGCTTTTCCCAAAGGTGGCACCAAAACTGGCACACACCAAAAGCTCATCAGGAGCTTTAAATGTGATTGATTTGCTGATCTTGTCATGTACACATGTGGGTAGTGTTTTCAGAGAACTTCACCTTACTGTCTTTAAAATCACGTGTATTGTGAATATCTGCTGTAGAAAAAAAAGTTTTTTTTTCTTTAGCATATTGTTGATTATCTCATTTGACACCAACCCTCTTGTGGTGGGTTCAAGCATTGAAAATTACGACAGCAATATTTTTCCTGATCTTCCTGTTTGCTTTTGCAGTACGTAAAGAGGTGTCTGTGCTAATTTCACACTGTTTCATGACTGGTCAAAAACTCCCCACAGGAGCTTTAAGAGAGAAATATTTACCCCAAACTTTACAAAAGTAAATGTAAAACAAATAGTCCAGTGACTGCTTAATAATCCTGACTTTTTAATGGTAACTCCAAACAGCTTTTCTCTATTAAGTTTTCTTTTTCTGAATAATGTAGGATTGTGTGAGGCTTATATTTAAACCAAAAAAAAAAAAAAAATTCAAAAAGAATTACATCTGAAGTGCTCAGGCCATCCTCCATGTCACTGTCTTCATCACTCTGGCTCTCTGTCCACAGATCAGTCTCTGTCTCCTGTCAGGTTAATTGGACAACGCGTCAATGAAAAGATCCTCTTATAGTAAAGCTAATTTGTCCACTTCCCTAACCCAAACAGTGCTAACTCACAACTACACTGAGTCACATTCATTCAGAGGGAATAATTCTTACCCACTACGGTAATCATGCGTCAACAGAGCCTTTGTTTGCCTTTACAAATTTCTTTTTTTCGTAATATTAACTGCACAAACTTACCCAGAAAACCAGAAAATATTCACAAAAGTAAAGACCATCAAATTGTTTTGTGTATGTGTGTTAAGATTTTTAATATTATAATAAAAAAATGCATGAATAGAAGTAGATAATGTGTGCGTACAAACTCACCATGTGTTCAGTTTTTTGGCGTTTCCTCAGAAACAGTCATCGGCCCTTTTCCTTCTCTGTGACCAACATAACTAAACATAGACAGGAAAAACATGTGACTGACTTATTTCACCTACCAACACAACAAAGGTATTTTAGCACATGTTTGTCCCTACACTTAATAATTTCATGGCCAAGATCATCTCTAGTTGTCTCTAGTTGTTTTTGTAAATAAGCAAGCAAAAAACAAGAGCACATGTCAAGGAGGTCAGCGCAACAGAACCACGATAGTCCTTACCTTGCTGAGAGAGAAAAATAGTTCCATGTGTACCACTGAACAAGTCATGCTGTAATGAAAAACAACAGAGGTAGTAAAATCTTAAAGCTGTACATGACTGTCAGCCAGAAACCCCAGTAAATATTCCTGTTTGTAACGGCTGGGTCTGCTCGTGTTTAGCCGTCCTCTCCCCACTCTGCTTGTGAACAGCAGGTAGTCCCACATGTTAGAGATTGGACTTGGTTGTCACATGATTGGCTGCAGACACCAACAGGCTGATCATCTGTACCTGCTCCAGACAGACACACAGACACAGAGGAGAGGCTGAGGATGTGACCTGAAGCTGTAAGTCTGTCACTCACAGTCCCTCCTGTCCTGTCTGTGTGATATGAGTGTCACTGTGTCTACAGATTTTGTGGTTTATTGATCAAGAGAGGAAAACTAAAGAAATCCATGTGTCAAACTATTCTGCAGCTCCAGGCTCCTGAATCAGTGTTAAGACTGTGAAGAGAACAAAGATTCTCTGTTGGCAGGGCTGAGGGATGCTGATGATGTTTGGCATTTATGAGTCTTCCTGTCTGCCTGCTGTGCTGCAGTCTGACCTTAATCTGCAGTTACCCTTGTTAGCAGCCGCCTGCTGCTCTGCAGTCTGGCCAGATTAGACACTTCTAGGAGCGCTTACATCTGTGCAAGTCTTCTCTCAACAAGTTGTGTTTCTCGGAGTAATCCACTTAGACATGGGTGGGTGTTTGAAATGTGGCCTTATCTATTTATAGAGAGTAGGCACATAATCATGAACCCCTGTACTGTATATGGCCATTTCAAGGCTACGTACAAACACAAAAAATACAAAGTGAGTGGAATTTCTCTGTGGGTGAGTCAGTGTGTCTCAGACACAAAGAGTCGGCCAAGCCATTTTTCTTTCTCTCCCTTTTTTAAAGGTTATTTATTTGTGCTATATAGGATATTATTATCTAGTATCCAACCCCTTTCCTAATTTTGTACTATAAGCGTTATATCACTATATCCCTAGGGTCCCATCTGTCAGACCAACAAGATAAATGAAAACAGGTTCACAGTCAACGATACACGGGTCTAATTTCCACTGTATCATAGCTATATGATAGCTATAGCATCTGTCGAGTCACCAATTGTCCATATGAAGAATCATCAAGAAGCTGAAATAAACACAAGCATGAATATTTACCAGATTACACCAGATAGGGATTGTGAGTAGAATGTGAAATACATTAGATCAAGTATATTGGAAAGGAAGTACAAAGTACTGAGTACATCACTGTATCTTAACTTTTTGTGGACCATTGATTACTTAATATAAAGAAGCAACTAATGTACGGTTGATCATGTAGCTCAATTTGTTGTTGCTCTCTTTTGCTGTATAAGAGAGGTTGACATTTTCCAGACACTTTGACCAGTTATCCACTAGAGGGAGCTCTTGTTGAGACTGAAAGTGACCTGGTGGCATATGTTTTGTCCATACTTGGTGCAAGTATGTGCACTATATCACAAACAGTAAAACTCAGATTTTAGGGCTGATTTTTCAAAGCGAATTTCACAGAGATGTTTTACCTCACAGTTGTTCATTCATGCTAATGTTTGGCCATGTTCTTAAATTGCATTTTTCATGAAAGTTTATTTTTGAAGAAGGGTGACAAACAATAGGAGAGACAATAACAATGTTTGTGGACTTAAACACAAAAGTGGAGACTTTTTTGCAGTGTGAGTGCACAATAGCATTAGTGTGTGTTATGGCTTTGGGATGATCACATTGATATCATTCAAAAGCAAAAGGGTGAATAATTTTTTATCTGAATAAAATCAGGATGCTCACTTGGTTTTATATTTGCTGCATGTTGCAGAATTACATGTTAGGTTGGTTTGTTGATTTATTTAAAGTAGCATTAGTGTCCAGCGCAAACACTAACAAGCACATGCAGCTGAGAAACTGAAATTATTGCATTGAGTGTCATGTCAAAGGAAAAAAAATCTGTTTTAATGCCAATCTTTTACCTGTTTTGAGACTGGAGGCTAGACATGCATGTGTTTCTCTGCAGCTGGCTGCTCAACTGGCATGAACTGCCAGCTACAAAGTGATCCTTACATGGATTGGAGGTTGGTGAATGTCAGTTTGGCATCAGGTTTCATCCTCTAGAAATATCATCATGTACCAAAAACATAAAAGTGTCTTAAATTGTCCATTTGTATATTGTTCTTGCAGTCGTCCCCTTTTATCAAGGTAGTTAGTTGATGTTTTTTTCTGGTCAGTAAACATCATCAGGAAATCAAGATACAGTAGAAGAGTAAACAGTTGCCTTCACTCCATAAAAATATATTTGATCAATATTTTTCAAATTTTAACAACATTTTAGGAGAAACCTAACTAGTTAAGATGTGATGTTTAATTTTAAAGAAAGACATAGATACAAGAGTGTAAAAAAGGTGTCCTCCCATCAGCAGCTAAAAATGAGTTCAGGCAGCATATGTTTTTTGTATTGAATAACGTTGGGGAGGAGAGTGGACATATATGTAAGGCATGGCACTGGGTGGATACAGTTTGTGTGGTACAGTATGTTCTTCATCTGATCCCCGTATGCTTTATAAAGCTAGGCATGGCTCAACTGTATCTGCTGCACATACATACCATAACATGCTATACCTTGACAGAGTGACGACTTGACACACGGCAGGGTTTCAAGACTATTTTTGGGAAAAATCTGTCATCGGTTAATATAGGAGACTATGTATATATTATCAACTTAAGTCAAACTCTGAGTGAATCATATATATATATTTAAACCATGGCCATTATTCAGCCCCCATGTGTCCATAGGAGTGGCATGAAGTCTTCCTTGCAAAAAAAATGGTGTAGATTGTATGTCATCTTTAGATCAGAGGTACAAGCCTGACCATAAAAGGAGAGGTGCGTAGGAAAAATATATCATACTGAAGTGACAGCATACAAACAAAAAGAAACATAAATATGTGAATCTAATAAAAAACACATTAAAACAATTTGCAGCGGGTATCTGAAGCCAATTAAGAAATAAGTTATAATATTAAATCTTTTAATATATAAATGAATTTTTTCATTTATAATATGTATTCTTCTATTGGAAGGACATGTCATCACAAGAGGAGAATATTGGGATCCAACTATATGCTTTTTTTGCACTGATTTAAAGGGCTTTAAAGTGAAAAGAAGAGTCAAGATAGGAAATAAATATTGTCCCTCAAACATCTCTCTATAGAAGGCTTTAAATTCCTGCTGCTGGAGTTTCTTCTCTATCCTATTGCAATGTTAGCTTTGACAAATCATGACATTAACTCTACGAAAAAAAATAAGTGCTGGTGGAAAACATTGGGAAAATGTGCTGAAAGATTCCCAGTCCCTCTGTAAACGTTAGGAAATAGCACGTACACTTTCAGTTGACGATAACTTACCGACCTTTCCAAACAATTAAACATCTTTAGTTTCAACTTGGCTACCCAGGATCATGTTTAAGTATTGGCGGAGGGATTTGGGAGTGCACAGGCGAACAGCCCTCGCACCTGCGCTGTATCAACCCTCATATTTAGCCCATATTAAGCACTTTGATTAATCATAGGATATTAAATATGAAGTTCACCTACAAGAAATAATAACGTGTAAATAATTACTTTCCATAAAAACGTTTTATTCGTCCTTAACGGCTCCGCCCTATATCTTGTGTTGATGTGTGCCTCTCACATGGGAAAGTAGTTCCGGTTAGTGGGGAGGATAAAAACTGTCACTTGAGCAGTAGCATTGGCGTCTTGGTCCCTGCAAAGTTCACCCAGAAGGTGAGTAACAGCGAACAGACTGAATTATCTGACATAGAGACTGAGGAGAAGAGATTTTACTCTTGGCTGGGATTGAATATAATTTGTCATGGTTGCAAACTAAAAAAAAAAAAAAGTCAAAACAGACCTTTACACTTACTTATTTGGTGACATGCATTGTTCATTTCTACTTAGTTTTCTTTTTTCTTTTTAATTTTCTTTTCTGTATCTTGTCAGTATCTGTTGTGCTGTAGTGTTGCTCATAACTTTTTAAGGATGAAGGGAATTGATCTTATTCTGTCTGAATACTAACAATATTGGTGATACTTACAGCTGAACTAAGACTAATGGGATCAATAGCTGCCCAATGTACTTGAAATTACACAGGGCCTTTATAGACAGTTTTCCTCACCTGGAAATGGCTCTAAACTTTCCCTCAAATGTTAAAAAATCATTTGAATTAAGACACCATCACTACCATGGGATCATGGTGTCTTTTGTATTTTTTCTGGTTTGTTTCTGCTGTCTATTTATACACACAGCTGACCATGTTATTTTAGGAAAATGCTCTGTGCAGGAATGTCCTTCCAGTACACACACACACACACACACACATAAAGTATGTTTCCATGCACTGATTGTCAACACATCTCTCATGCTAGCCTTTACTGTTGCTGCCTTGAAGCTAAATTCTAAAATATCAGTTTTTTTCTTGTCAAACACCACTACTTAGATTCCTGATGCACAGACAGTATGCAATGTGTTATTCTTTATGTGCTAGCTACCTGCAGCCTCTGTATGTAACGTCCTGCTGCTCGTCTTCAGAAGCACATAAACTGTTGATTGAATTCGAGAGAGTGCAGTCAGGCAGGCACAGACTGTAGTTGTTGCTCTTTTACATAGCCAGTTGGGTCAGCTTGCATAGCCACTCTCCACATGTGGAGGCTTAAAATTAATCCACAGAGAGGTCACACCTTACTATATGTGTGGCTTTTTCCATTGACATGATTGATGGAACCTCAGAGTTTCTGATTTACTTCCACAGTCCTTGAATGTGCAGCTGTTCAGGTCATTTACCTTAACGTAGCTTTGTGTTAAATATATCAATGAGGCTTCTGCAGGAATTCATCCGCAACTTAATAACAACCCAATGATCCGTAGTACCTTAAAGGAAAAATTATTGATCATTGCACTCTTCCTTTTCTGATCTCCACAGAACATTTCCTGCAGACTCAGATCCAGTCATGTCGAAGACAAAGGATATGGGCTCTTCCATCATCCACACGCAGCAGATGCATGCTGCGATGGCGGACACCTTCATTGAGCACATGTGCCTGCTGGACATTGACTCTGAACCTGCAGTGTCTCGCAACACTGGCATCATCTGCACAATCGGTCAGTGCTCATTGTCAAACACTGCATATTCATTACTATTCATACACTACATCCAATGGTTATCCCTTTGCGTGTGATTGTTAAAAACATCAATCGGGAGTTAAACACCTGTCACTCATTCGTCTCCATGCAGGACCTGCCTCCCGCTCTGTGGATATGGGCATGGAGATGATCAAGGCTGGGATGAACATTGCAAGAATGAACTTCTCTCATGGCACACATGAAGTACGTCAAAGACACTTAAAGCCTCTCAGATTCCTAAACTTCTATCAAACTTTGTAGTCCTCTGCTGTACACTGTTCAAAGTGTTGACATCATAGCATAGGGGTAGACACCTGAAACATTCAGTGAAATCTCTGATTCATGTGTGCGCAATAGTGCAGCATGTTTGATTTTGAGCCCAGACGGAGCAGGAATTTCTTCTCCCTCTCCGGGTGACTCAGTATTAATTTACCCTTTAAAGCCACAACTGTCAGTGTGACATTACTCCTGTAACTGTCTGTGCCTGTAATCTGATCTACGAGCTTGTGCTCGCCCCCTCAGTATCAGAACTGTGTTGTGGCTCTTCATTTGGTGAGCCAACACCTTATATTAATGACCCCTTGCCTTTAAAAGTCATGCCTCTTTACCTTTTTCTCCGGTCACCTGAGTGGATGAGCCATCAAATCTATCATTAGCGTCAGGGAGAACATCCACATCTGACATTAGGAGCTTTAAAGGTTAACAGCAACTCAACTCTGAGGTTTGCTCTGACCTGTCTGTGCGGTGCAGCAGGATCTAAACAGAAACAGTGAATCTATTTGGGCTTAAAACTGTAGAAACATCATAAAAGTGCTTTTCATTCATAAAATTCCAAACAAGAAGGTTGGATATTTCTTACGGGAGATCCAAAATAGACTTGACCCCTGTCTCATTGGTGAGTCACCTGTCAGAGCAGCTTTAAATAGGTCTTCTCAGAGAGTCCACCTGGCAGCAACAGCACAAGAAGAACACACATTTAATCTAGAGAAAATAGTAAATTATCTTTAAACAATAATACACATAGTTTACAACCTTCAGAGTGTTAGTTTGTGGCTTTCCAGGTAGTGTACTTTTACTGGATCCATACAGCAAGACTCCATGTTTTTCACATAAAAAAGGTTATCTACTGATCTGTTAACCACCCCAGTTTAAAGGGTTTTACTTTAACATTACAGAAGCTATTGTTATCTCTATGACAGGCTATTTCTGCAGGGATCAGTGCCATGTTATACGATGTGTTGCAGCTGTCATTTGGGTTTACTGTATGCACTTATGTAACCAGAGTCATGCCATCTCCATGACTGTGACCAAGTTTGCCCACCTGTTGATTTACTGACTTCATTTTGTCACCGAAGACTTGAGCATATGGAGAGCTTCTGTACCCGTGTTTTATCAGTGTCTCTAATCTGATCACTTTTTTGTACTTCAGTACCACGCTGAGACCATCAAGAACATCCGCGATGCAACTGAGAGCTTTGTGCCAGGATCTGCTGAATACAGACCAGTGGCCATCGCTCTGGACACCAAGGGACCAGAAATCAGGACCGGTCTTATTAAGGGCGTGAGTTTTCATCAAATTGCATCAACTCCACAAGGCTATTTTTTTAACCTACCGCATGATTTTACGTTTCGTGATTTTCTGTGAATAATCAAGCTTTCTCTCCCTGATGCTTAGAGTGGCACAGCTGAGGTTGAGCTCAAGAAGGGTGAAACCATCAAGGTCACACTCGATGACGCGTTCATGGACAAATGCGATGAGAAAGTTCTGTGGCTCGACTACAAGAACATCACCAAGGTTGTGCAGACCGGAAGTCATGTCTACGTTGATGATGGTCTGATTTCTCTCAAAGTCATGGAAGTTGGTAAGACTACAATAAATCGTCTCTATGTGGCTCATCTGCTCTGATTTTATAGAGCGAAATTAAGTGGTTGTTTCTCATTTTGCGTCCCAAGGCAACGACTTCCTGATGTGTGAAATTGAGAATGGCGGTATGCTGGGCAGCAAGAAAGGTGTCAACCTGCCTGGAGCTGCTGTCGACCTGCCCGCTGTGTCTGAGAAGGACATTCAGGACCTGCAGTTTGGTGTGGAGCAGGGTGTTGACATGGTCTTTGCCTCCTTTATTCGTAAGGCTGCCGATGTTCAGGCTGTGAGGAAAGTTCTGGGCGAGAAGGGAAAGGACATCAAGATCATCAGCAAGCTGGAGAACCATGAGGGTGTGCGCAGGTGGGTAGACCCTTAGCAAACACACTCGAATCTGTACAGACCTGAAGATATGTTAACGTACGGTTAACTAGTCTACTTGTTTGATAGATTTGATGAGATCCTGGAGGCCAGTGATGGCATCATGGTTGCACGTGGAGATCTGGGTATCGAAATCCCCACAGAGAAGGTTTTCCTAGCCCAGAAGATGATGACTGGCAGGTGCATGAGGATTGGCAAGCCCATCGTCTGTGCCACACAGGTCTGTGACACCAGTAGGACAACTATGAAAGAACATTTTGTGAAAGGATTGTGTTTCACGGAATCTTCTGTCGCTCTTTAGATGCTGGAGAGCATGACCAAGAAGCCCCGCCCTACTCGCGCAGAGGCCAGTGATGTCGCCAACGCTGTGCTGGATGGCAATGACTGCATTATGCTGAGTGGTGAGACCGCCAAGGGAGAATACCCCCTTGAGGCTGTGCACACACAGCACATGGTGAGAGAACCCCCCTGAGTAACGCCGTCCTTTATGTGCTTTTTACCAGCTATATGTTGAAGCAATCCTCAAAGTCCATGCCGGTGTTTTGCATGTTTCTGCCGGAGATTTTTATTCATATTTATTCATATTTAAGGAAGAAGTATGTTATATTTTAGTATGATACGCCACAATACATAACTAAATGATATGCTACAATAGGATTTGACACTGCTCAATACAATATCATAATATTTCACATGATACGACACCGTACAATAGGATGTGATATATGGTATATTATATAAAACAGTACATTTTGGTAGAATTTCATCTCACATCAGAGAAGGAAATCGTTACCGTAAAATAAGAGAAGTTCTGGAGGTGTTAGGACATTTTCTTGGCCTCAGTCGCTGCACATATTTAGCTCTCCTTACAGACAAACAAGCTCGACTCTATCAGTGTGAGCGCATCAGTGGTTTCAGCCTGATTTTACTAACAGCCTGTTAAGTATTTGTTTAACTTCCATGGCGTACCCTTGTTGCATTGCCACCCCCCTTCTTCCCCCGTCCATCTGCTACCAAACGACGTGTGCTTTTGTGCATTCTGCTTTAACAGTGTGATCATGTTACTCAATTAGCATGTGTCTGAGGATCTGCAGTGCAAAGCAACTGTGTCTGGACATCACAGCCACCGCTGCTGTTTAGCTTCATGTCTCGGTGTGCTCTCAGGTATGATAACCTCTGCATTGACGTCAATTGTCTCTTTGTTTTGCGTTCTCTCTCTCCTGCTGGTAAAACTGTCTGTCTGACACCGCTGTAATCTTTTCTGCTAATGTTTTCCTCAAATGTGTAGATTGCCCGTGAGGCCGAGGCAGCCATGTTCCACAGGCAGATGTTTGAGGAGCTCCGCCGCACCACTCATCTGACCCGTGACCCCACAGAGACCATTGCTATCGGTGCAGTTGAAGCTTCCTTCAAATGCTGTGCAAGTGCCATCATCGTGCTCACCAAGTCCGGAAGGTGAGAATCTCCAAAGAAGTCCCTATTGTGTCCTCTCCTCTGCATTCTGAGTCATAATGATCTCCCTGGCGCCCACTGTGAGCAAAGAAACTGGTGCTTTGTATTATCTCCCCATCCTTCCTCCTTCACTCTCTTCCTATCTCAAACCCTCTGCTCCTGTGAAGTGTGCCAACTTTCATAGCACTCACAATCTGGGCACCACCAGTGACCTTTTAGAACTGAACCCTGACATTTTCCAAGTTAATTTTATCTCCCTTATCACAGCCCTCCAGTTGGGAGTTCATTCCTCCAACACATGTTGCAGAGGCTGCAAAGCTGTATTTCCTAATCACAATGGCATAATTAAAGCAGCAGGAGGCGAAAACAGAAACTCAAAGGGAGCGAATTTTACGTTCCGAATCACAGCCTAAGCAGATGCGGTTCTTTTGCGGTTGTTCAACTTTTAATGATTTACGTCTGTTTCCCTGCAGGTCTGCTCACATGCTGTCAAGATACAGGCCCCGTGCCCCCATCCTTGCTGTGACCCGCTGTGGCCAGACCGCCCGCCAGGCCCACCTGTACCGTGGAGTGTACCCCCTGCTTTACACCAAGGCTGCCAACGACGTCTGGGCCGAGGACGTCGATCTGCGTGTGAACTTTGCCCTGGAAGTTGGTGAGTGATTAGGTTCTTGACTGTGCATGTGTGGTTAAAATTGTTACCCAGGTAAAGTACAACTCCTTAGAACCATGAGAAGTGGATTAATTCTGTAAACAGAAGTCATGATATTTTATATTTAATCAACTGGATCTGTTCTCTATCCACAGGCAAGCACCGCAAATTCTTCAAGTCCGGTGATGTGGCCCTTGTTGTGACCGGCTGGCGCCCCGGCTCTGGTTACACCAACACCGTGAGAGTTGTGCTGGTTCCTTGAACATAATCGGAGGACGTCAGTTACCACTCTCCCTCCCATTTTGAGTAACCTCCCTATATCCCATGTGTCAGACTTTTCTTGTCTCAACAGAATCACAAAACCAAGCTGCTCCTTCAAAGGACCTGTAAAAGTGTTGTTCACAGACAGTAACCCTCCTGATTTGTAATCCATATTTATTGATTTCTTGTCTAAAACCTGCTGCCTAATACTGTACCTGGACCCTTTTAGTAGAAACTCTTCCTCGTGTTTGTACTAACCGTTCAGCTGACAAACAGATTAAAATTTTTTATCTTGCATGCACTGTGAACTTAACAACTACATGTTTTCTCACTCACATGGAGTTCGGTTCCTCGATTGCCAAGCGTTACACATACATACTGTGTGTACTGTTCTTGTTTTCCAGTGTTTATGCTAAACTGAAAGCTGGCAAAAGTGTCATTGTGAAATGATGCAGCATGACTGGTTGTCTTTCTATTAAAAGGAATTCTTGGTTCAGTGGTGCTTGTCTTCCTCTTTAATCACCTCTCTCTGGGAAACTAGGGTCAGGGTTAGGTTGATCTTTTTCATATCACTACAGGAGTCATCACATTGAAGATTTGTCTCTTTTAAAAGACACCATATAAGGAAAATATCCTTAGTTTGAGTGACAAGTTTATCAAAGACAGTTATTAGTTTGATGTGAACTGAAAAACAGTCATTTTATCTGCCAAAATAATGAATGTAGGCAAAATTGATTCCCAAAAACTTGGTCAAGTATCAAAAGAAGATGACTGTTGAACACCACAGTTCTTATTATGAAAACCACGATTTTCGCACTGCAAGTTTCATGTAGGAGGAAAATTAATGCAAAACAAAATCTGAAGCCTCTGCAGACACCTACAGTGTTGGACGTTCACTTCATACACGAGGCATTATGAAAAAGATCCTAAAAAAACAGACAAATATAACCATCATATAACAAGATTAAAAGATCTTTAAATCATGACCACATGAATATTTTTCCCTCTAACGACTGTCACAGCTAAAGATGCATCTTTTTATAAATGATCTCTGACAAGACAAATCGCTGAATCAGCTGTGACACCGACTATGTCTCTGGTATGAATAGACAAACAGCCTTTTACATACAGTAAGTCTGACTCTGCAATGAACATTTCAGAAAATGAACATGATGAAAATGTACAAAAATCAAGAATAAAATATAACTACGACACACATCAGCAGAGTTTTATAACGTTTTTGTAATATTAGTTAAGTGTCTGCAGGTAATCTGGTCAAATCCTCTCTGATTCTTTCAAAGTTTTCTGGTGAGTTATACGACCTCCTGTAAAGACTTATGATTCATCTTAACTTTGGTGCCGTCTATGAACAAAGTGTTATCTGTCTGTCAAATCTGCAAACTTTGAACAAATAACATGGTATCCTGTTTGCTCTCAATAGTCTTTGTCCTCAGTCTTGATCCGGAGAGTCTCGTTTTCTTTTGTAGGTCATTGAGCATCATGACTTTAAAGTCTCTTACATAACCAGTTCAAACTCCTCAGAGGAGCTTTAAGATCTCCGTTTAAGTTGTCTCTCAAAACCCCAATCTCAAAGTACTGTAGGCTGTTGATCTGATGATTTTTATAGGGCATGCTGTGAACATACAGAAAGGGAACACTCTTTGCTCATGATGACATGAGTAAAGTTTTTGGTACTTTGGATCGACCTAGCAGCTTCACCTCAAAGCAAAAATCACATTTTAATACCCTTATTTAATCACTAATCCAGCAGTTTGTATTATGAACCCTGCTGATAATTTCTCTTGTACTTATGAGTCAAATGTTTGGCGGAGTATAATCCTGGCCATTTTGAATTGTGGCACCATGCTGTTCTCCATTTATAATCCGGCTTAAGTCTGAAACTTCAGCCTTTTATTAGATTCTCCTTCAGTGCCTCCTGCTCTTTGTGGTGGAAAAAAAAAAACCGAACAGCTCAGTCGAGCATCATTGATCGTATGTTATTTTATTGCATTGAATTCAGTAGCTAAAATAAAATATTCCTAACATACATAGGTGATGGAATCTTCAGATTTGTTGGTTAAAAGGCAGCAAAATGAGATATAAATATATAAATAGATGAATGATTGACACCTCCTCTCTTAAACACACTTTTGACTTAAATGCACTCAAAGAAATGTTGCACTCGGTCCGAGCTGATGCCTCTGGCGGGTGGTGGTGGTGGTGTTGTGGTGTAGGGGTGCGGGAGTTTGGAGGAGAATAGTAATGAGGGATTGATCCAGCCCATTGGCAGTGACTGGCTAGTGACTGACAGTATCTCTCTTCCCTTAAGAGTCACCACAGACTGCAGGTTTGTTCAGTAACCAGGCAGCTGAAGCCACTGGACAGGATCCTCTGAGAGTTTGACCCGCTGACCGGCTTGATGCTCACAGTTCCTCACCGGCCGCAGGTCCAGACAGAGAAAGAGAAAAATATTATCCAAACACATGAACTCAGTAAGGAGTAGGTTTTTAAGAGTCTGATTTTTTAAAAAAGCAGTCCATTGTAGACGTCTTTTTGATTTAGCATAGCATCACAAAGCAGCAATTGTTCAACAAGATGTCCATTTTTTTTTTTTTTTTTTTACAATCAAATAACGTGAAATGAAAGAGGTAAATATGCAGCAATATGACCCATCAGGGTTTCTGGTTAACCGTGTGTCCTAGTAACTGCTTTTAGCCCTTTGACTGGTGCAAGAAACATTCAGATCAGTCTTAGTGCATTGCTGGTTTCAGGACGTTTGATTATCCACGATTGCTTTTATTTCATTTGATTCCCTTGTTTTAATCTGTTCTATCTAAAAACAGAATCTCACTCATTGACTCAAGTGCTTCTATTCACAGTAACCATAAAAAAAACAGATTATTGCATACTATGCTGATGGCACACAAACCTTGGCTCAGGCGTATGTTCTGTATTGGGACACGAAACAGAAATGTGTGCGTTACCTCTGAAACCAGTTTAACTTTTCAGGAAGTCCACAGAAAAACCCATCATTGCCCCCGAGTTCAACACATTCAAAAATTAATCCCACTTCTCCCACTCAGACGCAGACAAACATTACATTACATTCATTACTTCAGTTTCTCTGAATGTGATCTGATTTGTGTGACCCATTTAGGGTGTGCAATATTGCTGAAAAGCTCTCCTGGAAGACATGCCTTCATCAGACCGTTACCTTAGGTGATCTCTGAAACGAGCAAAGTGCACAGTCTGTCTCCTCCAATCTCTTAAAGGGGGAACCCTGCATTCATTTGACACACTCGGTGGTGGGGAAGGACACAAAAAAGGACAATCATTTTTGGTTTCTGGATACAGTTGAGGATGAGTTTCCGACTCGATGGGAGAAGCTAAATGACACAAAATTGAAAAAACAATGGGGTTCAAACAAATCACAGAGTGTGGTTATAATACAATACATAGAACAATTGATATTTTCATGAGGTGCTATATATACCCATCGATAGGTTTTGGATTTTATTACTATAGTCAGAGATGCAATATCCTGTAGAAAAATTTCCATATCTGTCCATTATTATCTCAGACCCATTCACGCTGATTCAAAATGAAACCACAGATCTCCAGTCTCATTAGAAAAACACACCCTCCTACTTAAAAATCTCACAAAGCAGTGGCTGAACCAACACCGAGAAGAAGAAGAAGAAGAAGATTGTCTCCCTTTTGTTCAGGCGTTAAAGGAGGGTGTGTCTGAACCTCACAAGTTGGATGGAAGTTTGGACTGTTTCTGTTCAGTCTCTAAAGTTGCAGCAGAAGATTTAGCCTTAGGAGAGTGAACACCAGAGGGCAGGTTTTGAGGTTCTGACCCTGAATGCGTCCGACTAATGGGAGTGGCTTGCCCCGGAATTTGGCTGTAAGGTCTACTGACAGCCATGGGGGAGGAGAAAGGGCTCGATGCCCCTTGTGCCCCCTCTGAGAAGCAGCTCATGGCCAAAGGCCGTTCCTGGTGTATGGAGCTGTGAGAGCCTGAGATAGTCTTTATTTCCTGGGAAAAGAGATCCATCGAGGACCCGGCCCTCTCTTTGGGGGAACATGCTACCCTGGCGGGGCATGATGTCTGAGGGAGAAGAGGGCTGTGCGAGCCCGCAGTGGGGAGCTCACTGTGGTAAACTGTCCGTCCCCTCACAGGGCTCTGTATGCTGGGGCTTTGGAAAGGAGGAGTGTAGCAGGGTGAGGCCTCTGCCGAGCCGTACTGAGCCAGGGATGCGAGGGCCGAGTGCTCGGGGAGAACCTGGGGGAGAAAAACAGACTGGAGACCTGCGAGGCTGTGCTGAGCCAGGGAGGCTGCGGCCCCAGCTGCGGCTGTAGACCCCTGCTGAACAAATGCAGTGGAGGGCTGTGTGCTGGTGATGAAGGGAAACTGCGGGAGGCTCAGACCACTAGATGTCCTGCCTGCTCTGTCGTGACTGTACCCCATCTGCTGCATACTACCGTGAGAGGTCGGCTGCAGCTGGCTTAGGATGGGTCCGACTGAGCTGCAGATCAGGGGACTTATGGCAGAGGCAGAGGGGGCTGGGAATCTTCCTACCAGCCTCCCTGGCGCCCCCTGTTGGAGTAAACTAATGGGGTGAGGCGGGGTGGTCATAGCACCATGGAAGGGCTGAGAGTGGAGCTGGGCAGAGCAGGTGTAGGAGACGGTGGTCTGACCGATGGGGAAGACAGGGGCCACACCAGAGTGAGGGGGATGAGGTGAGGGCTGGTGAGGGGGCATGGGGGCCAGAGGCTGCAGGCTGCTGGTGAAGATGGGCTGGGACGTCAGGGTGGGTGACACGGACCCAGTTGGAAGATGAGCAGCCCTGAGGGACGCCAGTGTGGGAGTTTCAATTCCAGATCTCAACCTAAAGGGGCTGGCAGGAGATGTAGGCCCAGAACCACAGATGCTGGATGTGTTGGCTCCAGCGTAGACCCTCTTTGGATGGCTGGTGGGGTCTTTCAGGGAGCCAGAGCCTGCTGCCAGAGGATGGTGAAAGAGGATGGGGGGCAGCTGGGATTGGTGAGCTAAGGCCAGAGCCAGCGGAGTCGTGGCAGCAGCAGCCTGGAGCGGGGCCTGAACCAAAGGCGCCCAGATGACCGGGGTGGGAGATGGTGGTGCTGGGGGGTTTAGGCTGGTCTGGATCAGCTGTGTGCACTGGGCCATGTCACGGTCATGCTGCACTATTCTTTGTATGATCTCACTCTCTTGGAAGTTGAGTGTACCCGAGCTTTGGTGATGCTGGACTTTATTCTGCAGAACTGAGTTCCTCTTCCCTGCAAAGGAAACACAAACAAGGCCATGGCAGTTCTGGTTTTTCATTTATGACAGGATGTAACACACATTTTGACTAGAGACACTTTGACTAGAGAGCGTCAAAGTGATGCACAGTATCATATAACATTCAGTACATTTGCAAAGATTTAAAGGGTTGTCCGATTCTTCCTCTTCTATCACACTCATTTTAACATGAACACAGACTGGCTGAAGGGACGAGGACAGAGTTTTAGTATTTGATATAAATCTCAATAGACGTATGTTAGTGTATGTTAGGGTCTGACTTGGCACTGCTGCATAGTTTGTTGAGGTATTTATTTTAGTATTTACTCCTTTTTATCAGGCTTTTGTTGTATTTAATCATGTCCTTATCTTTTAGTGTACCACTTTTAATTGGCCTCTTCTGTGTTTGTTGTGTATCTGGTGTTGAGTTTATATTTTTTCTGATGTCTCCAGGCTGTTTGTTGTCTGTATGAGTCTTCTTGTCCTGGTGGTGAAATAGTTTCCCCCATGCAGGATCAATGAAGTCTCCCTTCCCTTATCTTACCTTAGTTGGACAAAACAATTATTTTTTTAATTAACCATCTCTTCTTAGGAAACAAACAAACTCTATCCTGATAGAAGATGCTGCTTTTTTCTGCATTTCAGAAGTCTAAGTTAAGATAACAAAGCAGGAAAATAAACGTTGCCCTTTCACTCTTAATGTAAACACTTTACTACCTCAAAATTCAGGTGTGCAGAAACAGTCACTGCTTTTAAATCACGTCTTAAAACTCATTTTTATAGACTTGATTTTATGCTTTTTTTATTTTGTCTTCTTTAAATCCTTTTACTCTTCTTATTCATGTTTTATAATCGTCCCCTCGGTCTCAGATTTTTGTGATTGGGTTCCTGTGTTTGCCGTGTATTACAGGTTCTCATAATGTCTTTGTTTTAATGACGTTTCATACAACATTCATCAAAACTTTTATGTCTTCCACCAGTTTTTATTTTATTTTATTTTATTTCTTTATTCCCAGTAATGTGACATTTCCCCCCAGTGTTCTCTTGTTGTTGTTCTGTTGTTTTTATCTTCTTTGTTTTCCTGCATGTTAAAGCACTTTGTAAACTCTTGTTTTTAAAAGTGCTATATAAATAAAGTTATTATTATTATTATCTATTATTATTATTATTATTATTTTTATTATTATTAATGCTTTTTTCTGTGTTAAAATAAACACATAAAAGTAGCTCAGTACTGAATTGACTTTCTCTCTTGATGGACACTCCCAGAAAGTTAATAAAGCTTCATCTCTAAATCCACCATTTCTTTGGGTTAGTACAGAGTGCAAAAGTAAGAAATAGAATATAATTGAGTGCAAACCTTCAAAAATATATATATTACAAAAAACAAAACAATATCAGAAATACACATAGGACATGTCAAACTCTGGTAAAGAGTTTGACATGTCCTAACAGTGTATCTTGTAGATTAAGTAATTTAATGCCTGAAACCACAAATTATGGCCAGAAAATTTTTTTTTTTTTTGGAGCTGAAATGTTTATTTCACTTACTACTGAAAACCAAAAATGATTAAAATGTCCTTAAAATTTAACAAATATATTTATTTATCTCGTTTGATACATTAGATGTTTTTGGAAACTGATAAACCACAAGAGGACATTTTTATCATTTATCGTACTGTATTACAGTGGGGTTTTTTTGTAATTTGTTGATTATATTGATTTGATAGAAGTATCATAAAAGTATGTATCAAATATGATCCAAAAGGCATTAAAGAGTTAAGTAATTTAATGTTGAATATTAAGCGACCACGGGTTAAATTTCCCTTAAGGACTCACCAATGCGGTCCAGGCGGTCAAGGGCTACAGTCTCAAACGCCCTCCTCATCATGGGATACTCCTCCAGCACCTCATTGAAGTTGTCCACAGACAGAGAGTACAGCCGACAGTAGTTATCCGCTCGCACGCTAGCTGTCCTCCTGCCCCGGGTCAGCAGGCAGATTTCTGCAAAAAGCAGCCGAAAAAAAAAAACCCTTCAATTATCTCTGTAAAATGTTTCCTGCTGAAAACACATCAGAGATTAATGTCAAGTATGTTTTTAAAATCAGCCATTAACATGAGGAGTTACATGATTATTCCCCTCTTTTTATAAACAGGCTGGGTGATACATTACCAGCACATTTATATCACTTTAGATCCATTCATAAAAGGAAAGGCTAAAATAGTATTATTAGTATGAGACGATAAAACATGAAAAGGCTGCTGCCTCTGAACTCCACAGATGGAGCACTTAATGCAATTTCTGCAGCTTACAGTTTGTCCTGACCTCATCTGTCGTGCCAGATCAGGAAAATAAAATAATGCGCCACTTCAAAAAAAAAAAAAAAAAAAAAAGAGAGAGGAGACATATTTTTCAGGACAGACATATTGAGGATATACAAACACAAACACAGACTCACACGCGCTCTCTTTTACTGTCCTGTTTACCAATTTATTTTACGTGATGACAAAGGATTCCTGTCGTCGAGTATTTGTTGTGTAGCCGTTAAATTGTGCATTTTCTGCCCGTAGTTTTAAAAGCTGTTTCTGCTTGTGTTTCGCTTTCCACATGTTGTTACGGTTATATCATCTTTTTGTCAAACCTATATGGATGTAGAGGCCCTGTTGGTCTAGTGGCTTAAGTGTGCACCACAGAGGCTTATGTCCTCATCGCAGAGATTGCTGGTTTGACACCCAGCCATGACTATGTGTTTATGATAGTTTAAAGGTACAGAAACAGTAAAAAAAAAACAGAATATTTTTGCTGTAAGATGATTGTTTTCTGATTTAAAAAAAAGCAGGTAAGTAAATGTGCCTCTAGTTTTGTTTAAAGATGATACTTCACTTTAATCCAAACAGCAGCAGCAGCAGCAGCAGATTGAGACCGTATCAAGGGCAGTGACAAATGATGAGTTGGATTTCAACTTTGAATATAATATTGTGTGAACCGAAGGGAAAACCCTGCAAATGGAATCAAAGATCACAAAGCTTTGTTCCTCTTAGTCCTGTGTCCTTTTAAGGAGATGATGTGGACAGTTTTTCCCAGCTGTATTAGTCCTGGGAGTTAATCTCCTGAGTGCCGGAGCAAAATAAATCAAAATAAATCATACAATCACAGCTCCTTCACATACATCCAGGCTGACTCTCGGCCAGATACAGAATATGTTAGCAGGCAGAACACCCAAAGGGGGCTGATTTCAGACTTTACCTCCAAAATAAGAGCCATCAGAGAGTTTGGTGTCTTTGCTGTTCTTTGTCAGGACACTGACCACCCCGTGCTGGATGAAGTACATCTTCTTGCCGATAGTTCCCTCTCTGATGATGTAGTCGCCCGGCTGGAAGACCTCGAAGCGCAGTTTTGTCAGCATGGATGTAACAAAGTTTGGATCGGCGTTGGCAAACAGGGGCATGGAAGCCACAAGTTTGCGACAGTTAAAGTTGATGATCTCCTGCGGAAGAAACACACCAGGAAAAAAATAATGTTGTGGATAAATGATAGCCCAGTTAAGCCGAGTCGCCACACTCATGTCAGCATTACTGCATGTGTACATTTCAATCATTATAAAAGCAGGGAGGTTAACAGCTTAGTGCTCCGTTAATGAAGTTCTCTGCTCGCATACAGTCTACGGCCATTACTAATCAGATTACATGACTATTAACATAAGCGTGCAAAGTAAGGGAGCAATATTAGATTATGCAAATAATTAACTGTAAACCACTTAGAGAAAGGATGCTCACTTCATTTAGTTAGAGTTTGATGCACAGACACGTTAATCATCCTTGACATTATGAGAAAGTAACAGAAATCGTCGAATAAGGCAATTAGTTATTAATGTACAGTGTTTGTCACAGGTATACTTTTCTCTAAAAACTCTTAATTCTCGATATTTTCTCTCATATTTTGCCTGTTTAGAAGCAGCTGTTATTTATGGACGCCCACAATCAGAGATAATTATCACACTCAACTTGATTAACCGTGTTCTGTAAACCATAAGTGAGCAGGGTTCGGAAAAGGTTACTCAGGAAGGCCCATTACTTGTGATAGAAGTTAACTTAATGATGACTCAGCAGCGTTATTATCAAGACAAGAACAAAAAGATGAGGACTCCTGACCTCCCGAAGGGGCTCGTTCAGCTCCTCCAGAATGCTCTCTTCGTCAAACATTTTGCCCTGGTAGCGGTGCTCGTAGTAGTCGTGGATCCTCTGACGCATGTCGGCGGGGAGTTTGTGAAAGGACATGTACTGCTCCACCTGTTTATACTGTAACAACAACAACAACAACACAGCAGAGTTGAATTATAAACTAACAAATGCGGATGTAGCTATTTATGATAACAACAAAACTACGTGTCAATGTATTTGAGACAAAGACAAAATGCAAAGTCATGTCAATATGAATATATTAAACTGATTGATGTTTTGGCTGCGGTGTGGACTATAATGTGTCTCATTATGTTAACTGTCAGACCATCTGTGAAACCTGCCCACAGAGCAACGCTGCGCCTCCGTCCCATCTGACAAATACAGCAGCTCTATGCAGGCTAATAACATTAACTACTGTGTCCTTCAGCCTGTGCTCCACCAGAACTGCACATATGACTGGAGTGTGTGCCCAATCTATGGATGGTGTAAACCGCTGGAGGTCACCTCGCTCCACTGTCTGACAGTAGATGTTAATTTCGAGCATACGAACAATTATCACTCTCATATGTTGCTTTATGTCCTCTTGTTGTCTCACTTTGAGTGCCTGTGGTATTTTCTCATTTAACAGGTGAGTAAAGCCTGGATGAAATATTCAGTCGATCATTTTTATCATGATTCTTTTTGAGATCTGTGACAGAACAGGGATTCAAATCCTTATTTGGGTCACCATGGGGATATTTTTTTTACTGTGAATGTGAAGTTACTTAAAGTTTTGCACTTTAAGTCTTATTCAAGTTAAAAAAAACACTGCAGATTAATTCTTTATGGAATTAAACAAAAATACTCTAGCTAAAGAAAAACATTATCCTTATTAGTCTCACAGTGTTATTTATTTTGATACTGGATCATGAATACCAAGCATCACTGCAAGAAGTAGAATTACGTCCTATAAAACAAATATTATCCCTTTAATGCCGTTTGTATCATATTTGATACATACTTTTATGATACTTAAACATGATCAACAAATTACAAAAAAACACCTGAATACAGTCTGTTAAATGATAAAAATGTACATGTATTGTATCTCATGAGATAAATAAATATATTTGTTCAATTTAAGGGACATTTTAATTTTTTGGTTTTTCAGCAGTAAGTGAAATAAACATTTCAGCTCCAGAAAAAACTTGAATTTTCTGGCCATAATTTGCGTTTTCAGGCATTAAAGGGTTACATTCTGTATTTAAGGACAATATCTGAACCAAGCTCCTTCCCACTGCTTGTTTTTTGCCAGCAAGGCGAACACCCACCTTCTCCTGATACTGCCTCCTTGAGGAGTCCAAGGACTGAATGAGCGCAGTTGCGTGCCCAACAAACATGGCGAAGCAGGTAGCGCCCACGATCATGCTGAGGATGGTGAGCCACACGTCAGCCATGCCGATGGGGGGGTAAAGGCCGTACCCGATGCACAGCATGTGACTCATGGCCTTGAACAGGGCGTAGGAGTACTGCTGACCCCAAGTGTCGTTCTGTGAGGGGCGGAGAAAGAGAGGGAGGAGGAAGTTTAGCGAAACATTGCCAACATTGATGCATCGAGCATACAAGTGAGAACTGAACTTTAATGACTATTTCTTTACTAAATCACCAGAACAAAAGGTTATTCAAGAAAAAAGCCTCTGTGATTTGGTTATGAGACTGTGACTATGCTCTACTTCATCAGTGAATCCAACTATGACCTGTGATCAGTCCAAAAAAAGTCGGTGAGATCATCTTTTGTCCAGAGACCCGCCCACCTTGAACATTGAAAAAAAGCTCAAACCCAAAAGAAGATAATCTCTCAGTCCCAGTTTTTTTTTTCTTTTTTCATCAAATGTTATTTTCATGTAGGACTAAATCATTCATACTCAGATTTGGGGCTTCAACAGGAGCACAGTCTGGTTGTGTGTGACTCATAAGTAATCCACTTACCACCATCTTGTTTCTGGTGACCCAGCAGTCAGGAGGAAAGTCCTGCAGCATGGGAACCAGAAACTGCAGACAGCCGTCCCAGTGACACAGCAGCAGCATCATGCCGATCAGGTTCATGATGCGCACCATGGCGCTGGCCAGGTCATAAGTCATATGGAAAACCTGTGACACAGATTACCAGCATTAATCAAACATCATCGAATACACATCTCTCTGTGAATAAATCTGTGATGTTTGGACTCTCTCATGCAATCAGAGGATTTGAAACATACAGGAGGTGCTGTGTGGGCCGATAGACATACAGATCCTATATCAGCCTATACTGTTCTTAATCTACCAGCAGAGGGTGGCTCGGTGTTGCGTAACAATCTGCAAACAACATTAATGGCCTGTGGAGAATGGAGCCTTGGTTGATATTATAGAAATAAGAGAACAAAAGATATTTTCCTGCATTTAGTAAATGGATCGAGTGTGTGAGAGGGTGCCTGAGCTGCAGAACGAGAACCAACAAATCATCTCCTTCTGCACGCCTCTTTAAAAATGAGCTTCAGGATTTAATGAAATGTGGTCTTAAGGTTTAAGTAAATTTAGAAAATATCAGTGAAAGAAAAGGCTTATTTCAAACAGCACCTCATTCAAAGAAACACTGCATCAAGTGCTGCAACATACAAACACGAAGCTAATACTGTTTGATTTGCATGCCATAAATTAAGAAATGGATATCACCAACTTTTCAGAGGTCAGAACCTAAATCCTTTCAGCTTTTTGTCTGTGAAAAAGACTAAAAAAATCATGAAAACAGTAGCCAGCTCATTTTCTGCTACAGCTCATATGGAGATCCAAACAGCATGCTCCTGCAGGATCTACCTCTTCCCACTGGTGGATGTAGCGAATGAGTCTGGAGAGGCGCAGCAGCCGAAGCAGACTGAGGATCTTTGTGAAACGGACGATCCTCAGAGCTCGCGCCGTCTTGTAAAAGTCCGAATCAATGCGGGTCTCTACGATGAGAAAGATGTAGTCCACGGGGATGGAGGAGATGAAATCCACCACGAACCAGCTCTTCAGGTACTTGATCTTGATCTGCTGTGGGTCCAGGATGATCTCCGTGTTGTCCTCCTTGACAATGCCTGTGCGGAAGTTGAGGACGAGGTCCATGAGGAAGAAAGTGTCTGAGACCACGTTGAAAACGATCCAGGGTGGCGTGTGCTCGTCCTTGAAGAAGGTGATGCCCACGGGGATTATGATGAGGTTTCCCACCATCAGCAGCAGCATGGTCAGATCCCAGTAGAACCTGAAACACATGGCCACACATTATTTATCGAGTAAGACCTATCCTCAGAAAACCAAATAACCTTAAACACAGCATCTTGGAAAAAGTGAAGAATCGAGTCGACTGAATAGATTGGAAGAAAAGTAGAGAATGATGGAGGACGTTGGACCTGCAGAACCTCATGGTTAAAAATTACAACAGCGCTCCATCACATTTCATTTCTCTGGTGTTTTTTAAAACAAAAATCTCAACACCTGCTCCCTTTCAGCTGATCAAATATGAGAAATTATAGCCTTCCAATTTTGTAGCGTTGCAAACATTTGAGTTTTAGCCCAAAACTAGCAGTGAGCTCAATCCAATAAATGTTGGGATTAGAGTTGTTGTTTCCATGGTTTTTTACACATTCACAGATGATAATCAAGATGATCATGTTTGGGTTAATCTGTGCTGAAATAACCTGGTCAATGTTGCCAAAGTGAGAGTGTTATATATCAGTGGTTTGGACCGTCTTGTTGTGAAATTTTGGAAAATGGAGAAATGCAGAAACAGCTCATGAATTAACAGCAATTAGATCAAATGTAAAAGAAGGGGTCTGGCTTTTTTCTGGTGTGTTCTGAATTTCAAAGCAAATCTGCACTTTTAAAGACTTCAAACAGAAATACATTCCTGAGCAACCTTCAGCCTCACACTGCAAGTCCAATTTCAGCAGATCTATGTTCAAGTGAGCAAAAAAAACACTGCAAACAAACTGCCTGAGCGCAAACATTAACAAAGCGCTTATTCTCGACAGCAACAATACTCCTCTAATTCACTTTAATACTGGGCCCGTGGCCACGGGGACAGAGAGGAAAATGGGTTATTGGAATTCATCTGAAAGGCTCAAAAGGAAGTATTGATTTTCACAACTAACCAAATCCTCAAGTGTCAGCAGCACAGAGTTCAATCACATCTATAATCGCATGAAGAAGGGGGCTGATTTAAGTTATTGTTTACAAAAAGGACAAAATAATATTTCTATCTAATCTCAGGGCTACATGAACAAATTTGGCTCATTACAGCCAACAGTCAGGAAGTCTGAAATAGTAATCTGGTCTGACTCGATGTGTCATGTTGTATTTATTCTCTTCTGTCGCAGACTGCTGTACTTACAAACGTTAGCTCAGCTGCTCAAAAGCCAGCCAACAAACAGAGACGGCTAAAAACCACCATCTTGAGTGTGTTCATGTGTGCATGCATACATGAGATAGCATGTTGGATCCATTTCAGCGGACTAATTAACAGTGATCGATCTCACAGAAGCCCGACACACCTACAGGGCCAGCATGGACTGTGTCTGTTTGCCTGTTTATATTTGTGTGTGTGTGTTTGTGTGTGTATGTAAGTGTGGGGGGTTGTTCACATGTGATGGCGCATGCATTACACCACTTAAGAGGTCCTCGGGGTTAGTGAGGCAGCACAACGGTCACTACATGCTTTGATCCCTGTGCTTGTGACAGATACAGATGATCAAGTATATCATTTATGTGCCTTCAAATATGAGTTCAAATATCTGGTCGATAGTGGACACCCCACTGATACGAGTGGGATAGAAGTTGATTTATGATATTGTTGGAAAAACACGTAAAGCCGACTTGAACTAACATCAGACTCTTCTTTAATGCTGCTCTGTTCTTGTTGGTTTTGGTCACATGATCATTTAACTGTCGCTGATTGATTTTTTAGGGGATAACTAATGGTCTTAGTTGATGGTATCAGGTTTGACACCCTAAACTTATATTTGGTCGACGGTTCCACTTTGGTTACCCATACCGCAACAACGAACTAAGTTTCTTCCCCCTTGCCAGACTGCTAAATGCCAAATGACCCTCCATATAACCCACCACTCCCACCCTGCAGCACTGTGCTCCTGTTTTTACTACTTATTGTGTGTAAATAAGAACATATATCTTTTTATATATACTTTTATTTATTTGGTTTTTATTCCACTACCACTCTACCTCCGGAAAGTGCAATATTACTCACCATGCTGCTGTTTTACCTTCAGTTTTTATTGTTTTTATTTTTTTCTGTATATTAAATTGAACACCATCCTGCTGTGATATGGAAGCCAAGCAACGACATTTCATTGCAGAGAGAAATCACTGCTGTGTTTTATTCTGTGCACTGACAAATAAAGAAAGTCCAAGTCGAAGTCTAACCCTTCTGCCAACAGATACAGATGAAAGCCTCGATCCGCGAAGATTGAGGAGAAATTGGAGTTTTTGGCCACATGTGTAGCTTTGTGATGTTTCAAACGAAATCCAAACTGCTTCGTGTTCCAACCATGGTGCAACTTTTGGCCTCAAACTAGTCTAAAAAAAAGAGAGACCAACATCAGAGATGTAACCAGGGTACATAACAGCCTACAAACAGAGTTCAGCAAAGTCTGACCTGATCTAGTTACTTACACCGAACCCTCACAGAAGAACATGATTACAAAAAAAAAAAGGTAACCATTTAGGGCAGGGTGGCCATTTGTTCTAATCAGCTTTCTGTTGTTCTCTGCCAAACAAAGCATTTGCATTCCCCTCTTCATCTGCCCGTTGTCTCTATGGTGACACAGTGGTCCTAATTGCACCCCCCCCTCGCTGACTAAATCCACCGTTATCTCCTGGGAATCCATGTCATCTCCAGAAGTCAGCTCCCATCAGCCAGATGTTGAGTAGTTAGTATAACTGCTCTGCACACGTCACCGTGCTGCAGAATGCTGGAACAGCTGGACCACGAATAAAAAAAAGGTCTGCAGGGGACAGTGCATTACTGCCGTCCCCTGCAGACCATCCGGTTTGCTCATCAGCTGACTGTGCACGCAGCATTCAAACCACAGAAGATCAGACAACTTGTTGGTGTAATCTGTTGTTTCCATGAAAATAAAGCAGACCGCTGTGAGAGTTTCTGGACCACCACTGGTCCAGAGAGGAATCTTGGACTATTTGGGTCAGAGTGCAACTACGTTAAAAGAGCATATGAGCACACAGAGATGGGAGTTACAGGCAAAGTGAACACAAAAAGGCTTAAAATGGTGAAAGGAGCTTAGATCAATCAGGACAGCTGAAAAGGGATCACATTTGTACTAGAGATACTTATCTCTTGCTGCCAGCGCGCAGCTGAAGCACAACAGCCTGCATGCAGCTCAGTGGCTTAACACACACCTGTACTGTGGCTCAGGCCCACCCGCAATCATATTAACCATATTTACGCAGCGTGCCAGTTGAGCATCCACACAAAGCTTTAATAAAAGACAGCAGTTGCTGGTGGAATAAACAACAGAAGGACTGTGATTGTAAAAGACACAGGGAGAGGATGCTTGGATAGCTGAGCTGATGTGGAGCGGCCATGAAAAAACACACACACACAGTGTATCGGCACATAACTGGCACAAATCTCTGAGAGAGGAGTCGACTGTTTGCGGGATTAAGATTGGATTCAACAGTGTCCCCTAAGCCAAAGAACACCCAAATACTCTTTAAAGTGCAAGGGTTTCCACCTGGTTCTTGAAATAAGATCTGCAGGATAAAAAGTTCAGCCTAGGACGCGACCACGGGGTGCAAAATAAATAAATAAATAAACAAACAAACATCTCCTGCTCAAAAGTGTGACCCAGACCAACATGAAGTGGTGACACCTCAGAGTCAACAGCTGGGCATCCTGATTCCTCCCATCATTTGATTTCAATCTCTCTCTTTCTGTCTCTCTCTCTCTCTCTCTCTCAGTGTTTGTGGTGTGTCCCCTCCCCATCCACACCATCTCTGCTCCATTAGACTAATTGTACTGTAATAATCTGCACTGATGTGTGCTTCTAATATCTTGAATGGTCATGTTACCCTATTTTGATTACCCCATTTCCAAGCTCCTGCTGCACTCTCTGTAATCCACTGCCCTGGCTAAATGATCAAAAAAAAAAAGTGTAATTCAGATGAGTGGAAAAAAACTGCAGTGACACACATCGGCATACAACTGGCCGGTGAAAATATGATGACAGTGAGCCTCAAGGTTAAATGTCATGAAAAAGCCTTGCTGGTGGTGATGATGAACGGAGCGAGCGATGGTTTGTATGCAGCATGCACGCTTGCATGCATGCATATCTGCTAAATTAGGGAGTTTGGTGCACACTTTAATCTATAGATAGAGGAAACTGCAGAAATCTAAGATGATCATGTAAATGAATCCATATGCATGCAAACAAAAGAACGACTTAATGTATGTTTTACATATGTATGAAAGAAATTAGCTGTCATTGTGCTTCTATGAGGATTTTCTACGCCTGCAAACTCCTTTACATACATCTTGAGAGAAAGGTCTGCATGGTTGAGAGAATTGAAGTCAATAGAAATGGATCAGATTCAGAAACAAAGCCAGTTATCTAGTCAATGTGTGCATGGATTAGTGAGGCACATACAGCTTGATATTCAGCAGGAGCTCACTCTCCTGATTATCATGTTATCATAATATCATCATCACAGTGATCAAAGACAAAAAAACACTGCTGACATATAGAGGATTAACAGTCTGCATCAAGTTTACTCGGATCTTATTGTGTTGTAGCAGTCAATGCAGAATCAAGACAAACAGACAAGACATGAATCAATGTTTCGTGGGTGCATATTACCTAAAATCACTGTACGGGTGGATTATCCAGAAGCCAGCAGACTTTACGCGCTCTCTCTCGTGCTCCACGGCCCTCTCACTGCCCAACATCCGCAGGGAGAACTTGTTGACTCCCGGTTGGAGCATCGCCCCAAACTGTCGGTGCATGAAGCCGGCTTGGTACAGCCGGTCGTCCTCAGGTATTATCTGCTCGGTCCCCTCCAACTTGATGAAACTTGACTGGTCAAACGTGGAGGCTTGCCCGGTTGCACCGCTCAGACTCCCCGCTCCTCGCTGCTGGGCCCCGGGGCCGCGCTCACCGGGGAAACTCTCACTGACTCCGGCATCAGCCTCAGGGATGAGGCGCCGCTGCTCCGCTGGATCTGACCCGGGAGCATGCCGCCCGGTGATGGAGGAGATACTGCCCCTGAATAAGCGACAGTCCCCGTTCAAGTTGGTCTTCACAATCACCTCCCGTTCCCTGCTGTCCAGGTCTTCGCTCCTGGCCTCTTCAATGCTCCTGCAGCTGCTCGCAGGAGACGGGGAGGACAAATGTTTTAGCCGAATACTTTTCCTCTTGGTGTCCTTGTCACCGTTGTCTCCATCGTCAATCACAAAGGGTTTTTGCCCAATGTTTTGCGGCAGGCTGTAGAGCCGTTTGCGCATGGATGACTGGAATCTTTCCATTGTGAAGAAGCAGAAGGAGACGCGCTCTAAGGATAGCCCGTGCAAACACAGGGATGAATCATGAATCTAACACGCTTAGGGTGCTGCTGGAGGCAAAACAGTGACGGCGCATCCGCAGGACAGGTTGTATCTTCTCTGACACTTGGGACGTGCCTCTCTCCCATTGAAATGCGTCAACAATCCGACGGTCATTTGGAGGCGGTGAATGGGAAACGCATGTAAATCCAGGTAACCCAACAGCGTGCAGACGAGAGCGCATCAGGATGCAGCATGCTGAGCGGTGGACGTGCCGGAGTGAGAGAATAACGCGGATACTGCTGCTGCTGCTGCTGCTGCTGAGCTCCTCAATGACAAAGCAGCATCTCCACCTCCCCAAAATACCCCAGCTCTCTGTCAGTGCAAGGTGGTGACACACACACGCTGCTGCTGCTGCTGCTGCATTTACACAGAGCTGACATCACGGATCCATCAGTTTGCCCCCCTCCGCTTTCTAATAACGTGAATATCGATGGAGCTAATCTATGGGGTTGCCATAGGAGCCAGGGTGGCACACGCGCTCACCCCGCCCCGTCAGGACACGCGGAGAGGATGATTCAAGGATGCGAGGCAAGGCAGCCTTGGAGTTGACAGTCAACTAGTTGGTAGAAAAAAAGATGATGATGTCTCAGAGTCTCATCTGTGTCTGCAGAACTGGAGGGAGGAAATGTTTTAGTTTGACAGAAAATGTTCATAAAATCATCTGACAGATTTACAAATAAGGTGTCTATGAAGCTCATAACTGTGGCCTAGATTTTAACATACATATTGCTCAGCGTAAATACATAAAGAGCTGCTCTGTTGATATTCTGGAGTCATTATCTTTAAGAATAAAGAAAGAGCAACAAGAAAGTCTCACAACTTTTTAATCCCAAATAGTAAAATTCTAAAGATTTTTTTAAAGTAGGGGAGACCGGGGCTTGTTGTCACACTCTTGACACTCATACATTTCTTGAAATATAAAAATATTTTTTTTCGAACCCATATCCTGTCAATACAAGCGTTCACATCAGTGACGTCTCCCCGTCGTGGTCGATTTTTTAAAAGTTTTGCAGACTGTGTGTCCACTTCTGACCAATCAAATTGCGTGTTGTTGCAACGTCAGATTCACCGGTATATCCAACATGGCCGACCAGCTGATTGTTCATGTGTCGGGGAACAGAGTGCATGTTGATAAAAACACAAATATTATAAAAATAACAACCTGAAGGACGACTTGTGGAGAGTCATAGCGTCGGATCTCTCATATGACGATGGTTTGTGTGCTTTAACCGTTTGCTAAACATCTTTGTTCAAACTTTCATCTGTGCTAACGTGAGCTAAAGGTTGTTACCATAGTTTCATGTGCTTATCTGGTACTGGCCCCGACTCAGTATTTGCTATCATGACAGAAAGCCATCTCAACACTAGTGTCTAATCAGAAAACAATCGGCGACCGTGGTACAGTTTCAGCTTCTGAACCAAGCAGTGAAACTCACCAAGTTCTCTTCTTTTTTGTAATATTGGATGCACCCATGTGCTACGTTTCTTTTTCTTTTGAGAAAGCAAAAGGAGTACCAATTTGCCATCACTTGAAGTTGAAGTAGACTCCATTTTTGTCCTCTCGCTTCCAGCCAGGATGCTGGTTGTAAAGGAAGAAAAATAGTATTCCACTTTTTAGTTGCGCCCTCTGGTGGTAAAGATAATTGCAACGTGACAACTTACACATGTGACAACAAGCCCCAGTCTCCCCTATTTTGGCTCCTATTCTTGAGATACTTGAAAGTACTCAACACTGTGTCCTTTTGTCTTTCCGGCACTGGTGAAGCACTGACAGTGTGTAATACTCAATACTGCAACAAAGTTATATGGGTGCAGCAAAAAAATTGTTTAACACATGTCTCATAATAGCAAAAATGTAAAAAAAAAATTAAAAATTCATTATAGAACATCACATATAAATAAAAAGAACAGAAAATCTCCTGTTACTGTCTAGATCCAAAGCCTGCTAAACTGAAGAGACTTCGACAAAAATAAAGAGGCTGAAAAATTAAAAGTTGCAGCATTCTCACATCTTAAAGCTCCTGTGAAGACAAAACCGTACCACATATTTCTTTTTATTAAAGCAGATTTCCAGAAAGGAATCCTACAGGGCGCTGTCCGTCTCTTCATCTAACACCTACCTCCTGATACTAGTTTCAAGGTATAAAAATAACTACACAGAGACACAGAATCTTGTTCTTCATGGGTTATAATGAGGCTTTTCAAAAATTCCTCATATGAGCTTTGAGATAATTTCTTTAAGTTATAACTCAGACACTGCAGGAAGTAAGTGTAAACAAAGCTCAATTGTCTCGTTCATAATGTGAGGGTTTGAACATTGCTGTACCTGAGATATAACAGCGTTCAACACATTCTGCCACCTATCTGATCAATAATTCAATTTTACATCAATTTCAATCACTTCACTTGTTCCCGAAGAAGCAAATGCAGAAGCACGCACACTCGCCGAAAGACAGTAAAAAGGAGATGTAAGCATATTAAACGCAGACAACTCCCTTTTCCCTTTATTATAGCAGGTGCATGAATTATCTCACAGCCTGTCGTGTTTCATTTCTATTCCCTGAAGAACGAATTTTCAGTCAGTAGAAAAGTGATGAAACACCTCTCTAACAGACCAACATTCATTTAGAGAATGGCTGCTGGCAGCTGCTGGTTTCATTACTGTGGGATGATTTAATACAAACTTCAGTGAAGTGATTTACACCGCAGGGATATTATAAGTGGTTATGCCATATGACAGAGAGAGATGAACAGTTTGTTCCTGCCGAAAAAAAACTTCATGGTACAGTGACACTGGTAAACTCATTATATTCAATCATTGTTTGAGTCTCAAGAGAGGAGGCAGACTGCTTTTCTTCAATCTGTTTTATTTGTCTTTGTATAATATATGTCCGATGTCTTGAATGGGATTGAAAAGAGAAAAAAAAAGTCAGTCAGTAAAACAAATTGTCATCCTCTCTTTTTATTTATGATCTTTCTGCAGAGCACAAAATAACCACAGGTTGTCATCGCTTCAAGTTTTCATCCTCCTGCCGGTGAACTATCCTGATAAGAATTTCACACTCTGTGCCTGATTTAGTTCACTCTAGTCATCACTCTCCATGTTTGCAGGCAGCAAAACCTTGTGGCTTAGTTCCCTATTTTTGTCATTTGCATCTGCTGTAACTTTGAGATGGGCTGCATGTAGGGTTGGATCAATATAAGTCAGAGTTAATAAAGCACAATAAACAGGAATGTGTGAGATTAGGTTTTTGGCAGGCTGATATTAACAAACTCATGAAAATATAACCCTATTATTTATGAAGAAAGTAATTCAGTTATCTGTAGCTGTCTGTTTCTAACGCCTATGTCAAAGCACATGTGGTGCATGTAAGCAAAAATGCGAACATCCGCTGGTATCAAAATGAACTTTTTGAGCTAATATTTAGCAATAAAGATATCATGCTAGTAACATTGTGCATGCCTGACAACACTGTTCCCTTTTAATGCAGGTAACAAAAAAGACACACTGAGGACCTCAACTTTTGAGTCTTTTCCAAAAATGTCAAGGTGTCTCAAATAAAAGGTCTTTGATAGCAAAAATACAGATGTATAGGTGTGAAATATTATCGTCACTTCAAATATTTGAAAAACTCTTACAGATAAAATCTCACTGACATATTTATCCTGAAAGTACTGTTACGTCCTGGGTTTAAGGTCAGCTGTGGTGCCTTAATGAGTCCTGTCTACTTCTCCTTAAACCAGAGGTCATCTCAATATTCAGAGGTGTTGAGACAGTATTACTTTTTTAAAGCTAGGTTTTTCTCAACTTATCTAAAAACTATACTTTTGTACTATACTATACCCTTTGTAATACCCATAATACTGCACACTATAAGTAACAATGCTGCACTGCTTTGCTGGTTTATAAAATCTAATTTCAAAAAGAAATTATCCCCATTTTACGTTTAACCGAGCTTTAAAGCAGGAAACACATGGGTTGAAATCTCTCAACAGCTACTCGCAGTCTTCATTAATTATAGTTTCTCTATCCTGTCAATCTGGGCCTTGAGGGAGAGTTTTAGACCCACTGAACCAAAACTCGAAATCCTCATGTGCCATCAGCAGACTGAGGCTGAGGCACAGCGCTGAGAACATGCAAAGCTGCAAACACGAGTAGTAAGTCAAAACACATTTATGTTGAAACTCTTGAAATTATTCCTGATAGTTTCCCCGACAGTGGAAACTTTTATTTTTGAGTTGCATTAAATGTTACATCATCTGTTTTGTTCCAGAGAATTTCAAAGATTTGACGGTTTGAGGGGAAAACAGTCCAACTCGATCATTTAGCATCAGCAAATGTTCTTAAACAAACACAACTTTTTTTCCTCTCTTCTCTTCTCTTAGATGATCATCAGTGTCTAGTTCTCTTATGGTTATTCAAAAAAAACAAAATGACTCTCTTGAAAATATGTCACAAACATAATGTAATTGCTGTGTAATTTAAGCCATGCTTGTTTTATCGTATAATACAATTTTTTAAAAATAGACACTTAAAAACAATGTATGTACTTCTGTATAGTGTCATGATGAAATGAGGAGCTTTGTTTGAGTGTTGCTTGGCTTTTTCTTGCCTATTGATCATTGAGTAAAGACTGTGTATGAGCCACTATTACCGGCGGTATGTTAAAATAAATAGATAGATAGATATTCCTTTATCCATCCCTCAGTGGGGAAATTAAAATCGTTGACTACAGCAGTACACACATCATACACATTCACACCCGGTACAAAAACAGATAAATAAAGATAGAAGAACTTGTGTCAAATAGAAAGAGCAGAGCAAGAACAGTATAAAAGACTAGTATAAAAATATAAAACGATGAGTCAAAAATAAAAACAGATATGGATGTGTGGATGTAGATGTGTGTAGGTAGACTGCAGTGTAGTTGCTGAATAATATACTGGATGATATTGCACATGATTCATAAATTAGGGGTGCATGGAAAAATATTGCACTTATGTTGTTGTTGGTGGTGTTGGTCTGCGAGGAGCAATACCACCAAGAACAATATAAGTTGTATAAATAAATATAAATATGAATATAAAGCCACAATAAACATGTTGAAGGACTTTTTTTCCCCAGATAATTTCCCGAGTTTTTATTTATCAAGTGAAGATGTTTAAACCACTGATTGTGATCCTTGATGCTCTGTGGCTTTAAGTTCATCCCCATGTTGCATATGTTGCATTTGTTGCATATGAGCTGAAATTCACACTCGATATCACTAGATGGTGCTGTAGTCTGCATGTTTTTTCCCGCACTGAAACGACCCCAGTGTTTCCATCGATTGTGCGTCTTAATTTCTTAAAAGAATCAACTCAGCAGGCACACTTTCTTTTTCCAGATATTTATTTTTAAAAATGAGTCACGGTCTTGCAATTGCTTCACATATGTCAGTCCTGACGTGGGCATCTTTTCCTCGCCTCCCACGCCAGCTGGAGAGAATTCATGCAGCTGTGCAGTATGCCGTCAGCGCTCTACGGTGATCCTACTAGTTTAAAGCTTTGTCACAGAGAAATCAAAAGCTGCAATGGTTTTCAATATATTGATATGGATAATAATTGCATAGGATAATAGCCATGCTGTACAATACACATAATTATAAAACAATATGTTCAAATTAGTACAGATCTCCTAAAGTAGGTTTATACAACTTTTTGTTATTCTCAACATTTAAGTGCATCATATTATATGAATAGTCTTGATAATAATGGTGATCTGATACATTGTTATAGTGATTTAACACATACAGTACATACATAAGGGTCAATCTTAACCAAATGTATTAGAGGGACATTGCAAAGCCCTTAAATGTAATAAATTCAGTCTGATAAAATGATGAACTTAGAAAATGGTATGCAGCAGAATGATAAAACTATACACGACTGTCATACCAGATTATGGTGGCATTTTCTTTTGCATGAGTTTTGTTTTTTTTTGCACACAGATAATCTACATGAAGCCGCTCTCAGAGGAAAGAGCAATCAAAAAACAGGAAAAAAAAAACATCTCTTCCTTCAAACAGAAGGTCAACATCTTGCATGCATTATTTTAGAAGTAGTAGAAATGGTAACTCATCAGATAAATGTCAAATCATAAACGTCAACACCTGCATGCAGCAACAATGGTTATAATGTTATCAATTCCATAATGCTTGAGTAGCTCCTTCGCCTCGCTCCCTCACACGACAAAATCATAAGGCATGCCTCACTTGACTCCTCAACGAGCATACTTTTAATGGCAGATAAATCCTATTAACAACTGGTATGGACTCCGCTTGTTTACCTTCATGTGGTCAATACATGTTGAATGAAACCTGCAAACAAAGGACAGACATCTTTATCGCTTTGATTTGGTTGTTTAGAGCTTTCAGTGATGACTTCTCAAGGTGGGTCATCCTTTAATTTGTGGTCACAGGCGTGTAATACATATTTATCAATAACCATCTCTTAATAATTGATGACTTACTCAGCAGACGAGCTACTCAGTTTGTATTCCTCTGGCGTAGATTCTTGTCTTTGTGGTTGTTGGTTGAATTGGTTTTCCTTAAACAGGAAGAAAACAACACATCAGTTCACCGCTGAATAATCAATGTGATTACTAATGGTCATATATTTAATTTCTCACTTAATCAACAAAGTCTTTTCATGTAAATTTTAATACCTAGTTCATGATTTATACATTTAAACCACAAAATAATAAGTCCCGGGATTATCGCTCTCACATAACATATCCTGACTTCATTGTTGGGAGCACTGAATGGATTTGCTCTCTTAGTGTTTCAGAAGAAGGTCTGCCATCTTCTACTCTTAGTTTGTAAGGTTTCTAGCTGCTGTGCAATCAGATCTTTAATCTTTGTCCTCTGTGTCCAATCCTTTTTTTTGGTGCGTATTCAGCAAAGTTAAAGCTCCTGTGAGGAACTTTTGTTTTGTGCCAGTTTTAGGGCCTCCTTGTGGACACTGAAGTCTTTACTTATTGTGCATTTTAACTGTGCATTTTAACTGAAAAGCCACCCTGCTGACTTTAGACAGTCAAATAAATCTTTTTTTTTTAAATTGAAAATATTCCTCTGACACCTACCCCCCTCACATTAGTTTCACGCATTAAAAACTACTGTATAAAAATTGTCAATCTTATCACTGTTGGTCTTGTTTGTTTGTTTTTTTTGTATATCATAAAAAAACAAAAATAGATAATTCAGTCCATTTCATGAATGTTTCAAAAACTCCTCAAATGAGCTTTAAGGACTTTATTTTAAGAACACAACCATTATGAAAATATCAGATACTGTACTGATTACAAATGTAAAAAACTAAAGAGGTTATAGAAAGTTTTTATTATATATCTCTTTTTAAACTTTATTGTAAAACATTTCTGTTAGAATAATGTGCATAAATGTATATAGAAGTTATCATTATTCCTCATATTCTTATGTAAGAGTTGACTACAAGTATAAACTGTTTTGACCTCTTTTTATACATTATATAAGAGTGTTTCCCAACTTCTCTCTCCAATAGATTTACTACGCAGCAGAACAATGTTCCTTCAGTTTTCTGTGACTGGGTCTTTCCTATCAGCAGGTGGGGGTGTGTGAGTGATGGATCCTCCGCAGTAAATCGTGGGGAGTTTTTGAGGAGGTGCCGCTGTTATCAGAAGGAGCTCATTAGATGCCGCCTTGACCTTCACATATTCACAAGTGTTCATTATGCTTTATGAGAATGTTTACTTTGCTGCACCATTTATCACCCCTTTAGAAACATTATGTAACCAGGGACTAAATAAAAGAGCACGGACAGAAAAAGAACCCTCAGTGTGGTACTGAGATATCCAAAACAGATCTCTGTCCATTACTCAAACTTATCCATTGTCTTTCTCCTTTTTATTTCAGGTAAAATGCAAGCAGGTTTTAAACCTAACAATTTCTAAAGGCTTTATGTACAACTTATGAAAGATAAGAGACTGCTTTAAAGCTCCTATGAAGAACTCTCTGTTTGTGTGAGTTTTAAGGCCTCCTGTGGACTGAGTGGCAAAGTTCTCTGCTGATACACGTCCAGGTGTTTCAGACATAAAATATTACCCCTGTAAATCACAGTCTTAAATTAAACAAAAACCAAACAGTGGCTTTAAAGTGTATTAAGGACTTGTCTAAGAGCATCGTGTGCTGAAGAGGAAACGTGTCAAATCAAGCCAAAGAAGCGCTATTTTGACTTTTAAATTTATTCTATTTGATTTTTTGGGATGTAGCAAAGCTGAAACACATAAAGCTCCCGGTTATCTGTGACCCAGATTTCAGGGAAACAGTCATAAATGAATACAACTTGATTTAAAGTACTGAGGGTAAAACATTCATACTTACACTGGTCCAGCTGGTTCATCATCTGAGGCAATGCGGGGAAATTTGGAGAAATGAAAAACCAAAGATGACAATTATCACAAGGAAATTCCACTTATGGCTGAAGATACATAAGGGTTTTTTTTTTTTCTTTTTTTTAGACAGCATCAACAGAAAAAATGGAGTGATATAAGAAACTGGCACATGAAAATTAAGTTTTTTACTCTGTTGAATGAAAAAAAAAAAGAAATCGAGCACAACTCTCTCTCTCATGGAGTCAAACAAAGTGAACATCTTTAAATGCAGCACAACACCACATTCAAAATGCACAAGCAAGACGGCGCGTAACAAAACAGGCAAAATTCAAATAAAAGCACTGATGTTGTCATGCAGAGCTCCCAAAGAACAGCTGTTCACTCAGAGAGATTAGTGAGAAGCAGCTCGCTTCATATCAGCTCTACTGGAGGTAATAAAGTCACAGACAAACACTGACTGCAGAAATGATTCAGCAACACGACAATTCTCTACAGTCACTCACATGCCACTTGAAAATACACTTAAAGTGTGATACAAATACACTGAGATCCCTTTGGTAAAATCATCTGAAAATCCTGAGCTGCACTTGACACTGATGTTGGCAAAAAGAAGTGCGTGCTGCGCTGTGAACCGGAGGAAGATGAGGCTGAGCGCTTATTGAAATTCATGAAGCATGCCGAGGCTCACACTTACCACAAACATGTTTTAGGTTATGCAATTTAAAGAGGGTAGGAGGGGAGAGACATATTACAACAATCCTTTCAAATATTCATAACAGCCAAAGCTAACCTCATTTATAGAAATGCAAGGAAAAGAATGAATTATTAACATTTCGTGCAAGAATTTGCTGCATGACTCACGCAGTCTAACATCCATTTTGTGAGACTGTGAGGATTCTCAAGGTGACCGAAACACTCTGAAAATCTGCAACACTTCTTCTCTGATCATGTGTTGAACTGTAATGACTATCTGTTGCCCTGCAGTGTCACTGACAGCTCAGAGCTGTCAGTCATCGGCTGCACGCTGCATCTAATCAGCACGAGACAACATCAAAATTCAGTTTGAAAGGAAAAGGTCGTCCAAATACCGTTAATGCATAATTTATGATATAGCTAGTCCTCTGGAAAATGAAGTTCTCAGTAGTATCAGAAAATCCCAGGATGGCATGCGCAGGTTATGGAGTTAAGTAATGTGTCTCAAGGTTTAGGCTTACAGCAGCTTGGGGACAGCACAAGGTCCCTGGAAAGCCATTAATTATTGAAAGTGTCCACCTCCACAACACTGCAGTATCATATTTCTAATGAATATTAAATGTATGAAACTGTCCTGACAAGGTGTGACCTCCCGCAACAGTGTCTGCATGTTGGGTCAACCTTGCCAGACTGAATTATTGAACGCAGGCACAGCAACAGTGTCAGGTGACCCTGCTGATGTCTGTGGTGAGGCGATGACTTCAGAAAGTGTACCTCTTTTTAAAGGTTTCTTAAAAGCAAAGAGACTGCACATAAGAGGAGATCCATTTCAAAACTGGACGAACAGAGTTTCTCCTCATATATATCACAAACAGCAGAAGAATAAAACACTGGTGACTCACCGTCTTGTAAATCCTCCGGCTTCTTGCGCTTCTCATAAACCACGATGATGACGATGAGGATGATGATCTCAGCCAAAACCCCCAGGAGAGGCCACAAGGGGGCCAAGTGGCTGCGGACCCTCAGCACAGACTTCTCTTCACGGCTGCCAATCATGTTGGTGGCGTTGCAGCTGTACTCGCCGGGATCCAAACCGATGTCCAGATCGATGATGTGGAGCTCGGTGTAGTTGTCTTTGCTGCTGACGAAGAAGCGGCCGGTGGAGTTGTCGATTTCCTACCGAGGATGAAGAAAGACGTTTACAGAGTGACATGAAGATTACTGAGTGAAAGTTTGACCACAGCAAAAAAAGACATGCTGCACAACAGGAAGTTGACAGGAAGGCCTTCAAGAGAGCTTTTTTTATATTTCATATATTATATATGTTGTGTTCTTTTTGATTACTTTTCATTGAACTGTTTTCCCCTCATTGATACAGTTCAGTGTTATTACTTTATGTGCTGCTGTTTGAGATATGCATGAGTATACTTGTTGATTTTAGTCTTTACGAAACAGATGTGGTTCTGTACAGAAAAGTTTGTAAGAGTCCTTCAGATGAAAGCTCAAAAGTGGATTTTAACCTCTTAAGCTCAGTGTTTCTCCTCTGTTTGGATGCGAATAGATGAGAAGTGGATTTTGTTCTTACGAGGGTTTGTAAGTGAAGGAGAAAACCGAACTGAGACAAAACTGCAACAATCACCAGTTACAATCTAGAAGCAGCTCAGTTTCTTTTCCTATCACGAGGGCTTCCCTTAAAAGAAATACAATGAGTACACTGTCAGAAAAATAGAGCAAGTAAAGTACAGGACTATTATTGAGGGAAACATTTGTATTGGTGTTTAACTGGACTGTAAATTGAAAGGGGCTTCTGAATTTTTTATCCACCTTTTTTGCTTGAGTTGGAAGAGAAGAATATGAGGTTGAGATCTGTTGAACTGGATTGTACTCAGACGCATAGCTTACTCTTACTGAGTTTCTTTGATGGGCACAGTCAAATCACATACCCTGTAAATGCCGTTGTCAAACTTGCGCCAGGTCCAGGCTGGGTGAGGATAGCCCACGGATTTGCAGTAGAGCAAAGCGCGCTGACCCTCATTCCTGTTCTCACTACGCTTGTGACCTGTGATCTCAGGGGCGGCTGGAACAAAACAACAACAAAGATTAATGGGAAGTTATGTAACGTTGGTTCCTTGAAAAATAAAAAAAAAGGACTTAGAGCATTTTTTTCTTTCAAATTTTCATCTGCAAGAAGAACATGATGCTACACAAATTTTTTTTTATGCATTTATCATTTTAGGTGGAGTTGATCAAACAAAATGAGGACAGTTTTGTCATAAAAGAAATAGGTTTGCAGTGCTTGAAAAACAAATATGACAAAAGTAAAAACTGATTTTACAAAGTGACTTTCAGAGCTCTTTTTACAGTCAAAAAAAAAAAGACTGCACGACTGCTTTGCAAGTGATGACCATTTCCATGAATCAGCTGGTTTCCTTTTTATCCGATTGTAAGAAAAACTCAATAAAAATAAGACATCTCTTTAAAACAAGGTTCATTTAATTTCATTGACAAAATGTGATGTCTTTAATATGCTTATCTGTAGAAGAGATTTTACAGCGGTCATGGTTGAATTGAAACTACTTAAAATAACATACTTTCATAGTTGTTGCAGATAAGCTTATTGATTTAGTTAAATATGATACTGAAAAGACTAAAATGAATGGTTGGTAATCAAATCTTTGTATTTTTCTAAAACTGGCTGTTGGATTTGTTGACTTACTATGAAGGGTCTACACAAAATCTCAGTCAGAGTAGAAAACACTGTTATGATAATAGTTTGAACTAGGGCTGGGCGATATGGGAAAAAGTTTATCAGGATATATTTTTTTCATATCAATCAATATCGATATCACAATATAAAAAATGAAATTTAACAGTGTTTATTGGTGGCATTTATTTTGCAATACGATAAGTTACTGCATTTGTGAGGTCTTCGTGTCTCTTCGATGTTTTGTCGAACTGCGCTGCGCTAGTGAAAGCGGATTGAATGGTCAACTGAGCAACTTCCCTTTTCATTGGCTATTCATATAGTCTACCAAAACATGGCAGAATGCTGACTATCAAAAAGCATACTGACCATGTTTTATATTGATATTGAGCGAAATTAATTTTTGATATAAAATGTTAACGTTTTATCGCCCAGCCCTAGTTTGAACTAAATAATCAATTCTACTGTAGATTTTTAGGCATGACATGAAATCTTATTTATCTCTGTGAACTGAAGTCAATCCCAACATTTCATCTTATCATCAAAACCTCTGATCATCGGCTCATCATCGATGAATCCAGGTGAACAGAAATGCCCCAGAAAATAAAAGCAAACTGTTGCGAAATCCAAATGGCCCCCATAGCTTTGCATGTGACAGCAGATTTTACTGTTGAGACATAATCCTTTTGCCATCAGACAAACAAGACACCATCTGCTACCACTGAGCCGGGCATCAGTTAGATGGAGGTGTCAAGGGCGCTGACTGCCCCCGAGCAGCCAGCAGAGCCGTTTGAAATCATGGGTCCTCACATGACAGGGCTGATAGTGCTCAAGGCCACTAAGATCACTTATTTTATTGGTGAAATCTCTAATCTGGCCTTGAAAGAGACAAAAAATGCCTTTAGCTCATAAATCAACACCTACATTTAACCTCAATGGTGGCGTTGGCTGAAGGACTCAAGTCAAAGGTGAAGACACACATGTACACTCCGGCGTCATCTCCTCTCGGTTTGTGCAGCCTGCAGAGCACAAACACGCCACATGAACACACACCGGGCTTTTAAACTCTGTTATTATTAGTACATCAAATTTATAAGAGGTTTTGCGTGGACTCCCACTTGTATTCGGTGTTCCTGTTCGGGCTGCGTGTTTCCGGGATCTCCTCCCCGTTCTTTGTCCAGTAGCTCTCCTGGTGGATGTTCTGGTAGCTGGTCAGGTTGCACTGCAGCATGTACATGTCGCCTTCCACGGGGAGCGTGGTGTGCTCAGAGGCGGTGATTGACGGCTCTGTAAGAGAGACACAGATCAGCGGCGACAGAAGTGATGCTTGCTCGAACTCGTGGGTGAGGGAAGATGTAAACAACACATACAGAGTTCAGACAGACAGACCACAGCCAACACACTTTACACAATACAGAGCAGGAATAGAGCTGCAAAGTGGGAGGAATTATTTCGGGAACGAAGATTTCCTTAAGTAGAAGTCATCCTCTGCATCATTATCTGAAGGTGGAAGTAGAAAGCTCTTGGAAAAGGGAAATGAAACTCCCTCAGCTAAACGATCAGAGCCTGAGATGAGCCGGTGCATTACAAGACATGAGAAAAAAGTGACAGGAACAGACTATCTGCATTCAGAATAAAGAAGAAAGTAAACTACATCTCCCAGGGGGCACTTTGGTAACACGCATCAGACTCCGAGTTTGAATGCCCGTGAGTAGGAGCGAAAAATGACTAAAAGGTAGGGATGCACGATATTTATCGGACTGATAAAATATCGGCCGATTTGGGGGGAAATTACGTCATTTTTTATCGGTCCGATAGGTGCATTTTTCCGATAGAAAGATCCGATATATTAATGAAATTTCGAGTAACGTTTGCAGGCGGAGTAGCCGCCCGTCCGAGACGCGCTGGTTACGTCATCTATCGCGCCTTACTCGCAGGTCCCAAGCCTGACCCCGTCACTACCTGACAGATAATAAAATGTCTTCACCAGCATGGTCGTTTCTCTCAGTGGCAGAAGATGACAACAGCATTGCTATATGCAAAACCTGTTCAGCGAGGATTCCAAGAGGAGGAAAGAAGACGTCAAGTATTAACACAACGAATCTGATAGCTCATCTGAAAAGTCGCCATCGCGGCGAAGCGGTAGTAAAAGAATATGAGACAGCCGCCGAAGCTGCTAGCGGTACTAAAGCTAAGACAACAACACTACGGAGGATCGATGTCCCCATTCAGCGGGCGTTTAAAAACTGCAAAAGCTTCTCAAGAGACAGCGAAAAGGCTAAAGCCATTAACGACAAAGTGATGGAGTTCATAGCGGTCGACGACCAGCCTTTTTCCGTCGTTGAGAACCCGGGTTTTCGTAAGTTCATAGCACACTTGGAGCCACGTTACACTCTCCCAAGCCGCCGCTTCTTCTCGGATGTGTCTCTTCCTGCACTCTATGATATTGTCGCCACATACATTCACAACCTGATCGACAAGAATGGACTACACGTGAGTTTTACCACAGACATATGGACGTCAGATGTTAGTCCGGTCAGCATGCTAATCCTAACGTCTCATAATAGCTCCTTTACAGTTTACAGTTCTGTTGAACAGTTCAGGGGATCAAAGTTCTGCTTTTTGCTCTGTTATTGTTATTTATAGCAAATGACCACATTTGAAGAGCCAAAAACTTTTGTTTGTTGTTCTAGATAGGCCAGAGCAACAAAAACATCAGTTTTCAATCGCTGCATCCTGCACAAACTGCAGATTATATGAAGATTATAATAAATGTAGAAATATGAATTTATCGGTTATCGGTATCGGTATCGGTTGAAATTTTTCATATCGTGCATCACTACTAAAAGGAATATTTAAAAACTACAGCTGATGAGAAAATTATTTAAAAAAGAAATTTTAATATCACACTAGGATTTTGTTGTGATGATTTAATCTTAAAATATGCCACAACATGAATTTAAAGTTTGATTAAGTTATCAGCTACCCATCTGTTTCTATGCAAGTAGCATACAGACGCAGGTACGTTTTTACACAGGCTTTTTTGCTGATTCTCCTCAAATGCTGAGATGAAAAAAAGTCGTTAATGCTTGACCAATCAGCCTCATCCACTGGTTGAGTCCACCAGCTGATTCCCTTCATACTGTAATATTCCTGATGGTAGCCAATAGGAATGACCTCTAAGTTAAGATGTAATCAAACCTCTTTTACTTTTTTTTTCAGAGATGGAAAGTTACATATTTAGGAATTATACTAAAAGCTTGATAAGATACTCTTACTAGGTTTAAGTTCAACCTGTGAAAAATCCTCACTTAGATAAGCTTTTAAACCATGACGACCTTAAGTGGAGTGTTGTATTCTCTTTAATCCTGATTATCTACATCCCGTTTGCACATGCGGACATCCGTAAACATCTCTATCTGAGTCACAAGCTGTAAGATTTGGAGATTTGGAGACCGGACACCTGGCATGGAGCCAATCCAGAAGTTTTTTTTTTCCTTTTCATGAAGAAATTAAACAGTTTGACCAAAATCTAACCTTTGAATATTTTTCTTTGAACCCTCAAACTATCGAGTGTCTGTCTATAGTTCAAAGTCACACCAAATACCAGAAAAACTTAGGGTGTAAATATTAAATCTGAGACGTGGCATTGTATTGCAAAAATGATGATGAACAGAAAATGAAACTGAAGCAAAAATTTAAAGCTTGGCAAAACAGAAACTTAGAGCTAAAGGGAAATAAAGTAGAGAGGGAACAGACGGGGGGCTCGACAAGGTGAAAGGCTGAAGACTTTTATGACAAGCTGATGGGGATTTCTTTGTTTTCCAAACTTGTAGGGGAGGGTGGCACCTACAAAGGAAGCTAGCAGTCCTCTGGAGAGGTCTGAGGGAGGCTGAATCACAAAGGAGCTAAAAAACTCAGCTGGAGAAGTGTGTGTGTGTGTGTGTGGATGGGGGGGGGGGTTCCTCTACACTGACCACTCACTCTGCAGCACCGTTATTGTGGCTTGCGCACGGATCCAGGTGGTGGCTGGATTTTGGTGCAGGTCATTACGGCGTGGGTCGTTGCTGGCTCTGCACTCGTACGTCCCTGAGTCGTCCAGCGTCAGCCGAGAGACGCCCAACACACTCACGGCGTTGGCCCCATAAGCCGTGCTGATGGACACTCGCCGCTTACGAGCGCCATCCCACAACTGCCTGAAGGAATCAGCTCGGTTGATCTCAGAGTACCACCACTGGATTTCTGGGGTGGGGTTTCCCACCACATCACAGTACAGCTCAAAGGTGTCGCCTGTGAGCTTCGTTTCAGAGAGAGGGGATTTCACAAAGCCGGCTGGTGGTGGTGTGTGTTTTTTTTGGAGGGAGCATGTCAGAAGATAAGGTCCAAAAAAAGAAAAAAAAGGGGGGAAACAGGTGAAGAATGGAAAAGCAAGAAAATATCAGGACAATCAATCAGAAAAGAAAGAAAAGAAGAAAAATTCATGAAATCATTGAAAAAGACAGTGACAGACAGAAAATAATGAAACGAAGGCTGATATTTGAAAATAAAGGATGTGACACAGAAACATGGACCAGAGTTGGCTGTTAGTTAAGATCTTAAATGATCTGATGCTCACTTTCTATCGCTTCAGTGTGGTGTCAGTTATCAGGCATTCCTTCTATACTCACAAGAGTTACAAGCATTAAAATACAAATTTAAGCCTGTTTCATAATCAGCTAAAAACTCCACACAGGAGCTTTAATTCAGAGCTTTGCCATGTTCTTTTTTTTCTTACATGACATAACGATCAAATGTAAAGCGGAGCAAACCATCACATCACCAACCATACTCGTCAAAGAAGGCAGAGCCGGAGACGAGCTCAGAAATTGCCTGTGCCAATATCGCTGCTATTCTGAGGAAGCTTTAATTGAATTCTGCTGGGACGTCCTTGCAGGAGCTGCTCTCACTTGGTTTTGTCAAATTAATGACCTCATATAAAACTGTGCCCAGCTCGTGTGGTGCTCACGCCCAAAAGTCCTCTAAGTGACCTTGTAATTATCATGCCACTCTGTCAGTCAAAGATAAACACGCATAAGACTCAGAAATGCATCAGGTAGATGCACAGAGCCATCATACAGCACACTGGACGGTTTATTTCACTGGATTAACCCCCCCTCTCTTTGAACTGAATGTAATAACAGTGAAATAATTGATCATTGCTGCACAGAGAGGGGGAGGAGGAGGAGGAGGAAGAGGAAGGTTTGAAACCACAGGCTTGGTCTATAGGCACTGTAGTGAGCACGTAAGATTGAGAGAAGATTTATAGGAGCTGCAGCTCTTGGTCTCTGGGGAACGTGTGGGCGCATGGTGATAGACCCCCTCCGTTTCCATAGAAGCACTCAACAGCAACAAAGTGGGAAGACGAGGAGACGGCCAGCGGACCAGCAGATCATCACAAGACAGACGATCACGTGTTTTTTTTTTCCTCATCTTCAGCTGTGCAGCCCACAACTTGATCACAGATACATGCATGTTTACTGAGCCTACATTTGATTTAAGCCCTCCACAAACAGCCTCAGGAGGTAGAGGGAGAGGACACAAGTACCGGTAAATACCAGGACAGGGGCTGAAAAACCAACACCTCAGCTACAAGCATGGAACTGCTGAGAGACGGATCCTGTCACCTCGGCTGCTCTGGATGTGTCAAAAGTGCTGAGCCAGGAGCGCCATCCCTGCATGCCTCTGTACTCCACATGTATGAAACGCATCAGTCATGGCCGGCTGATGTCAGTTCAGTTTTGTAACATGCTGGTGTGTGTGTGTGTCGCCTGTTAGTGATGGCCTAGCAGTTAGAGTGTTACTGTTTCATAACTGCTTAAAGTAATGCTGAGAATCTGGAACTATACATCCAACCTTTAGGGAAATGAACAACTTACTATTTTTAACTTCGACAAAACAGGATTTTTCAACGGTCTCTAACGATAAATAAAGAGCGCAAAATAACAGCGTTTTGGTGCCTTGTGCAATAATTCGTTCATTTCTTTAAAAATAAGAAAGAAAGGAGGTTACCCATCTTAGTCAGTCAGCAAACTGGCAAGGACATTAGAAATAGTTTTCTTTTTTTCCTTTATCTCAGACATGTGACCTTTTTCACGTACGTTGACATGTTTTCTGCGGAAACTTAGTGGTCAACCACAAAGTGACACCTCTGAGAAAGGTGGAAGTTTCCACTGAAACATGTCAAGGTATGTGAAAAAGGCTACATGTCTGAAATAAAGGGGAAAAAAGTGAATTATTTCTAAGAAACTGAAGACATAATGAACATCACTCAACTGGCAAGGACACTGTTTTTCTCTAGTCTGGCTGAGGTACAATATTGACCCGACAGAGCAAAACAGTAAACCTTCTCTTCACCTTCTGCCACCAAAATAAGTTTGACCATGAGCTCCTGGAAAACTTTTCTGATTACGAACTGGAGTCTAAAACAGGCACAGTTTATTTCAAACATCTTAGAAATAATTGCATCATCTTTGATTTGCTCACATTTATTAGAGAGCCAATCATAATCTGCCTCACAGCCACTACTTGTCTGAGTATATGCTTGTCATGTTGCTTAAACTGGAAAAGATGAAATAAATCATCCTTGTCCCTGTGTTGAACTGAGCTGGAGTTAAAAAAAATCAATCCTTATTTTTACTTCATGAGTCAAACTGCCAATCTAACAGCTCAACCTGACAATAGAGAGCCTCATGCAGTCATGAGTGATTCGTGGAAGACATTTTCTCTCTACCTCTCCATGAATCCTTTTGAACCAGAGTAAAGTGGCGCTAATCTGGACTCTGTCCAAATGATTGTACCAAAAACTGTTGCATTATGAACTGCGTAGCCACTTTGATAAATTGATACTGCATCAGCTCCAAAGTCACCCTGGTAGACAGCAACAGAGAGCAGATACGGCATACATAGTCAGTATCATCAGGAGAGTATCATGTCTTTAAAATGGTTTCAATCTTCAGCATTTACATTTTTTAAATCCAGTTTTTCAGGATTATCATGCTGTATTTAGCTTTTTGGGGGGGTTTGGATAAGAAAGTCAAAATTTCCCCAAAACATCCGGAAGTTTGTTACATTCACGGGAGAATTTCTCTCTTTTTCTGAATATCTCACCTATCTCAAAATGTTAAACTTGCTGTGTTTTATGACTTTAGGAGATACCAGTATCCCAAAATCCTTGTGACGGTTCTCATGAGAGAAGCAAGCGTGCTCAGCTGTTTATTCTGGTCCAGTATTATTTTGGTTGAGTTTCAGTCATTGGGAGAAACTAGAATCTTTCATTAACACTGTGTTTTGGAGTTTGGTATCAGTGTGAGTTTGTCAACTTTGCTTAGGCACATTAGGACTTTGCAGACGCTCATTCTGATCTACTGGACATTGCAGTGTGATGTTAAAAATATGTCATCACAGCAAATGACAATTAAAACCACTTGTTTATTGATCCTCAGATAAATACATAACTGCTAATAGAGAATACCTTACATTGTATAGAGTTTTCTTGCGTTTAGAAAATACGGCCTCTGATTTGTATGAACTGCTAAGAAACCTGAGGGAGTAATTACGAGCTCAATCAATACTGAAGATGATCAATATAGGTTTGATGGTCTTATCATTTCAGGCTTGATATGTATACCTCACTTTATCAGCATGAAGCGATTGTTTTTATCTGAAGGTAGATCTTAAAACCTTTACAATTTGCACATAATTTGGTTGTTGTTTCGAATTTGTGGATGTAAAAACACCAAAAATTCTGACTGTTTAACATCTTCTAGAAGATCAATCAGACTTCACTGCAAAAACAGAGGCATGATCAAATTCAGTCATAAAATTAATATTATGACACTTTCAGAGAAGAATGTAACAGAGTATCACACTTACAGCCACTGTGAATTATTAACCATCAATCTGAGATCTATTTCCTAGAGCACAAACTGAGGAGATGTTATAAGTTTTGCAATGTAAGAAGAGGAGATGTGTTCTGCATTCCTATACATGATCAACTCCAGGGCTGAATGAAACCTCACTCATTCTCATTCTCACACAGGGTATGAAAAAAAGGGCTCCCACTCTAAACTGGTTGCTGCTGGGGGATGAGATTTATGAGCCGAGGGGTCATTCAGACAAGACGAACGATGTTGAGAAATCGATGCTATCCTGCAGTGCAGAGCATCTCACCCAAGAGTTAACAGATTCACTGTTGCGAGAGGACATTAAAGCCATGGTTCCCAGTGCAGCATCTCTGCTCTAAAAATAGAAGCATGCAGCAAAATGGACTGATGCTATTTACAGAGCCGCACTTCTTCTGAGGTCCTACATCTCATTACATACATGATGTGATCTGAGTGATGCAGAGAGGATACACTGAATGCTGAATCCCTGACATACCTGTGCAGACCTTACATGTTGATTCTGTGTGAGAGCAGACTCTTCAGTATGGATATGACACCATTGCCCACATGCACCTTTCTTAATCTCTCAACCAAATGAGCAGTTCACTTGTCCTCCCTGACTGATCGGCTCGAGTATTCAGCTCCACACTTCAGAGGACATTTAAGGGACACCGCACAGGCCTTCGTTTGGCCCACTTCAGCCCGTAACTAAAACAGATTGTAGCATATGAATGTTTTATTGGCCCCATTCGTTTCAAAAGCCAATGAGAAAACTGCGCTTCAATCGACCTAATGTGTTTCTTCAAGTGAAGCATTTAGGGATTATCTGCTGAGTCTTGGCTGCGAGAGAGGCAGTCGTGACGGATTGACAGCGTTCTTAATAACAGACACATCCTGTAATGATTCATTAAATGCCCCCCACTGCAGAGATGAAGGCTGCATCACTCCTTCAAAAACCGCATTTTCGCCATGATGTGAGATTAGCGTCATGCATTTGCAGTTTTCAGAGGGCAGCTCATTTCCTACCGTTCTGGGAGGAGACGGACTGCAGCAGTAGAGCTCCAAATATCGCCGCCGAGAAGGACATGACTGCGGCTCTTCGTTTGCCAGGTATCATCTTCGAAGACGGGAGATGGAAAATGCCGGTAGGCGAGCGCTAAGGTGACCTGAGCTGGGGTATGGTGAGGCGGGGTAGATTCGCTAAAACGCTCGCACCTCCAGACACGCCAGCAGTGTCACACGGAGGGGGGCAGTGTCGCTAGGTAGACTAGCGGGAGCCTTCGGCACTGCTGCTGGCTACCTGTGCAGCCCTCTGCTGTCAACCCGGTGCAGTGGGGGAACCACCTTTTTTAAACCGCCCGTGTTAATTTAAATCTCGCGAGATGTTGTAAGGGCGCAGAGAACTGGGCACCACCATATACTACACAGAACGCCCCGTTAAACACTGATGCATAAATTAATAAAATAATCTTTAAAAATGTAGATATGTGAATATTTATTCTCAGGGTCATTACACATCTCATAAATACAGAATTATATCAGTTCAATATATTTTCTAAACAATAATCTACAGCAGTCACGGTTACTATGGTTACCTACAACCGTTTCTTTCTTTCTTTCTTTCTTTTTTTCTTTCTTTTTTCTTTCTTCTGTCCATTTTCAAAACTCGTCTTAAACCCCATTTTAATTCATTGGCTTTCAATCCTGCATGAGACTCGACTCCTGTTTTAGTGTTTTATGGTTTGTTTTTAAGTATTTGTTTCTATGTTTTTAAATTGATTTTTATAAACATTGAAACTACATTTTACTTTTTTTAATTGTTTTTTTATGTCTGTGTTGTTTAGTCTATTTATGTACAGCACTTTGTTCAGCTGTGGTTGTTTTAAAGTGCTTTACAAATAAAGTTGAGTTGCGTTTCTTTCTTTCTTTCTTTCTTTCTTTCTTCATATATCTCAAACTTTAACAACAAAAAAATAAAACCAAAACAAATAATAAATATGTACACCAAACAACTGTACATGTCAAAGATAGATTTACACAACAACAACAGAATAAAGCAAAGAGCTTATCTAGTTGTGCCCTTTCCTTGCAAATTAGAGATTTTTTTTTAATCTATTTGTATAAATTACAAAGATCTGTATAAATACCTACATGTGTAGATAAGTAATTATTTATTTTCCTTAACAAAGTTTTCAGGGTTGTTAAAATCTCATAAACAGTTATCTTATCTCATAAAGTTTTTTAGATGTCTAAATTAAGACCAAGTTTAGACCAAGTCTAAATCTAGGCTCTATCTATACTACTTGGTATATTGCTCAACGGCTATCATAATCATTTTGGTTAAGTACTTTGAGATCAGTTATGTAACTCACAGTGGCTTTTTCAAATAAATAGTTATCGAATAATGGGTTAAAGTGCAACGACTAGAATCTAGACGTTTGAAATTAGGTCTAAAAGAAACTAGACATCTAATAGCTGTCTATTGCTCAGTGGGGGATTGTTAAAAAGCAGGATACGTTTTTTTTTACTTGTGCAGAGGCCTGCAGGTGAAGATACAAAGATGTATGGGCATCTTTTGGTCAACAGGGGGAGCCAAAATTGACAATATTTTCTCTCAGGAGTTTTAAGTCTATGTTTGACTGGAACTGTGTCTACCAACTTTAGGATGTCTATTACCAGTCACTTGGGAATATGTGCCAAATATTGATAAATGTAAAAGGAACTAACTCAAGATATAGGTGCACCACCAGGGATTTTGCCTCATTAAAAAAGAATCACTTGGAGCTTTATCACCTCACTACCATACGGTCCAAATGCTTAGGGTCTTTTTCTATCAAGGGCCCCTACATCAACCTAATTTTCCACCCCATATGGTGCCCCTGTCAAGATCTAGATAGGTCATACTGTGCCTAATACCTCCAGACTTTAAATGGTGCAGTTGGTCAAGAAGCTTCACAGGTCGACTAAGCCTTGACCTCACACGTGCTGAGGCTTTAAGTAGACCTTTAATCCGACTGCTCTCTAATATAGGGTGATGGCATGACTGCTTCACGCCTACAATACAGTGAGACCTCTGCTACCCACTAAATTGAGCAAGAAAAGTGCCGTAACTCAAACAGGAGGGGTAGGATAGTCTATGATATGATAGTCTATGTCAGAGAGTCCAGCTCTACCCCCATAATGCCTCTGGTTTTGCTGATGAGTTTGTTGAGTCTGTGTGCGTCTGCTTACCTCAGCCTGCTGCCCCAGCACACAAAAGCAAACAGACTCAGAAAACATCCTTAGCATGGTCCTGCAGATGTTAAAATCCTTCAGCCTCCAGAGGAAGTAGTCTGCTCAGGTCCTTTTTGAAGACATCTTCAAAGTTCTTGGATCAGTCCAGTTTGTTATCCAAGTACACCCTCAGGTACTTGAAGTCCTCCACAATTTTCAAATAGGGGTCACTGGTGCCTTTGTCCTTGTTAGAGCCACAATCAGTTCCTTGGTCTTTGTCACATTGAAATGGAGATTGTTCTGCACACACCATGTGACAAAGTTATCCAACACAGTTCTGTATTTAGCCTCATCACCTTTCCTAATGCATCCAACTACAGCAGAGTCATTAGAGAACTTCTGAAGGTGGCAGGACTCTGTGTTGTAGTTGAAGTCTGTGGTGTAGAGGATGAAGAGGAAAGGAGACAGGACAGTCCCCCCTGCAGGGCCCCAGTGTTGCTGATCACTCTGGCACACAGAGCCTCCACCTGCATCACTGTCAGCTTCTCACCCAGTAGACCTGGCCTGTTGGTGTCAGAAACACTAGTGAGGTTAAAAAAACATGACCTTCACAGTGCCCTCCAGCTTGTCCAGGTGAACTAGGTTGAGCAGGAAGGTGATGGCATCCTGTACTCCCAGGTGAGGCTGGTAGGCAAACTGGAACAGATCCAAGAGGTGTCTGACCTTCGGCCTCAGCTGTTCTAGGATGAGTCTCTCCAGGGTCTTCATGATGTGAGACGTCAACACCATCGATCTGTAGTCCATGGAGCCATTGAAGACCCTTTGAAGTAACCCCACTTGACATGCTGTGTTTGTGGCCCCATTTCATTAATTTCCGTGTTCACAGCATCTGGGTTGATGCTGCTGATTCATGGCTGGAGCAAGTATGGCTACTTTTTGTGTAGACTTCTTCCTCTCGTAGTGTGGCTGGCCCTGGTGTTGCTTGATGGTCAATGGTGTGCACAAAAAAAAGACAAGCCTTGCACATTTGTAACCACTAAAAATACTTACACCAACCATTACAACAATTTCTCCAGAGGACCTGCAGAATCACTCCCTGGGGTTTTATATTCTGTCTCAAGAGAAGAATAAAAAGCACACTCTTTCCATTAAATAAATCTGTTTTGTGATTGTTGAAAAGAAATGTTGTATTTCACTAAAAATCTGGATTAATCATCCACATATTAGGGGCTTGGAAATACAACTGTCACATTCTTACTGTTTATATTCAGTGTGCATATTGCATGCACAAGAAGCATTAGGCAAACTGAAAAACATGATCCGTATGGTTGCACTCAAGAGGAGGAGCATGATAATCCTTATTAATTCCAAAAAGTCCAGGACAAACAAAAAATGACATGTTTAGTTTTGCACCATAATTATTGCACTACATATGATTTGTGGTGGCAGCTTTGTATGCTGTTTGATCAGTGGAAAATTTTCCACCACCCTGTATAAAATGATGCAGCTGGGGCCTCTGAAAATGTGACTAAGGACTTATTTTAAAACTGTCAACCCTCAAAACTGAGGTGTTGTTTTTTCAGTTCTCTGCTCTGACCATGGAGCTAAACTGCTGGACTAAAATTGACATCTCTTAGGGTGCAGCAGGGGTTTGATAGATACTTTCTGTTTTCATTTCAGCTATTTTGTTAAAATGTTTTGTGTCAAAGAAACACTTATCTGTATGAATATTGTTAATGCTGAATTTTTTGGTTTTGTACTGGTATACTGCATTTTTTGACATGACTTGTGATAAAAGACTGTCGTGTCTCTTGCAACCTGTCCTGTCACTTACTGCATCACAAAATAAAATGCCACAATGAGGTACACTGTAAAAAGTGAAAGTTTACAGAAGTACTACAAGTGCATTTAACTTTGAATTATAAATTATCTATATTATAACTTTGTTGCAGTGACAAACCAAGTGAATCCTCATCAAATTCTGTACAGATGATTAGATAATTATGTATTTGTCAATTTGATGGATTAAAGTTGTGCCAATATTGTTAATTCTATTCCTCACATACTATACACATTATTGTATCCATTGCTAAAGAAATTATGCTTGATCATGTTAGATTTTATGTTATCTTATTCAGTTTGGTTTTGTACTTTTGTTTTATGAATCTCTGTGTTGAGACTAAAAACTATCAAAACATGAACGTAGTCTCAGTGATGTCACCTGTTAGTAACTGAAGCAAAGTCTTGATGCCGAACAAACAGGGCTGCTTTCTTAGAAATGCTGACTCCCTTTCAGTTGCTAAGAGGTGAAGCTGAGATGGGCCCTCAGTCTCAGCAGCTGCAATGTGCCTGCCTGTCAGTCAAGTCAGCCACACCACATACTACAGTATGCCTAACAGTTCAAAACTTAGGGCTGAAATATCTTCAAAATAAATACGTTTTAAAAACTGACAAACCCCTGACTTAAAACATTTGTTCTATTCCGGAAAGAGATGTTTTCACAGTGGGCACTCTACCTATCAAATACTCTTATCTGTGTTTCCGCTCTCGTGTCTTAAATAACACTACTTTATGACCAGTCTTGTTTCCAGTCTAAATTAAAGCTGTTAGTGTTGATCAGCGTCCTTTTTTCCTTTATATTGATGAGGTGATGGCAAGTTCAAAATGCATCACACATGTTGCCACATGCACAGATTTATTGGAGGGGTTTTTTTTTCCTTTATTTCAAACACAATTTTTTTCACATCATTCATTTTTGACTTTTTTCCCAGTAAAAATAATCCTCCACAGTAACTTCACAATGAAAATACAGATAAACACTACAAGGAAGATAAGTGCTAACAAAGCAGCGATAACATCTACAGAGTTATAAACAAACCAAGACATTTTGTAGGACTGCGTCTGCAGATGACGGGCTCCTTTATGTCTGATGACATATTCTATCCAAAACACCGCCCGGTCCAGAGGCTTCATGGGCTGATCTCTGTGCAGTCTGGAGAGAGTCTGCATGTTTTCCCTAAAAGAGGGATTATAGAGAACTGCCATCAAGGCATCTGCAAACATCTGTCTATCAAGCACAGCGATATCAACAATCATTGCTCCCCCCTTTGCTCGGATTCTGGACAGGTTGTCAGGCTGATCAAAGAACAAAGGAAGTCCAACTACAGGCACTCCAAAGTAAATTGCCTCCTGAACCCCATTAGTGCCTCCATGTGTAACAAACACTTTAGTTTTTGGATGTCCTAGGAGGTCTTTCTGTGGTAGCCAGTCCACCAGTCGTGTGTTATTCCCCAAGGTGGCTGGTCTTTGTCCAGTGTACCTCCATATAACCTTCTGAGGCAGCAGAGCAAAGGCAGCAGCAATCTCCTCAGTTAGATCTAGTGGAAGCTCTGCAATTAAAGTTCCTAATGTCATCACAATGACCCCATGGTCACCAGAGCTCTCAACAAACTCCTCCAGGTCTGCAGGGAGTGGCTTTGGAGGCTTGCACTGAAAGCCACCCATGTAGACAATATTTGGCATCGTTGGACGTGGATATTCAAAAATAAAATCATTCCTCATAAGCCAGATGTCTGCGTCAAGGAAAAAAGTTGAGTAATCCACATCAGGACCAAAGTACTTCTTCACCAGCGGTTTATAATGAGGCTCTGTAATCTGTGACATCGTGTACATACCAAGGACATAACGTAAAACATTGCTCACTCTTTGGAAGAAGGTCATCTTATCTGTGAACTCTGTTGCAGTGAAAGGGACATATGACAGAGGTGAAGGTGCGATAAGTAAATGAGCTTCACCTTGAATGGTCCATCTGACGTTGAAAACAAGAGGAACTTGGAGCCAACGTGCCAGCATGGCTCCTCCACCAATGCCCGGGTCGGTCAAAACCAAGTCATACTTGGCTTCACGCAAAGACTTCATCAAGTTTTCATCCTCAAACATCTGAGAGACCATTTCACTCATGCCCTTATGGAACTGAGAGAACTGGTACACAACCAACCGTTGAATCTGCACACGAGTCCAAAAGCGAGACCACCGAGATGGATGTTTATTCTGAAGACGGATTTCCAGCTGTTGATGCAGAAAGGTGTCAAAATTTTCCTCAAATCTATTAGGCCCAGAAAGCGTGATGGAGGTGTAAAGAGGGGACTTTTCAGTGATGTACCAGCTATCTGATGTTCGCACTACGGTGACCTCATGACCTTTGGCATGCAGCTCCTCTACGAGTACTTTCATGTTTACCCAGTGGCTTCCATCCAATGGGAACACCAGGATTTTGCCCCCTGATGCACTGGATAGTTGAATCACAAGTAGAGCAAGGGTAATCAGTGACAGATGAGGCACCTTCATACTGATGTCTCTTTAAGGCCTGAAAAACAACACGTGACTGTCATGAAGTTGACATTGAAGTTGATCAAAAAATTTCTTATGAAACACACATAAAGAAACTAAAGCAACATTAAACTTCCTGGAAAAAAAATAGCAAACACAGAATCTGACCAATTATTCAGGGTTGCAACAGTGTTTTGTCTGATCCATTAAACTGTATTTATTCACATTATATCTGTATAATCAATTAAAATGACATATGCAGTTAAAACAGAAGGTAATAAAAAACAATAGAAAAACGCTTTTCGTGTTCAGTGCAATGTTGTTTATAGTAATAAAATCTTAGTGCAGTTGACCTTGAAGGTACTCTACATCTCACTCTAATCTCTCAGTCATTCATTGTTCTGTTTGGCGGACAAAAACATTTCATGAGGAGTCTGATGTCAAACAAAACTGTTTGTCTGGGCAAAATAAATGTACGTTTATCAATATTAGAGCTGGCTCCACCTTGACCTGATTTAAGAGTCACCAGAACACCAAAAATTCAAACAGGTGACAGAATTTGTTGTCATACATTGACCAGAACAATGTGGAAAACACTGTGGTTATGCAAAGGTTGCTCAGCAGTAGTTGAAAAGCTGCCTTCACACCCACATGTACCTACTAAGACTTTGACAGTGAGTCTTATAGTACAAAATGTTTCAGCAAAACACATTTCATGGCTGTTTTTACGTTTCATGAGCTAACAGAGATTATTAATACTTACCCAAATCCACTTTTGTTGGGAAGGCAATCCAGCTCCAAAGTGTCAGCTGAGCTATTGAGTATGTTACGCAATATAGCAGGGATTTTTTTCACACCTTGAAAGAAAGAGTAGGGGGAGCACCTCCTTCGACAGCATGATTGGCTGACATGTGGTAACATGCTCTGTACTATGAACAGGGTGTTATAAAAGGAGGTGTGTAGGGCTGCAGAAAAGGCTTGTGTTTTGAGATGTGTTTACTGCTGCAGCCAGAGTTCATATTGATGTCATTCAAATACATTTATCTGTGGTGCCATCTAGTGTTAAGTCTTTGCATTTCATGATTAAATCTTTAAAGTTGTTTTCTTGAACAGGGGAGCAACATGAACTATTACTCACATGGCCTTACATAAAACGCTACGATAACAGATTTGTGATTCGCAAATTCAGAGGACAGCGTTAACAGATTGTTAACAAAGATATCAATATAGTGCATTACTTTGCTGTATTTAAAATATGTGTGGATTGGGTGCAAGCTATGTGGGTTGTTATTGATTTGGCACAGGTAGCCCATCAAACAGTATACTGAAAGGGCTGCATTATTGAATAAACCTTTGCTGATCAACAGTGTTACATATACTGTTAAATTACTTGTTCTTGTGTTTAGAGCTTTGCATGGACAAGCTCCAGCATATATCAGAGACCTCATCAGAGACTCTAAAATCCTCTGATCAGGGTTTGCTGGTTGTTCCCTGGACCAGACTACGAACTAAAGGAGACTGTGCATTTGAGTTTTTTGCACCGAAACTTTTGAACTCTCTCCCACGAGAACAAAGGACTTTGGACACTTTCAAGAAGCTGTTGAAAACCCCTTTGTTTACACTTGCCTTTGTATTACCAGGACTTTGGCTACTAGTGTACTTTTTGTTGATTTTTATGTCTTTTTGTCTCACCCTTTTTTTAAATATAGCACCTTTTCTAGAAAGGTGCTATACAAATAAAGTTTATTATGATTATAATAATTATGTGGTAATTATAATCCTTTTTTGTAACAGCTCTGCGGGCCGGATGAAATTGTAAATCAGGCTGAATGTGGCCCCCAGGCCTTAGTTTGCCCACCTCTACTCTACAGTGTAGTAAGTGTGAGGTGGGAGAGGTTTGTTTGACAAACTACACACAATGCAGTAGATTCACTAGTTTGCATTTAAAAAGGCCATGATTAGGCCCAAGTCAACCAAATATTGTACAAGTCATTCAAATACAAGTGAAAAGGATAAGAAAGGGATATATAGAAGTATCTTTTGGTGCTGTCATTTTTGCTGATAAATCACATATTAAAAGCCATTTCTACAGTATAGATTTTTAAAAAATGCTATATCCAGAGCCGGCCCTAGGCAAAAGCGAACTAAGCGCCTGCTTAGGGCCCCGTGGCCAGGAGGGGCCCCCCAAGAACAATCAAAAAAATTATAACAATATTTTTTACTTCTGATGAGCAAATATATATTATTGTAAAAATAAAATAAAATAAAAAACATTTTAGTGCTGCTGCTGATGTAGGCATATGATTCTTACTGCCGATATGTCAAAGCTCCGCTACCGTTATGTGCCTTCTGCTGTGGCGCAGGTAGTTGTGGGACAAAACAATGTTGTAAAAAAGGACATATCCTTCAGGAGCACAGAAAAGAAAGAGGAAGAAGAGAAAAAACACCAAGATAAAGGTATGTTTGTATGTCATGGAAAGAGATTTGTGAAGGTGTGTGAATGATCAACAATCAATATTATTGGCAGAAATAAAGGGTCCCAAAATCAAATTTTGCTTAGGGCCCCATTAAGGCTTGGGCCGGCTCTGGCTTTATTTACTTTTAGTGGGCAACACTTGACCATGTATTGCCACATTTAGACTGCTGTTTTCACTGTTTGCAAATGTAGGGTTATATGTTCATTTATTAAAACCCACTCTTGTATGGGGAATAGAGGGGGGACTGCATAAGGGATTCTGTGTTCATGTCTGCAGAGGAACACAACATGAATGAGAAGCTTTGTGGAACTGTCACGTAATGCGACCAAAAATAGATATTTTTTTCATTTTTTAATCTAAATCTGTTCATTTGAATTAAAATCATTTTGTTGCTCTTCTAGTGCCATCCACTCCTGAGAGTGATCGTGATGAACCTCACCCTCCAGCTCTTTGTTGTTGTTCTCACGCTAACATGCGAGATCCGTAGACCCGACTCACTGCGCGGTCACATCCCGCCCCGACTTCCCCTCTGCCAGCGGCCTGCTGCTTTGAGATGAGGAGAAGATGTCGGTGTCGGGGCTGAAGGCCGAATTGAAGTTTTTGGAGTCAATTTTCGACCCAAACCACGAACGATTTAGAATAATTGACTGGAAACCCGATGAACTCAGTTGCCAATTCAACGTAACAGGAGAGAAGCTGCTGATCATTCACTGCAACATCACGGTGAGTCCAGGCCAGCTCTGCGCACGAGCTAACGCAGCCACTGACTATCAACTGAAACCCAATCATTCCGGAGGAAGCTTCTTGTTTACCAGTTAGATACCGAAAAGTACCCTCTCCCGTTACGTTTAGACATTGGCCACAGATATAGAAGTGATTTGGCAAATTCTTGAAAACAATACAGGACTGGTAATGAATTCACTTTTTTAAAAAGTATTAGAGAAAACGTCAGTCGGTAACGACGCTGCGGTAGCTTTGCTAGCCCCAAAGTATCGTTGACGCTAGCTTGTCTTGATAGCCAAAATAACTGCGTTACTGCCTCTAGTACCTCGGTTGATAACTTTATAACTACTGAACACATGTATCTCGTTTAATCTCAGCGTTATTGAAACTACAGGCGGGGGTAATGCAGCTTTTTACACTATTTCGACATTTATTTGAGAAGGCATAGCGGTGGTTGTCAGTTTCACTTCTTTAACGTTAAATAGGCGGTTTACTGGAATGTTGTTTCACAGTGTTTTCCATTTCAGAAAATAGACCGGTCCCTCTGACGAAGTTAACTGGCGTATATTACAGCTCTGACATTATTGCCTCAAAATACACATAAAGAGATATAATGTTGATCTGAGAGAGTCAGGGTTGCCGTTTTTTAATAAACTATTTAATATTCGCAGCAAAGAAATATTGGTGTATATTTTTCTACCGGTTGCTAACGTTAGACTGGCGTTGCGTTAAAGCATTATGTCTCCATTTCACTGATGTAATATTCTTAGAAGTTTTCATTAAAGATTGAAAAATACATAATGCAATCCACAACTGAAACAATTTGGCCATAGTGGTGGTAGGCTACTTGTCGTTCACACGCATTCACCTGAAACAACACCTGACCACATCCTCTTCTCTGATCCATCAACATGTTGTGATGGTCTTTTACGGGGCACCAACAGGCTTGTTGAAATATAGACCCTTAGATTAAATGTGTTTACTATAGTTACGCCAAGTCTGATCAGTAGGCTTATGTCTGGTCTTCAGAGCTTTACTTGCTGGACCCACCTGATTCCGCCGAATAGGAACAGGAACAGCAAGTCTGGCATTGCTAGACCAGTAAATATAAGCAGGGGAATTGGTACGCAATGCCAGGCTGAGAAACAGCTGGTAGGCTGCAAATACAAATATGCAAGATTTGTAATACCTGGCTTCCTGTTTGGACTGATTTTGAATGTAGCTTTATCAGAGTTGCACAGAGGTATGCTGATAGCTAATATGGTAGATGTTAGTCCTAAAGCAAAAGCCTTACATACAGTTATTAAAGGTTACACATGTGTCCTCAGATTTTATTAGCAACAATTACACTGACATAAGGAGGCATGAAACAGATCCAGATATGTATCCTTATTTATCTATTGATATGGGCCCTATTTTCCTGAAGTTGTACACTATTCAGAATCAGAATTAGCTTCATTGGCCAAGTATGTGTACACAGACAAGGAATTTGACTGCAGTAAACTCTGCCCTCTATGTATAAACATTAAACATGAAATGTTACAAAAATTAAAAACGAACTAGACGTTTAACTTATAAATACAAGACAGTGGTGCAATAGTGCAATAAGGAAGAGTGCAGTGGAGTAAAGAGTGATTGTGAAAAAATATATATAAACATGTCATTATATTACAGGTGGGTTATGTACATGAACAGTATAAAGATTAGAAATAAATGTTAAATACAGTATGCGCAGAGGTATATGTCAAAGAGGGGAATGAATATAGATAAACTAAATAACAGTTATGGAAATCACAGTCTAGTGGTCTTTCCGTGGCTCTGTGAACATTAGGAGTTCATCAGAGCAATAGCCCGGGGGAAGAAACTGTCTTTGTGTTGGCTGGTTTTGGCGTACAGTGTAACGTCTACCTGAGGGGAGGAGTTGAAATAGTTTGCGTCCTGGATGTGAGGGGTCTGCAGTGATGTTACCAGCCTGTATTTCCAATGATTCACAAACTGTATGCTTGGCTATAGAGCTAAGATGTAGTCTGAAGTCATTAAAAGTTTTGGATTAAAATGAAGTGTTTTAGATTAATTTAAATTCTTTGGTATCATTTTGGTTCCATAAAAACAACAATATCTTTTCAAAAGTAACATGTAAAATAAGTAATGAGTAAATCTATGAAAACATGAGCATAGGTGGCTAAATTTCCACGTTTTGCCATTAACTCTGTTGCAGGAATCATATCCCTCAACGCCTCCAATATGGTTTGTTGACTCTGATGATCCCAGTCTGGCTGAAGTGTTGGAGCGTTTAGAGGATGTGAGGAAAGGCAGCACATTGGTAAGTCTGTGACGAGGCTGGCTCAAAATATAATGAGCTAGTTTTGGTTTGAAAATTGACATTTTTCTCTTGTTGACACCACGTGCAGCTCCTTCAGCAGCTGAAGCGCCTCATTTGTGATCTGTGTCGACTTTACAACCTGCCACAACATCCAGATGTAGAAATGCTCGACCAGCCCCTGCCTGCTGGGCCAATCACCCAAGAGAGAAAGGTACTCACCCAAAACAAAGAAGAAATACTATAATGTTTTGTTGCACTTGATGTTTGTCAACTCACATTGATTTCTTAACACTACAGCATGGCCTGTCAGATGAGGTGACATCAGAGGAAGAAGAGGAGGAAGAAATGGGGGAGGTGACTATGTTTATTAATTACATTTTACAAGAGTCATATCGTTAAGAGCCAAATAGTTTCTTTTGTTTTGCACCTTGTTCTGAATTGATTTCTCCACTGGCAGCAGGACATTGATCTGGACCAAGACCTGGACCATTATGACATGAAAGAAGAGGAGCCAGCAGAAGGAAAAAAGTCCGAAGATGACGGGATTGAAAAAGAAAATCTGGCCATCTTGGAGAAGATCCGCAAAAACCAGAGACAGGATCACTTGAATGTAAGTGAAGTGCAGGATTTTTGGATGGAGCTTTTTTTTTCCTCCTTTAATTTTCTTGGATCCCTCTATCATATTTTAAATCTTTATTTAATATCTGCACTTTTGATTCCAAGTTATTTTAAATACTTCTTTAAAATCAGAAACATCTGACATTTGTTAAAGGCATACAACGTACAAAATGTCTGTATATGTTCACCTTTTCTCAAATACTTTCAGGCATTAATCAATTTCTGTCTTCTGTCCTCACATTTTACCAACCATTTATTTCAATCAGGTGCTGCAATTTGAGAGTTTCACAACTCAAACAAACTTTGCTATGTCTGGGAATAAACTTTTTGCTTTCTTTCTTTGAAAAATATGGATTTGTAAGACAGTAGGCTGCTTTGATGAACTGTAGCATGCAGACTCATTGTTCCTTTGACTGCTGACACAGTATAGCTCCTGTCAAGCACAGAATTTGATTAACTGTTGGCTTGGTGTTCTATGTAAATGTGCAACTCACCCGATGCATCCCTCAGCCACAGTCAATAGCCAACTGTTCCCCACAGTTAGTAGTTGATAGTTGAAATCTTACAACATTTAACTTCTTACTACTGTGTGGAAGAGAGTGTAAAGAGACATAAACCAAACATTCACCTCAAGATCTCTTGTTACACTCACATCGAGCTTCCCCCTGCAGCTGTCTGTTATTGTCAAATACATTTAGGTAATGTACCATCTGTGTGTTTCACCTTTGTGATTTATATTGCAGGGTGCAGTGTCAGGCTCTGTGCAAGCCTCCGACCGCCTAATGAAGGAACTCAGGGAGATCTACAGATCACAGAGTTACAAGACAGGTAACTACTCTGATTCACAGTGGTGATATTGTCTTTTCAATCTTATCTGAAGACTTCAGAAGGAGACCTTTGTGTTTCTCTTACTTTACAGGTATTTATTCAGTCGAACTAGTCAGTGACAGCCTTTATGAATGGCATGTCAAGTTAAGGACGTAAGTTTTCATTTTATTTTCCTTTTCAATTTTCAAATATTTTCTGAGGTAGTAATTAAAGCTTTGATACTGATTTGACTTGTTTATTCATTCCAGGGTAGACCCAGATAGTCCGTTACATAGCGACTTGCAGGTCTTAAAAGAAAAAGAAGGAGTGGACTACATTCTGCTCAACTTTTCTTATAAAGTAAGTGCTGTCATGGTATTTAAAAAAAAAAACTATCACAAGTGTGAAAAAAATTTTCTTGAGACTTTTTTTCTTTTTCATGTTGCAGGATAATTTTCCTTTTGACCCACCATTTGTACGGGTTGTGTCACCTGTGCTCTCCGGAGGGTGAGTGTGTAATGATCTCCTTCTGCCTCTTTGGTATTTGAAAAGAAAGATTTAACCCTCTTGGATTTGGATTTTATTTATTGCACACAGTGTTGGATTTGAAACTTCTTAAAGGAGTACAGCTGAGTATCACTTTCCTTAATTGTGGAAGAAATAAAAAAAAGACAAGTTTGAATTGACTAATGGCTCACATTTCAAAACCTCAATATTTCTTGCAGCTGTTTCAGTTGTACAAACGTTTTCATATAAAAATACCAATCCCTAATACTGACCTGGGTTTTTGTTTTGTTTTTCAGTTATGTTCTAGGAGGAGGGGCCTTGTGCATGGAGCTTCTCACAAAACAGGCATGTAAAGAGTATAATCAATTCTGTGGCATAATTTGCCCTCATTAGCAACAAACCATAACATTATTATGTGTCTTTTGTGTATCTGCTTTCAGGGCTGGAGCAGTGCCTATTCCATAGAATCTGTTATTATGCAGATAAATGCAACTCTGGTGAAAGGGAAAGCCAGGGTGCAGTTTGGAGCCAATAAGGTATGAAATATCACGAGTCAGCTCTCTGCATGTCATTAAACCGTGTCTTTAGGCGAGAGGTGTTTATAGTTAGGCCACTGACCTTACTCAGAGATGAGGTGAAAAGTCCGTACTCAAAGGCAGGTATGAGGTGCAGTTAATCTGTTCAGAAGGATGACCAGGCACACGTGGGGACTGTTTCTCATCATATGAGAAAAAAAAGGATGTATCACAAAATGGAAGGTGAGGTATTATACTGATTAAAGGAGCATTACATTAGAGGCATACTGAAGCCCTTAGCCGTCTTATTTTTGCAGTCGTCACACTGTGTTTCATTTAATAGGTTTAAAGTTATAAAATCCTGACCCTCTGACATCATTTAATCATGTCTTCTCGTTTTGAAGTTTAGCCGTTAAAGGGATATTCCGGCGTAAAATTAATTTAGGGTAAAACCTGTAACACAGAGTTAGACACCCCCTCGAGAGATGAATGTTGCCGACTGCTTGCTTCTCTAGTTATACCAACTTCAGTAACGACCACATGATAGCAGTACACAGCGGTCTATGGTACCATAAACAAACCTCAACCAAAACGCCACTCTATAGCCACAAATAATGCTCAGAACAGCACCTAACTTTATCCTAGCCACCAAACATCTTGTTAACTTTGCCTAATTTCTTTAGCAAAGAGACTAAACACAACTCACCTACTCTCTTCCAGCGGCCGCTTGTTTGTAGTGAGACCTCGGGCCAGTCCATTACGGACTTTAGCGGGGTGACGCAGCTCAAGGAAGAACATTTATGATCATTACTTTATCATTTCCTTGAAGTAATAATCACCATATTAATCATTTTGCACTGCAGATGCAGTAGTTCTTCTGCCGTAGTGTCTCGGTCTGATTGCTTTTCCATGAAGAAATATCCATCTCTTGAGGGGGGGGTCTAACTGTGTTACGGTGTATTTGACCCTAAATTAATTTTACCCTGGAATATCCCTTTGAAAGTTAGAGAGTGGACACATTCATTAGCCCTTTTTCATATTGTGAGTATGCAACAACACCATTATGACCCCTTTGTACTTTCATATTGATCCTGCTATTGAAAGGGAACACAGGAAAGAGAATACGAATGAGGAATTACATTAAAGGATCTGATGAAACATTACATCATGACTACTCCAGCACTTATTTGATGTCATGATCAGCCTCCTGAAACCCTTCCATGCCCCCCGTCCAACAGGAAAACTTTAAAAAGGGTTAAAGACTGAACTGATCAGGAATCAGATGAATGCTCAAATGGCTTGCTAACACTAATGACCTACTGTTTCTCTTGAAATCCTTCTCACTGTCTTTTGTGCTGTCATTTGATGTGAAAGCAGAATAATAAAAGTTTCTGTGTGTTTTCTGTGAAGCTTCAGCTGCATTTACCACCGGCAATATCCACACAGAATATCCACACAAAAATTTCCTGGCTCCTGATGAACGTGGACTGTTGTCGTCTATGCTGTGTCATTCTACACATCTAACAAAGCATAATTTGTTTTTCAGAACCAGTACAATCTTGCCAGAGCACAACAGTCGTACAAATCCCTTGTGCAGATTCATGAAAAGAATGGTAAGTAAATATTTCTGGATTGTTAGAGCTTCGTGGCCGATCAGCAGTTTGAATCCTGTGGCTGTGAGGTTTGTCTTTGTGTCTCTACAGGCTGGTACACACCACCCAAAGAGGATGGATAAACAGAGCTACTACCACTATGCACTGAGAACATGTCTTTGGGTCAAAGTATCTTGTTTTCTTTGGAATATTTCCCCCCCTCTGACTTATCTGGGGATATATCATCTTTCACGCGGAAACCATCTCGTTGGCTCATCTGACAGGTATTCCTTCGCCCCCCCTTGCTCCGGGAAAAGACGTTATATTCTGGTATCACTCGGCTTCTCCCCTCAGTGTTTCAGTGAGGAGGATGACGTGGGGAATCACTAGTCCTGTTTTCTAAACATGCTCATTTGTCTTTTAAAAACAAAAAAACTTTTCTCCCTTTTAAAGGAGGGGAAATGCTTTTTTTCTTTTAGCTGCTTTGACAAAGTGGGCTTTGAGCTGTCAGTTATCCCTCTTTAAATGGAACTTTTAAAAAGAAGATTGATATTGAAGCTCTTTGAGAGGCACATTGCTGCACCTGTTTTTATTATTAACAATAACCTTTACTTCCCCCTGTTTTATTTTGACATTTTGAAACTAACTGGTACATAAAGGAAAGTATTGTTTTAGAAATTTTGGCTTTTTTCTTTTTGGTTTGAAATTCCTGCCTCCTTAGACAATAAATGAACTGATTTTCACTTCCTTGAAGCTTCTCTTTAAACCTAAGGTGAGCTGCTGCCACTCTATCTTTGAGCCCTTACTATTTAAGAGGTATTAAGTGTTTAGGGCCAAGCAGAATCCGTATGCTGCATTTTGTGGTGGAGTTTAATCTTAAAATAGGGCCAAAGGACATGAAGTAAAAGGATCTGTAGATACTTGTTCTCCAGAGGATAACATGATGAATGATGTGGCATCCTTGAAGAAGCTCAAATCGACCCGATAACAAAGCTCTTTTTGCCTTATTTCTGTTGACACATCAGCCCAGAAGGTGCTCAGTTTGGCTCAGTCTCTGAGTTGGCGATAGCTGCAGAGCGTGATGGCAGGTCGGATGCTATAAACAGCCTCACGTTTTCAAAAAAGACCTACATGTGGTGTCCTACAGGAGCCTTGACTTCTCTTTAACAGAACATAACAGGGTTTGATTTCAGTGACTTTAAGCAGGACTGTGCTGCGATGGAATCAAGAGTGATAGGGTGTGATTTATAGTCTTCATCAGTCTGCACAATTTTGCTAAAGAATACATTGAGTCCAGTCTAGATTTGAGACTCTTACCACGGTAAATGCCGTCACACAGAGCTTGACTACCCCCCCTTTTCTTCACCTCTAGTTCTCTCTATCAGCGACTAAACACATCACTCACAGGGCTTCCTTTGCTGCAACAGTGCTCTTCAGATGTGTTTCAGATTGTTGCAAAAAAGGATTAAACTAAACTGAAATACACTTTTATTTGGACGTTGGATCACGCAATATAGTGTAGTATGCCATCAGTACTGCTGGTCCCCATGCTACAGGACACACACTGTATAATTAATCAATCTGTTGGCTCTTTTGCAGTTTGCCTGTTAACACTGTCTGCAAAAGTATGTTTGAATGGCTACTCAGGTAACAATTCTTTAAAGGGGGGGATCTGAACATACACTTTCTGTGTTTCGGTTGTTTTCTTAAAGAAATCAACGCTGATCTGATGTCAAAAAAACAAAGAGCTTTATAGTATTGGCCACATGATTAATCTAATTCAAGCAGTACAAGAGGCGGGACAAAAAGATGCCATTTGAATCAGTCTGCAGTAGCATGATGACCATTTAAGATATCAGCTCATCTGTACAAACTGCTGTCATTTCTAGGCTTTTAGTGAAAAAGTTTTCAGTGTGTAATCTTAAACTATTTCTGATAAACAACTTTTGCACAACTGGCAATAATGTGCCTGGGAAGGTCATATCTAACATGTTCTTAGCAAAATAATGTAATCAGGAGAAATGTTTTATTTTCCTCAGCACACTGCTTCACTTCCTGTTGTTGTTACATGTCTGTTACAGTCGAGGGGGGTGGAGTTGTCAGGTTGTGTTCACTTTTAAATGAACCCGTGTTTGACCGCACAGAGAAGATGGACCACATGCTTTTGTTTTTTCTTTTAAGTTTTAAGAATCAGCTCCCTCTGCTACACAGTCTCTGTTTGCTCGTGTGATTCCTTCCCTTCAAAAAAAGCCAAAACTCTGCTCTGAGGGGATGCTAAAAGATGATTCAATTTTAAGGTGATGCCGTGATGAACAGACTTGCACGCTTCTTGTTCTGGACTGTGAGTTAAAAGGTTCATTTATCTCAACTGTTGATTCATTTTCTGGCACCAGCAAACTGAAGATCAGGTCTGGCGCTGTTGGCTCGTATTGGTTTTTGTTTTATTTTTCATTTTCCATTTGAAAAAATTTTGACCATGTACAGTAATTTGTAAACTTGCATCAAGTTTATGAATAAAGAATTTTAAGATTATTTCTGGTTTACTGGTTTCCTTTTTGAGTTATACGTCAGTGGATCAATCGATAAAAGTTCATGAGTGACCTCAGTGATTACAGATTATTGCCCCAACACTCGTATCCATTTCACTAATGATCTTTTGTCCTGCTGCTGTGATTCAACAAAGTTTAATATGATACTACTGATATATCAAACAGTCACAATGACACTTTATTTACCCCACACCAGAGATATTTCAAGGCCTGCGCCAGTAAAAAGACAGTTCCTTCTTTATAAAACTCTTGTGTAGGATTTTGAGTTGAAAATAACTACAGGAATATTATGTCTCAATACTGGTGTTTTTCTATACTGACATGACATCAATATTGACTTCAGTCTCTTATGTTATTAGTGAAAAACTCCCAGGATCAGAACATGTGAAGCTCAATGAGGTCTTTTAATTTGACTAATACTTTTATCTAAATTTTCAGAGCTTAATGTTTTAGTGTTGATGAGTTATGAAAGATATTGAAGCAAATTTACACTAAATGGTGGGATAAGTATTATCAGACATATTTACAAAACTTGCTTTCAATTCTGGCTAGGGATGGGAATCGAGAATCGGTTCTTGTTGAGAACTGATTTAAATGGTTCAATCCATTGACATCGTTTACATTGTATCTCAACGATTCCCTTAACGATTCCTTTCTCTTAACGATTCCTTTCTCTTAATGATTCCCTTAACGATTCCTTTCCCTTAACGATTCCTTTCTTCCGGGTGCCTTGAAAAACGGTTTCACGGGTGCCAGTCTACGCAAACGAGAACAAACATGGCGGATGGTACGAAAAGTAGGCAGAAACAATCTAAAGCGTGGCTCAAAATTTTGTGCGTGACACCGCCCCGCATAGTAGTGTCCTCTCTTTGGGGATCCAGAATATGGTCACCCTAATTTGACTTCATACCTACCAAAGTAAATGCTGTACAAATAGTTTGTTGTCTGATTATTTTTTTTAAGACTATTACTAAAGGTGGCATACATCTTTTCTGTTATTTTGAGTTAATGGTGAAAACCTATAGTCTAATTTTTTTAAATCAAAGAAAGGCATTGATAAGGGAATCATTAAAGAATTTAATCGATAAGTAGAATCGATAATGGCATCGATATCAATAAAATCTTATCAATTCTCATTCCTAATTCTGGTCTGATAAAGCCAAAAATGAATGAGGAGGAATTGCTTCTTGAGAGCATGTTTTGGTATTTAAGCTAGGGTAACACTTCTTTTGCTAAGTGTATTAGTGTTGCATGAGAAACCATAAAGGAATTCTGTATTTATAAATGCTTCTCATGCAATTTTACCATCTGGCAATTTAGTATTATTCTTTCCTACCTCAAGCTAGAAGGTTATGGTTCCTTTCTGTCTTCTAAAGTTTGTAAAATTCTTGCTGGTGTGTGAAAGATCTGTATGCAAATCCAACAAATAAAAAAAACAATTTCAACAAGAACTGTTTAATATCTATAAGGGTAAGACCAAATAATACAAAAGTAATACACAAAAATGTATTCCTCATCGTCGATTTCACTCTTGGAGACACAGCCTCCTTTCATTCACGTCATTACAGCATGTTTTGGATGTGTTTATCCATGGCTAATATTTATTTCACCTCAAGTAATTATATATTTATATCTAGTTATGATATAGTACATGATCATACATATCAAACAATATACAGTACATGTGGGAACAATGGGTGCAATAATGGAAAATGGCTTTTAGAAGCTTTGATACAGCAACGTAAAATGCAGTGAGTTCCTGCTACATGATAACTATACAGCCGTAACTTCAATAATCACATTAACTGTGCTGTATGTACATCATTATCCGCTGATCCGAAGTTTACCATGAGAGCGCACTACACACAGGAGAAATTAGCTTGTTGGTTCATCTTTGTGCCTCCATTACACTTAATTTATGATGATGAGCTGACTTTTGTGCGTTTACCAACAGATGATCATGTGGACGGTATAGCTTACAGGGTTACACTCAGGGTTACTGTATGTGTATCTGCTGGTGAAAATGTCTGATTATACTAGTGGTGAAAAAAACCTTAAGTTGTAGGTCTCTGTGATTCACGAGGACCCACTTTCTCTCGACAAATCTACTGCGTAATATATTCATCTTAATATTGCTGCACTGTGATTTACCGTGAATTCAGTTTGCATTGATGTCAACAGGTAACCAAGTGCAAACGTGACTTTAAACTTTCATAAATTGTAATAATTAAAAAAAAGGAAAATCAAAATTGGTTTCCCACAGCCATAGAAAGACACAATGACAGTCTCACTCACGCATCATTCATAGTACACACAAAAAAACAAGAGCGATACATAAAAAAAGAACAACTAAAAAAGTGAAAACAACAAACGGCCTATATCAAATACCACATCATCACAATCAAACAAGACGACTCACAGGTTTGGGAATAACGAGCATCCACATACAAATCTTCACATTTGTTTCAAGGCTAATACTGTTGGACTGTAATCACCACCTACTGAATGTTGAAGACATTTTCAGACAAATCAATATAACACCATCTCCAGCCTCACACAGAAAAACTCTCCCTTTCAATTTCACGATAAAAAAAGAAGTTATGGGCTTAATTTGAGATCCTATTTTCTTTTATATAAATATCATGTCACAGCTACTCATAGAATAACACCAACAGCCACAAAATGACACACTAAGGCCTGAAGCCTCAGAAACAAGTAGTCATTTAAGCATTTACATGTAGGGGTACATGGGAGAATTCGCCAAAGAGGGGAGGGACATCCATCACTTCATACGATGCTATGACCACCTACAACAATGATTTTTAATATTTACTGTACGTTAAACCTGCATCTGTTTTGGTTTTCTTTCACTTTAACATGTACAACATTGATTTGGAATGTTTTATCCAAAGATCTGCAAACCTAAATACTCTATGTGCTTCATTTTTAACATGTTTTAGTTCTTTCTTTCACTGAAATTAACTTGCTCAACACATGATCAGTGTGATAACAAAACCCCTGAATGGTTAAATAAAAGTGATGAAAAGGAGACAAGAGCCAAACATGTTGTCACCGCCCAGGCTTGAAGGGTAGGATTACACACCATCAAAAAACGATGACTAAAACGGACAGGTTTTTCTGACACAGAGCGACTTGTCTTGCGTGGAAATAAAAATATCTGGTTACCAGAATATGAACTTTAATGTATGAAGTCTCGCAGAAGCTGAAAACTTTTGGTCAATCCTTATTAGTCTTCATATCACTCTGAAAATCATATTTCTGGTATGTCAAAATAATCTAAACAGAGATGCACTGATTGTGGACATAAGGGTCAATACAGATGTTTAAAGTGATAATCCAGCCAAAAATTGATTCAAAGATTTATTCCATTACCTCATAAATCTTTGTTTTTTATTTTCATTTATATGAGCCGTCAGATTTGGTCATTTAGGTTGTTGCTCACATTTTTTTCATTTGGTGATTTAAGAAACCATACATTCATTTTCTTAAACTTTTCTACATATTTGGCCCACTAACTCTCAAACAGCAATAATTTAGCATCTGGTGACCTGAAAGACGTCTGGAACAGCTGAATTTTTCAACAACCCACTGAATAAAGTGTGCCATTTCAAGATGTTTCAAAGACAGTGGAGGCAGAGAAGTCACTCCGTTTTAACCTCAGAAAAACCGACCTGAATAAACTCAAGAGGCTCAGGCTTCTGGTCTTGTATGAAATATTCTGTATCTCCGTTTTGAAGCAACACACACACTGATCAGCTAAAACAGAGCAGCATAAGAGATTTAAAAAAGTAACAACAGCGTTAAAATTACCGGCTGCTGATTCAAATGTGAACTGACTTGAATTATTGACCCCCATGATTCAAATAAAAGCGCACACTTCCACCAAAAATCAGGACATTGTTCTGTTTGAATTGTACAGTATTATAATGAAGGGAACCTAATTCTGAGTTGTGTTCTTAATTGATCCCTTTTTATCTCTCCCGCATGCGGCCTGGCCTCCTCCTCTGCCCTACATCGGGTCGTCGTAGTTGTAGGTGGGAGCTGCTGAGTACTGGTTCTGCTGCACGGCTCCTTGCGCTGCTCCCATGGCTGCCTGCTGAGCAGCCTGCTGGACATGGGGGTTCTTCCAGGCTCCAGAGGCCCACTCTTCCTGAGCCTTACCCAGGCTGCCACCACTGCCACGGTAGAAGTTATGCACCTGCAAAGTCCAAAAGTACTTAATTCTTGTACTTGGGGCAGTGTGTGGCAATACTTGCAGTAACATTTTAATGCCAGTACAACAAAGTTTTGGAGCAAGTCTGCATTGTGAATTGTGTGACGTACTTAGGATTTTGTCAGTTTGATTTGATAACAGTGCATTTAACGTATTTGGTACACACATTTACTCTCATGCAGTGTGCCATGTGACAGAAATCCTGCTAATGTTGTCTGGATGAGCCAAAACATTTAGAGCACTCTACTGACTATCTGCTGTATGGCTCATAAGCCCCGCCTCCCTCATGTTAACAGATGGGGTATGGGTCAAACAATCAAATCAAAATATATGTCCAATAATTTCTTTTCAAACATGGTCAGTGTCATAAAAATTATTTAATATCACAGATTTAACTCCAACTTCATTTTTCAATTTTAGTTGAAAAATGAAGTTGGTCAGTCCCACAGCCGGGACCTTGAATGTCAACTTAGCTAACACTAATGAGACACAACCACTTTAAAGGTTTGAAACTGAGCAGCTTAGGGCAGCAGTAGCTCAGGAGGTAGAGTGAATGTCCAATAACCAGAAGGTTGGCAGTTCAAATCCCTCCCATCCCTAGTCTGTCCGTTGTGTCCTTGGGCAAGACACTTAACCCACTTTGCTCCCAGTGTGCATCCTGAAAATGCACAACAACCAGTATGGAAAAAAATACATAGATGTGTTTTTTACTGTAATAAGTTGAAAAGTTTTGTTACCTTTGTTAGTGCGATGAATGAGAGCACGGCCACGGCAGTAAACATGACAGTGGGAATCAGCATGACCACAGCTGACCCGATGTTGGTGCTGAAGAATGTGATGGTAGCCAGCCAGCCACTGATGGAGACAACAACAAAGTTTGAAACTTTTGACACTAATGACAGTTCTTTGTTACTCAGACATCTTCACATCACCTGGATACACAGTATGTGTTGATTTTATGAAATGGTGTGTGTGGGGAGGGACTACAAATTCAGCCCAATTTTAGTTATTTGTATTCTTAAATTAGTCAAATCTAAACAAACAGATATAAATGTTGCAGTTTGGGTAATGTTTTGGATAAATAGCACAACATCTTTTATTTTTACTTTGAGATGGATAAAGGTAGTACTCCCCAAATGTCCATATGCACATTGACAGTAATGGGTGCGAATACCTGTTTCTACAAAGATAATGCCTTGTAACCAGTTTTGCAATCATTCAGGTAACTCAGGATTAAAACTTGTAAAAGCTGGGTCCATAGTGCCAGACCTTGAAAATCCCTGTCCAATACTAATAAAGGACACCATTTAAGGACTTCAAACTATTTTTTCCAACAGTTACACATGCTCGCATAGAAAAATAAAGGGCCGTTACATTATTAAAAAAAGAAAAGTATTTCAGGACCTTTAAAGTCGCTGGATATCAACACCAACATCATCAAAAATCCTAATTATTTATTTCATAGGAATGTTTTTAATCTTCGAAATCAAACATCTTACCACACTCCCCAGCCTGGAATACCAACAGTCTGGATAATACTGATCACCACCTGGGCCATGAAGACGAAGAAGAAAGCCATGAAGTTAAAGGAGCTGTCAGTCCTGCAAACAGAGCGCAATCAGCGTTAGAAAGGTTTGCATTCAGCAGAGCAGGAGGGACTGATGTTAAGTGATGTCCAGATAGGCTGCAGCTCACTTGAAGGCCTTGTAGATGGGCCTGAACCAACACACGTAGGAGCAGGGGGTGAAGAGGATGAGCCAGAGAAAGGCCATGCCAAAGTTGGTCGCTCCGCCACCTCCACACATCCATGCCAGGCACCCAATCAGATTAACAGCCAGCGTGGCACTATTCACTGTCAGCATCCAAGACAGGAAGAAAGGATGATGAAGACATGAAAGAGTGAAGACAAAAAAACCTGTTTGGCAAATGTCCCACAGGCTGCATTACTCATCGCTCAACAGGACTGAATCACCACGAATCTCGACAGCTACCCAACACAACAGTTCTATATTACAGCTACAGTAATTTTTGGAGACTGGAGCTACAGTTTCTGAAGCGCTCATGACAAACAATTTCTACTTCACAGTTTGTAACGACTACACTACTTTTTCACCAGACTTACATTCTTGATTTCAAACAGTAGAACCTAAATGTGCAGAAACAAAGCTTATTAAAAAGAAAATGTAACACATTACAACAACGATCATAATTATAATCATTAATATCAAAACATACCTTTTTAGTCTTGCTTTTAACTAAATTTTATATCATTAACTTTAAGTGTTTTAGCATTGATCTCTTTCGATGTTTTAATGACTGGATCGTCTTTTAATTGAGCTATTTTGGTGCTCTTATTTTAGTATCTTGTACCGTTGTTTATTTCACTTTATTTACTATTTCTTAAATTTCATTCTATGCTACTTTCCTCCAGTGTTTCCTTATCAAGCCCTTTTTAAGTTTATGCATTTTAATACTGCTTCTGATGCATTTAGATCGTGGGGTGGGAATAAGGGGTTGGGCTGGGGTAGATTTGAGTATTCTTTGTTTCTTTTATTCCTTGTATGTTGTGTTTGTGTATGAAAAATGCTATATAAATAAAGACTGATTGATTGATTGATTGAATATTGTTGTCACTGAAAACAGCAGTTTAATGGCAGAATAACCCACATATCAGATCTGTGAAGATTTGGTCTCTAAACTTCCAACTTTTACACAGATTTTTGCATCAACATTTCCACCAAAACTACAGAAATATTGAACTTCCTCTGTGTCTGACAGTGAAACCTGTTGATCTGGTTTCACAGCTACACTGGAGTGTTATGACGTTTCCTAATGTTTTGAGTTAAACAAGGCGACAATGCAGGGAACGAAACAGAAGTGGTGCACAGGTTACCTACTTAGAGCATGATGGAAACTGACGACCTGAGATGCATTAAAACGTCTAACACATATAGAGTCAACACATGAACTTTTGCACTTACAGATCCATAAGTAGTAGAGCCTTTTGCACATGGTACGGCGCTGGTCGGGGATCTCGTTGAAGTCTTGGTAAAAACATGGCTTGAGGGGGATGAATCGAGGAAGGGGAGGGAAGTTGTTTTCTAGAACACAAAGACACATTTTATGCAGCTGCCCACACATCCAAATTCAGACAGAAATCAAGTCAAGACAGCTGCATGCAGGATTACAATGTGGCTTTTGTATATGGGTCGATGTTGCATTCAAAGCCGGCTCGAAGAGTGCACTATGGGAAATGCTTACCTGCCATGATGACCACTCAGTGTTTTCCTCTACTTGCAAAGAGGAACTCAGACTTCAATCTCAGCTTCCTTCAGCACCAAACTGCATAGAAAAAATGAGCTGTTTTGATCAAGTGTTACATCCCTCCCATCCCTGCTCTCCCTGTAGTCGTCAGGCCATCATCCTTCATAGGCCTCCCTGTGGATGCATGCACAGACTGGACTGAAATAAAATACTTTAATTCCCTGATGGTTTGACAGGAGGATGTAGCCCTACTCTTTCAGTGCGCCCGTGATTGTTGGTGCTTCAAACATGAAATGAAACATGCTCTATGCCCACACATTAGAGCTGAAATATGTGCCATGGGTGGACATGGTGGCCTTGTCGCCATTCCTAGCATGTACTCATAACCTCCGGATGCGAAAAAGGCGTATTACAGGCCTACATGGGCAAAATGTTTGACTATATTTTAATTGTATGGCAGTCTGCTCTAATCCTTAAACTAAAATCAGCCGGTTCCCACATATTTTGATTGTTTGGAGCCATATTTTAACGCATATGATGGTGGATGTAGGGTACTGCTCTGAAGGACATCTTTCTGCTAAAAAATTCAGCAATCTCTGCAGAGAAAAGCATCATAATTCTAGTTGATTTAATTCATTTTGACCTCGATAATGTCTTTAATTGTTTATTTTTCCCGGTGGATGGCAGTAATGCTGCAGTAGGACACTGTGCATCGTGATCACAGGCGATGGAGAAGCGTCCTTCAGCCTGTGCGACACGGTGCATCCCTGCCTCATCTTCTTCTTCATCCGGACTGACGGCGAGCGGGTCAGGCCCAAACTCTCCCCACACTGATAAACCCACCCAAGATAGAGACATCCAGATTTAATCTCTATGCATTCATTCATCTCCCGCCTTTCTGTAGATAGTGAAAATGCCAAAGCTCAAACCTTACCTCCTGGTTAGTCCGAGAACGTCGCTAGAATCCTTCCGATCGTTTAAAGAGCATCCTCTGGATTCATCAGCATGAGAGAGACATACGGACAATCACAAATATGTTATTCCTCAAATGATGGTCCGAGAGTAAGAGGCAGTCACGTGACGTAAGGTCTTTTCTTTACGCACAAACCCCCTCCTCCTCCTCTTCCTCTTCCTCCTCCTTCCTCTCCTGCTTTTACCCGCCCGGGCAGGACCCGGGCCCAGCGTGAAAAAAAGACTAGATGTGTCGCTGACCTGAATCAACCAATGAGAAAGCAGGAATGTTTCATCAAGTCCCGCCCCCACGATGCTGTCCACAGTGCTGAAAATCAGTGGAGGTATTCATCTGATCTGTTTGGTTTCCAGGTAGATAAAAAAATTTTACTGTATGAGGGTCTAGTTTAATTTTGTCATAATTTTCAATATAGTGATTTATAATAATGCACAGAGGAAGTAAGGGAGAGTGGGGTAAGGCAGGCCATGTTTCATATTTCAGATCTCTACATCAAGTCAATCATAGTTTTGACTCTAACTAGTGTATCTGCATGTATTTCAAGATGTTGTGCATCCCTGCAAACCAACAGAATGAGTGTAACCATAACTGTCTTGATAATATAGCATGCCAAAAAGAGTGATCTCCTATGGTCAACTTACCCCGTGTATGGGGTAAGTTGACCATAGGAGCGGGGTAAGTTGAGCCGTATCCCTACTACCCACCCACTCTCCACCCCAGCCCTCACTCACCTTCTTTCTCCCTAAATAACAGTCACTTCTTCACATTCATGTGTATTTTTATCTATTATATGCTATTCAACTGGTACAATAATTCTTTTTATTATTATATCATATACCTGCTAAAAAGCTTTTTGTAAAAAAAACATTTTAACATGAGAATATAAGTGATTCAGAACATTCACAGCTGTATTTCTGAAAAGAAAAAGTAACACATTTCAACAATCTGAACTAAAAGTCTGATCCTCTCATCAGACTCCTTTACTTTCTCAGTTGAACCACTGGCGCAACTTACCCCAGAACTACTATTATGACTTTATTAGTCCTCTAAACCAAAACGGTGGACTTTAATGTGAGGTTTTTGACTTCATGTTGTAGCTCATAGATACCACAATTGATGTATAAAACTAATTTAAAATGATCTTTTTTGGTCTGAACACAATTCTTATAAAACTTATGACAGACTCAATCCACTGTCAAGAGTGAAAAATGTTTTTTTTTTTTTTTGTAAATAAATGTCTAACCCCTTCACCCATGTGCTTCTAACCTTCACTGACTCCATGAATTGATGCCCATCTCCTAAATATTTGGTCACATGATCAATTTCTTTTACCATTTCCAAGCAACAGGGGTTGACTCAACTTACCCTTTGGCTCTACTTACCCCACTCTCCCCTACTTCGTGAACTGGTGTAACAAAAAGTTTAGGAAATGTTGAGGCTGGGTAGGTCTCATTTTAAGCTGATAAACGCTGCTTTCATGTTCCCTTGTAAATTTGGCAATTACTGATGCTGGAGAGAATTACAACACGAATAAAACAAACCTTAACCTCGCTTTTTGTCTGCTCATCGTTTGCAGTATTTTACCGAAGGATCACTCTGCTGTTCTCCATTTGCAACGTGTTCACACAATGCGTTTACAGGCGAAAAACGTCATTAATCCGACATTCATATGGCACCTGAACGCAGCAGTGCTCCAGGCTAACATTAGCTCTTCGTGCAGTGCTATGACTTAAGGAAGACTAAAGGTAATGCGACTTTTGATATAAATGTGGTTGCTTTTAGTAAAATAACCCTACGGGAAATTTCACGGACACTATTTGGATCTCACATAAGTCTGACTGTGCTGTATTTAAATCAGTGAGACCTCTCGGAGACATGGAAATTAGGAGCTCTTCACTTGTAGCTCAGTTCGTGCTAGCTGTGTTGCTAGCTTCCCCACACTCTGCTCTGTTTGTTTAATAGGAGAACCCACTGAGCAACAGCAACGTCAGCTAGTTCATGCAAAGTTATCGAGACAGAAAATAATACTATCATTGTCTTTTTTGTACGTGTAGTGTCAGTTTTGATGCTTAAAATTTCACCAGAAGGATGTTGTGCCAAACTTGACAGACATCCTGGGCCAAAGTCCGTGAATGTTGGGTCTCCTACGAACAGGTGCACTAAAGAAAGGCCAGGTGTTATGCACGATTTGGTATCCCAACCTCAAAACCTCTGCCTTAAATTGTCTGTACACACTGTAAATGCAACGTCCATTTTAGATAGTGACAGTAACAGAGGTGTAGTAGTGTTCATGCAGCAAACTCATATATTCTCATTTTAATGACATTAAGTCCTGTGTCAGTTTTAAAGAGTGTCATGATTAATGAAACAACTTTGGAAATTACACTGTCTCTAGTGAAGTAGTTTTTAACTTGCTGATTTTTCAACAATGTGTCTATTCCTGCACTGATCCAGGGTTAGGGCTGGGAGATATGGGGGAAAAAATTATCACAATATGTTTTTTTCAGTCAACATCGATATATATCACGATATAAAAAATGAAGTTTAACAGTGCGTATTGGTAGCATGTCTTTTGCACTACAATAAGCTACTGCATCTGTGAGGTGTTTGTGTCTCTTTGGCGTTTTGTCGTAAGGAGTTGTGCGAGAGAAAACAGACAATGGTCGGCTGCACAGGCGCCATGGGCTCCTTGCGCCGCTCGGGGTTAGTAACCTTTTGCATTGCGTGTGCTCTGCCGCGTGGCGCTGCTTCAGGTGGTGAAAAAGATTTGAGGTATTCCCCGACTTTGCGAGAACATGTACTCAACATAATTTGCAGTTCACATAACTCTGCTTCATGTCCGACCTCGAAAACCAAAATACCTCCACACCACTGACATTTTCGTGACAGTGTTGACAATGTCCTCATCTGTTGAGCCTTCATCTGTATTTCTGTTGGGGGTAGCACTCATTTTCTTTTTCTCTCACGGACAGTGCTGTCGTCAGCACGTTTTAAAGTGCTATGGTTGCATGTAGCTGCAGCACGCTACTATGTAGTTGTTTGCTACTTGGTTCTAATTCAGCACATGATTGGTTCAGCACATAACTCCCCTTTTCTTTGGCTATTTGTATCCCAAAACATGGCAGTATGCAGACTACAGAAAAGCATATTGATCATGTTTTAAATCGATATCGAGGGAAATTAATTTTTGTTATATATTGTTATTGTTTTATCGACCAGCCCTATCCAGGGTCATGAGTAGCCTCTTCATTATGTTGTATCAATAACAGCTTCCCTTGACGTCGGTCTTCACTTTTATTCCCAAGGCTCATTTTCACAGTTCTCACCTGTGTGCTCTCTTATCACTTGTGTCCACAGTGCTGGGAATGCAGCCCCCGCTCCCACCTGAGGCGGTCAGAGAGCTGGTGTGCTCCTGTCTGCACAGAGACCCCGTAGCAGCCGACCTGCGATGTAGCCTGTTTGTCGCTGCTGCACAGAACTACAAGAGGGACTCTCTGCTCAGACCCTTCCCTCCTAGATACATAAGTGGGGACAATAAGGATTTTGATGAGCTGGTAATTTATACTGTCAATCACACATTTATTACTGTCTTTATTATGGATGTTAAAAAAAACAAACTATTTAATGTAGTGGGCGAATACAAGAAAAAAATATTTTTTACTTGTGTGGATAAAACAAATGCCCTCAACATAGTGAAGACACTCGGTACATACACCTGGTGGCAGTGTTGGGCTGTTATGAATGTCAGTAAAATGATGAACAAGTCTAGAAGACAATGATGGGCAGTAAGTTAAACAAAAGGACAGCCTTGCAAATAGTTTAAGAGGTAAATGTTTAAGCTTTATGGATTTTTCACCCACTTTTGATTCATTAGCTGATTCATGTATCAAACTCACTGAAATTTTAATATCTCTTCTTCAATACATCTTACTCAATGATCTTAGTTGTTTCATCCAAAATGTCAAAACTAAAGATATCAGGATAAAGTCACAGATTGGTATTTGGGTTCCTGTTTGCCCTCTCATAATGACCAAATGCTGTTTTAAATTGGTGTTGACATAATTGCAGTGGCACAAAGACAGAAATGATTCATCTCTTTTGGGAGAGAAAGGGAAGATAAGGTGTGCATAATGAACAGGTCTGACTCCAGTTTGATAATTATGAGTTACTTTTCTTCAATAGTTGGCAGATGTGAACTCTTTGCCCGGGGTGAGAGAGCTGGTGAGACTACAACCCAGAGAGGGGGATCATCATCTGGCTCTCACACACTGGATTCTCCTATCAAAGAGTTTTGCTGTGAAGACACTGCAGAAAGAAGAGGTAAATACCTTGAAGTAGAAATACAGAAACCACAAAACCAGCCTGTTGCTTCATGGTTTACAGTGTAATTCTGTCATCTCTACCAGTACAGCAAACTCTGTGACCTGACAGAAAATGAAGGGGTTTCTGCACCTGTGCCAGACTTCCTTTTTGAACTGGAGTATTGTGATCAGATGAACACCAGGTTTGAGAAGACAAGAGCAGGCAGAGACGTTTTCTATGCATTTCATGGGAGCCGACTGGAGAACTTTCACTCCATCATTCACAACGGGCTTCACTGTCACCTTAACAAGGTTAGTTCAATCATTAATTCTGCACCTTCACTTGTGATATTTGATTGTGTCTGGACTCTGCAGAGCTGTGAAAGTACAGATATTTAGAGAAACCACAAAATGATCTGGTGTCTTCTCTACATGTTGTGTGCAGAACTCAGTGTTTGGAGAGGGGACCTACCTCACCAGTGACCTCAGCATGGCTGTGCTCTACAGTCCCCACAGCAGTGGCTGGAGAGAAAGCCTTCTGGGTCCACTGCTCAGCTGTGTTGCCTTGTGTGAAGTCATCGATCACCCAGATGTGAAGTGCCAGGTGAAGAAAAAAGGTGCGTCAACAACAGTGGGGCTCAAAGATGTTTTATACAACAACACATGTGTTTTATTTACTTTAAATCCCGCTAATAATTTCTCATTTCAGATTCTGAAATTATTGACCGTCAACGCTCAAGAGCGAAGAACAGTGAAGGAGGAGAAGTACCACAGAAGTACTTTGTTGTAACCAACAATCAGCTCTTGCGAGTCAAATACCTGCTGGTTTACTCTCAGAGGAGGCACCTGTCCAGGTGAGGCTCGCTGCTTTGCAGATCCGTTTTGAGAAAAGTATGTTAAACTGTGTATTTATAAGCCGTGTGAAAGAAACTCAAACATAATGAAGAGAAGCTTGGCACAGTTTGAGAACAATGAGTAGTCTCACTCATCTTACTCATAGGCTCAAAAACAAACTTAATAAAATGATGGAATTGAATTGTCATTTTCTTTGTCTAAAATACTGGATCTAAACTTTAATATATAAAACAGTGTAAATTCCTTGTTTGTTTTTTTGTCAACATGATAACTGAGGACATTTTGACTGGTGCTGGTGAACAAACTTCATGTCCGGTGTTTTTTTTTTTTTTCTTTTTTTTTTTTCAGACATTCCCGCAGCTCCTCCTGGCTGCTCAGACACCACTTTGCCATCATGATGAGTCTCTACCTTCTGCTGCTCATATTTATCGGTGCCTTTAACTCAACCGCCTTCATGTCCTTTTGGAACAGACTTTTCAGGTGACAAGACAGCATGACAGACAGCCTGGATGTTCATAAATTACTGTGCCTTCCTGATCAGAGACTGACTGGAGGCCCGAGCAAAGAAAAAGTTTTATGCACCTTTAGACGGTTTTCCTCTACAATCCTACTTTTTATTCTTTGTACAAATTTCTTTTCTTTTATTCTTAAATAACGTATCTTTTTAGCGGTTACACTTTCATGCGTTCATTTTGTTCAAATGGGAAATATGACCATTCTGCATTCAACAATGTTACGCAGTGTTTCATCTGTAATTTGTGTGGTTTAGTAAACATCCTGATTTGTAAATGAGCTCTGTCGCTGTTTGTTTTTCATCTTTAGAGGCCACAGTCTCACTAACCAAAAGAAGATAGATGAGTTATGAAATATCAACTCATTAATCAAAGTCAGCAGTGAAGTGTTCATATCCTCCTCTGAAGTATTGAAGGATTTTTGTAGCTACCTGTTTTTGGACTCATTAGTTTGTGTTATGATTAAGTGCCTGTTGAGCAGGCCTTAGTGGCAATGTCCAAATTAAAAATGAGCTTTACAATTAAAATGATTATTATGGTAGTGGAGTAATATGATATTTCAGCTGAATATTTCCATGATTAACGGTCCATATCCATTACTGAAAATTGAAAAAAGGAGAAATGCCCGTCAATATTCACCAGCAGCCCAGAGTCATAAGTCCAAAACCTAAATGATATCCTTGCCACTTCCTTCTCAAGTTGAAAATAATTGGATTGCTTCACCAAAAATGGTTACTTTGTCATGGCATCTTTGGGCTCTCGTATGGCACTGCATTAGAACAGATATATCTCTGTAATGGAAATCACTGCATGGACTAAAACATCACCCCCACCCCCAAAACATCACCCCCACCCAAAAAAAAAAACACATTTCATCGCTGCATCCACACATGCAGGTTAAAACTGTACCAGGGAAAATAAGAACCTGTATAAATATGATCCAGAAATGCTGGCTACTCCTCAGGACTCAAGCTCATAGCAGCCGGATGAGGCTGAGTAGAAATCTGTCCTGTGGTCTGACGAATCAAAGTTTGACCTCCTTTTGGAAATTGTGGATACTACATTCTTGAGAGGCTTTTAGGCTTGTTTGATATCTCTGCAAAATCACTTTTTTTTCCAGACATGCTGAAATAATCATGTGTCAAACTCTGCAGCTGCAGCCTGTATCAGGTTTCCTTGATAATTAGGGCCCGAGCCAGCTGCAGAGCAGCCGGGCGTAGAGCCCTATTATTCCTGTATAGGTTTTTCTTTCTTCTTTCTTTAGGGCCCGAGCGTAGCTGCTAAGCAGCTGCGAGAGCCCTGTTGTTCCTGATAGATTCTTCTTTCTTATTCTTATTATTTTTCTGCCCCTTTGAACTGGAAAATGGCCCACTTCCCACTGGTGAAAACTCATGAAATTTGGCAGGACGACCGGGCCTGGTGAAAAATTCGATATTCTGAAGTCGCCCAAACAATCAAATGCAAAATGGCTCCATAGCGCCCCCTAATGTGAAAAATTCACATGATTGAGTGTCACGCCTGTACGCTTTGTCAAAATGACACAAAATTTGACACACACGTGTATCTCAATAAGATCTACAAAAAAGTCAGCGCGGGCGTATCTGTCAAATGTACGGTTAAAGGGCTATTTCGCATTTTTTGCCGATCCGCACACATTGGAATTTCGCTAACTCCTCCGAAGGCTTTCGTTCCACCGGCACCACATTTGCTCAGGCCAACCTACACCCCATGGCCATTAAAAATCATACAAATCATGACGCTGCACCCCACGGTTTAGGTTCTAGGGGGCGCCAAAGATAACCCAAAAATCCACATTCTTTAAAGTCTTATAACTTTTTATTTTTGTCCTCACTGGCCTCCAAGTTTTCTAGGATGATGCAATGTCCAGCCATCAACACATTTGTGAAGGAATTTTTACTCCCCAAAAGAGCGCCCCCCCATGGCAGGAGAAAAAAGTCAAGTTAACCCTGCCCATCGCTCAATGGCTCAATCGCATCGCTCTCCCGGCAACACCGTAAGGAGGAGCAACTTGCCATTTGGATATATCCTAGCTGTGTTTGTGCCCTCACTCATGGTCCAGACTTTATTCAAATAGGACATGTAGTTTGTCTGCAGCGACCGTTTTGGTAGAAACTGCGCCTCCCATTCATTATAATGGGAAATGACCACAGACAAGTGCGCACACCATCTTTGGACCTTGAGTGTGACGCGATCGGGAGGGGGAGGCGGTCGCGCTGGGGGCGGCGCGACGCGGCTCGGGCCCGCCAGTGCCCCACCGGGGCCCTAGTCTTCTCTATTGTTCTCAGGCTCTGAGTTGTCTTCAAACTCTTACTGGAGTTTCCTCTGACAGGGGCACATTTATTACAGCTGGCATGCAGACAGTCCTTTGTTATCCGTTGTTTTTATCAGTGAAAAAAAAAGTGAGACAGCTATATGGGATTGATAACAGAGGCGGCCTGCTTTGGTGACAGATCCTGACTTACTAATAGCTGATATGCTGATGCGTATCTGCAGTTGAAAGCACAAGAAAAACAGACAGGAAGATTTTAGATATTTCTTCTTTCTGCTAAACAACCTTCAAAGAAAACAAACAACACTAAAGCTGTAAACCAGCTGCAGAGATTCAGGATTTAACAATAACTGTGTTTCTTAGTAATTCTGTAAAGACCAGAATTATAATGATGACAAGCTTGTTTAACTAGACAAAATCATCTCTAAAGCTCATTTTCTTTCATGCTTACCGATAGGCAGGGTACCATTTCTCCATAAGTGTCAAAGCTTTTCCTCCTCTGACACATGCTCATGTTTGTTTAGCCACAAAATTGGACCAGGAGCCACAACGTCCTTTCTTCTCTATGACTCAATACTGGATATTATTTACTCACAGCTACAGTGATTCAATTGTCTGATGAGTAAGAAGAAGATGAAAGAAAGCCCAGGCCTTTGCTTTGGTATAAAAAAAACGATTCCTTCTTGCGAAATCTGAAAGATAAACATCTTCTCCTCCTTAGAAACGGCTCACATTTGAAGGACACAGAACAAACTCTCTATTGTTGGTCCACACTTTATTCCCTTTCTGTGCAAGCTTCATTATTGCTGCCTCATAAACTGTCTGTTATTCAATAACCATCAACTGTCAGGGGGCAGTGATGGCTGAGGGGCGCCGCAAAATTCTTCAAATGGGATCGATTAAAAAAAGAGGACAGACACTGCCGGAGGGAAATCAAAGTTTCATAAACTAGATTGTTGAACTTGAGTTATTCCTCTTGACTCCCTATATCATGATCCCTTATTATTCAAACGACAAATTGACAGAGTGAAAAAAAACAAAGTCAACAGCCATGCAAGCATCTCTCTTAGACTGGGTGGTGCTTTGTAGTTTAAAATGGTAGAATACTGAAACACCTGAGGGCAAAGTTATCATGCTGTTTCTGCAGTCAAATGGTCTTAAATTCATGTACTACTACAGAAATAAAGCTTTGATGAAAATTTAACAGCTGATAACAATCAATACCTTAACTTAACTTCCTGGCAGTTGTCAAAGTTGTTGAGATAATTCGGTCTATAGCCAACTAAACAATATTTATATTTCCAGAGCCAAAGACTAACTTTTCACACTGATGACTTAAAATCATTATGTCGTGTTCCCAGTTAATATTTATTCACCTTTGTTTGATTTAACAAAAGAAACTGTATTTCATGGATGAAGTGTTTTATGTACTTATTAAAAATGTAGATCTTTAACGACGACAGACATATTCATAACATCAGTGGATGACTTTGAATCTGGGGACTGGGCTCATGCTAAAAAAAAACACTGTGCTGAAACAGTAGCTAACTTTATGTTTTTTCATACCACACTTTTATGAGTACTTTTGATAGCAACATCTATTCAATTATTACGTTTTCAAAGACGAATGAGGCTTTCAAATGCTTTTGGTAAGTGCACCTGCATCCTTTTTTAACAGACTGCACTCAGGGTCAGTCACCTATAGTTCACTGTGTTTATTTTTGTATTATTTCCACTATTGCAGAAGTCAGTGTCCCAGCTGAGCCACACCTGTCAAAAAAGTCTGGATCCCACTCCCCTGAAAAAAAACTCCCAGGTTCAACATGATATACAATGCACTCAGTAAATCATGTGAAAATAAATGCTACAAACTACAACTTAAAAAACTATCTGGAGTATATCTTGCTTTATTTTCCCAAATCATTCAGTGATTGCTTAGATGGTGCATCTACGACACAAAGAAAACAAAGCAGAATAACAGGGATTTTATTTCTGATTTAATATACACACGATTGTTTTCTTTTATTCAGACTTACAGAGCATTCAGAGTTTGATTCATGGATAAAAAAGACACAGAGGTTACAGATAGCTGCCTTTTTACATTGTGCTACATGAGCTAGTTTCTTCACATTCTTCTTTAAATAGCGGAATCACTGTTCTGAGTCTGAACAGGCTGGAACCAAACACAGAAAATGCCCCTCAGAGTGACTCTACAGAGGAAAAAGAGACAATACAGAGTGTGAGGTTAGATGTTTTTCAAAAGTAGGGCAATGAAACAAGGAAATTCAGACACTACTTTCCTCTTCTTACCTGCAGATTGTGATGGCATACGGCATTATGACTGGCCGTCAGGTGATTGTGCACACACTTCCCAAAGTGCTGCAGACAGGTAGTATCTGAGGAGCTGCAGGTCTGAGAGCATGACGGGGGCCTCAGCAGTAGGCAGCTCGAACAGGAGGTGTGTTGACAGGATCCCTGGCACTCTTTTTTCTCCAGAGACACGTGCCTACAGAGAGGAGAGATTCATAATTCTGTTTAAAGGCAGCACACAAGAGCAAAGAGGGAAAAAAAGCGTCTTTTTGTTGTTTTAGTGACCTGGCAGAGCAGATTTCAGAGGGGTTGGCCTGGCAATATTCCTTAGTGCAGTCTGGGTGACAAATCTCTGGATCCAAGGATTCAATCACTGCGTAAAAACACATTAAAATAAACACACTTTGAATTCATCAACCTTTTGTTTTATAGATTTGTTATTTACATATTTTCTCGAGCAGCAACAAAGCATAAAAAACCTCTTACTACGTCTGATAGCGTATCAAAAACAGTGTCAACTCTCCTCACCGTGAGGAGATAAGAGGTGTAATGATGGCTTAACTGTGAGCACATACCTTTGAATCAAAGGAAGCCTTGACCACACTATCAGTCCTACGGCTCATAAAAAAGATTTACCACACTGGCACTGTTCCCACTACAATGACTTACCCAGACAAAACCTGCAAAACAGGTGATCACTCTTCAGAATTTCATGCATTATCGTAGCCTAACAGTATAAAAGTACAACTTCTATAACTGCCCTTTAACCAGAATAACACTGGAATAAAGCTTTTATTCTGAAAGGTTTAGTGATAAAGAGTAGTGTAATAAGTTTAGATAAGAAACTGATATATTTTTAGAATTATGAGTTCCTTTGCATAAGCCTTTTTTCTGATATGTTAATTTTGAAAACAGGGCTGTCAATTTGAACCGTTTTTATGTTTAATTCTTACATAGTTTTATACACAAAATAAAAAGCCTATACAGAAAACAAAAAAGGATGAGTGTGGTTGTGCTGTAAAATCCAAGAATCCGTTTCCATTTGAAGAAAAATGACAGATTTCAGTATAATGTGGGATCCAGTATTCATGGTAAGTGTTTAAAAAATATTCAAACTCATCCTCTCTGTGATACTTCTGAGGCTGTAAACTGGTCTCACCTGCCCTGCAGACCCCTCTGCGCTCAGCGTCTGCTTTGTCACCTTCTGAGTCCTGGTAAACACACACCAGCCCCTCGTCGCACTTCCCTAGGTAGTCCCACGTCCCCCCACAGGTCTCGCCCTCTGCTCTGGCACACACCGGGCAGCACCCACACACTCCTGTGGTGACACCGCCTTTGCACTGGAGCTTCAGTGCCCGTCGGGAGGAGCAGTGTATGCGTTCACAGGGTGGGCAGTGGAGAGCCTGCAGCTGCTGAGCTTCCCTAGAGGGTGTTTCCTGGGACCCCAACACCCCCAATAAGACACTAAATATGAAGATTAATCGCATCTTTGATCCACCTGATGTCAAGTCAGGGTGAGAACACCCATCATCACCTTTTATACCCATGAACCCCTCAGATCACAGTCAAGCAAGGCCTCATAGTTTATGATCCACAACCTCCACCCCCCACCAGCAGCCAATAGAGGAGGGCAGGGGGGGTTCATTGGGTGGCTGTAGTCGAAATACACAGTTAATTATCCCCACGCCTTATCTGCTCACTATCAACTGTGTGATTTTGTTTGGAAATAATTCTTCAGTCTGAACATGGTTAGATAAGTCTGATGAAGACTGGCCCCCTTTGTATTTGAAGTCACATGACCTCTAGAGGGGGTAATTCAGTGCACACCTATAATCAGGTAATGACCTATTTCTGGAAAGAACAAAAGGACCAGACATCAGCAGGTTATCTGATCGGGACATCTCGTAAGTTTCGTATCTACAAATAAAAACTCTGTCAGATTGTGTAGATGACAATAAACTCTGTCAGTAAACATCTGTCCAGTGATTATAGAGAATCTAAAAATGTATTGAACAGACTCTCTTTTAATGTGGCAGCATGCAGCTGAAGGCTGAACTATAAGCATTACAATAAGTTTACAGTTAGTGAAAGGAATCAAGTTGTCCAAGGTCTAAATGATTCAAAGGTTTTCAGATATATACACTTTATTTTTATTGATTAGATGTCCATAACATGCCTGGGAGTATGCACAACCAGTCCATGTGTGCTTTGTGGACTTGGAGAAGACAAGTGACCGTGTTCCTTTGGGAATCCTGTGAGAGGAGCTCCAGGAGTATGGGGTAATGGACACCCTGGTAAGGGCTGTTCATTCCCTGTAAGACCGGTGCCAGACCTTGGTCCACATAGCCGGTAGTAAGTCAGACTCTTTTCCAGTAAGGGGTGGACTCTGCCAGGGCTGCCCTTTGTCACCAATTCTCCTCATAACTTTTATGGACAGAATTTCTAGGTGCAGCCAGGGCGTTTAGAGGGTGGGGTTTGGTGGTCCCAGGATTGGGTCTCTGCTTTTTTGCAGATGACATGGTCCTGTTGGCTATACATCGGGCCATGACCTTCATCTCCTGCTGGATCAGTTCACAACTGAGTGTGAAGCGGCTGGGATGAAAATCAGCACCTTTAAATCTGAGTCCATGGTTCTCAGCCGAAAAAAGGTAGAGTGCCCTAACTGGGTCAGGGATGAGATCCTACCCCAAGTGGAGGAGTGTAAGTATCTCGGGGTCTTGTTCACAGGTGAGGGAAGAATGGAGCAGGAGATTGATAGGTGGACTGGTGTGGATTGGTGATGTGGACACTGCACAGATCTGTTGTGGTGAAGAGGGAGCTGAGCAGAAAGGCAAAGCTCTCAATATACCGGTTGATCTACGTTCCTATCCTAAAGACCAAAAGAACAACATTGCGGGTACAAGCGCCTAGATTTTAACTCAGAACCTATTTGCAGGCATCAGTGCTAACCCACCACACTAAGGTGCTACTGTACATTTATTTGTTCAGGTACATCTCCTTTCAGTTACACTCTGTTGATTCAAAAGCACAGTCCAGACCCTTGCGGTAGCAGCCAGGTCATGTTAGCTTCTAATGAGGGGGTCATTGCTGGGATCTGAACCCAAGACCAGTGAATTGGTTGACATCAGTGTTACCCTTCACCACACATCATAATAGTCCATGTATTGTAAAAATAGAATTCATTCATCACTGATTGTTATTTTCACCTTGGATTTAATGCTTTCTCTAAGGTGGGTTTGAAGTCTTCATGTTTGCCAACAACAAGGGTCCATGGATGATCCTTGACTGTCATTACAGAAAGGACACTTTTAATTTTACTGATTTGAAATTTCAATTAATCCGGTATTTTAATGATTCTCAGCTCCTTATGCGACGCTGTGTCCAAATAAGAATTTGGGGAATCAGAGTCATATAAAAATGTATTTATTTTCAAGGAAACCATTAAGTAACACTGAATACAACAGGAGTGATCATTCAATAGTCAATAAAACTCGTGACTCCAACATCGTAAAGATCCCACATACAAGACGTCTTGGAAAACAACATTTCAAAGCAAACATGTTGGCAATTTGCTGGTGCTACAATTTTATCTGCCCCTCCCCACCCCCCACCCCCCCACACACACATAACAAACTGAGGTGATACACACCTGTGTAGAAAAGTGACAAGATTTTACATCAACTAACAAAGGGCTGGATGTCAAAGTGCAAGATGCCTGAACCCCCCCACCCCACCCTACTCCCCTTTGTTTAAGGGGACTGTCAAGGTGTCGAAATTAGACATAGAAATCTCAAAAATTAGAATTCAGCCATTATGGCTCTGTATTCAGTTCAGACCCTATTCTAGCTTACATTACGTACAATTTTAAAATATTGTTTCAGAAACATTTTTCTCCCAAAGATACTTTTTTTATATAAAAGGAAACTGCACCATGTTACAGACAGCATGTAATGGAGTAAAGCATCACAGGAATAATGCAGGCATACAACAGAGACGCAGCTGTTTATTAACAGCGCCAAACAAAACACACTAACATTTTGTTGGCTTATAAAAGCAACCAATCAGAGAATACATACTAAAACCTGAAGTGAAAATAAAATGACTTAAAAAGCTTACAGAAAAAATTTATATACAAATATTTACAAGAGTGAATATTATACAAGTGTGACTGGCCACAGGGTCAGGCTGAAGCCGACAGGGTCCATATAATCCAACACTGCATGACATTCAGATAAGTCAATTTAAAATTGTTCTTTAAAAAGACAAAATACCTTCCAGGAGGCCGTGTTCAGACCTCGGGTTAAAAACAAGCAACAAACGTGAAAATTGAGCAGATCTGTTTGTTAGTCCGATTTAAAAACATCCAGGGCTTTTTGACTCAAACATAGCTCCACATTTTCTTTTTTCTTTATCATGAATCAAGAAAAAAATCATAATTACAATGGCGATGTTAAGTTTTAAAAGAGTAATCCGTTGAAAATTTCCTTCTGGGATTTTATTTCTTCCAATGCTGATACCGTTTCAGACTTCAAAGAGGACACGAGTTCATGATTCAGTCTGGAGGAAGGAGGTCATGCAAACGAAACTGCTCTCGGATGTGCGGTCTGACATCTTCATTCTGTGAAAGAACGAGAGAACACATCAAAACAGCCTTTTTACAACTCTGTGAAACACTCTGAATTCCTCAAAGCGCTGTATAAATAACTCGCCTTGTTATGAAAAAAAAACTGCAGATGTTTTTGATACAGTACTGATAACTGAGGCTCCTGGTTTCACGACAAATGTGTTTATAAGCAAGAATGAGGATGACTGAGAAACAAGGTGTGCCGTTTAAACAGCCTTTACAGAACGGTATTTAAAACTGCGGCTCGTTCAAGAAGATAATCTACATGCACGAACACAATGGGTCTCATTCATGAAACGTTTGTAAATCTATGCGTACATCTGCTCACAAATGTTCTTGGTTATAAAAACCCACACCGGAAATAACAGAATACTCTGATGTGGTCGTAACCGTGTGCATACCTTCATTAATGCCAATAATTAATACATTATAATTATACTATTTTTTAAATTAACCATTTAGGCCTTTTATTGTTTTGCGTTTGTTTGTTTTTTCCTCTTGCTCACTTCTGTTGCTTTATTTTATCATTACTACTACTATCAGTATTACTTATTTTATTATCATTATTAATATCGTTTTTTTAGATTTACTATCCTGTTTTCAGCTTTAAACGCCCCTTTTAATTGCATTTTTTTTTATTCTTTTTATTAACTATTTTATGTTTTTATTTTGGTCCTCATGGTCTCATTTTATGTTGCATGGTTCTTGTATTGTCTGGGTTTCCTTATGACTTATGAAAACGGCCTATAACTCCGTTTTAACTTAGCTTTAGTTTTTATCTGTCTTTTTCCATGTGCTTTATGACTATATGTCAAAGCACCTTTTAAACGTCTGATTGTAAAAGTGCTATAAAAATAAAGTTATTCTTATTATTATTGTTATTTAGTGACAGAGCACTTGTCCCTGTCCATGAACAGCCAATGACAACCATGTACAGAGGTGTGAATGTGTGCTTCCAATTGACAGGCAAACATGGTGCAGAGCAAAAGAAAAAATGAATATTCAGAGAGGTATATTCAGTATTTGGTCTAACACTACAAGCACTCAGAAACAGGTTTAGGTTTTTATAGCACCTTTGAACACATCAGAGCTGCTGAAATATACATGAACGCCCAATTTTACAGACATTTCCATCTGCTCACACAAATCCACTCTGCTCACGTTTCATGAATGAGACATATGCTCTCATGACTGATCACACGTTGTCTCCTCCTAGTGGTGCCGCATGCTTATGTGATTGCTTTTAATCATTTCTGCTTTGTCAAGTGGACTAAGGACTCTTCAAAAACACCTCTGGAGTGAACAGGCTTTTTTTTGTTGTACTTCTATGATTGTCACTGACAGTAATAAATCTAAACCTCAACATTCCTCCGTATAAACCTTTAATTTATCGTTAAGTCACAGTTTAAATTTGTCTGTTACTGTACGTCTAAACATAGATGCCAAAATGTTTGAAAGTACATACCAGCTCCACGAGCTTCTCGAGGAAAGGAACAAGCTTCAGAAGCTCATTGTCATTTCTATCCACAAACCAGCTCTCAATAGGTATCCCATTAGACAGCTGAAAAAGACAGAGACTCTTAGCTCTAATATACCTGTGATAGACAGACGTTGCTGGCTCACACCTTGGTTTTGATAAAAATTTTACCTGATAGGCAAAGGCTTGGGGTGAGTTGTCGATTATGATCGTCTTGGAAAGATCCCGCCCGAGAATGTTCAAGTCTTTTATGTAATTTCCTTGAACACACACGCAGTGCTCACGAAATAGTCTGTGCCTGAAAAACACAGAGGATAATATCCAATTTATAAAACAATCAAAAAACAGAACCATGTTTCTGAGTTATGTTTTGAACAACACAAGAAAATTGCATAAAAACACAGCCTAAGTAATGCTAAGGTCAGACTTCACAATGCTGTTTGTCTGTTACGGCGGTCACTGTGTCAGAATCAACAATAACAGAGCCATAAAAATGTGCCAAGGCCTGACAGACAGACATGATTACAGACTACATGATGGTTCATGATCAGTCACAGAGACCAATGTGGGCAAACGCACTGAGGCACTGGCCTCTATACAACAGTATAGGAGCCAGTGCACTATTGTTGTAGCGTGGATTTTTTCTTAGTCCTCTTCCGGACAAATTTTGGTTTGTTAGAAGTCCAACAGCTTTAAGAGTTGTGAGACAAATTATACATCAAACTGTGCTGTTCGATTGGGATTAGTGTGCTCTCTTCGCAAAAAAACTAGAAAAATTTTGCACTAAAGACAAGAAAAAATGCAACATTTTTTATTTTTATTTTTATACATAAATACTTGAAAAAGGAACATTTTCATTTTTTTGTTGTTGGTGTGCTCCTTGTATATAATATCACAATGCTACTAGTATTCATTATTTCAAATCTCAGAAGAAACGCATTGTAATGTGGCCCAGAGGGAATTTTCTAGTTTATACTGAAAGATCATCACCACAACCACATCATCATCATCATCATCTGAGCAACAAACTACCAATGTTTAGTTGCTCACACAAAGCTGAGTCAAATAGTTCCTCAAATGTAAAGAAGGCCGGTGTAACTCACATTTGGCTGAGTGATTCATTCTACCTCCAGGGACTACAGAGGAGAGGAGCTTCAGTGTTTCAAACAAAACTGATTTTTTTTTCTTAAAGGTCCAGAGGGACTCTGTAATAGGGCGACCATACGTCCTCTTTTACCCGGACATGTCCTCTTTTTTGGGGGCTGTTCGGCCTTGTTTATATGGGAGTTTATAAAATCCTTCAAATGTTCGGGGTTTTGTACGGAAGTTTTGAGTTTGTGTCGTGTGGACTAATTGAGTTAGAAGTGCGTAAAAAGCACTCGATCCGACCTGAAAAACTCAAAATTTACTGAGTGCAACTCTGTGACTCCGCCCCCACATAGTCGGGTCCTCTTTTTGGGGATTCAGAATATGGTCGCCCTACTCTGTGATCGACTAACATGCCCAGATCTGATTATGAACCACAGTTAGGTGTCAAGGTTTTAAGTATTAGCTTTCACTGTCAAGTTTTAGATTACACTGAACTTCTCCTCAGGCCTCACTGTGGCTGGAAGTCATGTAAAATTCATTTGGCCACTTACATTCTATCACAGTTAACTCCAAACATTTGATATACAGCTGTCACAGACTCGTCCAGTCACTGACCTGACCAGTTGTTTCTTCGGATCCAGGATGTTGAGCAGTTTGTCAGCGTAGACTTTCTTTGACGCCGTGAAGAGAATAATCTGGAATTTATTGAGACAGAAGTTACTGATGAATTTGCACATGGAAACAAACACAAAGTCTTGAGTTTCTTATAAACTTGTGGAGATGCTCACCTCATACATTTGAGACATGCGTTCTAGAAACTCACGGAAAAAAGGCCTCAATCGAACATACACCTGAAATTTAAAGAGGAAAAAAAAAACAGGTCAAAGATTAACCACAACAGCATGAAAAGAGACGCTTTTCTGATCGAAGAGTGACTTTTGAACAGTACCTGGTATATAACATCTTGAAAGAGTACAGGGAATGTGAGGGCTGCGTCTTCTAGCTCATTCAAACTACAGTGGACCAAGGTTTCATCCTGGCAGGAGAAACAAAAAGAAAAAGAAATCACCTCTTATAGCCGATGGACATGTAACAAAAACTAAATGACGCACAAGAAAACCTCTCGCTGCTCACCAGGTCCAGGACGAGTGAGAACTCTGGTGTGCTGCGTGTTTTTAAAGGTAGCGCTGGTTTACGTGTTAACTGCTCTTCTGTCAGCGGAGGCACGTGCTTGATGAAGAAGTACCTGAAAGTGAAGAAAACATGACAAACTTTATTTTCTGTACGATGGGTTTAAAGAGATCTCCTCATGTGTGAGATAATTGTGCTGTTTGTTAAGGTGCAGTGATGTTACATGTCATTAAAGAGTACTCAGGTTGATTGTTCTGTTTCTGCTGCCATCTAGAGGTTCAGAGTTCAAAATCACAACAAGCTCTGCTCACACACTGACTAACAATGTCACCTTGGATTCAACTTAAGGTGCAATCAAACAGAAAGCATTAAAGTCACAGTGCTTTTTTCCTTGTTTTCTTTGTTTTAAGTTTGCTGGTTCTCCTGAACACATTCTTTTTTATCACTTGGTCATTAGAGAAGTACTGCTGGGAGTGCTGGTTGTTAGTTCCCCTAATATAACGGTCTTTTCAGCGCACTTACGGATCAAAAACTTCCCAGTCCTCTTCATACGAGGTTTCTGCTGGGGCTGGAGGTAATGTGTGTCGGTAACCGCCGTCTGGCATACACCCAGGGACTGCTGCAGACAAAGAGATAGAGAGAAAGCTACAGTGTTATGATCTTGCACAGACAGCTAAAGTTGAAATGTTCAGTTCCTTGAGTTTATATTTTTTTCGTCACCCCACAGAACCTAAAATTTCTCATTTCCCTTTAGCTCTACTTTTGAGTTAAACTGTTAAAAACTCGAGCAGTCTCCTCTCCCGCTTTAATGGCTGAGAATTTGTGAAAATGGTCATACCTGTCAGCGGCGGCATGTCAGTTTCTGTGACAATTTCCCCTTCCTCTATGTTGGTGTCAGGGGTCATCTGAAGCCTCTGTGGTAAAATGGGGGCTGTGTGACACGGAGTGATGCTCTCTGTGGATGTGAGGGTGCTGCTCGGCATTTCCTCTGCCTGCTCAATGTCCAGCTGTTTCATGATTTCCTCTGCCTCCATCGCCTGGCCTGGAGAGTCTGAACCAGGAGTGGCTGTCGAGAGAGGATGAGAGGGTCAGCACAGCTTCAAACCAAGTTGTAATTTTTCTTTTAATCAATCATGCCTTGTGTTCATTTTATACATTAATAGAGTGTTTTACCAGTTTTAGTTGCTGGTGAGAAAAAGTTGAAGACTGGAGAAAAGATGGTTCCTAGCAGAGTGGTGCGCGGTGGGCTGCTTGCTGCCTCAACAGGGGCCTCCAACTTACCATTGGGTTTAATGGGTTTACTGTTGCAAGTCATTGTGTCTGAAAGACAAACTGTTTGAGAACAAACCCACAACAACACAAATGCACATTTCTGTTTCTTTAAAAACACAGCATATGATCTGCCACTCTGCAGCCAAAGCCTTATTTTATAACGCTTGTATCTGAGTTTGTAGTACCTTTATTTGGACTTTTCCGGCAAACTCTGGAGACTGATTTGCTGGCAAGGCCTCTGGTCTGGGGTGTTGAAGTGATTAGATCGCTGTCAGAGTTACAATCAATACGACTCCTCTTGGCTGGGATATCCTGCTCAACCTGAGAGGAGTAAAAGCAGAAATGCAGAAGCAGTCAGAGCTGCAATGGTTCACTGAATGTGTGAAATTTTACCTTTTCAGTCGAGGGATTTATTGTTTAAAAGAAAGAGAAGAGCAATGGACATCTTAATCCATGTTTAAAGGATGAATGTATTTCTTAATTTCAGTTTGGGCAAATTAAACCATGTCAGTAGAGACGGTTGTAATTCTACTGTGCATTTAAAGAATTTCAAACTATACAAACTAAAAGATTATCTCAGCATTTGTACGGTTTCCGTCTTTTTAGTGGTGAAATATACACACTAAAACAGATTACCCATTTGTCTGAGCTCAGTGCACTTGTGAATGTGAGTGTGTTTCCCTACAGAGTATCTGTATGTCAGCAGCAAACAGTGACTTATTAACAAGCAGCTGAAAACTGTTATGCAAGCCCACCTTGACTGCATTTCCACGGATAAACTTCTTTATCGTGGAGAGCAGGCCGGTTTCATTCTTCTGCATTTTGCCTCGACCTCTGACCGGGGAGGGCTCCACTTCACAGTGTTTCCGTTTGGCCTGGGACGGGTGTGTTCGACGGCCTATGTTGGGCTGCTGAGGAGCTTTACGCACTCTCAGCCTCATCATGCTCCGACGTCACATAGAAAAATCTACACCACAAGAAAAAAAGTGAAAGAGACAGTGCTTTAGTTATGACAGCCACCAGGATTTTCACATCTTTTTCTTAAACATACATTTTCAACAAACTGTAAGAACTAAAAGTTTAATAATATCAAGGATGCTCAACTGAGTGTTCACCGAGCCTTTGTTTGATAGTTTTGCTCAAATATTTAGATGTTTTCATCTTCTTCTACTTTTCTCAAATGGATCTTTTAAAGCTTTGTGCAACAAATTCCTTAAACACGTCTTCTTTAGACACAAACTCAATCAGTCAACCAATTCAACGACAACAAGAATCTGACCAACCATCAATAAAAAGACCAATCATGTTGTCTTGATTGGACATAAATGCAAAAACAACATTTTAAAAAGGTACATTGTGAAGTATTTAGTATTGGCCAGACATCGATAACATCTGGGAACTCTAATGCAATCCAAACATGCTATGCTTCTTTTAAGGGAACTTTTAATTCACAGTTTTTGTGGACAGGATCAGACAGTAGTTAGTATTTTTATTTTGGGGATGTGGCGGGTGACGGTGGTGGGCACTACTGGTGCATTATAGAGAAAGGTGTTACTTTATGTATAAACACCAGTGACACATGTCAATATGACACACTTCAGTTGCTGTTGTTTTGGGTTGCATACACTCACTGGTTGGATTATTATTTCCAAACTGGTCAACTGGAGGATTATTTTCTAGCTTCAGGAAAAATTCACATTTAAGACGCAGGAATCCGATTTTAATAAGTCTTCTCAAACCAGTTGCTCAATAACAATAGTTGCACTAAGTTTGGTAAACGACAGCTTCAAAAAAAAAAAATTTCATTGCAGCTATAATAATGAATAATGATTAAAAAAATGCACTTTTCATTCATCTGTAACTTGTGTTACCCTCAGTGATCCATTTATAAAAATAAGACTGTTAAATTACTGTTTTGCAGCAAATTTCCCTCCTTTAGTTTTAGAAAATTGCTCCATAAATATTAAACATGCAATGATCAATTTTGGGGGATCAGTGATTGGCTGATCCTTACACATAAAACCGATTTTATCCACCAACCTTATCTACCTCAGCAAAGGTCTTAAAGTCAGCCACCGTAGCTTTTGCCAGAATGACAGGCCAATCCACCTGTAGTTAGTTTGTCCTGTAGATTATTATTTTACTAACCTCCTCAAACCTTGTGATTTCCTTTATTTGTAAAAGCAAAATACCGCTGTGCACTTGGATAAAAAAAAAAATGGATTGGTGCATCTCTAGTTCCAGGAGTATTGTTTAATGTTTTTAATTAAAATAAGATTGACGCATCAAAAGTGTAAGTTGTCAGTTCTTAAAAAAAGGTATGAGCAGGTCAAACTTTTTAAGGATCGGCGATCGGCCAGAACTATGTGATCGGTGCACCCCTAACAAATACGATCCACTGACCTTTGGTAATAATTACAGAACAGCTAAAACATTTTCATTTTGTCGCCGCGGTCATTTACAGACATGTAAATAAAGTTAGACAGCTTCTCACCCCTGTGTATGTCAGGCAGTCCGAGTGGAGTGGGCGGTGTTCGTGATAAACATAATGTACTAACAATCTGTAATAAGAGGCCTTTTGCGATAACTCATAACTGAACCGACGTGAAGTAGGAGAGCAGAGGCTATTGTGTGTTTGTTTGTGATGCCGCATTGTGTGTCGGATTTGGGATCATATAGTAGTCAAATAAGATCTTGTAGCAGAAAAGCATCGCTGCTGCCTGTTATGTAACATCGGGCAGGCTGTAATAACACCGACGACGTCAGCCAGCTAACATTAGCGCTAATGTTAGCCAGCTGCTGATATTTAGCATCAACAGCTCGGTGCACACTCAAAACTGCTTTGACACTCGTCTCTTAGAGGTGGCGTGACAAAATCGTGAATAACCACGGCCAAAGCTGACATTAAATCATCGTTTGATGCAAGCGCTTGCAACTGGAATCGATCCAAACGTAACGTGAACCAGATGCTGCCTTCGAGTGCTAACAAAACCGCCCGTGGCAGCAGAAGTAAGGCCGTGACATTATCCACTAAAGCTCCCACAACACACTCCAAGTCTGTTCCTGTGAATATATACGTGTAAACCTCGCAAACTACATGTCAATTTTCGGGTCACACAAAGCTCCAGAGGGGCTAACAACGCTTTAGCTAACGCGTCATTTTGTTAGCCCCCATGACTATTTTCAGCCATTAGACTACGCCCCCTTCACTAGCTAACATTAGCCTCTGAGCTAGCAGCAGTCAATGAGAACACATCTTTTTTGTTTACATGTTGACGCCGTTTGTTACCTGCTGATGATTTAAGGAGCTCCTCGAAACGTTGCCGTTGCGTTGTCAGCTCTCGGCCGCGACCGTGGCGGCCACCAGCGGGAGGCCTGGCCGTGGTTGTGCTGCCAGCTGCGTCTCTCCACTCGGTGGCTACTCACTGAACACCCGTGTCTGCGGACGCCATTTCCCGCCTCATCACAAACATAACGCTGGTGGTGCTGCGCAGGAGAATGCGACACACACACGTATAGAAACAACGTGGCGGAGAGCGGCGGCGGAGTCAACAGGAAAATGGCTATGGGGCGCGCGTGTGTGCGTGTGCGCGCGCACAGCTGTGCTGACGCTCGCGACTACATGCTGGTTTTGTTGCGTGAGTACGAGAAAGGTTTTAAAACTGGTGAAGAATGTTTCTGTCTTTCCGTAGACCGGTGGTTATTTTATTTTTTTTTAACTTTTAATGCGTTTTTTTGTCAATATCAGCACAATCGTCTTTGATCAGATTTTAAAAATGCGACTGTGCAGCAATTTTTCCTCCTCTGATTTTAGCAAATTGCTCCACAAATATTAAACATGCACAGATAAATCGGCCGATCGATCAATCGGTGCCGATTTTCTCAAAAGCTTTTTAACTGGTGAATAATATTTCTTTCTTATCATAGACTGGTGTTATGACTGGTGGTTATTTTCTTTTTAAACTTTTAATACGTTCTTTCATCTTTTTTTTTTTTTTACCTCCATCTTATTTCGATTTATTGTCCTTTTAGCCTTAGTTTTCCTTATAACATTTTCTTATTTAACCTTTAATGCCTTTTATTGTTTTTTTCCTGCTCATTTTTGTTATCCCATTTTATCATTCCTATTACCATCATTATTATTTTATTATCATTATTAATATCATCTTTTTATATTTACTATCCTGTTTCCTGCTTTCTACCACCCTTTTTATTACATTTCTTCTTCTTACCTATTTTATGTTTTTATTTTGCTCATTTTTGTTATTCCATTTTATCATTCCTATTACCATCATTATTATTTTATTATCATTATTAATATCATCTTTTTATATTTACTATCCTGTTTCCTGCTTTCTACCCCCCTTTTTATTACATTTCTTCTTCTTACCTATTTTATGTTTTTATTTTGGTCCTCATGGTCTCATTTTATGTTGTAGGGTTCTTGTATTGTCTGGGTTTCTTATGACAAATGAAACTGGCCTTCAATTCAGAGGCCTTGTTTTTAACCGAGCTTCTGTTTTTTATTTGTTTTTATTTCCATGTGCCGAGGCTTTGCAACTGTTAATGTAGCCTAACAAGGTAACCTAGAGATGAGAACCATATTGGATGATGGAGGATTGTTTTTAGTGTAATTTACAGCTGATTAGAGACACAGGTCACAACCGACCCTTAACATGATGTGTGTGTAGTAAAAGCTAACACAGGAGGAAGGTTAAATATAGTTGGGAAAATATATTATAGCATAATCTTGGTGAAAACAACCAGATTTAATACAATTACACTCCTCCATCACATGCACAGATGATTTCTTGAACCCTGGAGGCCACACTTTTGAGCCCAAGCACAAGACATTTGAGCCGACAGACTATGTAAAGTCAGTTTTGATAATATAATGGAGTAAATATATTTGATCTATAATAGTATTAATATTTAACTTGCAAAAATTAAAAATTAAAATAGGTGCTAAATGTAAGCTAATTTTCAAATCATTGACTATTTAAGGGTCTAGCTTGTTATGGTGGTGGTCACTACCGCTAATGTAGCGACCAAATTATTCTGTAACCATACAATAATTTGTACATCAATTGTCTAATATTTTGAAGACCATTCCAGTTGTTTAGACAACTACATTTCTGTTCATGCCATTGCATTAGTGTTTTTACAAGTTGTTTTGTTATTTTATTCTACAGTTTCCAATTTGGAATATTTACAAAATTCTCATGGGAAGTTTCTGGTAATTTACCGAAAATTTACTGGAAATTTTCCACCTCTTTGCAACCCAAATTACGATGAACTTTGAGTGTCATAGATGCCAAATTTGATAACAGTCAGTTTTTGATCATCGTAGTAGGTTTAAGGCTCAAAGAATAGGTCTACCATAGAGTCCTAGTATCACAAATACTGAGTATAGCATAAACAAAACAGACTTGAAAAATATAACATTGCTTAAATTTGGGACCACACTGTTGACATCTTATTTACACCAATTTATACAGTTTTAGTGTAAAGACTCAAGTGTCGAGATTTTAGTGCTATCAACATAAAACCAGAAAACAAGTATTATAGCTCTTGCCATCTCCAAACAGCTGATAGAAAAAAAATGTAATCGTACTTTTTTGAGAGAGAGAGAAAGAGATAGAGAGGTATAATGTTCACAGATTATACAACATTATAAAAATAAAAGGCACATAATATCGACTCAGTTTGACAGCCTTTCCTTAAATAGGTGTTGCTGCCCTGAAACCCTCTCGCCATCTATCCAAAGCTTCAATTCAGAGGAGTGTGGACACATTTTTGTGCTTGCCCTCCAATTAAATCTCCATGGAGGTTCAATGATCAGATTGGTAAAGGCAGAGGGACCTTATATTCACTGTGTCTTCACGTGATTATCATGACGATTCCTCTGTTTTCTGTCAGTCCTTTGGTATGTGTCTTCTCTGTGCCACTCCTTTCTCTGGAGTTTTAAAAACTATTACAACAAACTTAAAAAGTAATGCTGCTGTTTTATTTCATCCCAAGATGAAAGAGTTTCCTGTATGGAGCTGGTCCACCCCACACTCCCCTGAAGTAAGATAAATAAAGAGCATAGATTAATTATGTTGGTACCATTTATTTTGCAAATTTTTACAGTATTAATTGATGAAATCCCTACATACCTCAGAAGGCCATGCCAGTAGAGGTGAGGCATCATATCAGCTTTCAAGTGGTACATGATTCGTCTCTCTTTGGCTTGGTTGATGGGGAACGTCTCCAGTGGTTGTAAATTGTAGTCAAACTCTGCCAGAATTACCGTGTTGTAGCTTGTAACCAATGGACATGAGGTGTAGCCAGTATACTGGAAAGAGGGACATTATTGAGTACTTGTATATTATACCCACAGTGACACATCCAAAAAAGCATTCTCAGATTTCTGATTTCAATTTGGCACTTACAATCTTATCTGGCTTTTCATTTTTTAGTATTCTGCTGATGGTTCTGTTCAGGATAGCAGACTGTGCAGCTGAGGGTGAAAAATAAGATTATCTTTTTAAGTCTTCTGTAAAGTTAGAAAATGGCTTTGTTACACATTGGACAGTTATTTTCTATTTCCTTGCTCCTTCTTATATATTAATAGACATAATATCTGAAAAAAACAGCAACTGCAGCTACAGTGCCTAGACTTAACAGTCAAGCAGACCACATTGTAAAGTTTGGCTGTTTTAAAATCATCATTTTAATTGAGGCTTATTTCTTAAAACAGATTGATTTGTGATTGCTAGTTTTCAAGTGTATAATGAAAAGTTTATAGTTTCACTTACCTACAGCAGCAGCTGTTCTGGCTGTGGGAAGGTTGGTACAGTCTCCAATCCCAAACACATTTGGATACCTCTTGTGTTGAAGGTTTTCTTTGTTAACATCCAACCAGCCAGCATCATCAGCCAGTGGACTGCTTTTAATCACCAAATTTGGTCCCATTGGTGGCACCGCATGAAGCATTTCATACTAGTTAAGAAAAAAAAAAGTTATAAACTCTTATTGTTTTCAGTTTGGCGTATTAGCAGGAACAAATAACAGACAATGTTTTTGATTCTTTATAACATACGGCACATACACACAACAGCATTATTTCAGGGTTACAACCTTAAATCTATATCTCAAGCAGTTGATACTCCACTACGTTGTTAGACACGGTTGACCCACAATAACACAGTTACCTCAATCACTGTGGTTTCGCCCGGTTTGTCAAGATTTTCAAACACAGCTTCTTGCTTGTCTGGCCGCACTTCAATCAAGTTGGTCCTCAGGTTTACTTGAAGGTCACGTTGTTTCACAATCTCCCACAGTGCATCAGCATATTTCTTGACCCCAAAGATCACAGGTAGTGATGTGTTGTATATTATGTTGGCTTTTGCCCTTTTACCTGACTTGGATAAACAAAACAAGTATTTTTTTTTATTTATAAAACCAAACTTGAAATGTTAAAAATTCAGTGTTCCTTTACTTTGAAAAGTTAAGACCTACCTTTCTAAAATAATCATCTGACAGATACATGATCTTCTGTGGAGCTCCAGGACACTTTATAGGTGTGTTTGGGAAAGTGAACACAGCATTGCCCTCTTTAAAGTTCTGCAAAGCCTTCCATGTTTTCTCCACAGTTTTGACTGAGTAGTTTGACCCGATCTTTGGATGTTCCAGTCCTTCGACCAGTCCTTTGACCTACAAATAACAACAGTATATATTTTAACAGTGTGTGTTGAGTTGAATGTATGTAATTCAGTACATGAAAACAAGTGTTACTTGTTAGAAATAGAGTTAAATATTAAATCATTACCTTCTCAAAATGGAGTTGTAAACCAATAGCCACGATCAAATACTCATAGGAGATCTGTGATGTGAAATGAAGACTGAGTGATGGTACATGTTACACACACTGGTTCACAATCGCTTCGATGTACATGTGTAGAAAAAAGCGTTGATCAAGCATCATTACCTCATTTCCATCATCTGTTCTGACAGTGTTTGTGTCCGGGTTGATTTCCTGAACTTTTGATTTCACCCACTTCACTCCAGATGGTATGACACTTGCAGTAGGGCGACCTGACGAGGCTACAGTTTTGGCACCAGCACCAACCAGGGTCCATATTGGCTGATAATAGTGAGTCTGTGAAAAAGAAAAGAGTTAAATGATACCGGGTAAGCGGAATGGTGAAAACAAACCCAAACATTGTAGCCTAATGTTTGAACGTGAAGTGTTTCAATTATGTAGATTCTTGCCTCACTGGGCTCCACAACAGCCACACTCTCAGCTCCCATCATCCTCTTCATGCGTGCACTCATAGTAATGCCTCCACTTCCTCCTCCCAGAACAAGCATTTTGTAATGCTGTTTGGCAGAGGCCTGGCTGCTTGTGTGAAGATGAGATGTAACAATGCCCATGGGGCGGCATTGCCTTAGACGTCGCAGTGCAGCCATCCTGTGTCTGAATTTTGAACGCAAATACCCTTTGTTAGAAAACAAACAATAATCACAACACTTTTCTAAGTAGGAAACAGTATTTTATTATCTTCATGTGGTTAAACTAAAGCTCTGCAATCTACTATTAAGAGCAGTATAATCATTAATCTGATTGTGTTCGTACTGCCCATGTAACAACACACTAATCAGATAATACTAGATAGAGCTACCTGACTGAAAATACATTTAGAGCAAACTCGGTGGTTAATTTGAATTACTTTTGATGACTTCAAGATTAAAATTTAGCATGATGAGAACCTGAATTGTTGTGATTAAGATTTTTTTATTTGCTTATAGGCCTACTCCTCTACTTTTTACCTTAGTTTTAGATAAGCCAATAGTCTAATTAAGTCTAATGACAAATGCATCACGATTATTCTGGTTTGTTTACATCTTAACCTGAGTTGAGCTGTTGCATTGCATTAACTGAGCCTCCAGTCTGTCAAGCATTCCTGTACTGGACCCACGTGGGAACTGTCATTCCAACAATATATTATATAACATTACACTCAGTTAAAGTTTGTAAAATTCCTTTAAAAAAGCAGACATGTAAGACCCTACCACCAACGCTGCTGTAGATCACCTGTTTTTCTTGTCAATTTCCACCAGATTCCGTAACTTCAGTCCTTGCCGTCATTCAGTGGGACAACAGCACCTGGTTTGTAAACTTCGAACTTGTTACTTAACCCAAAGTGAACTTACAGTCGTCCCTCTGTCGCAATAGTTGGGTCGGAGAAAGTACAAAGTAAAACCAACGCCCCGCCTCTTTTATCATTTGGACCAATCATACGCAACGATTCCTGCCCTTTTCAATTTGCAAAGCAATCTTCAACCAAGACAATTTCGATCATCCATGAAGGGCCTTTAAAGGAAGAAGTCGTAAAATCGTTTCCCGAAAGTTGAAAAATGTATTTTCAATCAACAAACTTTGATGTTTCTTTGGTAGATTGAGCCTGGATAGTTGAATTTGGCCCTGTGTGGTCTGCAAGTCAGCAGGCCAGTGTTCCTCTATTGTTAATTTACTCACAATTTAAGACCATGACTCTCATCAGATAAGTAGACTTGAAACCGTTCAAATTTCATATTTTCCAGTGTTCCCTGAATGCAGCACTATATGCAGGCTAAACATCACAGATACAGTCTACATTCACAAATCAGAAAACTGCACATAAGCAGTTCCTCTGATTGCAGGCATCAGTCTAACCTGTTTTACAGACAATCTCTGTGTACCACTAGTCAAGACTGTCTGACCCTACAGTGCATGCCAGTTAACTTCCTGAATGGACTTTGACCCAATGTCTAAAGTAGTAAATTAAAGGTACAGTCCACAGAAGCAGGAGTATATAGTGTTTTGACCTCAGATTCTCAACTGACATGCTCCCCTTCTCAACCCTCTTGTAGCTAATATAACAGTAGCTGTAAAGGCAAAGCTCCTTCGATGCATCGGTGTGATCTTCCATTCATTGAGTTTTGCAGCATAAAAATAACCCCTAATCTCATTACTAGTTTGCCCTATGCAACAGTAGAAACACAACAATGCCTGCTCCTATGTAGGTTTGTTAAAACAATTTTTAAATCAAGGTGGTTACACACTCACTTCACTAGTGAATATTTTCTACAAACTGCACCTGTAATTGACACATTGTGACAAGTGTGTAGATGCAGGCCTTGGATCCCAAAGATAATTATATTAAATTATACCAATTAAATGTCTAAAAAACTTTCAAAAGTGTAAACAAAATAGTTCCAAAACTCTGACTTAACTTGCCAACTGCTTGAGATGAATTACACAACTATTAAGGGGAGGGGTTGAAAGCATACAGTCAAGCATTTTCATGAAGAATTGTACTTTAATGGCATTATCACGATATTTGTGTTCATTCAGTGATTGTAATGATTAAAGAGTAAAAGATTAGATTCAAGCAATGCTGATACAAAAAAATAATCACTTCCTTCGTACAAAACTAGATTTCCATACCATTAAATTTGAAAAGCGCTTTTGGTAGATAAATGTGTAAGCTTCCCCTAACAAAAACCTGAACATGCTTTGAAGCACAGAAATGCTTATAAGAGGCTGGGTTGTTTATGCACTACAATGCACAACAGGCCAGTATAGTTAGCTGCAAAAATGACACACACACAAAATAATACATTCAGCTGGACACATAGCTTTGAAAGGGGTAATCTGAAAATACATCAGCTATGTATCTTTGGGAGAACTTTGCAAACCATAGTTAGCATTTATCAAACTTACTGGCGTATATGAGTGCACTGGTCCATCATTGCAGCCTCAGAGCTCTTAATGAGCAGCAACACCAAATTCTGAAAGCACTTTTCATTTACTAGTTAACACTTTAGGATGTAAGCCTACTTGTGCTACCTCAAGCCTATTCAGATATCAGGCTTTGGCAGGCAGTAACATAATCAAACCTACGTTTCAGTCTGCCATGGGGCACATCAAGCTCCTCTCTCCTTCTCTCACTCCGGCTCCTTGTGCTTCATGTCACACTGATGAATGTGACTTACCTACCTCACCAAAGTATTTGTGCTTTTGACATTAAATGTTCTGCAGGAAATAGCTAAAAGTCTGAGTTAAAAGTGGTTAAAAGACATAGAACTGAAGAGTGGAGTGTTAATTGTCATTGTTTTAGCAGTTTGAGCAACTTTTTGTCACTACATGATTCATTTTCTTTAGAGATAGCATCAATGCACCAACGGCTGAAAGGTTAACTGCATGTATTTAAACAGATAAATGATGAACTACTTGAGATAAGTCATGTCCAGGCCATAGATCTAAGTATATTACAAGCTGCTATCAGTTTCCACCTTTTTGGAGACATTGGAGTAGTGGTACAGCTTCCCTTTGACTACAGGGAATGTCATAAAAATCTTGCAAACTGATCATGCAGACTTATTTCATTCCAAGGTGAAGGAGTTTCCTGTACGGTCCCGGTCCGCCCCAGAAGCCCCTTAAATGAAATAAAAAAGAACATCAGATAACTGTGGCGAATGGTGTGGTGCCATCTCTTCTACAAAGTTAAATCTGTCTGAAATCAAGGATCTGCCTACCTCAAAAGGCCATGCCAGTAGAGGTGAGGCATCACATCAGCTTTCATGAGGTACATGATTTGTCTTTCTTTGGCTTGGTTGATGGGAAATGTTTCCAGCGGTTGTAAATTGTAGTCAAACTCCGCCAGCATTACTGTGTTGTAGCTTGTGACCAGTGGACAGGAAGTGTAGCCATCATACTGTGAATGAAGAAAATTACAGTTCATGTGTTCACAATGTTGTAAAAAAGAGGTTATTCCAACAGAGAAGTTGTGATATTTCTCATAGCACACTGGCTCTTACTTTCTTGTCTGGCTTCTCATTTTTTAGTACTCTGCTGATGGTTCTGTGCAGGATAGCAGTCTGTGCAGCTGGGAATGAAAAACAAATGTGAGTCTATTCAGTTGTTACTGTAAAGTCTGAACAACGGTCCAGTCCAAACCCACACTGAACTCTGTTCTGTAATACAACTTATGGTGACAGTAGTTTGTTCAGGTAGTTAGAGTTAGTATCCTAGTGAATATATTAAATGTGAATTCAACAGTAAAATTTCCACCCTATCTTTATCCGATCTTTCCTGACAGCTCCCTTCCAAAACGTCTTTAAAAAGACAGAGAAGCCGTTGTGAGAACATGGCAAGAAATACTCATGATTCTTGGTAAGTGAGGAGGCAAGGTGATGACTTTTATATTATGCTGCAGATGTGAACTCAGAGGAGCAACACTTGACTAAATGGTGGAGCAACTTTGGAAAATTTCTTGAGCGCAGCATTTGTGAACGAGGCTAACAAATGCAACTGGATTTTGATTTACTTAATTACTTTCTCTGTGATGTCAGTGAAGCACTAGACGGTAAAAACAAGTAAAAAACAAAAACTACAGCAATCTTAAAGAAGTAATGCTTGAGGTGATTTCAAAGTGATGTCTTGATAGAGTTTGTCCAGTAGAGTGCGCTCTAATTCCAAATTTCCAATTGGCTCATTTGGTTTCAAATACACAGGAAGTCAGTCTGCAGCCAGAAACACAACAAAGCTACCCTTCATTTGTAGTTCGACTAAACTAGAACTCCCATGTCTCCTCAACAAAGAATTGAGCCTTTGTAGCTGTGAAGTCTAAATACCATGACACAGTTTCAGCATGCCTCACTTAGTGAAAAACATGATGATGACACTGATTATACACGATGAGGATGATCAAATGATCATTTATAGCAGTGTGCCAGGTGATAAGTAGCGCTTTATAACCTGATATCATCAATTATGTCCAGTTGCAGGGAACTGCCCATCATCAAATCCAAAGTTAATGAAGAAGTGTCCCTTATTGCGTCATTACAGTGTGTGGTGTATATTTTATGGATCTTAGTACACTGCCAGTTGTTTTGAAATACACAAAAAGAGCAAGCAAGCAGTTAACGAGTGATAAAGTCATATATCTGTGTGCAGCAACAGTGTGATTTCCAGGATTGCATAGGTGCAATGTTCAAACTGATGACACATTGTTTCACTTACCAACAGCGGCGCCTGTTTTGGATGTGGGTAAGTTGGTACAGTCTCCGATCCCAAACACATTTGGATACCTTTTATGTTGAAGGTTGTCTTTGTCTATATCCAACCAGCCAGCATCATCAGCCAGTGGACTGTCTTTCACCACTGAAATGGGTCCCATTGGTGGTGTGACATGAAGCATTTCATACTATTGAAGGAAAAAAAAATCAGTTTACTGTTCATAAATTATTCACCCAAGTCCCCTCGTCTAATTTGGAAAGCTGGAAAAATGTATGTTGTATTGGATGCTGATTACAGACAATGTATTTTTTGAACTGCCCTCACATTTTTTGCTGATAGGACAGACAAAAAACATTGGAAATAAAGAGGTTAAAGCCTACACTCTAATGGCCACAGTGTTAAGGACTACGGCCTCTGTATATGAGGCCCAGGGTGTTACGACTGAGCTGGACTTGTGCCCAAAAAAGCCAATATTTTTAGTACATGCAGAAACCTGTTGAACACGGCAGAGGCAGTTGATAGTCCACTACAGTGTTAGACACGGTTGACCCACAATAACACAGTTACCTCAATCACTGTGGTTTCGCCCGGTTTGTCAAGATTTTCAAACACAGCTTCTTGCTTGTCTGGCCGCACTTCAACCAAGTTGGTCCTCAGGTTTACTTGAAGGTCACGTTGTTTCACAATCTCCCACAGTGCATCAGCATATTTCTTGACCCCAAAGATCACAGGTAGTGATGTGTTGTATATTATGTTGGCTTTTGCCCTTTTACCTGTCTGAGATAGATACATTAAAAAGTATTTTAAGTTAATTTGATACAGCATGATTATTGTATAATAAAGTGTCAGTACTTTTCTCATGTAAGCATCTGACAGGTACATGATCTTCTGTGGAGCTCCAGCACATTTCACAGGAGTATTTGGGAAGGTGAACACAGCGTTGCCTTCTTTGAAGTCCTGCAGAGCTTTCCATGTTTTGTCCACGGTTGCGACTGAGTAGTTTGACCCTATCTTTGGATAGTCAAATCCCTCTGGCAGTCCTTTTATCTATGTCAAAATGTTTGAAAGAGTTTAAATTTTCTTGGATGCAACTTTATATGTGAAGTAAAAAAATACCTGGTCGAGTTAGGGTTTTACAAACAAAGCATTACCTTTTCATAATGGAGTTGTAGACCAAGAGCCACAATCAAATACTCATAGGAGATCTGCAATGTGAAAAAAAGGTAGATTAATTGTCAGTATAACATCGCTTGACACAATCTAGCTGTACTGTAAATATCTGGCAAGACTTTAAATTTAACTACACTTGTACAAAAACATTAATAATGCAGACATACCTCATGTCCATCATCTGTTCTGACGGTGTTGGTGTCCGGGTTGATTTCCTGAACTTTTGATTTCACCCATTTCACTCCAGATGGTATGACACTTGCAGTAGAGCGACCTGACGAGGCTACAGTTTTGGCACCAGCACCAACCAGGGTCCATATAGGCTGATAATAGTGAGTCTGTTAAAACAGAAAGTTTAAAAACCATGTGTTCCCTGGGAGGAGCTCAAAGCTAAATGGATGAAAGCCACAGATTTGGTCGGGCTGTCTTGTTTGTTTGCTGTTTGCCATGAAGCGGTAAAACAAATAATCATGTGGATTCTTGCCTCACTGGGCTCCACAACAGCAACGTTCCCAGCCCCCATCATCCTCTTCATGCGCGCGCTCATAGCAATGCCTCCACTTCCTCCTCCCAGCACAAGCATTTTGTAATGCTGTTTGGCAGAGGCCTGGTTGGCTGTGTGAAGATGAGAGATAACAATGCCGGCTGGGTGGCACTGCCTTAGACGTCGCAGTGCAGCCATCGTGTCTGTGAAAGGACAAGTACTGAGCATTAAACAACAGTTCATATCAGGTCACTCACTGTTATGCAAACAATGAAAAAGCACAGTCATTGATGCTTTTCATCAACATTTTGCTGATTAGAAAGTACATAGCAGTCTGTGTAAAAGAAAAACAAAGTGGAGGATTTCGGTCTCATGTAACAGATCACTTTGCATCTTAAATTTCTCATCTACTTAAAGATTGATGGTTCTGGCATACACTAATGAGATCAGTAAGATCATGAATTGAATTGTGGTTCATAGCTATTGTAACAAGGTCGTATTAGAGATCAATTAAACTCGCATACACAGGAATCGTATCTAAATGCACATTCAAAAAGGTTGAACAACGATAGCTGATCGACTAAAATATCAATGTTGAGATGATCTGCTTTACCTTGACTCGGGAGAGCTTGACTTGGACAAGTAGCCTTACAGAAACCAGAAATCCTTATGAAAGAAGCACACATAACAAATAAGTGATATAACAAGCTGACTTTATTCCGGGTTTGTTTTCATTATAATTGACGATGAGTCTTGACACTGTCGACTGCGTCATGAACTCACCCACCCTCCCTAACTGTCATTCCTGAGCAGACCTAACGTTACATCAACCCGGTAGACCACCAGAAAATGGGTTATTAACCTCAACTGCAACACTGAAAAACACCGACCTGACCAATACTTACAAAAACCAGCACTGCTTTTGCCCTCCGACAGACAATTCAGTCCGGTCAGCTGTCTCTAGGTAGAGGAGGTAACCCTGTTACCACCTGTGTATCCCAATGTGAACTTTACGTTACTTCTCCGTTATGGGACGAACCGAGCGTACGTTTACGTTTATGCCGTCCCCAGCATCGTTCGACCAATCAAAAGCGACAAGCCCTAACTGTCAGGTTATTATGCGAGGGTTATGCACCTTATTTTACTGAAGCGAAGAGTCTGGTTTTGTTCGTCTTCGGAGGATTGTCGAGATACGTCACCCTAAAAGTGTTAACGTGGTGTTAGAAGATCGTCGAAAAGTTTCATTTCCACCTTCAGTCCGTGGACGTCAGCTCTCCCGACAGCGTATAGCCCCGTCGTCCTCAGACACTCTGTAAAGCTCGTTTGTAAAAATATACTTAAACTTGTTGTTGCTTCCCGTTGTCTACAGGCTTATCTGTGGGGACGTCTACACTCTATAGGGGAAACAGGCGGAGACAGTGATCTGTTGTTAAGAGTATCCAATTGTCCAATTTCCCATGAATGCAGCACTTCCTGCAGTAAAGTAAAGCAATAAAACACAACAGCTAAATCTGACCAAGATCAAACATTCTGTCTCAAGGACTAGTGGCATCACTCTAGTCCACGAGGAACATCTTGCCCATACAAATAAACTTATTGGTCATGACCAATTAATTACTTATATCCTAATCCTGTAAACTGAATTCATTTTGTTTCACCATTACATGAGCTGCTGTTGTTGTTGTTGCTGTTGTTTTAATGTTGCTGCTGTCCCCTGTCTCCCTCCCTCTCCCTTACTCATTCTCTCTCTCCTTCCCTCTATCTTGTTCTCTTTCTCTCCCCCTATATCTCAGTATTCCTCCCCAACCCAGCAGCAGCCTGGTGGCTGTCTAACATGAGTCTGGTCCTGCTCAAGGTTTCTGCCTGTTAAAGGAAGTTTTTCCTTGCCGCTGTTACTCATGTTAGATGAGATGGACCAAATCCCATCTTAAGTTTGGGTCTTGATAATTCATCAAACAATGAGCGTAGTCTAGACCTGCTCTTGTTCTTTGAAAAGCGTCTTGGGATGACGACTGTTGTGAATTGGCCAATATAGATAAAATCTGATTCATTGATTGATTGATGACCATAGACTGTGTATAAAAGTACACTTAAGCCCCAAAATTATTCATACCCCTGTCAAATACAAGAAAGTTCTTATTTTTTCAGTTATGCTTAAGTATTTCACTTAAGATTTGATATAAATAGGACACACAAAAAAGTCTGAAGCCATAACCAATTTATTTCAGATATAAAATGTAAAGAAACATCTTTAACAGGGGTGTAAACAAAGAAATCACACCGTCCAAAATTCTTCATACCCTGTCTCTATAATCAAAAAACTAAAACTCTGAAACACTGAAAACAATATTAAACACTTAACCACATAGGGAGAATGTCTTGTTTGAACATCCTGTAGTTATCTGTCTCGGTATCATTGGGGTATGAATAATTCTGGACATGGTGACTTTTTGTCAAAGTTTAATTTAATACCTATAACAGTGTTACTCAACAACACTTAATTGGTCATGGCTCTAGACTTGCCTGCATGTCCTATTTATGTCAAATCTGAGGTGAAATACTGATGTGTAACTTAAAAAGTTAAGAAATTCCTTATGTTTGACAGGGGTATGAATAATTGTGGGCTTAATTGTATATACAGTATATACAGTCTACGGTCATGACTATAAGCCACAAATGTGCAGTAGGTTTGCGGTACCTATTCCAATAAATTCACATTATCATTTCAAATTTTTTTTTGTATCACAATTTAAAGGAGGACTTTTTCTGCTGTTTAGAACAAAACATGTTTGGTTGGTGAGTTGTGGTAATTTTGTTCCTTTAAAGGTGGATTTTGTGATCAGAGTTAATGCCTGTGGACATAAAATTGGATTTGTGACCATCACTGAAACATGGTTTGGGATTCAATTTTGTTGGCTTACTCTGTCATCTGGTTTACAGCTGAACTGTTTTCCAGTAGACAAGACAAGAGAAAACTATTTGGCAATGCCGCCCTAGATTTCAGTTTACAACATTTGGGAGTGTTACCTGTTGTAAATGTGATTGCAGTCATTACAATTCTGGTTTATTGAGGGATTTCATTTTTGCCAGGTGATTGCAGGGGTCCAGCTAACAAAGGTTAACACACTTTTTACAGAACTGCAGTCATCACTGTCAGTAGTACATTAACTCTACCTATCTAAATATGAGCCTGTGATAGTCACCAAACGGTTCAAAATTCAAAAGGAAAACATGGATATGAAGGAGTTTAGAAGTAGAAGTAATGAAAAAAAATAATGGAATTGATGGAAATAATGGAAATTTCCAAAGATAGTCAAATATTGTGCTGTTTAGAGTGTGGAAGAGCATTTAAAAGTTTATATCTTTGAGTCTTTACATTTTATAGTAAAACTTCTAATTTTAAAATGCTGAACATACTTAAATAATGTAGGCATAGCACCATCATGTGGTTGGTTATTGAATTCTATATCTAAAGACTACATAACTTGCTATTGCTGGATGTAGAAAAACAGTAACAATACCCTGTGCTCCTTAGATTACTCCGATTCTTTATAGAATTGTTGCATGTGTGGGTAGAGTGGGGCAGGAGGTAGGGTGAGAGAGGGGTGAAAGCAGGGAAACCTACACAGTAACTGATAATACCAACACTTTAATATACATATTGTTTGATTGCATAGAATATCTTCTCTGTAAACAAAGTGTGATTACATAGAGCCCTACAGCAGTGGTGTAGTGGAGATGTATTGATGTTTTTGTCATTTCAGAGACATAAAATTGTCTATATTTCATAGCAGCAAAAGAATCACCTTGTTTGCTCAACAGGTAAATCATACACTTTAGTTTCCATAGCAGCTCTCTCAGCCCTGAGTTAGAAACCACTGCAGGATTACTTTCAGATTTACCCACAGATATGTCAATTAATACTTTATATTGCAGAATTACTGTTGCAGAGATGTAAAAACAGAGCTGTTTCTCAAAAGCATGTGTATGACACATCCAAGGTTGATTAAGAAAGCCCCATGACATGCTATAGTGTACTCTACTTAATGAGATATGATGGGCAATTTCAGTTAAGTTTTGTGAATAGAGATACTGGACAAGTATGTAGTTGTTTTGGGATCATAGGATTTAAAAAAAAATCAAGTGGCAGAGGTAGTAGTGGTTACAGCAGCTGCATCACAGAACCAGCTCTAACACTGCAGTTTGTTCAAGAATTGCCCGGTGTGTGTGTTTTTATGTTTTCAAGTAGTGTTTAGAGTCAGTTTTCCCAAATGAATCTCTTTTTTTCACAGTGGGAGGGAGTAATGAGAGAGAGAGAAGGAGGGAGAGGGAAGGAGAGAGAGAGAGAGAGAGAGAGAAAGAGAGAGAGAGAGAGATTCTATTACATACGTTCATACACACATACATTCAAGCTCAACCAATGTTGCCTCATCTCCCTGATGAAGACTGCAGCCTCAGCTCCATGTTGTCGCTCTTAGTGGGTAATCATCGGTGAGTTTCATCGGTCCAGTCTCACTCTTCTTCTGCAAATTTCTCCCTTAACAGCATGATCACAGCCCACACCATCTTTTCTAGGAGCCTGCTCTTAGTGGATGGATGGATGGATGGATGGATGGATGGCTCTTTGTGGATAAAGCTGCAGAATGTGGTGCTAGTGCTCGTCACAAATGGCAAGATTCATGGAGACAGCTGAGGAAAACACCTGTGACAAACTCCTGAAAGGTAAGAAATCCTTTCTCCTACTTCATTTCTTAAAGAAATTAAGAAACTGTACGACTTGTTAGGAGGTTACACCCCCAGCTTTGTCCTGCTCACCTGGGATCTCTTAGCCAAGGATGCTCAGTTCACAGGGGATTTACCTCCTGCTTACACCAGCCTTTCATTAAAGTTGCTTCTCTGTGCAGAAAAGAAACACAACACCAGTTTGTATTGTGAGTTGCCTCACTTCACACACTGTGGTGTTTTTAATGCACATACGGGCTCAGTTTTTATTTACTCAGATGCAAGAGTGGAGGAAGTATTCAAATATGTTAGTGTAGGCTCAAAAACAATCCACAAGACAAGATAAACTGCTGTGTTTAACATTTCTCTCCAGTAAATGTGTTGATACAGTATGTTTGGATTATTGTTACTATTACTTATTTCTTTTTTTAAACAATAAGCAAGCAATACAGAATTTAACACACAATTAAAACATGCAAAATACAAATATACAGAACTTTTGTTCTATTTTAGGTGTTGGGACAGGTTGCTGATTTTCCTTGCATTTAAATTTAACTTATTTCCATGTATTTGTAATTTACTTTTTCTTGCGACTTTTGACTTGAGTCCTTTAACTGAAATTGTCAAGAAATTTAGTGTAGTAACGTGTAACATTTACCTCTGACCTATGGAGAAGCTGCAGAATGGGGTAGTATGAAATTAAAATATTATTCCTGACAAATGCCCACTGATGTTTCATTTCACTTTTGATTTCTTCACATAATTTAAAGAACCTTCTGGAGAGTCCCAGAGAAGATGGCCTTCTGGAGTAGAAAAACTCACATCGGTAAGATTTGTTTTTCTGTATCTTCTTGGTTTGGAGTTAACAGGTTGAAACTTGTGCAGAAAAAGTGAAATGTTATTGTTTGTCTGGAAATCAGCTTTTCCTCTCACAGTTCCACCGGTAATCCACAACCTACGGAGTATACGCCATGCTGTTGTGGAGAAACAATGTGTTATGTTCACAAACCTTTTAATTATATGTTTAAGCAGACCTCTAAAGATCAGAAAGGTGTCTTAATAATTAATGGTCATTGTAGCAGGGTGAGGACAGTCTGTTGTGTGAGAAGGTCTCCTCTGTGTACATGCGCTCTAAATAATTCAACAACGATTTAACCTTGTTGGATCTGACAGTGTGCTGATAATGTAGACCTCTCATGAATGTTTTCACCATGCTGCTGCGGTCTGATATTTATTTTGTTGTTTGTGAGTCAGTGTATATATTGACTGTTTAAAAAGCGTGACTTAAGATAATCATGAATCTTAATGCATTATGTTGACAAATGAAGCAGGAAGTAAATGCTGAACAGGAACTGAAAAATGAAGCCTTTACTATCATACTTATATTAAGTGTCCTGGTGGATTCATGTGTATTGATCACATATGTGTGTTAATAGTGAAATATAAAATTTCAACCACAGGACAGTTCTTTCTCATCATTTTGTGGATAAAGGCATAATTGTGTTCATAGAGAATGGTTTGTGGAAGTGGCTTTGAGCCCATGCGGTGGTTTTCACTGCAGAGTCACGTCAAACTTCACTCTGATAACAAGCTGGGCCCTCTCTTTGCAAATACGAGTACATGGTGTCCATGATTTCCAAAAACAAATGACCAGAAGGCAAAAGACCAGAGGCATCTTCCCATACAGTTCTCAACTAAGTCCATCTTAAAGTGAACCTGAAATCTCATGTACTGTACATGTTAAAGAAGTTTTTTCAGACAAAATCTTCATCCTGTTGTTTCCTGACAATGAAAGTTATCACTCACTGTGAGTCTTTGTCGTGTAAAAAGGCCAAACGTCTATTTTTCAGCCTGCTGTCAATCATCTTGTCTGACATCTAGAAATCACCACAGTGAAATCATCAGACTTGTTGCTGATGGTCTTTTTTTTGCTTTTGAATGTCATTAGAAAACAGAAGGTATGGAGTTAAAGCAGTCTGACCTTCTCCTACTGACATGTAACAAACACGGACGTCATTGAAGTCAGATAGCCTGAACGAGTGACATCTGCCAGCAGGTGACTAAGTGCTGCGGTTGGCACTGCTTCCTCCCAACAAGTGGGTTCAGGGTTTGGTAAGAGGTTACAGCACTCCCTTTTTGGGGCAAGACAATTCTTGCTTTTTCATACTTATATGCAGATCTTGACTCGTACAGACAAGAATGAACTTGTAAATTATACAACCTGAACAGGAGGGAGGTGTGTTTACACAACGATCAGATCTACTTCTATACAGGAAGTAGGTTCGGAGCTTGTAGCCAGGCTTGGGCCTTCAGTTTTTGGAACAAAGTTGTTCTGGCCTTTCCCCACTGGAATGTTGAACATGATTCAAAGTACTTGTCATTGTAAGTAAAAAAAGACATCAGCATGTGACACCTACCAGCTGGTAACTTGGCACAATGGTTAGCACTGCTGCCCCAAGGGGCAAGTTAAAGTTCATTCAGGGTTAAAGGCGAGAGCGTCTCCCTGTATGGAGCAGGAAGGTTTTTGTTTTCTCCTACTTGAGTGTCTACCCTGTTTTTGAACCGCCAGAATGGACTTGTAGGTGAAATTACCCGAACACACATTAATTGTGTTGTTATTCTACAGTGAGCTCTGCTGCCGATTGAGATGTTGGCTCTGGTTTAGGTTAAAGGAATGTACTTGAAAGTCACAAATAAAACTGCTGGGCAGGTGTGAGCTGGCGGTTAGAACTGCTTTCTGGTTCTACTTACAAATCCCAGACATGTTTGGCGGAATGAGAGGCTTGAATACTTGATTTATTTCTAAACCATCACAATCTTATCTTATAAACTTGTCTGCTGATGACTCTGTGTTCTCTGTATCTAGAGAAGGAGCGCCTTGTGAAAGCCAATGCAGGGGACTACAACGATAAATTCCATTATGCAGTAAGTAGACCTGAAAATGTTTTTACATCTTCTCCATCCACATGTCAGCTTGTTTTATCCCAACATTTTTGCCGTTCAAATATGTGGGATTGTTTTCAGGACAACCGCATCAAAACCTCAAAATACAACATGATCACCTTCCTGCCCATCAACCTGTTTGAGCAGTTCCAGAGGGTGGCCAATGCTTACTTCTTAGTGCTGCTGATACTCCAGGTAAAACACATGCCGTCTTTTATCTACATTTGGCCTCTATACATGTAGTGATCCTGTTTGTTTTTTCCTAACAGTTAATTCCAGATATTTCCTCTCTGTCCTGGTTCACAACCATTGTGCCTTTAGTGTTGGTGCTAGTCATAACAGCAGTAAAAGACGCCATAGATGACTATGTAAGTCCACTTTTTCCAGACTCACTAAGTAACCCCCTTTTTTAATATAAAATGGTAAGACTGTCGCTCTGTTTTGAATTTCAGTTCCGACACAAAAGCGACCAACAAGTCAACAACCGCCAATCTCAGGTTCTCATCAGAGGACGGTACTGATCATTGTCATTGTCATTTCCATCTTATTATCCTGCTAAAAGGACACATAACACAAAAAATGAGTGAAGTAAAATGAGACTTTTCATTTTCATTGCAAAGATTGCAGAATTTGAAATGGATGAACATCCGGGTGGGGGATATCATCAAACTGGAGAACGATCAGAGTGTTGCTGTGAGTAAAATGTTTTCTACAAGTTAGTAGTTTCTTTTGCTTTTGACTTATTAAGAGTGGGATGCCCTTTCATTTCATTAGAGCTTTTGGTAGAAGATGTTCAAGTATTCTGTCTCTCATTTTCAGATGCTTTAGAGACAACATTTCCATAAAGGTTTAGCTTTAATTAAGGTTTCCTTTTGGTGATTCTGGGCCTCTTAATGCTTATATAGGCTCTATTGAGCTGGGATTGATTTATTGCTTTTTCTGCCTCCTGAGTGTCTCATATTGGTTTTACTCACAGGCAGACATCCTCCTTCTCTGTAGTAGCGAGCCATATGGACTCTGCTATATAGAGACTGCAGAGCTGGATGGGTAAGTGTTGCATCTGTTAAATAGAAAATAAAGAAAACAGAGGCTTCAGTTGAACATGGATGTGGATCATGACTCCTGTGGTAAATGTAAAGAGAATAGATTCAAAGTAAAAACATGTTTTCTTTTCTGTCTCTGCGACAGCATAAAAGAGTCATTATTGTTTTCAATTTCTGTCCTAGTGAGACAAACCTGAAAGTCCGTCAGGCTCTGACCGTCACCTCAGAACTGGGAGATATTTCAAAACTAACGGACTTTGATGGTGAGGTGACTCCTGAAAATTTTTCTTGCTTTTAAATATTCTATAATGAAACTCTTGACTATTTCATTATGAGGCTACTCATGATTGATAATACGTTGTAATAGTTACCTGCTACCAAAATAGAAGACTACCAATGGTTTGATATTCTCATCAGTGTTCAGTCCCCTTTGGAGACCCGCATCCACTGAAAAATGAGAATGAAAATGGGAACATCATCCTGAATGACACTTAAAAACAAAGTGAATTCAAATTTTGATATAGTCAGCCATAATTATGAGATGAAAAGTCAAATTTATGAGATGAAAATAATTAAAGGAAAAAATATTGTAATAATGAGATGTAATGTCAAAATGATAGAAAACTATATAATATTCATGAGATAGAAAGTCTTAATTATAGGACAAAAAGTCATAATTATAAGATGGATTGCTAAAGTCATGAGATCAGAAGTCATAGTTATGAAATAAAAAGTCATGAATATGAGATAAAAGTACATCAAGGTAGATTACTACTGAGAGATAAAGAGTCATAATTAAGTGTAGATGAAGTTATTACTTTTTTATTATAGTAAAGTTCTACAATCATAAGTATGTGATACAAAATTTATAACAATTAGATTAAACTCTCTCAAGTATCTCTTGTAGATTTGACTTTTGTCTTATAATTCTGACTCTTTCTTCCAATTAATATACTACTATGATCACTATTTTTACATTTTGGATTTTATTTTCCCAGATTGGCTAAGTCACTTTTTTTAAATCTAATTGTAGAAAAGTACTTCCAAAGTCTCCGTCTAGTTTTAAAAACTAAAAATGAAAAATTGTGATGGCCATATTGCAGAAACCCAGTACAAAACAGGGTTTACCAACCTCTCGTAGTGGTGAGGTGGTTTGGCCTATTTTTCTGTTCTCTATTACTGAATTACATAACCACAGCCCACCGTGACATAAAAGACTAGGTGCAGTTTTAACATTGCATCATTTTGCAATATTATAATTGCTGAAGATATCCTCTCAGACCCCTCAGATTTCTACAAGAGGTATATTGACTTGTGTATCTCTTAGGCATTGTCCACTATAATGATGTCTTTATTTTGAAAGGATTTTCTGCAGAATGAACTCATCTCAATAAATAAATGAATAATACATCTGATGTTTTCCATTAGGAGAAGTTATCTGTGAACCCCCAAACAACAAGCTGGATAAATTTACAGGAACTTTACTCTGGAGAAACAACAAGTACCCTCTGGATAATGACAAAATGCTGCTGAGAGGCTGTGTGCTCAGAAACACTGATTGGTGCTTTGGATTGGTCATCTTTGCTGGTAGGAGTGTTTTTTTTTTCACCTGTTTATAACGCTTTCCTCTGACCAGCATATAAACACTCTTGATACCCATTCTCTGGCAGGTTTGCAAACCAAACTGATGCTGAACTGTGGAAAGACTACGTTTAAAAGAACAAGTATTGACAAGCTCATGAACACATTGGTTCTGTGGGTAAGACACACATGTAAGATACTTTGGTGGAGGATGCTTCAATATGAAATATTATGAGATCATTATACATTCCTTTGAACACATTTTAAGTGGTCATCTATTGTATATTTCAGATCTTTGCCTTCCTCATTGGTTTGGGGGTCATTTTGGCCATTGGTAACACCATCTGGGAGAGCTGGGTCGGCAGGAACTTTCAGGTGTTTCTGCAGCGGGATGAGATTCGGAGCAGTGCTGTCTTCTCTGGGTTCCTCACCTTTTGGTCCTACATCATCGTCCTTAATACTGTGGTGCCCATCTCCCTGTATGTCAGGTAAACACAAACACAGACATGCTGAATTCAAAGATACTGCCAAACCTTTTCTAAAAACAGCTTTCAAGTTGCCCCATTAAGGTTGAGATGTCCTATGAGAGCTCTATCAATGACATGCCTTTGGGAGTCATGTAATACAATAAAGTTGTGTTTGAATCTTCTTCCAGTGTGGAGGTTCTAAGACTCGGCCACAGTTACTTCATAAACTGGGATCAGAAGATGTACTTTAGGCAGGCCGACACAGCAGCTGAGGCTCGCACCACCTCCCTGAACGAGGAGCTGGGCCAGGTGGAGTTCATCTTCTCAGACAAGACAGGGACCCTCACCCAGAATGTCATGGTGTTTAGAAAGTGCTCCATAAATGGACACACATATGGTATGCAGATTGATTCTTTGAATTGACTCTTTGAATACTATGAGACTCTTATTGTGCTTTTTTTAATCATTTTGGCATCTATGGTACTTTGGCACTGCAGGTAGACAATGGATAGAACAGGAAACAGGGAAGAGAACGAAGAAAGAAATGCAGGAACAGGTGCCACAGGGTGGAATAGAACCTGGGCCGCCTGCTATCTGCACCCTGAAATAGGATATCAATTGCAGTAGTTGATGCAAAGTTCAGTAAGAATGTCAGCTAAATAGTGAGGTAATGGTATTACTAACAGTAGTCAATGGCAGTAAAAATTAGAGGCAGTAAAAACTTTTATTGCACCTGATAATGAATGTAAGATAGCAAACAATATGAAGTGATTAATGATTGTGATGAGAAAAGGATACTGCAAATGATAGTGAAAGTGCTCCTCGTGCTGAGAGCATCCTTGACTGATTAGTTATACTGCACACAGTCTTTCATATTTAGCATTATGCTTTTATGGTGCAAAAGCCTGCTGTTCCTTGAATGCCCCCTTGAGGCTGGCTGCAAAAGCAAACTAATCCCTTTTTGATCCCATGTAAAAAAAAGTCAATATCAAAATTAAACACATTTACAGTCTGGTTCAAGAAAACTTTTAGATATGTAGCTCAATTATTTATTCATGCACTCCAGACTTCATTGAGATCATATAAAGGCTCAAATTTCAACACAAATTTGCATTACTAGGGGAACCACAAAGTGGACTGAGTCATTACTCAATCATGTGTCTGCCATGTTTTAGGACCCCTCTAAACTTGTACTTTTTCTCTCAAAGGTGATGTCTATGATGAGTATGACCAGAAGGTGGAAATCACAGAGGTTAGTGAGTCCATATAAACATCAATGCTATGATCTAAGACTAAAATTATTGATAATATAACGTTTTTGTGGATGTGTGTGTCTTCAGAAAATAGCCTGTGTGGATTTTTCCTTCAACCCTCTCTGTGACAGAAGATTCAAGTTTTACGACAGCACCCTACTTGAAGCCATTAAACTGGAGCACCATGCTGTGCACGAGTTTTTCAGACTGCTGGCTCTGTGTCACACTGTCATGCCTGAAGAGAAGAGTGAAGGTAAGATATTCATACAAACCATCCACTGTAGCAGGATTAGTGTCAGATAGTTCTGACTGATGTTTCTGTCAATGTGAAGGGAACCTGGTGTACCAAGCCCAGTCTCCTGACGAAGGAGCGCTGGTCACTGCTGCAAGAAACTTTGGGTTTGTCTTCAAGGCTCGAACCCCAGAGAGCATCACGCTGTGTGAGATGGGACGGGCTGTCACTTACAAGCTGCTAGCCATACTGGACTTCAACAACGTGCGCAAGAGAATGAGTGTCATTGGTTAGGGCTTCACTTATAACAGAAAAGCTCATGAGCAACCATTATGTCTCTCTTAATACAATAACAGCATGATTAAAAAACAATGTTTGTTTGTTTGTTCCATATTCAAGCCTTGCATGTGATTTGTGTGAAATCAATCATTGTTGTGTTTGCAGCCTATGATCCATGATTCTTTTTTAAATGTAAAATAACAGGATATAATCAAACAAGGTATATTTTCTTGTGTGTGTTTCCTAGTGAGAAATCCAGAGGGTAAGATTAGACTCTACTGCAAAGGAGCAGACACCATCATATTTGAGCGCCTGGATCCATCCACTGAGGACCTCATGTCTTCTACATCAGAGCATCTCAATGTGAGGTTTATTGTAGTCCTTACTTCTACTCAGTTACTGGATTTTTAAAGAAGAGTCCATAATATGTCTCCTTCAGCAGCTCCATTCAAATCAGTAGTGACTTTAGTGACTTTAGCTTGCATGAGTTTAACTGCTTTTATTAAACAACATGTTTTAAAGCTCCCATGAGAAACTTTTTGTTTGTGTCATTTTGCTGCCCCCTTGTGTACAAAACAGGCTTTATTTATCTGTTTTAAGCAGTGATAAGCAATAGCTTATGAAAAAAAAATCTAATCCTACTGACTTTTGATGGTCAAGTGTATCATTCATCAGGAATATTTATGAAATTGTAAAAACAGGTCTGTTCCTTTTACAGCCTGACTGACACAGGCATTAAAAATTATTATATAAGAATCATCAGTACGGTTGCTGATGGTCTTGTTTGCTTTTGGATATCATGAAAAGGCATCAATATGAATTCAAAATGTAAACTTCAATGGAAAATTAAATATAGCTGTTGGATATCTTCTATTTAGACATATTATCTGAGCCCAGAGCCCTTTATTTTGCATTACAAATCTGTTTGTCGTTGTTGTTCGATCATTATCACTGCAGGAATTTGCTGGTGAAGGGCTCCGAACTTTAGCTCTGGCCTACAAAGATCTTGATGAGGATTTTTTTGACATTTGGATGAAGAAACTTTTGTTTGCCAGCACTGTAATGGAGAACCGGGATGAACAGCTGGCCATGCTGTATGAGGAGATCGAGCAAGGCATGAAGGTAACTCTGACAACCTTTCTGATAGCATGCTCCAAGTGCCTCAGGTAACAGGCTGAACATTGTGCTTGTTGAAGCTTCTCGGAGCCACAGCCATCGAGGACAAACTCCAGGAAGGCGTCCCTGAAACTATTGCCCGGCTAAATCTGGCTGATATCAAGATCTGGGTCCTCACCGGAGACAAACTAGGTAGCAGACAGCCAGGATTAAAAAAATAAAGGAAAAGCAAAACATATTGAATAAGTTTAAGCAAAAAAAATGTTTTTTATGCCAAACATTTCAGAGACAGCAATGAACATTGGCTACTCCTGCAATATGCTGCGAGACGACATGAATGAAGTGTTTGTTATCTCTGGAAACACACTGCTGGAGGTGCAGCAGCAGCTCAGGTGATCATTGTTTCGACTCTGCAAACCTCAGTGTCTATGAGTAAAAGAGTTCAGTATGATAAAAGGCAATATGAAGCGTTTTTAACATATTTTAAACTGTTTCTCCTTCATCTCCAGGAGTGCTAATGAGCATATTCTTACCCTGAGCCGAGTTCATGGGGAAAAGACAGATAGATCTGCAGATGATTCTTTATTTGAAGAGACCATTATTGCAGAGTACGCCTTAGTCATCAACGGACACAGTCTGGTAAGATGTTCAGAGTATGTTCCTGATAATTCAGTCCTGCGTTGTGCTTGTTTTGCATTTTGCACCAGTGCTTGCCTGCAGGATTTACTTTGTTAAACGGTGGGTGTGTTGCTGTCTGCTGACTCTGCTGACTTTCTAATGAGCACAGAGCTGCTGAGGACCCTGAGATCTATTACACGTATTCATTAGCATCTATTTCCTCACTGATGAATTGCTCTGTCCCTCGGAGGTAAAGCACAACAGCTCAGTGGAGATGCTACAATCTGCTGTTGTTTGGTGTTTCCTCTGCAGGTAGTTGACATTTTATAATGAAAGATCTGAACTGGTATGATGTCTGTATTCTCCCTGTAGGCTCATGCTCTGGAGCCACAGCTGGAGCATGTTTTGTTGGAGTTGGCCTGTTTGTGTAAAACAGTGATTTGCTGCCGGGTCACTCCGCTGCAGAAGGCTCAGGTGGTGGAGCTGGTTAAGAGACACAAGAGGGCCGTCACTCTGGCCATTGGAGATGGAGCCAACGATGTCAGCATGATTAAAAGTAGGTCTCAGGATGAATTATACATATAAGTTTGATCATTTTTCAACTCTTTTGAAGATGATTAAAAGATTCAGTTGCAAAGAATCTATTAGGATGAAGAATTGTGGGTTTTTTTCCCTCCTCCGGGGCTGAAATTGCTTCACATGATGTTTTCCTGGAGGCCTTGACAGCAGGAGGGGTGCTCTTTAACTGCTGACCCTGACCTTTCTGCCAAGATATAAGAAAACAATATCTTTTTGAATCCATCAAACACTGTTTTTAGGGAAAATTTAATGTGAATTCATGAAACATAAAGAACTTATATAAAATATTATCTTGCCTGTGAACATGTGCCTGCATGTTTGGTAGAACCACAATTGTGGTTTAACAATAAAAAAAACAATTCTTGTGATCCCTCTTTAGTCAAACTATATATTTTATTTTTGTTGACTTAAAGAGACACCAAGTGGCAGAAATAACAACCTGCAGCAGTAATTTAAGATCAAATTAAAAACATCAACAAACCAATATCACACTGACATTTGGATCACATGTGGGCTTGTAATGTGCTGAATATCTAAACAAATACTCATAAATCATTCATTTATTAGCCTCAAAAGACCATGATGACTCTATTCTCCTCCTCAGCTGCCCACATTGGTGTTGGTATCAGCGGTCAGGAGGGGATGCAGGCTGTCTTATCCTCTGATTACTCCTTCGCTCAGTTTCGGTACCTGCAGCGGCTCCTGTTGGTTCACGGACGCTGGTCCTACTTCCGCATGTGTAACTTTCTGTGTTACTTCTTCTACAAGAATTTTGCCTTCACACTGGTTCACTTCTGGTACGGCTTCTTCTGTGGTTTCTCAGCTCAGGTGAGTAAACTGATTATTTTTGCAGGTTGTTTTACATGAAATAGGATGTTTATCATTTTTTTGTCGTTGTTGATGATACTGTATTTGAAAAGCCTCATTAAGAAACAAAAACATTTTACACATTTTTAAGCACAACCCTTCTCTTTCTACAGACTGTGTATGACCAGTGGTTTATTACGCTCTTCAACATTGTGTATACTTCTCTACCAGTCCTGGCGATGGGATTATTTGACCAGGTACAGGTGTTTGATATGTTACAATAATAAAATAAGTGACTCAAAGTTTTCGGGTAATATCAAATAATCTGTCTTCATTTCTTATTTTAGAAAGGTCCATTTGTTTCCAATTTAAACATCTTTTACTGTCTTTTTTGTTTTTCTTTGGGGGAATATCTTGTTTAGTAGACCCATGTTGAGTCATAATAAACAAACACTATGTCCAACCTTATATTAGGTACCTCACAACATTATTGAATTTAAAATCTGCCACACAGCTACCATTAAGCATCTTTCCATGAGAGCATATCACATTAAACACTCATAGCATCTCTGTGTCTGACAGGACGTGGATGACCAGAACAGCCTTCGTTACCCAGGCCTGTACAAACTCGGCCAACAGAACCTCCTTTTTAACAAACGCCAGTTTTTCCTGTGCACACTGCAGGGGCTGGGAACATCCTCCCTGCTCTTTTTCATTCCCTATGGAGCTTTCTCTGTCATGGTCAAAGAGGATGGCTCTCACTTTACTGACCAACAAACATTTGCTGTCACCATAGCAACGTCCTTGGTCATTGTTGTAAGTGTTCAGGTAAGAGAGAGAAACATAAACAGCCCTGTTGATTAGAAATGTTACCTCTAAACTCGTGATTTTTGATGCTTGTTTCTGTTTGTAGATTGGACTGGACAAACACTACTGGACAGCTGTCAATCACCTCTTTATCTGGGGCAGCTTAACTATATATTTCGCCTTGTTATTTGCAATGCAAAGTGACGGCATGTTTGGTCTCCTTCCAGGACACTTTTCATTTATAGGTGAGTTTTACTCAGCTGGATGTAAAAACAAAAATAGGACAAAGAAATTAGAGATACTGATTTTAATTTTTTTTTTCAGGCACAGCTCGTAACAGTCTGTCAGAGGCGAGTGTGTGGTTGGTTATTCTGCTCACCTCTGTGGTCTGTGTTGTACCTGGCTTAGTGGTCAGCTTCCTGAGGGTAAACCTCTTCCCAACTCTGACAGATAAGGTACGAGAACTCCCCGCATAAATGATTCATTAAAAGTTTTATCATCTACAGCTACAGTTTTGAAGGATTTACTCATTAATACAAAAGCACTTAAAAAACTGTAAAAATCACAGTTTGCAAAGATATCTTTATCACTTAGTTACTGCAGTCTAAAAATGTCCCTCAAACCCTCTCAAAATCATGCAATTTGCAAAAAATAAAAAGTTAAAATAAAGAAAAATTAAATATAGAATTGGGTTCTTTTGGCGTGGCATTGACTTTCCTTTTGTTCACATTTAGCATCTTATAATCTCCAAGATTCATTTTTCACTTTGAAGGCGCCCAAAACGTGTCGCAGAAGCCTGTTTAGCCATCTATACATCCTCAGCAGCAACTTAACAATGCCATATCTGATCATTTATGGGTCACAGGGGGCATTTTAGGCAGAAAGAGCTCCTTCACATACTTATTGTTTTGTTGTTGATGTCACTTGTGCACTAGAGCTTATGTAGGATATATGTAGGATGGAGTATTTTTTCATTGTGGTGTTGGTGCTGTTGTGCAAATAAAGGATCAAGGGACTTCTACCAACCCTGCTGTTTTCGTACAGGTTCGACATCTGCAGCAGTCTAGAAAGAAGGAAGGAGCTTACGAGCAGAACCTGAAGCGAGTTCGCAGGACAAGCTCGCGACGCTCTGCATACGCGTTCTCCCACCAGCAGGGCTACGGAGAGCTGATCACCTCAGGTAAAAACATGAGAGTGGGATCTCTGTCTTCTGCTCGCTCTCCTGTGAGGACTCCACACAGCCCCACCTGGATAGAAAATGTGTTCAAGAGCAAAAATGAAGTCTTTTGCATCTCTGATGAAAACCCAGGAGCACCAGAAAGCAGAGAAAAAGCAGAGACAGAGACACACAGACTGAAAAACAACAGCACTCAGACTCAGCTTGACCTTTAACTTAGAGGTACAGGACAGACTGTAGGACACCGTACGCTTGGATCTCCAGACAAAGTACAGATTTGAGTTATTTATGTTCAAATCCTGAGATAGGAGAATACCTCAGACATTGCTGCTCATGTGAAGTCTGTTAAATGATGAAGGCCAATCAAACATGATTATCTAGGCTGAAATTTTCCAAAATATAAGTCAACTTAAAACAATTACACCATAAAACCTTAATAATGCACGAGTTCCATAAGTAAAAAAAAAAAGATAAATGATAATAATAATTGTAAAAAATCCTACCCTAATGATCTATCTTGAAATGTAGTAGTGTTGTATTCCATGTCTTCTCAAAAGTATGAAGAAAATTTTGGATATTAAAGAACCTCAAGAGGAACCTTAATGCAGCTTAAACAAACAAATGTATACACATGAAAATAAGCACAAGAATTGTTGGGTCGCACACCAGTACATATAAGTAACACCTCTGAAGTTGAGTAGACCTTTGTCTCCTGTGCACTGAAACTTTCTTCTCAATCATCCAAAGTATTGTTTTCAATAAGAAACTAAAACAGAAATTACGCATAGAAGCACAACTTACTTGCATACATCCAGCTAGAAAACAACTGAATTGTTGTCATCAAACTCCAAATATAATGCCGAAGCTCGTTACTAAAACTGTTTCTGCCAAAAGGAATGACATCATCTCTAAAATATGATTTTATTAGAGGATGTGATTTATTGATCTAGAGGAATTCCAGGACTGATGAAAAAAAGGTCCCCTAGTAAAGTACAGTACAGAAACTTGTGCCTTACACCTCTGAGCCTCCATTATTACTGCTATTTAATGACCTTTAAACTGATCCTCTGACCTCAGTCACCTCACAGTCAGGACTCCTTGTCTCGACTTTCCTGCTGCTCATAAACCTTCATCACAACACAAACCAACATGCCTTTCCAAAGACTTTTTAATGTACATTCAATCCTTCATTTTTTCACTTTTTTTGTAAACACTGTTGTATGCACGTTGTAAACATTATGTGGCACATTGTGCAACTTATGTGTAATATGTTGATAAAAGGATGGATGCATGTTTTGCAGCTGCAGAAATTAAACTTGAATTTGTTGTATCTGTTGTTGTGTATTTCTGTGAGATGGTTACATTGATAAACATAATTAGTAAAAAAGCCCCACATCCATGATTTTAAAAAACACAAAAGTCTTCCCTTTAATGGACCATTTCATCCCTGTTCTGTGAATAATATTTGGTCATTATAATCTACAAACAGAAAAGAAAAAAGATAGTTTCCTTTTAGATAACTTCATCTCTCGTAGTTCCTTCTACCTCAAGTACAAATGTGCAAATAATCATTTATTGATCTGAACATCACTCCTCGAGTAAAATCGTAGCCCCTCCACCTGGCTTTGACACAAACAGACTCTGTTTCTCCATGGATGCTCTTCGTGGATCAGGAAGGTAGTAAGCCTCCCTCACTGCCTGAATGAAAGACTCCACCTTCTCACAGGGAACCATGGAGACCGCACAGCCACCCCAACCTGCTCCTGTCAGCCGGGATCCCACAGCCCCTGACTCCCTGTAACCAAGAAGGAAAAAAATCAAAGGTCTTAAAGGTGATATATAAACAGTAGTGTTGTTTTCACAGGTCCACTCCCCACTTGGCTCTTTCTTCTTCTCTTAAAGCAGTTACACAGGTGAAACCTTTTTTATACTTACAGACAGATGTCTACTAGTTGATCCAGTTCAGGACAGCTGCACTCGTACAGATCTCTGCAGCTTGCATGGCTCTGGTTCATCAGGTCTCCCAACAGCTGCACAGATTCAGCAGGTTCAGAGTCGCACACACTCTTAAACCGCAGCACCCGTGCAGCCTCACTGTACACATGCTTGGCCCTCTGGTGCAGCTTAAAATGTTTCACTAAGAGAAAAAGCATTCGTCAGATGTGCTTTTTAATGCAAAAATCAGTCTTAAAGCATAAAAAGTTCAAATCTACCATCATATAAAGTTAGAAACTAAAAAAGTCCTCATAAAATGATTTTTTATATTTGAGATTTAAACATCTTTTAATGTACTACAAACAAATCTGTTATTTAAATTACCATTATCTAACCTTTCATCGCACTAATTAGCAGCTTCACAGTGTGTTTTTTTACTTGTGTTATTTTCTGACATGTACACTTAGACATACGACAGGTGTGGCTGTGTCCTGTTGCTCACCATGCTGAGTATTTGCACTCAGCAGCTCTGTGGAAAACTGCTCCGAGGTGACACCCAGAACCTTGCAGATCTCCTCTCGGCTGTATGCCTCAGGATGTAACACCTCATCCACCAGAGCCAACATCTCCTCCAGGGAGGCCTTCAGCTCCATCTGAACCTGAGCCAGCTTTAACAACCTGCTCGAGTCCAGACCTCGTGCCTTGGCAAGCATCTGAGTTCACAATCACGAAGACGTTTTTAATTGCAGTCAGATGGCAGACTACTCTCTTCACTCACATATAATAAATGTGGTAATAAATGTGAATTGGTAAGATATTTCCTTGTTTCAAAAGTGACGCCCCTGTCTTTGAATCAGGTTGGAAACGTCTAGATAGCATCCTTATACCTTTGTGGCAATGCGACACTCCACCACACGGATATTGTAGTGAGAAGAAGCAGCTTTGTTCATCTCCACGCAGCAGTTAGAGATCACAAACACAGCTCCATCCGGTAACTTGACATCTGTGGCTCGCAGAGGCTGAAACTCTATCAGCTTTGCCTGACACACAATTATAAAAATAATACACAACACAAGTGTTAACTGTTGGCTACAAAAAAACTATAGAGTGCATCATTTTGGTCACACTTTAGAAATACAGACCAAACAGGTAAAAAAAATCTTAATTTCTGCTTTCCTTTGATATTTACTTAAGGATCTAATAGTTTGGATGAAAACGTGTGTTGAATCAACTTGTGCAACCTGTTTTACTTGACATGCAGACAGAAGTGCTACCTACAGTCCCTTTCTCTGCCAGGAATGAAATGGATTGGTCCATGCCTCCTCCCTCTGTACCAATATAGCGCTCACATTTGGCGCATATTTCTGCCAGGGCCACCTGGAGAATCAGTGAAATAGGAAAAAAGGACTAAGGCACATGAAATAAATCACATCTGCATCGAGTATGGATGATTTGATATTTTCAGTAAATCTTTTTCTAAGTTTGCTTACTACAATGCACTTAATTCACTTGTTCTTTTATCATAGTTAAAATAAAATGCTTACCTTAGAGAGGGACTTTTTATTTGCCTCCATTGTTACGAGCCCTGCACAACAAACTAAAGCACTAGAACTGGACAGACCCGAGCTGGGAGGGATGGTTCCATCTACAACACAAGACATCCCGGCTAAATGAGCGATCTCAAACTTCTCCTGTGAGAAAACACAGAGGACAGGTTAACATTGTTCAGTGAGTGCATCAATGTTTTTGAATATTACACAAAAAATTTGACCCATTTTACGAGCATGAAGCAGAACAAACTTCAAATCTTACCTGGATACCTTTGACCCCACAGAGAAAATAGTAGTGCCACTTTGGATTCTCTCTGTCGATGGCAATGTCTCCTGAAGATGACACAGTGAAATCCCTACAACAAAATACAAATATAATGATAATGTGAGGGTTTTATGATCCTAACAGGATTACACAAGGACAACCGAAGTATGGGTCTTACTTGTAAAGGGGATTCATGTTGGTCAGTGTGATGGTGCCTGAATTGTTCACAGACACAGCAGCAAGAATGTTTTGCTCGATAGCCATCGGAAGGACAGAATAGCCACAGTAATCAATATGCTCTCCTGTTGGAAATGAGACATTTGTGATGAGGGACATGCAACCCACTCAAGATGAAACTTCATGATTTTCTGACAGCAATCACCAACCGAACACTAAGTTTATTACCTTCAAAACATAACCTTGTAAGAAGAAGTTTATGTAATCATACCAGGCAACAAATTAAAATAGCAAAATGTGCCATAAATAACAGGCCAGGTCAACATTAACTTACCTATCAGATTTACCCGACCAGGTGCACATGCATAGAAGAGAGGAGATTCTCCAAACTTTGATTCAAACGCATTTTTTAGGTTCTGCAGTCTGTAAAAATAAGATAGAAGAAAAGTCTGGATCAGGAACAGATTGTGCAAGAAATGTGTATTAAAGCACAAACAATCAGCTGACTTGACTGTTTCTCACCTGTCACTGGCAGCAATCCCGATGCTTAATTTTGGTGGGTTTGTGGACATTTCTCCCTTTTAAATCGCTCAGATAAAGTTATAAAACAGTGATGAATGAACTGTTGCTGTCGGACGATGGAGCTCAAAAGTTTTTAATATCCTCTCAGCTGACAGTCACGAGGGGAACCCGGATGCCAAAATCGCTGAACCAAGGTCTGGTCTGGTCTTCAACAGTTGAGCTGAGCTCAGAAAGGATCTGTAAAATGTTCGAAATGAGCTGACTCTGGAGCAGTGAAGGCTGCTGTGGTTAAAAAACAAGGAAGTGTTCAGGACAGGGGGCGTGGTTCAAGAGTAGAACGTGGAAGGAAGCAGTGCGGCGTGATAGCGTCACCACGCCACCTTCACTCGAAAGAGAAATACATAAGAAATCAATCAATCAAATGTTATTTTTAAAGCACTATTCATACCTGCAATGTATCACAAAGTTATGTCCATTCGCGCAGGATATTAAAAAGTAAATAAATAAAATAAAAAATAAAAAAACAATGAAATAAAATAAATAAAAACACATATCAAACCCAACCACCCTCCCAACCCCCATTCAACACATACGGCACTCACACACCCACATGCACACACAAAAGACCAGTTGAGGACTCCTCAACTTCAATAGATGACTGAGGAAATGCTATCTTGATCTATCTAAATCTATCTAAATAGGAATTTACTTTCCGGACCTCTGGCTCACACTCCTGTAGGTGGCGCTAATGAACCTCTAAAGTTGGTTGCCATCCGCCGTGAAACAAGAGGAAGAAAAAGAAGAAGGACTACATTTCCCACAATTCCTCGAGTGCTGTTTCCATGGAGGCGAGATAAGCTTCTCTCCCGTGGTCGGTACAATAAAATGAACCAAACATCCCAAAAGATGCGATTGTTACGCTGTAAACGTTAAATATGAGTAAAACACGCATGTGTTGGTAAATGTATATCAGTCATTGTAAAATTAGATCATAAATATAAAATGTCTACCTGCGGTTCTCCTGCAGTGGTTTGGCGCTGCTAACGCGCGCGACTTTTCAAAGTGGGCGAGTCTGTTCCTCTTAAAGAGGACGTTCAACCGGCTAACCTCAGCTAGCCTTAGCTTTACAGCTCCAAAAGTTCACTGACTGGTCAACTTAGCTTAAAAGTGACCCCAAGTCGTTTAATTCTACAACGAAACTTCTTTAGCAGATTTTTCAAAGTGTGACGAGCGACCTTACGTTGTTGCCGTTGTCCTGACGGCGAGCTAACATGGTCAGGTTACCTCCGTTTAGCTAGCTCTACTGCTTTGTGTTGTAAACAGTGTTACGGCTAACTAACGGTCAACAACTTTACCCGAATAAAGGAACATTTCCAGCAGGTAAGTTAATGCAATATATGTTTAGACTCGTTTATAACTTTTCGCTAACTTAAAATCTAAGGAGATAATCTCAGTCAAAACTAATCATCATCCTGATATCAAACTAAACTCTTGCTTTCCCTGTCTGTGTATGAAAAATCTCCACAGATTACCCTAAACATACAGGATACATGCATCATGTCTATTGATTTCGACAGTGCTGCTCTTCAAACTCAGCACGATGAAGAGGAGTATGACCAGGAGGACTATGCAAGAGAGCAGGAGGTAAAAGAGGCATGAGAAGATGTCTTTGGGGCTGTCACCGATGTTTGACATTTTAAATCTTTTTTTGTGGCTCCTGTTATTCAAAGTATTACATGACAGAAGAAACTCTGGACATGCTTGAATTGTGAAACAATAAGCTGGATAACATTATAGTGCCTGTGCAATTTGGCGTTTCTATATAGGTGAAAAGTGAAAGCACTTATCACTACAGTGTGTTAATATGACCTACATTACCAGTTAGCAACTTAACACAAATATTTTTGCCTGAATGAGTCTTTTGACTGAGTTAATGTTATAAAGGGAGGTGTTTTAAGGCTTGCATTGTTCACATTTCACAATCACTCTCAGCTCCCTGGCTTCACAGTCATGCTGTTATTACTCACACCTACAATCTGTTGCTCTTCAAATCTGTGCTATTATTGGCTCAGGGAAAGGCCTCCTTCCAGGTGTGTCACTGAAACTGTGGTTTCCCCGCTTTCTCTCTATTTAGGTTAACTTGTTCCTCTGCTTTACTTCATTTGTACTGATAAGTGAGCGAGAAGCAGGGGTCTGTGAATGTTCTTTTTTCTTATGGGCTGTGACACTCAGGAGAAATGGACTTTGGAAGAATATTTCTACGCAGGATGGATATTTTTCACTTTGGCATAGCTTATGTATTACATGTGAGTTGGTGGAGTGGAATTGTCTGCCACCAGCGATTGGAATGTTTCTGCTCCAGTTAACCTTGCCATATGTTTTGTCTGAACAATAGAGTTCATTGGGAGCAAAACACAGCAATACGGCAGGGAGCTGACAACATGCCAAGCACGTTTTGGATGTTTCACACAGAGGGTCTCCCTGCAGAAGTACTAGATTTTGTCAAGTGAAGAAGTGCCTTTTGAACGTTTTCTTTAAATGTGTAAGAAGGATAACATGGGTCCTTCGGTTGTGGACACTGTGGAGGATTTGAGGAATATTCAACAGTCCTTGTGTGAAGTAAGTTCAGCTGGCTCTGCTTTGTTCCATCACTCATGGCTGGTTGTAAAACAAGCTTGGCCTATCTGCTCCTGACGCAAAGAGGGTTTTGTCTTGTTTGTGTGTCATTTCAGACTACTACTTGTTGAGACATAAACAGACATTGTGGCTTGTTAGCATGTTGTGCTCAGTTTGTGTTTCATTATCTAATCTAAATGATGAATTAGCATTTACTATAAAGAAAGGGCTTCATACGAATGATGGCATGAGCTAACTATAACATTAGGATGAATTGGAAAATATTCACATTCAAGGTGCTTAAATCAGAGAAGGTTTTGAAATTTTGGAAATGACTTAAATAATTAAAAGATATAATGTTCAATACATGCTGTAAACTGAAACAGACATGAATGAAATCATTGTAAACACTGAATCATTTAAAAATGTATCTAAGGTAGAGACAGATACTTCATCTCTGTACAACAGAATATTGGTTTTAACCCTCTGTTATAGAAAACAAATATTCTCCATACACTTATCTGTCTCTCAGGTCATTGATTGGTTCTCTGTTAAATCTGTGTTTCTTTACAACTTGGTTGCGGGGCAACCGTGGTGACTCATTTCCATGTGCTGTTTTTCTGCAGCTGCAGAAACTGCTCACAGACCTGCCTGATGACATGCTGGAAGACAGCATAGACTCCTCCTCCCCAGAGCTGGAGTACTCTGCCTTCAGCAATAAAAACACCGGCAACAGGTAACATATGTTACAGTTCAGACTTGGAGATCTTTCTCTGTTATACAAACAGACAAACTTAGTAACAGATTATTGTTTATATATGCTTTTTTTTACCCTTTGACCTTAGTCCTCAGTCTACATGGACCCAGCAATGGTCAGCTCATCCAAGGCCAACCTCCCATGAACAGGTTGGTAGTAAGTTAAGTGTCACTATTGTTAGTCTTTTTTAGCTCCAAAAAGAAAAACAAATCAATTTTAAACAAACGATTCCCTGCTTATATGATGAATTCTTACAGGATGAGTATGCGTACGAGAACGGTGCTGTTCAGATCAATGGACATCACGGTCACCCTCAGAGTCAACCTCTACCTCACACCTGGAACCAGCAGTCACAGGATCACCAGTTCTCCCAGGGAGATTATACATACACCAGTATAGGCACAGAGAGATCTACAGAGACCAACGATAACTCCACAGATGAGTATGGTTCCCAACCATACACCCAGGGCACCACGACCTGTGCAGTGTATGACCAAGGGGGCACACACAGAGAAAACCAAATCTATGGGGACCACAACAACACCAGAAACCACATTCAGGTGAGTAGAGTTGATTATTTTGTTTCATTTGCAACTGCAGATCAATGAAGCATCAACTTTAACGACTTATTCCATCAATTATTCCTCTCGTCTCTTATTAACTTGACATGAACATCTTATAATCATGTAGTCAGTCAGTCCTTATTTTTGTTGCACTACTGTTATTAGTTAAGCATAAAAATACTTAAGCGTGCAACTCTGGATTGATTCATGAGAAACTTGCGTTTTTTTTAATCTCCACTTTAGAATTTAAGGTCTACAGCAGGGGAAAGAGTTGTTGATCAGTACAAAGCCAGCTATAATCCTCACCATCCTGCCCACCAGCCAAAGATGTTCAACTCTAAGGCTGCGCACCAACAAGGTCAACTGGACAATCTGCAAAGAGAATTCCTCGACTCAACACAACGTGAGTTTGAGTCTTGATTTCATTCATGAATAGTTTATATGAGAGTCCAGTGACATGTAATCACAATACTGACATAGGTGAAAACTGATTTATTATTCTCTCTGCTTGATTAATTTTGCTGACAATCGTGCAAAGCAAAAAGGTTGGTTTCTTGTTTTTTTTTTGTTTTGTTTTTTTCATAAATTCTGAGGTCTCAGCCTCCTTTGAGTGGATATCCTGTGCTCAGGTTTTGACTCACAAAGTGACTCTCTTTCAAAGAATATTTGAGAAGAAATTGGCTTTTATAATTTCAATTCAGCAGCATTATGAAATGAAATGTATTCCAATAGACCACAAGAAAACTTTCATTATAATTGTAATGCTGAGGAGCTTTTATCATTTTCATCACCCGTCATGATATTAAGACAGGAAACCCTGACCTGACAGCACCTTAAACCACCATGGAAGTCTTAGGCTGATTTGTCTTAGAATTTCACATTTCTCTTTAAATTGTCATTGTTCAAAATCAGATGTTTCCATATTTTTCTGTAAGCTGAGAATGATCGACGGCATTTCTGTGTTGTATTTCAGAAACTGCAGACAGAGAGCAGCTTGCTCAGCTTCAGATTTTAAACAAAGCTCAGCAGAGGCAGATTGAAGATTTGGAGCAGAAACTGGAAGATTCGAGACGTAACATGAGATACCTGGAGCATCAGTTTGTAATAGCCAAAGGTAGGTTTCATCCTTCTTTTCTCTCAAGAGGAAGTTTTTAACATGACTGCATTTTAAAGGCTAAGTGAACTCATGTGGATAATGTCATTTCACGCTGTCACACAAGATTCACAGTGTCTCTGTACTGTGTATGTGGTGTACTGTACACACATGCAGTACACTGTTAAGATGCATGTTGCCCCCTTGTGGCTGTAAGAGGACTTGCACTATTTACAGAAACACAGAGGCTTCTTGTGTTGTTGTCCTCTTATGGGATGCCCTGCTCTTAGACACATAGTGTCAATCAAACAACCGATCTATTTATATGACGCCAAATCACAACAACTGTTTCCTCAAGACGCTTTGCAAAACAGGCAGGTCCAGACCACTCTGTTGTCTTATTTACAAAGCGCCAACGTCAAGATAAGTGAAGATTAAGTCCCATCTTATAAGCAAGGCTCGGTCTCATATTATCCTAATCTATTGGCAGCATTTAGAAAGTTAAAGTGGCAGAAAAAAATCCTTTTAATAGAATCATAAACATCCATCCACTGAAACTGTGCTGTGAGTAAACGTAATTTTTTTAATCATCAATAGATGAAAAGGACGGTCTTGCAGTGAGTCTGAAGGAATCAAGTCGATTGGTTGAAGAGGCCAAGGAAAGAGAGGTTCAAATGCAGATAAAACTGAAGGCACTGGAGCAGCAAGTACAAGTTCTTAACGAGAGAGATCAGGAGGTAAGTGCTGTGCAGACACTCATACCCACAAATCCTGTTTCCCTTCACCTCATACTCATACCTGCTCAGACCAAAATAATGGACAACCAGCAGTGATTGATCTCTCTTACAGCAGTTTCAGTGTTATAGATAAAGACCTTGGATGTTTTTAGTGCTGTGTTCAAATGTTATGTACCACTCTCTCAAATTGACCTATATTTGTAGATACATATTTACATACAGCAATGTCACCTTTGTTCATTAGTGTGTGTGGTGTTAGAGTTTAATATAGTGATATCTGTCCAGAACACAAAGAAGCAGATGGTGGCAGAGGCTGCAGTGGACAGTATGAAGCAGCAGATGTTGGAGCTTTGCCGCTCCGACACTTTGTCCAAAGTGCGGCAGCAGCATGACAGAGACCTTGCTGTCATGAAGGAGCAGCATGACTCTGCACTGTTAACCTTACAGCAGAAACTGGACTCTACTTCTCAGGCTCTGAACGAACAGGTCTGTACTGTTACTGCCACAGAACAAGCTTTCTATGATAAACTCTTTGGAACTTAGATGAATGATGTTGGCTAAGTTCAAGACCTTTGTGAATATGGTAAAGTCTGTTGTTGTTGTTTGTCATTCAGATTGAAGTTTGTGAGAGGTTAGGACACCAAGTGAAACGGCTGGAGTGTCAGAGAGAAGAAGAGCAACTGGAGAGAGCCAGGGTAGTAAACACTCTCACGCAGCGTCTGGAGGAGAGTCAGCAACAGTGTGCCAAGCTGCTGCAGACCAGTATGTATTTCATGCAGATACTTACAACACAATTTGGGCAAGTTTTTATTTAATTGACTGTATCCCTTGTCATCACACCTTTTCTATTGTTACTTTGTACCCTGTAGGTTCAGTCCAGGAGCTGACTCAGATCCAAATCAAACTACAACAGGCCCAATCAGCAAAGGCACTCAGCGAAAACATGAACAAAGTTTTGCAGGTCGACTCTCTTTTTCCTGTTTCATAATGAAAAAACAAACTCTGAAATTCTTCAAACAGATCTCAGACAGATGTTTAAAACCATTTGGTAATATATTTCTGTTCTTCATCTTTTTTTTACTCTAAAGGAGGATCTGTCTGATTTAAAGGAGCAGATCACTCTTTATGAATCTGCCTTGAAACATGGAGTTATCACATTAGACCTGAGCAGCGAATGGGAGAACCAGCTGTCTGAATCCTGCGTGGATTTAGGACTAAAGAAAACGAACAGGAAGAATGGACTTCACAGGTACATCAAGACAATATGCACTGTCTTTTATCACTGAGGACTTTAAAACTATATATTATTAGATTTTTTTAAGGTCCTTTTAATAACCATCAAAACCTTTGTCTCTCTGTTGTTGGGTCAGTACCGCCCTGGCTCACTTGTCAGACTCCAAGCTTCCCAAAGATGAAGCTTTTCGGCTCTTGCGAGCTGAGATGCAGCGCTGCTTGGGGAGTTTGAAGGGGAAGCGACAGAAGATCAGTCAGCTGCAAGAGGAGCTCCAGCTCAGTCAGGGTCGAGTGGATGAGCTGCAGACCCAGTTAGATGAAGCCAAGCTCAGCTTATCAGTGAGTACATCCACCCACAGCAACCACACAAGCTGTAAGTTTGATACCCTGACAATAAGACGAAAAATGCAAATAGATCAGGCTCTCTTAAAACAAACCTGAAAGGATTTATTTTCTAAATTTTCAATATTTCTTGACAACAGCTAAAATACTTGTATAGAGGTACAGCAGATAAATTACAAAAGGTTAGAATTTATTGTCACTTAAAACGATGCATGCGTCCCACAGGTCAGAGAGACCAGTCAGATGAAACATCTGGACTTAACTGGGGAGTCTCAAAAAGAGTTCATGATACTACAGGAAGAAAAACGACACTTGCAGGAACAATTTGAGGTGAGTTGTAGTTTATGGGGCAGATTACTGATGCTTTTAATCCTTTCTTTTAAAAACGATTGATCTTCTGTCCGAACTCCAGGTGTTAGAAAAGAAGAATAAGGAGCTCAAACAAAGTGAGGAGAAGGTGAAGTCTGCCAACGCTGAGCTTTGTAGCAAGATGAGAGAGATGATCCAAGAACTGGACCAGGAGAAGCAGGAGGCTGCAGAGAGGTAAGACACAAACAGGAGAACTTCAGCTGAATTAACTTGATGGTATTTTTCTCCTACGATCACAGTGGAGTATATTCATGCAAATTTAATTTGATTTTCTGGAGATCTGAGCGAATTCATCAACAATACAGGGATGACGTGGTGAACCGGATCAGGACAGAGCTCATGCTGGAACATGAAGCTCAGTTTGAACAGCTGACCGCACAGCATCAGCAGCAGGTCCAACAGTTACAGTAAGCCCCCACCCCAACATATCTCTGAAAAGGAAGGTCATCTAAACACCTTTGAGCTCATTTACAGTGCCTGATATTTTTCCACAGGTCCCAGCTGTCTGAGGTCAACGATAAGATGTTGGCTGTGCAGGAGTGTTACATATCTGTCTGCAAGGAGAAGGACATGCTGCAAGAAAGCACACGCAACAGAGAGAAAGAGGAGGCTTTGACAAGAGATACTGAGGTAATCCAGATCACAAAATGAATTTAGAATTTCAGAAGTTTGAGGCTCATCAGAGTATTGATAAGAAAATAGACATAATTTAGAAATAAAAACATGACAAACTAGTGATCATGAGAAATATTTCTGTGTTGATTCTCATTAGTAGGTTGATCATCGTATCTATGATGAAATTGTCTGTGTCCAGCATTGAATATTTTGTGGACTGACATCAATTTATGATTGATTGTTTGTTGTTTTCAGCAAAAGCTGAAAGAAGAAAGTGATACAGCTGTGGTGAAACTGAGGGCTGAGCTTGAAGCTCAACATCAGACATCAATAAACCAGCTCAAAGCTTTGTGGTCCAAAGAAAAGGAGACCGAGATCCAGCTGCAGGTGAACTCTCAGCTAGACTTGGCAAAGGCTGCTTGGAAAGAAGAATTAGAAAAGGTATGATCCACCTGTACTCACTGCATGACTCCCTGAACTCCCAATGGTGATTATACCGCATGTTGGACCTTATAGCTTTTACTGTTTTTGCTCAGGTGGAGGAGACCTGGGCACAGAGGCTAGAGGAGGCTAACAGAAAGAGAGACGGACAGACTGCCGAGCGGACTGGTAAGATAGAGGAGAATAAAGCCAGCAGTGTGACCATCACTGTGGAGGAACTGGACTCAAGACTCAGCGCTCAGAAACAACAGCTGCAACTGGAAGCTGACAAAGTCCGAGTCAAAGCTGTTGAGGACGCCAGGAGACAAGTTAAGACGGAGCTGCATGAGAAGCACCTGGAGGAACTGGCCAAACAGGTCAGAAGATTGAGCTTGACCTGTGTTACCCATTCAAGCATTCTTATAATTCTCTTTCATTGGGTTTTTCTCCACACAAATTTAATCAAGTCAGTCACTGAAACTTTAAAGTTCATTTATAAGTTCAGTGGAAGTTGATTGTCACACAACTCATCTACATAATATTTGCTTGAGTCCTGAAATATCTCTGGCTGTCTTTCCATGAGTAAAGATTGAAAAATGTAGAAGCTGACGTTAATGTTTGTGTTTCAGGTTGAAGGTGCAGTTACCAGGGCCTACATCCGCTGGATTGAAGACTTGACCTCATCACCGGAGTACCAAACTGCACTCCAAACCGAGAGAGAGAAATGGGAAGGACTACAAGATAAACACACAGAACAACAGGTATGTCAGTTTTTACTCTTCATTTGCTGCTATCGCTCGGCTTCTCCTTTATGGTCATGTTCTTAATACTTTTTCATGCTACAGGTATCTAAGGCCCTGAAAGAGGCGGAGGAGCACTGGCGTGAAAACCACAGGGACCATTTAGAAAGGCAGAGCTCTGGTAGTCAGAGGATGGAAGAGCTCCAAGAGGAAGTGGCAGCTCTATGCAGTCAGCTGGAGCAAGTGAAGAGTGAACAAGCTGCCCTGCTAAAGGCTGAGCTGGCTGGAGCCAAAGCAGTTTGGAACCGAGACAAACAGCAGGAGATCTCCCTCATACAGGCCTGCACTGAGCAGGTGTACCAAAAGAAGCTGCAAGAGCAGCAGAAAAAACTGGGACAGGCATTGCAGCAGGCCAGGGAGGAAGCAGACGTCCAGAAGAGGGAGCTGCTCCTGCAGATGGAGGCCAAGCTTCAGCAGAATCTGAGGGTTAGGGAAGAGGAGTGGAGATGTCAGCATGCAGAGATGGAGGAGGTCCAAAGACAGCAGATGAGAGATAAATTTGTGGCAGACACCCAAGCCTGTCTTGCAGAAGTCCAGAAGGAACTTCACGGGAATCAAACCAAAACAGATCACCAGGTCACCGAAGACACCAGGAGGAGCAGCGGCGCCTCATCAGACAACACAGTAACACAAATCATCCAAACCTTCTGCAAAGAAAATATCAACAGAGCGGTTTGTCAGGCCAAGAAGGAATGGAAGAAGGTAAGTCATTTTAATACTATGTCTCATTTGAAGGTGAAAAAAAGGACTTCACTTGTTCATTGTTTAGGTAGACAATGTTTTTGAGTTTGCTTTCTTTTGTTTCCACTTACGCCTCCTCAGATCAGCGAGCAGAAACTGAGCCAAGTGTTAAAAGAAACACAGCAACAGCATGAGAGAGAAATGAACAAAATACAAAGTATGAATGACTTTTCGAATCCTTATTACATTCAGTATAAACTATTCCTGATAGAGTCAGGACTGTAGTGGCCCTGATGAATAACGTTGTTGTTGTTGTTGTTGTTTTCAGGTTCTTTGTCTCAGAGGAAGGAGCAGACTCGCTGTAGGCAGGAGTGCTCTGAAGCTGTGAGTAAGCTGCAGAAGAAGAACCAGGAGCTCCAGAGACACTTAGAGAAAGCCTGTCGTCAACTTCAGAACACTGTTCGAGAGCACAAAACTGCCATTCAGCATTTGAAAGGTATTTTTTACATTTATTCAAACAGATTTACATGAATCACAAAATACATGTGGATCTGTGATGATGGACTACAACATTTTTTATTATAGATGAGCATGAAAGCAGCCGACAGAAAGAAAAAGAGGAACATCTGCAGCAGCTGGAGGAAATGAAAGCAGCCAGAGAGTCTTCGAGGTTTGTGTTGTTTTCATGATTTCTCGTCTTGAGTTCAAAGGTCAATAACTCCATTAATATACTGTTGTAACTCGTGAGTCCGCCAAACATTGACCGAGTTTATATTTCTCCTCCTCACCTCTCTCCCTCTTGAAGACTTTGCTTATTTTTGCATTAGTTAAAACATTACTTTGAGGCAAATGTTTTAAACATTTTATAACATTAAAAAGTAACCAAGTTGTATATTATGTATGATAAATCAGTCAGCCTTAAATTGAGAGGAAATATTTCTTAAATACGATTCAGACTGAATATCGTATTTAAGAAATAGCTTTAAATTAACATATAAATCTTTTCAGTTTTTTTACCATTCTTCAAACCCAAGTTGACTGTGGTGTTCAAAGAATATTGTATAGGCAAGTAATGAATCATTTATGTAAATACAAGTATGCAAACATGAATTTGTTCTTTCTTTAGAAGCTCTGATCAACCGCAAAATCTTCAGGAAGGCCTGCAGGAGATGAAGCAGCAATACCTGAAAACTGTGGAGAAGATCAGAGGTTAGCATAAAAGCTAAACTGTGATATACTTACTCTGTGTTTGAAATAATCTACAGCTAGAGCTTAAATGGATATTCCAGTGTAAAATTAATTTAGGGTCAAACACACCGTAACACCGAGTTAGACACCACATGATGCAAGATTCCATTTCTAAATCAGTGCAAATACAATGTCTACAAGCTCCACTCTGGTTGATGTACACATTGTGAATTAAAGCACAGATTCTGTTCATGTTCATGGCAGGAGACATGCTGAGGTACCTCCAGGAGAGCCGGGAGAGAGCAGCAGAAATGATCCGAACAGAAGTGCAGAGGGAAAGGCAGGACACTGCCAGAAAAATGCGACGCTATTATCTGACCTGTCTGCAGGAGTTACTGGAGGATGGAGGAAAAACTACAGGGCAAGAAGCCATAATTGTTGTAAACTTGTTTTTGTGCTTTAGTGTGGCTTTTCGCAGTTAATGTATTGATCTCTATTCTCTATAGGGCTGAGAAGAAAATAATGAATGCTGCAAGCAAGCTGGCAGCCATGGCGAAGGTGCTGGAGACCCCTATTAAGAGTAAATCTGGAAAGAACAGTTTACAGAGTGAGTCCTATTCTGCTGAACTGATTGACTCCACTTTTCTGCTATGAAATATTAATGATGTTTGAATCTGTCTCAGGTTGTTTGACGGCTGCCTCCACAGCCGACTGCCCTCAAGGTAGACACGCAGGTTACAAGAAGACCCCTTCAACACTGCCTGAGCTCCCTGACATCAGATCGGAGAACAGGTCCCTCAGAGAAAACACTTCTGCAGATTCAGAGCAAAAGCAAACTGCTGCAATGAGGACTAAACCTCGGAGTCACCAGGACAGTTCTGCCTCTGGGAAAGAGGAGACTCCGTTAGCGGCTGGGCTAAAACACCAAACTTCTGCTCACTCACCACTCCTCACTCTTAGACCTCCTCAACAGATGTCTTCTCTATCCCAGGTGGATTTTGTTGATGTTTCTGTGAGGAGTAAAAGCAGGGAGTTGTACCTACAGGGAGTTGGCCCTAAACAAACAGACTTGCAGCAGCAGAGTCAACCATTTGTCATTCAGGAGGCTCCGGTGAGAGACGAGAGACGAACCGACTGGAGCATGACCAGCAGTGACTCAGAAACAGGCTTACAAGTTGCCAGACTCTCCGTCTCAGGGAGGAAAGTTGAACCGGTCAAACCATTTTCCGTTTCTCCTACATCAGCCTGTGGTTTATCGGAATTTGGCGGCCTCACCCCAGATGTTTCTGACTTGACTGTTTATAATGAAATTGCTGAAAGGACCCCCTACACCCAGAACTTAAACTTTCCTGATGGTAAGATAAGTTTGCACAGAGAACCCACCCCTGGCTCTGAGGGCGAGAAGAAGCAGGGAGTTTGTCCCAGGCCTGTGGTGTTTTCTGAGCTGAGGCAGCGGCAGCAGGACAGCGGCTTTGACAGTCCGTTCTACCAACAGAAATGACAAAGTGGGGGGCAGGCATGAAAGGAGGTAGGAAGATGAGTCTACAGTCAACTCAATGATTGTAGCCTAACAATGAGTGCCTTAAATGCGTGGTTTGAGCTTTACATAAGATAGAATCTTGACCTTATGTTGGCAATGTTTAATGTGACCCATCAGGGGAAATGATTTACTATACTGCCACCAATCCAAGACAAAGCAGTGAAAGACATAGAGACGCCAAAGTATTGTGGTGTATTTGCAGTGTTTAGATAGTTATTACTCACCGTTACCTTGAGAGGATTGTTAGATACTCTACCGCTGAACTAAAACATGAGTGCTTTTTTTAGTGGAGAAGGTGTTGATGAGCACACACTGATATTTCACTCCAGAGAAACATCTTTCTGTTTTTGCATAAATGCTTCAAGCGTTTCTTTCCAACGTTGTGCTCGCTTGGTTAGGTGAAAATTTTACATCCCAGCTGAGAGCAGTCTTAGGAAAACATTACAAGGTTGGATTCTGTTGCCCCGCCCACTCTGTTCAGTTGTGAAGTCATGAATGAAAGATGCTGAAAGCTTACCCTTAAATCAACTCTGTGAGGGTTAGATAAGGTTCAGGTTAACTCCATGTTATGTTCTGTTTTTCCATGAGATGTATGTATGTGTCTGTGAGATTTTTGTACTGTTCGTAGTTTATTCTTATCTTTTTATACTAATGATATCTTTTTAATAAATCATATACTTTTTGAGAAAAAGGAATTCACTGATTCTTGCAAAGCTGAAGGTTTTATTAGTAGTGTAAGCAATGTCAAAAAGCAAAAAAAACCTGTTCACTACCATTAAAAATGAAAGTATCTTTTTTCAACTAAAGCTAAAATCAGTCAAGATAACTTGTTCATTTTTTTTATTGAAATATAAGTTAAAGGGATATTCCAGAGTAAAATTAATTTTCAAACAACACACTGTAACACTGAGTTAGACACCCCCTTGCCCAATTTCTTTAGCCAAGAGACTAAACAGAACTCACCTACTCTCTTCCAGCAGCCGCTTGTTTGTAGGGAGACCTCAGGCCAGTCCATTACGGACTGCTGCGGGGTGACACAGCTCAAGGAAGAACATTTATGATCGTTTCTTTAATATTTCCTTGAGGTAATAATCACCATATTAACCATTTTGCACTGCAGACACGGTAGTTCTTCTGCCTTAGTGTCTCGGTCTGATTGCATTTACATGAAGAAATTATCATAAATGTTCTTCCTTGAGCTGCGTCACCCCGCTACAGTCGATGGACTCGCCCGGAGGTCTTCCTACAAACAAGCGGCTGCTGGAAGAGAGTAGGTGAGTTGTGTTTGGTGGCTAGTGCTGTGGCTGGGACCCTATATGTCCTGTTGATGAAGTTAGGTGCTGTTCTGAGCATTATTTATGCGATAGAGTGGCTTATTGGTTGAGGTTTGTTCTTGGCTACTTAGACCGCTGTGTATTGCTATTTTGTGGTCGTTACTAAAGTTGGTATAACTAGAGAAGCAAGCGGTCGACAACATTCATCTCTCGAGGGGGTGTCTAACTCAGTGTTATGGTGTGTGTGACCCTAATTTAATTTTATGCCGGAATATTCCTTTAAAACCAAAGCTGGTTCCTGTCGACTTATTTAACAACTAATAAGTTAACCCATGAGAACAGAAAATGTTTGGCACAAAAATACAAAATTTGACTGATTGTTTTGAGTGTGTCGGTGGTTGATTGACTGTCCCTCGGTGGTTCTGTAACTTGATAACAGGTTTTGTTACTCATTAAAGATCCCCCAGTCTCTCTCTGATAAGCTCTCTGCGCTCCTCCTCCTCCTCCTCTTCACGTTGAACTTCTACAACCTGAACTCCGCTGAGCACTTCACAAGTAACCATGTTGATCTTCATCCTGCTGGCAGCTGTGGGCTTTCTTGTCTTCATATTTCCACGGAGTTACTTTTTCCAAGATGTGCAACACGTGCTCACTAGATGGAGAATTAAAAACCGTCTCCAGAAATACATAGAGACCGATTACACCATCGCGGACCAGTTTGCAGACACGGTGAAGGCACACCCACACAAGCCGTACCTCCGTTACAAAGACGAGACTTACACCTACCGGGATGCCGATGAACTCAGCAACAAAGCTGCGAGAGTTTTACTGCAGAGTGGGAGAGTGAAAGGAGGAGACACGATCGCGTTGTTCTTTGGAAATGAGCCCGTGTTTCTGTGGCTGTGGTTGGCAGCGCTGAAGATCGGATGTCCTGCTTCTTTACTCAACTACAACATCAGATCCAAGTCTCTGCTGCACTGCTTCAGCTGCTGCGGGGCCAAGGCCCTGATCGCTGCTGAAGGTAAAGTTTACTCCAGTCTATCTGTCCATCATATTCAAACAGACATAAAAACATCTCATACTGGAGTTTTTAAAGATAACCTGACCTCTCTGAACATTTTGTTCTTCATCCTTGAGATTTTTTTTTTTATTGAGGTTTCAGTCTTGGCCGACCCTCTTACCCTGACTGGCTCGGATAGGGGAGACCGGGGCTTGTTGTCACACTTTTTTACACTCTTGTATATTTCTTGGAATCAATATATCATATTTAAACAAAATGTGTAGAGAGTGTCAAACAGAGAGTGTCAACATGTGACATGTTGCCCCAACATAGGGTAAGATTTTGCAGCTTATAAAACAAGGACAAATTTATTGTTGTTCTCATTTGTTTACTTGAAAGTGAACATCAAAGTCAGGCACAGAAAAGGTTTATCATTAAGCTAGAAAAAATCATTGAACAAATGTTAACATAAAATATTATGCAACATGTTCTGGAGTTTGGAGAGCTGTCTGACTCTTTATTTCAGCTGGGGTGAATGTTTTGCAGTACTGAGCCAAGGTATGATAATTGACATTAAAGTCCTTTATTGTAGTCCAGATTGATTTATTAGCGAGGGTCACCTGTCTGACTGCCCTCAGCATCACGTCAGGTACTGCACTCCCATGTTCAGATTTTCTTTTGTAATTCCTGACCATGTTTTCTCGCTTTCTCCTCTCCTTTAAACCACATTTTTCTCTGTAAAAATAAAGTCAAGATTTTAATATGACAAGTGCTGATAAGCAGACTCCCTGTTAATTTTAAACTCTTTTAAATATGTGACTACTAACCCTAAAATGACGGAGACATGTTGCCCCAAACTACCATGTTTGCTAATTAAAGCTCTATCTTAAAGTTAGCTTAAAACTGAACAATGACTGAGCTATGACAGGATGCTTTAATCTCTTCTCTAGCAAGTCCACATGTATCACAGCTAGAATTTTTATCTGGAAGAAGTTTATTTTAAAATATATGAAGTTATTTTGTTTACTTTGGGTTGTGTGAAATGGTTAATTGGCGCTCATCTCAGCTCACAATTTGCTCTTCTCTTCTCAGACAGGACAGGACCCCTGACCGTGTAAAGGAAGAAAAATAGTATTACACTTTTTAGATGCGCCCTCTAGTGGCAAAGATAATTGCAATGTGACAACAAGACCCGGTCTCCCCTACAAATTATTGTGTAATGTGAAGTAAAATAGTTGCACAGTAACAACTCTGTGTTGACTTAAGTTTGATTGTTGACATTGAGTCAGTGTTTTCTGAGTGATCTTTCTGCAGACAGCTACAGAAACCTTTTAAAGAAGGCGTTTGTTATTATAGGATGGGTCTTGATTACACTGCCCTCAGTGTGTCAGATGGTCCACAATAAACCTTCCAATCCAATCCGCTTTATTTATAATAGCACATTTTAAAAAAACATTCAAGTTTACCAAAGTGCTGCACAGTAAAATTAAAAGAACAGACACTGCAGCAAATATCAAGATCAAATAAATAAAAGCAGGTAAAAAAAAACATTTACAATGAAATTAAAACATAGAAGCATCAAAGAAATAAAAGTGATAAAAGAACAGAGATCACACAACTCTCATGCTGAGCTAAAAGCCAAGGAATAAAAATGAGTTTTAAGACGTGATTTAAAAGTAGAAAGAGTGGGGGATGTTTTAATCTCGAGTGGCACCTTGTCTCTGCTCTTCTGTTTTTTTTTAACAGGTAAATAAAATGAGATTGTTTTTAATGGTGTGCAAAATTGAACCACAGAAAAAGCAAAGGTTTAGTATTGATGAAAAAAAAAGTGTCTGTAAAATGCGTACAGTCAGAGATGTGTGTTATTTCCAGAGTTACAGGACGCTGTGGAGGAGGTCCTTCCCAGTCTACTGGAGCAGCAGGTCACTACTTTCATCATGGCAGACAGATGCAGGATTCCAGATGTGGAGAGCTTCAAAGACAAAATGAGCAAAGCCTCCTCTGAGCCTCTACCCAAAGACTTAAGGTCACATGTCACCATGCGGAGTCCTGCAGGCTACATATACACATCAGGGACCACAGGTAAGCTACTTCAGCTGGTCAACAATCAGGATATCAACTGTGAAAGAAAGTAGAGGAAACACTCCGGCCTCTCTTTTTACAGGTCTTCCTAAAGCTGCAGTGGTCACTCACACCAAACTGTGGATGTACTCCTTGTTTCAGTGTATGTCAGGAATAGAGTCCAGTGATGTGATCTATGTGAGCCTCCCGCTGTATCACAGTGCTGGACTCATAGGGGCTTCTGGATCCATTGAAAGAGGTAAGCAAACATTCTCATATACTGAGTACATTTGTTCAAACTCCTGTGAGGAACTTTCAGTTTGTGCCAGCTTTAGCGCCCCCTGTGGACAAGGCAGTCTTTGCTTATCTTGTCCTTTACATGCCTAAGAAGTGTCACCTGAGGTTTTAATCCTTGAACTTTTGTTTTCTTGATATTTTGTGCAGGTACCACTGTTGTTCTAAAGAATAAGTTTTCTTCATCGCAGTTCTGGGACGACTGCAGAAAATATAACGTCACAGTCATACAGTACATCGGTGAAATCATGCGATACCTCTGCAACACACCAAAAGTATGTAATGCTTGACAAAGCACCAGGAGTAAAGACAAAACATTCAAAAAGATCTTATGTTTGATTTGATTTCCTCCCCGACAGAGACCTGAGGATCAAATTCACAAAGTGAGACTTGCGGTGGGTAACGGCATGAGGGGGGATGTTTGGCAGGACTTCATCAGCAGGTTTGGAAACATCGACATTCGAGAGTTTTATGGAGCTACAGAAGGGAATTTCTCTCTGTTGAATTACAGCGGCAAGATGGGATCTGTTGGGCGAGATACCTTCTTACACAGGGTAAAGGTCCAGTTTTATCCAACTGAATGAAGTAGAAGCTGTAAAAATTATTGATCACTTTGTTTTGACCTTCTTCTTCTCTTGCAGCGGTTGTTTCGGTACGCTCTGATCAAATATGACATAGATGAGGACAAGCCAGTGAGGGATTCTTCTGGTTTCTGCACCGAGGTTGCACCAGGTGCGTTTGTTTGTAGCACTGATAGAGGTTGTGTCCTGAACTTCAAATAGAAACATACACAAATAGATTTGTCAGGTATAAGAGGACTTAAAGTGCATCAATGAAACGACAAACTGCAGCTAAAGAAAGCACATGTTCATCCTGTCCTCTGTGCGTTTTTTTTAGGTGAACCTGGACTCCTGGTCACTGAAATCACTCTCAGGACGCCGTTCACTGGTTATGCGGGAGATGTGAAGCAGACAGAGAAGAAGAGGCTACATAACGTCTTCAAGACAGGTGACATGTTCTTCAATACCGGGGACCTTCTACGAGTTGAAAACAACTTCTTCTATTTTCAGGACCGAGTAGGAGACACTTTCAGGTGAACCCTCTCCTGTTTTTTTTACGGTTCATCTTTAATGTAAAGACTGAAACTTTGGTGCTTAAATAATTAAAACTTTGTTTTTGTCGGGAACAGATGGAAAGGAGAGAACGTGGCCACAACTGAGGTTGCTGATGTAATCACGATGGTCGACTGCATCAAAGAAGCAAACGTGTACGGAGTTGAAGTGCCGGGTAAGTCTCTGTTTTAGGAGTTTGAACAGGGGCTTCAACTATAACTTTTAAATCAGTCTGCTGGTTATTTGATCAATAACTTTATGGGGAAGGTTTTAAAGGAGCAGCAACGTTTTTTTGTTGAGAAGTTTAGCCAATGCTGAAGTCAAAAAGCTGCAGTTTTCAAAGTGGCTGCAGGAGCTGAGGAATCAACCTTATGGTCGATATAAAAATGTCCGACTTAACATCCATTTTCATTTTAATAAGGCCAAGCTCCAGCCTCACACATTCAAGTCCATGAGGGCTTAGGGCTGTCCCACTGACATACAGTAAAGTGTCTGAGGGATCTCTGGCAGACTTTTTAAGCCCTTTCTGCACCCTTTCATAAGTGGACATCTCTGTAGACTTTGAGGGAGGGAATTACTAAGATTTCACAGAACAGTGATGTTACTGTGGGGCAAGCCCGCAAACATGGAGGGGAAAGAAATGCCATAACAAGGCGCAACATTGACTTTTTGAAAAAAGTTTGACTGTAAATATAGTTTAAGGAATATTGCTAAGATGCTCCCGTGCACCTGTTTTTATCTGAGCAAGATGCTAAGAAGTGCATCCATGACTAAATCAAACAGATTTATTTCCCGGTCAAAGGGGTTTCATTCACGCTGCAGCACAAAAATTAACAATCGCACTACATTATCATGCATGTGTCTGTGGAGATGAATCTGGAACAAATGACTGTGATTTTCATGCAACTTTCCAGAATTATTCAAGCCAATTAAAAATGTTAAATTCCCACTTTTTCTAATATGACTCAAAATATATCAGACTGTCCGTCTGGTTTCAGAAAGCAGGAGGAAATTATTAAATTTCTACACAATGATGGAGAAAGTTGGTGAAAGTTAAACATGTTACGCCTCTCTAGAGAGTGACAGGATGATGTGCTGTCCCTGTTACGTGAGAAGTCTTTTAGTGCCATTCTAGTCCAGTGAAATCATTTCGAGCCCCCTTATGCACTTCATCACTTTCCAGGTAACATCAATTAAAGTTCAGAAGGGCTCAGGGTCTAAAAATAATGCCCAATTTTTCATAATTACTGACACTACGCTACAAAGTTGACTTACAGTTCAATTCAGAACAGTTCAGAGAAAAATCCAAGACACAAGATAAATCAGACCAAAATCCAGGAGAAGTTCAAAAACAGGGTAATGACGTCAAGAAAACACAAGATAACAAGGCTGGAGATCATGAACAGAGAATAGAGAATAGGTGAATCACTCGGGTTCATATACAGGTCAGATTCATTGGTAACAAATCTCCAGCAGAGCATGAAAACAACACCTAATCTTGCTGTCCTGAGCAGCACTTTGTCGTATGTTAAAGTTTAATCTAATTATATGACTTTCCATATCAAACCACAATGCACTACAGATATGGATGCTATAAAACGCACCTAAACACCTCCAACCAATGCACTTTTGTTATCAAGACTACACCTGCAGGCATTGTTAAATGTAAACGTTAAAAGAAATGTTAAATGTTAACCATGTAGTAAACAAATGAACCTACTGGTGGACGGTCTCCAAGAAGACGATGAGAACTAAGAGAAATCTGAGATACTTGTCAAAGAGGTGGAGGTCTGTGTCGAGGCTTCAGCAGTGCAGCCCCAAACAAAAGAAAACACAGAAAGTTGGAACAAGATCTGGCTGCTTTTATTGGAGTGAGTTCCATCACAAAGGAAAGTAACTGAATCAAAAAAGACCTGCAACTACACTCAAGAGAGCGCCTCTAAATGGGGTGAGAAAGACAACACCTGAATGGTAGCCAGAAACCTTCCTACACCACTGAAAACGTCAGTGCAGAAGTATTATCACACTGCCTCTCACATTTTAGTTCACAGTCTAGCCGCCACTGGTCACCCACTGTCTGCTAATTTCCACATCAATCCCTCACCCATGCACCATTTCCACAGTGCATGGAGGCATGGGTTCAAGTTTGAGTGTGTACACACATTACACTCTAGTATTTGTATGATTAACTCCAGCAGCAAACACATGATGCAAGCTGTTTTTGTGAAATCTGTATCTGAGCGCTATCCATCTGTGGTAAAGGTTACATGTGTGGAGTTCAGCTGAAGTGTTGCAGAGCTGACAGCCTTTTATGGATACAGGTTATATAAAGAGGCAATCAGAGGGGGTTGAGGACTGGCAAACGGCACAGAGGGCGAGGTTCACATGAGTGAACTATGACCTGAAGGGCTGCGAAACATGCATGCTAACTAACCACTCCTGATCCTGTAGGTCAGAGTCATATAAGATGTATGACTTACAGCTTCATTCAAGCACCAACACCACCACCCCACAAACTATGTTTTTTCATAAACTGAGTTATTATGTTGTGAAAATCTAACTTTAATCTAACTGTTCATTTCTAATTTTACTTCCATCATATGTGCCTGCTACATTATCTCTTTTCTTTATTGTGCCTCTGCAGTGAACATCAATAGGAAACAATACTCTCTTTTATGGTTCAATATCCGCTTTTTCACGTTAGTTGTATTTGTTGGTGTTTTATATTGCTGCTAAAGGAAATCAAGGTCACCCAGACTCTCTGGACTGAGGTGGGAACTGACTTGCAAGCAGAGGTGGCATGAAGTATTTTACACACTTGTTTTCAGCCGAACCAGTGGGTTTAAGAGTTTGTTTAAAGCTCCAGTAAAGATTTATTTATTTTTGACATGATGACGTAGACTGAAATTTACGTAAATAAAGACTGTGTTGTCCACAGGAGGCAGAGAAATTGAAAGTTCCTCACAGGAACTTAATCATAAATTTAAAGTCTATATTTGAAGCCTACATTTCCCATAATGCAATCATCCAGACAGCAACTTCAAACAAACTCTCTGTGCTTGGGGAACGATCCCATCCATTCTGTGCCCACAGTAACTCAGGCTTCTTCGTCTTCTTCTTCTTCTTCTTCTTCTTCTTCTTCGTAATTTTGTCTGGAAGTCGAGCCGTCCACATCCCATTGATGTCATAATGATGTTATCTGGATTATTGTTGCGTTAGAGTTACATCGGTTTCGGTTACCAAGTCGGAAAAAAGCAAAATCGGAGACGGAAACAAGATGGCTACATCTATGAAAGTTATTTTAGTGCTTGCTTTGCCTGAATATAAGCAAGGACAAATCAAGCGCTAAAATAACTTTTGTAGATGTAGCCATCTTGTTTCCGCCTCCGATTTGCCTTTTTCCGACTTGTGCTAGTGACTCGGGTATGACGTCATTTTCAGCTTCGACATCTGACTTCTGAGGTAACTTGAATGCAGCATATGTTATTTTATCAGTGACATTCAAACAGCATACTGGTGTCCTCTGATTGGCTGATTCCTTGACTCTTCCAGGTCAAGAGGGGAGAGTTGGGATGGCTGCCATCGCTTTGAGTGATGGACAAAGTTTTGACTCCAAGGGTGTTTTCAAACATGTGGAAAAGTTCCTGCCAACCTATGCAAGACCCCGCTTTATGAGGATTCAGGTATCTCATTACACTGCATTATGTTTCAACCCTGTCCCCTTCCGTTACATATTCACATTCACGTTTATTTATGTCATAACAATTCGACTTTATTGCAGAGCACTTTGGAGACCACAGGAACGTTCAAGCATATGAAGACAAAGCTGACACAGGAGGGCTACAACCCGAATCAAGTAACAGTCCCTCTCTACTTCATGGATGAAAAACTCAAGGACTATGTCCCACTAACGCTGGACATTTACGACTCAGTCATATCCGGGCAGATCAAAATTTGAAGAAGTCTGCTTTTCTTGTTTTTCAAGGGGAAAATGTACCTGTTTATACTTGACCACCTGTAATGTGCAGCACATTGTCGAGTTTTTTTATGTTGTGATTAAATTTTGCACTTGTATTTGCACATTGATAATTTCGTAAGATTTTAAAGAGCTTCTTTGAACTTGTTGCACTTAATTATGAGACAGACAAATTAAAATGTACACACATGCTCCACTATGACTTTACTCAATGCTAGAAATCAGGTTTTTCCTGTTGAGTTCCCTGAAAGGTACAAGCATTTTTCTCAAACCTCTGTCATGTCACCTCGGCTTTTGCCCACCATCACTGCCTCATTATCGGCGCTTTTGTTTTTGTATGATTGAGGTTCAAACTTTTGGTTCTCAGGGCTGAAGTTTTTCTAGATGTGTTTGAGGTTATAACTTTATGTCTCAGGGCTGAAGTCTTTCTAAATGGTCTTTCTCTGGCTTTCAGGGACTATACAGAGCAGGAGATTTGTTCTTGTATCTGTTCAGTTGTCAGCTTTAGACGCTGTTGACAATAAAGCACTTCAAACTGTCTTATTTTCTTATAAATGGCCCAGTCTGGTGATTTAAATGAATGAAAACCACAAACAAACTCTCATTCTGGATTAGCAGCATAGACAAGAAGTATTTTAAACACACATCTCTGTCCAAATCTCTGTCAGCTGAATGTCTTGCGCCTCTCAGGTTGTCTTTGTGAAATTCATCCTCTTATATGGTCAAGTTAATGTGGTTTAGCTGTGTGATTTCACTTACAATCATCTGGCAATGACTTCTAGAGAGGCGGAGACCTCAGTTGACTTTTCATCTAGCACCACCAAGAGGTTAAATGAAAAACAATGCAACAAAGCCCTGGCATAAAAAAAAACACTGTCCTTTGCTTCTACAACTGTCAAATCAATGTTATTTAGCGCTTTTTGTTAAGGTATACCAGTGATAGAAGCACTGAATCAACTGAATTCACTTGGAGAAACAGCTTAGGAGGTAAAAACAGAGTAAAACACTAACTGCTTAACATCCAGACTTCATTCATAATGTGACATTTTGGAGCAAAATAAAGCAATAGTATGAAATTTTGTCCGCTCTCTACAGACAGATTCACTCCAGCAGTATGTCATTTTTGACTTACAACTGTGAAAACATGCAGTCACCTTCACCTTCACCTTTGGTAATAAGAAACTGAAACCAAACGTTTTCATACTATTGTGACGGAGAGTGGACTTGATAAACTGGTTTATTTCATCGTTCAAAGTAAAAACCATGAGCTGCAGTCACACACACACATGTCACCAAATCTCAGAGAAGTCTTGACAGAGCTGAACCACATGATGAGATCATGAACAGCAGCGATAAAAAAGCCTCAAAGTCAAAACTAGTGTTTGTTTGTGTTTGTGCATTGGCTGCTTTTTATGAATGAGTGTTTGTGATGTGTGTAGACTATAACCTGTAGCCCCGCCCACTCCTTAGACCAGCCAATGAATATAATTTAGTTCTTAATAAACACTCTCAAGGTGTTTCACAATAAAACCATAAAATTAAACACAGTCTAATACTCAGAGGCACCTGGACTTAAAACAGGTCAGGCAGTTTTCTGTATTTCTCTACATTAAACTTTCTTCTTTCTGTTCATTCAGCTGATATTTTTCATACGATTCTACAAAGTCTGACATTGTTTCCAGGAAAAATTCAGATATTTAGCAGCATAAAGTCTATGTAACATGTACTCTCTTCTGAAAGCTGCAGTGAGGGACTCGAGTGTTTGCCCTGTGCTCAGAGCTGATACCTCTTATCTCTTGGTTGGTTCAGGTTTAAGTATTGTTTTCAGAATAAAACCTCCTCCTCTGGTCTTCTCACAGTGAAAATAAGTTGCTGAAAGGGAGGAAATGACATGAACATATTTTAAAAAGCTTTTTTTTTTTTTCAGCATGCTGTGAGATTTTGAATGTTTTCCTGACCTGATTTCATAAAAGTTACGACAAAAAATATCTGTCAAGTTGCTAACTGTCTCTTTTGCTTGCAAACATCACAACATCAGGCTGTTTCTCAACCAATAAAACCTGCTCATCGTGCCTTTAATCTACCCTGAATTACAAGTGTGTGTGCAAAAATGACTGACCACAAAGAGACCACAAACATTTTCATGCAGCAAAATTCTTGGAATATAAAGTAAAATATCGCCACCCTATTAGAATAACGGCCTATGTCATTTTTTGAGGAAAATGAGATGATTTAGGCCAAAAACTCATTTTCCTCAAAAAATGACATATGCCGTTATTTTAATAGGGTGACGCTATAAATATTTATCAAATAAATTCAAATTCAACTTTATTTTTATGGCACTTTTCAGAAAAAAGGCAGTTCAAAGTGGCTCACAGAGGCTAAAAACAACAATTAACAACAATAAAACCCAAACCTCACACCCACACACACACGCATGGACCCACACACCTTTAGGATATACTGGAGATAAAAATTAAAAAAATAAAAAGATAAAAAAATAAAATAAAATGGTAAAAAACAATACTAAAACCTGATGGACTGAAACAAGAAAATAATATTAACTGAACAGATAAGTAAAAGTTCTTTACCACGTAAAAGGGGTAAAAGAAGTAAATTAAAAGACTGGAATTACGAAAAAGATTAAGAACAGAGATAATTAATAAAATGACATGAAATGACATAAAAAAAACAATCAGAGAAAAGCCTGGTTAAAAAGGTGAGTCTTGAGCCCCTTTTAAAAAACATCAAGATGTAACGAAATTACGATTGCATTTTCCTTTTTTCTTAACTATCTTGTGTTTTTTATTTTGGTCCTCATGGTCTCATTTTATGTTGCGTGGTTCTTGTATTGTCTGGGTTCCTTATGACTTATGAAAATGGACTTCAATTCTGTTTTAAATGAGCTTTTGTTTGTATCTGTCTCTTTCCATGTGCTCTATGACTACATGTCAAAACACATTGTAAACTTCTGTTTTTAAAAGTGCCATACAAATCAAGTTATTATTATCATTATTAAAACATATCAATCCTCAACATAAAAAACAACAGGAGGCTTTTATTTTGGTAGTTTGTCACTTTCACCTCCCACAACAACATGAATATTAAAGAGGAAATGATGGTTAAATCAGTCCACAGTGGACGAGGAAACACCCGATCTGGCAACTGGAAAACATTCGGAGAATGAAGGAGGGGTGGTCGGCTGTGAGCACCGCCCCTGGCTGAGTGGGTGAACTTTGTCACAAATCACACTGAGCTGCTTTATTTCTCCTCCTCTGCTCCTCAGTGTCACACATACAAACACACACACACACTGACTGACTGGAAAACACACTCATGAGGTCTGCGTAGTGCGCTCTGCCTGCTGCAAAATGTACATCTGGTTCACCGCGTTGGCCGGACTGGCGATCCTGGCCTTTGCCTATCTGAAGTCCCTTTTTCCTTACTTTGTCGACGACTTCACCTACATCCTGCGGAGCCTCAGACTCGGCGCCAGGCTCGTCAAATACAAGAAAGTCAAACCTTTCTACGGGATCGTGGACTGTTTCTTGGATGCAGCGAAGAGGCATCCCAACAAGATCTTCCTGCACTTTGAGGGTCAGGAGTTTTCCTATGGGGAGGTGGATAAACAGAGCAACAAGGTGGCCAGAGCTCTGCAGGCAGAGGCTGGGCTGAAGGAGGGAGACACGGTCGCCCTGTTTCTCCCCAACGAGCCCAGTTATGTGTGGACTTGGCTCGGTTTGGCCAAGCTGGGCTGTCCGGCTGCTTTGCTGAACTTTAACATCAGGTCCAAGTCTCTGCTGCACTGTTTCTCCTGCTGTGGAGCCAAAGTTATCCTCGTCTCTCCAGGTAAGATTTAGCTGAGTCCTCCAGACGCAAGGCGCAGCAAAGGAGAGGGAGGGGGGGTCTTCTGCTCATTTTTACTCCATCGGTGTATGGTCTACAGGAGCTCAAAGTTCAGAACACACTTAAAACTCCTCCTGATCAGTTCTTAAATCAGACCTTTGCTTCTGTTTTTGCAGTCAAGAGGCATTTTTGTCTGTATTCGTGACATTATAATGTGCATACATAGACTGTTAATGTGTATCATCCCATATTATTCAGAATGTGTATTCTCTTTGCAGTGTTTGTACTGTTCAAAACTTAAGGAAACTGTTACATATGCTGAGTTTTATCAGAGCAGTGGTGCTTTTTATGTGGAAGGTCACAGACATGATAAACATATGAGGGTCATTCAGGTAAACGCACCATAAAACATATATTGATGACAAAAATGGACAGCTACATTTAAAAAAATTGTCCTCACATATTTTTGTCCATGTTTTTTTTCCCATTATTGTTGTTTTTGTGTCCATATAAGCAGATTTAGAGCAACAGAAAATAACAGTAATAAAACTCCTGTCATGCATTCACATTCTTGGCCTTTAAAGCTGATTCTGATTGAGATCATGAGGGGCTTCCAGGTTTTACAGGTATGCTTAAAGTAAGGTAAAACATACGTAGCCGCCCTTTATTGCCTTTGTTATCTTATTTAAAACATACTTTTATGATACTTCTATCAATCAATATGATCAACAAATTACTAAAAAAAAACACCATAACACAGTCCGATAAATGATAAAAATGTCCTCTTGTAGTTAATCAGTTTCCAAAAACATCTGATGTATCAAACAAAATAAATAAATATATTTGTAAAATTTTAAGGACATTTTGATTGTTTTGGTTTTCAGTAGTAAGTGAAATAAACATTTCAGCTCCAAAATAATTTAGAATTTTCTGCCCATAATTGGTGGTGTCATGTCAGGCATTATCGGGTTAACTTAACTTGGACCGTTTTTAATTTTATGTTGCTTTATTCCTTGTTTTACCAAGAAACCTTTCTATTTTTAACTCTTTTTTAGCGTGGCATCCGTTAAAATCAAACTTAAACATAAATTCTTCAACACACATGTTGGGTTTAAGTAATGGTCGTGTAAATGATGTGATTAGTTCTTCCACATTCAATCTGACAGCTGTATTTACTCACAGATAACAACTCAGTGGACCTGAATTTACATACAAAGCATCACATTCAATCAGAGCCCTGATGTGATACTATGACACCACACATCTGCAGATATTTCAGTGACCAAACTCTGTCATCCAACATACCTCTGATGACTCCTGAGTATTTACCTCATATAACACTGACCAGCAGCAACATTTGAATTCAATTCAAAGGTTACTGCACCAATAATGAAATCCTCTGAAATGACTCCCTAATGACTGTGAAGTATCTCTGAAATACTTTTACTTTATCTTAACTAACAGATCAGACCAACAGAGCACATCAACCTTTTCTACAGACTTTCACCCCATTTGAAAGGCTGTTAATGATTAGTTTGTTTTAGCACAGGCGGACACAATGTACAGGATTAACACTCTATTTGAGGAGTTTATTGAGGGATTCAGAGGGAGTTAACGTTTATTTCTGTCTCAAAGCATGAGAGGTCAACCAAAGATAATCAAACAGAGAAAGCTGATAGTCTGAATTATCACCGATGTCTTATTGCCCAAAGTTAAATCTTTCACCTCGGCTCAGTTTGTCTTATATTATTCATTACTCAGTTTGTCTTATTGACACTTTACAAAGCGAGCTCACAACAGTAATGACAGAGTTGTTTGTGAGTTTAACTAAACTGAGTATTTGTAAAAATTTAGATCAAAAAGATTTGTCAGGAGTTATATGAAGTCAGTATATCAACAGCAGCTGTTATCAGGTAGAAAAGTATGTGCTGATCAGTGTATTATACATGTTGACTGAGTTCACATTAGGTAACATGCACTCCCCCATTTTGGAGTTAGGGCTCTCCCTTCCTAGAAATGCTTAGATTTGAGTATACTTGTCTGCACCATGTGCTTTTTCCCCTTGTAACATGATACACATCCACATGTGCAGCATTGCGCAATAACACACCCTGACATGCCTCCATGTGCAGAGCTGAATGTTTCTGTGTGTTGACAGAGCTGCTGGACGCCGTGGAGGAGGTTTTACCAACGCTGAGAGAGCAGGGGATCAGCGTGTTTCTCCTGTCAGGGTCCTGCAACATCCAGGGCATCAGTGCTTTGTCTGAAAAGATCTCCCAGGCCTCAGATCAGCCACTGTCCAGAGATCTCAGAGCCAACATCACCATCAGGAGCACGGCGCTGTACATCTACACGTCAGGAACAACAGGTACATCAGGAAACTCCTGACACACCCAGATATGGAGGGTAAATGCCTTCACTGCAGAATGACAGTTGTGTAAATGACTCATTTTTATTGGCGCTGAAATTAACCCCTCCTTCTTCGTTTAATACTCTTCATAAATACAGAAACTGTGTCATAAAAGTTCTGATTAATGTGCATCCTGGAGGATTTTTATAATGAGAGGTGTCTCCAATATCTTCACCTTTTTACACCTACTGCAATGAACACTCCTTTGAAGTTATATTCCATTTCTTCCAAGCCTGTCTTGCTAAATGCTGCTTGACACCACGCAGTGAGCCTTTGAATGCTTTATTCTGATTGGTCCATATAGTGCAGCAACAGTTTGTTATTTCTCAGTGGCAGACGGAAACACACATTTCTAGGAACAGGTGCAGAGCAAGAGTTTTTTTTTTTTCAGCTCAAATCTCTTGTGACTTTGTCAGTAAGGCAAGGAACTCCCATAACAGTAGAGTTAAAACCCATAACACCAAAACAAAGAGCCAGGAAATGTTACATGTAGTTGTTTGGTTCATAGCCTGCCATTATCAGAAAATCTGATCCCATCCAAATACTCATGAGAGCAGATTTTAGGTTATATGTTTGGGAGATTATTTGAAGCCTATGAATGAACATCGGTTGATTACTTTCTTTGGTGGTTGGGTGTCTTTTTTCATCAATTACACGTCCAAGGTTGGTGCAGTAGGCCGAGTCAACTTTGTCCACAGGGTGAGGAGATAAAAACATGTCCAGACCAACGATACCATACGATACGATACGATACGATATGATAATGGTACAATGCAATACATATAATATGATACAATATGATACATTTCGATTCGATACGATACAATAATGGTATGATAATGGTTCGATAATGTTAAAATACTGATAATATGAGCCACACTGTTGATGTTACATTCAGTTGTTTGGTTCATAGGCTGCCATTATCAGAAAATCTGATCCCATCCAAATACTCATGAGAGCAGATTTTAAGGTCAAGTCTATGAATGAACATTGGTTGATTACTTTTTTTGGTAGTAGGGTGTCTTTTTTTAATCAATTCAGACCTTGTAAAATCTACACATACAAAGTCGTTGACCCACTAAAGCGTCTGAGATCTTTATTTTTCCATTTAACTGCAGGTTTACCTAAAGCAGCTGTTGTCACTCATGAAAGGGTTTGGGCAGCCTCCTTCCTCCAGGCGGCATGTGGAGTCACCTCAGAGGACATCTTTTATATCAATCTTCCTCTCTACCACAGCGCAGGCTTCCTCATTGGGATGGTTGGAGGCATTGAAAGAGGTAATAATCCTCTCAATCCCTTCATGAGGATAACAAGAAAAGTTTAAACACCTGGTTTGGGAAGCTAAAGAGATGGAAGTAAGATAAATGCAGGACATTTGTATTTGCAGGTATGACCATTTTTCTGAGGAGAAAGTTCTCGGCCTCTCAGTTCTGGGATGACTGCAGGAAGTATAATGTGACAGTGATGCAGTACATTGGAGAAACAATGCGCTACCTCTGCAACACACCTAAGGTAAAAGTCCAGACCAGAATCACCTTTCTGCTGAATAAATGAACTGTTGCTTTGCTGGGATGACTGGAGCTTGTTTTTTTGTCTCTGATTGTTTGCAGAAAGACAGTGACAAGAACCACAAAGTGAGGATCGCTATTGGAAATGGAGTCCGCACAGACATCTGGTCAGAGTTTCTGAATCGATTCGGGGACATCAAAGTCAAAGAGTTGTACGCTGCAACAGAGGGAAACATCGGTTTCATCAATTATACGTCCAAGATTGGTGCAGTAGGCCGAGTCAACTTTGTCCACAGGGTGAGGAGAAAAAAACAGGTCCAGAGCAGACACAATACGATATGATTTGATATATGAAATGATATGATATAATACAATACGATATGATAAGATACGATGCGATGAGATATGATAGGATAAGATATGATATGATACGATATGATATGATAGGATACGCTACGATACAATACAAAAAGATACGATACCATAGGATATGATATGATACCATACCATACAATGAGATACAATACGATGCTATGCGATACGATGTGATATGATACAATACGATATGCTACGATACAATACGATACGAAATGATACGATACGATACGATACGATACAATGCGATATGATACGATATGCTACGATACCATACAATATGATAAGATATAATACCATACGATATGATATTATATGATATTATATGATACAATATGATACGATATGATACAATATGATACGATACGATACAATAAGATACAATATGATACGATACAATATGATATGAAACGATACAATGCGAAGAGATACGATGGGATACGATAAGATAAGATACAATATGCTTCGATATGATATGATACGATATCATATGATATGATACGATACCATAATGTTACGATAAGATATGATATAATGATATGATTTGATATGGTTATGTAATCACTTTGTTGGTTGAATATTTTTTTGCCATATTTAAACAGGCTGTTCCACTTTCCAAGAGGATGAACCTTAGAGACCTCTGAGATTGAGAACTTTTTTGTAACAACCCTTTTTTCACTTCTATTTTTTAACAAACAACTTTTTGTTCCATTGGCCTGTACTAGCATGTTAGCATCATCTTTATGAGGCCCGCTGACATAAGCCCGGCAGAGCTGCTAGCATTCTTCAAACTTTTGACTTTTTAAACCTGTAACTCTAATCTTTTTAGGTGTTGTTCATTCACTATCTCGTGACAAAAACGTTAAACTAACTGAGACTTTCTTCTTCTGTAGTTTTTCTTCCCTTACACTCTGATCAAGTTTGACATTGAGAAGGAGGAGCCTGTCAGGAACTCTGAGGGTCTCTGCATCCTGGCGGCCAGAGGTGAGATGAAACTTCAGGTGTTAACAAACAAACTCTGTTTTCTTGCCAATTGTTTTAAAAAAAGACAAAGCTAGCTGTAAAACTGTGTCTCTTCTGTGTCACTAAACTTTGTAACTTTGCAGTTTTTGTTGTAAACAGTGTGTAAAGCATAATACCATCCCTTTAAGCACTCTGAAGGCCTCACTCGTTTCATATTCCACAAGGTGAGACAGGACTTTTGGTGGGAAAGGTCACTCAGAGATCTCCCTTTGTTGGCTACGCTGGCAACAAGCAGCAGACTGAGAAGAAGAGGCTCCATGACGTGTTAAAAAAAGGCGACCTGTACTTCAACTCTGGAGATTTACTTCGCTTTGATCACAACAACTTTGTGTATTTTCAGGATCGTGTTGGTGATACTTTCAGGCAAGTTGTGGCTCATTTTCCAAACTCATTTTTGACTTTATCAATGTCTTGGGTTAGTGAGGGTACCGATGAGCCACAGGGGGTGACGATTTGCATGTTCACAGATGGAAAGGAGAGAATGTCGCCACATCGGAGGTCGCGGATATTCTTACCATGGCTCATTGCGTCCTGGAGGCAAATGTCTATGGAGTTAAAGTTGAAGGTAAAAACTGACATCAGAGTAAACTCTGCTCACACCTTAACCCTATTTTGCAGATATTTAGAGAATGTAAATTACTGCCAGCTGTTAACATTTTTGATATATTTTGAAGGTCATGAGGGGCGTATCGGCATGGCAGCCGTCACTTTGAAGGAAGGAGAAGATTTTGACTGTTTGGATGCCTACAAGCAGGTCACCACCTACCTCCCAGCTTACGCCAGACCTCGATTTATCAGGATTCAGGTGAGAAAAAGCAAAATTTTCACGCTCTACTCTCAGCTTTTGCAGCTGTCACGCTCACTCTGTTTCTTAACCTAAGGAATACTTTTTCTTATTACTCTTTTCTATCAAATACTTCTGCAAAGCACGGCTGGTTATTTGAGCAACATATTTGTAATGAGAAAAGCTCCTGTTTTAGTATGCAGGTCATTCTCACTGGCACTGGGAGCTTCTAAATCTGTATAATATAGAATATTTGATCAAATCTTTGGATAAAATCTACTTGATGTTGTAATATTTGTGTAGAGTCAGCTAAAATTCCCCTCTTCATCATTTATGATCATCCGCTAGAAATGTATGGAGGCTTGAGTATCACAGAGAACCTGCCTGTGTTTTCTTTTTAAACTGTTTCTCATGAAATCTGTTCAGCAGCAGCTTAAAGCTGTAACAGCCAATAACGGGGTGGACTGTGAGAGCTGAGCTCTATAAAAATGTAGCAGCCAGGTGCCAGATCGTAAACATGTGTCTAAGACCCAAGTTTCAAGGGTCCTTGAGTTTGAGATGAGAGGCCAACTTTACAAACTGGAAAGGACAAATCCTCCTCACTCTGCCTTTAAAAAGACAAAGTTTTTCTGGTTATTTTCATCGAAGCTTTACAAACATGAGGCAGAATCTAAAATCTCCATGGATTCATGGATCATGGATTTTGCATCACAGGCTAAAGTTTGTGTTGATCCCTCCACCCCTGTAAAAAAGTGGTACCTCCCATCTTTTGGTTTATTTTGTCTCGTTCAGGTGTGGATCCTTTCAGTCACCAAACATAAATATTTGCTCCAGCAGGTCGCTGTTTATCACTTTATCTGACACTGACCTTGAGGGCTATTTCAGGGATTGAAAATAACCCTGTAAAAATAATCTGTCCTTTTTTCTGATGGTCTAGTTAGCCTTTGTAGGTCATAGTGGGACATTAAAATTAGTTTCACTCTGTGTCCTAACCACTCAAAAACTCCTCACTGCAGCTTTAATGTACTGCACATGATGTTTTGGACCCATTTGCCCGTTTGAATGTGGTTTGTCATGACCTCCTTCCTCATATTTGGCACAAATGTCCACTCTGACTCATGGACAAACTGATAAGACTTTTTGGGCCAAAGGTAAAACTCACTGAAAACTCTATGTCCCTATCAGCTGTCTGTGAGAGAGGATGCTTTGTTTCTCACTCTAATATTTGATTCAAAGGAGTTAAAACTTCTGATATGCCCAAAAAACACTTCATTAAATCTCCTTTGAGTTTTTACCATATAAAAGTTTTAACCATTTTATGTTTAGGATTAAATCTAGATAGACATGGATGTAAACTGCACAAACACAAAGCAGTAATTATTGTTTTCCCTCTTTTTTTTCTGATGAAAACGACAGATTTGAAGGTCTTCTCTCTGTATATTTGCTGAAAGAGGCCACTGTTTTATCGCTTCATAACTTTTCAAACCAGATTTCTCTTTTCTGGATTAGCTCCGGTCATTTTATGCAAGTTAACAAAAGGTCATGATAAGTTATTAAAATTGGGTCGGCTGGAATAAAGAGTCCAAAGAAATGTAGCCCGAAAAATCGAAGGTTATCGATATGGAAACAAATATGTTTGTGTGACGTCTGGCTCATACCTGATCAGTGTTGGTTATGTTTTCTTGTATTGGTGATCTCTGTGTTTTGCAGCCGTGCCTGGAGATGACGGGGACATTTAAGATGAAGAAAGTGAAGCTGGTGGAGGAAGGATTCAATCCAGCTCACATCGAGGATCAACTATACTTTTTAGACCCTGAGAAAAAGACATATGTTCCCATGACGGAGGAGATCTACAGAGCCATCTCTTCAAGAGAAATCAAACTCTAACGCAGAAGTTAAAGCAGCTCTGTTTAACCAGAGGACTCGCCTGTGTAAGAAGTAGCAGCGCAGTTAAGGAACTCTGTCATTTCCAATGAGTGTGAGCTAACCAGCAGCATCGACCACAACAGAACACAGAGTGTCCTCATTTCACGCCCTCTCCCTCTGCAACCTTACACCCAGCTAGAAAAGAAAGACAAAAACAGAAAATAAACTCACTCACTGGTTTTAGATCAGTTTACAGGTTAACTACAGACTAAAATCAGAAACCAGAACAGAGCAGTACCGGTCTCCATGAAGGCTCAGGGCCAGAAGTCTGAAGATATTTCCTAAAACAGAAAGATAAGAAAACATGAGTCCATATTTGTTTTTCTTCTCTTTTTTAAACTTTTAATTCCTTTTCAAAGTATTGGTCTGATATTCGTTTCAAGAACAGTGTAAGAGAGCTTACATGTGTAATTTTTGGGAGGACAAACGCTTGCCCTGTGAAATGACTAATTTTTAGTTTTTAATATTTGTTAATCTGATTAATTATAGTTTATTTAGTAGATTTAATGTTTAAAATCAGAATCTATTTCTAAAACTTATTCAGTGGACCAATGGTGAAGTGGACCATTTATAAAACTAACCCATTTTTATGAGATGGATGTAGTTTATCCTCACCACAGTTAAAAGAACAGAAATGTGTCATGAGTAAAAAGGAAAATAGAGATTTTTTATTCCTCTTGTATCCAGAATTTTTTTCAAATTGGTTAATTTTACTGTATTAATGTAGCATTGAGTTTTCTTCAGGTTATAGACAGCGCTGTGTCATCTGCATAGAGGGATATTTGATTACCATTTTCAAAAAGAAACAATAGACGCTGCAGTCTTGACTTGTTTTATCGCTAAAACTACATGTTCACTGGATAAAAGCACCACCCAGTTCTCTTTTATGTCATGGGTTACTTGAATGTGTTTGAAGTAAATGCTTAAAAAACCTTTAACCTGGTAAAATTAGGGGATTTAGTTGGCAGAGTTGACTGTCTGTGTTGAACTGTAGGCCTAGCTAGCCTGCTGCTCCCCAACGTCTCATTAAGGGAGCAGAACTGACCGCCGTCCACTGTGGCTATTACACTCACTTACTGAGGACATGTAGCTTATACTAGCCCAGTTCAAAAACACTGAAATATCCCTTTAAACAGAATCTGAACTCAAGATAAATGATTGAGGACCTTTTAATCATTCCAGTAATCTCAGGGACAGAAATACTGTGAAACATAATATCATGTTGCTTTTTGTTGTAACTGATCGACAGTCTGTGTAAATGTTTAACACGGTTCAGACTGTGTGTTGTACAGATTCGCTTCACTGTCACTACTTAGGTTGTAAAGAAAATAAACTGTTTTCTTTTGAAGTTGTCTTGTTTTTAGTTGGTATTTTTAACTGTGTGATCTAAATTTTCAACTTTGAACTGTTTTGTTTCATCAAACACAAAATAAGAGTTTAGGAGTTCCCTCAGATAAGAAAGGATTTATGTCTGTTGGTTTTTTGAGGCTGGTTTTGTCATATTTTGTGCGGCGTGTTGCTAGTTTATCACTGAACCTTTGTTCTGACGTTATGTAAAGTAGACAGTCTTCGCTTTATCGTGTATTCTGAGTTAGGGAGTGTTTGGGTCCTGAAGTTGTTCTGCCCTCAGAGTGCAAAACCTCCATATTTGAACCCGTGCGACTGCAGATAAAGAAACTTTCTAACTCTGTTGAGGTCAATGACCATCGATATAATCTACTAGATTGACCAACACAACCTTTAACATGGAGCCAGACTCAGACTTTGTCACGTGACAGATGTGGTGAAAATGTCAAATACGGGGAACGAATTTTTGGGAAATGAAAATGAAAATGAAGAAATGTGTTTTGTTGCACAATAGAAGCTCTGAATGACTTTTACTTTTGTTCATGACCATTTGACTTTGTTGTGCAGAAAGAATAAGCACAATCAAACTGAACACAAGAGTCTTTAATAAAGGACTGAGGAGTTAGATAAGTTAAAGGGATATTCTGGCGTAAAATGAATTTAGGGTCAAACACACCGCGTCTGCAGTGGAAAATGATTAATATGGTGATTATTACTTCAAGGAAATGATAAAGTAATGATCATAAATGTTCTTCCTTGAACTGCGTCACCCCGCAGAAGTCCATAATGGACTGGCCTGAGGTCTCGCTACAAAGAAGCAGCTACTGGAAGAGAGTAGGTTGTGTTTAGTCTCTTTGCTAAACAAATCAGGCAAAGCTAAAAAGATGTTTGGTGGCTAGTGCTGTGTCTGGGACCCTATATGTACTGTTGATGAAGTTAGGTGCTGTTCTGAGCATTATTTATGGCTATAAAGTGGCGTTTTGTTTGAGTTAAGTGTATCGCTATTCTGCGGTCATTACTTAAGTTGATATAACTAGAGAAGCAAGCAGTCGGTAACATTCATCTCTCGAGGGGGTGTCTAACTCTGTGCTACGGTGTGTTTGACCCTAAATTAATTTTACGCCAGAATATCCCTTTAATGAGGATGTTTCTGACAAATTAGATTTCTGTTATTGAATATGTCTGTATTCTGAGGAGGGGGACAGTGAGAGTCAAATGTGTATTTATAAGACAACAGAAAACTTTCAGTGTCGCAACCTGAAAACCAAAAGTTCAAATCTGTGTGTGCTGACTGTCTGTCCTGATCCGACTTTTGTGAGAAGGCAGAAGAACCATGAAACAGCCGAGCCCTGTACACGTGGGAGAGATTAAGCAGCAGCAGCAGAGAGTAGTAGGAAAACCTAACTCAAGCATTACAGACTGATAATACCATCGCCAACTTCTCGACCCACAAGGGAATTCTTCAAGCTGTTTGGCAGGAAAACAGTTCGGGTGTGTCGATTACACAAAAACATCTGGAGGTTCAGCGCAACACAACACACTGATCCAAGGAGCAGTTACTTTCAAAATGAATTTATTTATTAATACAGTGGTATACTTAGAAATGTGTCGCAAAGGAAAAAAAACAAACCAACCGTCGAACCAAAGAAAAATCAAAATAAATAAAAAGAATGTCAGCCACTCAGGAAAGTAAACTAGTGTTGGGTTGAAGCAGTGTTATCATATCAAAAGAAAATAGTACTGATGTGCCATAATAAATTGTCTATTAGTACAAAAATACATTTCAGGGCACACAATACAGCATCCAGTATCACAAATAAAGGAAGGGCCCACTCTTCACAGCAGACCCTCTCAATTACATCTTTTAAAATTATTTAAACCAAGCACTTCTCTAGTTTGTAAATAAGAATAAAAAGTTTTCTGACCTTAAGTAAAAATGCCTTAAGTAGTGTGTGTGTATATGTTGGTAGAAAAGTCGGACTTATTACTGCTTATGTCAGTTCCAAGGCTCAGGGGTATAACCAGAATACAAACATAACCAATGTAACCGCTTTCTCTTTTTTAAACAAACATTTTCTCTTTTATACAAAATAACAAAGATGTACAAAAGTCCATTTACAGAGAACCAAGGCCATATACTAGCAATATGTACAGCCACATTTTAAACATCTTCTAGCTTTTTTGTATTTCCTCAGACTTCATATGCATAGCAGTAAAAGAAAGCATACCTTTTCTTCAGCCTCGATTATTCTCGTGTGCTAAATCCGAGTTCACTGTTAATGAGAAAAAATGCAGAGACGACTTTTTCTTCCCGTCGTGATCGCTATAACTGAAGGATCCGATGTTTTTAAAGTTTTCACTGAAAAGATAATATGCAGATAAGGCATCACTGCTTGCAGTGTACGATGGGGTTTTCATGTGTTGAACTTAGTAGTAGCAGGCTTCTGGACCTGAGTCATAGCACATGCATAGATCTCTAGACAGCAGGAGTTTGTAAAATCAAGTCAGTATATTTAACTACGGTAAAACATTGCTACAAAAACTTCAGTTTTAAAGAGAGAGAGCCCCGTCAGAACAAACAGGCGCCTCGTATTAATACTTCACCTTCATTCTTCTTTTCTTTTTTTCATCTTCTTTCATGAGCCTCATCAAGTCCTCAGATCGTTCATGAGTGAAACGCATGACCACAGAGCTCACAAACAAAAGTTTTGCATATACTAACTTTAGTGTTTGTGAGTCTCAGTTTTGTACTTCTCTTTTTTTTTTTTTTTTACAGTACGCAAAAATCCTGTTGCAATATTAAACAAGATTCAAAATTCTCTTTTCTCCTCACACTGCTCTGACCTTTTACAAAATGAGCTTAAAAATGACAAAATGAGAGTATTCAGTCTGTGGCACTGGTCATGCATTCCAACTTCAGTTCCTTTTGTTTAAATAACTTTTTATCTTTATTTTTTGCAAGCCTTGAAAGCACCAAAAAAATGAAAGGAAAAAACGAGGGTGCAGCCTCGGGGATGCTGGACTCCTCTGACTCTGTGTTTATGTGGTTCTTTTTTCTTGTGTTTTTCTAATTTTTGGGCACAGTAAACAACGTGAGAGTATCAAGTTCATACTTCATTGAGCATCGTACGCCCCGTCAACGGAGGGAGTGCGACAGGGGCGACCGGGATCCCCCCTCCTGTGTATCACATTCAGTAACAGGCCAGCTGTTGCCCTCTTCAGAAGTGGTCAATGAGCACTGACACACAGTTTGCACCCACCAGGTAGTTTGGGTCTCCAGGGAGAGATTTGTTCTGCCAGGTTTTGGGATCACCTGCAAAAAAATAGAGGTGTGGTGTGAGCTGCTGGAACAAACTTCTCTTTGAGAACGCGAAAACAAACTTTGAACGGACAAAAACATTCGACAAGTTAGTAAAAACGGATGAAAAAGGAGGGAGACAGGTTCTGTTGTGCACCATGCAATTCTGAAACTCATTCAAAGCAGATGGTTCTTTGATTTTAAGATGAACGAGGCAAAGGCTTAGTCTTTTCAGTTCAATAATATAACATATATATTTTTTTTTTAAAGAGCAGTTTATCCTGAATATTTTCTCTGGTGTTTGTTCTGTCTAACAAATAAAATCGGAGAGATGTGAAAAATTACTTTTTGAGTTTCCAAAAGCTAAAAAAAAGCTTTCAACATCTTTTTTTTAATGCTTAAAGGTCCTTACACACCGTGACTGTTTTTGTCGTGCGATATTTCAGACATCAAATTTTTTTTTCGAACCCGCATCCTGTCATTACAAGCGTTCACATCAGCGACGTTTTCCTCTTCTGCGATATACGTTTCTTTCTCTTTTGAGAAAGCAGGAGTACCAATTCGTCATCACATGAAGTTAAAGTAGACTCTATTTTTGTCCGGGACGCTGTAGGTTATTAAGGGAAGGTCCCGCCCTCCTTCGCCTCTGATTGGCTGACAGTTTGGCTTGAGTGTATGATGCCGTTTCCAGCTTTTCTAGCCAATCAGAGGCGAAGGAGGCGGGACTTTCCCCCCGAAAAGTCTTCCCCGGGATGAATCTTTCTCCCCCCGGAAAGTCGCAAAATCGCATCGGGCTTGATGTGTATAGTCAGGTGCGTCAAAATTCCCCTCCAAATATTTTGTGATTTTGCGTCTATATTCGTGTCGGCCCCGGTGTGTAAAGACCTTAACACTGAAAAATATTCTGTATGCAAGCAAATTAAAAACAGAACTAAGAAAGATTGAGGAGCAGAAATGAGGAAATGTATCCACTCTTGTTTTTTAAAAAAGGACAAATAATGATAAAAAGTTAATTATTGATCTGACATGAATCATTTAGCAGATTTTCTGAAAGTTTCAGCTCCAACAGATTAGTTTTTTTTCCCCTGTGTTGCAGCCAAAGATTAGAATAAATCTGTGCAGCTCAGATTAGGCATGAAGAGAGGGAAACAGTCAGGCAGCTCATGCAGAGGAGGAAACGAAAGGGAAAACAGAAATTAGACGAGCTGAAGGAAATAACTCTGACACACTTCAAAAAAAAAAGCCTCTCCTCATAACTACCAAAGCCCACAGACCCCAAAGGACAGAGAGAGGACAGCATACCCGACGAGGAGTCGGAGGATTTTAGAGCAAAAGACCAACCATCAGGGGTCATAGACGCACAGTGAGGTAAGCGCAGCTCCACCGGCTTCAGGAACTTGAGTCCGTGAGGGCCACACATCACCAGTGGACTTAGCAGCGTTTCTCCTGCACGGACGCAGAACGAGGTTTTAATTCCACAAATGAGAACATCCAGGGATTAACCAGCACACAGAGGTTATTTATTAGCCAATTAAATGGCAGAATGTAGAGGACTGACTGCCAGACTTTCACAGTGAAGGAGGAAGGAATTACCTGCTAACCAACTCGTCAGGTTAATTAAATTATTTCACCTGCCTGGAGATTAGTGTTGATGTTGGCGGAAGAATTTCCTCTCAACATAACAGCTGACGTGGGTGTTAAAAACAAGGATTTTTAAAGTTTGACAGCTTTTTCATCTGAAACTTCTTCACACATGAGTGGGTTTTTAAATCAGTGTTGTCCAGATCAGAAAATGTGACCCTAACTCTAACTTGGAATCAAAGCTACAATATTTTATAAACTAGGAACTGAAACATCCTGATGCAGCTGAAGTCAAGTCTCTTATCAGCTCTTACAAACGTTATCCATGTTGTTAAAAAGTACTCTGCTGTTTGTACTCATTTTTAAACTCGGGGAAACTTGGAGACAGACCTTTCTCCTTGTCGAGGGGGGGCAGGATGCTGTTGTCCCGGCACACCTTGAAGTAAATCTCCTGCTCCACGCTCTCGGGGATGGCGCCCTGGGGGATGATGATGCTGACGCCTGTCTCGATGGAGCTCAGGACGCCTCCGTTACAGTTAAAGACTCCTCGGGCGGTGGCCACCACAGTGTGTCCTTCGTCCTCATCCTCATCGTCCAGCGTGCTGGGGCTGAGGGACAGATGAGAAGTCAGGATCATCAGTTTAAAGTCAGCAGAGAGCGAAGCAAAGTAAAGGGGTTCAGGATTCACTTGGCGTTTAGCGTTTCTTACCTCACAGGGATGGCCTTGGGGATGGCGATGTTATTGTGCTGGTATTTGGGCCTGTTGTCCATGGTTCGTGTGAAGGTGTCCAGGCCGCTGTCGTGATCCAGAGGCTGAGGAGACAGCTGTGGTTTCCCTCCGCTATTGCTCATCACGGCGGGCTTCCCGAGGAGGTCGGTCTTCACCTGTGTGTCGTTGGGCAGCAGGTTGTGGTTGAACTTGGGGCTCTCAAACTTGCGCTCAAAAGGCCGGGCTGAGCTGGTGTACGGCTTGGGGACGTAGCGGTTGTAGCTGGTTGTAGCGGGAGCCCCGAGCGTCTTTGGGAGTGCTGTATCTGTGCCGTTGACTGGAGGTTTATCGAGGGGCCCCCTTGGGGGCAGGTAGCCTCCTGGTGTGGGTTCATCCCTGCTGGGCGGCCTGAGAGCTGCCAGTTCGGGTTTAGGAGTAGGCGAGGTCAGCGGCTCTGGTATGGAGTTCACTGGAAGTAGATCAAGTATCACAGAATCACTGACGGTCTTCATAAATATATTCGACCCTCACTGCTCAGTTTAAAGATACACAAAGACACGGTTTTATTGAAAATGTTTCTAAACTTGAGACTGCACCTTTAATTTTCTTTTTTTATCTTCTCTGACTGATCATCATCGCCAACTTTTATTTATGTTAAAGGGATATTCCGGTGTAAAATTAAGTTAGGGTCAAACACACAGAAACACAGAGTTAGACACTCCGTCGAGAGATGAATGTTGTCGACCGCTTGCTTATCTAGTTATACCAACTTAAGTAATGACCGCACAATAGCAATACACAGCAGTCTGAGGAGCCATAAACAAATCTCAAACAAAAAGCCACTCTATAGCCACAAATAATGCTCCGAACAGCACCTAACTTCATCAACAGTACATATAGGGTCCCAGACATAGCACTAGCCACCAAACATCTTTTTAACTTTGACTCATTTCTTTAGCAAAGAGACTAAAGACAACTCACCTACTCTCTTCCAGCAGCTGCTTATTCGTAGTGAGACCTCAGGCCAGTCCATTACGGACTACAGTGGGGTGACGCAGCTCAAGGAAGAACATTTATGATAATTTCTTAATCATTTCCTTGAAGTAAAAATCACCACATTAATCATTTTTCACTGCAGACGCGGTAGTTCTTCTGCCTTAGCGTCTCTGTCTGATTGCATTTATATGAAGAAACGATCATAAATGTTCTTCCTTGAGCTGTGTCACCCCACTGCAGTCTGTAATGGACTGGCCTGAGGTCTCTGTACAAACAAACAGCTGCTGGAAGAGAGGAGGTGAGTTGTGTTTAGTCTCTTTGCTGAAGAAATTAGGCAAAGTTAAAAAGATGTTTGGTGGCTAGTGCTGTGGCTGGGACCCTATATGTACTGTTGATGAAGTTAGGTGCTGTTCTGAGCATTATTTGTGACTATAGAGTGGCGTTTTGGTTGAGGTTTGTTTATGGCTCCTCAGACTGCTGTGTATTGCTATTGTGCGGTCGTAGCTAAAGTTGGTATAACTAGAGAAGCAAGCGGTCGGCAACATTCATCTATCAACGGGGTGTCTAACTGTGTGTTACAATGTGTTCGACCCTAAATTAATTTTATGCTGGAATATACCTTTAAGCCTTTAAAATGATTGTTACCCTTATTTACAGAGATGAAGAACACAAGTAAAACAAAAAGGTAAAACTCTGTGAAACAAATGTTTTTTTTTTCTAAGTGAGTATTTGATGAATAAAAGTTAACAGTTAAGTCTTCATTTATCTAAATCTTTTGGAGAATCGACATGCTTAAAAACCAGATGGCTACATTCAAATGTCATAGGCTTTTTAGTTTGTCTGTCACTTGATATTAAACTGAAAAAATAAAAGAATAACACATCACTTAATCTCCACTATCTTCTCTAAAATCATGATGGAGTCTGTGAGTAAAGAAGCTGGACTGTTTGCTCACCATCACCAGGGCTGAGTTTGGGCAGTGTGCTGGGTGGGATGGCGGACACAGGGGGCCCATACTGTGAGGATGGGCTGATTTGGGGCAGAGGTTCATATCTCTTCTCCACCGGACTCACCTTCTCTACAGACTCAACCCTGCAGCAGGCGGACACAAACAAAGCCGACAATCAAAACAATTAGGACACTTTAGCTGGGGTGTGCCTGAGGAGGAATGCTGATCTCCAGCCAACACTGCTGGCACGAGGTGATGTTGTTGTTGTACCTGTTGTAAGGGTAAGAGAGCTGAGCTGGTTTGGGCAGATCATGGAAGCGGTTGATGCCAGGCACGGGTTGGCCCATAGCCTTACTGTCAAAGCTGCGGCGATCAAAGTAGGACAGCTGTTTCCTGTAGTACTCCTCATCCTCATCGGGGTCATAGTGGTTGGGCCGCATCATATCATCCAGAGGTTTAGGATGAGGCTTCTGTGGCTCAGGAGCCCTGAAGGGGGAGCAAAAGGAACTGTGTGAAACAGCTGCAAGGACTGACCCGAGGCCAGCTGGATGTTTGACCATATCATGTTTATAAAATATTTCCATCTTAGTTGTAGAAACTGTTCTCTCGTTTAGAGACCAGGAAATAAAAGAAAAATGACTTATTATGTGAAGAAATAAATTGAATTTCTCAGTTGAGGTGGGAATAAAACTTTGCTGCTGTAAGATTTCTATCGATCTTGTCAGCATTTGAATTTCTGCACATCTTCTGTTCACCACACAAGAGCCAGGCCTGCAGAGAGCTGACTTCTGTCCACTAGGGGGAGCTCCAACCACAATAAAACTCCCTCAAGATGGCTTTGCAAGGATTTCTGTGTTGTCCTTCACCCATGATGTCTGCAGCTTGTGTTGCTGCTGTGCTGTGACGTAGACCACGTACCTATAGGAGGACTTCTCCTGCTCCAGGTTGCTGAGGGAATTGGCTTTGAGCACTGGACCAGGTGCACTCACAGGTTTAGGAACATCTGCAGGCTGGACAGCAATGAGAGAGAGAGCATGTGTTCAGTGCTTCTTGCTTGTGATCCAGATTTGGGTTCACATGAATGGACTGCACACAGACATCTCGTACTGTGCAAGACAACCCGCAGGACAAACAACAGCTTTGGAAAAATCCTGCTCGTAGCTGTAGCTGCAGTTTTCTGACGGATGTTTTTTTTGCAAATTAGAGGAACAGAAATCGACTTTTTGGACGTTTTTTTATAACCTTTTAACGGTTTTAATATTTTCACTGGAAAGAACTACTTCACTAAACGCACTCAGAGAAACAGTTTGGATTTTATTAGTTTCAGAGGACATGACTTTGTTTATAACAAGTATAAAAACTTGATTTAAAGTTAAAGATACTTTCTTCACCCTTTTCAGGGCTTGACAGTGCGACCGTTTCACTCGCATTTGTGACTAAAAATAGATGTGTGCGAATTGTAAAATGTATTTAGGGGCACATGTGCGCAAAAAAAATAAAGCTGCGGCAAAAAATTTTTTTTCATGTCAATACCACGGTGAAGTTGGTTATAAGTTAGAGCTTTGACGGACATTCACTGCAATCCACCGGTGTTTTCCTAACTCTCCATAAGCGGGTATAACAACAGCAGCGCAGTTAAATCTACTCGGCACCCTGGCTGTCAACATCGGGTGTTGATTAAGGGACCATCAATAAATTACCGGTTGATGTTCTAAAAAAAAAAAAATGGTTTTCCATCAATAGCTTCCATGTCATGTGATCAACTGATTTAAAATTGATTTCAAATAATACTAAGGTCAGACAATAAGACACACCTTTTTATTTCCCTAATTTGTCCTCTAAAAATGTTTGTGTTAAATTTAAAGGCAAATTTTGAACATTCCCTTTAATAGCTTCCATGTCATGTGACCAATTGACCTAAAATTGATTTAAATAATAGTACTTATGTCGACCAATAAGACACACATTATTTGATCAATTTCCATTGTGCCCCTAAAGTTCTTATTGTGCTTCTTGTGAAGAAGTTAGTGTGAAGTCCTGCCTTTACACAGTCTTACCTTGAATAAATCAACTCTTTGACTCACCCTGAGTGCTGACGACTCTCCCTCTTTAGCTCTGTCCATAGAAACAGACCGTTTATTCTCAAACATCTTGACTCTGTTGAGCACTGACTGCGGTTTCATGGCCGGGTCCTCGTCCAGCTCTTCTCGCGGCGGAGGAGGGAAGGGTTTGGATCCTGGAGTGGTAGCTGGCTCGCCTGGCGAGGACAGGTTGTCAGGTTTAGGAGGGGGGATCGTGGGTTCAGAGTTCATCATAGGCTCATGCATCCCTGGCTTGTAGCCCCTGTTGGGTGGTCCGGGCATGTAGGTGGGCCTGAGACCTGAGTCTCCGTAATACTGCTTTGGGGGCTCTGGCGATCGAGGTGAATTGATGGGGAAGCTGTGAGGTTCTGTCTCATAAGGAGAGCGGGCGTCGTAGCCGGCTGGTGGCGGTGGGGGCGGAGGCTCATCATAACGAATGGGCCCGGGTTTACTGTGGCGTCTGCCATCGTAGCCTACTGGTGGGGCCTCGTCGTAGCGCGGCTGAGGAGGGCTGTAGTCCCTACCTGGTCCGTCTTCATAGGGGGACCGCGGGTTGTAGCCCATGGGTTGCTGGTGGCCCTGCTGGTACCCTGCGGGCTGGGAGGACGAGGTCTGCTGGTCATAGGGGGGCCACTGTTCGCTATAATGAGGCACACGGTTGTCGTAGTGCAGGTGAGAGTCAGTGTTGTGAGGCTTTGGTTCTGTGTAGCCGCCTCCATCGTATCCATAAGGCGGGTGGTCATATTCACGATATGGCTGTTTGTCCTGGTACGGCGGCTGGTGCGTGTAGCTCATAGACTGCTTCAGGCCATGGTTGATTCGCACAGGGTCCTCCATATTATACAGATCTTTCTTGTACATCTGCAAAGAAACAACCACAAATGAATACATCCGTCGTATTCCCACCTTTGTTGTCCCCTTTTTAAACACCACCATGTTGCAGAACAGAAAGCAGTCAGGACAATGCTTTCCAAACACCAGATTAAAAAGAAACTTCCAGATTAAATCCAATTCTGGGATGTAAACTAAAACCTGAGAGAACAGAACATGTATGACATTAACCAAATTATCGGAAAATAATCCTTTAACCATGTAAACAAACATCTAATTAAAGTGCAATTACACAAGCAAACCCTTGTCCATTATTCAAAAACAGTTCTGAATGCCTGTTTGACAAGATGCCTTTCAAGAATGATCATTAAAAAAACAGTTTTACATGTTAACACTTCATAAATAGTCAGAAAATAAGCAATTTGCACATTTCTGAAAGGCCTCATTTCAAACATATGATGTGTAGCCTGTAGACAGCAATTCTAGTTGAAGTTACTCCTATGAAGGTGAGTGGATTTGTTGGCATCTACTCAGGACTGAAGTGCTAAACAGAAGACACAATGCAGTGTGCTGGTAAGTATGTTTGCTTTCCCAGAGAGAGATTTGCTCAATCATTACAGAGACTACTGTCTGCAGGTTAGCTCTCATCATGCAACCAACATTCAGTTTGCATCTAATGCAACGTCAAACTACTGGCACCACAACAGACGACACATCTACCACTATGATGCCACTGTCAGTGCTACTATTGTTTATCTACACAAGAGTTAAAGCTGATAGGAACCCAAAAACATTAGGAGCCATGCAAAGGAAGAAGAGGCAACAGTTAGGGCTGGTTGTGGATGTCTTCACCCTGTTCAAAGACTCAGATGTACCAGTCCTTCTGGTCTCCCAGCCCACTGTGGTGCATGTGGACTAGTCTGTCTCACATTTTCTCTGGGAGCCAGAGGCACACAGTGGGCTCAGTGAGTCACACAGTGTGGGCATGTCATGCAGAGAGCGAGTGGAAAGCATGTGCGAGAAGACAGGCAGTTAAAACAGCAGGCTGGGGCCCAGGCCCGGTCCGAGTGGCTGGTGAAACAGCGGGTACCTTTGGTTCTGGACCAGGCGGTCCAGACGGGTGGGGTTCGTGTGGTGGTGGTGGGGGCTGAATAAGCTCAGGGGCAGGGCTGGGGCTGCTAAGTGAGTCAGCCTGAGGAGCTGCGGCTGCAGCAGGCGGCTCCTCTAGGTGCATACCCTCTAGCTGTACGGGCTGCTCAACAGCAGGGGGCGCTACCACCGGCGGCGGCAAGGAGGGCAAGGACAGAGCAGCCTCATCTTGCTGTGAAGTATTGTTAAGAGACATTTATGACACAGCCTGCCAAGGGATCATCAAGTACAGCTCACCCCAACACCAAGGTCTCCTTCCTTACTCTGACTCAGTTTTACTCCGGCCACAGAATCAATTGAAAAAAATGTTGTAGGACTAGATAAGAATTAGCTTCTACAACAAGTTTATCACTTAGCAAAGGACATTTAGTCATAGCAAAGACACAACAACGAACACAGAAGAGCTATTACTCTGCTCTGCTCTCATAGACTTCTACCCACAGACATCCAATATGACAGGCACGGCCTGCAGAGCTGGATATGAACTTTACCTGTTGTGGGGCGGCCATCTTGAAAGCGGCAGGATCGATGCGACTGGCTGGGTCGGACTGCACAGGGTGCTGGTATCCAGGGTACCCGGGGGTGTCCTGAATCACAGGCGGGTCTTCTCGAACGGGCTCTGAGGAGCGAGTGATGGCTGGCTCTGTGGGCAGACCCACCTCATCGTTCAGAGTCTCGTCTAGTTCCTGGTCTGTGTACGCCCCGCCCTCTGTGTCCGTGTCCTCATAATCGGAGGTGTGGCGGCTGTCCGTGCTGTACATGGAGTATTCACTTCCTGGTGCTGACAGGTAGGACAGGCGGTCGTCGTGGATATCCAAATCATCCTCTGTAGTGCCGTCCGCCTGAGCAGAGCAGAAAGTGATCATCTCACATGTTTTGCTCGATGGGAATAACGGGACAGAAAACATTGCTCAGTGAAATAGAAAGGAACAGGTCGCTCACCTTCCCCTCTGACACCCACACCAGCTGGTTCTGCTGCTGTTGGATGGTTTCTTTCAGAGCTCCGTACCAGCCGTCGTTCATATTATTCAAGTTGATGGTGGCTAGGAGAGAACGATTTTTTACGATCAATTCCTCAAAAATCAAACAAGAAATCGAGACATTCATCTTTACAGCTGACTGTGTTTGAACTCTCTCTGCTCACTCACTGGTGAACAGGTGGTGATTATTCTTCCTCAGTTTGATGGCTCTCTCATAGAGCTTCCTGGCACTCTTCCTAGACTCTGGACACAGTCTGGTCCTCATGTTCTTCACACCTTGTTTATTATCAGGATTTAGGAAGACTACAATAGGGTACCATTGAGCGTAGTTCAGCCTATCCACAGCATTTGGGGTGATATCCAGCACAGCATGTTTGTCCTACATAAGATAAAGACAGGATTGAAATATATCTTTGTGAAAACATCTCAAGACTTTACTTAGCATGATAAAAGGAGACATACTTACTCTGTCAATGATCTGCTTAATGGTGTGAAGACGAATGATTCCTGAACTCCGCTGATCTGTTCCTGCGTCCCTAGGTTCACTTTCTGCAAAAGAAAAGTTGGAGGGGTTGATGCAGGAGAACAGACTCGAGGACCAACAGAGTAACTGTCATGTCAGTTCATGCTCTCTTCTGTTTTTTTACAAACATACTTGCTAGCTCAAAAAGTTCCGGCTCTTCCCGGGACAGTTTTTCTCGGGCTACATCAGCGATGGGCCCAAATATCACCACAGGTCTCAGGAAACCAGCTGCACAGAAAAAAACCCCCAAAATATTTACACCTGAAGAAAGTAGTTTCAGTCTGGCTGTGACATACGTGTGAAGATCCCTCACCTTCTCTTAGTACAACTCTCTCATAAGCTGGGAACTTTGTTTGGACTGGCTGAGAGGAGAGGTCCTCCCTGCTCTTCCTCAGGTTCCTCTTGGAGCTCCGAAGACCCCTAAACCTCCAGAAATCGGCCCGATCCCCGCCTGCTGTTTTGGGGAGAGTGTACTGCACACTGGAGAGCTGCTCCGCTCTGTTGATGGACAGCAGAAGGACAGGGACGGTTCATAATGTAACACAAGCTGTGTGTGTGTCACAAACTTGGAACGGATTAAATCAACACTGCCAATACCCGAGGACAAAATGTGAAGATGAAAATCACAACTAATTTAATTTACATATTGAACCTGATTGTCTAATACTAGGAGAAATATTTATCCAGAGTGGCACTTTTTCAGACGTAAAGGCAATTTGACCGAGTCAACTGATAATAAATAATCCTGCGGCTTGAGTGGGCGAGATTATAGACACAAAACTCGTAAACAAAACTCCCTGGTTCTATCAAACTGTAAGGAAAAAACAAATACTCCAATATTCTTAAAAATCCTCTCAGACTGACTTGGAGACATAAAAACCTGGATGTCCCATAATTTTAGATGACTGTCATATCATCTAACTGGTCTCCAGTACCTTGGGTCAAATGTCCGTTCTCATGCTGGAAACCTTCCATTGATCTTCTATTGGATCAAAGTGGTTGTGAAAACCAGATTCTTTCAGATTAGAGCCATCTCAGGGATAAAAACACATTTCTGTTTCAGTGACTTTCATATTCCATCTTTTCTCCCCTCCATTAATGTCACCCCTTCTATGGTGAGATCAGCCAGTAGTCCCTGTCCCCTCTGTAACAGGTCCAAAATGCCGTAGCCAGGCTTCTGACTGGTTCCAGGAGGAAGGATCATGTCAGTGTGACTGTAGCCTTTCTTCAGTGGTTTCCCATATGCCTCAGGTTTGGTTATGTTGTTTGTTTTTATAAAGCCCCATAATGATTGCCCTCTTCCATATAACTGACCTCCTGAGCCTTTTCGAAAGCTGCAGGCCTCTGAGACCATCTGACATGGGTGCCCTGGCAGCCCCATTCCAATTCTAGGCTTAGAGGTGACTGCTCTTTCAAAGCAAAGGCCCCTTAACTTCAGAACCTGCAAAATCTGACCCCTGTCAGCTCTACAGTCTCCCCATGAAACATGCCGTACTTTCATGTTCTGACACCAGAGTCCTCCTGCAAACTGTTTGAAAAGACTGAGCAGCACATTAGAGTCAAATTTTTTCACTTGGTATCTTTGGATCTTGTGTATTATTTCAGTGTACTGTGCAGCACTTGGACAGCTGCAGCAAATTTTAAATGTATCATAAATAAAATTGTTGACCACATGAAAAAGTACCACGATTAATCACAGATGTAAATCAAATAAAACGATATCAAATACATGATTGAATAACTGATAAATAACATCATTTTACTGAACAATATGGGTAACTCCAAACAGCAGGAACACATTTCGGTCAGGGCGCTGTCACCTGTTCTTGTTGGGAATGATGCCCCTCTCCACCTCTTGGTGGTTCTTGCCGATGCGAATAGCCAGCCAAGAGCCTAGCTTGCCGTTATAGAGGGTGTCCACCACGCGGAAGACCTCCCCCTTGTTAAAACTTAACCCGTAGGGAGATTCCTTCTCGTACTCAAAGTGTGTCCGAATGTAGAAAGAGTCCCCGACATCTGACTCTACGATCCGTCGATACACTAAACAACAAAAGAGAATCGAGTCAGAAACACACAGAGACTTTCACTTTTACGGATGAATGAGATTCCTCTACTCCTTACTCACTTCACTTACCATCTTTCTTCTTCTGGGCGAGAATGGTAACCTCCTCACCCTTCGGAAGGTCTAGAAGGAACAGCACCGCCTCCTCTCGGATTATGTTTGCAAAATCTACATTATTTACCTGGAATTGGGGAAGACAGGAGTTACTGCTTCACGCTTCATCTTAACTCTTATCTAGGACTTAAAATTTAAGTGAGAAGTTAGCCTTGTTGTCCAGAAAGTATTAACCTCTCTTTAGATAAAGATTTACATAACTCTTCCTGTTCTTTGTATTGCCCGGGTAACTGCAGGTTTAGCAGCACTGCAAGAACTCAAACCATCCCTCATTATTCTTGGAGAAAAGAGGAGGAGGTATAAACAGAGAGATATATGGCTTTGAGGAAATGGGACAAACACAGTGAGAGGAAACAGTGTTTTTCTGTGTGTGCTCCCCTGGGGCCATCGCTAAGAGACCAGCCTGGAGGTACAAGAATTTTGAAGCAGGCAGTGTGTAAAAACCATGAATAAAAAAGAGGAAAGCTTGAAGACACATTCCCCATAAAACATTCCTTTTTAAGACACTATCAGGTTCCCGTTGTTCCAGTAAGATGAAGAAACACCTCTTTCTGTGCATTAAGTAAAAACTCTTGGTTCTTTTGTAGTTTTCTCTTTACAGTTCTATAAATGAAAAACAACCGCTGGATTTAAGATATCAGGTTATAAACTTAGTGTGAAAAAAAGAGAGTATCTCACCCTGAGAATTTGGTCGCCCTCCTCCAGGCCCTCTTTAGCAGCTGGGCTGTCCTCTAGCACTCCAGCGACAAAGATGCCCACGTCATTCCCCCCAGCCAGCCGCAGCCCCACACTCTCCCCCTTCTTGAACTTCACCAGCTTCATACTTGGCCTGAGAAGAGAGAATGAAAAGTTTTTTCTTTGCCGTGAATCGAAGGACGATATCTCCTCAAGTCCATGTGGACGCGGTGAGGGTTCACTGGGTGAGCTCACAAAACCAAAGAAAGAGAAATGCACTGTGGGAAAAAAATACAGATTCTGTCTGACTTTTATTATATACAAAGGGAATAAATACTATTTATGATGCTTAAAAACACTGATAGCGATTCAACTTGTCCTTTCAGAGCTGTTTCATTGACTTGCGGTCCAACCACTGTTGTAAGATACATATTTGTTTACAGCATCGAAGTCTGAGCTCTCGGCATCCAGAGTATCCTGCGCTAAGGCGATAATAACCCGCAGGATGAACAAGAAGAATTCGATATGTGAGAAGAGTGCGTCAAAGAATAACATCAGTCTTACCGAAGGATGCTATCATCGTGGGCAGCGCTTGGCACAGGGGCATCAGAGGGACTGACTGGCAGGTCTACATCTGGCTGTCCAGGCTGAGCATACACCGGCTTCGGCTCTGAACAAAAGACACACACATAGAGACACGCAAACACACACAAACAAACAAAAATACATTTTAGACTTTATATTTAAATATGTTGAAAAACAGCTGCCTAAATACTGTCACAACTTAACAACACTGTAGATTCATGTGTTTAACTGAGACAAGTGCACCAATAAAAACACACACACAGGCAAAGTATTATCACACAGACGGTTGAACACACACACACACGCACATATACACACACATACACAAGGCACAGAGTGTCCCGAGCAAGGAGGTCAAACAGAAAGGCAGCAGAGTGCTACAGGCTGGGGAGGGATGTCAGACTTGATCAACTCATACTCTTTATTTTCACTTGGCTTAAGGCAAACTCAGTCAGGCTCAGCAGGCGGCTGGGTCTCATTTTTTTGTAGTTGTTCTTTTAATAAAAACAAAAAAAGGGCAAAAGTGACTGATTCACACAAGATTCTCTTACATGATCAAAATCTTGTAATGTTCAACCACACATTAATGGCACATTCTCAAACAACTAAAGCAGTTTTGTTTCACCAATAATTCTCTGTCATACACATACGGATGCTGCTAACTGTCTCCTTATCATCTGTTGTTGTTATCTCACTGACCTGGGAGTGGAGGGAGCGCTTTCTCTTCTCTTGCAATAGCTGGCTCCTTCGGCTTGGGCAGAGGAACTTCTTCTGCCAGCTTGGCTGGTGTTGAAGCCGGCTTTGACATTCGTTCATCATCCCGACTTCTGTGACTGCAGACAAAAATAGATGTTTGTGTCCAAGTTAGCTTTATAAAAAGGAAAACAGGAGATTATAAATAGTGTATTCAGGAGATGTAAAGCTTGGAGGCGAGCAGAGGGCTGTAAGGCAACAATATCCTGACAACACTCAGTTCAAAGTCTGTACACCGCTTATTCAAAAACTCGGACTCTGAATTTTTTTTTCACTGAGGACACGCACAGGCGGAGAAAAGGGAAACAGGTGAAAAGAGCAGCTTGAGTTTGAGGCTGTATCTTCGTCTTCAAGGGCACTACTTTGTCTTTTTCTTTTGTGCTCTATTTTTAGGGCAGCTTATCTACGGTGACAGGCTGGACTTTGTCCTACAGGTGAATTTCACTGTGTGGCTTAGTGAAGGATTCACCTGGATGTCAGTTTTAAAGCAGTAATGCTGTGTAAACTGTAACACTCACCCTGTGTGATAGCTGCACTTTCCTCGGTTTTGAAAACTACTGTGATGCAAGTGTTTCAGAAGAGAAGTCAAGAGAGATGTTTTCACTTTCAAGTGGTTTGAGTCCAACCTGCTGGTCACATGGCTGGTCACTGGTCCAACTTTACTGGCACCATACTGCTTTATTCACAGACTGAGCGGCTAAGCACCCACAAATGACCCTGTTTGAGCTGGCGACAGATGAACAAAATCTTTTTCTCAACCCACGCTGGAGGAGACCCTTTTTAAAGCTGCCAACTTCCTCAACTCAGAGAACAGGTCACAGGCTACAGATCAGGTTCAGATGAACAAAAACGTCCTGTCTTGGCGTCTCCTCTTTGATTATTCAAACACTTTAAGGAAAACATTGCTCAAATAGCCTAGATATTTCAAAAGTAAAGACCTATAAAAAGTTGTTGCTCCTTCTGTAATTGTAAATACTATTTAAAAAAATATGAAATAAATAACTGAGCATTACAAAGCAGAACATGTACAGATACAATAGAGAGAAAGATTGGACTAAAGCTGACACAGAGATGGTGACAGTCTTCTGTTCCATCAGTGTCTGAGCCATATTGTCTCCGAGCCAAACATGCGGTTTGCCAAACCAAAACATTCAAGGACCCCTGTGATATTTCAACAGGACTGGCACCTCAAGTCAAAACATGAGATGCCACTAAATAATTGATGCGGGTTAACGAAGCCTCAGCAAGTTTTCGCGAGCCTTCAAATCGCTGCGCCATTTATTCATTTATCACGGCAAGGGTGAGAGTGATTTTGGAGTAGTTTGTTAAATTTCTAACACTGCAGACTAGAACTACTTTTCTACAAAACTACGTTAAATCTATTCATCATACAGGACCACTTCTAATTACTAATCACATTAGACAATGGCAACAAACTTACGGTATTCTCCAGCTGTTTAAGTTTAGAAGGAATACAAAAGGCAGACAAATCAAAAAGTGAGCATTTGAGTCCATATTCAATGTTTTTTTTAAAGCCTTTTTGTTAAGGACTTTCATAGCTGACACATTACGTAATCTCTGCAGTTATAGCATCCAAAAAAGCTTTGATGTGAACAGCTGAGGACACTCAGTTATACGGGCCGAGCACCTGACACTTACACTGAGCAGAGCAGACGTGGACTTCAGCCTTAATTTTGACCAGGATTGTCTCTTTTGCAGCTTAACAGTGACTTTTATTATTCTCAGGTCAATAGGCAGGGGAACAACTGAGGTGCTTTATTGAGTTAAATAAAGAATTAATGAGGTACTTTTAGACACGATTACAGTACAGAAGTGCTGAATGGGCTGACGATGGCGGGTTTTAACCCACAACAAAAGAACCGAAACTAAACTCTGACAGATAGAACAACAGCTTTTAAAACAAATACAGGGATAAAAATTTTTTAAAGTTATTTTTTGTGTTAATTATTCAGTCAAAACAACAAAGGATAGTAAGTCTGTGACAGAGACAAAATCCTTGATCAGTAAAAGAATTGAGTGAGACAATAAAAAACAGCAAAATCCAGGGTTCCTACGCAAGTGTGGAAAAGTATGGAAGTAATTTGATCAATTTCCAGGTCTTAAAAAGTTTGGTAAATGAAAAATAAAATCTACTATTACCACAGTAAAAAGATACTGTTTTCTAAAATAGAAAAGTAGGTATTTCCAGAAATAATCCTAAAAAGTAGGGTCTGGAAAAGTATGGAAAGTTCAACTTAGTAGGAACCCTGAAAATCGAATTATATAAACTTCAGCTGGAGATGTATTCAGGGATCCAACCCTGAAAATGTGATTCAACCATCAGCCAATTATCAAGAGTAAAGTATTGATTACTTATATTAACTCAGAATCGAGTACAAAGAAAAAAAAACATTAACTCTAAAGCATTTCAGGGGCGGTTATTTACAATGATCAGATTTTGTTGATACTGTTAGTATCTTTGTAAGGTCAGCTGTCACGGCTTTGGTGCTTTTACTGTTTTTCTGCTATTTTAAAACAACCAAAAAGAGAGAGTGGAAGATAAACTGAGGCCTAAAAAAGAGCTCTGATCTTAAATGTGTAAACTGACAGTCTTTACCTTCCATTGCTGATTTGAGGGGGCGAGTGTCTTGAGTGGTCTGAGGGTTCAGATCTTCTGTCTGGGGAGCGGGAACGGCTGCTACGGCGTCTGTCATGCGATCGATTGGAATGATCGGATGCCAGTGAATGAATATCTGAAATGTCTGATCAAAGAAGAGCGATCGTTTAGCCGGTACAGCGTGAAATACACACTGACAAGTCGGGCGTTTCAAAACCACTGGAGTATGAATGAATTCAACATTTAACACCACTCTCACCGTCTCTGTCAGAGGCGTTGGCTGAGGGAATGCTGTCATCGAGGTCAGGGATGTTCAGCAGGGTCGCCCTGTCGTCCCTCTGAACCACCATTTTTAGCTTGCCCTTTGACCGTTCTATCAGCTTCTTGGCATCTATCAAGGAGAGGTTCTCTGTCACTGTGCCGTTGATCTGCAAAAAAACAGAAGGAGAGGCTATTTGCCACGACAGTAGACAGAAAAGCCATGAAATTCAAATAACATAGCGAGAGAAATCAAACAAAAGATGTCTTTTTTTTTTCTCTGTTTTAGGCAATAAAATTGTCATATGAGAAGTTAAGTTTAGGCTGCAAGCTACATTTTTGAAGACACAAGATCAGATGGAAAATAACAACAACACTGATCTTGTTTGTTGGGGTGACATCGATTTTTAAAGCTGTAAAAAAGAGCAAAATCCAGAGGACAAATCAAACAAAAACATTCGGCTGGACTTGGTCGTGTAGATTAAAAAGGAAAGTTTGTAATTCTTTACATTAATGTTGAATCATTAACTTTTTATTTCTTATTTTTGACATTGAAAGAAAAGTGTGGTGTGAGATATAATGAAGCAACTTCCTATGTTCTTCAAAATGTGATAGAACTTAGTATCATCAAACACATGCAGTTGTAACTGGAAGTGCTGTTATGCTGGAAGTGCTGGGAGTGTAAATAGACTAAAATATAGTCTATAAAATATAGGGTGGCCGAAGATAAGCAGAGGGGAGGGTTCAGTTTTATATAAATTAAAAAAAAACAAAAAAACATCCACTTAGAAGAAAATTAATTCTTCCCTCTGACTGATAAAAAAATATAGATAACAGCATCGATCAAGTTAGATATTTAGTTACATATCATATGTTTGCTTTGCTTCTTGCCCCCTCCCCCTCACCTTCAGTACAACATCTCCTTCCTGGATGTTGCCGTCCCTGGCTGCCAGGCTCTCAGGGGAAATGTCCTTCACAAAGATGTGGCTGGCCAGGCGCAGGCCATATTCTGCTTACAGAGTGAACAACAGCAACAAAGACCATGTTAGCACAGAGTTCACATGACCACTCCACATCGACTCTACACTGTCAAGCCTCCGCTCCCGCTGGGATTAACAGTACTGATTAAAGAAGATTAATTGCTCTTTGACTTAGATTTACTTGAGTTAACTTGGATTTTGCTGCGGCTGGCAAGTTTTGTTTACTCTGGCAGCTGACCAGTGCTGATTTGGAGGTCTTATTCTCTTCTAAAAGGTCTGCCTGTCTGGTAATTGTTGGCAGCTGATTTTCTTGATTGTTACATCTTTCCCCTCGAGGCACCTTCTTTAGCCCCGACTTTGTGAGCCTCACCTTCATTTTTGCGAGATTTGACGAGCGTGACCTTGGCGGGGCGTGGGGGCAGGTTGTGTGAGCGGCGGTCTCCGCGTGGGGAGAGACTTCTCTCACGCGAGCCGCTGCGCTCTCGTTCCCTGTCCCTTCGCCCGCTGCTCCGACCGCTTCTTCTACCCATAGCTCCGCCCACTCCGCTGTAAGCACCGCTGCGTCCGCTCCGCGTCTCGTATATCTCTTCATCGTAGCTGTCCTCCTCTTCGTCGTGCTCTGACATGGTTTCCCGCTCCCCGAGGCGGCCCATGGGGACGTGTACCTTCCTTTTCCGTCTGATTGTCTGGTTCAAACAAAAACAGATGTGAGATGTGAGCAGCAGTCAGATAATTCAATCATCTCTTGACCATAAAATCTTTAAGAGAAGCCTGACACTGTCGCTGTGAATTCAAGCTTTACTTTCAACCAATGGTACACGTTTCCTGCGAGGATACATAATGGGATGTTCACACTCACAATTTTGGCAATTTTCCCACTTTTCCGAAGCTGCTGCACCGCATATGCGTGCTCCACATTGTCCATGGAGACAGCATTGACCATAACGACTCTGTCATTTTCCCTGGAGAGGGGACGCAGAGATTAGAGACATGCTGGAGTCTTTCTGTAGCAGCCAGGGTAATTTAATACTAATAACCGTCTGCCCGTATTGGAACAAAATCTTACTGCAATAGGCCTTCAGCCGGGCCGCCTTTCAACACATCTGAGATGACAATGGAGGTCTCGCCGCTCTGAAAATGAGGGTTATCCCGACCTCCTGATATGGCTATTCCAAAGCCAAACCCTGGTGCCTGAGGAAAATCACAGGGGAAACGCAGATAACAATGAGCTTTAGCTGTCTGCACACCAAAGTTATACATGTAATGTAAAGAGGGAGGGTTCAAATAGAAAGAGTTGACCGTCTTTTAATCAATTTCTCATAATGACAGAGAACTGTAAAAACCATAGACTGTTTCTCTCACAAAGCGCTGAGTGAGTTAGCTTCTTTTCTGTATGACATATGCAAAAAAAGACAAAAAAAAAGACCCAAATGCAAAATGCACCAGATGCTGTTTTTTTTTTTTTTCAGGTTGTTAGGCTCTGCGGTGAAAATCATTGGAGAGATGAAAAGCACTGTGATGACTCCTTTGTTCTATCTGTTCCACCTGCAACTGTGTGCACAGTGAGTACACTAACATAATGTGATCGGAGAAACTGAAGGGAGGAAAAATACAGAGGTGGGGGTGGAAGAAAAGATCGCAAAACAGAGGAGGTAGAGAGAGAGAGAGAGAGAGAGAGAGAGACGCCAGGACAAAACAGGGACAGATTTAAGAAGCATCTGAAGGAGGATAAGACAAACCTACCCTGTGTAGTGTTACTGTGTGCTGTTCCCAAATGACAGTCTCCTCCATTGCTGCGCTCTGGAAGACAGAGATAGAGAACAGTGTGGTTAACACAAGACGGACGACAGATTGGGATCCAAAGAGGCAACAGTCTTGTGACAAAAAGAGACACAGAATCAGTCACCAGCGGAGTCATGTGTTCCGCCAAAGTGTCCTTGAGTAACGCAACATTAAAACGTCCTTGTGAAAGTCTTTGACGTCTTCATTGCAGCCGGCTAATAAATCCTCTGAGACCCAAAGTCTTCTTTGCTCTGATGGAAACAATCCTACATAACAAGTTTTTTGGGATTATTTAAAGTAACTGAACCAGAATTAATATCTTTCGTCCAGCAACAAATCTGATGGAAGGAATTTTAAATCCCGACATTTCTGTCAAATGATATCAAAATAAACTCTCTCTGAGCGTGCTTGCAGAGGTAAGATGAGGTAAAGTGAGTAGACTTCAGGATGAGACAGAGGCATGGCTGAGGCAGATGGCGACTTTCTGCTCACAGATATTGATAAAGTTTCTGTAGGTGAACAAAAAAAAAAAAGGTTGTGCCCAAAAAAGGGGCAATATTCAAACTTTAAATGTGTACGATTATACATGTAAATAGATATGAAAAGATTGAGGCTGAGCTTGTTTCATCGTGATGCTAATTCATTCTTGTTTTGTTGTTTTTCTTGTCTTGTTCAGGATAAGCTCTGGTCTTTTCTTGCTGTTGTAGTTCTTAAACGATGTAAAAACAATCTGGGGTATTCTGTGGGGATTGTTGGACGCCTTGACATTTTTGATGTTTAAAACAAGTTGCTCAAGCACATATTGGAGAAAATTACTCCCAATCAAAGTCGTAAAAGTCAGGCTGTGTCATGCACTTCTTTTCGGATCACTTCCATTGAAATTCAACCCCTATTATGTTGATTTCATTCTTGCTTTAGAAACACTGTCTGCGTACGAGCTCCTAGTGTTAAACCCATCTTGTTCTTAAAATAGAAACAGCGCAGCAGCAGCGTTTAACCACAACTGTGAATTTAATTTTTCAAAGTCTGCTACGGGATGATCCATCATCATCGTTTTGGAGCGACTGATGTGGATGCTGTAAGCACAATCTAAAAGCCATTATATCATGCACACTTATGCTTAAAGGCACATTAAGTGCAATCGATACGTCTGCATTATGTTTAAACAACAGCCACTTAAGAGGTTTTGTGAGAAGTAAAACACCCCGTCAAACACAGTGAGGAAACCCACAAAGAAGTGCAGCACACAGGGAGAACATTGAATGAAAATGATCAAGCGTGAACAGTCTCAGAGCACAGACATTTGGAAAAAATGCAAAAATAGCATCACACAGGAAGAGCCCACTTCCACTCAACAAAGCGGAGAGTTTCTCTGAAGCAGGACGAGTGTTTTTGTTTCTGTGTTCCTCCTCAGGAGTACAACTGAATAAAGATGCAGACTGATAGAGTCACCACAAACACACAGAACTGCACAAAGCATGTTGCTGAATGTGTTTCAGGTAGGACTGGGCGATTATATGATCGTGATTAATAATTGGGATAAATTTCAGTTTGTGAGCATATTTACTCGATCAAACATAGCAGAAATGTGTGCAACAACAGCCAATCAGAGTCGAGCTTTTCACTTCTGAAAACAGAATGAACAAACATGGAGCTAAAAGCAGAGCTGAGGGCAGCAAAGTAGATGTCATCCGTTACTTTGGCTACGTTTACACTGCAGGTTATGATGCACAATTCAGATTTTTTGTTAAATCCGATCTTTTTGTGCGGTCGTTCACATTACAACATATTGATGACGTGTAGGTCGGATGAACGCGACCTGGGCGTCCACACTGCAGTCACATCGGATACATATCCGATTTATGTCCACATACAAAAGAGGCCTGTATCGGATTTGAAAAATCAGAATTGCACTGTTTACACTTAGATGAAAAATTCAGATATGTGTCACATATGGTTAAAAAAATCGAAATTGACCTGCAGTGTGAACATAGCCCTTGAATCATCCTCTGAAGATGCCATTGTTGAGAAAAGTTATTCAACGTCGGTCATGTGGCGGTGGTTCTGGTATCTCCAAAGTGGCATCGAGCAATCAAGCCGATGAGCAAGGTATGTTGGTGGTCAGTGCTCTCAAAAACCGGCAACACGACAAATCTGTTTGATCATTTGAAGAAGTGCTTCCCAAGTGATTATGCGGAAAGCATGAAAATACGAGCTGAGTCTGCACAGGCTGCCACTGGCGCTGGCACAAGTAGCATTAGCAGTTTAGCTACATCTAGCGGTGCAGCAACCAGACCAAAGCAGCAATCAATCATATTATCTACGTATCCATCATCTAATGTTTACATTTAAGGCATCTTCATTATCCCTGAGGGGGCGGTTTGTTTATTTGGGGTTAAAAATATGTCAATAAAATGTAGCACTAATCTCTAGTTTCTTTTTTTAGTGCCAATGCTTTAAAACTGGCAGTTTAAAACCGTGATGATAATCGAGATCAGACGATATGACAAAATATATCGTGATCATTTTTTTTTGCCAAATCACCCAGACCTAGTTTCAGGTTTTAATTTGTTCTCTTTGCACAGACCTCACATTGTGTTTGGTTTCATTTGTAGATCATTCACTCCTCTCTAAACAGACAACACATGTTCTGCCTTACAGTATGAGAACCGATGTTTACAGTGCATGAATTATAATCATCCGATAATGAGACCCCTGCTTAATACGCTGAGACCATGCTGAGGGTTGGTGTTTAAAATTCAAGCACACCCTCCATCACATTAACAACCAGGAAGGAGAAGATGAAGGTCGACTCCTTCAGCTGTTGGGTCAGCAGTATCTTTTGCGCCCCACAGCTCACTTCTTATCTTATCTCTCCTTCTGTATCATTTCACCTCTGCCACAATCTCACGACACATTAGACATTCAACGACTGCGTATAAAATACTATCAGGTCCATCCCTTCGAGAAAATTACACACCAAATCACTGCACCTAATGCAATAACCCCCATTTGTCAGGTAAAGTGATCCCGGGTCTGTGACCTTAATAGGTGGGACTATCAGACACTTCCCTGCCTGCTTTGCTGGTGATTTCTCTGTCAGTACGGTCCCTTTGGCAGGGAGCAGGTCAGGAGGAGGGATCTCATGTTCCGGCACATTAAAGTGTGATGACAAAATGAATTGCATGTTAAAAGCAGATCAGTTTCAGAGCTCGGACCTCGGGCTGTCATTATAACCATCTTGTTTGCAGCTTCAGGCTCTGAACAACTTGCGAGTGTCAGAACAGCTCATGTTGAGGATTAACAAGCAACACATCAGCGTGACAACCTGCTAATAGTTTGACTATCAAGTTTCCAGAGGTGATAATGCTGCTTAACTCTTATATGAGTCACAGGCAAAATAGAAATAAACCCTTTCAACACTGTCCATTTTGCATTTGTATGACAGGAAACCTCAGTCGAACACAACAGTCCAGCCTATTGTCTCTGCTGCTGCCGTCCTGTTATTTGTTACAGTACCCCGGCTTCCTTCAACACATCATCCTTAATGTGTGTTGTGACCTGTCGGCCAAGTGCCAAATGAAAGCCAGTGTCTGTGAATACCAGCAGCTGAATAAGTGGCCGCAGGTGGCCCCTGACGTTCTCAGCTTGGCAGCAACAGTCACAAACTCCTCGAGAAGCTTATAGCGGGTCTCGCACAAGAAGGGGGGAGAACAAAAGTTTGAAGGGGTGGAACTCCCCCATGGCCTTTTCCGCTGAATACACTGCACTTGAGAGAGGAGGGGGGGAAAGATATCTGAATATTAACAAGACCGCTGAAAGCAGAGGCATGAATTCTCACTAGAAAGTTTGCTCTTTGGGGAGGAGGATTTATGCCCCCTGTCTTTTGGATATGCACTGTGAAAACGCTGATGCAAAGAACTCTGACATTCTGTCTGAATTTATAGATGGTTTGCCAATAAACTGCAAAGTTTTAGGAGGTACTTGTTTCCAGTCGACATTTGTACTTCAAGAAATTCTTTATAGGCAGCACAGCACAAACATGCACACAAGCCTTTAACGTTGAGGCCCCGTGTTGTAATGTGGTCGTGAGGAAAAGTGAATTTGTTGACTGGAAAATGTGATTACAGGATGCTTACTCAGTGCCAATCCAATACAAATAAATCTCCATAAAATTAACGGCATGTAAAATCCTAAATGGAGCAAAAGAGGAGGAATCTGAAATGGAGTTCAAACAAACAGAATTCAAGAGGGAAGAAAAAAACAAAACAGATTTACCATGATCCTTTGCATGTGTCCCTCGGCTACCCTTCCTGTACCCCTCGCTAACACACAAACACACACATCACACACACACACCTTTCACTATGAAGGGATGTAATTTTGCTTTCTGCTCCTGCAGAGCGTGTTGCTCTGGTAACAGAGGCGGCACAGTGTGGTGTTGTTCGAGTGGCCTGACATTTTTTAGGCCGTGTCTGAAGGTTCCTCTCAACTGTGGGAGGTTTGAAAGAAAAGACATGGTTGAATTAATGTAGGAACAAAGGGCTTTTTTAGAGGGGCGCTATTTACTTGCTTCCACATGCACAGCTAAATACAGTCCGCACTAATTGCCTGACATTTGCCAAAAACAAACACATGACTGTTACTTTAGAGGAGTTTATAGAAAAGCATCTGCAGTGTTGACAAAGATGAGTAACAAATCTTTACAGAACAATTCTCCTGCTTTTTGTTTGAGGTCTCACTAAACCAACATCGGAGAGCTCTATTCAGATCCAAAGGCACGAGTCTCAAAAGTAAACATAGCAGAAAGTAAATAAGGCTGTTGACTCGACAGCACTCCTGTGTAAAGTTTGTTCACTACACCATCATCATCCAGTGACTGATGACTTTTGTGGACATGTTGTTGAATGTCCTTTATGGCCACTGACAACTGGTGCCAACAGAAGCTTCATGCCACAGGCCAGAGCCAGGGCTGGCAGCCACTCCACAACCAAGACACACCATGTCACATGGGTCATGCTCGGGGGGGTGGGGGGGGGTGCAACCAGGCGACTTTGGGAGCCAGCTCTACAACACAGATGGACTTCCACACAGATGGATCTCACAGCTGAGTGGAAAAGGGACCAGAGTGGAAGTGGACTGTGTGGAGTCAGAGCACAAATGGTCAGCAACACGATTGTTCTGCTAACCCCAGCAGAATGAGCCGCCAAAGCCTGTCTGCTGAAGAAGAACTCTACCAAAGTGAATGTTGATCAAATTCAACAGAATATCAATGAAATATACTTTAAAAAAACATAGACCACATCAGTTTTGTAAATAATTTTGCTCCACTTGACTTAATCCCAAATGACAGTCAGTATGCTGCAATCTCTGGTGTCTGTTGTAGGGAGAATTAAATACATTACCCTATATCTATAATCTAATTAGGTTATACTAGGGCTGGGCAATTAAACTAAAATTTACTGATACCGAAATTTACGACAATAACCGTCATTTTGCTCATATCGGTATATTTGGTGTCAAAAAAATAAATAAATAAAAGTCAGTTTTGGATGTGTGTAGGTAGGCTATGGTCTCATGTCCCTTTAAGATGCTGTCCTACAACATGACTCCACCCCATCCAGTCTGAAACAAAGAGGGGAAGAGCGGCTGAAGTAGACGAAGTTAATGTGGGAGGGGGTTAGCAGCTTTTGGAGTAGTTATCGTCCATTTATCGTTTTCGAGGTGAACTGCTCAATATGTCTTGATGTTGATTTGAGGCCATATCGCCCAGCCCTAAGTTACAGCATTTTTCAATTGTTATAAAAAGGTCCGGATCAGTGACAACAGATGAAGATCTTGTATAGATTAAGAAGAGGAAACAACTGTCATTAATCTGTGAATACACCCACATTTCCCTCTGCATTTTACAGTTGACTTCATCATTCATGTGTGTTTTCTGGAGATTGTAGGGCCCTGCGAGAGCCAACATTAATCAAACTAGAATTAGCATCTGCTGACATTTGATTGGTTATGTAAGGGAGGGATCGAACCAAGTGGTAATAAACCAGGTGCTGAAGTGTCAAATACTGCAGTTACTCAGGCCCCCCTGCGGCCAGCTGCAGAAGCACTGCAAACCACATACAGAGTCATTTCAAAATGCTGTTTTTAGAGCAAAAATAAACACGTTTAAAGCCTGGTTCAAATCACAGAGCTCAAGGCTCTCACATCACCAACTGTGCAGGAAGTGATTTTTTATTTTTCTTGTAATGCCCTCATTTCAAGGATATTTAAGCTACATGATTGGCAAATCAGACACGGCTGACTCACCGGACTGGCGCACACACTGTAGCTATTAGTGAGGAGGTTAAAGGCCCACCTCTGGATGGTTGACTGAAACAGCAACCACCGTGGACTGCTTCAAAACACAACTTCACAAATAAATGGCTGCTGTCACCAACACCACATTGGTGTATCATACAGTCTGTGGATGGATCGTTATTATAAATGAGTCATAACACTGCACCTCTTACCAGGCATTACTGATCGAGCACCGACTCAAATAAAGAAAAAAAGGTAGTTACTCTATTTCTATGCTCACAAACATATTCTGAGGTCACACAGCTGAATTCTGTTGTTTATATGATCAATAGAGAATGCAACTAAATGTATAAAACGTCCATAACAATGAAGAAGAGTTTAAACTCTTTTAGTTGGTTACTTACTGACAGCCCATAAGCTTCTAATTATTTACTTATGAGTAAATGTGGGAAGTATTACTAGGATCTGAGGCAGACATTTGTAGTGCATAGTAAAAAGATACTAATAAGCCAGAGAAGTAAAATAGTGGCAAAAATAAATAGTCATGAGGCCTGGCAGCATCATGCAAAGTCACCAAAACTGAATATTAGAAGTTTTTGGCTGCTGATGCCGAATCCACAAGCCACTTTGGCAAAGAACCCACCTTCTGACAACTATTTTTATTTCCAAATATTCACTTACCTGCTAAAACTCTGAAGAGCTGATCTATGTGGGTTGCTCTACAAACCATCTCTCATGTCTCTGCCCTCCTTAGGCTATTTCTAGAATTTATGCTTGAGCCAGAACAAAAACAGAAAACAGTTTGACTGAAAACACTTTTGAGATGAGTGTGGACATCTTCAGTTGTGTAGGAAACTGCTTTGCTCCAGGGAGTGATTCTGTTTATCGGTACAAGGTGTAAATCAGAAAAAGAGCCCTTAAAATACAATGAGTCATCACAAAACTAACCTAACATGACCCTAAAGGAGGGACGCAAAGATGGTATTTCATTTTGTATTCATTTTGGAGTATCATTAAAATTAAAGAGTGCTGGCTCCCCTGCTCTCTACTCAGCAAAAAAACAAATCAAACTTCTCCCACAGAGGGAACGGAGGCAAAATGGTGGGCTGTTCAATTCTCTGACTGAGAGAATAGATTTTATGCAGTACTATGGTTTAGGGCTGAAGCAGAACCTTATTCAATTTTGACCGCTCTGGGACCAAAGGAGCTAAAAATAGCTCTCATTAATTCTGCCGTTGTGATGCTGCAACAGAGTGATTTAAGGGAAACTTGCAGCAGCAACACTGGAGAACGTTTAATAACCTCCTGCTATATTAAAGAGCGCGGACTGACTGAAACAAAGACACTGCAAAGGAAATGCATCCTCTTTCTCTCCAGTGCCCGTTCGCAGGATTTGTCTGTAAGGCCTGAGGGGAAAGAAAGAGAGGAGGACGAGTTTCATTACAAAACCAGGGCCTTACAAGGACACTGAATATATGTGGCTAACTGAACAAGCATTACACTAGAGGATGTTTCATGTCTATTCGGGCACATCAGACACAGAGGTGTAGAGACATTTTTAAAACCATCAACTTAAGTATGATGCATTTCTTCTTTTTGCTGAAGCAGATTGCACCACATTTCAGATTCAACTGAAGCCAGATACCACTATCCTTACACGAGACCCAAATGGTGTTTCTTAGTCCAGCTCCAGAGAAATTCCCCGTAGATAAGAACAGCGATAAAGCTTAATGGGTCTCCGTTTCCGGCAGGGAAAGAAACCCATCTCATTTGCCTCACAAGCGTTTAATGCAGCCATGGATGACACTGTCACAAAGATGAGCATGCCAGCAATGAACAGATTGCAAAGTCCAACAAGGGTACCATCAGAATACCGACACACAAACACTGTGCAAGTTGCAGAGCAGCCAAAGACAGAAAACAAAAACAGTATGGCTCTCTGCTGTGGCTGCTGGCGGTGAAGCAGCAAACAAGTAGAATAAGATGATTGATCACTTCAGAAATTGAAAAGGATGTGCTGTGGAGTGCTGACAACTGCTAAAACTCTCCTGCCTCCGAGAACATATTCAAATGCTAATGAGAACCCATACCTTAGCCCTCATCAAGGGGGGGTCCCCTGAGAGACAAGTGACACTATGCACATACAACATGTGCACACACTGTGCTGTGGCTCTCTAATGGAGGGGGGGGGCAGTAGGAGAGATGCAGCAATACACGAGTGATAAGAAGGTCAAAAGATTTAATCTATTCAATGTGACATAAAACTTAATTACGGACCATTACAGCCAAGAGCAACACATTTGTGTTATTTAAAGGTTAACACACTCGAGCACTGTGTGTACATCTCTTTGATTTGTTACTAAAGTATTTAGATTAAAGTGGATGCAGAGAAGGTCAGAGGTACTTACATCAGTTCATTCTGGCCGCTACAGAGGACACACACACACAAAAGCCTCTCCAACCTCGAGCTACTCCTCAGTAAATCCAGCAGGAGATTCCAGCAGACGCACTTCAGCAGCCTCGGTGCAGAACCGCACCAATCATCGCCAGGAGATTCTCGCCCCCACTTTCCTCTCCTTTCTGTTTTCTTAGCTCGTGAACCGCTGAAATTACGACCACAGGTGAGGGGTTATGAAACACACCTCGCTGCTACACCCTAACGGGTCTGTGTCCTCTCCCAACATCTTCACTCACAATTTCTCTCTCCCTCCAGCTCTCCTCTTGCACGCTCATGGGATCGGAGCAAATCCCCTCTAGCTTGGCAGCGATCTGTGTGGGATCTGCAGTTCCGCTACAGCATGGGACTCCTCTGTACTAGCGAACATCCATCCGCAGTGTAAACTGCTGTATCGGACTTAACCCTTGAAGCGCCACGGTGAACCAGAGCAGGATCTATCAATTCTCTTTGTATGGAGGGCATATGCACCTCCTCCTCCTCCTCAGGTGTGCTGCATTACATGCATAGATTATGTTTATCGTGTCAGTGAGACCATGACACTGACTACATTAGAAACTACAGGAGAGGACACCACAATTCTTATTTTCAAAGTACAACATCATCACTATTTGATCACCCTTCTTACAAAGAGTTTAAATAATTAACTGGTTAAAAAACAAGAACTTAACGGCCCTATTAAGAAGCGAGTTGCTCAGGAAATCCTGACATCTGCCAGTAAGCATAGTACAGCAGCAGAACATGTATTTGGTTTATTTCATAAACATGCAGATCTAATGCCTCTGTAACAACACGACACACACATCAGAAGATTTACTGTTTATAGCCCTCTATTTTTGGACATTTTGGACATTTTTATCAGCTTTGCTAAACTGTCTCCTTCACTGTTCTGGATTTTCTTGGTGGACAAGCGTTACAAATTAGCATCTTGCTAGAAAACACCAAGTACACTTTATCTGGGAGGTGTGTGTGCATGGTTAATGTTTCAGCATCAATGTTACTGTACACCCACATTAGATAAACAAATGAATACACAAATAGAGAAAGTGTGACAGATGGTAGCACATAAAACGACACTGATTAGAAACCGTTTACTACAGTTTGTGATGAATCATGCGGGAGAGTCTGCTCTGTTCAGTGGAAAATACATCAGCATCCGTACAAGCAGTATTTAGTGGTTGATAAAAACAAAAATAATGTGGTCAAAAATGTTTACTTTTGTTTTTGTGAATAAGAAAATGTCGCCTTATCACTGCTGAGACACAATATTTTGTATAGAGTACCACACTGCATGGTTGCACAAACATCCACTCAGGCAACTTTAAGTATCTGAAGGATTGTCAATCTGCATATTCACTGAAAGACTCCAAAAACTATGATTTTGACTATAATCTGATTGTGATTGAAGTTGCCGTTAAAGTGAAATTTCCCACAAAGGATTAATAAAGTTTCCATCTACCTACAACAGTTTTCCTCCCCTTCAACACTGAAAGAAAACACATGACAAACAGATGTTGCTACAAACTCGGGCGCCTCCTTTATCAAAATACAACCTTTGTGACCGGACATACTGAGAAGACAACAGCCGGCATTTACGTCTGATAAACGTGGAATTGTACTCTTCGACTGAACGGCTCGAGTTAGCTTAGTTTAACATCCCAACTGAGTGTTGCTCACCCACATTTTTGACATCGATTGCACAGTTATTACTCACACCACTTTACGGGTATCATTGGCACATGCTGCTGTATCATCTTTCCCATTACCAGAAGATAACCCTGCAGCCATCACTCAAATGAACGCAGTGTGTATCCAAGGTTAAGAGGCAGCTGAGGACAAATCTACTTGTGATGGTGTAGATTTCTATGACTATACAGGACAAAAAAATCATAAAGGAAAAAACACAGCGATCATTCATAAAAGTGTAGTGACAGGAGGGAGGATGAAAACATGCGACACATTTTTTTTACAAGTGTTTGGCCCAGATTCATCATCAGAACATGGGTTTAACTACACACAAGGCCAAGTGGGTCATGACATCCCACCTATCAGTCAAGATAATGATCGAGCTGGACAAGCCTGACAGACAGCACGTCACCACTGGCAAAGGAGGCGAGTTAAATTTACATCCCTCAGAGGAGAACCAGAGTGTGGTGACAGATTCCACACATGGTTTGCTCTCTCCACTCCCACTACTACTACCTTCTGCCCACCGGCCACCAAATTAATTATTTCTATATCAACTAAAAGAGGCATATGGAGAACTCCAGCTCCTTATTCACTACAAGTCAGCAGTTTAGCCACTACTATGTCTTCTATTATAATATTTAATTCATGACTACAGAACACAGGGGTGTGATTATTCTGCCAAATAAATGCATTCCTCATTGGCTCAAGGTGCAGTACGTGCTTTTAACAGCAGCGTCTCCTGACTTGATCTCTTTTATTATGTAGAACATCACAGGACTCTTAGCTCACACAACTGGGGTTGCTGCTCTTATTAACTTTAAAGCTCAATGTCTGGACTTGTTTTTTGTTTGTCATAAAAAGTTGAAAGATAAGAAGCGCAAAAAAGTGGAAAATGGTGTGAAAAACAGGTGCAATAACGCCATAGTGTCATGTTTCAGCCATTATAATACTGGGTTGTACTTCTTGTTTGATGCCAAAGAAGTGTACCGTGTGCTCACTTTATACACAATTTCATTTATCAAGTATTGTCAGTTCAAAAATGTCCATGCCTTAACACAAAAAGTGTTCATATCAGTGCAATTGAACAATATTGGCTGATATCTAAAGTATCTAGTTACACTGACACTTCGTTTGATACATGGACATGAAACATAAAATTATCTCTGCTATGGATTTCATTTATAAACAGAGGTCAGGGTTTTTCCTGGCTCAAATTGAGGCGGAGGTGGCACCATCCTGACCGTGCGCCACGACGTGCATGTATTTGTAAATTCAACCGATTCACTTTCTTTTACAGGCAACATACGTTAAGTTAAGAGTTCAAAAAAAGAGTGTGACCATTATTATGTTAAAGCATTCATTTATTAAAACTATATACATACACAAATCAGCTGGCAACTTTAAATTGAAAGTACACTTCATCCACACATCTCACAACCAGACAGAACATTTCAGCCTCCTCTTTTTCATTCTGTAGAACCTCCTCATGCACTCCTTGTAGTCCAAGGCCTCCTGGTCTGGTCCATCAACGGCCACCTTACAACAGACATCCAAGTGCCTCTCCTTCAGTCTGTTCCGCAGAGGTGTCTTCACCTTAAACAAAACAGTTCATCATGCATTAAGTATTTTTGTTTTTATTCTGATACAGACATGAAGAGTGATAGTGTTTTAAATCATATATATGTATACGCTGCAGTGTCCTCTCTAAAAAAAAAAAAACGACAACCAATTATTTCTTAAACTATCTAAACTATGTTATTTATTTTTTGTAACTTTATTAGTTGAGTTTTTTTAGGTACTACCATCTTTAATATATTTCTCCTTCTCTTCTGCTGCTTTGTGAATGGCTGTCACCTCATGTCTTTTTAATGTGTCCAGCCCTTAGTTGGTTGATGGCTGTCTCACTAAGGAGGCAGCAATTGCCTGCTGTGTTGGGGCACAGTGCTTTTGGCATAAACAGCAGTGCATGCATTCCTCAGTATGCCTGAGCCAGGTAAATTGATTGAGCCACTGCTTGTCAAAGCCACTGGCTCTGTGTTTTTGAGAAGATCTGGAAAGAGGAATAAAAACCACGTACACGTTGGCTTTGCGTTGTTATGCTCCTAATTGAAAACTAATTAATTAATTACCCTCGCCTCGCCGACTCGTCCTGTCCTGCATTCTGACCCTCGCGATCACCAGTCCCTTGTGAAGTACTTTCAGACCTGACACAAATTTCCACGTTGTCACCAACATGAATTATAGCATTTTAACTGCCTGTTACGTTTTTTCTCTGCTGTGTTTCACCTGGACTCTTGACTTTCCTCCTCGCGAGGTCGCTTTTTAAAGTACTGGCTGATTTTGCCTGTCATATCTGCAACGCTAAAAACGGAGTAAACTTTTTTTTTAAATAAACACGACATGCTTGGATGCAAAAAAGAGAAGCAGTATTTACCTGTTTGTACCATCCGCCAGGGAAAATCAGGACGCCGATAGCACCAACTAGCGGGAAAAACACTTGAAAAAACATGATTCGATCCGTTTCTTCTTCGGTAGATGCTTCAAGTCTTTCCGGTGCACTGCTGTTGATATAGCGCCTCTATAGTGGCGAAACGCTGCAACTGCAGTTAAAATACGTTGCTGCTGCATCGGGACATCAATCGCTCAATCAACACAGCTGGAGCTTTACGCTGTGTTGAGCGAAATCAATCGCTCTGACTGGGGGCGGCACAAAATTAGGTGGAGGCGGCCGCCACGCAATTTTGAACGCAGGAAAAACCCTGGAGGTGACTGATTACTTTCAAAGTTGTTTTGCTCGGACCTCAAAGTTATGAACTGCTACATCTAAGCACTAAAGACCACAAACTTCATCCACCTGGAGAATCTAAGCCAAAACAACTTTCTCTTAACAACTTGGTTTTTGGTCTCCACCAGCTCAGTAAGGTGAGAAGTGGGCCTTTGCCTGCTAAATGGTCCACTTCATGAGGCAGTGTTTTGCACTTAGCATGCTGTGTTCAAGCTGCTGTTACCAAAAATGCTAATTGTATATTAAAAGAGAAAATTGCATCTTTATCTCCAAGAACGATTTCCACCAAAAAATAAATACATTTTAAAATCTAAACCTTTCATTTGGGCTCAATATGTGCAGTATCTATTTCCACACCCCACAGCCCACAGTTTGCGGTCACACCCAGGGTTTAAGTGTGTCCAGAACACATGGACCAGCAAATCAGCCCCTGAACTCAATCAACCCTGTGGAAGTTATCAGTGCCCCACACAGAGCACATAAGAGGGCAGGAATGTGCTGATAAGCTGAGCTACTGACCCGCACCCCGCCTCTTCTCCATCACAGTGATTGAAATGAGGACAACGCAGCCAATGAAAAACAGTCATGATAAGGGATGTTTCCACGTTTAAAGAAAAAGAAGGACCACGCTGAACTTTGATTGATGAGAGGTTTTGCAAGCCTCCTCCTCCTGATAATCCCACAACCCTTTCAAACTGGAATTTACGATGGGGCTGATTTATGTGGGCAGGCATCTTCATTACAGGAGCTATAGCCATAATGTAAATGTGCTAGATGCTAACGTGCAGACTTGCTGTATTACAGTAACATAGACTTTGTTATATTTGTTAAAGGTAAGACAGTCTCAGCCCTGCCAACCTGTCAAAGTCCAAGCAGCGATCAATATACTTCCCAATAGGAGGGAAGTTCATATTATCTTCAAACATGATCCTAAAACTGAGAAAGAATAAATACAGAAGAAGAGGAAGTAAGTTAAAAGCCTGTTTAAAGTCTGACCTACAAAATGCTGATGAAGGGGTCTAAAGAAGGTTTTGAATGATAATTTGTCCAATTCCTTATCTGGTAAAATAGATAACAAAAAAAGAAACATTGAAAAATAAGAAATAACTTTCCCAGGCTGCAGTTGCAATCCTGCCACCACAAAAACCCTTCAAAATAGCATTTAAGAGGACATGAAGAAAGAGAGGATTACACAGGGCAGCAGTGGCTGACAGAAAAGTATTCCAAGAAAAAAAAAAGAAGTGGAGATGAGCGGTGCAGAGAATATTAAACGTGCCACAGCTTTTAAGTGCGTACAAATCTCAAAGTGACACCAATCACAAGATTATGTATGATTTGAGCAGAAACATAGTACTTCTGTAGGGCTGACTAATCATCAAACCACTTTCATTTTTGTTATTGTCACCTCTAGGCTATCACTCACGCTGGAACATGTGCAGGGCTCAGTCACACAAAATCTTTTGGTCATTGTATCCTGTACTTTATACCAGTAATCCCTTCAAAATAAGTATCTGAGGATGGGAACTTTGATCTCTTTTAAATGAATAAAATAAGCCTTTTGGTTAAGGATTATCATAAATGAAAACCTGAGGTTTTAAAAAACAACAAAGCTTAGTATCTCAGATGTGCACCATGTGTCACCACATCATAATATCCAGCAATGCAGTCTTATTCTCATGCCTGTCGTGACGTGGGTTTGTTGTAATCAGGAACTGGATAAGCCCCTTGTTACAAACAGTATCTACAAGCATACACAGGGATCTAAAACAGCAGTCAGATATGATGTAAGTCGACAAAATACAGGATACACTTGTCCTTCCAAAACCACAATGACTCAGATGACTGCTGCTCCTGTGACAGCTTAGGGCGACATGATTTACAGGCCAACATGTATGGCTGCCCTTGGACCGATAGATATTCTCCTCATCTCTCATCCCAGGCACAACACAACCACCTGAATTATTTAAAGATAAAGAATCAGATGAATCGTGCAAAAAAACATTCAAGGGTTGTATCAAATATCATCTGTACTGTCTGTGCCTCCTCTGCTTCATGTAATGAATTTCTTACCCTGCCCAACCACAATATTACCATCTTATGACCAGCGATGATAGATAGTTAAACCATGGACTCACACGCTAGGGTAGTTCAACTTTGACATGTGCAGTAAAAAATTCATACTCCCACTGAAATATGTGCCTCATGAAATCTTCATGGACTCTTTCAACTCTTTCAGGGGATGACTTAAACTGCAACAACTGTTATCCATCATTACGTATACGGCACTAAAACTTAACCATTGGGCTTTTTTTTTTTTTTAATGGTGTTGATGCACCTTTTATGCACTCATGGCCTCGGCTAGTTTTTCTGCTTGTCCGCTGAGTGTCCATTTACTTGTTCCATTAAGCTTAAACTATAAAACTTCCATATGCAAAAAAAAACTTAATTTGAATAAATCAATCCATTTATTCATTCATCCAATAAATCAAACACAAATCGAGCCACCAGCCTGCAGTCAAAAAACAAAAGGCTTCTTGTGCGCAACATCTGGAGCAATTAGTGCACACCTTAAATGTCCTTTGGCGCTTTCCACAGCACGATGAACATTAGGATGGCTCCACCAAATGGCAACTCAAAGTTTAGATGTTTGCTAACACACAATACAAGAACTAAACTACAGTTATTGTTTCCAGTGAATGCAATAACTTCCTACATAAGCAGAAGTAAATCCTTCAACGTGTTTCTCTTTTCAAGCAAAAGGAAAAATTTCCTTATTTGAAATAAACTCAAGGTACTGAGTACTTATTTAAAACCTATGGAGGTGGAGAAGTAAGATGATTATGTACAGGTAGGGATGGGCGATATGGGAAAAAATTTATCACAATATATTTTTTTCATATCAATTGATGTCGATACATATCACAATATAAAAAATCAAATTTAACAGTGCTTATTGGTAGCATGTCTTTTGCAATACAATAAGCTACTGCATCTGTGAGGTCTTTGTGTCTCTTTGACGTTAAGTGTTGCGCTGTTAAGGTGCTATGGTTGTGTGTAGCTGCAGCCCGCTACTACGCAGTTGTTTGCTACTTGGTGCTGATTCAGCACATGCTGGGAGAAACTCCCCTTTTCATTGGCTTTTCATATAGTCTACTGAAACTTGGCAGTATGCTGAACATTGAAAAAGGTATTGACCATGTTTTATATTGACATTGAGGGAAATTAATTTTTGATATCGTCATCGTTTTATCGCCCAGCCCTATGTACAGGAACATGTTTTTCAGAGGTAACTGTACTATGATAGACAATTATACCTGAGTGATTTTGGCTCTGCACCTATCCAAGGTAAAACTATAACATGTTTTTTTTAACTCTCTTTTATACATATTGTACTTCCCAGCCGGGTCATGAACCAACAATACATGGTCTACTCATACAAGCTGTGGTAAAAAGCAGTTCACACTAAATGTAAACAGAAGCTGAACAGATGACTTCCTGCAAACGATACTATCCAGCATTAGTCAACATTCAACAGGTGATCACTGTTTTTAAGTGTGTGTAAGCAGATACAGAGCTGAATATAGAGTGAGGTGGTTTGGTTTGGGTCACTATAGAAACTAAGTGTAGAGCCCCTCTCCAAAGCGAAGAGATAAACAGACAGTGTTATGACAGCCAGGAAAATGTTCATACACAGTACCATCAAACTAACCCCAGTCACCAAGCTAACGCTAGCCAAGTGCTACCTAGCTCCACAGAAGACCCACTTCGATTTCACAAGTTGACCATCAAAACAAGGTGAGCCCGCGCGTGACCTCACCTTTAATTCAGCCGACAAATATCACATTTCTATCAGACAAGCTTACGACATCACCCCCTTTTTCCCCACTTCTTCAAATCTATCATTTTAATTCATCATGCACCCCATTTAAAACCCTCTTGGTCAAATCAACCCCAAGCTGGCCGACATTTTGTTCCAGTAGCTAACCAGGGCTAGCTCATCCTAGCTCACGTTACCTGGACGCTCCGCGCACTTGACGTGAGAGAACAACCCGTCAGCCTGATGACAGCTCGGCTAAGAGGCGTTTCGAGACTCCCCGTTAACGTTTATGCAAGCTGAATAAAAACGACGACAACGAGCCCCGTTATTCATGCTTCCAGAAGATACCGTTAGCATATTGGGCAGCTGGCTAACCTTTTAGCATATAGCACGTAGATGCAGTTTGCTAGCTGGGGTAGCTAAGTTACCTCGGCTCGCACCGTTATAGCTCGCTCGTATCCGCAGGGGGGACACACACATCCAGTCAGCTCCTGCGGTTAACAGCGAAACATCCCGAATAATGTACTCACGGCTGAATTAAGAGAAACCAATTCACCTTCGCGAAAGCAACAGTCCCCGCGACGAGCTGGTGAAAATCTTACAGGAGAGGAATGAAAAGCTCTTTTTCTGGTGAGGCTCCAGAGCAGCAGCCGCCGCACTGCAATGGCAGGCAGTGGATGAAGCCTTCTTCTCCCCCCCTCTGCTCTCACACTTCGGCTGCCGTCACCGCCGCGGTGACAGTGACAGGTTCGCCTGGAAGAAACCATTCCTGTTTGTCCGCGGGGGGGGTGGAAACAGGGAAACAGGGATGCAGAGAGGCTGATCGCAGCAGCAGCAGCAGCATCTGCAGCTGCAACATCGAGCGCCATTCCAGCGCAAGAGCAAACGGTCGTCGATGAGGATGGAAATAATACAGCTTTAATGGTCCCAGATAACCACAGCTTTGGAGGGATGGATGCGACTGTTATCAGCATGTTATTAGTTTTGCATGTTTCAACAAATAAAAAACACATCCTGACTTACAGAAAAAAATATCACAAACCAGTCAATACAGAGATCCTTCAAACCCATTTTCTGTTAAATTGCAGTTGATAAAATTCAGTGAGTTAGTAGATTTCAGTATATTGCAGATTATGTATAAAGCTCATAGGAAAAATTTACTAGTCAACATCCAGAGCTGATTTTAAAAGTTGTTATAATTTAAAAGGATTTGAAATATTATGGAAGTGAATCTGTGCCATCTGATTTTGAATTTGAATTTCTAAAGCTTAATTTTTTTGCATCAAAATCAGACTTTGAATTTCAAAACCATCGAATTTTTATTTCTTACACTTTTTTTCACAATGGTAAAATAAATTCAGTGTAAAAAAATATATATGTTTTTTAAGTTGAATTTTTACTAAACAAATCTTTGAGAGACTGATTTTTTTTTTACACTGAATATATTTCATCACTGAGAAAAAAATAAGTGTAAGAAATAACAATGCATGCTTGAAATTCAATAGTTTCAAAATTCAACATCTGATTTTGATGCAAAAAAAATCAGCTTTAAAAATTCCAATTCAAAATCAGATGGCACAGATTTACTTCCATACAATATTTAAAAAGTCAAAATTCAGAACTAAAGTGAAAGAGCACTGTGTTACAGTTAGAGGAATGAGTTTGTAGAACAATCTGAACAAAGAAACTAACGAAGCTAAATCAAATTTTATTTTCAAAAAAGTGTCAGTATGTTAGTATGTACAGGGAAATATGTTAATCTAAGTCTTGGTATGTTTGTTTTGTGAAATAATTTGAATTAACGTGGTCTTTTCTGTTCGATTCGTGGGTTGTTTTTGAAAATAATAAATAATGAACTCTAAAAAAGCATGTTGGCTGCAGCTCTTATTTTTATTGTGTTTAGTTGATTAATATATTATGAACAAGAGGACGACTCTATAAGAGTTTTCTTCTTTCTGCTCCTTCTCATTCACATGTTTGAGATTTTTCCTTGTTTGTATTAAGTTTTAAATATTAACTGTATAAAATAAAGTATGAAAAAATGAATAAAAATGAAATAAAAAAATCTATATTGTCATTACAGAAAACTCCATTATACTACCTCAATATGCCTTATATCTGTGAAATCTAATTTTTATTGGACCAACCTTTTATTACATTGCAGTTTGTTATAACACTGTACAGTTCTTTATTTTTCCACAAAAACACAAATAATTTGTGTTTTTTAATTTAATATGATTTCAATTTGATTCCGAAGAATATAAATATAAATGTTAAGAGCTTGATCATTGAGAGCTATGGTTGTATGGTGAGAGGGAAGCTGCACTGTACTTTAGCAAACGGGAGAGTATTGTACATAAAACTATGGTCTAAGCTTTATTTTGTGAGGAAACTAGACTTTATTGCAGCACTTATGTGTCATGGATCAAACAAAAACATACTCTGGCACTTTGTCAGAGCCACTATAGCAGCATACAACACAAAGGGTTTTCAAATAAAAGTGGCATCAACTTATATCTTGTTTTCATCAACTTGAAAAAATCCATTAACTTTGCTGCTGTCAAAGAAATATCTAAGACAAGAACCTCCCAACGTTTAGAAGGTCTGAGTATTGATATGGCAAATGAGATGTCAATATAAGTCGGGTGTGATTGATTAGGCATCCTCTGAAACAAAGGGCCAGACAAGGACAAAATATTTATCTCTAATGCAACCCCAGGAGTGTGTGCAAGTATATGATATGAAGAAGCAGCTATGTTCCTGCAAACCTTTATTTGGTGGATGAAAATTAGAGTCCTTCAGGGTAAAAGATGATTTACATTTTCTTTAAAACGTTTGGGTTGAAAATACATGAAGTGGATTTCATTTTTAACTACAGCAAACAAACTCTTCTCAGGGAAAGCTGAGGTTAGCTCCTTAAGTAGTAATGACATGCTGCATAGAGCCATTTAAAATGCAGAGGATAGAACTAAAATCCAGCCTACAGTCACGATGCTCAATACTCCTTCCCATGGGGTATACAGATTGAATCAATATACAGTAGAATGTAAATTGTGCACTGCACCAAACCACCACTCTTAAGACTCCATCCCATGCACTTTTTAAGTTTCTGCGCCGGCCTTTTCTGTAAGTACATCACTCTCCCTGCAGCAGCCTTTGTTGTGTGTTTTATCACTTTGAGATTGTGTGACCGTTCTTGTCACCTCTACCTCTGTCTCTAATGAGTGCAGGAGGAGATAGGGGCAGAATGTAATGCCGGAGGAGCACAGAGGTCCTGCAATGTTGCTGACGTAGGGAGACTCGCTGCAAATTCCATTGGAGGATCAGACGGAGAGAAGAGTGGTAGAGGAAGAGGAGGGTGGGGGCATCTTGAATAGAAGAATGAGGGTTGGCCAAGGTCATAAGACTTAGATAAACACAGGCAGTCATATGTATCCTGTGGGAAAACAAAATATGATGAATAGCAGCTGTAAAACATGTGGGGTTAAGGAAACCCTCACAAAAAGTAAATGCATCTGAGACCTGCACCCCTACTGTCCCATCTACAGCAATAAAAAGCAAACACTGGCAATCTGAGAGGGTAGTTTATGTCATTATGGTTAGATGATGGCAGTTGTACTGTGGCCGGCGAAAGCAAAGGCTGAAGCTATTTATATTAGGATAAACAGGCGACAAATTCAGGCCATTTTGTATATATATATACCTGCACATTTCTCTGCATGTTTTGGCATTATCCTTTAAAAGAGATGAAGTGCATCAGCTTCTAATGCAGCTGTTTCTGCTGTTTCCTGCATGTCTCCCTCTTGCAGCCCTTTTTGCACATTTACATTTGTTACAGACTTTTGCATGTGATCTTCACTTTGCATAGTTTGTAAATCTGTAGTCTGTAAATCCTCACCACCTTTGCAATGCAATTACTCTTGTCAGCGAACATACCATTGTCACCATTAGTTATCATGCGATACAGTATTAGCCAAAGTACTGGAGCAGAAAAATGCAATTAAGCTCTCAAACCCCTCTGGAAGTGCATGAATGTAAACTTTTTCTTATAGTCTGCATCTGATTAACTGGCTTTGATGAGAGTTTGTGCTGCTTAATGTATCTTTGTCCAAGCCCTTGAAATACCCTCTGTTACAGCTTCCACTGTGTTTGCATCGCTGGCTCCAACAGCACAGAGGGAGTTTCACATGCCGTGCAACAGAATTATGCAGCCCCCTCCGCCCCCACCCCCACCCCATCAGTACATTTAGATGCACAGACAGGATCCAAAGCAAGACAAGAGCATGACTGCAGGAACAAATCACACGAGTGGAAAAAGTAAATTAGAAATTCACAGCAGGTCGAGCTTTTAGAGTGCATCGCCCCTGACGCTGAGCGAGTCACCTCACAGCCGTGCAGGTCAGGAAAACGGCTGACTAAGCAAAGGTTGGAATGGCTATCTATGAGCTTTAATGACTGCAGCTATCAAATGACATGACAGACGTTAAACATAGCTCTGCAGCAGGGGAAAATAAATGTTTTCATTCAATAGATAGGTGAGGAAATACATGATATGACGTGACAAGGTGTTGCCAAAAGCTGTAAGATGAAACAGGAAACTTTACGCTTCTTATCTTGTTATCCAGTCTTTGGTTTTACAAATTGGAGTACATCAGTGTAATCTCATAATGGAGTGAGCTGGCTACTGTACAAAGGCTTGTATTTCTGTGATTTCTGTGTCATCCTCTGTCGGCATCGCTGACCTCCAAGCAGCACACTTGATTTGACAGCCAAGCCATTAGTTTAGGAGCAAAAATTCCTCAAACCAGGTTTCACAATAAAGCCGTAGTATTACAAGGTGCAGCATGTTCAGAGAGAAAGAGAGGAGGAGAGCGGGCTCCATGACCCAATGAGCACGCGATATCTTGTAAAGTCAGCAGTTAAAAGGACACTTATCAAAAGGCGCTTTATAGAAGGACAAGGTGTGACCTCGAGAAAGCAGAGTTAAGGATGTGCAGCAGTAAAAATCACAGCTGAAACATGGAGGAGGCGTGGTGTGGCTGAAGCCTCATGATCTCTGTCCATTTTTAAGAAGGGTGAATTTACCATGTGTGGTTGAAACACCTGCTCCTCAGAGAAGGAGAAGATATCTCAGCTTTAGTCCGCAGTACATCGTTTATGTATTGCAAAAGAAAAGAATTATAATTCTGCTTTGGTTACTGTCAAACACAAAGATATGCCTCGCCCAGGTGGACTTAAAAAATACCTCAAAGAACAAAAAAACAAAACACACACACACACACACACACACACACACACACACACACACACACACACACACACACACACACACACACACAGAAGCCCAGTAACACAATGAGCCAAGAGAGCACATTTTGGAGTTATACACTGATTGTTTCCAAAAAAAAACTAATTTTCTGGGTTTAGATGAGAGGTTAAAATGAACAGGTTCAAATTCAACCTGCAGCTCAATGCTGCATACGACTTCCAGCTCTCTTTCCAGGTTTCTACTCTATCTGCAGTCCTATCTTCTGAGTAGTGAAAACAAAGGCCAAGACTAATACTGAATCCCAAAGGAAACCATTTTTGCACTATTAGCCATCAAAGTCCCATCTGAAAAAGAGAAAGGCTCACATTGTAACGTTTGATCTTTATTAGTATTTCTATCGTTTTCCTTAATGTTCTGATTACTTTGAATTATTGTATTTATGACATCTTACTCTCTTTTTTGACTTTTGAGCCACCACAACAAGAGATTTCCCCCTGTGTGGAGTCAATAAAGTTCATCTTATTTTCACATTAATTGTGTGAGGTAAGGTAAAAACAAGTGCAAATATTTTTGATATTTTAGTTTTTACGCAGCCAAGAGCAAACTAAAGCAGTGAGCTACAAAACTCTTCAGAGCGAGTGACCAAAACTGATCTGATTTAAGTTGAAAACTGAAAAATAAGTCATCCTCTGAGCACTGGCCACAATATTGAAATCATCATAAACTTATGGCTGTTTGTGCACATGATATATCTGTATGTGTAGTAATCATGAAAACTCCTTTGCCAAATGTTCTTTCAAAAATAATAAAACTCTCCACGTCAAAGGGAACCGTTTGATGGAATGATGCAAAATTTTGGCACAAACGTTTTCATCAGCTCACAGGAAGAGGTTGCCGAGCACCAAACTGTCACTATATCCTGATCTAAAAATGTGAAAGCCACAAACAGAATCCATGTTCAGGAGGGAAATGCATATTTGTAAAGATTTCCCAAAACCAACCTTTAATCTTCATCTTTTTTTTCCCACCACCAGCTGAGAGCTCAGACGTATCAGGTGACACAGGATGACCTCACATCCCCCAGCCCTGCGGATCATGTGACAAGAGGCCAGCGACATCCAAATCCTCTCGGCATCTAACTACAGCATCATGTACAGTAGCAAAGAAGCAATCACCTAAGTATGTTTATTCCAGGAGGCGACGAGGCTCTGATGCTAATAAAGATGAACTATTCCAATCAGTTAATGTGGATGCATGTGAGACGGAGACGACCTGCAGCAAAACAGTGAGCTGAGTTGTTTTTTTGTTTTTCAACACCAGATCATAGAAACTGGATCCTCTTGGGAGAATAAAAGCTTTTAATGGATTTTTATCAATCTGAAAGTGATTTGACAGACAGCTTAAACTGGCAGCAGATTAATTATTTGTTTGAATTAAGAAGAAATACTTCCAGAGTCAGCTGAAGGAGACTTACTTATCTGAACACTGCAGAACTGCGCCTCTAAATACTATATTGAAAATATATCTGTATTACTAAATCAATTTATGGGTTTTCACCTCATATAAAGTATGACCTCTGGTGTGACCTATCATTGAAGTTATTAATTTTCTACTCTTCTTTATTTTTCATTTAGAAGGCTTTTTCGGATGAGTTTGGTTTTTTAAAAGGTTTTCTATTCATGATTTTCCCCCCAAGAGAGCAGCCTCGCTCAGGATGAGAGTGAGGCAATTAGAGGCCTGTGTGGTGTGGGATCAGGTGCTCCCCTCGGACCTGACTGGAGGGGTATTGTGGAAGGGCAGGTGATGGGGGTAAGAGAGACAGGAGAGAAAAAGGGAGAAAAATCACCCAGGGATACTTTACCGCACTGCGTAGAGAAGCAAGAAAATATTATGAATTTGCACCGCCTCAAATTTGAACAGAAAATTAATTTTATCACAACTTCTTGATGAACCCAATTTAGGGAGGGGGGGGGGCAGGATTATTTCTCCTCCAATACAGGAAATAATGTGAGTCTGCACCCTCTCCAATACATCCGATTGTGGGGGATTAAATTGTTTGCCAGCTTGACATCACCAACCACAACCATCCTCTTCTTAACAGCTCTGCCTGTTTCAGAGGCTGCACTGCTCACTCTTCGTCATCATGAAAAGAATCTAGTAAAGCTCCGTCTTCCCCCATGAAAGCTACACATTCCTCTAAACCCAATATTACAACTGCTCACGCCATCCCTCCTCCCCTTACTGCGTCAGCCATGCAAACATGGATGTTTCTCTGTGGCCTGCACACACATTAAGGTAGTAAAACTCTGCCCTCTGCAGGACTTCAGCTGAACATTGTTCATCTGCCTTCAGCACGACCATCTTGAGCCGAATCCGTGCAAGAGGAGATCTAGATGGAGAATTATTCACAATGGCGTGAAAACAAGCGTGAGTAAAGTGAATATGCGTGATTGCAGCCCCCGCTGGCTGATGATGCACGTGTGAATTGATGGAGGGAGACACAAGAAGGAGCCGGGGATGTTCACCCACGGGTGCGCCGTGATAGGGATGCTCCTGAGTCTAAACAGCATATGGTGCCTCCCTGGGCATCAACACACATCCTACATGTCCAGCAACACGGCAGGCTGGGTGATACACACACACACAAACTAACACAGCAGACAAACACAATGCTGAACAGCACACATGTCTTCTTCCATTCATCATCCAACTCAACGCACAGAAGTTCTGAAAAAGCTTCTGAATTCACATGTTTTTCAGTCTTTATCTGTGATGATTACACATAATTTGATGCCTTAATTAGACATTATACAAAGGCCAGGTCAAGCTGTACACAGAATTATGGAGTTGTGCATCATTATATTATCATATTAAAAGTAAAACAATACTCTGTTTTGAAATTTATGAGTGCTTTACTGCGCTGTCAGAAAACCCATTTGTTTGAGCTCGATCTCGGGTGCGATACATTTGTGTTTTTCCGCCGGCAGCACAGAGTCGACACTGACTGCAGCGATTGATAGCCTCACTTCTGCGAAAGGTCTCCAGCCAGTGTTTTAACAAAAGGGCAAAGCCAACCAACATCCTCTGTGGGCAATTCACTTACAAATGTAAAGTACATAAAAATAAAACTATCTTCTTTATAAGGGCAGAAACATATTTGTGCATTATTTAATCACATATCCAACAGAACATAAAAAAGTACACACATCATGACACATAAAGGGCTTGAAAATTATGCATCTGTATTTTTAGTCAACATGCATGCACGAATGAAATAAAAAATCCCTTCCTAAAACACCTCAGCTCAAACTGTTCGCCACGCTTATTGAAAATTTGTTCATTGGACAGTAACACAAACAAATCCTTTCCCATTGATATTTGGTGTTGCAGAAATCAGAAGCAGTAAAAGAAATCAAACTAAAGTATGTTATTTTGCCGTGAAACCTTCTTTAGGTTGCATCAGTAAGAGACTGAATATCTGCTCCTGAAAAGCAGAATGTGTTCATCTCAGGAGAATCCATCAGCAGACAATGTAATCCACCGAGCGTCCTCAGCTGAGGACATCAAACCCTGTGATTGATTAAGTTGTCTCAGGACAACCTTCCAGTGTTTTATTCTCAATGCTTGACTTCCCCTCCATGGCCACCATCTTGAATCCTACAAACATTACATCATCCCACTGCTGCTGCTTGTCCTTCACATGACCCCATGCTCTAACCCTTAAATAAGGGGGGGTGGTAACATGAACATCAAGCCCTCTTTGAAAACAGGCCAGAGTCCTAATGAAAGCTTGTTATGGTGGTATTAATAGATGCAGACTGTATTTTTGGAAGGGAAAATATTGTACACGATGTTGGTTTAGTGCTACATTTTCACTCCTCCTCAGCTGCTGAGGGTGCTTACTGTCCACATCTCTCCTCTTGTCATAAATCATGCGGGAAAGTCAATAGAGTTGTTGGGATTTATGTGGGTTTGAGTCGTCTCTCTTGAAATGATTTGTTGTAGATGAGGGACACGAGGCCCGACCATAAAAACAATTCTGAAGCACGGGTCGTTTTCCTCAAATCTTCCCCTGACAACCAAGGTCCTAGCAGTTTGTAATCTCAACACAACATCTTTTGAGGAGTGAAAAATGGCTAACAGGATCTACTTGTTATAAAAAAAAAATACACAAACACAAATTTGAGGTGTAATTACAAAACAACAGTAACTCTGCAGTGTTAGACCTGTAATTTTAGCAGCGACAATGCTCCAAATTCCAGCTACAGAGGTCGTAAAGCCAACATATTGCTACAAGATGTGTCACATAATTGTGCGACACAAACGCTCACAGTGCAATGACTTTAGTGACCTGCCATATGTCCCATCAGAGCACCCATAGGCAAACCTTGCTCCTGAGTCAAACAAACTCAACATCTGCTATCCCCCCTCCACGCAGCCCGTGGGATCACACATGCAGCACATGCACACACACACATGAATACCCACATACAACCTCCAACCATCCCCTGTGCTTATCACCTATAGGACAAAAAAGAGCATCCATTTGACTCTGTCCTTACATAACAGATCTGTCTTACCAGGACCCAATCACAGAGCAACCCCCCTCCCCTCCTTCCAGCGAGGCCTCCCACAGCGTTAGTCGTGATATATCTGCACCCACCACCCTCCTGTTCTCCCTCCCTCCCCTTCTTCTCCCTCTGTTTCCTTGCGGTGCGTCTCTCTCAGGTTCTCCACTCCCACCCCTCGTGCACCTCCAAGTCTTCATCATCACACGGGAACAATCTCCCTCTAACAGGCCCCTGAATATGCAGATTGGTTAATTCAGCTGCAGTTGCTCTCTGTGTAAATGCATCTGCAGCACTTTCCCAAGACTGAGCAGCGAATAAATGCTTACGCTGAGGCTTTTTTTCCCCCTTTTTTTGTGGCGGATGGGGGGGGGGAGAGAGCCTCAGTTCATGGCAGACTGCAGCCAAGGTTGAGATTTTAGAAGCGGGACGGGGCAAGCAGAACTAATAAGAGATTAAGACTTTGACCAAGGCGGAGCTCAGAGCCCTGGTCAGTGACTGATCCTGATCTGTTAAGGAGTAATTAATTTAATTGCACTTTTTATCTCGGCTTAGCGGCACCTGCTCCTGCTGATACACTCTTATAGTTTCTCAGCTACTCACCTGGTTATAGTCTCTGCAGTAAACATTGCTTTTACATTTTCTAAAACAGCTGAGAGGGCAGGAAAAAATACTGCAACAAAAACACATCTTTTCCCACAAAAAAAAAAAACACCAAAGGAAAGAGCAAGCTGGGTTTAGCTCCAACATCGCATCAGCAAGGACACATAGTAGGGTTTGTACACTTGCACATTTTTTTTTTACTTTTCTACCAGCTTAATGATGAAATATAATGCACAAAGGAATAAGCAACACATTCACAAACATTAATCCTTGAGGAAAAAGAACACACAGCAGGAATATACCCTGGAAATCTCAGGATAAATCCCTCAGGTTTCTTCTTTCAGAGCAGAAATAAGCGGTTGGATACGAGCGAGCCATGGTGTAAATAATACACAGAATAAGAGTTTGTGTAACACCTGAACAGATGGACTAATGCGTCTCCCTGAAGCATTAAGAAATCCTGTAAACGCTGCTGCTTTGAGATGAGATGAGCTGCTGTTGATGAACACAGAAAAATAACTCCTGCAATACACAAAGGCATCGAGTGCATAAAAGACTGTTGTTAGTCACCCCCTCCTCCTCTTCTTCATCTCTGTTGTGCTTTCTGCAGCCTTAGCACTAAAATCTGATTCAAGCTTTCTGTGAACAAGTGCGCTGCTTGCCAACACAAATGACAGCGGGTGTGGGCCGGGGGCCAAAGTCCTCCCCTGACTATCAAGAGAGAAAAGCAATCAAAAGAAGCAATCGATATAAACAAAGTCTTAACTACTATTGATTATTTAGCTCTACGCTGATGGGCAATGATAGTTATGGACCCAAATTCATACACTCAGTTGATTAATATCTTCAGTTTTCTGTTGAAACAGTCGATCAGACGAGGTCTTTTTTTTTGTTATGAAATCACTGCAGATCATCCAGCTGCTCAGAGGCTCACTGTTGTGTCTGTTGTGATATTTTGGTAAGGATGCAAAGGAAACTGCTCCTCAGCTCAGCATCCTGCAGTCTCATCACTCACTGTAAGGCGGACCGTTACTTCCATCAGCCGCATTTGAGTTTGGGCAAGTCAGCAAGTTTTCCTCCAGTGCACACACAGCCCGTACAAAAAGAAATATACCATGAAGAGGCCAAGAGCCCTCAGCTGAGTGCACCGTCTGTGCTGAGATAGAGGCCTCTGGAGCCGTTTGAAGCGCTCTCTGAGTGGCAGGCCATAAAGACAAATGACTGTGATGTGGTGAGTCGCTCTACATGACTTACAGAGCGGGGAGAGGATACGAGGGTGCAGTGACACTACGTTGCCTTTTCCATTCAGATGAAGGCTTATGAATGCTGTGCATGGCTCAGAATCAAGGCCATCACTAATCTGTCAATTACGGCCTAAAAGCATCCACCTCCAGCATAGCAGAGTCAGGTTTACATGCAGGGAGCTGGATGGTGATTTTGTAAAGCTTTTGAAATGTAGGACTTTTGGTCAATCTACATGACAATTAATTTTTTTTTGTACGACACAATTCAGTGTCTTTAGCCATACTAATTTCAGGGATTTATGAAAGGCAAGAGAAAAGAAGCGCTTTGTGGCAGACTGGAATATTTTGACAGGCATTAGATGGATTGTTATGAAATGCTGACTTATCGGTCTACACAAGAGGATGAATCATGGCACACTTTCATCCCTGTAGTTTGAAGAGACAGTTTGGTTTCATTCTTTCTTTTTTTAACCAGGGTTGCATGAGATGCTTGTCAATAACACCTGTTTTATTGTTGGCAGTGATCTTTTTTTTCTCTTATATTTGTCTTAAATACTATTCTCCGCTTGCACTGCTTTTTCTTTTTTTTACCGTAGTTCTTTTATCTTATTTGCTTTTTGTACCAGGTATGACTGTGTATGTTGTATGTACTGCTGCTGTTAACAATTCTAATTTCCCCATTGAGGGATAAATAAAGGATAACCTAATCTAATCTAATCTAATAAGTGTGTTACTCATAGGTAAACGAATGGGAAGATCCAGCTGCAGACACAGGCTTTCACAGCAAAATAAAGCACTAAAACAATCTGAACAGAGCACTAACCTACACTGACGTTTAGGGTCTGGGTCAGAGTTCCTGAAAAGATATTAAAAAGGTAGTAAAGTTGACTCCATCTCCCTCTGTTCTGGTTCTCTGGCCTGTTTCTAAACAAAGGGGCTGAGCTGACCAGAATCTCCTGTGGGTATTGAAAGGATGAGTAAATGATAAACACATTCGTGCTCATAAAGTGCTTGCTAGTCTTTTCAGCCCCTTCAAGCGCTTATATATGACTCACACACTGATGGCACAGGATGCTGGGGGACTGGCAGTATTAGATAACCCCAGTCATACGCTCCAACACTCCACTGACTAACTCACCAGGAGGAAAGTGGGGTTCAATGTCTTACAGGGACACTTCAGCGTGTGACTGCAGGGCGAGGAGCAAACCACCAGCCTTCAAGTCGAGAGACAACCAAGTCTATCACTGAACTACAGCTGCCCTTTCAGTAGTAACACACTCACTATTGAGAAGTACCTCATATAACCCCACTTAAGAAAAATGACTTTCCCCTCGAGCTCTTATTCTGTACAATGCAAAGACATTTTGATACAGCTCAAAATGTTTCCCAGTAGATAAATCCTGATGGTTTCCGTTAAATCTGGTATTTTTTTAGGATATTAATGCTGCCCTCAGGATGGGATCCTATAACTTTCTTTTCAGGCAGCCACAAGGTTGACATATCCATCTAAGTAAAATATCTCAGCATTTGCAGAGTAGATTGTAATTACACTCAGACATTGGTGCCACTCTCTGAGTAAACCGTAATCACATAAGTAATTTTCTGATTTCTTGTCCAGTGCCAGCTTCTACTTAAAAATGCATGTTTGTGCTGCTGGTTTGACTCAACCCCACACACTACAGCAGTGGTTCTAACTCCAGTCCTCGAGCCCCCTGCTCCAACACACCTGATTCAAATGATCAGCTCGTTATTAAGCCATTATAGAGCTTGATAACGAGCTGATCATTTGAATCAGGTGTGTTGGAGCAGGGAAACATCCAAAACATGCAGGACAGTGGGTCTCGAGGACTGGACTGAGAACCACTGCACTACAGCTAGGTCCTCAACACACTGGTCATTACAGTTCAACTCCCAACCGGCCTTTATTTCATGCATTTCATCCCCATCCCTCATTCTCTCTGTCCTGTTAATGAAAACTACAAACACATCGCCCTGATTTCTGAGCTAATATCTCCTATCCTAATGTCCTCAGCTGCATCGTGTGTGCTTGTGCAAGCTAATATGCTCAGCTGAGCTAAGGAACAAGGTAAACATTATAATTGCTTGACATCAGCATGTTATCATCATGCAGCATCACAGATCTGCAGACATGTGTCATTAATAAATCAGTGCATTAGAGAAGCTTAGAGCTCTGACACAGCATTAGTGTTGCTATCAAGTTGAATTGCTATTTAAGTTGAAATTTAAGGGCGGACAACAGTTTTTTTTCCTATTGTTTTTGATGTCAGTAAAAGCAGCTGTAAATATGGTAAATGCATCATAAAAACATACTCTTAAAAACCTGTATTAAGCTTACTGACTGATACTTATATCAGTAATTCAACCAGCTGAGAGGTTTTGTGATATCCTGTAATGAGATGGAGCGTTTGAGTTGAATTCACAGTCAGGTCATAGCTGAGCTGTCATCATGATATAATTCCCATGAGGCTGAGACCCTCCAGCAGTCTGCCGCGCTGTCTGAGAACAACAGAGTACATGCCAGCACTATGATTATATCTGCTTTGATTTATAAACATCAGAAGGGAAGAATTAAAACCTTTTATGTATGAATATTCCTTTTATATTTAAAAACACTCAACAGGATAGTCATGTGAATGAATCAGTGAATATTGAGCATTTAGGCACAACTCTGGCATTTAAGGATTTAGATGCCTGTTAGTGTGAGTTAAATAAAACTTAATGATTGAAACAAATGTCCTCTGATTTTAAGACAGTGAACTCTGAGTCTGGACAATTACAACTGAATGATTTTAGCACATCTGATATCACTCCATCAGTTTCATATCAGGTGTGACGGAGGATGTTGTGGTACATTGAGATTAATGACAGGAAAACTTCATCAACTTCTTTACCTTAGGGCCTTTGCCCACTGACCACATTTTGTTGTTTCACGGTTAAATCAGTGTTGAAATGATTATTATGCTCCATATTTGCTTTCTGTCTACGACAATTTAGAAGACAAACGGATAAGAAGTCATGTTATAGCATTGGCAGGAGCTTTAGACTCAGAATGTGGTTCATTTCTCCTTCTGATGGACCTCCTCCATTGTTGTTGCTAATGTTGCCCAGCCAAATAAAGCTGTGAGTGGACTCAGGCCCTATTTGTCTGAGGTGCCAAGATTTTTTAACAATTTTGATACTACTTTACAGCAGCTGGTAATACTAGCTTAGAATAATAACTGGAAATAGGTGCAAATTTCAGATACAAGTGTAAAATCTTGTGTTGACGCAAAGGAAGGTTTCGCCATGTTAGAAGAATATCCAGCAATGTTCATGTGAAACTCCTATAATCCCAATGTAGATCATATTTTGCTAAAGTCACCCAACATAACTTGATCAAACATGTTTAAAGTCTCATTCCGCATTTTTTTTTTCACATTTAAAGTTTTTTCAGTGGTCTTTAAATTGTGATTCTGAAGTTTTTAGCCAAAATCCTGTTACCTGTATCATTTTCACGGGCTTTTCTTCTGCAGAGTTCCAGTAGCGCATTAGCAACTCGCCTTAGAGTCGTGGGCGGAGACAGCGCTGCTCTGCACACTCCTCTTCATGCTAGCTTGTAGCCTAACATTGCTGGTGCAGCAGAAGTGGTGGGTAATATAGGAGCTATTCAGCTCTTGAACACCAATATCTTTGAGGGCACAATAAAAGCTAATATTATAATTACGAGCAAACCAATCCACTACTGCACACACTTGTTCTGCAATTGTCCCTCTCTACTTCTCGGGGTCTGGCCTGCAGAGTGGGGCACAGGGGGCGGAGCCTAGGTTTGTGACATAGAAAGTCCCACTGTGTCTGAACCTGCCATTTGGGTCTGCCAGAGGTTCACAGTCATTTCAATGCAGAAATACTCAGAAATGCAATTTTGCTCTTAGTTTTCTCTTGATATGTCTTCTAGCATCATAAAAATGCAATATGAACACGTAGACAACAGGAGAAACATGATTTTTATCGGAGTGGGTCTTTAAAACAGAACTTTAAAACACAATTTCAACACATTTTGTGTACCAACCAAACCTCATATTTAGGAGAGCCAGACAGAACCAGAAGCTTAATTTTCTTCAAATTTGAAGAGAGACTTATATCAAAATGTGCCATCAGATCAGGAGTGATTGAGTATTCAGGGCTCACACTGGAGAGGAAGCCTCAGAATGTGTAGCTGTCAATATGAGGGGTGACCTACGAAAAATGCCCTTGCACACGGACAAAACTTTTTGTGCTTCACCCAAAGCTCAGTCATCATTTTTGTTTTGTTTGTAAGTATTGTTGCAAATCATTCATGCAATAAGCTCAACTGGAGCTAATCCTGCATGTGTTTATCTCCTCATTACTTGTTATTTGAATGTTTTATACCCAATATGAATACACTCTTATTTTCCTTAATGCAACTCTTTGGTGTCAGTGTTGGGATAGAGTTGAATTCATTTTCAGACATTATCATGGTGTTGGGTTTTTTAGAATTTGCACATCATTCAGAAACATAATCATTAGAGGAACTATTTTATTGTGCAGGATAAATTCTACAGAGCTTTTTTACACCTGAAGCAGATTTTTGAGAGCTTTCTGTCAATCTATCAGGTTCACTGCTTCTCTCTCATGACTGAATGTGTGTAAACAGTTCAGGTTGCCTGGTTGCTTCCTCTGTTCATTTTAAACAGTAAGTGGGGTCATGTGGTTCTACCTGTTAATGCACTTTACATTCCTCTGAGTCAGTTTACTTACATTTGAGTCAAGGAGATCAATGCTGTCAAGACTCTTGCTCCGGTGAATGCGACCCTTGATGCGGCGGAGTGATGGTTTGCCCTGATGGGTACTGGAGGAACCTGCAGTGACGGAGCCGGCAGTCGGGCTGGGGTGTATCCTGAGGTCACACACATAGAAAGAGAGAGAGAGAAAATAAACAACAGCACTACATTAGGGCCAGTTTAAGTGCACATCCAGCATGGCTGCTTTTTCACAGTGGGACATTTTGCCACAGGCGCAACCGAAGAAGACCACAACCAATGGTCATGTTTTCTGCTTTTCAAAAGGCCACAGTCCCCTGCTGGGTATAATGGCATTTAAGGAAATCTATAATTGGATTTAATGTCACAGCAGCCCTGTAGGGGAGCTTGTTGGAGCGCAGGAAGCGCTGTGGCTCGAAACACAGAGGGACCCATGGAGCTCTGTAGGCGACACAGCCAGACTGTAGCTGGGTCATGGTGAGACGTGGGGAGGAGGCACACTTGGCTGACCTATCATCTAATTCTCTCAGGAAATGTTTTACCCTTCACAAATGACATACTTAAGCAGCACTGTTGGACCCCTGCTGACCACATTACAACCTTCTGCCTCTCATTTCCTTTGTGTTTGCCTTGTTCGTCGCTTAATTGCTGTGTAATGTGCGGTGTTTTTCCATTAAATGTTTCACCTCTGGGGGATGAATGAAGCTGGAAATTTCATTCCTGGTACATCTCAAGAAGAGTAAAAGTACTTTTCCTTTTCTGCAAGTGCCAAAACTGTATGTGTAATGTTAGTTTCAACATCACCTCAGAAAGAATATCTTTGGATGTTTAAACATGCAATATCAAGATGACACCTCTGACTTTAGGAAAATGTGATCACCATTTTTACTCCGTCTCTTACACTATTTTACACCGAGCTGTCAAGGCTGCAGGATTTTTTGTCTACCCAGCTCCTTGTAGCTTAAATTAGCCCAGAAAAAGCTTTTCCCATGAATACACAATGGAGTTCCAATTTGTACTTTTGTAACTGTCTTCTTCTTGTCGCCTCTCTCCAGTCCTATCTCTCAGTGCCATAGAGGACAGTCACTCTTAATGAGGATTTACCTAACACAATATTCAATGAGGCAAAATCCTGTCTACACAGTGCAGCTCAGGGATAGTAGATATCCATTAGTGTGCTCAGCAGCAAGACCTCCCGAGGTTTGGAGACTCAGCCGCGGAAATTATGTGTGAAAGGAGTGAACAAAGATGGGTAGAGAAAGAACATCACCTTCTGCTATCTCTATGCATTAATCCAATAGTTGCCTGAGGCGGTGTGAGGTGCTTACAGGATGGAAATGCTAAAGGTAAAAGCATTCTGCGATACGTGCAGTCGATTACAAGCAACCTTAGATTGTTCTCATAAACAATACAGCAAACATGAGTAATGACAAAAGCTGCTTGGACTGTATCGCAGGCCCGGTGCAGTCCTGCGCATTCAGAGCCTCATTTCTTGGATGTTGATTCTAATATGGATTTCAGCCAAAACACTGGAGGCCACAAAGGCAGATTGTAACATCGTGCCAGCAACTGTGCAGCTCAGATATAGTGTGCCGTGTGTTCTCACATCTGGTGTGTGATAAATTCTTGCTCTATATTAAATATGGAGGAATGGAGGTAAAGCGTTTCACTTGAGGATTGTTGGAGTATATAAGACTACAGGATTTCATGGTCACATTTCCTTTTACTTTATAATGATCATATGTACATTTTTAACCACACAAGAAGGAGCAGCATTTGGCAAAGGCTATGACCCTAAAACCAGTGCCAGCGTTTTTCAAAGTCAAAAGTACTCTTACTTTTTTATTATATAATGTCACAGAATTTTACACTAATTGTTGCTTTTTTTTTTAAATATACTGAAAATAACCTGGAGGATAATAATTTCATACCTGTACACTTGATATACAGTTCAAAAGGGGTTTAAATTTCATATTTATCATACAGTCATGAAAGGTTTATGTGTAGGAGCAGAGCAGCAGTAAGCCTGGCTCTGATACTATACACACCTTCAGTCAACTGCACAGGTCACTGTTATTTGTTGTATCTAAATGGTTGAACTTGTTCGAATAAACAAATGTAATACGCTGGTCTATTTCTCCTGATGCTGCGACTTCTGTGAGTTTTGTCTTCACTCCTGTCTCTATTGCAGGCTGAGAGATATTTCCAGCAGTGACACAAACAGTAGATTCTGAACTCTGGTTTCTGTACTGATTAAACAAACAAGACATCATGTGTGCATTAATGATCTTTAGGAGTGCATTTTCAACCACTGGTAAATGCATAGCTGACTAATATAAACTTGTTTTGGAGTGTATTCATAATGAAAGTATCAGCAATGTTCATTTATGGGTCATCAATCATATGAAAAGACCAAAAAAATGGATTTACTCCTTTTTTGTTATTACTTTAATGGTTTGTGACTACATCTTAACACATAATAAAGATGAAAGAATGAGTCTGTATTTTTAAGGTGACTCTTTTTACTTTTTTGTTAGATAAGAGACACTGTATGCATGATTTTTATCAATTAAAGCCCCTGTGAGGAACTTTTCAGTTTTGACAATTTTAGTGCCCCCTGTGGACAAAGCAGTATTTAGTATTCTTGTCCTTAACATGCTTGAGTAGTGATCTCTCACCCTGGTGACTCTTGATCATCAAATGTATTATTTGTTGTGAATATTTTATGTGGAATGTTAAAAACAGACGCACAGCTGACATCTCTACCCCGAACATCAGTTTCATGCATCAAAAATTAATATATAAAAATCACCAGTCATGACGCTGATGTTATTGTTTGCTTTTGGATATCATGGAAAGACAGTAGTATGAATTTTGGTCCACTTCATTCATGTAAAAAATATCCTCATAGGAGCTTTAAACAAAGTTATCTGGAAGTCTTCCCTCTGACCTCCTGCTATGGGTGGATAGCAGGCATGAAAAGGCCTTTTCAGTGCTGCAGTGCTGTATTTGATAAGGTAAAACAAATCATTTACGTTTCATTGCTCCCGCATTCTTCGGCAACTTAAACAACAATGAAACATTAATGTCTGGAGAGGAGAGGGGCCATATTTCACATTAAGACAACATACTAAATTATTTATTAGCTATGGCTGGACAGGAGTTATCATTAGTGCTCACCCACAAGCAAGCTTGAAGGTGTCTGGAGGCCAACATTACCATTTGTCACTATTAGTTTTATTTGATACAATGACACATTTTCATCAAACAGTAGGTTAATGTTAATTATGTAAAAAGTTTAAAAAAAAAATCTGGCATATTAGTGTTTGTTTTTACAGACATGCAATTCTAAACCATTTCAATGTTTCTTATTTTGTGTTTTGAAGGACTCCTGTCAGTGTCTTATGACCCCCAGGGGACTCTGAAGCCGACTCTGAGGAGTTACCAAATATTCTGTTGTACTTTGGTGTCACTCCAGATTTTATTTCCCATTGGTTATCAGCTATGTTGTTGTCCAATCCACCAAAACATCATATTTGTCAGATTCTCTAGATCACACTACTCATAACAGTACTCCCCGCTCCGAGAAGGAGGAAAACAGTCCCTTTGTTGGCTAGGGTCCCTTTAATGGGTTTCAGTTCTTTATTTGGACTGTACTTGCAGTTCACTTTCTGTGTGGTGAGTTAACGACAAAATAAATTGCTTCGTGACTTTGATATTGTGACTGAACTGGATCTTTAGCAGTCTCTGAACAAGGAAAGTCACACCGAGAGAAAATGAACCCTGATCAATGCTAAGACAGACCTTGATGGACTAGACCATCCACTACCGGAGCCTGATACAGTGGTTCACAGATAAGCTAAGGTCAAATAGATGCCCAATGCTATTACAAAGAAAAGGACAAGAGACACACACACACACGTAAGTCAGTTTTGGGACTTTATGCTGCTTCTCTGTTCCTTTTTCTCTCAGTCTGACTCCAGAAGCCATCAAGTACGATTAGTTCGAGCAATAACGGCTACTGCTTAATCAGCAGGTCAATAGGCAATGTTACGCTTCATTCCTTCCATCTCGGCCACTGCTAATATAACACTTAACAAGGAGAGCAATCCTGTTCAGTGTCTCCTGCGCACACATACACAGACGTAATAAAACACAGAAAGACACAAACACCGTAAAAGACAAAGCCTACATGAGTTATCTCTAATTTCCAAGCACATCATCTGTCTGTTTGTTTTCTGCTTCAGAGAAAAGGTGCATGTTAAGAATTAGAGGACGTATTACATAAACTGTGAACTGTTGTATTATCCCTGCAGGCCTGCAACAGAGTGTAAAGTTCATTAAGCCAGGTTAATGCTAATCTTTGGTTGTGTGCAGGGGGAGTGGGTTTTTAAGACTGCAGGCAAGAGGAACATCTGTTTGCAGAAGACTAATCCTAATTTGGAGAGCTGCTGCTGCCGCTGCTATCCAGTCTTTATCAAAGCCAAGCAGAGCTGTTCCTCCTCCTAATTTGGGGAGAAAAGGGCGCACATGGTGCTCACAGTTTCTCTTTGGTAGATGGTGGAAGTGTTGGGGTCGAGCGGTGTCTCATCTCGTCGCCACATACTGTGAGATCGACGGAACAGGAAGCAGCTTTGAGCAGAAAATAAGACAGAATTACCGCCGTAATTATGTAAAGAGCAACCTTTAAAACAGGATTCCTAAAAGTCAGGATTCAACCACGCAATGAGGCTTTTTCTCCCATCTGTCAGGGAAGTCACACATCATCAAAGATCCTTTACTGCCTTTATTAACTACCTTCACACACATTTTGTTTCCATTTACACAGTTTAGTTATGGTTTCTATGAGCTACATGTGTTTGAAAATGAAGGAAACGACTTTCCAATTTTTCCTCATGAGGTTTTTCCTTTTATTTGTAATAACTTCTTGAATGAGTTGTGGTGAAATGTTGTTAATTGCAAGATGTCGAGTAATTATAGTTCGATTAAATTACCTCAAAATGACATGATGATCTCTAAGAGAAAAATGGGGAATTACATGTATCAAAGTCTTGAACAGGAATGGACTATTACAGCCGTGGATGTAATAGTTTCAGCTTTAGTAGTGAGTGTCTGGTGTAATTTTGAACAGATTCAAGTATTAATGGGTACAAAACTCTATTGATCTGACTGGTAACTTAAATTAAATTATTGATATTATCTTCTGAAAAATATGGACCACTTTTTCTTAAATTCTCTAAAACAGAGAGACACTTAGGGTCATTTTTTCTCATAACAAAGGCGAGTCTTTGAAAGAAAATGAACAACAGCTTTAATAAGACAGCTTATACAAAATGAAGCTTCTTATAGCGCCGCGCATTCATCATAATAAAAGTTATTTTTAGAGATTTATTAGGTGTCAGAAAGCGCCGCTGTACTTGACCTGAAACTCACCTGTGTTTGTGACAAAGTTAAGCTATTTAGTTGTCAATGTCAGAGGGTTGTACATCATTCAGGTGTTACAAGGTCTCTACTCAGAAGTTGACATAATAAAAGCCTGTCAAATAAGGACACCGTACAGCACATTGAATAGTCTCAGCACAACAGCACTTTTTGGAAAGAGATAAAAAATACCACAACGTGTTTTACCACTTTCTCATAAATTCATGAAAGGATGGATGGCACAGAGGTGGAAAATCTGACTTACACTTTAAGCACGATCACTGTTACAACTAGTATGGCGGCAAGTGAAGCTTTTCTAACAGGGTTTCAACACTATGAAAGTTATCGGTTTACCACATCTGATCCTCTTTTCTTTTATATGTTAAAATGTACCTTTTAAAACCTACGCTTTTTACCGTGCAAGTTATGTTTTACAACCAGCTGTTATTGTGTGATTTTAAAATGTTATTGTTTAATTTCTTTTTCTTGATTAAAGATGAAGTTTTCGTTCATTGCTGGATAGAAGAGTTGAAGACAGGAACAGGAATCGAGGACATGACATGCACTAAATGGCTGACAGTCCGGGTCGACTACAGGACAAACTCTGTCAGCTCAACTTATCATTATCTTGATTTAAAATATAGGCGTAATTTTTTTTATAAGCACCAGTATTTAATATTAATTTTTTTAGGTTTTTTTTTCTTTTTCGTTTGTAATGTTATGACGCACTTATACTTACTATGATAAGTATGAAAACAGTTATCAGAATCAGAATCACTTTAATAATCCCAAGGGGGAAATTGCTTTTGTCACAGTACTCCAGTAAAAGAAGAGATAAAAAATAGATAAGTAAAAATAAGTAAAAATATAGAGATAAATAGATTAAATAAGTAAAAATATAGAGATAATACACAAGTATTTACACTCTATACAACGCAAATAGTAAAATTGTATGCATGGTAAAAATAATAGTACGTCACGACAAATAATAATAATTGTAATTTTTCCTTTGTCCAAAGACAGTTAGTAACGCAAAGTTAGTTTCTCCCTGTTCATTTAAGTCAAATGCAGATTTGCTCAAAGAGGCAGCACTGCATTATCTCATGGCAACACTGTAACTTGAATACAACTGATATTCATATCAAACTGCTGATTAACGGAAAGGTTGCAAAATTCTTTAAAATGTCCAGATTTTACAAGCATTTGCACAATTAATTAGTTGTGATAAAAAACGTGCAGTTAATGGAACGAATCATAAAAAAATCACTGTAATGTCTTCTAAATGACACATAAAAATTAAAGACTAAAATACTACACATGAATAGAGAGTGCTCCTGATGAATAAGAGTTGATATTTCCACTTTATGTCACCATAAATTGGGCGACTGCTCTTCACTCCAGCTGGTTCAAAGACTCAGTCCAACGTGGTCAGAGCTTTCTCAGTTACATAACTACTTTAGCCTTTTTTTGTATCCATGCACTGCTCTAGTTAAGGCAAGTAGCTCTTTCCCAAAATTTACATGAATATGGAGATATAAATATCAAAACAACAACAAGCGTGGAAACATGATGAAGGGAGTCCTTAGTCAAAGTGTAACCCTGTATCTCCTCCTGGGGGGTCAATTAGGCTAATAAGAGGATGACTCAGGAATATGATTAGCTAAAGAGACACAGATAGGAAAAGCTGCATGTGATAAGACTGTGACCCCATCTGAGGTCACAGCAGCACTTTGACTACGGTGATATGAGTAGTGCATGTCTTGTTCTTGTATATTAGACAAAACTAGCCACGATTACTATTAAAAAACAAATAAATAACAGGAAAAGTGAAAACCTGGAGGGAAGTTTCTCATATTATGAAATTCAAGTTGTGTCTGTGTGAGCGTCTGTAAATCTCCTCTGATCGTAGTAATCTTTTTCCAGACAACATGACGCTTTAGAGATTTTCAGAATCAGTGTTTTCAGGGGCTGAAAAAGGATCAGGAAATGGTTCAGTTTGGTTTTAGAGAGGTGATGATAACAGTTTAAGCCTCTCACACAGCTGGAGCCATGCCAGTGTGACTGCATTATGGGGGTAAATGATCCACACTGTGCGATACGTTTGGAGTTGAGGAAACACTTTTCCCTATCAGGGTGCCATTGAGCCCATTGACTCCTAATTAACCAGCTTTGCTTTCAAACAAGATGGTAATCCAGTCGTAATTAGGGATACTATGTCACACACGTTGCAGCTCGGGCAGCAATCTGCCTACAGCTGAGGAGGAGAAAGAAAGGAATGAAAAGTCTTAAAGTAAACAAATGAACAAGGCCACAGGAGGAGGGGGAGAGAGAGTGAGAGATGTGGTCACTGCATTATACTAAGTAGCATTCAGGCACACAGAGTAATGAGGACACTGGAGAGACGAGGCACAAACACACATGCTGAGAGGAGAGTAATGGCAGAAATGTTTAATGAAAGGTGTACAGAAGGAAAAGGAGAGGAGAGGATCGTGTTTCATGCTTTTGCATTTTATTTATTAGCAACAACACAAAGGAAGAGGAGAAGAAGGAGAAGGAGGAGGAAGGGTGATGGTTTTCCACATGGTTAGCTCGATGGTGACTCCTCCAGCAGTGCAGTGGAGGCCCTGTATGTTACACTGAAAGCACATGAAGTTGGAGGCGAAGAAACAGAGATGGTGCCATGACATCATCCCTACGCATTCAACTTTACAAAGTGAGGAAGAGGAAGGACACAGCTTTAGCTCGAGCCACTGGACTTCACACGCGCATGCAGAGTTGTTGCCTTACATCCTGTGTATGTGTGTGTGTGTGTGCGTGCGCGTGCATGTGTGTGTCGACCACAGGAGGTTTGAGATGATTCCAACATGGTGCAGACTGGCTGCAGTGGCTTCAAATGAATATAATGTCATTTTCTAGGAGAGTAAGCGCGCGCACCGTAGTATCATTTTTGACGAGATGTGGGAGGAAACAAGCTCGGCTCCCCTTCTTTCATTTTTTCCTCCCCAACCTGCATCATCATCATCATCATCACCATCACCATCATCATCATCATCCGCACCAAGATTCATACTCACCACATACGCTTCCTGGGTGGAAGACAATGTTCTTTGTTGGAGGCGGTCACCCCCAGAGCCAGCTGCATTACAGTTATGTATTTCTGATAATTCACCATGGTACTGTCCACCGCTACTAAAAATCCAACCCAAAGAAAAGCACAGGTGACCATATATTTCTTTATTCCCTGGCATCCGCCTCCGCTGCGTCTTCCATGCTCAGCATCACAACGCCATTTCCAGCGCTGAAGGACTGACAGTGAAAACACTCCCCAAGGAGCTGCTGAGCGAAAGGTGCCGTACCGCTGCGACCCATGTCTGCAATGACACTCTGACCGTGTTTTAGCGCGCGCGACAGCACCTCGGATCCATCCGATTTGTAGCCTTTTTTCTGTGACAATTTGTGTCTTTAATTTTTTTTTTGGAATACGGTCAGGATTTGGGCATGATCTCCTTCCTCCTGCCTCCTCCTCCCTTCTCTCCGGGGCTGGAAACACTCTCTTTAAAAACGCTGCAGAGTCCAGGCGTCCGTGTGTGTGAGGTAGGGGAGAGAGTGTGTGTACAGTGTAGTCAGAGGGGAGCGACTGTGCAGGAGGGGAGGAGGGAGAGGAGAGGAGGAAAAAGGAGGAGGAGGAGGCAGGCGAGGGACTGATTCATTTGGAGGTGCTCAGTTGTAGCATCTGTTTCGGGAAGTCCACAGTTTGCCTGTAATCCTACTTGTTAACGTCTGCTTATTTACAAAGTCGAAGTCTGAGTGTTACGCAACGCTTCCTGGAAAAAGGTAATGAGCAGGGGCGCAACTAAGACCCCGACTCCTCTTAAAGGGGGGTATTTATGTTCTCTTCCTGTTCCAAATATGGACTTCTTCCATGCAGAACATAAAGAAGTAGTGCGTAATTTGTTATTCCCAAGGGTCCTGGAAAACAATTGGCACTGTTTCAAAAGGTAAGGGTTCAGTCATAGACTGTGTGGACAACTTGGTTCCGCCTTCCGCCAGTATACGGATTTGAAGCCAAACAGCCATCGGTATTTCCGCAATTTTTCTCCATTTCCTGAAACCAACATTGCGCAGTAGTGTTGTACACATTCAGTGGGAGAGTCGCTGTGGTGACACTCGGCTCAAATAGCGTATCCCCACGTGAGCTATGCAATCTTCGTACGCCCTTAAGGTCCTTTCACACCGGGAGCGTTTTTATGGTGCGATTATTTCGGACGTCAATATTTTTTTTCGAACTCGTATCCTGTCACTACAAGCGTTCACATCAGCGCCATTTTTTCCCGTCCTGTGATATTGCAGCTTTTTTTTTTGGCATCACGATCGATTTTTCCAAAGTTTCGCATACTGTGTGTCCACTTCTGACCAATCAGATTGCATCTTGTTGCGACGTCAGATTCACCGGTATATCCAACATGGCCGACCAGCTGATTGTTTACGTGTCGAAGAACAGAGTGCTTTTTGATAAAAAAGACAAACATTACAAAGATAACGACCTGAAGGACGACTTGTGGAGAGTCATAGCGTCGGATTTCTCATATGACGATTGTTTGTGTGCTTTAACAGTTTGTTAAACATCTCTGTTTTAAGTTTCATCTGTGCTAAGTAACTTTAGCTCGTAAGCTAACCTGTTCAGATACAACATACTATATGTATTTTCACTGTCTCAAACTCAATCTCAGCGTTGCTGTCACAGCACCATTAGGTCTCGGTTTTTACCTTACGTTTATGGATTATAGTTTCATGTGCTTATCTGGTACTGGCCCCCGACTCTCGGTCTGATTGCATTTCCATGAAGAAATGATCATAAATATTCTTCCTTGAGCTGCGTCACCCCGCAGCAGTCCATAATGGACTGGCCCGAGGTCTCGCTACAAACAAGCGGCTGCTGGAAGAGAGTAGGTGAGTTGTATTTAGTCTCTTTGCTGAAGAAATTAGGCAAAGTTAACAAGATGTTCGGTGGCTAGTGCTGTGGCTGGGACCCTATATGTACTGTTGATGAAGTTAGGTGCTGTTCTGAGCATTATTCGTGGCTATAGAGTGGAGTTTTTGTTGAGGTTTGTTTATGGCTCCTCAGACTATTGTGTATTGCTATCCTGCGGTCGTTACTAAAGTTGGTATAACTAGAGAAGCAAGCGGTTGGCAACATTCATATCTGAAGGGGTTGTCTAACTCGGTGTTACGATGTGTTTGACCCTAAATCAATTATACACTGGAATATCCCTTTAAAGCAAGTGCACATAACACTTGATTGGTCTGATGCATTAATCAACATCATCACCCAGCACCATACACAGCAGCACCACAGTGAACAACAGTAAAATAAATCAATGGTTAAACCAATCCTTTTGAAATTTAGCTTTCTTTCCTCTTGTTGAGCTAAATCGACTCAGACAGTAATTTATGTCATGGTACATGGTCCAACATCTGACTCTCACTCTCTTCCTCTTAAAGAAATGAGATTGAAAGATGCAAAGAGTAGGAAAACAAGAAAGACGCAAATAATCTAAGTGGTGAGTATAACAGAAAGGATGTAAATTCATTGGATTAAAACTGGATCAAGTTCCAGCAGGACTCGGCATATGTTAAGCTTTGCATGGAGAATATTTTAGATGGTACAGAAAGTGTACATAATCATTGTTTCCCATATTTGCGATGGTGGCCTGCCAGCATTTATTGTCACTTCAGCAGGCTTTTGTGTACAAGCCTCTAGAGCTACATCCCTCTGAATCAACCAGGGCGCTTAGCCATGAGGCCAAATTTTCATTTCTGGGTGAGTCAAAAAGTGTTTTTGGCGTGATAGGGAGAAATAGCAGTTACACTTTAACAATGGAATTCTACACGACGGGGGAAGTTTTTAGGCGCTAAAAGAGCGTCTCTAAGTCAAGGGAAAGGGCACGGTTTATATAAAAATACTCCCTGAAAACAATCTTAATCTTTTTTCACACAAAGTCAAGCTACACTGTTTCACCCCCCACCACGATCATCAGTATGGACTTTTGTCGCCTCCAGCTGGTGTGGCATGTTTACACATATGTCTAATTTTTGCATATGCATGGGAAACTCTATCCTCTTATCAAGTTTATTACATGCTCCTGGTGCTTTCCTGTGTATTTCAAGTCTGTTTCAACTGAAGTTTGTCAAATTTGATACACAAATTTTGCATTTCAGCTGATTTGAGTTTGAGCACTGCACAAACTCCTTAAACTAGATTTCTTCAGAAGTTCTCTGACACATATTGTAGTTATCACCAGTAGGTGATGTAAATATAAACACAAGGTATTCCATGTGTCTAAGGAGTGACCTCCATCTGCTCACAACGGCCAAAAGGCAAAACTAAAAGCTTGACTTGTGTGGTTAAGGAGCTTCAATTGCATCTTCTGTTATTCCAAAGACCAATAATGAGATTTCAAGCTCATATGGCGCAGAGCCTGTCTGCTCCGTCATCTCCAGACAGTGTTGATGGAAAGTGAAAGTGAATAACAGCATTACCAGATTATTGTTCTGTAAAGCCTTTGTGCTGCTCTTAACTGTACAAGTCTGACGTAGTTAGCTCTGTTGCAAACAAGCGGAGCAGCCAAATATCTTCGATGTCTGCGGTTCTTATTACTTAATGTCTGAGTGAGAACAACTGCTCTCAGGTAGGACTGAACGAGCATTTCGTTTGTCTTTATCCAGCTCTGAAAATGAATGTCAGATGGTTAACTCATAAATCCTCAGAGTGTTGTAACAAACACAAAGCAGAGATATAACTATACTATCTACAGGGCTCATTTGCTTGAATGCTGAATATAACATTTTGAGCAACCATGGAGAAGTTTGGTTAAAGTTACATAAAATTGTAACACATGGTACGTTGACTTCCAGTCTTTACTATTGTTTTGCATTCCCAAATATCTAAAACACTAAGATTATTAAATACTGATGTCTTATAAAATTCTACAATCACTTACTGTATTTTTTGCACTATAAGGCGCACCTGATTATAAGGTGCACCATCAATGAACGCGTCTATTTTCATACATAAGGCGCACGGGATTATAAAGTGCACCGGATTATAAAGCGCATTAAGCCAAACAAAACAGTCCGATAAGTCAAACTTTGTTTAACTCATACAATAACTCCGCAAGGCTACGGTAGCTGCAGTGCTCCAACAAGCCAAAAGGATTTTAAGTGCGCCTTATAGTGCGAAAAATACAGTATTTAAAACACATTCAAGCACAATGGGAAGCTGAAAATGTTTAATGTCTGCTAAATTTAGATGCATGATTTGATTTATTTAATTCCTCCTCTCTCTTGTGCATATCCTGTCTCTCAGGTTGTCCTATCAGTGAAGGCAAAAAGCACCTAAATGATCGTTTTATTGGTTTGACCCATGGACAAGCTCCTGTGAAGAATACTTGGTTTGTGTCAATATTGGCGCCACCTATAGACAATGTTAATCTTGAGTTGATTTTTTTCCTATACTAATGTAAGAAGTGTTTACAGACAAAAACAAACATAGATAGATATAGATATTTTCTGCAAAACTTTGAAGACCAGCTCCTCTGGCAGGGAATAAGTAATCACTCTGACTCCTACCCTCTCGCAGCTGTTTCAAGGATGAAAAACAACTGTACACAAAACATAAATTCTTGTTTACTGATGGTTTCACTCCCTTATGTATATTGTAAAGATACATCAGTACTTCAATCTGTTTCATAACATGTTGAAAAATCCTCACACGAACTTAAACAAACCTTCTTTACTCATTGAATTTCTTTGCTTCTCTCACTGGAGACACCTCATTTAAATTCAATTGAAGATGTTTAAATTGATTTATTATTGACGCAGATATTTGCCAACATTGAATATGGTGTTTAACCTCCCCTCCTGGTAATAACAATATCTTATTTTGTTGCTTTCTTTTCTCACGTGCAGTATTTTACACTTCTCAGAGATCTTGTTTTATATTTGAAAATGATGATTAAATGTGAATAAATAGTTTTATTTGGTTAAACATTGATCAGAAAAACATAAAATAGTGTCTTCAGGTCATTATTAGATTTTTTTTCTCTTTTATTTTATTCATCAGGCAGTCATTAAAACTTTACTTATTATTTTTACGAACAAGAACATGCTCTCAGTTCTGCTGCAGACTCTGTGTATTTTCACGTTCACAGAGGTTCAGCGAACAGCCGCTCTGTGTCAGTGAACTGTTCCCACAGCCACCGTCATCATCAGCAGCAGACAGGGGCCGGCGTGGGTTGTTTTTCAGTCAATAGACTGACACACTGGTGCCGTTCTAAGCTTCAGAGTAAGTCGATTAGTCTAGACTTTGAAGTCTTAAAGCAGAGAGACGACTTCTCACCTGAGAGGAGCAGTGCACTCCTCACTCTCATCAGACCAGACAGACTTAAACACAGAGTATAAACAGCACAGGAGGTCTGAGGAGGCCACAGACTTAACTGTAACTGAAGGTTTTAGATGTGTCTTCTGTGAGCAAGACGATGCTTTATTAGCGGTCATGTGATAAAAGGATTATTTAGTTTGTTAATTAAAAATCAGACTTAAATTAAGCACAAGTTGTGTCCTACTGAAGATTTCCACCGGACGGATAAACACGAACAGCAGGGCTCTGACAGTGTCAGCGTCAGGGGAGCAACTCCTCTGTGGCTGATGTTGCTAAAAATGTATGAACCCATGGCTCCGTGGTGTTCTGTGGATGAAAGTGTCCCCTGCATTGTGTGTGTGTGTGTGTGTGTGTGTGTGTGCTATACAGTGTGCTCGTCTACCGTGCTGACGGTATAAAGCGCTCTCCTCAAAGTGTTGGGTAATCATATAAAGCTGCATCTTGGAATCCTCTGAAGTGTGTGGCTACGCTCAATAAAACATCTGATTAAATAAGAGTTGAAAAATTGATAATGTCTGCTACATATTTTAAAATGGAAAGCCAGGTTTATGTAACTGCGTGTATTTTATTATAAGCCAGAACAATTGCATCAAAGCCGACATTGAGGCGGAGAATGAACATCAGGCCTTTTGAAAAAGTGAAACAGCTCTTTTTGTGGTTGCCAGCTAGTTACTTCTGGGTGACTGGAAGCATAAAAGCCTTCAGGGCATTAAGGGACCTAAATTCATCGAGTGCTCATATGTCCAAATATTCTTTTATGCAGTACCTGCTGGTGAAAATGGCTTCTAACTGTATTTAACAACTGAAATTATGAATAGAGTATTTTTCATAAAAGACACCACAAAGGAGCAGTGAAACAGGGTTTGAAACAGAACATGAGTTTTATATATATATATATTCAAAAATCATTAAGAGCTTCGGCTGTTAAAGAGGAATTGTGAATTGAATGTTCCACAACGTTAAGTAATAAAATGCAGTTATGAAAAATCTAATTTATGATCATTTCTAAGCCTAAAGCTCATATTCTAAATTGAGGGGAAAAAGGCGTGTAATTCAGCAGTTACTGAAGAAAAATACTGACTGTCAGTGGATTGTAGATTTTATAGCTTTTCATTTAAAATCACCTGCTGCTACAGGAAACTATGTGATGAATGAAGTGGAGGGAGTGAACTGCAGTTAATTTGATGGCTGTGCAGCAGATTTGGTTTAAAGTTCTCTGTTAGATCACTCTCAAATGTCACTTTTTCTTTTTTTACAGCAGGACCACAGTGAAGTATATATATATATACAGTTCCCCCCCTCGTGAACCTCAATGGGATAAGCAGCAGAAAATAGATGGATGGATGGATGGATGGATGGATGGATGGATGGATGGATGGATGGAAATATTCATAACCTCCCCCAACTTTCAAAGCTGAAGTTTACATTCACCACATTTTTGAAGGTTTCTCTGAGGTCAATGAAGTGGTTCAAATACTTCTTTATTACCTGAAAATACTTGACAGGTTACACCACATGACAAATAATGTCACAATAAAAGCATGACAGTGTTTACCGGTAATATCTTCTCCAAACAAGTTTCAGAGAGTTGCAGTAAACTTTCCAGAGACAAACCAAAAGCTAAAGTAGTCAATTCTGACAAAATCATCAAATTTACTACATTAGATGACCCACCTTTTTCAAAAGCAGAAGAGCAAGGATTTCACCTATCCCTACTTGCAATATATGATATGATCTCTCAGAAGTATAGACCCTTAGTTTTAGTAAACAGTGGTGTTATTTGGTGGGCAGGGCTTAAGTAAAGTCACCAAGTTGTTTTTGGTTTGCTTTCAACAACAGCAGCTGATAACAATGGTCTGTCTGAATACATAAAGTCATTTTCTCTCCAAGACCAAGAGTGTTAACTGAATAAGTTAACACCTGAGAACAGGAGGGAACCGACTGTCCTGTACCTGCTATCTGATCTAAATCAATGTGACAAAAGTATTACATCAGATAAATGGACTTGTGACGTAAATCTTAAAAGTATTCTCGGTCTGACGGCTTAGAGGCTGGATGACAACCTTAACATGAATTTAACATTACCACAGCATTTGGTTCACAGCAGAAAACAATCATACTGAACTCTACTGACGTAGAGAGTTTGTTTTTGGCTGATGTTCACCAAACCACAGCCAAACTACACGTTTAAGAGGTCAGAGGGCACACTTGCAGCACATACACAGAAATGCATATACATGCACCAACAGGATCTTTAGGGCATGACAATGAGTGAACTGCACACAGGCGCCCCAGCAGTCAGAGGTTAAGAGCCTTGGTCAAGAGCACAAGTGCCTAGAAAGTGAGCTGGCGTCTCTCCAGATACCAGCCCAATTCCCAGACTTTGGTCCACACCATGACTCCTGCCAGTGGCTCTTAGGTTGCCAAGCCAAGCGCCTACTGACTGAGTTGCTGCCACCCAAAATCAAATCCAGTGATAAAAATGTGAAAAATAAATCAGTAATCTTGTTTGAATCATCCGTCAGGAGCAGGTTTCTATTGGTCAACAGTTTCATCAAAAAAGTCCACATCATGAATCCTTATCCAGGACTTTATTATGCCCTCTAAGAATTTATCTTTAACCTCTGAGCCAAATCATCATTATTTCAGATGTTACAAACATTTGTGGGATATTATATTTGGCAGATGTGTCTAGAGATCAATGACCTTTGACCTTTCAACTTTCAACTACTTATTCTTATCAGTTCAAGTAGACATTCATGACAAATCTGCGACATTCCCAGACTTGACGGATCTTTAAAATAAGTGTTATCAGAGATCGAATCTAAATTTAAAGGCACGGTTGACGATTGGAGAGATTGGTAATTACTATGAACCTCGTTTATTTGGCGATCATGGTCCTATAGTGCGATCTTCACAAAATGAAGTGAAAAAAGAAAGGAAAAAAATCTGTTCACCCTTGCAGCTGCAGAGCTGAAAATACATTGACCAATGGGAGCCATCCGTCCCGTACAGCTTCTATTGGTCCTGCTCTGCCTCTCCATCCAATCACCTCGCTGTATTCGACACACCCCTCTCCCGTGTTTTTGACTCATCCCTTCCCACTCTTCCCTATTTGAAGCTAGTGTAGGATCTTCTGCCGGCCGACTTCTTGCTCTGTCAGAGGGGGATGTGTCGTGGGGAGGGCGATACCGGTTTGAGGGGGAGTTATCGTGGAGCACAGAGGGGAGAGGTTTGTGTGGGGGGTGGGGGGGACGCTTTTTTCAAATCTGCCTCAACGGCTCAGATTTTTTCAACTGAAGATTAGATCGTCAACCATGCCTTTAGCATGTCTCAAAACCAATCTAAAAAAGACAATTAAGTTAATCATAGATGTGTTTTAGATTCACTTTACTCACATACACAGCATCTACATGTGGTCTTGGCTGCACGTTGTCAGTAATGTTGCTGCTTCCTGTTGGTGTCCTCTTAAATCCAGTCAACACATATCTAATACAGCACTAATGGAATCATCACCGCAGAGCCGCGCTCCAACAAACCCACCAGCAACGCACCCTGTCACCTCCCATTGACGAGAGCGCCACTCACCGGGCTCTCATGATTAATCAGACACCACACGTCACCATTATCAGGCATGTAAGACACAGCAGTCATCACAGGATGGGGAAACACGGACACACACACACACACACACACACACACACACACACACACACACACACAGATTATAAAGCATGCATGGGAACCAGTAGCAGTGTGTCAGTGGGGAAGCATTGACACAGCAGTGGGTCAGTGGATGTGCTGCTGCAGTCTAAAGCCCACTGCATACCCATGCACACTCCACTGCAGCACTTTGATTGCACATTGGCATTCCCCACTCTGCATCTCCACACTGATGCCTCAGAGCAGCCTGCCCCATCATTACCCTTCTCACATGAGGACCCACTGCTGACATCTTCTATTGCACACCTCACAGAAGAGACTCACAAACACGGCAATAACACATTAAAGCACTTTCTTCCTTTCTTTCTTTTTTTTTAACCCAGCAAGTAAATAGGACAGACGCGGGTTGCCCTTCTTTCTTGTGTCCTTACACTCTCTTGTCCACTGTATACTGTACAGAAAAAATATCAAAGCTGGTTTGTAGGACTCAGAGGCTGCTCCCAAAGGAGGCAAACCTGGACGGACGCCCTGAGAAGCACTACCGGTGTAACATTGTGATTTATTACTTTTGCTCCAAACAAGGAGGAGAAGTTCACAGAGAAAGTCCTCTTCACATGAATGCACTGCACCAAGAAGAACAAGAGTAATGAAACACGCACGCTCGCTCGCACACACGGAGTCACACCTCAGCGCTGTCGCAGTGCTTTCTCTCTATGTGCTGCGAGGTGAGTCATCAGCACGGAGAAGCATAACCTCGCAGCTCCAGCTAATCTCCCCTCTACTCCTCCTCCTCCTCCTCCCCCTTCTCAACCTGCCAGCATCTCATTTTCTCCACTTATGGATGAAGGCACTGTGACTTACATCATCGCTGTAGCCACATGCATGCATATAAGGCCACAGATCCAAACCCACGGCATCATCTTATACCTATCCTCTGTTGGAAAGAAGGAAAAATCCATAAAAAAGGCAGTTATTAAATCATAAATCCTGCATCAACATGCTCTCAAGGTGCATAAATCAGCAGAAACAACTACTTAAGAAGTTTTACAAGATGTTAAAAATAAAACACTCCCGTGAAAACAGCATGGCAGCCAGCGGCCCTCAAAATAGATTCACGTTCACATCAGTTTTGCGCCGCTCGCTCTGTGATACATGAGTTCTTTGTGCCCTTTAAGACAGAAGCCCTGGGATGTGATTAAACACAGCATGTTTGCTCTCAGTCAGCAGGATGCCGACCAGAGGCGGACGCGAAAAAGCAAAACTAATAAACACAGTGTCTCCTCGAACTGCATGGCTGACAATCAATCTGCTCCTCTGCTGTGGATCAGAGAAAATGTGCAGACGAAAAAGGTTAAAAAACACACACACACACTTGGGACACCGTGAAGGGAGCGAGGAAGGTATTCTCAGGTTGTTTCCACATTTTTAACAAGCAGACGCGCTTCACTCTGTCACACAGGGACAGATTCTGAAGCCAAGAATTCAGGACTTGGGGCGGTTTCTGTCCTACTTCTCCTGAGAGTGAATAAACAAAAGATTACGCCATTTTTTATCTAGAAACACATCCAGTCAACTTTGCCAGGCACTCACTCACTTATCCTGACATAAACAGGTAAAAATCAGGAATAAAACAACATTACAAACATACAACTGATATGTGAGACATCAGGCACACTGCATCATTATAAATATATATCATTATATTTGAGAACCTGAATGAAATTTCAGGCGGACTTACATTTCTCTGTTATCGTGCTGCATCTCCTCGAGTAGCTCTTTGTCCATTCTGCCTGTGTGTGCTGTATTATGTGTTGGTCTGTTTCTGTCAGCCCTTGTGCATGTGTATGTGTGTGTGTGTGTTTATATGTGTTTATGTGTGTGTCAATGCCCAGGGCCACACCACCGGGGTAGCTGTCTCCACGCTGACTTAGCTGTCATACATTAAAGAGGCCTCCTTAACGGTCTGGGGAGCATGTCAGCTTGTCTGTCTCGTCACTTCGGGCATCACATCCAAGTAACCTCCCCGGCAAACACACGCACTATACTGCTCATACATACAAACACACATTATAAATAATACACACACAGATATGTACACACACACACTGTCCTGTTGTTGTGTTAGCTGAGCTGGAGAAACTCTCCAAGGAGTCCACATGCACATATATCCAGAGAGTCTCTGTCAGTCAGTCATGATGCATTCACAGGCCTGACATGCGCTGACAAAAGCTCCCTCGCTCTGCTGTGCTTCGTTCATCCTTCTCTAAATATAAAAGAATAGCTCAGCAGATGTCATTTTATACCGCTCTTTTTTTTAAGTCTCCTTTATGTAAGTAGTTTAGTTTAACCATTTATACATTACAGTGCTGTTATAGCTTTTACTTGTGGGCATTTTCTGCCAAGTTCATGAAATGCCAGATGGAGAGATTAAAAAAAAAACTATGGAGAAGTGTCACTAAAAGGCAGAAGAACTGGTTTTTTTTTTTACTGTTCTGCCTTGTAAGTACACTTTTTCTACACTTTATTTTACTGTTCTGCCTTTTAAGGACATTTTTTCTACACTTTATTTTACTGTTCTGCCTTTTACTGTTCAAATGTACATTAGAAAATGATATTTTACCTTTATTGTTGATTATTTAAAATACGTCACCCTCTTTAGAGGTTCCCTTCCTGTTAAGTACTCAATTCTCATTGATCAAAACCTCATAACAATGGTGATTTATTCTCAGCAGCAAAAGGGATGCCATGGTTAACCTACTCACACTCGTTACATCAAATCAGTCGAGTGGAAGGATGTACTTTACCTCTGCCTGTCAACACTGTGGCAAAAACATTATTTTCCTTTACCATGCTCATTGATAGGCTGAGAGAAAAGATATTTTCAGTCATGTCTAAGCAGGTGAGTGCATTTCTAAGTTGCTGATCTCATGTATGTCTCGTTTTTTGTCTCATTTATGAGCATCAACTGTAAAGCTCCATGAAGAGGAAGATAAAATAAGATGTTCCTTTAATAGTCCCACAGGGAGAAATTCCAAAATTACAGCAGCATTGAATAGATAAAAAAAGAGAAAAATTTAAAGAAACTGAATTAAAACAAGATATGTGCATGTGTCATATTTACAAGAGAGCTGAATTAGTCAACCTAAATACGCAGTGGGTTACGCAGAAGTCCTCCGTAACTTCACCTTCAGCTGAAAGCAAAATCATCTTTTAACTCTACCGCCAATTTAAAAGTTCAGTTTAATGTTAGTGTTGTGTGTTTCAGTGTAAAAGCAACTAAACAGAAATGTTTATTCACAGCCCTTTACTGGAATCTCTGTCTTTCTACAACACATAATACCAACTGATTTTCAAACAAGGACATTTTGTAAAATGGGCAAAAATGAACGCAGTGACAGCTACATTATGCAAATATGAGACTAAAAAGACACCAGTACGTCACCAACAGCAGCAGAGTCCACACACACACACACACCACAGTGCAGATATCAGGTAGAGATACAAGATCCAACAAACACATTAGCATCCACCATTCAGACATGCAGCCTCATACAAATGAACAACATTTGTTTGTTTTAAAAGAACAACAGGCCACAACAGTCCTCTATTGTCTACTGTCAACAAACTCAAGCCATTGTGTCAAAATATCAGGTCACTTAGTATCCCATGCATCAAATTATCTGAATTCATCTCATTCATTTCTTGCCTATCTTTGTGTATCAAACATACTCGAATCAATCAGAAAATAGCAAACTAGAGAAAGACAGATGGCTATTTGCAGATTAATTATTGCAGATTCATCAGATGCTGTTGCAATATTCCTTGAAAGTGGCAGGAGCTAATGATATAAGAGGCGACAATTTGCCTCGGAGCGAGCGTCAGGGGAATAATTTGCAACCTCTTTTTAAAGCTGTGATCCATGCATCAAAAACATGTGTCAGGACTTTTTAAAAGGACCAAGATGAGTTTAGGGATGTAAATGAAAGTACATTTAAGCTCTCCAGTGTCTCCTCTTTTTAGATGCCAAGAAGGCTCAGACTTAACCTCATCACAGAGATTTAGTCTATCTAATGTGTTTTGGAAACAACTTAATAGAGCGGTAAGTAATCCATCAGAAATTAAAGCACTCGAGATGTTACGTAACGTCCTTGATTTGTGAGGTGGCTCTCACCTGGTGTCAAACACAGGGTCGGTGTACATGGGAAGGGGGCACAGAGGCTGCTCTCTTGGACTGTTTGGAGGCGCAGGGGGACCTCCTTTGCAGCCATGTCGTGAGGCATCATCTGTAGGAATAGATTCATCTATTAGGCTCCTTACAGCTGTTAGTTTAGGCTACACTTCTGTCTGAGATATACAGTGCATTGAAAAAGTATTCATACCCCTTGAACTTTTTCCCATTTTGTCACTCTACAACCAAAACCCAATACTTTGTAGAGCCACCTTTAGCTGCAAATACAGCTGCAAGTCTTTTTCAGGTTTGTCTCTACAAGCTTTGCACATCTAGAGACTGAAATTTTTGTCCATTCCTCTTTGCAAAATAGCTCAAGCTCAGCCAGATTGGATGGAGAGCAACTATGAAAAGCAATTTTCAAGTCATGCCACAGATGCTCAATGGGATTTAGGTCTTTGACTTTGACTTGGCAATTCTAACACATGACTATTGTTTGATCTAAACCTTTTCATTGTAGCTCTGGCTGTATGTTTAGGGTCATTGTCTTGCTGGAAGGTGAATCTCTTTCCCAGTCTCAAGTCTTTTGTAGCCTCCAACAGATTTTCTTCCAGGATTGCCCTGTATTTACCTCCATCCATCCATCCAGAGTGACGAAATGTGAAAAAGTTCAAGGGGTATGACTACTTTTTCAAGGCACTGTACATACTGAGCTGGACATGGGTGTAATTCAGAGCCGGCCCAAGGCATAAGCGAACTAAGCACCTTCTTGGGGCTCCGCAGTCAGTAGGGGGCCCCCAAAAGCAATCAAAATATGAAAAAATGATCAAATATATATTATTGTAAAAATAAATTAAAATAAGTAAAAACATTTTAGTGCTGCAGCTGATGTAGGCCTATGATTCTTACTGTCAATATGTCAGAGCTCTGCTACCTTTATGTGCCTTCTGCTGTTAAATGTGCACTGAGCATCCAAAGCACAGGTAGTTTTGGGGCAAAACAATGTCACAAAAAAGGACATATCCTTCAGGAGCAGAGAAAAGAAAGAGAATACCAAGATAAAGGTATGTTTGCATGACATGGAATATTAATCAAAGAGATTTGTGAAGGTGTGTGAATGATAAACAATCAATATTATTGGTAGAAATAGAGGGCCCTAAAACCAAATTTTGCTTAGGGCCCCATTGAGGCTTGGGCCGGCTCTGGTGTAATTCTCAAGACTGCTCAGTTTTATGTAAATGTAAAGCATATTGACTAGTGCAGCAAAGAGACTGCAGCCACGTTGAGGCCATATGTTATCAGAGGCTAGTTAGGAACGCTTGCTGCTCAGTAATCCCCTCAGCCAACCAGATTTAAGAAGCTATTTTTGCGAGCTCTTAGTCTGTGCAACTGGCTTACTGCAAAGTAGTTTTTCCCCCTTAAAATTGTTCATTTTCCCTCCATTTTAAGAAAGAAAAAACAGCAACATGAGTGAAAGTATAACACAAACACTAACTAGTTCAGCTGTGTCCCTTTGTGTCTGTACCTCCATCAAGCAGGAAACAGGTGAGCAGGTGTGGACACACTTCCTCCAAAACAGAGCAAAACGAGCCGAACGCAGAAGGCCCCTTCGTGGACAGATGGTCCAAGAATATCTCAGTCCGTTTCTTCCTGGACTCGTGACCCAGTATCTCCTTGTACTCCCCAAGTGAGAAAACCTTGTCGTACACCAAGTAAGGCAGCACCGTGTTGACGTCCAGCTCACTGAGGATCTTCTGCCGGTGCTGTCTGAGGATCTTTGCCGCCCATTTCTTCTTCTTCTTGGTGCATGGCCTCCTGCCGCCGCCTGGCCTCTGCCTCTGCTTCTTCACGAACCACTTCCTGGTGCCGCTGCCGAACATCTTCGCATTGAGGAGACCCACCAAAAGCTCTTCCACGGCCTTGTCAACGCAGGTCCCAAAGGAGGTGAGGTGCATATTTTATGCCAGGGCAGCGACCATGCCACATTATTTCCTCAGGCCCTGGTTTTGTTGTTGTCGTCTGAGTCGTTTATCAGGGGCAGGAGGAGACAATCTGGACCGTGGCTGATTTCGAGCTAGGTACTTAGCGACGTTAAGAAGATTAACAGACTCTTAAGTACACCAATGCACACAGCTCATCACTGTGTAGACATCCTCAATACATTTCAATGATTGTACCTCTCTAATGTTGGAGGAGATGTCGTTTAAGCAGCTTACATTGTCAATTATCATTTACATCTTTTATTTAAAAACAGGCCAAATAAGTTTAAATTTTCATCTTGGTTTTGATTGAAATTGTCTAAAACTAGGTCAGACTGTAGTTTTTTGAGGTGGTGGAATTGACTGAGCCAAAATCAGTGAGCAAAATAGAGATGGGCACGGCAGTTCTTTTAGATGTACTGAATCACTAGAATCAGTTCACTAAAAAGATTCGTTCAAAAGATTTGTTCACCGAATCACCAAATCATTTAGTGCTCAGTAGGAGAAGCTTGCGACTCCGACCTCCTGAACTGATACACAGCTGAACGTTCAGGATTCAGTTCAATTCATAGCTTCTGGGACCGGGAGACAAGAGTGTTTGGCTGTGTTGCTTTGGCAAACAGGTTTGTAAAAATGAACTTTTTTATAAGTCATGATATTTGATTAAGTGTGCTGTCTTGTGATATGCTATTTACCAGGTCTGCTCGGTGAATTGGGCTCAGTGAGTGATTCGTTCACTTAACGTTTAGAAGAACATGCATTGTTCCTTAGCTAACTGCTGCAAAGATATAATGCTGCAGGTTTAATGCACTACTTGTTACATGTTGTGTCCTATTGAATGCTAGTTGTTGTGGCGACAATTAAGCAGTAAAAAAAAAAGAAAGTTAGTTTTGCCCGAAAAAATGATTCCAGAGAGTGCAGTTCAATGCGTGATTTGTTTACCAAGTGATTCAGGCATCTGTGCATGCAGTCCCCTTTTCCCTGGCTGCTTGCTTGGCAATGCTGCGTGCCATACCAGCTGTGCCGCTGACAGCTCAACTGAAGTGAGAAACGAACAAATCACTTGAGGAAGTGATTCTGCTCAGTACGTTGCTTAAAAGATTTGGTTCTTTTGAACGAATCGTTCACAAACGACACAACACTAGAGCAAAAGAATCAAGCATCAGAGTCCACTAAATTATTTTGGAAACACTGTTTTTTTTTTTTTTTTTTTTAATCTTTTTTTATTGATTTTTTTGGGCAACAATACATGTAAACAATCAGTAGTACCTTGTGAAAAAGAGTGAGTGGAGTGTGAAATGAGATGAAAAGTGCCTATAGTAAGCCCCCTCTATATTTATCAGTGATGGACAGATCAAATATGCCAAGTAGCAGACATAAAGAATTATTAGTTATATTAGTAGATAGAATCTTAATTTCCTGTCCAATGACTTGCCAGAGCTGTTATCTTTTCCAACAATACCACAATGTGTGAGGCTACCAGTTTTTATTTTACACTTGGGGCACAGTGGAGATGAATTAGGGTTAAATTTATGAAGTTGAGAAGGAGAAATATGAGCCCTGTGTAGGAGCTTCAGTTGCATGGCCCTCACTCAGTTACAAACACTCAGTGTTTTTGCGCTCTCTCATGCATAACTCCAGCTATCATCCATTATACTAACATTAAGTTCTTTTTCCCATAGTCCTTTCAGAAAACAGGTGTTTGTGACGTTGGAAACACTGTTTTAAAGCAGCTCACCTCCACCTGGAGAAACCCTGCAGCCCACTGATCTTCCCTCCCGCAGCTCACCTTGCAGGTTATTGCTGTGAATGTGACACCTGATTAAATCAAGATTAAAACATTTTGTCATGGGCATTGACCCGTTACATTGAGATGTCAGGCTTGCATTGATGAGAAGCATTAACATATAATAGAAAGAAACAAGGGCGTTTAAAGGACAGCTTAATGCATTGTAGGGAAATCTATTAAAAAGCAATAATGCAGCACAATCCAGCGTGACCTTGGATAACATTTTATCCAGCTGCTGTGTTAAAAAATACACAATGGTGATTTAGTCTTTACCAGAAGAGGGTGCCATTTAGTCAGTGGGAATCCCATATTGTAAATCATAGTGGGGTAGTTAGATAATCCTATTAACAGACCAGTAAAACCAGTCTGCCTCGGTCAGAGAGACAGATCAGGGTCACCTTATGGGATTTAAAAAAACACCTAAGCAGAGCAGCGTGAACAACAGAGTGAGAAAAACAAAAAAAGAGCTGCTGTAATGTTATAGAAAAGAAATTCACCTGACAGCAGATCTGAAATAAGGCATAACCAAAGCAAAATGTTTTCTGAAAAGAAAACATCTCTGTGATTCCCCCAGAAAACAGGGAGTTAATGGCTGAGGTTTGAGGGTTACAGGAGACATCAGGCTGAACACATTATATGAAAAAGGACAAATCAATATACAGGAGGGTAAAAAAGAGAAAAAGAAGCAACCAACACTCAGCTATTATGGTGTGAAACAGCCACAATTCCTACAGCTTCAATGGCTCTATAAAAGCAGCCAGTGTAAAAAGGTAGTCTTACAGCCTGTTGTTAAACTACTGCATGAAAGGGACAACACAACAGGGGTCATTTAAGGAAATCGCACACACGATTCAGACTCAAATAAATCAGATTAAAAATAGTTACATCCACCATGACTCTGTTAAACACCATAAATCATGAAAATACCAGCTGAACGTCCTGCACCTGTAACCAAAGCCAGCTGAAAACACACAAACGTATTTCTGCTGTAGAAATGATTAAAAAAAAAAACGTTGGGATAGCTTTTAAAAAAGCTTGTACATGTCCTTCTTTGAACCTAAAGGCTGAGAAGTTTCCTTGAAATTTCTGCCCGGTCCAAGGAGTTTGGAAGGCGAAATAAATCACAAAAATTTCCAATCATATTTCAGTATCTTTCGTCATCTCAATGTCTTCTTTTTTACTTCATAATGAGGTTCAATGCGAGCAGGATATCCAAAAGATATCTCCTGCATATTTAATGAGCAAATACATGTGTCTATTGATCTTGGACTGCATAGAAGCAAACAGCTTGTGTTGACAGCACTCACAGTAACAGACAAAAAGAGCAGACATGCAGGTTATCAGAGAATAACAACCCAAATAAATCCCAGAACTTCCAGATGATAACTACCATGAATAAGAAGAAACAAACTTCCTTTACAAATGGTATTCTTTGGGTTGAGGGGCTGTCTGGCTTATCACTCAACCATTTAATCACATTTGTGAGTTTGAGGCAATTCAGGTGTTATTTTTGTCCAGAAGCTAAACGCAACAGAAGGAGCAAACAAACCTCTTCTGTTCAAAACCCTGACAGGTCCTTACACAACACAAAGGGCAAGTACACAAACATGACATTTAAAGCTGATGTAATATCTATGAGGCAGGCTTGGCACTTGATTGGAGGGGCACTTCTTGCTACAGTGTCACATAACATTATTTATTATTTCATCAGATTAGATTAGATAGACTTTATTGATCCATTTGGGAAGGTTTTCTCAAGGAAATTAGAATTCCAGCAGCACAAGTATGTAGAGAAAAAAAACTGAATGATCAAATTGAATGAGAAATGAAAATGCAATATGCATGAAGAATAAAGATATAATAAAACTTCAGATGAATTGAGTATTTGCATATAAAAGTAAGATATAAAGCTATGGACATTTCAGTCCGTTGCTCCAGGGCTGTGAGGTAACATGTTGGCTACTCTTATTTTACTGAACATAGAGTTAACTCTTTGGTTGTGAAAAATAGCTTCAATTTAGATGTATAGATGCAAAATAACAACAATCATGAATGAAATCTTTGGAGCACTTTAAAAAAATGATATATCCTTTTGTTCATTGTTAATCTCCCTGGCAGACAGATACAGGGTTAAATCATGTATGGAGTGAAGTTTCTCAAGTTATGCTTAAATCTAAGTGTCAACAAAACTCATTTTTATCAGGCAAAGATGAGAAGAACACATCAAATCAGTGGACAACAAGCATAATTTATTGCAAGACATAAAAGCATGTCAAAAGCAAATAAGCTAATTCTGTCAAGTTTTTATTAAATGTTTAAGTAATGTAGGATCCCTCTTGGATTGGCCCATGGCTCGGTCTGTAACTTTTTTACTCCTCACTCAATAACTGTATGATTAATTGCCTGACCAACATTCAAATTTAATTTGGTCATTCAAGGCAACTCAAGTGTAAATCTTATCCAAAAGCTAGAAGAAACAGAAGGAGCTAAGAGCAGAATTTTTAAACATCTTCTGCACAAATCCCCAAAGGTCCTTACACAACTCAGAGACCAAGAACACATAATATCACTTCACAAAGCTGCTGTCATATCTATGAGCCCAGACTGGCACTTGAAATTGTTAAAAGGGTTTAAGGGCATTTTTTTTTTTTTTTTGCCAATATATTCAGTGACAAATCAGTTGTTAAACATTCATGTGTTTGTTTCAGATTGTAAACACAAAACAAGACTTTCACATTGTTCATCATAAGAGCAGCGATCTTAAGTTATATCTCTGTTCAATAACAAAAAAGATGACCTCACATTGATTTTGACTTAAATACCATATTTCATCATATTCTGATGGAAATAAGTGTGACAATAGTTATCATTTAATAATAAGAATAACAGGTCATCTACTGGCATGAGCACATTTTATCACTAGACCTAGCACTAAATCCAAACTACTTCAGCTACATGTAGGGGTGTCCCGATACAACTTTTTGACTTCCGATACAATACTGATACTGTAGCCTTCAATTTTGACCCATACTGATATTGATCCGATATTGGCAATAAATTGTGTGCAACACGTTTTTCACTCAGCTGCAATATCTTTTTCGGACTTAAACAAAAAAACTGCGACAAGGCTAACATCACTTTACTCCTTGCTACTTTGTTAGTACCTTAGTACACACTGTTGTTTTTGATTTTGTGGGCTCAGTTTGCTGGATCAGGGCGCTGCTAGATAGAGGTGCTGGAGCGGAGTCTGGAATGGACTGCTTGTGTCAGAGTGCTGATATCGGAGATTTTAGATGCAGGCCGATATAATCCCATATTCCTTTTTTTGCTGATATTGGACTGATATGGGATTTCAACATCGTATCGGGACTCCCCTAGCTCCATGGTTTGATGCTAACTGTTGAGATGATTTGATTCTCCAGCTATAAGTGGTTCATCGTTTTTCCTGTTACTTGTACTAGTTAAAAGTTCTCATAGTGGTGTATAAAATGGGCCTGATCCCTCTTGTTCATCTGTTGGCAGGCTTTCTCCACATTCTTGGTCAGTCCAGGTGGCCCACAGCTAAATACACCAATCTTAGCCACCTAAGGGTAAAAACACATGTCAAAGTTTGAACTGATGATTAATGTTGTCCAGACTTGTCTTTAGGGAGAATTTCAAGACAACCAAGGTAGAAAAGGGTTGGATGAAGGACTCACCTCAGGGTGAACTTCCTGCAGTGAGCTCAAAAAGGATACCAAGGGCGGGCGGCCAAAATGTGTGACTGACCGGAGGCCGGTAAAGAGACTGCGGTTCCACACTTTCTGGAAATGGCGTTCACACACGTACTGTCCATGAGAAACAAAGGTAATAGTGAGCCAAGGTTTTTAACGTGTAACCTTCTCTTTAAAAACAGTATTCAGACTGAGATAAGCTAACCCCCTAGTTGCTGTGCTAAATACAAAAGCAGGTGACAAACAAAGCTCATTATGAAGACTAGACAGAGTAATGTTGTATTTTGCAGCAGCAAAAGCATTTTGCGATGTTTTTCTACACACGGAAATAGGAAATGTAAATCTCACCAGCATGGTGGTGCGGAGGTCAAATTTCTCAGCCACCTGGGTGATGTAAATATGGACTGAGACCAGCTCCTGGGTGTCGATCTCCTCCACCTCCCTGATGATGTCTGACACCCACTCAAACTGACGCTGTGTTCGTGTCACCCAGATGAAGTACACCTTATCAGTGAATTAAAGAAGAGAGATCGTTTATTTGTGGTGAAAGCTTTCCACTTAAACATGAGAAATTCTGGAATAATGCGCTGGAACTTGTTTTAATGTTCATCAGCACCTTTTTACACTGAAATTTGGACTTAATAGAGGACTTGAACACAAGGTCTTTGAGGATGGAGGCAAACGGGGTCACTCCAATGCCTCCTCCAACTAGAACAGACACCTCAAAGTCAATCCACTCCTGATGGCCCTCACCAAATGGGCCATCCAAGTACAACTAAGGAGGAGATAAAACACATATATCAGCAAATTGGAAAGTTGAAAAACAACATTTCTCCACAGACAGACAAAGATGTAACCCACCTTTGGATAGGCTCCAAGCTCAAGCACGTTTTCTTCAGTGTAGAGCTCCCGCAGCTGACTGGTCCAGGGCCCCACAGCTCGAATGTGAAGGCTTAGGGTCTCTTCGTGAGGGGCTGACGTCAGTGTGAATGGATGGTACTCATCTGTGCCCAACATTAGGCATGCAATACGGACCCACTGGCCAGAACGATACACAAAGCCCTGCGGCCGCTTGAACTCCAGATGTGTCACACCTACAGGTAGAAAAGTCAAGGGGAGTGTAAACTTCGATACAGGCCACACTCAAACATCACGTGATTTCAGAGGAGAGGATGGAAACAGCTTTTAAGGGGGAATGAGGAAGACTCCTTGAGGATTTTTTCCAGGTTAGTGTCACCTGAAGGCAGCAGTTCAGCTCGAAGCACTGGGATCTCAGACTTCTTCCTGCTCAAGCTGATAAGTTTGTCCAGCAGGAAGAGCAGCGCAGGTGGGATTAAGTAGATGTGGAAACGGGGCTCTTGGATGAGGGCATAGCTGCCGTGGATAACTGTCTGTTGGATGAAAACAAACCTAGCGTCACAGATCTCGAAGTATCACCTACAGTCGTGACAGCCATGTGACTGCAGAGGGAGCTGTAAAGCCCAAAAAGCACTTACTAAGATGTACACAACGATGTAGAGGTAATGTGTTATCCAAAATCCACGAAAACTGATGCGACGGAAATAGTGTGAGGCAAAAACATACATGAATGCAAAAGTTAAAAGAAGCAGGACACCGGTCACTCCTAGGAAAGAGACAAAGCAGGATAAAAATAAGATATTTTAATACAACACAAGCGGTTCATGTACAAATGGAGTTCAACACAATCTTCTCTTGATACCTGGAACAGTCTGAAAAAACCACCACGACCACTTCTTTGGTAGTTCAGACCTAGAAATATAAACACAGTGTTAGCTCCCATAGATTGCTCTCTCTAAAGTATACAAATATTTGCCGAAATAAGGCACATCTGTCAAACATTACCCATCATTGATGAAGACTTTGGGAAACAGACAGGACAGGATACTGAGGTCACAAATGGAGAACATGTAGATGTTGACCACATGGCCCAAACTGTGAACAACTTCAGTCGGGATACAGAAGAGAAGTAAGCTCATGCAAAGAAGACTCAACTGAATGAAGACATCATCCACCTCTAATTGTTATTAATGTGCGTTGTCATTTCATGATTCCTTTTTAGTCCACTAACCTGAAAGGATGACAGCCGTCATGGCCATGAAGCGATGGAAATCAATGGCAGCATCAAAGGGGATGTATCGGTTGAGGAAGGTCTCTCTGCACAGTGTAATGAGGTTGCGACACACAGTAAGAAGCATGTAGGGAAACAGGAAGGAGATGGCGGCAGCAGTGCCACGTGCAACCACAATGCCCACCACTGATGTCTCAGGTATGCCTGTGGATTCACTCTGCAAGGCGTAGTCTGAAACAACGAGTGGAAAAGTTACAATGCCCTAAATGAATCCAAAAAGAAGAAGAAAGCGTGACTTTGTGTGTAATTTTTGTCACTCACAGTAGCATCTTTCAAAAGCCACGCCTGCAGTGATGCCGTAAACGAAGATGAAGCAGACGATGTGACGGCGGTAATTCTCAATGAAACGTTTGAACTGCTGGACCTTCTGCTGGACTGGGTTCCTTATGTACTGCTCTCGCTTTGGTTTCACATAGACATCTGGAGTGTCGACACCAGCCCTGAAATATTCAAATAACCAGACTTGAGCCATCAGATCAAATCAGTGTCTAGTTTGTTTTTTCTGTCATTTGATACACGGTTCAATAAGTTTCTTCAGAAATTCCAGACCTTACGGTAAACTGAAAACAACAAAAGACAGTTTACTTCACATCACGGTGCTCTTAAATTCATGCTGAAGGAACTTGAGGTGCAAATGCAGATATATCTGGATGGCTACACTAAATCTCTTCATAATTCACAATCTGTTTTAGTTTTGCATCAGAAATGTTTTATTTTTTAATATCGCTCATGCTGTATTGAGGAAGTTAATTATAGAAGCAAAAAGAGTCACAAACTTTTTACGTCTTCTTAACTCCTGTCCCTCCAGCTTGTGGCTGCAAACAAAATATAAGACAACTATCACCAGGGATACATAAATCAGCTGAGTACCTGAAAAAGCAACACTAAATCATCATATGTGACAAGCAACAGTTGTAGTTTACAGTCTGGTGAGTGATTACAGTCAGTGTGCCCCGCTTCCTTACATGTTTCCTGGACAGATGAAGGATACTCTCATGTCTCGACTCAGCCGCTTCTTACCCTGTTTCTCCATGCCTGCACACATACACACACACAGCAAACAGTGATTTATCAGACAAGGTCAGAGATTTACAATAGATCTTTTTAAACAAAGTTTTCTTCAACCTTTGACGTTGAGCTGAGCGAACTGCAGCTCTTTCTCATGATCCCGCAGGAGGAAATGGAAGTCCTCCCAGGTGATTTTCTCTTTTTTATCAAAGCCTGCGGCCTGCATCATGGCCTTGATGCCGTCCTCCGCCTGGCTCTTTGACAGAGCGCAGTTTGAGATTTCAATGAAAGACCTGCGATTCATCAAAAGAGCTGAGATGAACCAACTGACAGAAAAAAGATGACTTTGTGCAGTAATGAAGAAAAGTCAAACCTGAGCATCCTGGCGAATTCCTCTTTTGATAAGAAACCAGTTCCACCGATGTCATGCATGCAGAAAAGGAGTTTGGATTTTTCCTCAGGAGACCCTGTTTGAAAAAAAATAAAAATAATAGGACTGTACACTGACCTCCAATAAATATTACACGTCATTTGTTTAGCTTACCACTCTTTTTAAAGGTGTCTGGATCAAAGTCGCATTGAAAAGTTCTTGTTCTTTGATTCAATTATTTTATTATAGTGCTAAGACATTTAATTTGCAGGTACACAGTCAGAGTAGGTCATACCTGGAGAACAGCTACTCAACAATGAAAATGATTTGTCTTGATATTAAAGGGATACTCTGGCGTAAAATTCATTTAGGGTCAAACACACCGTAACACCAAGCCTCACTGCCTAATTTCTTTAGCAAAAAGACTAAACACAACTCACCTACTCTCTTCCAGCAGCTGCTTGTTTGTAGCGAGGCCTCGGACTGGTTCATCATTGACTGCGGTGGGGTGACAGAGCTCAAGGAAGAACGTTTGATTCATATGGTGATTATTACTTCAAGGAAATGATAAAGAAATGATCATAAATGTTCTTCCTTGAGCTGCGTCACCCCGCTGCAGTCGATGATGGACTGGTCGAGGACTCGCGACAAACAAGCGGCTGCTGGAAGAGAGTAGGTGAGTCGTGTTTAGTGACTGCAAAAGAAATTAGGCAAAGTTAAAAAGATGTTTGGTGGCTAGTACTACGGCTGGGACCCTATATGTCCTGTTGATAAAGTTAGGTGCTGTTCTGAGCATTATTAGTGGCTATAGAGTGGCGTTTTGGTTGAGGTTTGTTTATGGCTCCTGAGATGGCTGTGTATTGCTATCCTGGTTGTTATTAAAGTTGGTATAACTAGAGAAGCAAGCGGTCGGCAACATTCATCTCTGGAGGGGGTGTCTAACTCGGTATTACGATGTGTTTGACCCTAAATTAATTTTATGCCGGAATATCCCTTTAAGTTTTACATGATCATCTAAATGAAGTGTCAGAGACTTTCTCATTCTCCGTCTGGGAACTTTGAATCATCCTCATATTATTAAATGCGCTTTAAAAAGAGATTCACTTCCTCTTACACTGAATTGGAACAAATGTTTATTTTGTGTTTGTGTCTCACAGGTAGACCCTGTTGGATCGATGCTTTTTACCTTTCATAAAGATGACCATCACATCCAGAAACTCTTGGAAGGAGAGGTAACCATTTCCATCTTTATCAGCCAGCGTGAACATGGAGTCCACAAACAAAGAGTCCGACTTGAGCCCCAGAACATCAGCAAACTCTGACGCTGCCAGCTCACACTCCAGAACCTCCTTGGCTTTTTTGCGGGAAACGCCACTCATGTCCCCGGCGTCACGCTTCTCAATTTCCAACACCTGTGAACCAGAGAGAGCGTCACCATAGTGTCATCAGTGACATCAACGTAAACTGAGGTTACTGAATGCTCAGGAATGGTGAAGTCATCATCATGACCAACAATTAGCTCTTTTGGCCAGAGGTTGGAGCTAATTCAACCTCAAACAAGCGCTGACGATAGTTTCGTGGCCGACCCTAAGTCTCCTGGTGCTGTTACCCAGCAGAGGATGAGGTAAACGTCCAGAGGCTGACTGTACCTGAGAGAAAGCATGGCGAATGAAAGTTTCCACAATTTGAGCCCTCTGCTCTCTGGTTAAAGCCTCCTTCAGCAGGTCCTCCTCTTTCATCTCCTTCACTCTAATCTCCTGCCTCATGTCTGTCACCCCAGGGCGCAGACGCTTGACGAATGCTGCACGTTTGCTCTCGTCATCAAAAAACAGCACCTGGATGTGCAAACAGGGAGCGTCAGGAGAAGATTAAGGGGGCGAGAGGGAGATAAAAGTGATATAAGCAGGTACATCTGCAGAGTCATGCTTGTATTAAGGTGAAAAATGAAAGTAGAAGCAAAATGGGAAAGCTGTATCTGCTTCAACAGCAAACAATCCTCAATGTGAACACTGAATTTGGTTGTAAACATTTACACAAAATGCAAGAGCAGCAAGACTAATATTGAAGTCCTTTGTTACATCTTGAGTGTTTTTTTTTAATCAGGAACATGAGGGTAAAACAGCTGGCTGCTCACCAGGTCATACTCTTTGAAAACTTTGAGCAGCAGAGCTTTTTGGTGACGGTTGTGGGACAAAAGGACATTCAGGTAGTCCTGGTTGCTGAGATTAATGCAGCGGTGAGCGGACCCAGATCTGTCGAAGACCTGAAGCCTCCTTTTGTCATCAATCTCCACACTGACGGGATGCAGAGGTTTTTTACGGCCTTGCCACTCGTAGGCTGGAGAGCAAAGAAATTGAGTTAAAATTGACTTCAATTAGCTCAGATGTGGAAAAATACTGTTCAACCCGAGCACTGACTTTATTGTACATCTTGGCTCATACAGAGAATATAATTGATACCGAAAGTATAGTATAGACAGATTGTTTCTTACCGTGGATTCCCAGAGCTGGCCCCTCTGTTCTGTCTCCAACTTTCTTTATTTTCTGAAACTTTCTGTATCTGTGTTTGCGGAGCTTCGCCACCATACAAGCCACAAGAAAACTAACTGTGAAAGTGAAATAACCAAAGCTTATTAACAGTTACACAGAGAAACTGCTGATTGGCTATGTCTGTATTGTTTTTTCTTTGTTCACAAAGAGATTCATTTCTGGGTTTAGTACTGACCAACAGGGAAGAGGAAGAGAACAATAATGAATATCCCGAAGCCAGCTTTGCTCCCATCAAAGTAATTAAGTGTGGTAACTCGAGTGCAGGGATGGAGCATCGATGCATTGAGCTGAGTGGGCTGAGGACAAGGGTCACCTGAGGCAACAGAGGGACTGTCTTTTAATCCGTTTTTTGACTATTATGTAATTTATGCAGTCATGAATCAAATATAGGAGACCTGTTTGTACCGTTTGTCCAGAAGAACACGTTTTTTTGTATATCAGCGGATTCTGCGCTCGTAACTGCAATCAGGACATCATGAAAGGTCACATTGCGGATTCGCTGTATCTCTTCATCTGTAAACAAACTGCAAAACATCCAAAAGCACACAACCATTGTGAGAGGACTTAAACGTGTAGAGTTGATATTATCTCAATCAGTATTCAAGAGATGGTTAAGAAAGGTTGAGGTCCTCTCAATGTCAATTTCTCTCATTCTTACATGTTGGTTTGCCTCTGCCCTGCCTCTCTATAACACTAGCAAATTCATTGTTGTTAAACTTTTCAAGTGACAAATATTTCAAAAACTTTGGAACTGAAATGACATTTTTCAGAGAGTATTTTTACTTAAAAAAAAAAAGCTTTTTAGACTTCTGTCAACAAATTTGCCCTTTCTCTCAGGGGATCTGGAAACCAGTTTATCTTCTCTGTCATAATGGAGAAATTTCCTACATAAGATCCAGAGAGTGTTGATCATTTCATTCGTCATTGAAGTGCATTATCCTCGTTAATTTTGGTTAGACTTTATCAGTAATCAACGAATACTTTGAAATTTGTTTCTATTTGACTTTAAGTGAAAACTTTACCCATTTTGTTTGTTCTCAAACCAGAAGCGGTCTCCATTTCTGATTCGTTCAAACTGGTCCAAGATGATGGCAGAAAAAACTGGACCTGGACCATCCTGAGACTCCAGGAGTCCTCCAGGAAACAGCTCCAATTTGGTGACATCTCTGTCGTACAGTTCTGCAACACCACGTAACAGCTGTTGAAGAGGAACACAAGATTTACTTTGATTCACAGTTGAGTTCTTCACTTATCATCCTTTTTTATAATGAGACTCTGTGTTTCACCTGTGGATCAGTTTTATTGAGCTCAGGATTTATGTCCCCAAAGGTAATAACAGGAGGGAGACCCAGAGCTTCTCTGACCTCAGTGTAACTACGAAGACCAAAGTCTCTTCCTCTTTGGATGGTCACAGCAACCAGATCTGTCCTGCTGAACCTCAAGAGTCCATACATGAAGTCTGCAGAGTGCAAATCAGTGTAAGTAAATGAACAAAAGGAACATATTCTCTTCGTGAAATTTATAATGATTTAGGACCACTACTTTTATTTTTCATTTGTAATAAACCTGCTTCTGGTATCAGAGAATAAGAGGGATTATAAACCTCTCAGGTCCTCCACTACAACATGGTCCTCTCTCTCTGCAATCTGCGAAGCCATGCCCATGAGGAGGTCGTCTACATCCTGACCTGTCTCCATATTGACTCGCTAAAAAAAAGTAAAAAAGGCACAGCTTTAACAACATCAACATCAACATCTGCCATCGTAAAAGTAAAATTTAATCGCCTTGAGGCCCACAGATACAGCTTTAGCAGAAGAATTGAAGTGTTTCTCTAAATATCCTCTTTTGTTCTCAGACACTGTAAGTTCTGACCACTAGAGCAACAACAGTTTTTGTCAGAGTTTTTATACTGTGCTCTGATACTTTAACTCTGTCTTCATAAATACACAATAGCACACGTCACATCACTTGACTGTCTACCTATGGTTTAAAAGATGCATAAGGTCATACAAGAAACAGGTAATTCTAAATAAAAGTAAGCAGTATCCACAATAAAAAGCGGAGATTAAAACTTCTGGCAGTCTAAACTTCTTCCGCACACTTGCAGAAAAATTATTGCCATAACAAACCTGACGTTTCCAAAAGCTGTTGCAGAGACGCAGTGCCGGAGAAAGGCTTCCATCTGCGTTGACGGTCTTACGAAATTGGCAGGTTCTGTTTCTGTAGGGAAAGAGTAGACTATTTTATTCCTGTCAGTTTTTACAATCTCCATTATAGTTTCCATCTGTCTACAGTAGCACTTGATAATGTCACACTTCATTTTAAACCCTGTAAATATAGCTTCTTCCATTTTCCACATTAAGCCATAGGGAAAATATGAACAATACCTCATGTAAACACCAGGTGGGGTCATAGTGATGCTAAATTTCATAACAGCAGCCTCGAACTCAGGAGAGATTCCTGGATCTACAAACTTCTGGTAGCCTGTAAGTAGTTAAATGTGCATGTATAAGCAAAATAATACAGCAAGGATGGAATAAACTACAGCTGGATAAAAACCTATACTGAAAGGCCCTTTAAAATTGTTCAACAGCCAAAGTGAGGCGCCAAAAGCTCAATTTCTGTGAAAAAAGAGGAGTGATTAATGTGATGATGCTCATCGGACCATAGACTTTCTAACTTTCTTTAGCTGCGGCTGCCCTGTCAGCAGAGAAGGGAGACTCAGGGTTGATACTTTGCTGACGGAGCACATACTTGTCAACGATAGCTCACCTTACCACGGCTTGTGGTCACCAGAGCATTACCTGTTCTCCTGCAGTTGTACGCACACGCACTGGATGATTCTTACCTGGATAATCAGGAAGCTTTTTGTCTCTAAGATATCCAGGCAGCCATTCGTAGAGAGCGATATTCTGTAAGGAAACATACATGACAAAGAGGTTGTTTTATTTACACTAAGCATTCACACAATCACAAGGAATTATGAAGATGACACCCTGCATGTCTATTTTTCTGTGTGTTTAAAATTCGGTTTTGCAATTACATCTTGAACGGCTGCCACGGAGACAGACTCAACTCAAACAAATTAGAGATGGTGCATTTGGCAGCAAACTTCCATCCATAAAACCGTGACCTCCTGATGATCATTTTTTTCCAGGATGAAAACTATATCAGCACCTGTGCAGTGCGAGCCTTACACAGAGAGACTCTTTCCTCTACCTGGAATGTGGCCACAACAGTCTTCCTGGCATTTTGAAACAGCTTTTCATCTGACCACTCTGGGTGTTCCTCCTGTAGTTTGGTGGCGACATAATTGTGGTAGCGAAACCAGATAATCCCCTCTGCTGCCGTGAACAAGTTCTCATTGGCCCAGGCATTTCCCAACACTGCAGAGATAAAGGCGACACAAATAACAGGGAATTCTGCTATTCCATCACTATGGCTCACAAACAAACACAGAAAGGGCGATTAAGGTAAAGATGACACCTCAAATTCAAACATTATTTGTGTTTTTAAGTGATGTTTCAATGCTAATGAGGTGATAAATTGGTTATTTGTTCTTCAACACCATAACAGCCACTGCCACCATTCCAGATAATAACATTCCTTCAACAACACATGCAACCAAACTCTGGCTTTAGGACACCTGCACAAGCATCCTTTTCACTATAAAGGGGAGATTAACTGCTGTGTGCGTGACAAGCCACTGACACAGTAATGAATGAGTCACAACATACGTCAAGCAGGGCCTCTTTGGACTTAACCCTGGACTGTAGGTGAAATATTATTGCAACAAATATTTGCTACTTGTTTTTCTGATTTTGAGGCTGCTTGCAAAATGGATAATGTTAACATCGCTTAAAAGACTAAAACAAAAACAAATCAGTTGCCAGGTGTTTACATGTATGATTATACCAAACACAAAATAATTTGGTTTTACCTTGAGAGAAATCTTAAAATTCAGATGTTTTTATTGCAGGATGGTGGGTTTGGGAAATTGTATATATTATTCCAGCTGGTTTATGATGCTTTACACAGATTATTGTTAAAAACACAGCAGTGATGCAATATGGACGAAGACATTACCTTGAGATTTGTAGATAATAACAATGCAAAGAGAGAGGCAAAGAGAAAATGAAGTTATCATTGTTGTTTGGAGACACTTCAGTAAACTTTATTACCGCTCTAAGATCTGCAGGTTTGATCTGGATTATTAAGTTCAAGCTGTCTCACCATAAAGCCTATTCGGTCCGTTTTCTCCTGTTGTTGGGTCTGCAGCGCTCCACATAAAACTGTGCTCCGTTCCCTGAGTTGGCATGTTCCACTCAGAGCCTGAAGCCAACAGCCCTCCAGAAAAGCTTCTCAGAGAGTCACACCAAGACGTGGAGGGGCCATAGATGGAGCTGCCATCTATCCATGCTGTCACCAAGTTCACCTGCATGTGTTGTACATCAATTATTGCACTTCAATTAAAAAAAAGGCTGCAGTATAACATGATTAACAGTGACCCCCAGGACTTATTGGGGCTACATTTTTGCAGCATTGTCACATCTTTTCTTTGTATTGATCAGAGTTGACAATATGCACCTGTTTCCTAGGGTTACCAGGACTCTGGCCGGACTCTTTCTCCCACAATCCTCTCTGGAAAGGCAGCAGGACTTTTCCAGTGGCGACGGGGTCAAAAACAGGGTCACCCTTTGGGACTGGGATGTTCATGAACTCAGGAGGACACCCGGGGGATCTTGTGTCAAATATTTCAAAAGCAACATGATAACCTGAGAAGAAGAATATAATTACCCATATTTACACAATCAATCAATCAAATTTTATTTATGTAGCACCAATTCACAACAGTTGTCATCCCAAGAGGCTTTCCAAAGAGAAAGAGCAGGTCTAGACCACGCTCATTGTTTGATGAATTATCAAGACCCGACCTAAGATGGGACAGATTTGGCCCATCTTATCTAACATGAGTGACAGTGGCAAGGGAAAACTTCCTTTTAATAGGCAGAAACCTTGGGAAGGACCAGACTTATACTAGACAGCCACCAAGCCGCTGCTGGGTTGGGGAGGAATACAGAGAGATAGAGAAAGAGAGAGACACAAGAATGTTCAGAAAATATAGAATCAGTGTTTAAGGTAATGGCTGGTTCAGTTAATTAAATTCACTTGTAAATATGTCTAGGGATTGGCTTTTTTTGGTTTATCTAAAATTTTCAACAGGGGTGTTGTACTAAAAAATATTACAGTAGACATAACTTACCTTTTTCATAAGTGGGGGGAAAGTAGAAGTGCTGGCCCACCCCATCTTTGTCATTCAATGTAAGTTTTATGGGTAACCTGCTAATCTGTCTGTCATATAACTTTTAAAACTGTAACTCAAAGCGTCAACTTTTCATATATTTACCGAAGAACAGAGAAAGTACGGTCCGGTTTCGTGTTGAGGGCAGACCGGAGGGTCCAGCCACCAGCAACCTGCTCAGTCTGCGTGGGTTTGGGAGCTGCGGCTCGTGGACAGGTTGGTAGACTCCGTCCCAGTACTGCGCGGGCACGAGGCGCACAAAGTTTGACCCTGCGCGAGCACAGACCAAACACAGGCAGGTAAACCGTGAGCTCGTGAGCTTTGTTCCCGCTATGGTGCTACCTCCTCAATCTGAAAACTTACCGACGGCTCCGCGTCTTGGGTTTCCCAGACTGTTGTACCAGCCGTCAAAGCGAGGAGCCTCCCACTTCCTTTCACCGAGTGACTCTGTTCAGCACATGTGAAGCTTTAACAGCGTTTCTGTCGGTGGTATTTTGACTGAGGAATATGAAGCACAGTACGGCTGCAGTGTACTTACGTTCACACACACAGAGCACCAAGCCAACCATTGAACAGATACTCCAAACCCGTTTACGCAAATCCATTGGAGCGAGAGATGCTCCTCAGCTCAGTCAGCAACCAAGAGGAGAGAAGTACTTCTGAAAAGAGAAGCTAAAGGTAACCAGCTTAAATTTGCCTCAGCTGTGATTTAAGATAAAAGCTAGAAAGTAAATGAGCAGCCAAACTCTACAGACCGTCAAAAGACTGTCCTCTGTCCTTATTCCTCTTTGTACTCTAAGAGAAGATGGTAAAGTTGAGCCTTACTCACCTAAGAGGCTGAAATGTGAGGAAATAATTGTTGCAAGAGGACAGCTGTCCAGGTGAGGGATGGGGCAATACTAAAGCCAGTATTTGTTGCACAGCATATCCCAAAATGTGTATGACCTGTGTTGCTGAAATGGGACGGGTCATTATCTGTGGATCACACCTACTTTTTCCACAGCATTCATGTCACTTCATCCTCCCCCTCGGTGACCCGAAGAGGGACCATGGTATAAAAGACGCGTTTGTGTCCTCAACATTCACACTTCAACTCAGGTGCTCTTCAGTCTGTGTCTTTGGACTTGGCAGGTAAGAGAGACATTGTTGATTTTTACATTTTTGCTGTTTCTGTGACCTCTTTGTAACCATTTACTCTGCTCAAACAGATCAAATACTTTTCTTTCAACTGCACCTTTTTACGTTACTCTGATTTAGGCCTTCTTTGCATTACAAATACACTGAACTAGGTCTCATCTCCTATCAGGTGTAATGAACACAAGCCCCTGTCACTAAATCTGGGAGAAACTGAGAACCCAGTCACTAACACTGTCTTCTCTGTCACACCTTCAAGTCCCAGCTAGATCCGGAGCTAAGATGACTTTCTACGTTGACATTTACCCATTCTACACTCTACAAAGGTCCTCCTTCATTTTCAGCGGCCGCTTGCTCACTGTTATTCTGGTCTTCCTTATGTTAGCAATCAGTCTACTTCTCATCCTGCCGGGAATAAGAGGGAAGTCGGTGAGTGCAAACTTTCAGATAAATTATTACTCACTGCAACCACATGATTATAGTCTTGTGTTGCGCTTGTTATTGAAAGTGCTGGATAACGAAATGCATAATTAAATTACCCTTTCTAATTCAGCGCACTTGAAATAAACTTGATCGTACACTTTCTCTTCCTACCAGAGGCTGTTCTGGATGTTCAGAATAATCATCAGCTTGTTTATAGGTGTGGTAATAGTGGGTGAGTTTTGTTCTTTTTTTTTTTTGTCTTTTTGTGTAAATAGGTTTTCCTTTTTCCCGTTAAACCTTTGTGTTCTCTTCAATGCAGCACTCAACTTTACGTGTGACTGGGCTGAGGCCAAAATGACCACTAATGCCACCTATAAGTCTTTCAGCAATGCCGTGGTCAATGCTGACATCGGCTTACATGTTGGACTGTATGGCATCAATGTCACGCTGAAGGGTGAGTCATTTATAACCGCTGAGATGTTTACTTTTTCTCTTAAAAGAACCTAAATCCTGTGTTTAGATGCCTGCTTAAAAGCCTGATAAAATATTCTAACCATTAAATGTGTCAATTTCCTCCTTTTGTCTCCCAGGGAATCCTGTTGTACAGCTGAATGAGACCATCGACTACAATGAGATGTTCAGCTGGCATGATTCTATCGAAGACGAGTATCAGGAAGCTTTGGAGAAAGGCCTACCCACCCCCATCCTGTACATAGCTGAGAAATTCACCCTAGGCAGCCCGTGTCGACTCATCTACCAGTACAAATACTCAGGACGATATGCCTCTGCAACTCTCTGGTAACATAATACATTTACAGTTCAACTTTGTATTCAAAGAAAAGCTGTTTTGCAAAATAAAAGGTGAAAATAATTTGTTTGCGTACTTCCACAGGACTGCGTTTTGCAGCTGGTTGCTCGCCAATATCCTCTTCTCACTGCCAGTCATTCTCTATGCTGGATACATGATGATAGCCACCGCTGCCCTCATCTTCTTCTCCATGGCGTCTTTCTCCACCATCAGGAATGTGCCACAGTGTGTTTTCTCCATAGGAGCTGACTCCTTTGAAACAGAGTATAGCCGTTCATTCTGGCTGGCCTTGGGGACAGGTACAGAGAGAAGAAAACTGCTCATTTATTTCATGTGTTTTTACGCTTTTGAGTGGCAGGTAGTGGTAGGTAGCTTTAATCTGGAGAGGAAAGTGATTTGCACTTACTGGAAATCATTTACAGGTTTGCTGTGCACCGTTGTCGGGATTCTAGTCGTGATGCTCAACTTTATGATGCCAGAAAAGATGAAGGAGGCTTTCAGCGTTGGTGTGGACAGTTATGAAGATGAGGAAGCTTCTTATGAGGAAGGCTACCTGAATACAGTTTTCCTTGATGGAGTGAAAAGTTTACCACTGACATCAAAAACAAAGGTGAGTTGGTGAAACGAAGAGGGTGATACCTCATTTTAATGCTATTAGCATTCAGTAACCATTTACAAGAAGCAGCAGTGTTATCTATTGTCCTTGTATGACTTTGTCGGTAACTTGACTTTGCTATCCTTTTATTGACGCATAATACATTATTCCACATTTTTCACATTTGTAAATAATCAAGTACAAATAAAAGGATGTATGAGTAAAATGAGACGAATCACTCCTACAGTGTCTTGTCCAGCACAACACACCCTGACTATAACTGAATCCTGAGTGCTGCTTTGTAGTGTAATTTCCATGTCTGCTGCTCACTGACTCTTCATTTTGTTTCTGTGTTTCAGAGAAATTTTTGAAGCCATCCGTGATTGCCTGAAGAAGCTTTTACAGCCAGTACTTGAAGATAATGTTTCTGAATGTGTTACAGACGGAGTGTTGTTATTCCACGCCACTTTTAATGATCCCTTTGAGCCTTTGAGTGTTATGTTTCTGTGAGAGATCAAATGTAAATAGTTTTTGTAAATATCACCGACACAATGCAGTAGTTGTGAGCACAATTATGTAGTACTGTATGGGATCCATACAATGTTTATGTACACTAAATTAAAAGTCACTGTTTCACTGTGCTGTTAGAAATGAAAGATGACTCTGACCTGCGGCCTCACATCACTTCCCTGTTTCCTACTTTATCCACACAGTCCTGTTCTGTCAAAAATAATAAAAGGCAAAAAGCCCCAAAACAAACGTTTTTAAAAATAAATGAAATATGAGCAAGTTCAACTGTTTCATAGTGGTTATTGTTTGACAGCCTACTCAGGATGGCCTTGAATTTTGCCATGGCAACAACACATGATTTAGTCGTGCAAGGTTTCAGGGCAGTGCTGGTTGATATGCTTTTCTTTCACACTGTATAACCTTCAAATAATTGTGAAAACAGGAGAGGTGTAATGAAGAGTCGGTGCTTGTATAATACACTTAGCTTACCCTATATCTACTACTGTACTGTATATTGTGTTTGTTGCTACTATGTTTTCCCTGTGACACCTCAAAATAAAGAAAAAAACAACAAGGATTGAGCTGTGAGATTGTATTCTTACTGTGTTATAACATTACAATCATTCAGTAATGTATGTGTTGATACATTCGTGTACTGTACGCTCCAGCAAAAGGAATCATCCCCCTAAACCGCATGTCTTTGAAAAGTAGGTGTGTCTTTGGCCTTCAGCATCACCATATTTCACATAGTTTAGTGCTTTTTACAGCATATTATTAGCTTCTTTTTAATACTCATTGTAATAGATTATCATGTCAGATCGATAATTAATCCCTGGTCAGTAAATCTTCTTAACAACATGCATATACTGTAGGAGTAATATGGCCTTTCAAACCAAGTCCTTGAGTAATCCAAAGTATTTACAGTAGATACATTTTTTTAACTCCATACACATTATAAAAATGACTAAATAAAAAATAAATGTACTAATTTATCTCTTCATAAGAAAATAATCATGACCTTAAAGCTACTTCATTTCAACACCAGACACATACAGTACTACAGACAGAGTATTCACATTTGTAAGGCCATTATGACAATGTAATTCAAGATAAAACCTGAAAATGAGAACTGGATGTTCTTTACAGCACTGCAACGAGAGGCTGAAAAATAAAATGATACAAAAATAAATTCTCCCCCGTCCTACTAAGCCACCTGTCCATCAGCTGTCAGTCACCGCCACACAGCCAGACATGCAGAACTACAGTGGGCTGAACCATGCAAGGTCTCTAGATGTAGATAGGCGTCTCCTGTCCTGTCAGCAGTCTGAACATCACAGCAGGCATTGTCTTCATGTTGATCTGAGAGACAGAGATGAGAGAGGGTCACTTTTAAAGCAGACCAGGAACACTTGAACAAAGGAACTAACTTGCCTATATTTCAAAGAACTGGCAAAGATACTTTATACATGTCAACTAAAACATTTGAACACAAAACAACATGTACTTTTTAGAGATGGAGTCTGATATGGTTGTTCATATGTCAAATGAGATATGATGTGTATTTGTGGGCAAAAGGAGCTCAAATTTCACTACCGCTAGTTATTTTCTTGTTTTAATTATGCTAGGTTAACCAGGTGCTAGCAGACTATTACAAAAACATGACAGTCATATCTATCTTCATGTGTATCTCTTAACATTGTGTCAAACCCTTCTTTAAGAAGACCAAATCGATCTGTTTTTAATGAAAAAATGTGCAGATCAATTGTTTACTACAAGCTCAATCGAATAAAAACATTTCCAAAAATTTCCTTAAAGCAATCATTCTTTATCTACTGCACTGCTTCTACACAATTTGATATTTGACTTTCTACTTTTTGCAGATTTTATTGATTTTACCCCCTAAAAACTTAAATCTATCTTTTAAAAGGTCTGTCTATACTCAAGTGATTTGTGTGGCGCAGCAATCAGTAAAAACTATCTTGTGACAGCAGAAGGTCTTACCTCACCGACTGAAACAGACAAGGTTTGAACAATCTTCTCATGTGCCATGGCAACAACACTTTGACCATTTATTTCAATGATTCTATGTCCAACTCGAACACCACCTCGCTCAGCTATGCCGCCTCGCATCAGACTGCAGATCTGAGAACAGAAAGGAGAAACCTTATTAAGAAAAGCAGGACACAGTGCAGCCCTCGTCTTAAAAAAACAGCTGCACTCTTCAGAAATCTCCGACCGTTCACTTTAAGCCTCAACCTGAAGTTTGATGTCATGCTTTACAAGTTTACTCACGATGCCGTTCTGCACACTGAAGCCGAGCTGGAACTTGAGATCAGGTCTTTTGATAAGGACGGTGGTGACTGGTGGGCAGCTTACAATACTCAGTTTGACCTTCACCTGATTCTTCAGACCCTGGATAATGTCCAGCAAAAAATAAAAACATTAAGCACATTAGAGTCAAAGTGCAGAGAGTAACAAGTGTGCTGTTACTTATAAATATACTAATATGTTACTTAAAAATATGATAAACGCAGTCCTTTGTGCCATAAAGCCTCCATGAACACTTAATTTGTGAAAACTGAGGGTTTTGCTCTGTACCTTGATGATGCCCTGACAGGTGGCAAGAGGCAGCCCCACCAGGCTGGTGTCATTGATGGACATAATCTGGTCCCCAACGCTGAGTTTTCCAGAGCGAGCTGCAGGACCGCTGTTCAGCATGCTGGCCAGAATGACAGTGGGCAGAATGGATCCCCAACCCGACTCCACGATCACCACACCGAGGATCTCCCCTTTCTGCTTCTCTACATACAACTGGAAAACAATCAAAGCTTCTGTTACATTTTTCATATCTGAGTTTAGAAGATATGTGAGATTCTAACTGATACAGCCATTCATATTTACGAAATCCATTACTCTTAATCTACAATTCATGTGAAGAGGAATGAAATATGTTGAACCTCTTTACAGTTGTCTGAGTTTGAGAAATGGACAAGGTCATCGTGGTACATTTCCTGGGAGTTGATGATGTCACTGTATTGTTTCTGGCTCAGGTCAGTCGGGTTGATGCCATTGGCTCGCAGGAACTCTCTGTAGGCCACGCTAAAAGCTTGACCAATGGACTGTGCGATAAGCTGTGCCTGTGGGAAGGGGAGAAATTAAGGGGGGAACCACTCAGCGAGAAGGCTTTCCCAGATGACAACAACAAGGAGAAACAGCATTCAGAAATTTACATGGTGTTTAAAAAAAAACAAAAACAAAGAAAAATGTATTTCAATGAAAAACAATGCGTGTCTGCTTACATCCTCAGACTCAAAGACATAGCAGATCATCCTGTACTGATTTTTCCCTTCACCGGAGGAGTCTGCGGATTCAGAGAAATCCTCCGATGAGGCCTGAGACATGCGCATACGTGCCATCAGAACCACAATGCTGCCAATGTCAGCGATGTAGGAGATGGTTCGCAAGGCACTGTCCATCATCGTCTCCTATATGGACAAAAAAAACGTCAATCATTACTTACAGCGCCTGGAAATAGATTGACTGACATATTTTACACTGAGGAGGATACACTTGAACATAGATCTGACCTGTGTGTCAGCATTCAGCACTTTGACAGCCTTGGTTGAGATAAATAGGTCAACCTCTGTCATCATTTGAGAGTCTTCATCTTGGCTCTAGGAAATAAACAGTGTATCAGGCAGTTGGAGTTTCGCATGTTAAGTCCACAATGCAGTGTTTCTTCTTATTACCCAAACACTAACATTGGCAAGTGAGCACCAAGAGCATGCAGCAGCTCCACCGTGTGGTCAAAATTGATTCTGCTGCTTAAAGTAAGCCTCACAAACATAATGGCAAAATAGATAAAATAGATACAAAAACAAAATTACTTCAACCTGCAAACACACCTTTAAGGTTTAGCAACAGGTCTTTATCGTTATTACTTTGATGGCTGAAGCAGAAAAAGGACCCGCCTTATGATAAAAATCATAGATGTAGATCATCCTCAACAGACCAGCAGGGAGAGGGTGTACAGTAATCTCTTTGATTTGACTGAAACATCTATAAAAATGGAGATTACCTTAATACGACTGACAGCTTCGTGGGCCTGGGACATGCGGACAGACTTGGATGGGTTTTTATCAGACAACACCTGAGTGCAGCCAAGGTAGTTTGCAGCAAAGATGATTCCATCAATAAGATCCTCTGGCTCACATGGACCTGGGACTGGGCAAAGGGAGAAGGAAATAATCTGCGCAATAAATTGGGAAAACTATAAAATTCAAGAACTTAATTTGAGGATAATTACCATCTTCAAAACTGGGGAACGCAGCAGCCTCTTGTGTTTTCTTAAAGACAAGTTGACAAGTTCATTAGTAAGGCGGAAATCTTGAAAACATTTTCATGGTAATAGTCCAGTATACAATCAGAAATTATCGTTTAAGCTTAAGCATTAATTCACTTCAGGTGCGAATGAGGAAAATCTAATCATAGAGCAGAGGAGAAATAGATGGTGGCAAAAATAAGTGTTACATTAGATCAGATATGTCAACTGAAACTTTCAGTCCTTACCTTGGGTGAGTTGCTCTCCTCCGCAGGGACGAGTTCTGGACACTGAGGCCTCTGTGGCTGCTCCGGCAGCTCCTCGGGTATCACAGCTGTACTCAATGGCTTCTCACCCTGTTGTGTGCAAACATCTGCTTTAATGGAGGCTTTTCAACCAGGTTTCAAATGTTTCTTGTTTTCTAGAGTAGATGCTAATCCCACAGGCATTGAAGACTATCTGTAACCAGGGATGCTATCAAACTCTTTCTTATTTCACCGTTGAATTGGATGATTGTGCAGAGACAAGAACAAGCATGAGCCACAAAGGATTAGATGTTACAAAGACCTGCTCTGTTTGTTACCTGCTGGGGGTTTTCTGGCCATCTCTGCTTCTCCTCAAGTGGCTCCCTCTGTTGTTGCTGCTGCTGTGTGTGGAGAGGAGCCAGGGATTGTTTAATAACCCTGATGTCGCCTTCCTTGCTGTTAGAGGATGCAGGACAGGGCTTGGGGGGCTCTTTACGAGGCTGGGGCTTCTGAGTGTCTGTGGGTGACTGAGCGCTTGACTGACGAGGCTGCACAGCGGGATGTTGCTTACCAGAGTTGGGCCTAGCTTTGGTGCGCACAGCGGCTTTTTTGCAGTCCTTTGTCAGAGTCTTTGGACGCTGTTCTGTGCCGCTTGTGGAGCACCCTTTGACCCCAACATGTTCAACGTTCTCACCTGCTCCCCTTCGCCCCCGTCCTTTGACCTGCCTTTCTTTCTCCTTGTGAGGCGGCTCACACTTTTTACTGGCCCCTGGTATATTATGGTTTCTTGCAAGTTGAGTGTCATCCTCTCTTTCTCTTTCGTTGCCCCCTTTTCTAACTCTTTCATTCTCATTGTCCTGATAAGTGATAGTCTGCCTTTGTTCACTCTCCTCAGTTTCTTCTAAATCCTCGATAAATTTGGCCCCATCCAGCACCTCCTCTATCTCATCTCCATCACTGAAGAAGAACCTGTTCTCTTGGCCTTTCCCAATTTCTCTACCTGCTTCATCCGCAGCGGTCGGGACACAATGTGACCTAAAGCGATGGCTTGTCTTGTGAGCTTTAGTGTCTGCTTGTGATCCCTCACGTACCTCAGTGCCATGATGAGGCCTTTGGGTGAAGTGGTCACTGCTGTTCTCATTGATATCATCACCTTTGGTAGGCTTAATAAAGCCCCCACCCTCAGGAGAGAACTGTTTGTAGTATCTCATGTCCACCACACTCTCTTTGTTCAGATGCAGCACCTCATCGTAGTCCTGCTCCACATCGGAGCCCACGTTGTCATACTCAGAGCAGGTGTCCTCCATGTCCTCAGGACTGGGGTCACAGCTCATGTAATACTGGTTTTCAGGGAGGACAGGAGTCAGCTGTTCATTATCATCATCCTTCAAGGTACACTGTGGTTGTTCAGACACCTCCCTTGCCAGACCTTGCTGCTCTTCCTGGCTCTGTTTAATGAGTCCTGGACCGGGACACGGTGGAGGGTTGGGGGCCAATATTTTGGAGATGGTTCCTGGCTTTTTTCCATGAGCCATAACTGGCCCCGTACGCCCACTGCCCTCAACCCTGTGGATATTAATAGATGGACAGAATTAGATATTTGAGATACTTGCAGTATGCTCCCTCACTTGATATCTTAACGCTTGTGTATCCTCCTAATACTTTAATTTTTGGTCATGTGCAATCAGAGGAAATTACTTTTTAAATAGCCAAACATTTATAGTCAAACAAAATATCTTAACTTAAAGGACAAGCTAACACTCAAACGTTAAAGCTGATTTATTATGTGTGCTCTAATTTTTGGCATCCTGCAGTTAAAAAGGTTTTAACTTCAGGTAGGTAAGTTTTGCAGTTTTGCAAACATTGTTACCTTATCTTTTTGGAGGACAACCTGACAAGCTAAACCTCAAACACTCATATCATGTAGCTTAAGTGGATTTACAGTTTTATGATTTCTTTGCTTTCCAAGGACACTAAATGTGGAGGAGCTTCTCTGAATGGGTGTTTGCTCTGACTAACGCAAAGAATGTTGTCTTTGAATATCTTTGCATTTTGGACATTAGAAAAAGAAAAAAAATGCTCTTGGGAAATACTATTTCTACTTAAGACAATAAATGCATAACAATAGGGGAGAGTGGGGTAAGTTGAGCCATAGGATAAGTTGAGCCACCCCCTGTTGCTTGGAAATGGTAAAAGAAATTGATCATTTGACCAAATATACAGGAGATTTTTTTTTTTTTCTCAAAAATACAGCTGTGAATGCTCTGAATCACTTAAAGGCATTCTCATGTTAAAATGACTTTTTACAAAACAGCTTTTTAGCAGTTATATGCATTAATAATAAAAATAATTATTGTACCAGTTGAGTATCATATAATAGATAAAAATACACATGAATGTGAATAAGTGACTGTTATTTAGGGAAAGAGAAGGTGAGGGAGGGCTGGGGTTGAGAGTGCAGGAAGGAGGGGATATGGCTCAACTTACCCCGTTCCTATGGTCAACTTACCCCATACACAGGGTAAGTTGACCATAGGTGACCACTTTTTTTTGGCATGCTATACTATCAAGACAGTTATGGTTACACTCATTCTGTTGGTTTGCAGGGATGAACAACATCTTGAAATATATGCAGATACACTAGTTAGAGACAAAACTATGATTGACTTGATGTAGTGATCTGAAATATGAAAAATGGCTCATCTTACCCCACTCTGCCCATATGAATTTAGCTTGACTGATAAGAAAACAATGACATTTTTGTCGATTCTCAAATATTGCAACCTACAAAGGGGTTTTAAAACAAATCCCTCCTATCAACAAAATGACCATGAAACTTGAAACACAATAAGAAGCACAAATGCAGAACACAATGTGTTATTATTCCTCACAGAAGAAAAGCACACCCACCCAGGAAAGTGGGCTGAAAATGTGATACATGTGTTATTAGCATAAGAATCAAGGCTGATCCCTTCACTAGTACTTGATGTAATTTAGATATCAGACTGTACACAGTGTTATGATACACGCCCTGAACAAACACGTCAACACCCTCATTTATACATGAGCCATCTCAGCGTGGAAAAAACACTTCGTCTGAGTTGTTTGGGCGCAACCATTTGGGGATGATTTGGGGTTTTTCACTACAAACATAATAAATCCTACCCGTGTAGTGTAGATAATGCGACTGAGATTATGGTATTACGAGGGGAAAAAAAGACATAATCCCTTCAGATCACCTCCAATAACACGCGGACCTAATCATGACCTCTCCATGGTGCTGAACTGCTAATTAAAAACAATAGGAGTCGGAATAGACTTGGTTGGGTGGAGGTCCAGTTTTAATCGGAATAACATAACACGCATCCTGCCCTGCCCTCTGCGTCTACTGAGGTGGTCTTTTAACAACCAAATACGCAGAAGTTTTGCCGCAGCTGCAGGAGTGGTTATTGTGGTTGCTCTGGTTTCCCTACAAGTGGACGCCGCAATCCCATCCGGACAAATATCGATAAGATAATCCGATATAATAAGGCTTTCCTACGCACTTAGTCCACAGCGATGAGGCTGACTCCGTCCTCAAACACTACTCCTTCTCCCATCTGGTTGCAATATTATCCTGCTACTGCAATTCACATCGACCTTGATTTGAAGCATCGAGACTGCACCATGCTGACATCCAGTTTATGGGCTGATGTTGTAGCAGCAGACATTCAGCATTGTCCTCAGCCCTGTTATCGGAGGCAGGATAGGCCTTTGTGCATCTCTTCAACCTTATTTTACAGCTGTGCTCAGATACATCACCGCGGTACTCACCAACATCCGTGCTGTCGGTGGCCTTCCTCTGGAAATGCCCGTGTGCCGATCAGATCAGATTGCTGTCCGGAATGGTGATTTTTGAATAAAAGCCGCACAGCAGCCCTGGAACCTGTGTAGAAAATACACCCCCCATCATGCTGCTGCGCTCTGTTTCCCAACAAATAACTCAAGAGATGCGTACAGAGGAAAGAGAACAATAATGTCAAAACTGTTAACCTATATCACACATTTTTAAAGCCAAAAGGAAGATATTTCTTTGACATCAACAGTTTAATTGGGTGGGATGTAGAAAGTATAATACATTACGTGCATATCTTTGAATCTACGTGGATTAATCAATCTTACTCTAAAATGTGTATATATACATATAAGTATGATAAAAGTGTACTATTTCCGATTCAAAGTGCTACCGCTTTTCAAATTTAGTAAGAAAAAAATATCGATGTTGTTGGGACCGATTATTCCACCCTTACAGACGCTCTGCGCTCTGCTTGTTATGCCTGAGAAGTAGTGATGGGCTCGGCAGTTCTTTTAGATGTACTGAATCACTAGAATCGGTTCACTGAAAAGATTCGTTCAAAAGATTCGTTCATCAAAACACCAAATCTGGGACCAGGAGATGAGAGTGTTTGGCTGTGTTGCTTTGGCAAACCGGTTTGTAAAAATGAACTTGTTTATAGGTCATTAGTTTTAAGTGTACTGTCCTATGGTGTGCTATTTCTCAGGTCTGCTCAGTAAATTGGAGTCAGTTCACAGAAGGTTTAGAGGAATTCACACTGAACATGCACCGTTCCCTCACAAACCGCTGCAATGATAGAATGCTGCGGGTTTAATGCACTATTTGTTACATGCTGTGTCCCATTGTATGCAAGTTGTTGTAATGGCAATTTAGTAGTTAAAAAAAGGTAGTTTTGTCCAACAAAAATTATTACAGAGAGTGTAGTGTGATTCAGGTGTTGGTGCATGCCCTCCCTCGCTCACTGGCTGCTGGCCTGGCAATGCTGTTTCTCACTTCAGCTCAACTGAAGTGAGAAACGAACGAAATACTCGAGGAAGTGATTCGGTTCTTTTGAACGAATCGTTCGCGAACGAAACAACACTAGCCTGAGAAGCGGGATTGTTGCACAGACTATGGATTGTTGTCTTGCTACTCTTGCCGCTATGATAACGTGTGTCTTAAACCGTAGACGGTCGTCATGACAATAAGTTTGGCGTTTTCGGAGACTTCCGAGCATTGTCAAAATGCAAAATAGGTAGGAAAGAAATGAATAAGTGCAACTTTCCAAGTTAGCGTTAGCATTATCAGTCAGCTAAACCCGTTAGCTTTACTCCGGCTAGTCCTGCTCAGAGAGACACAAATCCAGACATCGCAGAAGTTCTCATCGATCAACAACTCTTCCCACATCATGACCGAGAGAGCCGGTAAAGACTCGCCCAAGCGAAGGTTGTCATTGTCTAAGAATAAGAAGAAAGGCGGTGTCAAAGCTGGGGTTTCTGCCAGTGCTGCCACCACCACAACTCCCATCACCTCTTTCTTCAGCAGCCAGCCTCCACCTCAGCTAGCCTGCCCGCTGTGTGGCCAACTGGTACCAAGATTCAAGATCAATGAGCACATCGATTTACAATGTCAGAACTTTGAGAGAGGGGACAGCAGTGCAGCCTCAGCAAGTAAAAGTGTTGTGCCAAGCATCCATCTGTCACCAAAGAGGAATCCCCCAAAGTCCCCAGAGTTTGATCCGAACAAGGAGGAAGAGGTGAAAGAGGCCAAGACCAGCCCTTATTTTAAAAAGAATAACTGTCAGCAGCAGGCACCTCGGGAGCTGAAAAGTACACGTGTGGTCAGGGCGCTTGACCTGGGAAGTCTGGCCTCTAAGTTATCCAGAAAGCGTCATACAGGGCAGGAGAAGACAGAGACAGAGGGTAAACATGTGTCAACATACCCTGAAAAGGATATGAGCCCATCTGATTTGCTCAGCAGCTCACAGAAAGAAAATGTTCTCATGCAGAGTGAAGAAAACAAAACAGGATGTGAAACAGTCATAGCAGCCAGTTTCAACACTCCAAAAACAGTGGATCATAAATCATGTCCAGAGAAAGGACATGAACTTGATCACAAATCAAATGAATCTAATACAGTCCAAACACTGGTTACACCAAAGCTGCGCTCCTCTTTCTCTAGACTTGCAAAGAGAAAAACTTCCACAGACCAAGCATCTGTCTCCAGAAAGAAAGTAAAACATGAAGGGAGCAGGGAAGAGTCGGAGAAACAGCCATCAAGTGTAACTATTGAAGAGATGACTGATACAAACCAACCTTCTACCTCCAGTACCTGTGACCCACCTCTGGATTCAGAGAAGACATGTGAGAATAAGGCTGCAGTGATAAATAGTGATTCCACTGCTGAGTCTGGTGATGTGAACACTAACAGTGACCAGGCTGTCCAGATCTCTCCTCCTCCACGACTCCCTTACTACCTGCGTAACTTCTGTACCGTGCTTGAGGCTGTCCTGGAGAATGAGGATGACAGAGCATTGTTCGACCAGCAAGATATGTCAATTATTCATGCATTTGAGAAGCTCTCAGGTATGCTGAAATAACATCTAACATTAACTGTTACAAAATGCAAGTAAGAAGCCTCATCGCTCTCATGTGTTTTTCTCTCTGAAGTCATGGGGCAGAAGCTGTACGTGAGGCTCTTTCAGAGGAAACTGAAGTGGCTCCTTGTAAATAAACTGGATTATGAGGAGATATGCAGTGATCTGGGACCTGTCACTCAAGAGCTGGTCAACGCTGGTTTTCTACAGTCAGGTAATTGAACCATAATGATATATTCTGACAAATCTGAACATCTTTGGCTTTGGCTGCAAAACTCAGCCCTAAATCAAGCCAAGCCCTCACCAGGTTTTTTGAAAGCACTGTAAATGAAGTGTATTTAAATATGTATAAATGTAATTACATAATCCGAGATGTATCATTTTCCGTCTTTTCTCAACGACTTCCTGTGCTTTCTCCTCAAATTTAAAGAGAATGATCTTCAAGACTTGAGTGAAGCTCTGGATCTCCTGCCTGCTCCTGAACTCAAAGCTCTGGCTAAGACTTTCCATCTGGGGAACTCTGGGACTCAAAAACAACAGCTAGTGGATGGGCTTCTCCGCCTTAGCAGGCAAAAGTCTTTCTTCTCCATGACCCCTGCACAAAACAACATTGGGACAGTCATCCTGAAAAGGTGAGATGATGTGATATATTATGTTTATTCACAGTAATAGTTTAGCTGTGTTGACCTAAATTATGTTCTGCTTATTATAAAAGGGCGAGGCAGCTTGCAGGTTCCTGTGTGCGTCTGTGCCGTGGTCCCCGGGCTGTCTTTTCTCGAGTCCTTCTGCTCTTCTCTCTGACCGACACCATGGACGAGGAGGAGATGGCGGCTGGTGGGCAGAACCAGCTCTTCACTATCCTGCTAGTTAACTCTGGACGTTTGGCCTTCCCAGATTACAAAGTGCAGCGAAAAGCAAAGGTGTTCCTGGACAGAGAGGATCTCATCAGGTTAGGATCAACTAAAAGTGTTTAAATCAGGTTTATTGTGTTTTATCTTTACATGACAGCCAGGGATAAATACTCTTACTCTGTCCAACAAAAAACAGATATGAAGTATCCATGCGAGCCCTGCTTGAGATTGTCTCAGCCATGCAAGGAGGTCAGTGGGAAGAGGCCATGGAGCTTTATACTGCTGCCAAAAGTGTCTGGCAGGAGCTGAAGGAAAGCCATGACCTCAGGTGAAATAATCTTTTTATTGATTCTTCCTCCTCGAACCAAGATACAGATTCCAAAGATATTGTTTCATGTTAACTTTATTGCTATGTGTACAGTCACTACGAGCAGCTTCCTGTGTACTTGCGGAGCTTCACGACAGGATGGGCTTACACTCGAATCTTATCTCGAGGGGTGGAGATCTTGCAGAAGCTTCGCCACTATGAGGTTTCCATTTCAAACTCTCTTTCAAAGGTTTTATGAGGTTAAAGTAAATCATTGACAAACAGGCTTTATATATGCAGTATTTGAAGATGTGAAACTTGATTGTAGTCATTTCTAGGCCTGGAAAATTACAGAGACAAGTATATGGAGAAATCTGAATCAGCATTAAAATGTCATTTTTCTTATTGGTTCTTATTTACTATAGAGACCAAAAATGTTGGGCATTTGTCGGAAACTTACTTTTGCTATGGGCAGGGATCTCAGAGAGTGAAATATCCTCCAACATTTTGCATAGAAGTGAGGAATGTACTGCTGTTATGTGTAAACACAGCTCTATTTTGAAAAATACTACATAGCTTAGAAACAGATAAGGGTAAGATAGTTGATTGACAGTTGCAAAAGAAAACTATGGGCTGTGTCAAACATGGTTCAAAGTCTAACCTGAGATTTGACAATGTGTGGCATTATGAGATGTAGTATTTGTAGAATAGAGATTAAAGATTATGTGTCCACCTATTCACACAGGAAGCAGTAGAGGAGCTGAGGTCATTACTGTTGCAGTCTGTTTACTGTCCTGACAGCCGGGGACGATGGTGGGACAGGCTGGCTCTGAACCTTCATCAGCACTTGAAAAAACCAGAACAAGTAAGCAGTAGAGTCTGTCATGGCATTGAACTTACAACTCATACATTTTTGCTTGCCTGATTGTGTCTTTTTCCTTTTTCTGAAAGGCTATTTGTGCTATCAGAGATGGTCTTTCAGACCCTCTAGTGCGGACCGGACATAAACTGTCTCTTCACCAGAGAGCTGTCAGGATGAAAGAGTCTGCGAGCTTCAAGAAGTTCCGCCTGCGGCTCAAAGAACTGCCCACAATAGAGGTCCAAGATGTCAGACATGTGAGTCCAGCGTATTATTAAAACTACACAGGGCAGAAAAGCAAACTGTGTTAAATTGGTTGGTGTATGTAGAGAAATGGTTTACAAATGAATGGCTTTACTTTTGTCTGCAGGTAACAATCCGGGGACAGTTGTTCCCTCATGAGGGGGGTACAGGGAAATCAAGGTTTCTAATACCAGCTAATGGAGAGGGAGAAGAGGATGCTAATGCTACTGTTATCTGCTCGGTGGAAGAGCTGTCTTTAGCACATTACCGCCAACAAGGTTTTGATCAAGGTAAGCTGTTTTTCTACACCTGTAAAAAAAAAAAGTGTTTAAATGCCCTTTAATTATGATTGCTATGTGTTGTGTTAATGTAACAGGAATCCATGGAGAGGGCTCCACTTTCTCAACATTGTTTGCTCTCCTCCTGTGGGATGTCATCTTCATGGAGGGTGTTCCAGATGTTTTTAGGAATCCATATCAGGTAAAGAGAGCTTTACTAAGCCTTTAAATACTTTATATGTTTGTTTGTTGTTGTTTTCCTCAGATTATCCACACATCTCTACCATCATAACTCCTCTCCCTCTTCTCTCTCAGACATGTCCACTGGATCTTTACACTGACTGTTTCTATGAGAACAGAAAAGAAGCGATCGATTCTCGGGTGCAGTTAATCTGTGAGTCATCTGCAGAGACTCTGCATGACATGCTAGGAGATGTCTGGACCACCCAGGAGGGTAAAGTGTGTTCACTGGTCAATTGGGAGCGTTTTTCATCACTTCAACAGGCACAGGTATTTCCTGTCACTCTTACATTTGCAACCTGTAAAACACCTGAAAAATTTAATGCACTTTATTGCAAAGCTCAACCACAAATTACACTTTTACAAAGATGATTGTTTCGGTTTTCAGTGGTCTTTGAGGTTTTAGTTTGCAGTCGTGTTAATCTGTCCATTATTACACGAAGATGTGTTTTGACATTTTTCCACAGAAATGGAAGGCATAAGATGTTTGCTACACTTCAAATAATTTCAGTACAGAGCAAATATATCATTAACTATGAGCCTAATAATAACCATTTAGTTGAATCAATACCTTTTCATTAGAGATAGAGCCATTGATCAGTAGGTCAATAAATCGGGCTGATTAATGGCACTTTGAAATAATCTGCTTCACATCAGTGTCAGGGGTCACAACACTGAAGTCACCATTGTCTTTTTTAAATGATAATAAGTTTCCTATCTGAAAAGACAGCATCTTAATTATAAAAAAGCAACCGACCAAGTATTATAAATTCTAGTGAAATGTGTAGATTAAAGCAGTATAATATTGCTTCTGACATAAATATCAATCACATTCAGAAATCTACAGCATAAACCAGTAAATTTTCTATGTCATGTTTTGTTTGTCTTTTCTATTTTTTCATTTTGTTAATAACAGATGGCTGGGTAGAAATGAAATGGCTCTTTAGTGAATAGTTTTCTGTATGCATTTATTTGACAGGATGTTCATTCAACTCAAGTGATTTTCCTCTTTATTTGTTAGAATTGATTTTTTTTTTTTGTCAAATACTAAGAATATCTAAATAAAACAATGACATCAGAATTATATATTAGCAACCAGTTGACCTGCACTATGAACCTGCACAATAAAACTGATATCTGTCAACCAATACTTTTTATGTGAACATCTCATGGTGCATTTTAAAACTGTAAAAATATTTAGTGTTTCTCATTTTATCTACCTGCTTTACATATCTGCATGTTATGATACAGGAAACCAGAACTTTATTTACATGTGATACTGAACCGCTTCTCTATATTTACAGTCCCTTGTTTCATGCCTGGGTGGACCCTTTCTAGGAGGGGTAATAGCTAGAATGTCAAAGGACTACAGACACTGCCGCGGAGGTTTGCCTGATCTAGTAGTGTGGAACACTTCAAACAACACCTGCAAGGCGAGATCATACCTCATACTACCTCTGCAAATTTTGCCTTCCTGTCATACATTACTGTTTAAATCATCACCACATGATTCATTGTGCCCTTTTCAATGTGAGATGAAATTTGTTATTGTTTCAGCTGGTGGAGGTGAAGGGGCCAAGTGACCGCTTGTCCCAGAAGCAGCAGATCTGGCTGGATGAGCTGCGGAAACTGGGGGCTGATGTGGAGGTGTGTCATGTGGAAGCTACTGGAGCCAGAGGAGCTCGTTTGGAATGAACAGACACTGAAAAAAGACTGATATGATTTCTCTGCTAACTTATCCAAGTGTGGTCAGTATCAAAACATTTGCAGACATGGTTTCTGAAAATAAGACCTGAGAGCTTTTTCTGATTCTGGTTATCTTAGTCAAATGTTTACTTCTGTTTTTTCTTCTTTTTTCCAAAATTCATGTAAAAAAATAAGAATTTTGTATGGGTTTTGGGAATGTTATTGTTAGGTGTTGAAAGTCGCTGAATTGACCAAAAGATGTGCATCGTGATGAGGATGAGAACTCCCTGGATCAAAAATAGCTTGTGCAGATTATCAGAGCGGATGCATGACAGGAAATGGATTCAACAACCACGCCAAGCTGACGGTGTTTTTCCTATAAACATTGCTTTCTCTTGTTCTTAAGTTGCTAAGCAACAGAAACTCACAATAGGTCGGCTGATTATAAGTTGTATAAAACTCTACGAGTTACTCAAGTAATTACTGTTGTAATTTGCCAACAAATATGTACTGTTTGACCACCACAAATCTAAATGTTCAAAAGTGGAATGTTAAAAATAAAAGGCTGAAATAAATTATTTGAACCATGTTATGTTTCTTTTTTCTTTTAAATGAATAAATAATTGTTTGGTCTACTATAAAATTAGGATATAGTGAAACTGCCTCAAAAATTTTCAAAGATGACTTTGTTACTTGTGCCATTGCTCATGTGGTCCAATCAAGTGTTCTGTTCTACGCTGCAGTCTGCTGGGGAGGAAGCATCAAAAACAAAGATGCAAGACGTCTTAACAAACTGTGGCTGGACTCAGTGGAGGATGTGGTGGAGAGATCTACACTGAGGAAGGTGGAGACTATTCTAAAGAACATGGATCACCCACTTCACAACACCTTGATGGACCAAAGGGCCAATGGTGGCGGACGGCTCCTCTCTCTTTGCTGCAGGACAGAAAGATTCAGAAGATCTTTTGTACCAACAGCCATCAGGCTTTTTAACTCTTGTGTAAATAATAGATAACTTATGTCTTCTTCTCTTATCTGATCGTATCTTATCAGATCCAAACCCCAAATTATTCAGCTAAACTCAGTTACACAAAAAAATGATGAATTAAACCAAAATTGAGAGGTTACTTGTAAATAAACTATTTCATAAAATGTTATTTTTGCCTAAAGAACTTGAGATGTGTTGGTGCAGCGGGTAGTAGATTGACAGTGATTGCTGTATAATGGCTGGTGAGGTTGAAAAATTATTGGATGGTAAAAGTTATTATCTCAATAACTTAATTTCCTTCTAGTATGAAATAATAAAAGACAACTTTGTTTCTGTGTATCAGTGTGTTTGAGTGAGCATGACATGTGGGGGGAAAAAAATCATATAAACTTTATATATATTACATGATATTTCTCCATGTATGGGTGTGCTGTGATGCATGCTGGCCACCATTAGCGATCCACTTGGGGGAAGGGATTCTCAGGCCGTGCAGCGTCTGACGTCATGACGCTGGAGAGAGAGGAGGCGATGAGAGGAGGAAGGTGCAATAAACACACAGGGCGTCTGCGCCTATCTAAGTAGGACAATAAAGTGAAAACGGTATCAATGTACTAACAATGGATTTGGCAGAAATGCTTCTTCTCAAAGTTTTACTCTTCGTGTACTTACTAAACAATACCCAAGGTGAGTGAGGCGTTTTCAGTGGGAATATTTTAAGTTATGTTGAAATCAGGAAGCAGCGGCAGAAAAGCTGATAGCCTCGTAGCTAACAGGAGGGATCAGCAGTGGGGCCTGCTTGTTATGAGAGGACTGCACCCTTTTTGCCTTTTTAGTTCAAGCTTAGAAATCATACTAAGCGGGATAGCGGACTTGTATTCGCGCAGTTCATTGAATTAATCCGACATTGCAGGGATATTTCTGTGTGCTGTCACCGTGTTTATTGTAAGCGTTGGCTCGGTTTTGTTGTTATCGTGCGAACACCGCCGACAGCCATTGTTATGAGGAGACGAGGAAGCCGACTGTTAACGAAGCGTTAGCTCTGTACTGGCTAACCGTTTAGCCGTTAATATAAGGCTTTTCCTCGAAATTATTACAGTTACTGTTTTCAGTGGTGTTATCGACAACGCGTCAGTCTTTTCTGTGAAAATGTCCCAAGTTTTCAGGTTTTCTAGAGCATTTTTGTTTCTATGGTTGCCTTGGTTAATGCTGTGTCCAGTGCTATTTCGCTACTCTGTTATTTGACGCTGTGTAAGCAGTTCCGGCTCTGAAGTCTGTTAGATTTAAGAAAATAATAGACATTTTTCGAAGTTTTGGTAATTTACATATTTTTATTAAACCTCCTTTCAGGTTTTTTACTTGTGTTTTGTACCTCAGACATTGTACATCCGCTGTATGTCGCAACCGGGTATTTAATTCTACGCCTAAACCCCATAACGGGATTAAATTAGCCATATAGTACTCAAATGGACGTCTACAGAAGACCCGGTCATTTGGAGGTCTATGTTTGTATATGGCGATCACAGTCATTTTAATCCAGAGCTTTAACTTGTTTCAAACTGTCAGCAAAAGCAACTAGAACTTTTTCACACAAATAAAACCGATTTAACCTGAAAATTACACATAAAACAGTCAATTTAGTGGTACTGTCCTGTGATATATCATTCCAGCATATTGCGTTCTTGTGTACACTTTTGGATTATCTGGTGTTGTCACAGGACATACAAATCTATTTCTTAATGCATTGTTCATTGTTTATTGTTTGTTGTCCTTGAGAAATTAAATCTTTTCAGAACAGACATAGCCTTTTCTCTCATAGTCAAACCTCACTGAAATATTTAATGTTAGCATTTAAATATTTCAAGATTCACATGAACAGGAAACCCGGTCTGCTTATCTATGGGTGTTACATTCTTGGGCTGAATCTTGTAATTTCTGGGTGACTAGTCAGTCACTAGTCATGTGACTTAGTCAAAGATGTAATCCTACTGTGTGCTCAACACACTGTGTAAATACCAAACCACATTAACTTTCAGAGGGGCTTTAAATGTCATATCAAAATCACAAGGCCTGCTTTGAGTGTGAAGCAGTTGGTTAAATGGGTGGAGGTGATAGAGAATCCTTTTTGTCCTAGGAACCCACCACCCACTCTTCTGGTGGCAAAATGATAATGCTGTGACGCTGGGGGCTGTTGTTGAGCGCAGCTTCAGAACTGGCATCCGTTTGACTTAAATGGATTTTGCTGAATTTTAAAACACAGTCTGTACTGGTTTCCTGTCAGTTCCCATTAATCCTGCCTGTCACATATCTGCCATGATCATCCATTTTTTTGTGCGCCTGAATAATCCTTAAAAATGTATTATGCCAAAGTTATTTACACTCAAAAAACTTAGCTGTGGCACTCTGTTGTCACTTCTCAGAATCAGATTAAGAGGCTTTTGTGCTTCAGTTTAGCGGGTATTTGCCGAGACTAATGAATGTTATTTCAGAAGGGTGTATGGAGTTTCACTTTTCAAGAAGTTGTAACAGGAGTTACTCTGTTTTTTTTCACACAGGGCACTATAGGAATCCCCTGGACAAGTACATCCGTCACTATGAAGGTCTGTCATACGACACAGAGCTTGTGCACAGCAAGCACCAGAGGGCCAAGAGGGCGCTCTCTCATGAGGACTCGTTCCTTCATTTAGATTTTCATGCCCATGGAAGGTTTGTCAATTTTTTTTTCATGTTCACATTAATCCAAAGGTAACCTTTACCTTGATCTTTGTCTTTTCTGTGTCTTATACTCTTGCTCTTTATTTACGTGGCTGCTTACATGTTTTCAAAGCTCTTACAACACAGAGATCAGCAGTTTCAGAGATTTGTGGAATGATTGAGAGTCATTTACGTTTAATCCAGCGTAATATACTCGTAGACCCGGTCAGGGGTATCCCAAATGCTCTCTCACAACAAAGGATTTTAAATCCTGCCCTTGGTTCCCTCTGTGAGTTTTCAAATGGCGGGTCCACAAAATCTAAATGATAAGCTTTTCTTTACTTCCTGCTTCACAGTTCAAAATGAATGTGTATGGGAATGTTGGTTTGATGGCAACGGATTGTAGGATGAACAGCTTTGGTTTGGGATTGTTGTAACTGGCATTTTTCCGCCGCCTTTTTTCAGTCGCTCTGATACCTGGGATCAGTATGAGTCAAAGTATTGCCCAAAATGCAACATCAGAGAGTAAGCTCGTCTGTGTTCAGAATCAGATCTGATGCCATAAAAGGAACAATAAAGGAACACTTTATCTTATCTTATAATAAATTAGCCTCCCAAGAGTCACAGGTTTTAAGTGCATTGTATCTATGACAATAACAAACAACAATAGTGTGGTGCTTGCTGAGAGCAGTGGTTCATCATATGTAATAAAACGTAAAACTTCAAGGAAAAAATACTTTCAAACATCTCTATGATAGGACTTGTGTATAAAAATAATACATTTTGAATGTTAATGTATATCTTCAGTGAAAAGTATAAAAACCCTGATGATGGACCATTCTAAAGTTATTCTTGACTAAACACAAAACCTTTTTCATGCACATTTGTGGACCCACATGTCTGAGTCTGATCTCGCCCTGGTATTCTCACACATTTTAATTTAATAAAAATACGCAAGATTTTGCAATTAGGATGTTGATGCACTAAGTCATACAGTGGTTTTCAGTCTCGTTACAGCCCAAGTAAAGATTTATCTGTTATCAGTTATCTGACCCTGCATAACTCTAGTGTTTTTGTACCCAGGATACCCGTGCAGGAACCCCCTCCAAATGTGAACGATAGATAGATAGATTCACACACACATAGTCTTAATCCCTAGTCCATCCAGCATTATGAAGAGGTGATGGTGCTTGATAGAAAATCTCTACACTCTTCATGACAAAGTCAAGACCATCTGGCTGGAAGCTTGGCAGAGGCTGTTTATCATCCTGCCTGTAGCAAGGCCTGCTGTTCCCAAACTCTGATGTTGCTTTAAAGGGAAGAGAACAACACGAGCTGAGCAAACAAACACAAGGAAGGAAGATGTCTATTCTTTTGAAAAGCCAGAATGTGTCTGCTGTTTTTTTTAATTTCATGACAAAGCCGGAGACATCGCGCTAGTTCTTACGTTGAATTTGCTGAACTCAATCCACCTCCTGCTCACTGGCTTTGTGTATGAGCATGTTCTCAGATAGAATTTCAATGTACCAATCCCCATATTCTCCTGAGATTGAGTCAAAACAGAAACCAACCGTGGCTCCTTAACTTTTGTGCACATTCACAGTCAGATTCATGTGCCATCTCATCAAGTTTGACGGTATTCCTCTAATTAAAATGTTCAAAGATCTTTTCTATTCTTCCAGTTAATTAAACCGCTGTGAATGACAAAGTGTAAAGTAGCTTCCACATACACATTACAAGCGTACAATAAGAGCACTGTGTAGGTGTCACATGAAACCAAGGTTGAACTGTAACATCTTTGTTTCCCTGCCATATGTTTACTCAACACAAAACAGCATTGTTCCAAGATGTCCTGATTTTCTGTTCCCTCCCTTGCTAGATAAAGACTGCAGCTCCACTCGTGCAACTGAAACAATTGTGATGTTTTCCCTCTGCCAGACTATGTCCTTTCTGTCCTTTTCATTTCTATTTTCTCAAACGCTGGGTGTACATCGCTTAGCATCCAAAGTAAAGTAAATTCATATCCACGCCCAAATCTACAGGCACAAACTCTGTGGCATGAATAAAATCAGCAGACAGTTTGGGGACATCAAAATAAACAACACTCTCAACAGAGACAACACTGTAAACCACAGTGTGTAACATGAGCCTCATATTATTTTCTTAGACTTGATTCCAGTATTGAACTTAAGCCACAAGTAGACACTGATTGTAAACACAGTGGTCAACACACTTAGTGATATTTTTGATGTTGTTAATGCAGCAAATTCACTCCGACATGATTATATTAGAGTTTTTAAAGTATAATGCTCTGAACCAACTATTTCATATTGAAGGATTTAAAATTATAACTCATTGTCAGCTATACTTGATGTTTATATTTGATGACTTGAGCAGGTGTTAACACTGTATTGTGATAACTCTGAAAATGTGTTATTTTGAGATGTCTGGAAAACTGACTCTTGTCTGATCAAGCATGATCTATTTATTTTTATAGAATATGTTAAACATTTGTAAACACATATGTTCAGTTTGAATATTCAAATTTGAAAATGATGAATGCTTGATTATCTCTATTATTCGAGTGTAGCTGCATAATAAACTGCCCCAAAATTAGCTTTTCTATCTCTGCCATGGTCATCTGACAAGCATTTATTTCCCTAGCTACTTTAGTGACCAGTCCCGCTCCATCTTGTTTGATTGGCTGACTGGCGCCGCAACGCTGGCACCTTGGCAAATGGCATAGGCTGGCAGCTGCTGCAGCCAGTGATGCACTTAATATACACTCTTTGAGTGAGTGCCCTTAAAAAACCACCCCTGGATGCGGTGGTTTCTTTCTTTATGCTTAAGAACTGCTTATCATGCCCTCTCCTCCTCAGGAGTAGCTCTACAAACAACTGAACAGGCTCATGTAGCTAGCAAGCTAATGCCCAAACCGTAATTATGTTATGACAGAAAATATTTCTGGTTCTGAAATCATGGCTTTTTTTTTTAACTGCAGCATACATTGAAGCTTGTAATTGGCCCGTGCCAAACTACAGAGTGGGTGCCAGACATAATTCAAGGCGGGGAGGGGGAAATAACTATGCGCGCTTTAGTGCGCCAACCTTTTGAAATAAACATCAAACATATTTCAACATTTAAATAACCATGAAACCCAAGCAATAATCTAAAGATAGTTGTACCTTTTAAACAGCTGGAGGTGGCGAGTGTTGGCACTGAACCTCCTAAGGACAGTGTCCCTCCACTCCGTAGTACATCTGCAGGTCAAGTCTCTTTCAAAGGCACTGTTGTAACATAAGTTGGTTAGGATGGCATTTGTCATTTGGCGGGTGATGGGTAGTTTTGCTAGCAGGTGCCTCTTAGCTTGCCACAGGAAATAGTGCTTGCTCTGCAGCTGCTTCGTGGTTTCACCCACTTGGGTTGATGTAGCTGAATGAGACCTTGGCACACCACCTTTCAGCCATTTTCTAATAGCTATCTCTCCGCAATTTTTGCAGCCTTTCACAAGTCTCTCACCGAAATGTACGCCAAAAACGGTCAACACTTATTTTCCACTGAGCGTAACACAATGCAATGACAGTGAATGAAATCAAACCAAATCAGCAGGTCTGGACGTCTGCAAATACGATCAACATGATTTTCTTTTTCTTTTTATTCCTTAAAAATGTTTGTAAATATTACAAAAAAAGAATTCTATAAATATAATAATAAAAAGTTTGTCCCAGGGCTCCCCCTGTAGAGTCGGAGGAGTGGAGTCAGGGGGCACAGTAGGTCAGCAGAGGTAGGGGGGGGGGTGGCCTGTGATTGCCCCCTCCCCACACACATGCACACACACGCACACACACACACGATACCTAACCATGGTGCTTTGCTCCCACAGACCTTGTTAAGAGTATTATGGGTTAGAGTATTATGCTTTCGAGGCACAGAGCATGATTTCTCCGATGGATTACCGATCAACTTAATGCTCTGTGGAAAAAAGTCTTGTAGGCCTATATCTATTTACTTTTATAAACATAGCTCTGTTACTGATATTTATGCGATAGATCCATATCCACCCAGTCCTAGAAGTGCATGTATGTCAATGTAAAAGTCTATTGGTGATCTGTGTCATCTGCCCTACTGGTCTTTTTTCCTCCTGCTGATGGTTTCATCTTTTTTTCTTTCATTTAAGGCAATTTAATTTACGAATGAAGAGGGATACCAAGTTGTTTTCCCAGGATTTTAAGGTGGAGGTGTCAGGACAAGAGATTCCATATGATACCTCTCATATCTACACTGGAGAAATTTATGGTGAGATGGTCCCTCCTGTTCTAGCGTAGATTTTAACCATAAGTAGATGATCCAAAGCAGATTGTAACCATGACATGTGACTATCTAATCATGAGGGAATCTTCTCTCACAATCTTAGGGGAGAAAGGCACACTCACTCATGGTGCCATTGTGGATGGTAAATTCGAGGGCTTCATTCAAAGCTACCACGGCACCTACTATGTGGAGCCTGCTGAGAGATACCTTGGAGATAAAGACGTGCCCTTTCATTCAGTCATCTATCACGAAGACGACATACGTGAGTCCCCCGCAGCTTTGGCTTCACCTACACTTTGGCAAATCATTGTCTTGTTATCACAGTGTATGTGTAATTGGATGCAGGTATATGTTAATGTGTGATCAAGACAGTGCAAGGACAAGGCAGCTGAGCGTGTTCAGGCAGGTTGGTGTGATTGCCCTCCAGGGAGCAGAGACACCCGCGATGCTCATTAGCCGAGTTACACGATCTTTCTCCTGGGCTACCAGCTCATTTTATCAGTCTTTATAATGTTGCACTGTGCCTACTTCACTACGCTGGCATCCCTTAATTTGAAATCATCTGTTTACATATAGCACATGGCTGAGAGGCAAATTAAACACAAATGTGAGACGAATTCTTAATAAGAACGACAAAATAGTAGCAGCTCACATTGCAAAGCTAGGCTCAAGTGATCTGTAAGTACATCCTTCAGCTGATCATGAATAGTGCCAGAAATAGAGTGACTCAGGGGGTTAAGCAGCTATCATTGTCTTTCATAATCCTGACAGTGTTGTGTCTGCTTTTCTCACACAGAGTACCCGCACAAGTACGGCCCAGAGGGAGGCTGTGCCGATAGCTCAGTGTTTGAAAGGATGAAGAAGTACCAAGCCTCTGCCACTGAGGAACCACCCAAGGTAAGCCCATCCACATACCACAGGAAAACCCCTACAGTGTCTGTTAAAGAGTTTGTTGTTAAGTCGAGGTCCTGAGTCCAGGTGGATGGACAGAGTCATTTTAGTTTTGCAGTTTTAAGTGAGCCCCATGAATAGAGTCCATTGCCCTTGTTGCTGGTTTGACTCCTGACTCTTCCTAACACTATTCCTGGTAGAAAGGCAGAAATGGGACAAAAAATGGTCCAGAAGTCAAAGCACCTCACGTTAAGAAGCTATAGTTCCTGTCTTGGCAGTCGCAATGTCAATTTTGCTGCATGTCTTCTCCCACTCTCCCCTCCCCAGATATCCCATCTCCCTTCATCTGTCTCATCTTAAAAAGGCAGAGATGCCCCAAGGTAGTTTATCTGGAGGCTGGAGTTACTGCATACATAAAGAAAATGAAGGTGGTGGAGTATGGCATCGCAAAGTTTGGCCCGCTCCAAATGAGATGGATATGAATTTTTAAACACTGATCGATAGTCAAACAACTGGATTCAAGAAATTTTTGGTTTGACTGAAGAAAAAATACAAATCCTTAGAACACACGAGGATGTATTTTTAAATGAGTTTATTTCTATAATTTTTTTAAACAAGCCTGTCCTTTAACTGAACAGTTTGTGTCGGTTCTTTTAAATGACGTTTCCCTTCCATCATCTTCATGTACTGTCCATACACAGCACATGTTTTCCACTCGCACGGTAGCTTAAACTCAGCTGCCTAAAAATACCAGGCATGATTTATTCAGCCACCTTTGATAGAAAATGCTATATATGTTTTATTTAACCATCTATTTCCTCCTCTCTAACCCTGGTGCTACACACAGCCGGAGCTCCACGCTGAGACAGCCTCTAATGATCCTGTGCTGCTGAGGAAGAAGAGGATGGCCCAGGCAGAGAAAAACACCTGCCAGCTTTTTATACAGACAGACCATCTCTTCTTCAAGTACTACAAGACCAGAGAGGCTGTCATCGCTCAGGTAACACACGCTCACTTACTCACCTGATGCATCCTGCTGTGCTGCTTTAAGGATTAGATTTACACAGCAAGTAGGTAGGATTTGAGTCTGATGGTGGAGAGGTATATTTTTAACCAACGGTAACATTCAACGGTGTTAAGGCTTACGCTGTATAAAAGGTGTAATAATTGCACCACCAGTGAGTTGTGAGTCATGACACATATGAAAATATCTCATCGTCAGGGTTGTGAAGTTGTTATGTTGTAATGCCTGTGTTACACTTGGAAGTTTAAAACTTGTAGCTTGGGACTACAGACAAAAATGGCAACAAGCAGTAAATCCTCTCAAGTTGTTTGAATGGGAGTGTAGGACAACTCTTAAACCGTTGACTCATTAATCTCTTCTCACTCAATCTACAGAGAGTTTGACGAAGACAGCAGTATGTTGTTAGCTCAGCCTCAAAATGTCTAAATATTTGAAAGCACTGCAAGGCTCAATTTTCTCACGATGCATTGGTGATTCTTTAAGTTCATCATGTTGGATATAAAAAACCTCTCTAAACATTCGACAACACAGTAATAAGACATATTCAGTACATATAATGAGTAACAAGGGAATTTGGACATTTTGAATTTTGTGTTTCAGGAACTAGTGATGTTCAGTTTTTTCACCAAGAGTTTGTCAGATGAGATAAAACATCTAATCGTCTTTAAAAGTGATGGGAGTATTTCTATCTTGTGGTCATCACTATGCCGCCTGTTCCTAATGTTTCTAGTATTTGTACTAAACATAACTGAGAGTGGTTGGCAGTAACTTCATGTGTATTCTGTTTACATCAGATTAATAGCTGTGTTGTCATGTGAATCTTTGCTAGAGGGCCTTCAGGTTTATTTCTCAGCAGCTTGAAAAAAGTAATTACTGTTAAGTTTGGCGTATACAATGTTCTTTGAAGTGTTACAGTACATTACTCCGAATATGGCACTATGCACAGACAAGAGCATCATGATCACCAGAGCAGCTACCATCATCATCACCCCCTGCACACAATTTTACAGCAGTGAAAATCTGCTATTCTTTCATGTAAACTTGATATGAGACAAGCGTACATCAGAGGTGGGTGTTGTGAGAGTCTGTGTGAATTGGTTGCAGGCAGTGGGTCTGTTCTTCACAGTAAGCAAAGTTACCCCAAACTACTGCACTGGTTGCTCACAGGTATGCTAATTCAAAGTGATGAAAGCAGATGGTACCAAAAAGAGCAAGACAGCTGCAAAGAAACTACAGGCTGCAGACTATTGCTGACAGCATCAGAAATCATCACGCAGAATGCCGGTCTAAACCTTACACCCTCTGGAAGACACTTAAAAACAGCCTGTGTCTTGTGAACTGGTTCATCAAATGCTTGGAGTTTTACAGTACTGCACATAAAATACAGTATAATACAAGTGCACTGTATTAGGATTATAATAGCACACAGTGTGGAGTGGGTGCTGGAGTGGGAGTGAGCATTTGACATTTTGGGGTTAAAGGTCTTTTCTTTTGTCTCTCTCTTTCAGATCTCCAGTCATGTCAAGGCCATTGATGCCATTTACCAGGGCACAGACTTCATGGGCATTCGCAACATCAGTTTTATGGTGAAAAGGATCAGGGTGAGTGTTGAAATGTTATCTCAAGTTTCAATTCTTGGTTTGGTTTTTTTTCCCCCCGTTTTAAACTCACCCTCTGCATCTGGTGTAGATCAACACCACAAATGACGAGAGGGACCGGTCCAACCCATTCCGCTTTGCCAATATTGGAGTGGAGAAGTTCCTCGAGCTGAACTCGGAGCAGAACCATGATGACTACTGTTTAGCTTATGTTTTCACTGACAGAGACTTTGATGATGGAGTGTTGGGTCTTGCCTGGGTCGGAGCCCCTTCAGGTACTAAAAGACAGTCTGTGTATCTGCTTAGGCCAACAACTGCAAATATCAGTCCTCTTTACAGCAACATTTAAAAGCTTGTTTTGACATCCTCTGTATTATGATGTGGGCAGTTTCTCTGTAGTTTTAGACATTTAGATTATGGCTTATCATGAGCCTTTGTATTAACTTTCTAAGAAGGTAATATTTTCTTGTCTACACAGTGAATTGCAGCTACTGACAACCAACATCCAACCACTTTGCACAAGCTGGTTAATTCACTCTTATCAACTCAGACAATATGTAAATGAGATGATTCTCAAAGATTCTGTCACTGATTTAGTCAACTGGAAATAGCGACATGCTTAACTTCTACGAACTGGAATTCTTGGAATGAAGGTTTAACAGGAAACAATGCTGCCCTGAGGTCTCTTAGCAGACCGCATGACTGGGAATGACAATGAGACTCATTCCAGTTGTAACTTGTTCTTTTTCAAAGTAAGGTGTGTCCGGTGGACTTAAATGTTCTTTTTATTAGTCATGAGGTGAAGGAAAATTTCTCTCTTTCATGAGCAAATGGTCGTCACGTGTTGAAACTGTGATTTTGAATCAGGTTTCCTCTCATTTCAGGGAGCTCCGGAGGCATCTGTGAAAAAAGCAAGCTGTACTCCGACGGAAAGAAGAAATCTCTCAACACTGGAATCATCACCGTACAGAACTACGCCTCCCACGTGCCTCCTAAAGTCTCCCATATCACTTTTGCACATGAAGTAGGACACAACTTTGGCTCCCCGGTGAGTTCCTTAGACGTGACACATTTGATGCACAGTGAGGTGGAGCTTTTTTAAGGCTCTTAAACTTTGTCCTTTCTTCTTGTAAAACTGTGATTTCTCTCTTTCTCTGGCGCTCTCGCAGCATGACTCTGGAGCTGAGTGCACCCCCGGGGAAGCCAAGAGCCAAGACAAGAAGGAGAAGGGCAATTATATCATGTATGCAAGAGCTACATCCGGAGACAAGCTCAACAACAACAAGTTTTCTAGCTGCAGCGTGCGTAACATCAGTCAGGTGCTGGAGAAAAAGAGGAGCAACTGTTTTGTCGGTATGTGTTTGTAAGATTTATCAATTCCTACCCCTGTCTTCCTCTGATTCGCATCCATGTGAAACTTGAACCCTTGTGCCATGTTTAATTATCTATTTCAGAGATGCTTCAAAATATTTTCTGTTTCGCACTTAAGAAAAGTAATCTAGGCAGTAGTCCAGTGATATTTTTACTTCAACTGTTTGGCACACAGTTGAATTCTGCTGTCAGACTTAATCCAAATATCAAACCATAATAAAAGAGTGAGTCTGTCTGATTACTGATGTTTTAGGCTCTCACATGTTGAGTTTCCTTCCCCCTTCACATCAGTATTTGTTCACTTTGACTCCTTGAGTGTGTGAGAAATCAGACCTTTTGCCAGAAAACTGTCACTTTACAAAAAACCAAAGTATGAAACAACATTTTCTAAAGACTCCTGAGCCAGATTCTATGTTTATTTCACAGAGTCTGGCCAGCCCATCTGCGGTAACGGCTTGGTAGAGCCAGGAGAGGAATGTGACTGTGGCTACAGCGATCAGTGTAGAGATCAATGCTGCTATGACGCCAACCAGGAAGGCAACAAGTGCAAGTTAAAGCCGAACAAAGTTTGCAGGTAGATGGACATATCTTTGTATTTTTGTATTTCCCTGATCATTCCATTAAGAATATGTTCCTGATCGTTCTGATAACCATTTACTCAATCCCATCAGTCCAAGCCAGGGTCCTTGTTGTACCGCTGAGTGCACGCACAAGGGCCGTAACGAGAAGTGCAGGGAGGATTCAGAGTGCGCTCACCAGGGCATGTGTAACGGAGTGAGCGCACAGTGCCCAGCATCTGAGCCCAAGGCCAACTTCACCGCCTGCCACGGAGAGACTCAAGTCTGCCTCAACGGAGTAAGTGTGTAAAGACTTCACACCTGGAGGAACTGGTTGTTATAGCAGCTTTATATTCATAGCAACCGGTGTCTGATCTGGCTTGTCCTCATGCTCCTCCCCCGCAGGGCTGCTCCGGCTCCATCTGTGAGAAGTATGGACTCGAGGCATGTACATGTGCCAGCCAAGATGGCAAGGACGAGACTGAGCTGTGCCACGTTTGCTGCATGGAGAAGAGTGAGTCATTTACCTTTCCTTCTCTACATTGATAAATAATTTCTTTGTCATTTACTCATTCTGATTTTTGTCTCAACAGTGAATCCCAACACATGCAGCAGCACAGGGTCAGAGCGTCTCGCCCGTTTCTTCAATAAGAAGGTGACCACGCTGCCAGCCGGTTCGCCCTGCAACGACTTCAAGGGTTACTGTGATGTGTTCATGAAGTGCCGTCTGGTCGATGCAGATGGACCGCTGGCTCGGCTGAAGAAGGCCATCTTTAACCCGGAGCTCTACGAGAACATAGCAGAGTGGATTGTGGTAAGTATTCACATATTTTAAATCCTAAATGCTCATTTTTGTAAATTGCCTGGAGATGATTTTTCTGGCACACAGGGGCAAACCGTGCTGTGTGCATTTGTGTATGTAGACCTCCTGATGGGTGAATATTTATATGAAACAACATGTTGATGGTGGAGCTTCTTTACATCACTGTTACAGATTCACAACAGATAAAAGGTTTTAGATTCAGCTTGATTTGTGTTTGATCCTGTCCTCCAGGCTCATTGGTGGGCAGTGTTGCTGATGGGAATCGCTCTCATCATGCTCATGGCCGGCTTTATCAAGATCTGCAGCGTGCACACTCCGAGCAGTAACCCCAAACTTCCCCCTCCCAAACCACTTCCAGGTGAGTCCAGAGATTTACAAAGAAAATAAATTATACTAGATTTTTTTTTTCTTTTAAAGATGAACTTTTATTAGATTACACAGGTGTTACTGTCAAAGGTAACACCTCTTTGAGGGTGTTGGTGAAGGTAAGATATCTGAGCTGTTGGATCTGTTCAGTCACACGTGTAGTTTGAAAAGATATTTACATTCCTCTCTGAACGTTCACACAGGAAGGCAGATATTCAGGTATCTTATCAGTTCTTCATCTCAACACTGACATTGCTGTAGCTGGTGTTTTAAACTGTCTTTAGCTGACATTACGCCTGCAATGATTCGATTAGAATATATTTACAGAGGTTAAACATTGTCTAAATGTAAGTGGCCGTATCACTTCTTCACTGTCCACTCACTTGAGCTGTCCCAGGTTGCAGTGAAACATTTTCATTTCTTTGGTTAACGATCAGAGCAGGTAGTTCTAGAGTCAAGGACTAAAAATGATGCGGTTTGAGGAGTTTGTGACCTCCAGTAGTTTACCCATTTAGGTTAGAAAACACTTGAGGGAATACCATCTTCTGGGTCTCGCCCATCGTGTCATGAGTTTCTTGACTTTGTTGAAGTGCCAGCTCCTTGGTCAAAGCTTGCCCTTGTGTTTTCTGCAAGTTGATGTCATGTGTCTACCTACAATTGCTGCACTTTCATCTTATCTTTCTCTAAACCCCCCGATTGATGCTTTGGAATCTGACACAGACTGCTACACACTGTCACACTGTGAGAGATGACTCTAATAAAGCTGCTTGCGGAGTGTCACTCGGCGTAATTTAGTTTGGAGTAAACTCACAATCTGTCTTTTAACAAGCTTAATTAACCGCCTTCTCCCCGACAGGCACTTTGAAGAGACGGCGAGCGCAGCAGCACGCTAGCTCCCAGGTGCAGCACCAGTCTCAGCACCCGCACTCCCACCAGCACGGAGGACACGGTGGGCACGGAGGGCACGGCGGCCAGCGGCAAGCTCAAAGGCAGCCTCAGCGGCAGGCGCAGCCTCAGAGGCACCACCGCCAGCCCCGAGAGAACTATCAGATGGGCCAGATGAGACGCTGAGACCATGCATCCCAGCCCCCTCCCTCCAATGCCTTGGCTCCTCCTTGTGCCTACAGTGGGAAACAAAAGCGTCACTCCATCCAAAGAAAAGCCTGACATGGTTGTTAGTTATCTTCATATCATCCTTCATTGACAGAAAAAACAGACACAAGAAAAAGAGAAAAAACTATCTAGCAACTCGATTGGCTCTTTGTGGAGTGGACTTGACCATCAGCCATTTCCAAATGCAGTGTGATCTAGCATCTTTTCCAACTCTTCTTTTTTTCTTTTTAAGGAGTGCCAAGGAGTTAAGGAATCATTTGTAGCTTTAGTAGATTCTGTGATGTGTTTTTTTTTTTTTTTCCTTTTTTTTTTTTTTTGAATTTGTTTTATCGCTATGTCTTCTTTGAGTGACACGCCCGTGGCTGCTGGTGAATCTTTCCGTGCTTTTTTTTTTTTTTTTCTTTCTTTCTTTTTGCCATTCTAGCCAGAAATGAGAGAAACTCTGTGGGGATTTGCGGCACTTTTGGGGATTCACACATGTCAAATGGCAAAAGACACAGACTCCAGTCTCTCGTGCAGATAGTCCTCTGCATGTGACTGTACATATTTAGTGTATCATAAGTGAAAACAAACTATTTCTTCTACTGTAAATGTGTTATTCTTCACTTTTTTTCTTTGACTTTTTTTTTTGGTTAGTGCTCTCAGGACTCTTAACACATTATTGAAAGACTGATGGTCGTGATGAGTTCCTTGGACGACAACGTTGAGGATTTGACGCCATCGAGTGCTCTTTGCAGTCGTCCAATCAGGTGGATCTCTGTCACTATTGTTAGTTTGCTAGATAACAGAATATGAAGATCACCATATCCCACTTTCAGGCCTTCTTTGTTCAAGATTTCTTTTTCATCTTTTTTTTATTGTCTTTCTAACATGTTCACTCATGTTGTGTAACAAGCTAGATGATGGAAAGAGTCATGGGAACAGAGAGGAATGGTTATTAGGGATGCACTGAAATGGAAATCCTTGGCCAGAACCAGAAATGAGGAAACCAAGGCCGAAAACCGAACTGGAGGGGTCGTAGACGCCGATTGGCAGCCACATTACCTGTGACTATTGAAGTAGTTTACAACTACTGTGTGAGCAAATGACTGATGTATCCTATGTAACACGTTTTGAGGGTTAGTGATGAAATGCTATATAAAATTGGATTTTATTCAGAATGGTGATCGGGATGTGTGGTGATTAATTGAACCCAATGCTTTGCAGATGCACCCCCCTCTTGAACCTTTAGCATTACACGCTATGTAAATCGCTATTCCTGGTTCTCATATATAGAAATGTTGGCCCCTGCGGTTTTGGCTTGTGTCATCAACACATCTGTTTCAGACGTGTTTCGGTGATGAAAGTCTTTCGACCAAAAAACGAAAATGCAATTTCCGGTGGCCAAATTCTCGGTGCATCCCTAATTTTTACCTAGTTTGGTGCATCTTTTAATTGTCTTAATTGGTTTTGTTTTTGAAAACGAAGAATGAATAACCACTAACTGGAGCTGATAAATGATGAGTCTACCTGTTTCTAATAAGAAGACAAGAGATGTTGAAGGCTGCTGTGGCTTAGTTTAGAGGTGAGAGTCTATCCTGTTGCAGAGTTAGTTTACATGAGTGTTGAAATCAATTTAAAAATGTGTGGATGTACAAAAAATTGTATGATTAAATCATTCTATTATTCTTCAGATAGCGAATCTAAGAACTTTTCAATGTGGGCATGCAGACACATTTATTAAATGTGACTATTAATTGACCAAGGTCTGTAATATTTGTATGTCACTCAACACTAGTTACTTTGACAGCTGTTAATGTTTGTCTTAATGCAAGTGGGAGGGGCAGTGCATCGCAGCAGTGTTGTCACAGTATTCACATATTCCTCGATGTTCACAGTCTTCACAGGATACAAGCTGCTGGTGTTCGATTTATTTTTGAAAACTTACTCGCAGTTGTGTCCTGGTCAGATTCACCTTTCCCTTGAGAGTTTGCATCGGTATGCCAGAAAGCTTTCTACAGTTTTTATGTAACACAGGGTGCTCTTCCCTGTAGAGCAACTGAAGCCACTTACAAAAAAAGAAAAAGTGAGAAAGAGACGTGATGGTTGATTTTTGGTGGGATTGTTTGACCTTAGGTGCCCCCCCTCACTCTTCCTCACTGCAGCATAGCATAAAGGGCACTTTTGGGAGTGATACTAGGATAACATCAACAGAAAAGATTAAAATTTTGTCATGATGTCCCAGGATTTGTTTACCATGCAGACTTATTGCGCACAAATAGGATTACAGGAGTGGGCGTAAAGTTTGGCGCAGGCATAAAAAAAAAAACTCGGGCATTTTGCATTAAATATTGAAAGAAAGATGTATTTTTCCTGTCTGCGTGCTCTGGTTTAATTTAGTCCTGGTAATTCTTTTCTGAATGCATGCAATACTAATCACGACTACTATCTTACAACGCTACCCTGATGGTTGTTGCAGTCACGCGTTCACTGGAGGGGACTTAAAAGAAAAGGGTCTCACAGTCAACAGTTTATTTCACATGGCAGATGAATCAGGTAGGTCGGTGGTTGCTAAAACTTGTCTGTACAAAAAGGAGCTCTTTTTGAAATTTCATCTTCTGGGCCAAATCACAAGCATTAATGCCTGGAGAATTTACATGTAAACTTGTACAGTACTGAAAATTTGCATTTCATTTGAAAATGAAAAATTACATTTTGATACATCTGTTCCATTTTTGTATTCTAATTCCAGAGTAAGTTGTTCAAAGATGTTCATATGTGACAAACTTTCCTTTCTGCTAAGTTATTTCTGTTCTTCTATGTGCTAGTTGAAATGGAGTTTGCTTATACTTTTCTCCACCATCGTCTATGATAAAAACAATTCAGGGTGATGGAGTTAGTGTTACATTCTCATTTTTTTGTCTTCGTTATCCTGTGGCATGGTTTGGGTAGAAGAGCAGAAGAATAATGCCTGTAAATTTTACTTTCTTTTTAATTTCGTAGTCTTGGTAAAAAAGAAAAAAAAAAAGTTTTTAGATCAGCGTGCACTGAAAATGTCCAAATTGAGTTGAAATGTTGTAGGTGATGTAGGCCGAAAGAACACAAGGTTAAAAAGTAATACTACTGTCTGATTTTAATGTTCACTGTGTTTTATACAGTATCGGAAATTTTTGTTCACTTTGAACATTTTTACTAAAAAAAAAAACAGATTTCAAATTGTATTGTGCAAAGAGATGTAATTTTTGGAGTACTTGAAATGCATTAATTAAAAGACTCGTTCAAAATAAAATAGACCCCTGTTTACTGTCTGAACTGTGTGCTCTCTTTTGGATTTTTTGACCTGCAGTCGAAGAGCTGTGGATATATTTCAAAGAGTCACTCCTCACCTTTTTTATATGTAAACCAGTTTACTAGTCACGTGGTACCACTCAGCCTGTGAAAACAGGTATATGTTCTCTAGGGGACACCATGATTATTTAATTGGAAACCTCAAATGTAGAAAGAGAGCATGGGGAGATGGAACAAAAGAGGTGCTAACATAGAGCCCTGAGGAACTCCACAGATAAAAGGGACTGAGGAAGAAAAAATATTTCACATCAAAATCTTGTTTTTGAGGTACGTCTTAAACAGATTTGACACTGTTGAGACCGATCTACTATACTGGCCTTCTAGTCATGCCATTTGACCACTTAAAGAGCTGTTTCAGTCTAAAGCTTTAGGCCTCAAAACAGCTGAAACAAGTTTTCAGCAGCTAAAAAGGCAAACCAAATCATAAAGAACCTGACTGGTGAAGAGCCAATTTGTGCTTGAGTGTCTTGTCTCTTCTGTGCTTTGTTTCTCTAAATTAGATTGAAATGCTTCAAATTTTTTAACAGACTGCATGCATTCCAAATTGATGTTAAGTTTTCAAGATGTGTTGGACCAGCATGAACAGTCTAAAAATGTTAAACTTACTCGTATCCCGTCTACGTTAGCGTCCCTTCGATAGCTCAGTTGGTAGAGCGGAGGACTGTAGTGGCATCAAGCTGAAATCCTTAGGTCACTGAGAGTCATAACCCTAGGGTTAGGGCAAGGGTTAGGGCTAGGGTTGGGGCTAAGGTTAGGGTAAGGGTTTGGCCAGGGTTAGGGTTGGGGCTAGGGTTAGGGTTGAGGCTAGGGTTGGGGCTAGGGTAAGGGTTGGAGCTAGGGCTAGGGTTGGGGTTGAGGCTAGGGTTGGGGTTGGGCCAGGGTTAGGGTTTGGGTTAGTGTTGAGGTTAGAGTTAGGGCTAGGGGTTAGGTTTAGGGTAACCCTAACTTCTAACTGCTAAACCAAACCCTAACCCTTACAGTAATCCCTCACCCTTACCGTTAATGTTCACATGAACCAGTTCACTAGAGGAAGGCAGCACTCACAACCACGACCTTTTCAAGGTTTATCTACTAGCTACTTTTCTTATACATCAGGGAAGTTCAATGAGATAGCAGAGTTTGTTTTCTTAAGCTAAAGGGATCATTTTCTCAAATAAAAAAATGAATATGCTGATCACTGTGGTGGGCCAGACCACAACATACCATGCAGGCATTGCTTACACTAATAAAGTAGGTTAAAGCTCCTGTGAAGAGTTTTTTTTACATATATAAAATCACTCAAAATCACATTGTTGCCTTTTTATGACATCTAAAAGCAAACAAGATTATAAGCAACAAGATGACTGCTCTTATGTTCTAATATTTAATGCCTGAAACCGATACGAGCGGGTTGGTGTGAGCCAAATAGATTCTGCTATTTCCTAAATGTTAACAGAAAATATTCACAATAAATGAAACATTTTACTGTCAAAAGTCAACAGGATGAACTTTTGGTCAGAGGGCAGTATTTAAAAAATATGTAAAAGACAATTTAAAGCTGACAAACTAAAAGTTCTTCACAGGAGCTTTATGTTTATTACAGTTGAATTTGTGCTTTTGCAACTCTAGTGATACAAGTTATGAAAATTTGACTTTATGTCGAGATCTATAGGTGATAAGCGCTTTTCAGGAAATTGAAGAACTGAATGTAGTAGAGGGGCTGCCACAGCAGAGGGAGCAGCTGCTTTGTGAGGTGTCTGTATAAGAGATTTCAGAGTGACCAACATCAGCTCCTCATTCACTGAGCTTTTACCTAATGATGGCCATTTCCCCATCATGACTGCGTCTGATGATGTAATAACCACAGAAAAAATGTACGATGTATCTGAGGAGCACGCTTTTGCACATGCAATGGAATGTGGCCTGCTATTGATTTTCAATATAGATCCTCAGCTGCACTCACTGGCTGTGACATGAATGAGCACAGTCAGCCAAGAGACAAGAGATCAGGCTCAATATTTCCCACATAGTACAGGAGGGGAAGTAGAATATTAGCGCTGCTGCAGAGCGTTTTACCACACTTTTCCTCTGGCTGATGTCACTCTGCTTCTGAAACAATGCCCCAACAGAGAGGACTAGGATACTGACCCCGCTCCACATTTAGAGATACATCTCTGTGCAAGGAGCTGACATCAGAGATGATAAGTGAGGAGTACCTTTTGTCTCCCTGTGCAGTGACAGAGCAGGATTGTAAAAGTGGCAGACGGGCCGAGGGGCGGCAAACACATCCCACCAATGAGCAGCTGACTCTGACAGCGACTAACAAAGAATAAAAACACAGCAGTGAACAAAACCCCGGCTTATTATCAGGCATCAGAGGGTGTTGTAGATTTCAAGGACTTTCTGTCAGTTAGTTTATGTGGATTAAACCTGATGGAGGACATGAAAATAACTCACAGTATGCCTGCAGCATCAAGGATTCCCTTTGTTACTGAAGAATCTTGATTTTTCTCATCTTCAATCCAAAAAAATCCAAAGGGAGCAGAGTGACACCGCTTCACGATGCCACAGAAACCTCTGGAAACATTTCTCATATTGAACTATTTTGGTGTGTCCTTGTGATTTTACAGAGACGCAGACAGAAATATCCACAGATAAATTATGGACCTTGTTCATGTTGATCCTTTTGGGTTTTTTCTCCCTTTCTGATCAACCTGAATCAGCAACAGCAACCAGCACAGCAGCAGTGTCATCCTCAATCGTTCAAAGCCCTTGCGACCTTTAGGTGAGAGAAGTGAAGGGATATACTCACATGCACTTGCACATGTCTCATTATTGAGTGACAGTCAGTCTATGCTAAATGATTTTTTCTCTCTGAGCTCCATGACTGCAATCATGCGATGTACACATGACACTAACTGACAGAAACAATAGTGCAATATGATCTTTGACCCTCAGGATGGTGTTGAACCCCAGCTCTGTTTTATGCTCCACTACATGCCTTGGCTGCTCCAGCTTCTCTGGTGTTTTCTCCTCAGGTGTTAGTGGACCTTAGTTCATATAAAGGCTGAAGCGTGGGGCTGTTATGAAGCTAATATCAGTTTTTGAGTTTGTCTGCTGTTATTGATGTTATTATTCCCACCCTTTACATCCTCGTCATAATTGTAAATGCTACTATCTCATTTACATCTTCTGTGTACATGAAGCTGTACTGTTTATACAGAGAACCCAAATCAGAAGGCGTGTTTATTCAGTGAGGACTGGAAATGTAGGGCAGCCTGACATTTCCTGACCACGCCAACAAAAAAACAACATATTCCTCTGCCAGGTATTCCATATTTCCTGTTTACATTCAGGCTGCAATTGAAGGACACATTTCACACCCTCATCCTGCAGTGAGTTTAGTCTCGCATTTAGATTTACATAGATAAACAAACTGGGACTATATAAGGAAATCTGGAAACCATTTGATAGCTATATTAAGAATGGAAATATTGAAGGGCTTGCTGACAGCTCCATGTTTTCTGCCTCTCTTCCACTGTCCTATATTGGGCAACTTGGCCCAATTCACACTTTTTCTTGATACTGCTTTTGCATTTTCACACTTACATTTCAGAAACTTAATTAGCTTACCTCCAGCTTGCAGTGGCAAATGAAAAAGAAAATGGGTCTTACTGCTAAAACAATATGCCATGAAATCAATATTCATAGAAATTTTTAATACAGACAAAACAACACCCAGTTAAATACAAATAATAATGCACAGGAGGTTTCAAAAAAAGAGAAAATTCTTATAAGTTGAAACAAAAAAAAGTAATATTCACATATCGCTAAAGGAAAGAGAACAAACTTTAAAGGAGCATGTTAAACTATGAGTTTAGTACGACTGTTACCACAGGAACACAGAGGGAAGAGGTTCATGACTATAGTACAGTATTTACATGGTTTATGTAGAAAGTTTGAACAATGCGTAGCACAGCAGACTGAGGTTTTCATGTGTTGATGGAACATAAAGCATACAGAGTTAATTTTAAAGATGATGAGTTCAGATCCAGTGAAACTTGTTGCTTGGTTTGTATTTTAACTACAGATCATACGTAACGTAGCAACAGTTTTCCTGTCTCATAAATAAATCTAAGTTGATTTTGTGTTTTGACCTGTGAGTGGTGTAAAGTTGCCATCACTAACCCTAAATCTGGTCTCTGAAGTGATCAAAGACCTCGTTACAGATGGACGTGTCTCGCTTTGCTTGTAAAAACACTGAAAACTGTCCTGGAGGTAAATGTCTTTTTTTTTTAACTCATGGTGATCATCTCATATTTATCCTTCAGACTGCTGTCGTCATCATCCTCTTCTTCCTCCTCCTCCTCCTCCTCTTCCTCCACATGGGGCTTCTCAGGCTCGGCGTGGGGTTGGTGGCGATTGTGGTGCAGTTCGATGAGCAGGTAGTAGATGACGGCTGCCAGCACGCCGCCCACCATGGGCCCCGCCACAGGGATCCACCACCAGTAGTCTCCGGTGCTGAAAACACATGAGAGGAAAGAGTCAAAAGTATCTCCATCAGCGACACATGGGGCTGTCACTGAGGCCACTGGAGTTCAGCGGCACCATCAGAGGATCAGTCACTAACATCGACTGCATCTGTTGGCTGCATGTGACATTATATAACGGCACGCTTCACTGGCAGCTCAGGTCTGATAGAGAACTCGATGAATAACTTTGATAAAGGGATCTAGCTTGGTAGATCTGACCATTAAGCAGAAATTAATGCAGCACACATGTATGAATTTGTAGTGTCTGTTTGTGAATGTGTGTATAAACGGGAAATGTACATATAAACTGGTTGCACTGAGCTGTGGCATTAACACTGAAATAAACTCATTGCATCAAGATCTCACGTTTATTTTTAAATGTCCCTAATCCCTCTGAGCATTTCTAAAATGCTGGTAGGATTGAAAAAATTAGGCCAGTAGTTCCAACCCTTAAACCATCGTGTTTTGATGTCCAACCTGAGAGTAAATAACCTTTCTGGACAGCAGTTTAATTTTATGTAGAACAATCTAATCTAACAATCACATAAAAATCCAATAAACATGACTTTCTTATTCAGTATTTAGACGGATTTCAGATCAATCCATGAACTAGACAAACACACAGGGTAAAGCCATTCATAGGCCTGAGTAATCGGCTGCTGGTCAACCTCTCTATCTCTGCTATTAATGTGACTAAGTTAAAGCTCCTGTGATGAGATTTTTGGCATCAATAAAAAAGACTGTAATTCATACTGATGCCTTTGTATAATCAAGCAAACAAGAACATCAGAAACAAGACTGATGATATTTACGGTGTAATTTTCAATGTGTAAAATCCATGTGAGAGTCAACCAAACAGCTGGAGAAACAGTTCTGTTAAAATTTTCACATGAAATATATTCATCAAGTCACAATTATGCGATTTTTTTCATCAGAGGACACTACCTTGAGTATAAAAGACAAGATAAGCAAATTCTACTTGGTTCGTGGTCTGTGTAAGTGTGTGGGAGGGCGAATTGACACAAACCGAAAGTTCCTCACAGGAGCTTTAATTTGGTAAAAACTCCAGGAAGGTTAGTTCATTTTATATAATGTTGAATTTATGACTAAAGCTATTACTGAGGATATAAAGTAAAACCACTCAGATCTAATCCACAGATTTGGACGGCAGTGGCTCAGTAGTAGAGCTGGTTGTTGGCCGCTCAGTTGAAGAGTTCATGCTGCCATAAGACACTGAACACCGAAATGTTTTGAGTCATGTCACTTTTGAGACGTAGAAGAGCATCATTGATTAAAATTAATGTGTACTGTATAAATTGTGCTCTTTGCCTGACTGTAAATGTTACATGTGGTGTAAAAGTACTTCATATCAACATGGAGGTCTATTAAAAAAACATAGGAAACAAACCCTGGCGTGCTTTTCTGTATCATTCACTTACCTGAACACCTCCAACCCCCATCCTGCCACAGCTGTAAACAGTCTAGGTCCCAGGTCTCTGGCGGGGTTCAGCGGATATCCACAGTTCAGTCCCATGGACACACCAATGGCCATGATGATCAGACCGATCGCCAGCGGCTCCACGCCTTTAGGAGCTCCGATGTTCCCTCCATCAATGATCGCCAGGATACACAGGACCAGCATGCCCGTCCCCACCACCTGTAGGAGTTCAGACATGATCTGGTTGATTAACTGCAGAGCTGAGGGACACGATCAACACGGCACCAACCTCAAATTTTAGAAACTGTCTTATGAAATTAAAATTTATTTTCTATCATGTAGTGAAGTGGATTATTTATTAATTTATTTTTTAACTCTGATTAACTTGCCTTATGGAGAGGTATATCTTTACATCCATCTGACAGGATAAGTGCCAATTTGAGGCTAAAAACTTCTCTCTCTGAGCGTCACATTATGTCTGGCCTGAACTTATTTTTCACTCAAAAGCTGTAAACTTCTCCATTGTATATGTTTTATCTGGCCAGTGTAATCTGACTGTGAACAAGTCAACAATATGATAAATAACTTCATTAATAACCTGTATAAACTGATATCAAACTGAAGAACACTGTTTTTTCAATGTGCAATACTCTGTGTCTTTTGTAAATAGTTCCTTTCACCAGTTCCAGGCGCATTTCTTTTTTATTTACTCATATTTTTTCTATCTCCAAATTTCCTCCCTACAAATTATGTGCAGCAAAGATTTTATTGCTTTGCCATTTTTAACTGTCCACTAAATCTTTCAGTATCATAAAACAACAGTACAGTAATGTTTTTAATAAGAATAAGAATAACTTTATTGATCCCCGAAGGGAAATTCAATCATCTGTCATCTCATTTGTCGTGTCTCAAAAGTCATCTACCATTTATAAAAGAGTTGTAAAGTCTGACGGCTGTTGGTACAAAAGATCCTCTGAACCTTTCTGTCCTGCAGCGAAGAGAAAAAATATGAAAAATATCTTCAAAATGGTGAAACAGTTTTACATTTTATGCTTTTTTTTTTCAATTATCCTTCGACATGATTTCTTAAAACTGCCTGTCTTTTGATAAATCCCACCTATCGATGTGTCACAGTCAAAAACTACAGTAACACTCAACCTTTCAAGCTTGTGAGAGAAACTTTAGTTTGGCTTCTATTCTGGCACTGTAGCGAAAACACTGATATGTCATGTCTTTGATTATCTTGTCAAACACGTGTTAAAACTGTGTTTTTGAGCAAAAAAGATCAACCTGTTGTCCTTTACAGTCAGCCATGACACTCGCTATGAATCTTTGCTTGAAAAAATAAACACAAAGGCTGTAACTGAGTTGAACACCATCCTGCAGCATTGGTTAAATAAGAGTTACTGTCTACTCATTATTCTTATCCTGACTCTGTTGGTCTTGTTTGATTTTGTAGGATGTGTGGAATCACTCTTTCAACATTATCATAGATAGCAGTCTTCATATAATTTCAACTGTATTTTCTGAACATACAGAAAAAAGCTTTACAGGCCTGTGCAGCCCCACTGGTGCGCTGACTTTTGAGGATATTTTAAGACAAGCACAATCACACATTTCTCACTGTTCGACCAGATAGAGTTTTCAACAGTTTAAGGCTAGTAGACATGTTGTTTTTGCATCAACGCACCCACTAAAAAGAGAGAAAGTGGTGTTAACTATAGATTTGACCTCCCATAGAATGGCAGGAAATGGGTCATCAGACCCAAATGAAACAAAAGAGGGGGTGTTCTCCGACTAAACGGGGCAATCAATTCTGCATTAGCTACAACTGCCCAACTTTAGAGAATTTAGGGCCTGAATGGGAGCGGAGGTGAACAATAGAAAGAGGGGTCATTGGGTCACAGCGAACAGGGCTCACCTGATCGATGAAGCCGCCAATGATTGACAGGTGTCTTGCTGGGTAAGATGCAAAAATGTGACCTGTTGCATTGATTCCCGTCACAGACAGAATCCCGCTGGTGAAGTCCATGAAAGCATCTGTGAGGAGGACAAGTAGAAAGAGTGTGAGAGGATCTTTTTAAATCTGAGGGACATGAACTGAAGTATTTCAACTCCTACAGCTCAACTATGACTCTCAAAGTAGTATGAATACTGGTGTTTGAGCTGTTCTGATTAAAAATGGACAGACCAGGAAACAGAAACCCCATGATCCGTTTCTTTTTTTATTCTTTTCTTTTTGTTTTTAGTTCTGTTTTATAACTCTTCGTGTAAAAACTTAAAAAGATGGATCACAACAGATGGCATGTAGGCTGTATAATTGAGTGTGCATTCATGATTTTATATAAAGTTAAATAAAAATGCATGTCTTAGGTCAAAGAGTCCAGGTTTATACACCATAATATAATCCAAAGACTGCAGCAGCTCCTGCAAAAGCTCCAAGAAACTGAGCGATGACGTAGAAGGGGAACTTCCAGATCTTCAGTTTTCCGAGAATCACCATGGCCAGCGACACAGCAGGGTTCACATGGCCCCCTGGGAACAGAGGACAAAGCAGGAGGAGTGAGAGTGGGGTGCAGTGGGTGGGGGTGTCTGGCATGATATCCTCTCCATCATTAGTGAGGGTGTCACATTTACGAGGGGCAGCAGAAGGGGAGCAGCTCCTGGGGCGGTGCTGGGTTTTGTTATGTATTTTCACCAAAAGAAAGAGGCAGAATAATGGCAACGTATTAGAAATTCAACCAAAAACAAAAGGACTATTATTCTGTTCCTTTTTCATCCAGCTGTGCTCACATCCAGCCCGTTTTGAATTTGTACAAACACGTTAGAAATCAGTCAGTGATTCCAGCTGATTATGAAGTCTAACTGAGAGAAGCTGCAGCTCTGTTTGGACTCAGTCTGGTCTCTGTCAGCGACAGGAGTGCAGCTGGTGATCAATGCAGTTTGCAGGACATTTAGCGCCTGCGGTTATGTATGACCCCACAGAGGCTGAGCACTAACGCTAACAAATCAATGCTCAGTATACACTCATTGGATGTGGACAGAGAGCTGGCACGTTCCTGCTGAGTCTGGAGCTGTGGAGGTGGCACATGGCTGAGCGGGGAAGTCATAAAGTTCAATTATAACAAGCTCTGTGAGTCACATTTTACTGTAACACAAACAAACCATCCGTGTCAGGATGTGTATGTGCTCTGCTGCTAGTTATTTGTTTCAACTATGAATTACTTTAATATGAAGAGTCTGCTGGGCTGGATTTCACAGAAGATTAAACACGGCAGTGAGGCGGAAAAAGCGAACAAACTGATCTCACTATTTTGAATATTTTTATCGGTTTTGACAAAACGCCATATCCACCGAAAGCCGTGAGTTAGTTTTCCAGGCATAAATCCAAAGAATAAAGTAAATAGCTGCTAGTGTGTTGTGGTACCTCATGTGAAGCTGTTTAAGGCTGAGTGGAAATAAACAATTAAATGAAGAAGCTTCAACAAGCCCAGCGTGAACATTTACCTGACACTCCACCAGCCACATATGCCGCCATCATGAGTCCCACAGAGAAGCCAATATGGATGGTGAGGGGCTCCCCCAGAGTGTTTCGACTGAGGACGGTCTGAGCGACCGAGCCACAGCCAAACAGCTGACAAACAGAGAAAACAACAAATTCAAACTGCTGCAGTATCTTTGAAAACGTAACACCATAAAAGCAGAGAAAAAATAAAAACTCATTTTAACCAGTAAGTCTTACAAGATTATCAAGATTTCATTCATATAAAAAATAGAGTTTTACTTACAACCAAAACAAACGTCCCCAAGAATTCAGCCAGGAACTCTTTAAGTATTCCATGTTTGAGCGCACAGTGTTGCCTCATGCTTTTCTTGTGGTTTTTCTCCATGTATACTTCTACGTCCACTGCTAATACAACTATCAGACGCCCAGCTGTGTGAACCTCTGGGACTGATCGGAGCTTTCATATCAGATCTCCACCTCTACCCGGCCTGCAGCCATTCAGCACAGAGCATTGATCCATCTGAACAACCATCACACTCCTCTTACACCCCTGACTCAGAAAGTTTTACACCAGAGTGACGGACAAGGTGCGACAGGAATTTAATCAAGTTTGAGTTTGATTTTCTGTGTTATTAAAAAAAACAAGCTTTTGGGTTTCTTTGAATGTAAATAAGCATTAGAAATTTATTCAAACACTTGTATTCATTAGTTTGAGATCTGCAGTTTGCACCATTAACTCACACAGAAGAAAATAACTTAAGGGAGAGACAAAATCAAGTTCAGTTCAATAAGCCAGTTTGGCTGGTGCATAGCAAAACATGTTTGTCACATAGTGTAGTTTTGTTTATTGCCACAAGAGGTCAGCCTAGGCGAGCTGCCGTGCCTTTCATAACATTATGAGATCACACCTGAGCTGTTAATGAGATTATGTTGAATTATTCTTCACAGTCAGTCCAACTTTTTAAAACAGAGTCCAGGAATGACTTCAGGAGAGAGTTTTCTTTACATCCGTCAATCTGATCCAAAATCATCCTCCTCTTTCATATCACCTTCCACAGTCTTGATAAGAGGAGGGGATTTCCTCTTGCGCCTGCAGATAAAAGAATCGAAGGTTATATGAGTTTAATGTTTGCATGAAGTTCCAGAAACTCAGATGCAGAAGTTCAGAGCGGTCACCTCATCTCATTCCTCAAAGCGCTCAGTTGGCCGTGAAGCTGCTCATTGGCCTCGATCTGCTCGTCCAGATCTCTCTGCAGCTTCTTCTTCGCATGTTCCAGACGCTCGATCTCCTCCTCCGCCTCATCCATCTGCCTCTTTGCCGTCTTCAGCCTCTGAGTCAGCTGCAGAGTTCACAAAAGTGACAAATTGAATCGTGAGTCAAGCCTGCTGCTCCGGACTGTCACATGGTAACTTTCTTTTTTCTTTAAGGGGAAGCTGACAGTACCTGATCTCTCTGGCTCTGCAGGTTGACATGCTCCTCATCTGCCTGCATCTTCATCTCCTTCACTTTGCGCTCCAGCCTGCGGTTGGCTTGTTGTAGGTTGTTGTTGTCTCTGAGGGTGAAAAAACACCATGAGATCACATCACTGCTGCAGCTTCCTGTAACTCAACTCCTGCCCCGTGTTTCTGACCAGAGATACTCTCACTCTAACAACTACGGGAAAAGTGATACAAGCGGGTTCAATGCTCCACAGCTCCCATAGCCTGTCTAAGCAGACCATAATCCAGAGGATCTTCAAAGTGCTTTCCTACAGTGAGAAATATAAATATGTGAATATTTTTTGATAACAGCTCACCTCTCTTCTCCTTGCAGTCGCTCCTCTAATTCTTGGATGCGGTTGTTCAGTTTGGAAACGAGTGAATCCTGGTTGGTCCTCTGAGATCCTTCCAGATGCGTCACTCTGCCCCTCAGATCTTTATTCTGACACAGGAAATGAAAGAGAGAAACTCTATTAAAAAATAGCTGAAATGGATTCACTTGTGTTTTGTGAATATTAGCGATGCTACAAAGCAATTTTCAATGATGGGGTCTCAGAGTACCGGCCAATAACCTGTCTCAAAGGTCAATACCTGTCTCTCCAGACTCATCTTGTCACACTCCAGATCCTGTCTGATGGATCTCTCCTGCATCAGCTCATTCCTAATCTGATCCATCTGTTACACACAATAAAAAAGAGAGGATTAAAACAGGCAGCGGCGGTAGAAAGCTACTCAGGTACTTTCTATAAACACTGTCTTAATAAAGTTTAAGTTAAAGAGAGTATTGTGCTCTTTAGCTCTCTTGATGAATCTTAACATAGTTTTAAAAAGCCTTGACATACCTCCTAAACAAAAATGCACCAGAATTAAGAAAGTTTTAGTTACAAATATACAGTATGTATGCATATTCAGTCACATGTGTAACCCCTACCACCACACATTCAGTCATAACACAGTTTACAGTCCGTGTTTATTAAAGCACTAGAGAGAAACTTGATGGTTGCATTGACTTTGGCGCCCCCTGTGGAAGAAAGTGGTACTTCTAATCTGTTTGTTGATTTCATCCTGTATACTGTATTTTTCGGTACCTGCCTTACATGAATGCACTTTTAGTTTTGACATTACAGTCAGGCAGTCTTGTAGACTGCTCAGGGGTCCTATTATGAAGCTAATCAGGTAGGGACACAGCATACCGTAATGCTTTGAATATCCACTGAGCGGAGCGGCTTCGTTGCTTACCAAAGTCGTACTTACACATTTCCACAGATTTTTGAGCGCATTGTACCACATAAAATCGGTCAGTACGCACAACAAGTAATCATACAAAAGGCGCGCTGGATTATGAGGCGCACAGTCAATTTTTGAGAAAACTTAAGGATTGTAAGTGCGCCTTATAGTCTGAAAAATACGGTACTTTTCAACATGTTTTTTAAGGAAAAAGCTCCTCCAACTGTATGTCCTCTGTCAAATTTATCAATATTGTAAATAACGGCTTTTTCTTCGGTGTGCTGAAATTTTCTACAGGAGAAACTGGCATTAAAATGATTAAAAATTAATTATCAGTGATGTTGCTGATGGTCTTGTTTGCTTTGGTGGCTCATATATAAGTATCAGTCTTCACTTCAGTTGTTTCATAACCAGCTGAGAACTCTCCACAGGAGCTTTAAGCTAACAAGGTAAAGCTGCGTGGGAACTGAGGAGCTATTTGGTATATTGACATTTTAAACTGTAAAGGTAAATATGGGCTTATACTTTTTATCTTCAGCCTTTCATATTGACTCAAAACACAGCTGTTTTTCATTAAAAAGGACACCGCCTGTTGAAAATGACTCAGATTTAATGAAAAGTTTTCAGCTTAGTTCCATAAACGAGAGGAAATGCAGTCTAGTCTGAGCGGCAGAATCAGATCTGAAGGCTCTCGGCTCTCTAATAACATCCAGAGGCCCAGAGCAGGGAGTGTGAATAGAGCCTCACAATAGTTTGCTGTTTTTTTTTTTTTTTGTCTTTGCGCCGCAACGAAAACAGTGTTTTGTGTCAATTAGTCTGCACCGCTTTGCTCCCATGAATGGTGGCCTACTTTATAGGCGCACTGAGGATGTGATGCTCCTGCAGCAACAGCAGACATGAAGAAGAGTATATGAGGATAAAGGGGTTAAGTTATGTTTTCAGGTTTAAAAAGGAAGAACCAAAGCAAAACCTGTTTCGACTGGGCTGGGAAACCCCGATTAGCAGCTTTTAGCGACTGCTGGGAAATCGGATCACTCAGGCTGAAATGTGTTTATAATGAAAACAGATGTATGGTTGAGCGTTTTAGACCTGAAGCAGGGTGTGAGTCTGACTCTGTATATCACCAATATCAGCAGATGATAAAATGAGGGCTTTGTGTTGAGAAATAATCCCAAAGACAGAGAGGAATTAAACCTGCCTGCTCTTTGGTTTTGTCTAGTCGCTCCATCAGGCGGTCGGCGCTGCCTCGCTCATCATTAAGATCCTCTTCCAGCTGACCGATACGACCCTGGGAGGAGAGGAATACAGGAAAACATGACTAACCACCAGAAAACTCAACAATTGTAGCAGTAAAACACAAAGTTCATCTGAAAAGGTAAATCTGTCTGTTGATGCAGTGGTTTGGAAACAGATTAAAAAAGATCATCTGCATTTTTTTTAAATCAGTAAAAATAAAAGTTTAACAAAGTTCATCATCTGTGATAACTAAAGATTTCCTGTACTGTTTAATAGAAATGAGAGTTCGACACTGGTCAACAAAAGACAGAGTGAAAGGAGACTCCTGAGAACACCCAGACTGGTCCGATAACTTTGTACAGTAAACAGGAGCTTCCTCGCTCGATTCGCAGTGTCAACAGTGAGCACACTGGTATCACTGTGCGATGTTTTGTCATCAGAAAGACAAACAGTGCTGAGCTGTGAGATGTTGCTGGCACTTTTCAGCACCCCTACAGTTCACAGGAACAAGAAGAGTGCAAATACAGGCACCATGAGAAAATAAACACTTCAAAACATGTGATAACCTCAAGTGTGCTCGACTCCGAGCTCTGAAGATGGGCCGTTTTTGATTGAAAAATAAGCAGCTGTTTATAGATGAAGCATTTTTGTTGACATATTAAGAGTATTACGTTTTGGGGGCATGGTTAACTGCAAACTTTTTGACTTTATCTGAGGAAGATTTTCATGATTGACCTTTAAAACCTGCTTAAAATAACAGTCATAGCTGTCACCTGATAAAACAAGCTTTAGGAATGCTTTGCAGGTGATAAGTAATAAAAATCGTCAATCACAGACAGTAAGTTTGAAGGAAAGTACGACTGAGGCAGGATACAGTTACATCCATTTACACTTAAAAAACGGACATAAAGGTGCGGTATTCTACGACGGAGGATTAGGGCCGCATTAAGAGAAAAAAAAGTAAAACTTTGAGATTAAAGTCATTAACTTAAGAGAATAAAGTCGTAATAAAGTAATCACTTATAAGAGTAAAGTCAGAATTGCGACTTTATTCTCGTAAGTAATTCCTTTATTACGACTTTATTTTCATAAGAAATGATTTTATCACGACTTTAATCTCGTAAATATTGGTTTGAGTACGACCTCATTCTTGTTAGTAATGGATCATTCTCATAAATTAATGACTTTAATCTTGAAGTTTTAATTTTCTTTAAGTCTTAATTTTTTTTCTTAATGTGGTCCTAATACTCCGTCACAACATTCTGGTGATTTTAGTCTCTTTTTTGTCCCGTAAGCAACAATTATGTACCAATCTACCACCAAATTCTGCTCTAAAAAATAAGGAAAGTCAGTGAGAAGACTCTCAAACATCTTGGTCATGTTTGTCATTAGAAGGCCCCAACACATACTGCAATGTTTAATTCAAAACATAAAACATGTGTTGAAAGTTAACTGTTATGTTTCCCAAGGTTGTTGTTTACCTCCATGAGCTTGACCTGCCGCTCCCGCTCCCCCACCGTGGTTACGTTCCTTTCCTCCAGCTCCTCCACCCTCTGCTCCAGCTGCCGGCCCCTCAGCTGGGCCTCCTGCAGTTCTCTGAGACACCTCCGCAGATCCTCCTCCAGAGGTAGCAGCTGAAATACAGGGACAGAGTAAGGTGTAAGGTGTGAGCTGATAAATCTATCAGACAGTTTTTAAAATAAGCTGCTGTCGTCCCTGAGACTGTTTTTAATGTTTCTGTTCAACCTCGTGTATAAAAACAACGACAAGATCTTATTTGCACTGGATCAGAAGAAAACAAAATAACAAAAGACCATTTTCTTTTCCATTCTGGAGTTGGTTTATATTGGTGACTAAGACATGCGGAGCCACATAGTAATGAATCAGAGGGACAATGAGGACCACACCTCTTCCTGCAGTTTTTTGGCTGCCTGTCGGGATTTCTCCAGCTCTGCCCCCTTTTCCTGCAGCTGTCTCCGCAGCTCGTCCAACTCCCTCTGACTCCTCTCTCTGGCCTCGTCGACCTGGTTCTGGAGCACATCTGTGGACGCTTCGCACTCCTCCATGATGCTATTCATCTGGAGATAAACAAAGAGTGAGATAAACGGGCCACTCTCTGAACTGTTTGGAAAAGCCTTTCAAATAAAGCATGAGAGGTGTCTGCTTGTATTTTCTCTGGTCTTATCCCTCAGAGTTAGGAAAACACATATTTGGTCCAACTATCTTTATCTCTTGATGTGTCAAGATCCGCCCCTCTACCTTCCTCTGTAGTTGCTCCACGGTCCTGTCCTGCAGCCTCCTCTCATCTTCCAGTTCAGTTTTTGTCCTCCACAGCTCCTCCGTTTGCTTCTTCTCCTCTCTAAGTTTCTCCTTCAGCTCTCTGTGCTCATGATTCAGCTTGGTGAGCTTACCCTGAGAGAAGAAACACAGGGGAACTGCTTTTCATGCTATAAAGCACCATTCATGAGCTTTGATTTAACTTTATCTTCTCTTTGTTGTATGGTTGGCTTATAAAAAGGCAGAAACATCATAGTAGGACAGGTATGCACACAGCCAAACCCTCAACACTTGCAAGCCGTATCTCTTTGAAATAAACCTTATTTTACCTGCACGTCCTCCAGGCGAGACAGCAGAGCCTGATTCGACTGACACATCTCCTCCTCATTCCTCCTCACATCTCTCAGTGCTTCCTCCAGCTGCTGCTTTTCCCTCTTGGGAACAAGGGAACACGATTATTAACAAAAACGCAGAAGAGATCACAGTGGATGAAAAAAGAAAGTTTAAAAATACCTCAGATTCTCTGATTCTGTTTCTTACCTCCAGCTGCTTTGCTCTCTGCTCCAGCAGCCTCTCTGTGGTTTTACACTCCTGGATCGCCAGACTCATCTGATCCACCTTGTTATTTTGCTCCTGCACCTTTGCTCTCAGCTGATCCTTCTCCTGGCTCAGCTCCTTCAGCTGTACCTTAGCTGCTCCCCTCTCCTCCTCTACCTCCACCTTCCTCTGACCCAGCACGGCATTGCTCTTGGAGTCAGGATGGAAAGATTCAAGGTGAGTATTAAAGGTGTTATAAAAAAGGCTTTAAAAAAGTCATGTCTCCTCTGTTACCTCTTTAGCTTGCTCTAAATCCCGGATCAGCTTTTCAAGCTCATTTTCATATTCCTCCTTCAGAGCTGCCATGTAGTTATCATGAGTCTCCACCTCCTCTTTGAGCGCCCCCTTCAGGGCACTTAGCTCCCTCTCCCTGTGGTGCAGCACCTCCTCCTGCTCCTCTTTCACCTGTAGCATCTCCTGGAAGTCTAAACGCAGCTGTGCCATATCCTGAAAGACATCCAACAAAGCACATCCTCACTACCTCCAGTTGGATTCACAGCTGCAGCTGATTTGTGAAGCTTTCCTTGCTCATGTGGTTTCATTTACCTGCAGGAGAACTTCTTTCTCTGTGTTTATCACCTCCGCCTTCTTGGCGTGGTCCAGCTCATCGTGCATCTCAGAGAGCTGCAGCTGAAGGTCTTTCATCTCCGTCTTCGCTCTCTCTCTCTCTGCCTTCATCTGAGTCAGTCTGACAGCATGAAAAAATGTCAGTGAATGACAGATATACTGTTTTCTATTTTTTTACATAAAGAAAAAGAAGCTAATCTTCCTTCCTCTTGAGTATTTAGGAAGGTTCTTAACAGGAGAAGATAACAACAAGGCATCTGCACATTTAATCCAAATGGAATCCGACTCTTCTCTCGGTCAAATGACCTTCATTGGATCATCACAGTTCACCTACCTGACCTCAGAAACCAGCGGAAGCTCAGCGAATGAGAAACAACATTGAACTGAAGTCTGGTTAGCTTCTCTGTGAGCTCTGTGTTTAACAACAGTTTGATTTGATCCACATAAGAGCGTGTAACTTCATTTGATAAACTTGCTTGAATTTTAGAGAGTTGAACAGTTTTAACTGTATGTTTTTTAGTGAAACCTTTTTACCTGACTCCTCATTATTGGAAAATGAAACTAAACTATAACCTTAAAGCCCAAAGAAGCTTGAAACAAATAAGAGTGTCGTTTTGAGCGAATTTCTAGACTGTCCAGCATCTCCCTGAAACCAAGTAAAGTTGGCTATCACTTTAAGGGATATTCTGGTGTTTAATTATTTTAGGGTCAAACACAACGTAACATCGAGTTAGCCAACTGCTTGCTTGCTTCTAGTCAACGACCGCACAATAGCAATACACAGCAATCTGAGGAATGATAAGCAAACCTCAACCAAAACGCCACTCTATAACCACAAATAATGCTCCGAACAGCACCTAACTTCATCAACAGTATATATAGAGTTCCAGCCATAGTACTAGCCACCAAACATCTTTTTAACTTTGCCTGATTTCTTTCGCAAATAGGCTAAACGCAACTCACCTACTCTCCTCCAGCAGCTGCTTGTTTGTAGTGAGACCTTTGGCCAGTCCATTACCTCCTTGAGCTGCGTCACCCCCCTGTAGTCCGTAATGGACTCGTCTGAGGTCTCACTACAAACAGTTGGCTGCTGGAAGAGAGTAGGTGAGTTGTGTTTAGTCTCTTTGCTAAAGAAATTAGGCAAAGTTAAAAAGATGTTTGGTGGCTGGAACCCTCTATGTACTGTTGATGAAGTTAGGTGCTGTTCTGAACATTTTTTGTGGCTATAGAGTGGCGTTTTGTTTGAGGCTTGTGTGTGGCTCCTCAGACCGCTGTGTTTTGCTATCATGTGGTCGTTACTAAAGTTGGTAAAACTAGAGAAGCAAGCAGTCGGCAACATTCATCTCTCAAGGGAGTGTCTGACTCAGTGTTACAGTGTGTTTGACACTAACTTAATTTTACACCAGAATGTCCCTTTAAGATAATATGCTGAGCAAGCATTTTATTTCTGTTTCCAGTCTTTATTTTAAGCCGAGCTATTTGACTTATTTTCCCACCCTCATTCAACCTCCTCATTTAACTTTCAAGATTTTTAACACAAATCTTCACATAACACTGTTTAGTGTCTATAAAGTTTGGATCCTCACTCCTGTTCGGTGGACTGGAGTGCCGCCTCAATCTCAGCCAGCATGTCCCTGAGTTTGCAGAGCTCTTCCTGACTTTTGGCCAGCTCTTCCTGAAGGTTTTTCTTCTCCGTCCTGGCTTTTTCACAAGCTTTGGCAAGAGTCTTTTCATTCTGCAAACAATACAAGAGAGGAACATCGTCACTCACGTGAACAGGAAATGTCCGAGCAGTGAAACAGCAGGATGAAATGGCACTTCACCTTGATCTCTGTTTCCAGTTTTTGCTTTAATTCAGACACCTCTCTCTCCAGCGCTGCTTGTTTTTCCTGCAAATGCTTCACTTCAGCTAGAGAGTACTGGGAAAGAGACGTGAAACAACACTGAATTAGCATTAGGGTAAGACAGACACATGAAAAGGGATCGATTCAATCAAATATCTCAAATGAACACACTTTTTCCTCCTCTTCTAGACTTTGAGCAGCCTTCCACTTGAGCTTGTTGACTCTTTCAAGCAGCAGATTGACTTTTTTCTGAGTGGTGGAGTCGTCATCAGTCGTCCTGAGGCGAGAGAGATAATTCACACAGAAATCATCATGAGAACTGTCGAGGTGTAATGAAAAAGTAAAAAGTTGTTGGAGCAAATTTTGGGGCTTAATAGAAAAACTGGACCCGCCTTAGAGAAGCAGGGAAGTATTTCACATAAGCACTGACGATGTGTTTTAAAAATTTTCCATGTGAAGAAGTTCTTTTATCAGTGGAAACGAGAACATGCCCTGCATTCCTGAGTGCGCCATGAGCACACACAGCTGGAGCAGTACCCCCTTATCTGACCACACGGCATGATCACAACCACACGCTAATCACCCAAAGTGTCTGTAAGTGAAAAACTATCAGCAGTGTTTGAGGGAGAGTGTGTTTACAATGTCACTTCAGGAGAAAGTTAAAGAATAAACTTATAGATTAGCTAAAAAATTCAGGAAATAACACTTTTTAACTTATAACAAAGTGGATACCAATCCCAGACACTGCAGGCAAACATAACTCTAGAGTTAGTAGCAGGTTTAGCTTCGCTCAGTTTAAGAAGAAACGGTGAAAACAGCTCATCTTCTTTGGTTCAAGTTAAAAAATCTGAACTCCAAATCTTACCTTTAAACAAAACATTGATTTCTTCTCCTGAGCAGCACTTACCCATCCTGCAGATATGAGAACAGCATCTGTCTTGTTGTGTCTTCACATGAGTCCACAGAGACTTCTTGCTGTCCTTTCAGAAGATCAGGGGTCACCTGGTTAGAAAATATACAGCTTTCAGTTCTCCCCCCCCGTAGAGCATAACTGTGTCCTGGGAAAGATCTCTTTACCTGCGCATCTCTGTCGTCCGAGTCGTCCGTCTGGTCACTGCATGATGTGGAGATGGAGGGTTTCTCTGCTCTGTGAAGTAGTTTGACAGCCTGTGGCGGTGTCGTTTCTTTTCCGTTCTGAGTTACAAGCAGTGTGCTGGGTTTGTTCTCCTCTCTCCTGCTCCCCAAGGAAGCTTCCCCGCTGAGGAGTCGAGCTCTAGCTGACCCCGGAGGATATATCCCACTTGGAGTCTCACCCCTGACGCCCTTTAAAGAGGAGGCTCTGCTGGAGGAAGAGGAGGAGGCCGAGGATTCAGATGTTCGGCTGCTATCCACGCTGCGTGACCTTCGACACTGTTCTGGGTCCAACCTGTTTCTTGGGCCTCCTCTTCCCCTCCGCTGGCTGCTGTTGAACTGACTTATTAGCTTCCCTACAGACATAATGGAGTCTGTCTCCACTGTGTTTGGGGACCGTACGGGGAGTTGTCGACCTAGGGAAGAGGCTTTGTTCTGGTCAATCTCCCTCTGTTCTCCCTCTGGGCTCTCAGCAGGCAGAGGGATCCTGGGTTTAGGAGGCTGCGATGGAGGATGGCTGGTGTTTGGCTGTCCTGGGCGAGAGTCTGAACTTTTTGGAGGGATGACTAAATTCAGGTTATTACTCTCAGGGTCATAAGGTCTCAGGAGCTCTGGATGTTTCTGATAATGAAAACCTGAGGAGGATGCAGTCCGCTGTGGCTCAGATGGAAGATCCACGGTCCTCCTCACCACGCCTGGGTTGTACCCTGCCTGGTGAGTGATCACAGCGATGTCCCGGTGGCTCTCATGGCCCGAACTGTTCAGAACCACGAAAGGTTGGCCTTGGATTCCTTGAACCTGGACCCTGACCCCAAACACGCCCTCCTGACTGCCTCTGGGGCTGTGCGGCTGTGCGTAGCTCCGCTGTATCCTGATATCTGGAGAGCTGATCAGTCGCTGAGACTCCATCTTGAATCAGCAGATGAACTGATGAAAAAACAAACATGTACGTTACTTGATGAACCTGGAGGAAACTTTCCTGTGAGGGAGGGTGGATCGGTTACGCTGAGGTTACTATTTACACAACACGGGAGCGAGGTCGGAGCCACACTGGGACACAGTGACAGACAGCCATGCAGGTCCTCCTCACACAGCTGCACTCAGTAAAAGAGCGAATAAATGGAGACTGACAAGAGCCTGATAATGCTGTGCAATGAAAACAGCTCTTTCTGTGTGCTCATGACAGTGTACTATTGTACAGCCGAGACAACTGCATGACGACTACAACTGACCGAGGTCTCCGAGGTGTCGTCACCCACTTCATGGTATGACACTCAAAGAAAATGTGTCACTGTGAGGCGCAAACACTGCAGGGGTTGTCTGACAGACAAAATGGTATCCTCTGAAGAGCATCATTTTGACTTAAGTCTCTTTAATTTATCACAAAACAGACTGAAAGAAAAAAAAATGCGAACACAGATGTGTCACAAGTAGTGGTGAACTGATGTGGGTTTATTTTGATGGCTGATACTAGAGCAGGTGACACATAATGCTGATATCACATGGTATCTTTCTTCATGTAATGAAAAAATGTGATGATACTATTACAAGAGAAACAAAATCGCTGACCTTAAAGAACATTTTTCACATAAATGTAGACAATAAATATTTGACTGAGGAAATAAGACCACAAGGGATAATTACAGCCATCTGTAGTTCTCTAAACAGAAAGAGTACAAAGTAAATATATTGGCTTAGGAAAGAAAAGTCACAGATAATTTATTTTTCTATATCCATTATGATCTAAAAATCTGTAAAAACAAACATAACCACCTGTAGTTAAAGATCAAATTCATTGGAGATAAAAGTTAAATAAATCAGATTTTGCCACAGATTTTATAACTTAAGCGACAGAAAAATTAAACTGCATTATAAACATTAACTAGTCATTGTTGTACTTTCAACATTAAGGATAAGAGAAAATGTGTTATTATCATGATGGTGAAATCAGGCTTGTGGGAGCCAATACGAATTAATCGGCCAAGTAATCCACCCACCGATTAATCAGTCAGTCTCAGACAACATTTGGGGCACCAGTCCAACAATAACTTGCAATTGCATTATTTTCATAGTTAAAACTTCAACCCATTTAGCTCACAAAGTATTTAGAAATTAAAGGCATTAAAAACACAACTCTACTCTCTTAAAACATTTTTTCCTGCTCTGTTTTGTCAAGGCAAACCAAAAGATACCCTGTTTGATATGATACGAAACAAAAGAAGGAAAAAAGAAAGTTGACATGAGATAGATAGATAGATAGATAGATAGATAGATAGATAGATAGATAGATAGATAGATAGATAGATAGATAGATAGATACCTCTCTGTCACTCATCTAAGTGTTGTCAGTAGTATTTGCAGCGGATCTGCGTTTATCCTGTTTGACTCCGTGAACTTTCCTTCACCTCTGCCTGCTTTAACCACACACCTTTAAACAAATACTCTGCACTTAGGGAAAAGTACACAACTCATGTAATATCAGAGAATCCCATTCAATACAGGAGACACAAACTCACAGATAAAGGGAAGATGGGAGAAATGAAATGAAAGTTGGTAAATCGCCTCTCAGCACCAACGACAACAACAAGTTAGCCTGTTTCTGTAGCATTGAAGTTACCAAAGCGAGGAAACATCAGCTGTAAAGTTATCGATCTGAGAGGAAACTTACCCGCAGCTCTCTGACCGGTCTCAGAGTTGAACTGAGTCTTCTTCCTCCAACACTATCACCACCACCTCCTCCTTCTCCTCCCTCTGTCCTCCTGCCTCCGCCCAAACATGATCTGTGTCCCGCTCAGAGAGAGGCGTTCACTGCCTGCTCCGTGCCAGAGACCATATTCAAACCATATGCCTGAATACTTACAATGATTTAATATCCAAAGATTGGAAACTGATAATAGTTTCAGCAACAGGGACATAACTAATACCGTGAACAGTTCATATCTTTGTACATTTGACCTCAAATAAATGTTTTTTCTTTTCTAAATAGAAGTCCTGCTGTAGTTTTGGACTATTCAAAGGTTTTATGCCTGATTTAGTGAACAGAAAGGAGAGGTAAAAGGAAATAAGTGAAGAGAGAGACGTTTTATTGGAAACAAAAGTCTTTAGACAAAAGGATCTCAAACCAGAGCTGTTTTAGGGACATGTCCAACACCTTCAGGTCTTAAGGATAATGTTGAATTCAAAGGTGAATCGACAACATTGCACAAACTAGTCCCCTTTCAGATGTTGTTGTCAATGTTTCATATCAGCTGACATACATTCAGGAAATGTTGCACCTAATCTTAATGATTTTAAAAGAAAAATGAAAACATACATTTTTAGTCTAGCTTTTAACTAAATTTATATCATTAACTTTTTTTAAGTGTTTCAGCATTTATCTGTTCTAGTTTTAATGACAGGATCATCTTTCATTGAGCTATTTTGGTGCTCTTGTTTTTGTGTCTTTTACTGTTGTTTTTATTTCATTTTATTTATTATTTCTTAAATGTCATTTTAAACCTCCAGTGTTTTTCCTTATCTTGAATTTTAAAACAGCGTTTCCTCAGTGCACACATTCCTGTTAATATGAAATCGAGCCCTTTTTAAGTTCATACGTTTCAACACTCGTTTCTATTGTGCTTAGATTGCGAGGTGGGAATGAGGGGTTGGGTTGGGGTAGATTAGGGTTTTTTTTTTGTTTCTTTTATTCCTCTGCTATGTAAAGCACTTAGTACTACATCGTTTTTGTATGAAAAGTGCTATACAAATAAAGACAGAGACTGAGAAAACAGTAGTTTTCACTAACTAATTTTGGGAGTTTTCTTTTCCTTCCCATCCAGTTAATTATCCCAACACCCATAGGACCCTTTGGGCATATTGATTCCTGAAACCCCTGATAGAAGATTGATGTCAGATGTGGTAATTGTCTGTGTATCCTTTAAAAAAAGATTTCAATGGGTGATTCAGCTGACTGACATGTGAAACAAACTACTATTGCAGATAACAAAATTAGAAAAGTACCACCCTGCCCTAAGGGGGGCGCCAGAGACAACTTAACCAAAAGTTCCTTACCAGAGCTTTTACTAAACTTTACCATGCATTGACAAAATAGTTTGACATTGTTGTGTTGATACTTTCGGCTCAGTAAGATTTGAATTGCACGTTGCACTGTTTCATTATCTCATGTATCAACTTCACTCAAAGAGAACATTTAATAAAGAGAAACTCTCCAACTATTTGAAAAAAATGACATTTATTGCTACATTATCATTTTGACACATGCCTGTAGGCTACTTCAAACTGTACACATACTGTACATGTTATGTTAGGAGTTTTTGGATTATTGTTTATTGTTCTTTAGCTGTGTGATAGTCAAACGATACATCAGTCATAACTGTAATACTGCTCGGAGCATGAAATGTGTGAACCTCTGGTAAAACTGCACAAACAGGATATCCTTCCAAAAATCAGAGCAACAAACGTAAATAAAGACATTATGAAACTCACAATATGTGTATAAAAGATAAGTTACATAACTTAGAAAAACATTTAATGTTCTATTAAAAACTCAAACATGCAATGAGCTTCAACTACATCTGAAGAGCAGAAATCACACTGAGAAGACCAGCAACTCCGCCCACCAGCGTTTCAGACAGCGTGACCTTGTTAACAGTGCTATAACACAGATATGTAACAAATATACAAATAACAGCTGATGCCCGCTTGTTGGAGAACATTCTTGGAGATCTGTTCATTCACAGAATGGTAAAACTCCTGCCACACTCGCGCACACACACCATGGGACTAATGAAATCCATTGTCTGAACACACGTGTGGGAATGTGGAAACTATAAGCTCAGAAGTTAATATGTTTATGTTTTAAAATAGAGATTAACTGTAAAAGTCAGTCGGACACATATCGCGCTCTGCCATAAATCAAACTGCAGATGATACATTGTCACTACTGAGTCTTATCCTGTCAGATATATCCAAAGAGACGGATAATAAATATACAAAATATGTACAAAAACACCTGCAGCTTACAATGCATTTGTCTGTTTTACAAGGAAAGTTTAGGCACAAAGTTAAAGTCTGTTCGAAAAGTGAGGAGATGATTGTTCAACTGCATCACGATCAGAGAGGTGGACCTCTCCGCTCCAGTCCCAAATCAGTAGAAACGCTGGACATCTAACATGGCTGGATGCTCTCCACCTGACATCTGGACACTAAAGACACAGACAAAGAAGAAAAATAACAACATTAATCTTTTTATTGTTGATTTATCTTTGAGTTCTTCAATAAAAAGCTTGAGAAAATCCAGCAGTCCAATACATAATTTCTCCAAAAATATCAGCCCTGTGCTAGACAGAGCTATCAACCTGACAACAATAAATTAATTCATGTTCATCTCTGACGTAAAATAGTAAAATTTAATGCCACATACTTGATGCTGGATTGAATGTAGTCATTTCCACATGTTCAGAGGTGGCCCATGGGGTTTGCAGGGTCTGTCAGACTCGGATGGAAAGCCAGATGCATGGACTGTGGATCTGACATGACTCCAGATGCCTTCTCTTCCTCTCTCCTCCGCAGACACGCTGCTTTAGGGTTCAGGTTCCTCTCTGTAGGAATTTAAAAAACACAGGGTTAGTTTTTATTGCATTCAGTCATATAGAAACACATTTTCATTGTTCTCTCCCCTGTGTTAAACATTAAGTTTAACTTTGTCAGACCTGGAAAAGTTTTTAAAAGTACTTCATATGTTCTGATTGTATGAGCCATTTTATCTATATTATTTTTTTGGTTTTCTTTCACACAATCACCACAAGGGGCACTCCAGGTGAATGGGCAGGTAAATGCTACAGAGGGACACAGGTGAAGGAGTGATCTGAGAACACGGTTTTTACCGCTAATCTCTGACACCACTCTCACCCTCATCGCAAACATCACCATCGTAGTAAGTTGGACATATCTGTTCTTTTTTTGGTTTGTTTTTTATTAAAACAATAAATGGCAAAAATTTAAGTCAACAACAACCTTGGATTGGACATTGGATTGTACTAGAAGCACGTCAAAAACACCTCATTCCCGCACCCAGACAGTGACTAAAATTCAGGTCAGCATAGTCATTACACTGATTTTGCAACAGATGTTTTTGTAATAATCATCATCATAATTTGAATAATAAGACTTAGGTTTGTCACAGCTGTGTGAAGTGTTTTAGCGTTTTTTTGTGGGCACATTGAATGTTTCATTTGCTACTGTGGTAAAAAAAAAAAGGCATTAAAAAAAAAAAAAGCTGTGCACTCCCTCTTTGCTATCAAAAAGACAACAGAGGTTTCTTCAACAGTGTAAACTCGAGCTACAACCTCTCCTGCACCGACTCCCACTCCTAATTATTTCAGTTTAAACCTTGCTTCCACTCACTCCCTCTCTTATCTGACTTGACACAAAGACCAGGTTCCATTTTTCGCCTCTGCCCCCCGTGGTTTGGACCTGCAGCGGTGCTCACTGACCTCTGACTTGTTGTTCCAGGCTGAGGATCACAGCCACGGCCTGATGCAGCACCAGCAGCTTGGTCTGTGGCTTCTCACTCTTCAGGTGAAGCTGACACATGTGGCCCAGCTCCTTAAACGCTTCATTGATATCACGCACACGCAGACGTTCGCGGGCATTGTTGGCCATCCGTCTCTCTCGCTCACGTTCGGCCTTCTGCTCTGGGCTCAGGTCCTCGTCCTCGTGGATACTGAAACAACAACAACAAAAGATCAGCAAAAACTGGGAATGACATTTACTTTTCTGAGCATATCACAGATTTTACTTTTCAAAGTTGATTACAGTGTATTTATTAGTCACAGTGGAGCACTGTGTTGAGTCATAGCGTGGATTTCTCTGCCCTCTGCTGGTCACTGAGTTAACATCACGCTACTGTCTATCAGGGTCATCTGATGTCTGCTCTTAATTCTTTTTAAAAGAGCTTACAGTTCACTGTAGCTACAGTGACAAGCTCATGGGATCATGACCATCTTCACTGTTGGTTAATCAGGCATACTTTAATTTTGGTGGTTACTCCAAACACAAAAAACCCTCAGTAATAAAGGTGGTGCTCTTTGAGTCACATCTTAAAAGTATTTTAAAAATCTTTTATTCTCTATATTCAGTTTAAAATAGCTTGGTTAAAAAGTGATGCTGGAGGTTAATGCACATTTGTCAACCCTTATATCCTTCAAGTTCCTCCTAGATCTCAACGAAAAGGAGACATGCACTCAGGCATCAGAGCCGATGTCACTCAGTGATTTGTCCTGAAGTGACCTCTCGTTTTTCAGACTGAGGGACAAACACTGATGTGTCTGATCTGTGAGATTTTCAGGATATGCAGTAAAACTAAAACCGTGGGTATGAATCCAAAATAAAATACTTTGATGGCATAAATGGAAGAGGAAACTTTTTTTTTTTATAATTGGTGTTTGAACTATTAAAATTATTTGTTGCTTGAAAATCAGATAAAAAATCAAAGTTGGTCAAGTCTCCAATTTTTTTTTCCAGTTTTTTAAATTTTATGATTTGAAGATTTGGAAAATTTATTGATTTAGACTATCTAATAAACCAAAAAAGAGCACCTCTTGGTATCACCCTGACCTTAAAGCTAATGATTTTGTTCCTTTTTTCGTGAGAATAAGGAGGATAAGTTATACTTCACTGTACTTCCTTTTGCACCTGAGAAGTGGACACTGTTAGAACACCTTATTTGCCTCCTCAATGAGTTTTTCAAATATACAAAAACATAATTTTTCATCACTAATGTCTTCACCATTTGCAGCGTGTTCATTTTTTTGAGTTTAGTCCTCTTTTGCTTTCTTTTTAAGAAGAAATATGAGGCAGAGCTGAATAGACACGCCTGGACACCGCTGAACTGTGATGGACTATCTCACTGTCAAAATGGAGTTGATTCTTAATTCTCATTTTCTTAATTGCTGATTATTAACAATTCAGATGCAAACATTTCAGCACAGTGGGTCCATGATAGTTTTTTTCATACAGAAAGCAGGATCACCTGTTACTTGAGCCGTTTTCTCCTTGTGTTTTCAGTTCACCTTCCTCATCTGATCTCTGGCTGTCAGAGCTGTTGTTGGTGTGCATCATCTCCTCCCTCTCCCTGCTCTCCATCTTCAGCTCAAGGTTACCCTGAACTCCCAGACCTCCTGTGGAGAACCGCACATTTATTGAAAATAAAAACTAGAAATTCCTTCAGTTTTGACAGTTCACAGCTTTAAAAGGTGCAGATAATAACTCACCTCTGCCTCCACCTTGTATCGACTGCAGCGTGGCTCTCTGTCGGGGTGGGTATGGGTGACCGTTTTGTGTGCGGCTCTGGAAGGCTGAGTGGTTGTTGTTCATATTGACAGCTTCAACCTTTATGACATATAAAGAAGGTGATGAGATGAGGGTAATAATCACGTGTGCCTGGTCACATAAAGTATATCACTACTACATCTAACCAATGGCAGATAAGTCACCAACCAAACATCTGCTCCCTCTTTTCCAGAATTAATCTAATCTCAGAAAATCTTAATCCTGCTCTTAAAACTACGATATACTGCTAAAACATACCACAAATTCTCTTCTAATGACTCACTTATGACTGATACATCATTCAGAAGAATAAAACTCGGAGAATTTAATACCCCCCTCCCCCAAAGGATTAGATTTTTAAAAAAAAACCCTTTCCCTGCATATACTTCCACTCCAGCTGGGCCAAAATCCCCTGGTGTGCTGAATGGGAAACATGCAGGAATGGGAGTGCACGATGCAGGCTTCCCCATCACCCCATAGTGGAATTACAGTCCACACATACTCTACGCTCTCCATACAAGGGTGATGCGTCACTTCACTCTGCCATTGAGCTCAGTTTCCTATTTCAAGGACAACAACCTTCACATGAGGAAAACATGCAGACATAGCAGGTGGAAAATTCCAGAAACTAAATACCATTGCGCACATTCTGTATGCACAACACACACACACACACACACAACATGGAATTTCCAAACATGCCGCCATGTCCCTCCTTAAATGCTTGAGAGTAATGCGCTTGTTAACCATGGATGAAGTGTGGCAGGAGAGCGCCAGTGTGCTGGCAGATCCTGGCTGGTTCTGGTGGGTTTGGTTCAGAAGGCCGTGGATATCCGTGAGAAGGCCAGCCGTGGGTCCTACAGCGTGATTCCTCAGGACGTGGATCACATCGTCCAGTCTGTCGAGCCGGTCCTCAACTTGTGACTGCAAACACAAAGAGACAAAGAGTTCAAATGTTTTCAGTTAGTTAGTATTTCAGGTGTACAGTTTTTTCAGTGTCTGCTCAGTCATAAAAGCTTAAGACCTAATATTAATTTAATTGAAATAAAAAAAAAGCATGACAGACACTGTTATATCACACTTAAATCAAAATATGAAAAGAGAATTATCAATTTTAGCTTAAGTTTTAGCTAAACATTTGAAACTGAGCTTTTATTTTGAAGGGCCAGTTAAATGGAGGGACTGAGTAAGGATACAGTTTGCCAACTACTCATACATTATCCTTAACCTAATCTTTTAAGCTTGAGGGACTATCTAAACTGGCGCTGCAACTTGTAAAAAAACACTCTGCTCTGTGTTTGGTTTGTCCGCTCTAGGCTACTGTAGTAACATTGCAGTAGAAATCCCTCAGTTGGTGTAAAGACTTCATTCTGAGGCGCAAGTATCTCAAAAATTATTGCTTTGGGGTGATCATATTATATACTCATGAAACATTATTGTCCACAGTATATTCCATTAAAGACAATAGGCTCCCTCCATATTTCACTTATATCGTTAAAAAGGATGCCACTGTAAAAAAAAAAAAAAGCCTTGCTTGGCCTGGAAACAGAGGAATAGAGTCAGCTCTCTTTTTAAGCAAAGTGTTGTAACTCCCAGGTGTTGTTCAGTGACCTCATTGCTGCTAAACAGGTACATAAATCTTATAAAACTCCAACTTGCACTCCTGCAACTTTGTTTTCCCCCCAAATATCAATCTGTTCCTTCTAAGTTTTTTATCAGTAAAAAGAAAAAACTATTGTCCATACATGCAGAGCTCAAACTGTGGGTGTGTGTGGTTATTTTGTCTGTATTTATGGTATCATTATCTTTATTCTTATTAATATTATTTTCTAATTACTGGGCTTTCTCTCTAATCGCCCACCTGTGTTGTTTCTGACTAGCGAAGGTGAAACCAAGGACAGCTTGATAGTCAGAGCACGAGCATTCATGAATTGACAGTTTGACTAAAATCTTATTCGTCCAATAGCATTAGGACAAAGAATATAAATATCACTCTCAATTTATTTAGAGAGCGCAAAACTTTGAATCAGCGGTTAATGGCTGACCAGTCACCAGAGAAAAGAGGACAAGACACCAGCAGAGAAAGTGAGGGACATCATCAAACACACAAGGAGCCAAGTAAAAGAGACATTGATCACATTCAAGGAAACAAATAGGACACAAACACAAAACACGGAATGATACAGGCTTGAGGAGTGTTTCTGGTAGAGTAAAAAAAAAAGATTAAAAAAAAATACAGAGACTTAAGAGGTTTAAGAGGGTCTCTTAAAGGTACTGCAGTAATTTTCTACATCAGTAAAAAGAAAATCAGAGAAATGCTGATGCTTTATAAATTCAATGTCAATGGAAATTTGAAGTTTAATCTGATATATAAAGTAAATCAGTAAATTGTTTCTTTCTGATGTATTTTTCAAAATGTCCTCTCAAGCTCAGCACTTTTTTCTCCAAAAAAGAAAAAAAACAGAGCTAACTACACGTCATTCCTAACATAAAGATCTTTTTTTGGTAGAAGCATCTAATAATTGAATTACGTATTTCAGAATCTTTTTTCTAGGTGTGTAATTATTTCCTTGATTAATAGAAACTGATTTGTTACATTTTTTTCCTTATAATTGAGCTGTGGTGCTCTCATCTACCTCATAAATCACATATCATTTATGTACTTATTAAATCACATGATAATTATTTATTAAAACTCATGAATGCAATAGCAAATCAGATATTTAGGCCTACCAATGATATGAGTGAGGATTCATAATGCGGTGAGGCTGGAGCTTGAACTGAACTTCGGGGCCACATGTTGGTACCTGAGAGGAAAAATAAAAACAACCACATTTTATCACTGATCCGTTTATAGTAAAGCTGGATGTGGTTAAGGACCGACTCCGTCTGGCATTGACAAATGTATGGTTTCTTTAGTTTACCTGCAGGTTCAGCTGCACTCTGCAGCGGGGATGGAGACCTCACTGGTGTGGACGAACTAGAGGGGAAGCTGCTGCTGGTGTGATCGGGGGAATAAATCTGGCAGCAGACGGAAAGAAAGAGAAAAAGAGGGGGAGGAGAGGGAGAAGAGCATGGATCATTTTAAAAGCACAACTTGTCATTTCTGCGTAAGGTTTTACAGCTGCTGCCACAGCCTTTGGAGCAGGCTCATAACCTGAACTAAACTCATCAATTCTGGTCATTTTACTACTCGGCACAGCAGCCAATAAAAAGTCCAGCAGCAGGAAAGTAGCCCTTTGTTGATACGAGCTACTCTTTTCTTAGCAGGGATGACCTGCTTTGCTTCTGCGTTATACCACTGGGTCTTTTGTTTAGCGCCCTGTCTGAATGTTTAGACATAACAGGGCATAGATGAGCCGCTCTAATGGGATTAAGGTAGTGCATACTTACAGAAGCCAAAGCTTTGCCCAACGTATCGCCTGTCTGTGACCCCCCTGACACATTTCCTTGGCTCCCTGAGACTACAAAAAAATCAAAATAAAAAACAGTGTCAACCGCTTTATTAGAGTAAACACAGTTGATTTGAAAAAAAAAAGCAGTAAAGAGTTTTTTCTCACCTGTTGAATTCTCTGAGGTGTTGACTGATGGAGTGTGCGGTGTCATGTTGTTGCGGTGAAAAGTGGACATTGGCGGGAGACTCCTGTTCATATCAGCAGCCATCACTGAATGTGGAGAGTAATCCTGAACAGAAAGCAAACATATATTCAGTCCTCCCAGAGGGGTTAAAAAATGCTGTGCTGTCAACATCCAAGGTCTTGGAGGTAAATCTCACCAGGTGACTGTGTGGTGGAGGCAGGCTGCCGTAGCTCCCTGCCTGTGTCTGGTGGGTTGTGGCTGCTCCCAGTGCACCTTCATAGCCCTGCTGGTTCAGGCCGTTTACAGCGTTCCAGATGTCAGGCGAATTGCTCGTACCCTCTAAAATGGATAGTGATATGTTATAGCCAGCAATGGAACAGCATCTCAAGCAGCTAGATAAGTTATGACGCTCTACAGAGGGCCCCCTATGGAAAATATGATACGTTAACGGTGAAATGAATGGCCACAGAATGTTAATTTACAAATCTGATGCAACAATTTTATCTTAGAAACATGTTAGATGCTTTATTTTAAAAGTTTATTATCTTCATAATAGATTAATGATCAATAAAACCTCATTTCAAGGTATTTTTAACCCAATAACTCGTAGGTTTCAGCCTTTAACTGAATTTCACAGAGCAAAATAGACTGTGAATATATAGACATATAACTTCTAGATAGATAGCTACATAATACAAACATTAGTACATAAATACATACACAAAGACATTATTTTTGTTGTTTCTTCTATATTCTATATATACATCTTATTGGTATTTCCTCTGCTTTGTAATAGGCTTTGTTTGAAGAAGTCAGTGCTGCTTCTTTAAGAACTATAAGTGAATAAACGCGGCCTACAGTAACCTTCAACATGCACACTGAGGAGGCCAACACATAAGACCAAAGAGCAGATTATTTCTAAGAGCTCAGAGCTGAGCAGCAGGTTTCTGCTCACAGAGTAGGTATGAGGATAAAATTGAACTTCATGGATGTTTTGGTTTCCCCTCTAAACTTGCATATTTTCCCAGTTGTCGCCATACTAAAAGTACAAAAGATCCTATAGATCAAAATATCACAGGAGATATGTACAGTGTTTATTTTGGATTATTTGAGCTCACCAAAGAAGGCGCTGGCAAACACATTGCTGGGGGCCTTGGTTGATGGGTGTAAAGAGGAGTTCTGGTTGATGCCGTCATTAGTGGGAGACTGCCCATAAACCTGGAAAGAACAGCTTGTTTATTATGATGTTGGAAACCAACTTTAAATCATCACATGATGTACACAAACAGTCTTTTTTTTCTTCCTATGGATGAATTATTCAAACAGTTACCACAGACTCAAACATGAGAATTCTCCGGGTGCCAGTCTGAAGCTACAGTATTACGAAAACAAAGCGAGGAGCTGATGCACACTTAGAGCTATTGCAGTAATCCATAAGCTGCAGATCCATGCACCTCCTCATCCGGATTTAAGAACCATTCACCATGAGAAATCCCTGCCCTAATCATGATCAGGTTCGGCTGGCTTCATGAGACCAGGATACAATACCCTCCAGAATAAAATTAAATTACAGGCCCTCTCGTACAGTGTCCTTAGATAACAGAGTGCTAAGTCTCACCCTAACAACCCCCCTTCATCGGTAACAAAACACTAAATAAAAACAGATCTCCAACATTAAACCACAATATCTTTGGTAATTATTTCTCTCTTTTAATTACAAAGCATGAGGCTAGAAACACATGCACATATGCACACTAAACACACCAACACATGTTCCCTCACTCAAACACACCGAGAGGTCTGGACTGCACCTGCACCTCCCTCTATCGCTTTGATGTGCCCCAGGAAATGAAAATAAACCTCCCTGCGCAGCATCAATGGGGTGTCAGTTACCCGGACGACAAGTTCTGTAAAGCAGGCTATTAAAGACTCTCTTGAGTATGCTCGTGCAAGCACACTCACAGGCTCTCACACGCACTTAAGCACACACACACACACACGCAGCCGTGACCCTGGCTGGCATGAGTCCCATGGTGATTGTGGGCTAGGCCAAACAGAGGAGCCCCTGCCGACACTGGGCCCGTCTGAGCCGCCATGGGCAGCATATGGCGGAGGATAAAGCCAATTGTCCTCCTTACCATCAGCATAGCAGGCGACCCGTTAATAATGGTCACACCCCCCGCCCCAGCACGCCCTCTCTGGCCCCCACTGGAGAGGGGGGCCATCACCATGGCATCCTCTTTTAGCTTAGCACTGATTTAAGAACCATCAATCATAGCATCACAAATAATGAGGGACTTTTTCAGCAAATAAAAACAACTATTGAGAAGGAAATTAAACCTTCATTTTTACTTCATAAAACATGTTTCCTTTTATGACATCTGTTAGCTGTATTCAAATATCATCTTTGAATAAAACAGGGATAAACTTGTTTAATAAGAACAAGCAGTTGTACTTTTTCTCTCTGCAGATGCACACAACATTATCATGCTAGATGAGTGAAATATCAACTTGCTATTCAGGCCCTATGCTGAGTTCCATCCACCATGGCAAACTCCAGCCACATGCAACCAATTTTCTGCCTCTGTGATCCACGATGTCTGGATATGGTTAGTCTCACAGAGATCAAAGCTGCCTTTGATAATGGCTGCTGTGGTGGAGGGACTGCTCCGAACATAGCGGGGTTAAATCAAATAGAAATAGCAGCAATCTGCTTCATGTCAAGATGTTTTTCTGCTGCCAGGCTTGACTGCATGGAGCTCAGCTAACAGGAAGCGTGAGTCCCACCGGTGCATTTGAACATGAGTTTGTCAACATGAAAGCACAAACAGATAAGTGAGGTGTTATAGTGGCAACTTACTGAAATCTAACACAGTGTCTATATGCTGTCTTGTTTTGATAGATTTATGATTTATGGGAAATTATATGTTGTATGAAAACTAAAATCTTAAATTTACCTGATTTAAATGTTGATAAAAAAAGAGACTCAAAGTGGAAAATACAAGAGGTAGGGATTTTCTTTTTTCTTCTTTTTTTAAAGGTAAATTTTTAGTTGTAACAATTAATAAATTTGCAAGAAATATTGAGCACAAACTATAGTAACTCCAAGACACAAACCCTCTTTTTGTATTTCCCACTCACACACATGCAAACCAATCAGATGAAACAACCATATGTCACAAAACAGCCCTGTGCAAAGAAGAGAGACATAAACTTCAATATGGTGCTACAAAAATAAAACTAGGCTATGCTGAATTAAAACATCTCTTAACTTTCTGCAGGTTGCAAATGAAAAATGCATTTCTTACTTTAGCAAATGTTAAAATGATGCCTGATGAAGAACACACTGTTCAACCACAATAAACAGAAACAGCTGGACACTGGTGTTTCATCATGTGAGTTATTAACAAGTAAAGAGAACATTTGATCAGCAGCATCACTCTAACACACTGTCACTGCATGGATCCTCTGCTAAACCCAACAGAAATGCACCTAACAACAAATGCACTCACCGGTTTCATGTTGTAGCAATACATCAATGAGTTGTTTCCCGTGCCAGAGACAGGCTGAGTACAGAACATAACTCTGTCCGCTTCAGTGCAAGACTCCACTCTCACAGTACAGTCCACACACAGCTCGTCTCTCCGTGTCTGCACTCATTTGTGTGTAGTCCACATGCACTCCTTCCTCTAAACTACCCCTGCTGGTCATGCAGCTACCCGCAGACAACTTATGCAAATGAGGGTTGGACCATTCTGGCAAGCAAAAAGGGGGTGGCGAGAACCTGACGCTTATGCTGTAACCTATTACAAGGTTGTTCCTGACAGTTTCCAGCATTTTTATTTCGATGTAGGACTTTCAGTTAAAAAAATAAAACCTGACAAAGTCTTTTATATGTTTATTTTCGCTCTCTTGAGGTGTTTTTGGCGCAAAACTGCTTAATAGAAATCGCTGAAACTTGTCATAAGGAGGGGATTCCCCCCACCCACGTATTCAAAACACCTTGACCACGCCAGAGGAGCAAGAGAGAGCAACCACAACCTGAGTGTGTCATAAACCAGGGGTTCTCAACTGGTGGGTCCCGACCCAAAAGTGTGTCGGGGAAGTGAAGTGATTTGATATTTTCTGTACACGCAACTTCAGTAGTTGTCGTCCTCATGTTGTCCCCTTCATGTGCTCTGAAATGCACTTTACTCAATAAAACAAGAGGATTTATGTTAAAGATTAGAGTCGTTGAAGGTTTTTTTGTATAGCAAAAATTATTTGCTTGGTTTGAGTTCTATAAAAGTGGGTTGCGGGTCCCAGAGTGAGACCAGTTTAGAACCACTTTCATAAACTCTGTAGTCCACATAGCATCACCCGTCGAGAGACCCCTTGTTGGAGTAAAACCATTCACAAGCGGGCTCAGAAATCTCTCTTGAGGACAGAGAGCGTGCACGAATGACGCCATGAAGATTATCTCCCCGCAGACAGGTAGATAGTTCCAGTAAACAGGGAATGCCACACTTTGTCTGACCCACATTTACAAATAGAACTAAGTCTTCCTATCTGTGCACGTGTGCTTTGGTGAGCTCCTCCAGCGGCTGGGTTAAAGGTTATTTTTACTGTAGCCTGTCTGTTGATCTGCTAATAATGAGACACCTCAAGAGTCAGACATCCTGTCTGAGGTCACATCCACTGTCTTCTGCCCCAGTCCTCAAAGTGCATGCTGAAACACACCATCAGATTAATAATCTTAGTGTTATTTCTTCACAAACAGCACTGGAATCAAACCTGCTGAATCTTGTATGGTTTTTCTTTTCCATTTTAGATTATAATAACACACAAGAAAACAAATGTGCAGTGCAGCCTATGTGTGTCACTCTGACCTCCAATCCCAGCCATGCATTTTGTCCTAGAAAGACCTCCTAAGAATCCAATCAGATACTTCCCATTTAGACGGCAGCAAAGTCCATCAATGACTCAAGCATCTTACTAACCTCAAGTGTCTGGCAGAAGAGACCGTATGAGCCTTCAACAAAATTTCATTTAACTCTATTCATTTATGCAACAAGATGCATTCTGTCTCTCCTAACTGCATGAAGTGTGACAAAGCTTCTCAAGCATTTTGAAATAATTTTGTTGAAATTTTGTGCAGGGTTAAAGAAAGAATCCATATTTTAGCTGTTAGAAATGGCTATTTGAAGCTCTTGTGAGGAACCTGATATTCCATCTCTTTGCTGATTTTGTCTTGTATGCCAAGTCTGTTCTTATACCGGACAAATAATCACTTGTTGTGAATGTTTGCAGGTGAAAATGTTTTGAAAAAAGGCTGTTTCTCCTGCTGTGATGGTGTCATTTAACTGGTCTGACACTTGCCTCCTCACAGCAGTTACATTAAACTTTAATACATTTTACAGCACACAGTTTCAGTCATGTTTCTGATGGTCATAGAGGCATTAGTATTCATTTCAGTCTGTTTTAAAACAAGCCACACACGGGAGCTTCAATTAAAATCTTCATGTTCTCAGAAACTTTTCGCAGGAGCTTGAAGAAACAGGACCGTTAAATTGTAAGAGAATAATTATTGCTATCGGGATAACACTGCAAACAGTAACAAACCAATGCAGGAGACAAAAACCAAACCATTATCTGCTGATTTAAATCTGTCTGGAGGTGAGCCTAACAGTCCACACAGCTTCCTTAAAGTCACGGTCTAATCCTGACTGTCCACGCTAGTGTAAACTGGGTTAGGAGGTCAGTGTTTCCTACTCATCACAACAATCGTGTGAGGACATCCACCACAATTACAAGGAACAAGTCCATTGACTATCTACTGCACATAGAAATTTCTCATGCATTTATTATTCTAAATACAAAATTTTCCCACATACCCCAGTGCAGTCTCACATACATGCACTTTGATAATAGTTGTAAAAACAAAGATAGAATTTGAAAAAAATGCAAAAAAAATGCACTCAATCCAACTGTGGGACTGATTTTGCATGTTATTGGGGTATCAGTGAGCTTTGAATGCAATTACATGATGAATATTATTGCAAAGTGAGAATTGTTGCATTTATTGCCGATTGTCCATTTTGTATACACTCTTATTACAGGTGTTTTTGGGCCAAAAATCAACATCAAAACTCTGGATTTTTAGACTTTTTAAAACAAATATTCAATACAAATACCAGTGGTTACTTCACACCCTTCCCTCTGACAGAGACCACTCCTCCTGACATAAGCATGCAGAATACACACACACACACACACACACACACACACACACACACACACACACACACACACACACACACACACACACACACACACACACACTCCTGGGTAAATGATCCAAGAGCAAATATATACAGTCCCCTAACCCTGAACTTTGCATCAATCTTAGTTAATTGCAGTCTTGTCAAGAGTGCGATTATTCAAACAGGTAATGCAAATGTTAATGAGTTCAGATTTGCATATCTTTATTTTCCCATGGTTGAAATGTCATTGGTTATGACGCTCTACAATGAAGAATGTCACTGCTGATGGCCCCCTGATATGCTGACGGCCATTAGGAGACCAAAAAGGAGCAAGTGAAGAGGATGGAGGAGAAATAAACAAGGAGCTGTGCACTAAAGGAAAGAAAAGGAAGTAAAGATTTTGATATGCAACAATAATGAAACATGCATTATTTCACTCTTGGGTTTTTTCAGAATAAATAGATAAACAAGAGGCTCAGAATCTGGACATGATTTGAAAATGAGGGAAAAGTGCACTTAAGCCAAAAAAGAGGAAAGTAAGACGCCCACCCCTCTGATGTAAGAAGTCATGGTTGTCCTTTTACTCTACACTGTGCATATGATGCCTACAACACACACTTCAAGTGTCGTTGGCATATTGCTCATCGTCGTGCGCCTGATTTGACATGGCTTAAATAACCATCTTCCTGCCAGTGATTGGCATTCGCACAAGAAGGGGTGAGTGGGACCGGGGAGCAGATGGTGACATTCCACATGACCAAACTGATCAATCAGCATGCTGGGACGCAGGTGCAGCACAGGCGGGCAGCACCACACCATCTATTTCACCATCTATGGGGCACAAACACATGGGCACCAATCGTGGCCCCCTGAGGGTCTGCATGCTCCTCTGCCCTGCTGTGCCAAGGTTGATGACATCAGAGTTTCCCATCCGCTATTCCACAGGACGCCAAGAAAAAAGCACGAGGGAATAAAAAAAACACAAGAGTAAAATCTGCAGTAACAACCAGGCCTGGGATAGGTTGTGTGAGTGACGTCAAAGCTAGGGTCCCCCTTATTACAGGCTGGTTAACCAAAAGGAAAACTCATCTTAGACTAAGTACCCACATATTCTAACATTCATGTGTTATGTTTGTGGTGTGATCAACAGAGCCAGATGACTGAAATTCTTGGTGTAACTTAACCAATTAAAAATGTCTCTTTCCTCAAAAACAAAAAGAAAACAATAAAAAAGATCTCTAGTTTTCTAAGCAGTAAAAAAGCAACAAGCTGGAAACCTTTAACATTTTATAATCTACTTTTACACAGCTAAATGACACTCATTGTGCATATTTGGTTTTAGCCTTTTTTAAGTAGATTTCTTGGCAGTTTCTTGACAGTGGGGATTTGCTGACTTCTGCTGTTTACCATGGGTCTACTTTTTTTTATTGTACTTCTGTGTCCACTGTTTTTTTAACACCAAGATGTATTTCTTGTCTCCTTATTTCTCTGTAAATTGTTTACTTCGTGAACCAGTCCTTTCAGACATGTCAGTGAATGCATCATAAAGACACACAGGCCTGCTCAGGTAGCAAAGTTGGCTGTGGTGTTTAATGCCTGGCGTGACTCTGTACCAAGGATCTTCAGTATCGCCAGGATAAGACCTGGCCACGGCAAGCTGATCTGATAGTCCTGCCTGACTGCTGAAAGAAGTGGGGGTTGTAAGAGGATTGGAGCGTCCATGGCTGCATGGCGCACGTGAGAGCCAGACTCAGCGACCTCTGCACCACGGTGACCTCGCTGTCCCACATTCATAATAACTTACGAGGAGAAGACGGGTGGCTTTAGGTCACCGCCGGTTTAATGAGTGACCTGTTTCAATGAGGCATGAAAGTCTTCAACAAACAAAATGAGCTTTCTTGAACTGCATTACATTTGTCACTATGTACATCAGATTTACTGCTACAGTGTATAAATCAGGCCCTACAATATTAACTTATTGTTAAATATCTCTCTTTAAAATAAAAGTAGGTTCTTTTTAAAGATCCATGTCTGGACATGTCTTTGTATTTCATTCTGATTTACTCATCAAGGATAAATGAACCTGGGTGTTTCTGTTGGTATCATAAAACATTTTGTTAAATGTTTCTTTTAAAACTTTACTGATCTAAAAATATAATCAGACATGCGACTAAAACCCACATATGACACATTGAGGAGATCTTGTTCATGGTTCCTGTGGCATGATGTGGCCCAAGAAATGACAGCAACTTTAGGAGTGTTGTGTAAATCTTAACATTTGGAGGAATGAGCAAGGGCAAAGACTGCTGAGCTGAGACCGTCCAGTCCAAATCAGAAGTGACAGAAGATTGACAGTAAAATAAATCAGTCCAGAATAGCCAGCAACCGAAGGTCAAAAATAGAGTGAGAAAACAATGACTAACAAGGAAACAACATTTTCTTGAGATTTAGATGAAGTGTCACTGTTCCACACCTCCGGTGTTGT